AGAGATTTACTCAATAAATCGTACGCTAGTTAGAAAAAAGAAAATTAAAGCTCTTATTACGTTAAAAGGTGAAGAGATTGCTATTGATTATATTTATTATACCGTAATATTGATCAATCAATCAATTAATTATCAATCAAAGTTCTATTGACCTTTTAGAGCCTATCTAGTATCGAATAGCTACATGTACTCTTTTTTCTAATTAAAGCAAGAAAGACCTTATGTCCCCCCTACGCCTAACAGTACTATAGAAAATTGGGCTAATTTTAGAAATAAAAGAGAGCACTAGCCCTATTATAAGCTAAACCTATACTATTAGTAAACACAAAGCCAATATAAATGAGAAATTTAATACTAGTAAGCAATAAATACAAATAAATATATAGACGTATAATACGTCCACCTCCCCTATTTTTATCTTATATCCCATATAAATACCTCCCAATCTAAGATAATAGCTAATTCCTATAGTAGCAAGATTAAACCCCTTTCTCCGATATCCCTACTTTTGCCATGAATGCCAATTATCGTTTATTGGGCCGAGCGTAGGCCTAAACTCAGTCCGCGAGCGTATATTCGAATAGCTAAGTAAGGTTATCTCTAAGCGTCGGCGTAAATATTAGTAAGTGTCTAGTATCTTCGGGGCTCTACTTTATAACCTCGCAATTTAGGTCTTCGGATTATACCGTAATATTAGGAATGCGCCTTCTCTACTACCCTTATAAAAGAAAGTACAAGTTACTTCTAAGTATCCTTCCAAATAAGCTTCTTCTATTTCAATGTACTCTTTGACCTTTTAAGGTAGGTATAAGGCTTCTCATAGATACCGAAGATCGGAGAAATACTAATATCCTTAATATTTGGAAGAAGAGTTATAAATTTAAAGAAAGGCTAAACAATCTAAAGGAACTACTTGATTTATCGCTATCCTACTTGACTTAACACAAGATAATGCTCAATATACTAGGAATAGAACTTTTGAAAAGGTTATTAAGGCTATTTAGTATATTAGAGTATTAAGAATATTGAATTCTAGCGAGTTTGGAGATCTTAGATTAGAGTATACCTTGGTTCTTTATTCTTTATTCTAAAGCTTATATATAAATCAACTCCCCGCGTTATAAGCTTATGTTAATTTAGCTAATAAGGTTTCGGACCTATATTGCAATAGAAGAGTTCCTATAAAGGAACTAAGATAATAAATAGCCTTTACCTCATTAAGTATATTAACAATTTGCTCTAATTTCTTTTTGTACGAAAAATTAGACTCTGTATTTTTGTTACAAAAGAATTACCCTTAGCTTCCTGAGAAACCCTTTTAAACCAAAGCTATAGATATTATAAGGGATATAAGGGATAGCAAAATTATCGTTTACTTTAAGTAACTATAATAATTCTTAGAAATTTAGGAATAAAGGTAAAATTATTTACTATATTATTGGTTATTATTATAAGCACTAGATCTAGGATTTTATACTATCGAAAAAACTTTGAAATTATACTACTTAGATTAAACCTAAGTAGAATTAGACTGCGCCAAAAACCGCAAAACCGCAAAATCCAACTTACCCAAACCGCAATTGGGTCGGTTTTTGGGGCCAGTTCTAGAAACCATTGCGGTTTTGGTTTTTTGGGTTCAAACCGCAATGCTTTTTAGGGCCCTATTACGTTGTCAAACCAGAAAAACTAGGTGGGTCCTTATTATTGTATATTTTATGAAGTTTTGCTCTATTTCTTGGGGTATCAAAATTATAGATTGATAACTTCTTCGATAATCTACGTTTTAAACGTACGTAAAATAACTTTTTTACGCTATAGTATTATATTTCTAACGGCTATTGGAAATATAGTGTATCAGTGCTTCCTATCTATAGTATTAGCTTTTAATAGCTATTAGACTAATTCAGGTTTAATTCGCTATAGTAATTATCGCTAATAGAGCCTATATAGATCCTTATCACGCCTAATCCATTTCCGAGCTCGTACTAAAGCACGTATCTAAGTGCTTTCCTCCTAATTTGAAGGAAGAGGGTTGTTATTATAATTGATTATAACTTATATATCCCCTCTACCTTATATCTCTTCCTCTTCCTCTTTATAGGTTTAGTCTTCTTCCGTATCACTAATTAGATCGACGCTAACTATATTCGGCGTGCTTTCCTTCTCTTCTTTTGACGCTTCGATCTTATCGCGAGTGAAGAACTCCTATAGGAACTCTGCCTATTCCTTCGCGATCCCGAACTTTGAAGTATAAGAAAAATTATTGACTCCTATATAGTTATTATACTTAATCTTCTACGGTAATAATAATAGATATCTCGAGCGGTATTAAATAGTCGTTTAACACTAGTACTAGTTATAGTGACTAAAAATATATCCTATACAAGGGCTATAAGAGTAGGGAAACGATAGGTATTCTCCTTCTAAAACACTAAAGGCGATATGTCTATAGTGGCTTATAGGTAATTAATATTATATCTAGTAAAGCGGTTAAGAATATATACCACTATTAAGATATTGCGAAAGCTTATCGCCTACTACCTTATAATAGGGATACTTTAGCTTGACTATCGAGTCAAGACGCGATATTCCTCCCCCCGATAAAAGAGATAGAGGAGATATCGGTTACTAGGCAAGACGTTTCTTATATATAATTAGGTAGTTCTCGAGAGACTTCTAGTATATCGTATACTAATAATTATCCTAATTATCTATTTAAAAAGAACTAGAACTTATTCGCTAAAATATATATTATAGTGATTGCGTAAAAGTACCCTCGTACGTTATCTATCTTAGAGCAGTACTTACTAAGCTTTTTTCGAGTAGTCGAATCGAAAATATACCCTAGGATTCATCACGTCGATAAAGTAGAACTCCTCGACGCCTACCTATTAGTACCAATGGAGGTATTTAAATCTAATATTATTAAGAATATTTTTGTCGCCATTATTTTAGTGTCTTAGAAACCTAATCGAGTACTCTCGAAGCTAAATCACTATTTTTATACGCTAATAACCCTCTCGAGCTAAGGTAACAAGTAGTCGCCGTAGAACGCTATCGAACTACGTCTAACTAGAAAAAATGGGCTTCCTCACAAAAACCTTACTTAAATAACGCTCAAAAATCCTCCGAGTCGACTAAACTCTACGATTAATTAGGTTTTAAAGACCTACTGAAACACAATACAATCGACTACCTTACTCGAGAAAGAAGTACACGATTTACGCGCTAAAAACGACAAGAAGCAAAAAGGACTCGTTTTACAAGGCAAATACCCCTAGAGAAGGCGTCCTAGTTTTAGGGGCCTCTGCTTTAATAGCGTAGCTAGAGCAAGCAGTTTTAGTACTGATACCCCGCGAGGTAGGTGTCACGATTCACGAACTCCATGGACACACATATCACGCCAGTATCAACTCCTGTGGACTACCTCGCTTCTTGCCAGTGCATCCCTGTCGAGTTGTCAGCGCCAACTCACCGCCTCTGTGGATTATGTTAACTAAGTTGTTCTGGTGAACCTGGAAGTTCCCCAACAATCAGTCTCTGTACATGTTGCAATACCACTTGTTTAGAGACATCTTTGATCTTACCTAGTTGACAGGCTCTATCCTGTAAACACTAGACCCATTCTTACGGTAGGGCTAGCTCTGACACCTTCTTGGCCATATACGAGAGCCTTACCGAAGTGTAGAATTTTGTGTAATTAAGGGTTATATATTGACTGTGTGTCCTAATAGACCTCGAATTTAGCTTACTGGATTTAATGGCTTTTGGTTGAGATAAATGCATTCAAAATTGATAGGTCGAGTGGGGTGTGTGGCTCGGGGTATGTCCAGCTCACTAGTGAATTACGTTAATTTACAGGGATTATATAATTTCTCCCTAGACGCGACTGATAGATAAAGGATTCCCGAGTAAACTAATATGTCGCGATCGAAAGATCGTACTTGGCCGCTTGTTAGGTAAAAGTAGCTTCCTATATACGTGAAGCCTATCAAAACCCACTTACAATTCACTAGAAGCTATTAAAAACCATCAACCACTATTAAACCACTAGAAGCCACTAGAAATTACAAAAGCCTGTTCTACCAAAGAAAATTAACTATAAGAACCGCAAAAGGAACTATAGTATACCTTACACGACTTAACACTGTAGTGACTCATACTCTATTTTCTAACGGCCGTCAGAAAAGCCAATACCGTAGCATCAGGAACTTATTAAGTGATATTTAATAAATATACGTCGGAAAATAAAGTCATAGAAAGAGATGTTAGTAAAGATGGTAATATAATGTTTACATAAAAATATTCAAAGCTAATGAAAATAGTCTGGACTATGGTTTTTAATATTTAATATCTAAAGTGCGAGCGAATTTTGTATATTTTCCTTGAGACTGAATTAGGAGTCAATGGTTAATAATGTACTAACCAAAACAAGAGCTAATAAGAGTAATCTAAATGTATGAACTAGCAGGTTTATATATGATGAGACCTTAATTTTATGCAACAATGGTTTTCTTGGGGCCCTAATAGGGAACCGCAGTGGTTTGTGGTTTAGAACCCATTTGCGGTTTTTTGGCGCAGCCTATAGACGTCTACCGGTAGTGCAGAAGGTAGTGCTATATGCATAGCAAATGATATATATATATAGGGTAGGAACTCGGAAAAGTGGAGTGAGTCATAACATATGGGGGATGTTACTATCATACTGGTTGTATTAAGTTTGATTCGTATAAAATTCGGCATAGTTCCCATCGGAGATGTAAACCGCTAGAGACATGGCTCATCGACCTTTGTGTGATAAATATAAACGGGACTAGACGAATACATTATTTTACCAATCTACATACCCATGGCCACATAATACCGAGACTTATCTTGCAGTATCGGCATCGATAACGACTTGAATGAGGTACCTCTATAAGAGCAGACATGCTGACAGGTGCATACATATTGTGCTAGATGCCGGGCTAGGTGGATGTCATGTCCGCAATGGTTAGGCATTAGTCGTCTGGATACTCGTCCTTCACATTACTTATAAAAACCTTTCGCATTTCATCCCATCGCTTGAAATGCTTGCCCGCAATGGCAGTCAGACCCCGCGGCAGTTCTGCCAGGCTCGGCTTAATAGGTTCAATGTTTTCCTCGGCCACATATCGAACACTCCGATCCTCCACGCTAGATATGGTTAGCACCGCAGAGAAAAGTTGAGTTAGCACACTTACAGAACATGGTAGAAGCTTTGGTGCCTGCCAGCCTGTAATCGGTCAATGCCCATCCTCATCATCCACTGTTCACCTGCGCCACATTCGGAATCCCAGCCGGTGATGATAGCCATGTATTGATAGCGACGGTGACGAAAAACCTGACCCACAGTATATCGAATATTTGCGTTAGTACCAGTGCGAGTATGAATTTGCTTTGGTATTTCATCCACTGCTCTCATCACGTGGAGGCTTTCTAAGATATGCTCATGCTCAAACAAGCCGTGAAACAGAGGAGCAATGTATTGTTCGATGAGGAATACGTCCGAAGGGAAATCAGTAGCGAAAAGCTCCATCAGCCATGGTAATTGATGACGAAGGTCCATGGGTCTGGAATCGCTTGATAGGAGCATCACCGACCAAAGAGCAGCATATCTTGCACTCACGGCATCTACTGAAGTGGAATACAAATTTGGACTCTGAGATGCGATACGGACAGAGTTCAGAATGTTCTTGCCGCAGCGCAAGACAATTGACGACGTCAGAGACTCGCCAAGAGCGGCGGATTGGTCCGAGTTGGACATTCCGAGGAAACTGAGTTGATTGCGCAAATCCGAAACGGAAGTTTCTCGTGCGCCTCGGAATGGATCCAAGTACATAGGCTGCGCCTGATCCATGTTAGACAACGGACGCCCGTCCATGTCAAATCCTGCTGCGGGGGTGACTATGACATGGACATGGAAAGGGAACCCGCAAGGATGAGCATTGAGGCCCACTCCCTGTGCAACAAAACAATATATCGCAGCCGATATCAACGGCAGAGAGTTGTGCTCAATATTCTTAAGAGCCAGTCCCAGGAAATTGTGCTCCAAATGATGATATTCCCGCTCTGGGTCGATGCCTGTAAGACCGTTCGACCCAAGCCAGGATGCAATAGCCAGCGCTTTCTGGCGAGGAGTGAGATGAAGGTCTAGATTATCTGCGACGAAGCGGTCAAGAATTCTAGCAAGGGAGCCTCGTATCTTCAACCAGTCAGACACAGTTCAACAACAGGAGGCCGTAAGGATCACACTCACATCGTTCAAGTCTCCATACCCGCTCTCAGGAATGAAGAGATCAAAGCAGCCCAGGGCCCGGTCGAGCGACACCGGCTCCCCGCGTCTGAGTTTCGCCCACTCCGGCACTGCAATGCTGCGATGGAGACAGGTCAAAAGTGCGCGGGCATAATACCTTGAGGTTTCCGTAAAGCACTGGTCAACTCGACTGAAATAAATGCCAATTACACAGAATCAGTAGCCCACCTTCTGGCCAGATGATCATCCCCGGATGCCACCAGGCTATGCCGCAAGAGAGTGTCTTTGGCATCGTACCCCAGATCTATCACAGAGCGAAACTTTTCAATGCGGCCCGTTTGGCTAGCGAGGATGCTTCCGAGAAGTCTAGTGACCGAGCAATCGACTTGATACTTGGACACGAAAAGCGTTTTCCAATCAACAGATGAGACTGGACATTTAAGCTTGTGGGACATATCATGTTGCCTATCCCAGAACCTGTAGTGTGATTCACAATAGTAACGCCATAGTAAAGGCTCGTTCGTCACATTTCGAAATCGAGAGTGGGTTTGTTCGAGGGCGGCACAGGTCTGGGGAGGGGAATCGCGCAGGATTGAACTCAGGATCTCGTCTGGAATATGAATGAGAGACTGAACCATCCCTAGAAATTGACAATGGATGTTTGAGAGAAATATGGAGAAGGAACAGGGTCACGTTTCCTAGGGATCAAAGACGATGATGTTTGGCGGAAGTTCCGGTGATTGCGCCAAGCCTCCTTGTTTTCCTTCTTCCAACACTCGAGCTTTGAGCTTCGAGCTTCAGGGCTTTTGAGGTCTTTTCTTGGTGAATTTGAGACAGCAAAGCCTTGACAGCGCAAATTGGTCTGAAATTCTACACTCCCCACACCTGACCTTGTTATCTTTCCCCCTCTCTTCCCCGCCATGGGCCAATTCCAGTCGACCAGCCAGGCGAGCTCTGACGCCCCAGAGCAGCAAGGCGAAAAGACCGACTACTATGAGCTACTTGGGATAACACGAGCTGCAACCGACGAGGAGTAAGTTTACACACCAGCTGGTCATGTCCTGCGACTAAAATGCTCTCTGTCTTCACAGCATCAAGAAGGCGTACAGGAAGAAAGCCCTTGTGTTACACCCAGATCGAAATTATGGGAATGTTGAAGAGGCGACCAGACTGTTTGCTGAAATTCAATCTGCTTATGAAGTACTCGCAGATCCTCAGGAACGAGCATGGTACGACTCACATAGCGATGCCTTCCTGGGGACAAGCGGGGGCACCGATGATCAACACTCGTACAATGTTCGAATCACAACTGCCAATGATGTCCTTAAGCTCTTTTCAAAGTTTAGTCCTCGAATGGAGTTCTCCGATGCCCCAACTGGGTTTTTCGGTGGTCTTCGCGAGCAGTTTGAACAGCTTGCGCTGGAGGAAAGGCTTGCTTGTCAGTGGGAGGCACAAGATTCCATTGAATATCCAGCGTTTGGGTCTTGTGATGACAATTTTGAGGGTGTTGTACGGCCGTTCTATGCCGCTTGGAGTGGATTTTCCACCCAGAAGTCCTTTGCCTGGAGGGATGCTTATCGTCTCTCCGAGGCGCCTGATCGCCGGGTGCGACGATTGATGGAAAAGGAAAATAAGCGTCTCCGTGATGAAGGCATTCGAGAGTTCAACGATGCGGTTAGGTCTCTCGTGGCTTTCGTCAAGAAACGTGATCCCCGATACAAAGCCAACGCCCAAAGCGAAGCCCAACGCCGAGAGACTCTCCGCCAGTCTGTTGCTGCGCAAGCAGCAAGATCACGGGCGCTTAATCAGGCCAACATGCGTGACCATGTCATTCCAGAATGGGCACAATCGGAGCAACCAGAGGCAGACGACAATGAGAGCGAGGAGAGCGAGGTTGAAAGTTTTGAATGCGTGGCATGTCACAAATATTTCAAAAGCCAAAAGCAATACGAGGCTCACGAGCGCAGCAAAAAGCACCTCAAGACTGTCAAGCAATTATGCTGGGAGATGCGAATGCAAAACGATCAACTGGATTTAGAGTCCACCGATGGCTCGAGTGCCAATGCAGTTACAACCCCACCTCTTGGGTTGGATGGTAACCTATCCCCTCCGGTCGATGATGAAGTGGTCGGTTCTCAACTTGAAGAGGTCGATATCAGGTCTGAGCGTGATACCGGGGCGCAGGAAAACTTGCATGGTCTACAAGAGACAGCAACGTCCGATCAGAACGTAGTTGAGGATTCATCCCCAGCCACAGATGACGAAGATTACGCGTCGAGAGAATCCATCGAAACCAGACTTCAATCTGATATGAGTCCTCCTTCAGGAGAAATCCAAGATTCAGTCACCACGCTTTCTGATCAACTGGGCTCTTCTGAACTTAACGGGCAGCCATCGGCGCCTAAGTTGGGCAAAGCCAAGCAAAAAAGGGCTAAAAAGGCTGCCAAGGAAGCAAATCAATTCACGGCCTTTATATGTACAAGTTGCAAGGAATCCTTCGCGTCCAAGTCTGAGCTGTTTAGACACATCAAACAAGAGGATCACGCACAGCCATCGTCAGGGACTATTAGTCAGAAGGGCAAAAAACGATAGATGACTCCTTCGGATTCGAAAATACCATACGCGCAAATAGTGGGCCACGGTGGTTTATAGAGGTCAAACATTGGCCTCAACTTGTAGATTGTCTATCGAGGGAAGTCCTGTCGCTCAAATGTGGGCTGGCTAAAGCAACCCTTCCAGGCACGCAAAAAAAACCATCCCGCCCCCCATCTTTAACCTAACCCAGTGCGGGAATTCTTGACAACATGCGCAACAGGCTGTAGAATGCCCTTATTGTTGGAGGCTCCAAGAGCAGTACCTGTACTCCATCCCATCTTCTCCAACATGGCGCGTCCTCGGTTTCCGGCTCCAATCTCCGGGGCAGAGGCGCCAACCACGTCGCCCTCCATATAGGTTGCAGCTCCTCCAGATCGTTTGGGTTTGAAGGATTTTGGTGGCTCTGCGCCCCATGACCTGAATAAACGGCGGTTGAACTTCCTCCCAGACAGGAGATCGTCGACGTTGGAGATGGTTTTAGGTGTGTATCCAGGAGTACGCGCGGTCTTATTGAGTACAGGGAAACGATCCATTCCATGACCGCGTGACTGTGATTTCAGGTTCAGTGCATTGGCCAACTCGTGTATCAGCTTTCTCCGTTGTTTGGTCATGGGTGGCAGTGCCAGACTTCAGTCGAGTTAGTTATGCCTGGTAAGGGTTGAGATGAATTGACAAACCTGTGTTTGGGAGACAAGAGGAATGATCGTAGTTCGGTCATGAACTGCTCCATGTTCATCTCCTTGGAATATTTGGCTTTGAGGTCTGGGTTTCCACCTTTTCTGCCAAGTAACCCCTGCGCTCGCAGTTCTTCTCGTTCCTTCTTTCTCAATTTCTTTTTTCTTCTGTCGTTCTGCCAAGCTTCTTGTAGCTCAATCTCAAATTCACTATCGGACAGCATCAGCTCGGGGATGGCTTGTTTACCCTTGGGCTTTTTCCGTAGACTCGGTCGATCAAAGTCCATGATATCAAACCCGAAATAAGGATCGGAGTCAAGGGCGTCTGCGAATGCAGACGCTGAAGGGAATTGAAGCTTTCCAGACCGGGCACCCTTCTTTCCTGACTTTGAGTGCCCGGTGGCTAGGTCCTCGAGCAGTATAAAATCTTCCAGATCATCATCGGAATCCAGATCATCCTGGTCAGTTTCACTTGATGTCGCGCCTGATCCTTGGTCTGAGTCTAGATTCATTTGAGCCAGCACTGGATACCTGCGTGTCAGCTTGTATCTTGACAAGTGGCGGGATTAAACTTTACCATCAGCTGGGCCTTCAACTTTGGGATGATCGAGTTGATTGTTTGTCGGGTATGATCTGGTTGGAACTTCTTGGATGCCAACGGGGCTAGCAGCCGACAAGTCCAACTGCGTCGCTGCTTTTTCGACATCAATACCCCCTTCGAGATCGGTATTTGTTTCCTTGATGATTTCCGCATAGTAGTCGCTGTCTATGTTGGCGATGTAGTCGGCTACTGGGTCAATGTCAGTTTCGGGTGGCCAATTTGGCTTGTCTGTATCGTCTTCTGCGTCGTCGCCGTCGTCGTCGTCGTCGTCGTCGTCTTCTGCATCATCTTCGTTGCTGGCAAGGGGTGGCAGGTCCTGAGGTTCGACTGCCAGTTTACATGGTGTCTGGGAAAATTCAGCAGCAACTGGCTGCACAATCTCTTGAATCTCTTGCTGGTTTGTTTCAATAACAACGAGTTTGAAGTTCTTCCGCCGACCAGTGAAGACAACTTCGTCCTCGCTCGAGTCGTCGAAATCCAATAATTCAGGTCGCAATACTGGGTCTGGGTGCCCTGTGTGGGCAACTTCTTGCCCTTGCGAGTCAAAGAAAAATGGGGTTTCGGGGTTATCTTCCCTGTGGTCGGGTGAATTGTCGGTCATCGGTTCTGATCCGTCTTCGGTGGATTTCTGTTCCTCGTCTTCCTGTTCCAGTGTTGGTTCCAGGCTTCCTGCGCTCACGAACTTGACAGCCTGGTGGCGGAGGGCGTTTGACCATGATCGCTGGTGGGTTTCAGTGTTCCGAGCTTCTTGCTGCATGGTAAACTTGTGTGGCGATGGGTCTTCGCATTATTAGTCTCGATTAAATGTGATATGATCAATTAAAATTGAAGCATACCTCTGCCCACTTGGGCCCGCCTAGTACGGGCCTTAAACTTCCCATGGCGGGCCATGGGTGTTGATGATATTGATGAAGGAAAAGTTGATCTGACGGGATTTCTTGCTTGACGTTAGGTGGGCCGGGCGGTGACCCCATCCAAGTCAGACAAGTCATTCTTTACAAACATCCATAATCTTGTTCGATGTAAACCTCAAATTCTTCCAAAGTCACAGTGATCTATATGGGAAGGGCTCTCCTTTGCGCCCTTTTGGGGGAGGGGGGGGGGGATGGGGGTCGGTGACGTCTTGGCTCGTGACTGTGTTTAGACCCCTCTAGGGATGTAGAAATAACTTGAACGGCGAGTGAAACTACTTAATTTGTATCCTTTTGTATATCTTTCTGGTTTTCTCGTCCTCTTACATCGCTCTATGTGATTTCTTTGGATGATGTTGATCTAAGCTCTAGTCCCACTCCATGGGTCATCTTGGATATATATATACTCTCTCTGATCATCTCCCCCACACCGTCTCGAAGCCCCTCCATCCTCATCTGCAAACCACACCGACGATGACAGTTGACATGGAAAAATGCAAACGCATAGTGCAATATTTCTGGGACCCAGAACCTAGGAATGATGCACCCGCAGCGTCAATATGGTGCCTGGGTAGAGAGTATGCGACCTCGCAAATCACTAGTGAGTCCTATCCAGACCTGTTTCATGAGTCGGAGCAGGTCTGAATGTTGAATACATGTCACCTTTCTCTAACAACAGTCAAAGAAGATAGCTCGACAGAGCAGTCGGCAGAGGCTGGCACACCGAGTGAAACAACAGCGAAAGCCTGGCCGGAAGCATTTATCTCTGATTTTGGATCGAGGCAGTGGATGACATACCGATCAAACTTCACACCGATACCACGAGCAAAATCACCAGAAGCGACATCATCCATGACACTAAGTGTACGGCTTCGGAGTCAGCTCATGGACTCCGGCTTCACATCTGATACCGGGTGGGGCTGCATGATTAGATCCGGGCAAAGCCTCCTGGCGAACACCTTCGCGATACTATTGTTAGGGAGAGGTGAGCGATAAATCCTGACACGAACGTGAATCCCCGAGCTTACATGTATATCCCAGACTGGCGCAGGGGAGACAGACCAGAGGAGGAGTCGAAGCTGATTTCAATGTTCGCTGATCATCCAGATGCCCGATTCTCAATACATCGATTCGTGAACTGCGGTGCAGAGTCATGCGGGAAATACCCCGGGGAGTGGTTTGGACCGTCGGCAACGGCCAGATGTATACAGTGAGTGATACAACAAAGTATATCACTCGATACTGAGAGCAGACAGGTTGCTTTCAACCCAATGTGAATCACCCAAGCTTAGGATCTACGTGACCAACGACACATCAGACGTGTATGAAGATAAATTTACACAAGTTGCGCGAGACCAGACTGGCCGCATACAGCCAACACTTATCCTCCTAGGAATCAGACTGGGAATTGATCATATTACACCGGTGTATTGGGGCGGACTGCAAGCTGCACTGCAATACCCCCAATCAGTTGGTGTAGCAGGGTAAGTCCAAATGCCATTATCTAGTTACACGCACCTGCTAACACCCAATGATCATTCAGCGGGCGCCCTTCCTCATCCCACTACTTTGTAGGAGCTCAAGACTCTCACCTCTTCTTCCTCGATCCCCACTCTACTCGACTCGCAACGCCATATCGACCCAATGAACTCTACACCCCAGAAGAACTGGATAGTTACTACACCACCCGACTTCGGAGAATCCACATCAAAGACATGGACCCCAGCATGCTGATTGGATTTCTGATCAAGGATGAGGATGACTGGGCCGACTGGAAGAAACAGATTGAATCTACAGCTGGGCGGCAGATTGTACACATCTTCCCCGGACATGCACAGCCAGACCATGGCCATGGCCGTGCAGAGGCACTTGATGAAGTGGAAGTGTTGGATGACTCGGATGCACTGGAATGAACTGGAAATCACCTATCATATTGAATATCAGTCTGGTAACTTGAAGCTGTTATAGCTATACAAGTCATCTCGCTCATACAGAATTAGCTGAAAAAGATAGAATCATGATGCAATGCAATCACGCATTTGGAATTTCGCGTTCTAGTAGGGGAGGTCAATCCGTGCCTGCCCCAGACCCGAGTTATGTTACACCGCATTCACGTATCGGTAACCATCAAAGAAAATCGCCCATCGGGGAAAAGAAAATTCAAGCCATCCCATGACGCATTAGAAACCCGCAAAACACCCATAACCGACCGCCTCAGAGCCCATAACAGATCAAGAGGCAGTAAAAACAAAGCAAGCTCAAAAGAAAACGTAAGGAAGCCACTTATTTGGCGGAGGAAGAGTACTTGGTAACGGCCTTGGTACCCTCAGAGACGGCGTGCTTGGCAAGCTCACCGGGGAGGATGAGGCGCACGGAGGTCTGGATCTCTCGGGAAGAGATGGTGGACTTCTTGTTGTAAGCAGCCAGCTTGGAGGCCTCGGTAGCGACACGCTCGAAGATGTCTGGGATTTAAAGTCAGAATCAAAACCGACGAGACGCGTCAGACGCGACTTTTGGAGAGCAAAACATACCGTTGACGAAGGAGTTCAGGATGGACATGGCACGGGTGGAGATACCAGTGTCGGGGTGGACCTGCTTGAGGACTAGAATGGAGTCAATATAAATGCGCCCAAAAAAATCGGAAAATAATATAAATAGAAGAAATCACTCACCCTTGTAGATGTAAGAAGAGTAGGTCTCCTTGCGGGTCTTGCCGCGCTTCTTCTTCTCGCCGGAGGCAGCGGTGGCAGTCTTCTTGCCAGCCTCCTTCTTCTCAGCGGGGGCCTTGCCGCCAACGGGGGCCTTGCCACCGGTGGAGGGCTTCTTCTCAGCAGCCTTAGGAGCCATTTCGAATGTAGTTTTGAAAGGGTGGGTAAAACACGGAAGTGTAAAGGATTAAAGTGAGATGAAGGAAGCGTGTGGGATGGGAAGCACTGATGGAATGGGGGAGGAAAAGTAAGTGAGACGCGGTGACGAGGGGAGGCGCGGTCTTTATACTCGTGCACCAACAGGCAGTTGATCCTGGGGGACGCAAAGGAGGCCGAATTTCAATACAGTAACAAGGTGGTATGATTTGTATGATTAAAGGGGAATTGACGCGTCTTAAGGCGGGGAAAGTGGGCCAGATTCACATCAGACAGAGTGTATGGTATGGTAACCCATCTTCGTTACCACACCTTACCCGAATGGGAATGTCTGATCTGACTGATCATTGGCTGCGCGCTTTAAGCGAGTGCGTGATCTGGAGGCCTCTTGATGCCGCCCAACGTCACCCTCACCGCGTCCTTATAAAGGTCCTCCGTTTCCACACGCTCTCCCACCTGCTCTTGCGACTTTCCACTGTAACTCACTCATCAATCTTCGACACTTTACAACCATTTCTCCCCAAACCCCCTTTTCAAAAACCCATCTATCAAAATGACTGGCGGAAAGTCCGGCGGCAAGGCTAGCGGCAGCAAGAACGCGCAGTCGTAAGTTTATCTACGCGTTTTTCCCGCCAACTTCATTTACTGACATGTTCATTGAAGCCGTTCCTCCAAGGCTGGTCTGGCCTTCCCCGTTGGCCGTGTCCACCGTCTTCTTCGCAAGGGCAACTACGCTCAGCGTGTCGGTGCCGGTGCTCCCGTCTACCTCGCTGCCGTCCTCGAGTATCTCGCTGCTGAAATCCTTGAGTTGGCTGGTAACGCCGCCCGTGACAACAAGAAGACCCGTATCATCCCCCGTCACCTCCAGCTCGCCATCCGTAACGATGAGGAGTTGAACAAGCTTCTGGGTCACGTCACCATCGCCCAGGGTGGTGTTCTGCCCAACATCCACCAGAGTACGTTACCCCGCACTTATGTATCCTTTCAGTTGCTAATCTCATTCTTAGACCTTCTTCCCAAGAAGACCCCCAAGGCTGGCAAGGGTAGCCAGGAGCTGTAGAGCGGCGTCTGTTGTTTTCGCGGGTTCTTTGTTTTCTTTTCCGGCGCGGATTGGTTCTTTGACACGATAATGGGGTTATGGGACGGGCACGTTATGGCTCTGCGTTTTCTATTTTTTTCATCAATTTCCTGGTTGTACATTATGTCTACGGACATGGAATGATACCGACGACCTTAGCTCGTTTGAGGGATTTCAATTTTCGGATACTAGCCCCAGGGACAGACCCAAATCAATGAAAAGACTCTAGGTCCTTCAAGTGTTGACTTTGTGTTTTCTCCCCTCTTGCATTGTTTTCCTGTAGCTCCTACAGTCTGTCATCATGACGCGCAGACTTGTATGCATAAATTTGCATCCGTGGCGTTATATGTAAATGACAACCGCTTTCATTAAACAATTGGCAAAAACAGAGGCCAAAGTAGGATGGACGCAAGCAATCTGTACAAAGGTACCCTCGCTCTGAGGCTTTCGTACAAACTAATACCTCATAGCATTGTGTACATATTGATGACCCTGGTAGATTCGAATACTCTATTTTCATGCCTTATTGTACACCAAGTATATCAACTGATTATCAGTATTGATTCGAGAATCTATTTGCATGAATTACGCGTAGTTCATGGTCTCGATAAAACCCCTAGCCTTCCAACGGATATCGTATTTCGCACTTTCGCACTCCATTAGTGAGCACCTGGGGGTTGCGCATCTGCATTTGTAACCGTATTAGTGTTCGATTCAAATTTCTGTTTGCCAGAGACGAGGGATTGACGTACAGGGCAGGATTCGAGCGGGCAGGTTGCGTTCCCATTTGTTTCCGCCGGGCGCAGTGGGTGCCCGGTAAGGATCCGGGTGCTTCCAGTTCTCCAAGAGCTTCTCCGTTTCGCGCAACAAAACCTGATCGATTGTGTCAAAGATGGCGCTGTGAGAAAGAGATTGGGTCCCATACCTGCTGTTGGCGGGGATCACGGACGTCCTTGTTCGCTTCGAAAAGGGATCGGATATAGACTGCTTGTCCGCGCCACACCTGTCGGTGGACAGCCCAGTCGAGGGCCAACTTCAAGGACCGCCTGTAGAGCGACCTGTAGCATGTCAGTAGCTTTCTCTTAGTTAAGACGGGATGGATACCCACTGGACAGCGGAGGTGGACATGGTGAGATCTCAAGTCTTGTTCCGGGCCCAATTCCGGCCAGAAGAAAGTATTAGCGAGAGAAGATGGTTGTAATAGTCAGATCTGACAATAATTGCAGACACAGTAGTTCAGGGTTTCCAATGGAGGAGAGTGGGACAGTCGTTGAGGTTGACTATTCTGGGCTTCCTAATTCGTTCATGAAATGCCGCAGTGGTCTATATGGGCCACCGTAGTTTGCTAGGAATAGACCTCTGCCGAAAGGGAGCCCGGTTTTACGTTACCCGATCTAATCCGAGCTTGACCTTCACTTCAACTTCTTTCCTGAGAAGCCTCTTTTCTCACTCCCGGTTGATCTCTCCCCGGCTATTGTTTGTTTGGTTTTTTTTTCTCTAACATGGCTTCTCGGATTTCTCTTGCGCGCCTTTCGGGCCTGTCGGCTGTGGCCAGGACTACACCTCGGGCATATACTCAGTTCCGCAACCTCAAGGGGTTGTCCACCCTGACGCGCACAAAGGTGTCACCTCGTTCGGCCTCTGGTCTACTCCAGGTTTCTTCCGGGTAAGTAGATGTGCCTACATCATGTCTGGTGAGAGCATGTTTAGCTCATCAAATTAAACAGCATCAATGCCTCGCTCAACATGGCTCCTCTGGGAGGCCACCAGCTCCGAACCTATGGTAAGGCTGATCTTGTCGCAACTCTGTCAAAAATTTCTGACCAATGCTTGTTATAGCCGACTCCATCGTCAAGGTTCCCCAGATGGCCGAATCGATTACAGAGGGTACCCTGAAGCAGTTCTCAAAACGTATGAAGCTTGCCCTTGAAACCAGTCATTGTTCATCAGTACTCACTATAATATAGAGGTTGGTGATTACGTCGAGCGTGATGAGGAAATCGCGACTATCGAAACAGACAAGGTACGTCGACACTGGGAGAATTGACAGGCATTAAGTTTCGCTGACGTGGATACCTTTTCTTGCTGTGATCAGATTGATGTCTCGGTCAATGCCCCGGAGTCTGGTACCATCAAAGAACTTCTCGTGAGCGAGGAAGACACTGTCACCGTTGGACAGGATCTCATCAAGCTGGAGCTCGGTGGTGCCCCCGAGGGAAAGAAGGACGAGGGTGCCGAAAAGCCCAAGGAGTCTGAGTCTAAGGAGTCCTCTCCTGCTCCCGCTGAGGCTGAAAAGCCCAAGGAGACCCAGGCTGAAAAGCCTGCCCCTCCTCCATCAGAGAAGCCCAAGGAGGCCCCCGCAAAGAAGGAGTCACCTAAGCCGCAGGACGTCGCTGAGTCCAAGCCTGCGCTTGGCAGCCGCGAGGAACGCCGGGTATGTTTCGCCTTGATTTGCTAGACTGCGTTCACCGACATTGCTAACATGGTTTCTTCCATCTGTTCAGGTTAAGATGAACCGTATGCGTCTGAGGATCGCTGAGCGCCTGAAGCAGTCTCAGAACACTGCTGCTTCTCTCACCACCTTCAACGAGGTCGATATGTCGTCTCTGATGGAGTTCCGGAAGCTGTACAAGGACGATGTGCTCAAGAAGACCGGTGTGAAGCTAGGCTTCATGAGCGCCTTCTCCCGTGCTTGCGTCCTAGCCATGAAGGACATTCCCGCTGTCAATGCCTCGATTGAGGGCCCCAACGGCGGCGACACCATTGTCTACCGTGACTACGTTGACATCAGCGTTGCCGTCGCAACTGAGAAGGGCCTTGTGACCCCTGTTGTCCGCAACACTGAGGGAAAGGACCTCGTTGGAATCGAAGAGGCCATTGCCGAGCTTGGCAAGAAGGTAAGTCCTCCAGGGTTGGCATTCTTTATATTTTTGCTGATGGGTGAGCAAATTACAGGCTCGCGATAACAAGTTGACTATTGAGGACATGGCCGGTGGTACCTTCACCATCAGCAATGTACGTTTCCGTTCACGGTGGTCTATGTCCGGACACAGCTAACTTGAATAGGGTGGTGTCTTCGGTTCGCTGATGGGTACACCCATTATTAACCTGCCCCAGACTGGTAAGCTTCGCTATCGTCTTGTATGTCTCTCGTGTCTAACACTCTCTTTGCAGCCGTCTTGGGTCTTCACGCTATTAAGGACAAGCCTGTCGCCATCAACGGCAAGGTTGAAATCCGCCCGGTATGTGTGACCCTGGTATCTCACCTTTTCAAGGATCTATCTAACTAGCATTCTCTGGCAGATGATGTACCTCGCTCTCACCTACGATCATCGTCTTCTGGATGGTCGTGAGGCCGTTACTTTCCTGGTCAAGGTGGGTCACTCCCATTCTCTAATCTTCAAATCTGGTCAAAACACTAACTTTGTTACAGGTCAAGGAGTATATTGAGGACCCCCGGCGCATGCTGCTTGGCTAGATGATATTCACTACTAACATTGCCCTTGCTGCCCTGCGTGTTTTCGTGTCTAGAGCGGCCTCTTGCGCCCTTTTGTAAATTATTCGGTTTCCAAGATATAAATGCCATGTTAAAGACATGCCTTCTAGCAGGCTTAGTCCGGGTGTTATTCTTACTCGTCGTTCAATAGATACAATGTCTTCTACGGAGTGTCGACTCCTCGATTTGACCTATTGGCCGTCAGGCCAAGGAGCGAAGGAAATAAAATAACGTTAAAGCAATTAAACATGTAAGGTAGCTATTTGTGCGGATTCCCCTGACTTTTTTTGCCCTTTCGGGACTGCTGAGCTTTTGCCTTAGGGTACAGTATGCCATGCACTGGTTCTCCCATACACTCGCATCTCGACTCGTTTCCATCAGACATGATATGCTTCAGAATCGGCAAGCTTCAATCACCCGCTGTGTTTCTTCGCGGGTCAACCCGATCAGCTGACCCTGCTCCAGTTGTACAAGGAGAGGTGCATCCAAGACCTCCATGAGATCCTCGACGAACCCAGTAAAACGGTCGTGCAGTAGCTGGACGTCAAAAATCCGATCTAGCTCTTCTCGGCTTGCTGGGGCAGCGGTTCCATATGGGGGTGGAATATGCTCGAGAAACATTCCACAACTGACCTCCCAGTAGGCGTTCAGCTCGTCGTCGTCGGTTGTCCAGGAACAAAGCCTGCGGAGAGGCTCCGGGAAGCGGTCCTTTTCCTCCAAAATCGCATGCGCCATGATATGGGCACCGAGATCAAACCAGCGCGTCCTGGAGACATGTTCAATCGAGGCATAGCAGAATTGCATAAATTCAACCGCGATGTGGGACAAAGGCGTGAAATTGAGGAGATGGCGGCAATCACTAGGGGGCGTGTAGCGGCAATACGAATTGACGATATGGAAGATCTGCAGTTTGAGGTCGAGATCCGAGGGGAGGGCATATTCGAGTTGGTGGCCCTCGATTATGGAGTGGAACGCTGGAGAAGTCAGTACATTGGATGACACAAAAAGTCTTTCTGTGGACTGACTCTCAACGGATTGCACGAGCCATTCCACATCTGAGAACATGTGGGAATTTCCGACCACGGCAAGAAGTCGGCTAACGGCCAGACAGACGAGGTAGTCCAATATCATCAGATCTACCTCCGCACGGATATTGGGGGTTCGTTCAGCCATTTTGATGAAGCAGGGAAAAAGTGTCAGTGATACAGGTTCGTCGCACTGGAGGAACCCATGTTTGCCATAGGATAGGGGTGTTGTTCCCACGGCGATTGTTTGTGATTGTAGGATCAACAACACCAGAGCGATCTGATAGAGAGCTTGGTCTTACTAATCATAGCACCCCACCTCTCCAGGGCTAACAGTTCCAAGCTTGTCAGATACAGTGGCATTCGGATATTCTGACTTGATCAGTGTAAGAGATTTGATGATCTACCGCTAAATTCATTGTGAAGTACTGGAGGTCTACAGCAGTCACGTGTATGTGTGTCGTCATTGCCGTAGATGTGATAATCCATGGATTATATATATATGCATCACATCCTTGGTCCACCACATCCTTTTGATGAATGCTTAGTGTACTCAGCAAAAAGGCCCTGGCACTGGGAATCAGGTGCAAAACTACGACCAACATGGCATGGTACTGTTCCGGTTCCACCAACACCGAGCTGATTGAGAACCTATTCAAGGCCGATTTAGTTCAGAATGAGCGTGTGAAAGAAGCCATGATGGGAGTAAGCAGATTCCTCATCTCCTCGAGCATTCTCTGACCGATCAAGGTTGACCGAGCTCACTATGCTCCATCTCGGCCATACTCGGACTCGCCCCAACCCATTGGACATGGAGCTACCATCTCAGCACCCCACATGCATGGTCATGCATGCGAGTATCTCATTGATTATCTTAAGCCTGGCGCTCGAGTGCTGGACATTGGATCTGGCTCAGGATATTTGACCCATGTTTTTGCCAACCTGGTGACCGACTCATCCGGCAATGGAGCCCAGGGACAGGTCATTGGAATCGATCACATCCCTGAGCTGACAGACCTAGCCCGCGACAATATGAACAAGTCCGACGAAGGCCGCAAGCTGCAGGCCTCCAGCAAGGTCGAGTTTTTCACCGCCGACGGACGTCTCGGGTGGAAAGATGGTGCACCATACGACGCAATCCACGTCGGAGCCGCGGCTGAGAAGCTTCATCCGACCCTAGTGGACCAGCTACGTGCCCCCGGGCGACTGTTCATTCCCGTGGAGTCAGAGCATGATGGAAGCATCCGGGAAAGTCTGACCCGCGGCCAATATATCTGGGTGGTAGATAAACAGGAGGACGGATCCGTTCACAAACAAAAGGTTTTTCAAGTCAGCTACGTGCCCTTGACGAATGCTCCAGCACGGTGAAGAGACCATTGGGCTACGGATTGTGACCACATTCGGGGTTGGGTGGACTGTTTTTTCTTGCTCGTACCATTATTCCTGCAGTTTCTACAGAATGCTGGGCCCATGGCCCTTTCCCACCAATCACCCGTCGAGGGATTGCTTGCTCGCAGACAACAGATGATAATAACAAAGTATTTCATTGTAACACTCATGTTCTCATAGTGACGCCGATCCCCATACATGAGGGTGTCCAAAGTCACTAGGTGGGGAACTCCCTCACACGCCATGTTCTACACAGAAGAGAAAGAAATGGAAAAGTAAAAAAATTGTCAAAGACTACTAGCGGAATCCGCCCGGGAAGTTGAATCCTTGACCGCCAAATTTGAATTGCGGTCCACCTTGTTGGAAGAAGAATTGTTGACCACCACCGTGACCGAATGGATGGCCTTGTCCCTGGAACGGATTTCCACGCTGCGATTCAGGGTCATTGGGGTCGTCACCGTTGTCGAATCTTGTCCGGAGTTCTGAATCAGATAGAACCTCATAAGCTTCGTTGATGGATGCCATCTTCTTCTCTGCTTCTTCCTTACTCACGCCCTGGGCGTGGGCCTTGTCTGGGTGGTGTTGCTTAGTGAGTTTGCGATAGGCTCGCTTGATTGTTCGGTCGTCCGCATCCCGACTGACACCCAGGACCTTGTAATAATCCTTTTGCTTCGAGCGCTTCAGGAGGGTGTGAGCCTTCTGATGGAGAGATTGAACCTCCTGAGAGCTGGGATGGTGTTCCTTAGCCGAGTCAAGTATGCGTATAGCATCTTCAAACCGGTCTTCGTCTAACGCGGTCTGGGCCTTATACAGGAGACCGTGGAGTGAGTGAGGAACAAGTTCTAGAGATTCTGAACAATAAGGGCCAGCCTTTTTAAGCATTCGCATCTGATATAGATGTTAGTTAACCAGTCCAAAAAAGACATTTCTGTGAAACATACCTCACGGTAAGCCTCGCAGGTTTTCTCGACGAGGAACACATAAAGATTGTTGGGCGCCAGACGGTGAATATGGCCAGCCTCCTTTGCCTCCTCAACGTCTGTCTTGGTGTCTGTAATCAATCCACTGGATTCGGCATCCCCGACCATGAGGTTGACTGCATTACTGAACTTGCGCGCCTCCAGGACGGTATGCAATTTCTCCAACCGCTTGACAAGCTTCCGTTCACGTTTATAGAGGCGATTGCAGGCCTTCGAGTCGGGATCAGCATGAAGACATTTGCGGATCTGAGCGAGGCCACGGTCACTGTCCCCTAAAGAGTAGAATAGCATCGATGACATCTGCAAGTGAGAGTCGATCAAGCTAGGTGAGATTTGCAATACATGCGCCAGGTCGCTGATACCTTCTTCTATCTCGCCTCGTTCAAAATGGCAATGGGCTCGCGCCTGCCGTAAAGATAATGCTGTGTTTGCCTTTAGAATGGCCACATTTGCCTCAGAGATGCAGCTCTCCCAGGCGCCTTGCTTTTCGGCACTGAGAGCCAACGTTGCCGCATTACGTGCAGCTTCCAACTCCTCGTAATCGGTGGATGATTTCTTTCCGGCCCGTTCGAGGTCCTGCAGAGCTTCTGCCCAGTGCGCGGATCGTGCCTTGAGGCGGGATCGTTGTAGGAGAGCGCCCTCGAAGTCAGGCTTGAGCTCCAGAACCCGATCAAAGTCGCTCGATGCCTGAGAGTTCTTTCCAATTGATAGATATGCTGCTCCACGTTGGAAGAGTGTGATGTAGTTGGAAGGGTCCCGCGAGACTGCGGCGTCGAAGTATGCTACGGCGTCTCGAGGCGAACCTTGTGCAAGGTGGGCTTTTGCAGAAGAAAGCAATTCGGATAGAGGCGTGTCCGGCGCAATCTGAAGAGAATATCCGGTGGAAAAACACGCCAGGAAGGTTGTGAGCAATTCCAAAGAAACGAGCATCTTGGAGTATGCGGCGCAGTACCGGAGGTGTATGAAATGGGGTAAAATCGGAATAGAATTTGTGATTAATCAGTCTCACTAGGAGCACAAGAAGAAGGTCATAGTCCGGAAGCCAGAATCAGAATGGGCTAATACGAAGAGGACACTGGAGGAAGTTGGAGAGCATGTCGCATACTCGAATCCGTGGCCTTTACAAGGTAATGTTCCGTTACCGTCATGTGACATGCATTGTTTCAATTCCAAACCCTCCGAACTTCATCTGTCAATTGGCATCCATTCCTTCAAAGTATGCTCGGCTTTCAGTCGATATGCCGCCGATGTCTCCTGCGACCAGCTAGGCTTGGTTCGACACTGTCGTCTTCGCGCGCGATCAACACCAGTACTTGGCCCCCATGTGCTATCTCGATTCAATACAGCTAATGCGTGCCAAAGCTTCGGAATTTGCCCTGTCACCCGCTCTCTTGACCAGAGCTCGCCTACTCACAGCTGAGCATACAAAACTTGCTGACCGATTGGGCGAGTCCTTCGACGCCAAAACTGCCAAGCGAGCTGGGGAGCTGGCACCGATTGCCAATGTCCTAAAAGAATGGGTCGATGCCAATGATGTATGTGCTGCCAACCAACCAAGCATCTGAACATATCTCTAATGCACATTTTCTAAAGTCCATAAGTGAGCTTATGTCGCTGCTGGATGATCCCAGCACGGATGCAGAGCTACGGTCACTGGCCACTGAAGACCTCGAAAGCAGTCACAATGTCCTCCCCGCAATTTCAGACCGGCTGAAAAAGTCATTGATTCCTCGGCATCCATTTGCGGATCTCCCATGTCTGCTTGAAATCCGTCCAGGCGCGGGCGGCGACGAGGCGGGCTTGTTTGCATACGAGATGTTACGGATGTACATCGCTTTTTGCACTCGAAGGGGCCTCCGCCCAACCATTTTGAAGCAGGAAACGGAGGTTGGTCCATCAGAAGACCGTTTAAGCGAAGCGGTGATAGAAATTGAAGCCGATGGAGCATATGATCTTCTGCGAACAGAGTCGGGGGTCCATAGGGTCCAAAGAGTGCCTGCAACAGAGACAAAGGGTCGTACTCACACCAGCGCTGTCAGTGTGATGGTATTGCCAAGTTTCCCAGAAAATGGCACTGAGATGGACAGTGCTTTGAACTTTGAAGATCCAACCAGCGACTACTATATTGACCCCCAAGAAGTTCGGATAGAAAAGATGAGAGCAGGCGGTGCTGGCGGGCAGCATGTGAACAAAACGGAGTCCGCAATCCGGCTAACTCATATACCCACGAATACCGTGGTCTCCATGCAGGATGAACGGTCCCAACAGGCCAACCGGAGAAAAGCATGGCAGGTTCTTCGAGCAAAGCTGGCTGAAGCCAGACAAGAAGCCCGAGAGCAGGAACTTGTGCAACTCCGACGAGGCATTCTCGGCGGAGTGGCCAAAATGGGCCGAGGCGATAAGATCAGAACCTATAATTTCGGCCAAAGTCGTTGCACTGACCACCGCACTGGCATCACGATCCATAACCTGGATGGTGTCCTCAATGGTGGCGATGGGCTGGATACAGTGATGGAAAGTGTGCGCACCTGGATGGCTGATCGCGAGGTCGAGGCCATGGTGGCCGAGGAACTGGCCAAAGAACAAAAGTAGGCGCCTAAAAGTGTCGACTTCGCTTTTTTATTGTACACTAAAATAAAGAGATACCATGTATGATATAGCAGACAAGCAAGGAAACAGTCTATTGAACAAGAACAATCTAAAGGTATTTGCGCTCTGGGTCTGCAATATCCAGTAGATCCATAGCCTTCTCGTACCTGTCCAGCAGTTAGCCATAATCCTCAACTTTGGGTATGAAAACTGACATGGTGAATACAATTCCTCCACTCATGATCAATCTGGCAAGTCGTGGGACAGCTCCTGACCAGAAAGTCAAGACACCCTCATCCTTGAAGATTCTTGCTGCGCATACAAAGCTGTTCTTGTAGTTCTTGCTGGCCTCAAGAGATTGCATTCTGACGGGAAGATTAGTAAATACCAAGGGCCAGTTGTCATTTGGGTTACCGACCGTGTCTTCACCGTGTCCAAGGGTTGTGTCACATAGCTGTATGCATGTCAGAGTCAAGTATCTTCCTGTTCAAGTTCAAAAGGACCTACACAGTGATCAATCCCGCAATTCCTCCAATGGCAAATGTACTGGCAGTACCCAGCTTCTCGCCCGGCGCCACATAACCCTCTGCAAGCTGCTTCAGTGTCGTGTAAGCCGTGAACCGGGTAGCTGAGTTAGCAGCCTGTCTTGCTGTGGTGGGGACGAAGCCCTGGAAGAAGCCTCGAACACCTCTCTCTTGGAAGATGATCTTGCTGCCGTGTAAGAAACCACGCATCCGAGGGTTGCCAGACTTGCGGTCATCAATCCTATAAGCCATGTGTGGTTAAAACCGAGAACATTGCCAAAGAGAAATATGGAGGTAGCTGACAGTTGAGTTTTGATACTCTCAAACGGGGTAACGGCAAGAAGAGACTCGGTGAATCCAGCACCAAAGCCAGCTACGACCGTCCTTGGCCCTGAAATCTTGCCATTCTCATCCTGGAGAACAGATTTTATGGCGTCAAAAGCGACGAATCCTATTGTGTAATTCGTTCATCAGTCTATGTGCCAACGGCGCATCGATTGCGGAAGGGGAGGCGCACGAATGCCCGCCTTAAGCGAGTTTCCGATGATCAGTGTTGTACATCCTGCGTACCACTGGCTTCCGAATGGCGGCCACGGGAGCTTCTTGCCGTGGGCAAGTTGGCGATTGAGTTGCGTCCGGGTCTTTGCGACTAGTGAAGAGCTTTAGCAAGGGAATGTTGGAAAGCTATAGAATGGCATACATTCAGCAGGATAAGTGATTGCTGAAGGGCACAATAGTTAGCGGACGACTTAGACTTGGGGGATCATTGAGCTCTTTACCGATCTCCACGGCTCCAGCAGTGGACCCCGCAAGGATGGAGCGGAGGGCGCTGGGCTGTCCATTGGTGAGTTTCAGGGATCCAACAATAATGCAACCGGAGAGCAAACCTTGGCCTTCTGGTCTTTATTCGCCGTTGCCGTTGCCATTTTGACTGGATGCTGGGTAGATCGGAGAACTGGATTTGTTGGACCTCGGAGTAATGATATACGGCCCCCCTCACGTGCCCCCTGCGCACTTCTACACTACAAATGGTTACTGGGCATCAAATTAGAGGGATTTTGTCAATTCACTATTCGCGTCATCTAGCTAGATCAGTTCAGCGAACAGTGCTCCTCCAAAGTTTTTTTTTTTCGTTTTTGTGGTTTTTTTTGTGGTTGTTTTTGCGAGATATCAGGGACGTGAGGTGAGGGCTGCGTCAATCCTAGGTTCGGACATCAACTCAATTCTCTCGAAACCCTCTCGTCACAATGTGTTATCTGTGGAACCACAGCGCCATGGATAGTGACTTTCGGGTATAGCTGTTGGGGATAAGAGCTTGGCGACAAGAGACAAAGGTGGGATGGTAAATGTGGATAAAAGGACCCAGTCGGTGGCTAGACAAGGATGAGTGCCAACAAGGCAATAGGCCATGGAGACCTTCAACGTAAAAAGGTGAAATCATCACACATTGGGAGCGTGGCAAACAGAAAGAGACCGACTGAGGGAAAAGTCGCATGAGATCGATGTAGAGAAACCGCTTCTCTGAATCCTGTGGAACGCCACAGAATCAACCAATAGATCCAAAACATGAACGCCATTTGCCCTGCAAGTCTGCGAAAACAAACAATCACGTTGGGCATATGTACACCCCTTCATGGAACGAAGCAAGAGCGAAAAGCATGGACGACGCCGGAAATGCACGAGAGTTTCATACCAAAGTTCCAATCCGACTCATGGCGAGGTCAGTGAATCAGATGGAATCATGAACAACAGAAGAAGAAACATATGATACACGCGTCGCATCAGAACCGTATCATTATGACCAGATAAGAAACTCAAATGCCGGAATAGTTCAGCAAAACCTCCGCAAAGATAGAAAGGGATAAAAGGAGGAAGAAAAAGCGAAGAAGAGAAATATTGATACTGTAAGAACAAAGTGTTGAAACGGGAATGACAGCGCACCGATAGAAAAACGAGGAGGGGAAAGTGGCTCAATCGCTGCGAGCCCGAAGTGTCAAAAATAAGAGCATAGAGTCAAGATTACCCAAGGATTTTACACCGTGGCAGATCCTTAGGAAATTGGCGCTTGAGTTTGACCGCCCATTTGACCTTGACCAAAAGTCATTCTGTTGGGATCGCTGTTGTGTTGCCCACGGCGCTGACCTTGGCCACGGCCGCCACGATAAGAGCCTCGTCCTCGGTTGTTGTTGTTGTTGTAGAATTGCCCGTTGTTCGGGTGGTTGTTTTGGCGGCGGGGCTGACGGTCTCCGTTGGCCATGTTCACAGATCCAGCTCCGGTCTGAGGCGGGGGGTTGGAGATTGGGCGAGGAATGTTCTCAGGGGAGTCGTACACGTAGAGCTTCTTGTCGATGTTCTGAGGGATAGGCTGAATCTCTGTGCCTAGTTCTTGTTCGATCTTGTACAGATTGAACCGATCTTCCCAGTTAATGAGGTTGATGGCAAGACCCAAGTGTCCGAAACGGCCCGAACGACCAATACGGTGGAGGTAGGTTTCAGCGTTCTTTGGGAAGTCGAAGTTGATGACAACGTTGACTGCCTGAATATCGATACCGCGAGTCAACAAGTCAGAGCAAACCAAATTGCGACACACGCCATTTCTGAAATCGTGGAACACTCGGTTGCGGTGCTGCTGAAGCATCCGAGCATGGGAGTAAAAGCATGAGTAACCAAGCTCAGTAATCTTCTTCGCAAGCAATTCAACCCGGTTGGTCGAGTTGCAGAAGATAATGGACTGGTTGATCTGGAGTTTGGAGAAAAGAGTGTTCAGGCAATGAACCTTTTGTTTCTCCTCAACAAATGCGTAGTACTGAGTGATACCGCGCAGAGTGAGTTCGTCCATGAGATTGATCTCGTATGGGTTGCGCATGTGCTTGTCCTGCGGAAGATTAGTGGTTGAGTCAATGAAAAATAAGTGTCGTGAAAAATTACCTTGAATGATTTGACAATGAGGGGGAAAGTGGCACTGAAGAGCATGGCCTGACGGTCTTTCGGGTGGAACGACAAGAGTTGCTCAATGACGGGGGTGAACTCAGGAGACAACAATTTGTCGGCCTCATCCATCACAAAGGTCGGGCATTCGGACAAGTCGGCGACGCCCTTGCTGGCCAAGTCCAGTACCCGTCCGGGGGTTCCCACGAGAATATGAACTGCATCATTCAATCGGATAATATCATCCATCAAGCCAGTTCCACCGGTGGTGACCATGACGTTGATGCCGAGGTGCTTTCCAAGGGTCTTGCAGACCTGTGATGTCTGAAGGGCGAGCTCTCGTGTGGGAACCAGGATCAAAGCTTGGGTCTTGGTGCTTTTAGGATTGATGCGCTCCAGGGTGGGGATAACGAAAGCAGCGGTCTTTCCGGTACCGTTTTTGGCCCGTGCCAATATGTCTCTTCCCGTGAGGGCAACGGGTATCGTCTCTTCTTGAATAGGAGAGGGCTTTTCAAATCCAGCCTCAAAGATCCCCATCATGAGCTCGCGCTTGATATAGAAATCTTCAAATTCGAGGCCTTTTGTGGCGGTGACATCCTTTTTCCCCCAGTTAGTCTCATGTTCACACCGTAAAAATCACTTGAGACGAACCTCAGTTTGTGGTCTGGCATCTTTCGGGGGGAGATTCAATGTGTCCTGTAGCCTCTGCTCGGTAGGAACTTCGCTACATAGCCCATCTTGTTAAAGTTTGTTTTGGTATTAATAAAACATGACCGGCTTACCCTAGCTTGGTATTGCCGAGTTGTGCAGCAAGTGCGTCGGCCATTGTGATGTGAGTGTGAGGGAGGGTGAGAAGTTCCGGGAGGATAAAATTTTTCGATCAAGTGAACAAATTGAGGTTTAAGATCGAGGCAAGTGTGTAGATATTGTCAGAGTCAGAGTCGGGTGTGTTGCAAGAGTGGAATAGGCAGTCAAGTGCGGTGCTTGATTGGTGGAGGGTGATCAAAGGTATGGTCGGAAGTGCGGAGGTTGTGTATGTCAATGACGGGAATCAAAAAATTTCCCGGGAGTGCTTTAAGTCTGATTGCGACTGAAAAAGGCCGTGTTGTAAGTGGATGGTAGATTGGATGGTCAATCAACGAAGCCTTTTGTGTGAAGCTGAAGGCTTTCTAGATATCGCAGTGAAGGGGGATCACTAATAGAAGAGTGAGTAAAAGAGACCTGGTGTATTCGCAATGAGGTCTAGGACTAGAGGTTGAGATGGTGATGGCGGGGAGCGAGGAGACTCAGGATGAAGTCGAACGAAGCTAAAACGGTCCCGCCGGTTCTTGAAGATCACGTGCCATGGTCCTGAGTGACACGATCTGTTTACATGAATTGAGTTCAAGCTCCAAGTTTTATTACCTTGAGAATCATGTTGATCATGGTTTTGAATCTCAAAAATAGAACGTATATAAAGGTATACCATATGAGCACCCTTGATTAGTAGAGAACATCGGCTAACATTCAACCCGCCAGGTCTACATAGCAAAGGTTCAAGAAGGAAACGAGACGAATGTCTATATGGGTTGGAAATCCAAATAAATAAGGTATTGCTTTATTCAAGGGTATTTCGCTACAAAAAAAAAGAAGAAATCGAGAGGAAGAGCTGCGACAGAAACCAGGATGATTAGCGTCGGAACGATAGAGTAGTCTGGCCACGTTCTGGCTCTGCCAACTCTTTCACTCTGACATCAGGGGAAATGGTGATATCGGTCTTCGTGCCAGGCGTGATCAAAATGAATTGTCGCCCGATAGACCGTCTGGCGGCAATCATCTGCGCAGAGAATTAGTGTATTGTCCCCACCCTGGAAGTTGCGGACTCACAAGCATGTCAATGGCCATTTTCCGATTGATATGGTCCATGTATACGTCGCTATTGACCGAGGTTAATAAGAGAGCCAAAGGAACATCCGAGTTACAACGTACAATTCATCAAGGCAACGAATAGGGGAGCCCATGGCTTCCCAGAGAGCCAACAAAAGACACACTTGGGAAAATGACTTTTCACCACCGGAGAGTGTCTTCGCACCTCGTCCAGTGCTGTCATCTTTGGTAATATCGGGCTCAACCTGAAAAATGGGTTAGGGCTAGTCAATTTGACTGCTGGACCTCGGAAGATGAGCTATCCTTACTTGTAGATCCAAGCGTTTCTCGCTATGGTCAGCCAAAAGCCGACCACGGAAGCTTCGCTCACTGAGCAGGTAGGTGAATTGAGCTTTGGCTCGAGACGAGATGTGAGACCGGAAGATTTCCCACCGTTTTTTACGGTTACCAAGGGTATCTTTGAAGATCTGTTATAAGATGTTAGGGTGAGAGCATATTCCAGAACCGTAAAAAGGATAATGGATACCTGAGCCAACGTGGAGAGTTCTTGGAACTGTTTGGTAGCTCGTACATAGGCTGCCTCAGTTCTTCCTGCTTCAGCAGCAATTTCTTCCCGAGAAGCGCCCAACCTAGAATTTTTATTGTTAGATCAGATCACTGCAAAAAAGAGGCAAAAGAAAGGTACATACTCCGAGCTGTAGCGCTCCAGGTCTCGGATCAGCCGATCAAGCTTTCGATCAAGACTCTCTGGGGTTTCTCCTTCATCCACAGAAACTCGAGATGAGACCAAGCTTGCCTTCTCGTTGTATTCGATAATGCGCGCTGCAACCTGCTCTCTTCTGCCGTGAATAGTTGCCTTTTCTTGCTTGTCCTTTTCAATATTGGCGATGGCGGCGTTCTTATCACTGAGAACCTTGCTTTTCTTGGAGTTGACCAACGTGTGCTCGCTTTCGGCAACTCGCAATTTTTGTTGAAGGGTTCCAAGCTCAGAATCCTTGGAGGACAATTCCCGCCTGATTTCCTTCAGTGTCTGCATAATGGTCCCCATGGCCGCCTCGCTGTCTTTGTATGAGCCTTCATTCAGTTGCTTCTCATCTTCTGCTTCCCTCAGAGCAGAATTAAGCGCATCAATGCGTCCGTCTTCTGCATTTTCTTTATCGAGGGCGTCCCTGAGTTCTTCAGCATAGTCTTCCTTGCGTTGCATGGCAATTTGGAGTTCTTTCTCTCTTCTCCCATGTCTCACATATGCCTGTTTGCAGGCATCGACACGCGAGCGAGCCGCAACCATTTCTTGTTGGAGGTCGTTCAGCTGGTGCTTGAGGTCATCAACAACATCACGTTGTAGACTAAAAATAAGATAAACACCGGTTAGTGGCAAGGTCGACTCAAACGTCAAGTCCCCGTCCTTATAAGCTCGTACCTGATTTGTGAAGCCAGGTCTGATTTCATGCGCGGGGGATTGTTGTACATCGACACAGGAGCTTGACTTGGTTCACCAGCTCGGCTGTATGACAGATGTATTCCGCGGCGTCTATCTCTCTCATCGATGGAGTAGCAGCGTTTCACATTCCTTGGGCGTGCACCATCGAATAGTACGGAGGAAGCTTCTTCTAGCCTTTCAATCAACAGCATTTGCTCAATGCCATGGTTAATGATCAGTTGTTTCAGAACTAATTCGTTGTCAATCTAATGAACAGTCAGCAGTGATAACTATCCTCGATTCTAGAATCTCAGCTTACCTCAAGAATTCTCAAAGCAGTATCGAATTGAGGATCTGGTTCATGTGCTGAGGTATCCAGATGGCCACCATTACCAATAAATATCGGAGAATTACTATCATGGGTTGTATTAGCCACTGAGCCTTCGCAAAAATCTTTTGCGATACACAGATATACTTACCAGCCCACTTGTCGCATGATCCTGGACAAGATATTCATGTCTCTATTTGACGTCACAATGAAACTGCCAAGCGTACCGCCGAACGAACTCTCCAGGATGGAGGACCATTTTGGCTGTAGTAGTGTGACGTGGTGACCGATTGGACCGACAGGTCGAGATTCGAAGGATCGTTCTTGCTCAATGGCCTTGAGCAAGTCTGGCATCTTGGGATGAAATCCGGACTGCCTTGCTCCACCGTCCCGGGTGAGTGTTTTCAATCTGTTCTCTGCCTGTTCAAGTTCCATTCTCTTCGCATCAACGGGTCCTTTAGTTGCTTTAAGGTCCTCTTGAGAAGATTCGATGTCTTCTCGTAGACCGTTTGCATCCGAACGATGCTCATTGTATGCTCTTTGAGCGGCAGCAGCGTCGTTAACAGCCTGTTCACACGCCTCTTGCTTTCGGGCATAACCTCCGCCGCTTGCATCGGCGAGACGCTGATTCTCTTCGTGAACCTTTTGCTGTGTTTCCTGGATTCGAGACTCTGCTGCTCTGAGGTATTCCCTGATCTGACGCTGCTCGGCCTGATAAGATAATTAGAAACTAGTTAACTAGAGAAGGCCGGAGACTTTACTTGTAGATCATGTCGTCTGTTCATTTCCGCCTCCAACTTTTCCTTGATCTTTTCCTTTTCGCCTGTAGCTTCTTCCAATGCCGTAGCAGCTCGCCAAGAATGTTCAGCAGCAGTTTCACGCTCTGTCTCGACGGCTTGGAATGCATCATCAAACCTAGCGAGTTCGTATTCCGCGTTAATAATCAGCTCATCTGCCTTCGCAATTTCTTCGGTCAGTGTGGCTTGCATCTGAAGCTTATTAGACAGTAGATCTGGAAATGAGAGTAAATGGCACTGACTCGTTCTTGCTCCTCGACCTGAGCCCAGACCATTTGGCTGCGGAAGTTCCTAATACGAGCTCTCAGGGAATCGTGCTGGTCAGAGATCTGTAGCTTTTTCTTCGCTGCATCTTTGCGGGTTTCAAGTACACGGATATCCTGTGCCGTAGTTTTGAGTTTCTCCTCAATCTGGTCGACAGATTCCTCGATCAACCGATAATCCTGATCAAGCTGTTCGAGCTGCACACCTTTGACGAAGAACTTGTATTTCTCGGCCGGACTTGAGGTGCTGAGAAATTGACGAGCCATGTCCTGAGAGAGCACGTTCATAGGATTGTCGATCTGCAAGGAGAAATAGTCTGTAATGGCGTCCAACTCGGCTTTTTTGGTGGAAACTATGCGCCCATTGTCCGCCTTGATCTTGAATCCACTAGAGCCATTTTTGGAAAAATGACGTTCGACGATGATAGATTTTCCATAATCATCGGACATGTAGGCACCATCACCTTGGTTTTTGATGCGAACAATAATTGTGCCATTCTCTTTGCCCTCTTTGATGAAGTTTTTGAGGCTTTGTCCTCGGTTTGTGGCAGAAGCTTTTCCACCAAGACATAGAGTAATGGCGGTCAAAATAGCACTCTTGCCGCTACCATTCTTTCCCACAATGAAGTTGATCAGAGGGCCCAGTTCCACGTTGAAGTGGTCATGGCACATGAAGTTGTAACACTCGACGCGTTCCAGAATACCATGTTCAGCAGGCACGTTGGCCTCCTCAATGAGATGAGCATATTTATCTTGAATTATCTGTGTTTGGCGGAGTTCTAACTCGTCCTCGTTGTCGAGAAGCGCGTCGTCGTTGACGGCGAGATACGTTTCTCGAGGGGTCTCGTCGTCTTCGGATTCTGACAAGTCAGATGTTCGTGGCCGTTTTCTCTGTTAACGATGTTAATATCTTGTCCACGATCAGAGCTCAAAAATCATACCGTATGAGGAGAACTCATGGTGGACTGATCGGAGACATCGTCGGAGTCGGAAGAGACCTGCGCACGCTTGAGGGACGGCATTTGAAAGGACCGAGGATATCGACAAGCTCAGCAGCTAGCGCATGGCCAAGAGTTAGGGGTCAGTCGAGGGTGGTTGTAGACACATCGAGGCACTGATAGTCGCGTCGCGCAAATCGCGTCAAATGTGGTCCTTACTAAGCAAATTGATAGGCGGGGTTTTTGCAGATAGGACTATAAGTGCGATAAGAGTGCAATATCCATTCCATTATAGTCAGGCGTAGAGCACACGCAGGCAAGATTAAAATTTATAGTACCGTGAAAATTTAGATCAAATTCAGTGTTATTTCATTATTCTGTGGATGATCACCATGTCTGAGCATATTTCTTATCATTATGGTCAGCCGAGACAGCTGGAAGAGCGGATGTCTACCGTATGTCGATGAAAGAAGAACAGTAGTAGTGTTCTATACTGAGGTAGGCTCTTCCGCAACGTAGTGCAGATAGGCTCCCAACAGCTTGGTTCCCTCAATGTAGTTTCTCTTGTCAAGCTTCTCGTTGACGGAGTGAGCGGCATCAGTCGAGCTTCCCATAGGAAGAAGCAGGACATTCTTGCCAGTGGCTTGCTCAAAAGTCAATGTAACGGGAATGCTATTAATGGTTAGAGAAAATGTCAATGTTTGATAGATGGTGAATCTTACCTTCCACCCTCGCGAGTCATATCAGGCTCAACGCCAAAGACCTGCTGGACAGCCTTGCCAGCAGCAGAGAAGTTCCAGTGCTTCGGGCTGGCGACCCACCACTTACCATCATGCTGCAGCCACACATCCAGAGTGTTCTTGCTGTTCAGCTTGGCAAATTCGGCCTTGACGTGGTCAAAGACGAGCTTGTTGACGTCGGCACTCTCCATGTTTGGAACGGTGCGAATCGAGAATTTACCAATGACCTTGGCAGGAATGACTGTCTTGGCACCGGGAGCAGAATAAGCGCCCTCGACACCGTGAATAGACAAAGATGGATATCTCCATCTGGCCATGAGAGTGCGCTCCTTGGTCGGGTGGATGCCAGTCTCACTGCCCAATGACTCGTGGAGGTTATCCATAGTGTAGCTGATGTTTCCATACAGGGTCTTCTCATCCTCAGAAAGAGGAGCGACAAGGTCCATAAGACCCGGGATCAAGATGTTGCCTTGAGCATCAACAAGCTTAGACAGAACGTTGACCAGATCGGTCATGGGCTCGTGGGCGGAGCCGCCAAAGACACCACTATGCAGGTCCTGTGCGGGACCCGACACGCTGACAGAGTAGTAGTTGCAGCCGCGCAGGCCGTAGGTCAAGCAAGGCTTCTCGGTACCGAGCCAGTAGTTATCAGAAATGCAAACAGCATCAGCGTCCTTGAAGAACTTCTTGCTCTCGGCTTGGATGAAGTCATCTAGGCCCTCGGATCCATACTCCTCCATACCCTCAAAGCAGCAGAGCAAGTTGACAGGGAAGTCGATGCCAGCCTTTCGGTGAGCATCAATCACATTGAGCCATCCAAGAACGGGGCCCTTGTCATCTGTGGAACCACGGCCGTACATGCGATCCTTCTCGTCGATGGTCAACTCGAAGGGCTCAGTGGCCCAGCCGTCTTCCTTGAGAGCCGGCTGCACATCGTAGTGTCCGTAAACAAGAATGGTGCGCTTGTTCTTATCGTTACCATATCTCGCAATCACCACTGGGGGAAGCTCGAGGTGCTCCTTGCCGGGCTGCTTGCCCAATGGACGCTGGTGGACCTCGGCTCCGAGAGCTTCAAGCTCATCGGCAAGGAACTGAGCCATCTTTTGCGAACAGCATATCAGAAGAGAGTATTGTACTGGGGGATTGAGCCCTACTTACACGGAAGACATCCTTTCGGTTCTCATCCTGTGCGGAGACGGATGGGATAGCAACCGCCTTTCGCAGACCTTGACAAAAATCAGCTTATGGGGGGGGCATTGCAAAGATTGACAGGTGACAGTCAATGTGACGTACGATCGATGAAGGAGTTAGACGAGTCGTCTACCCTGAAGAAATGTCAGTGTCTGAAGAGGAAGACTAGAGAGCTTGACTTACTGCTTGAAAAAGGGCTCCAGCTGCGGCGCCATTTTGGAATCACTGATGTACCCGTAGTAGAAGCGACGAGAGGGAAGCCTAGGAGAGAAGCGATAGAAAGCGAATTTTGCGAATGGAACGCGACGGAGGGGAAAGAGGGGCATGTCCGTCTCTGCCCTGAAGTAACCGGGGAGAATCCATTGTCTCGAGTGACTTCTTATCACGTAATTTTTTCACCCTATCACAGTCTGGATGATTCAGAGCTAGTTTTGACAGTTCCACTTTGGCCAAGCGAAGCGGTATATTTATATTGATTTTGATGGTTCTGATATAGATATCTCCATATTTATATGTGACTATATCCATGTGAAACGGAAATTGACATAAAAAAAAATGGTATGAAATACAACAATGCTACATAGCTCAAATACTAGAATACATGGTTTTCTTTACAAAGTCCAGGGTCCCCATTCCTGTCTATGGGGCCCTACATCTCTCAAGACTCATAGCCAGTGGGTCACGCATACAAAGAAAAAAAGCCGTCGCTGCCGCTGGCACACTATGCATCTCGTCCCCAGGCCTCCCGCCTCAACTGTCGGTCCTCCCGGGCCATGCGACGCTTAGGACCCCAGCGCGATTGCACGGCTTCCAAAATCCGAGCTTGGATCTCCCTCTTCTCTGGACTAGCCTGGCAGACCATGGCAATGAAAACGGGCGAGCAATCAAACCGCTTAGCGAGCTTGTTTCGGCTCCAAGTCATGGGGTCATTCAACCGGAGATTGCGGATTTCTTCAACGTCTGAAGGGGTGAGGTGATATTTCCTCTCGGGCATGGATTTGTAAACGCCGGGGAGATCTTCGGCGTTGGTGGTCACGGTAGTAGGGCTCGATGCTCTGCGAACATCATCGGCAGGCAGAAACTTGGATGGGGTGTGATAGACGGATGGAGCGCTTGATGGCGGGTTGTGGATAATGTGATCACGGCCCTGGTGAGATGGGTCGAAGGAAGCATCTGGTTTCACACGTAGACGTTGCTTGGTTCGTCGGTATGAAGATTGGTTTCGTCGGAATCCTAGCGCCAGCGAATCTGACAAAGAAGGTAGAAGAAATGGAAGCGTGAGGAACGGCCGCTTCGTCGCGGCAATGGAGGTCGCCATGGTCCCAAACATGAGCCAATTGGTCAGAATCTAAATAGAAGTGTATTATAATTAGTCAAGCTCACCAGTGTACGATTGATATTTCGACATTGACATACGAGGTGAAAAGGAGGGCGAGCTGGGGGTAGATGGACCAGGGTGGACGTGTTGGGTGTTCCAAACCCAAGCCCGAACTTTTTTCCCCTGGTCTCGTGACCCCCCTGGACCTGGACGATACCAACTCAAAATTACAGGGTATTCCAAATACTCAATACGAAAGTACGTCAATGTATTCCCGACCGTTAGGGAATTGATCACCTGGTCTACATTCCCCCCATGTCATCTTCTATTCTATAGTCTCACCACTTTACACTTTCTTGGTCATGGAGGTTTGACAGTCATTATCGCCATGTCGGACTCTATGGAATCTGCGGACTTGCGCCAGTTCTCGCAATCTCCTCATTCATCGGATCAGAATGTATCGGACTCGAGGAGTGGAAGGGCCCCGAAGCCTGCCGCTTTATCCTGGAGCCAAATGAAGGACAAACAACCCGATCTAGGGTCTACCACATTCGAGACGAATAAGGACATAGGGAGTAGCATATCGCCTGTGAGCTCATCTGAAGTCCTGCGAACACCAAACCAAGATACGAGATTCATGAGGCATCCTTCCTCTCCTGAGAGCTCGTCACAACTGCCACCCCGCTTGCATTCTCCCGCCTCTCAGATATTTGAACGAAGCGTACAGGAAGATATAGTATCAGCACAAGCATCGCCGTCGATACCCGCGCATATTCGCACAGAGAACTATATCCCTCCTGTCCTTGAAGCTTCCTCGGCTGCCATCACAGACGACCACCTTGACCCAGACTCGGTTGAGATCGTGACCCATAGCCTCCATCAGCCAGCAGGTGTTCCATCTGCAGAGCAATCAATGTCGTCCTCGGCGATTGATGCCCATCATCTGTCTGACATAGAAGATGCCTCCTCAAATTATGGAGCGCTAGACACCGCCGATGTGCGTCGGTTGAGCTTTATCTCCTTTGCAGATGTTGTCAATGCCGAGCACGCAGAAACAAATGAAGGACATACCAGTGTCATGATCGGCGAGCGAGGTATTAATCGATCACCATCCCCATTGCGGTCTCCCTCTTCTTCGCATGGGTTCAGTTCTTCCCCGCCAACAAGCCTTGCGACCTCATTCACAGGGCTTGACATGCCCCCCAATCGGTTGCCTGCTGTCAATTCTGCTCAAAGCCCGGTCTCGTCCAGTTTTGGCGGTGACCTCAACGTTGAGACGATGCGACAGGCCTTGAGAAGAACTGGCAGTGGTGATTTGGGTGGCGAGGCAAGCCAGGCCGTGAGTACCATAGGGATCGATGATGTCTCAGACCGCACATTTTAGCATATCGACCTCTCGTATACATCCACTCTTTCCACCTTTGAGATATTTGGCGTTTGACTGGGCAAATTATGGACGACGGGGCTGGAACACCATCGTGAATGGAATGCAATATCAGGAACTCGTAGGCTCTCAATTTTTCTTCCTGAGAATTCGTATTTTGAAATAATAATGCTGTCTATTTTCTACTTATCATATTTAATAACCCCTTTTGCGGACACCAGGATTTTAAAGACTGCATATCCTCATTGATTGACCCCATGGTGCATGGAACGACTGGAGAATGGATGATCTCGTTTCTGTTCTCCAATACCTGGGAAGTAAGACAAGCTATATTATTCTGTCTCGTTTCACTTCCGGACATTCTGCACTGCGTCTAGAGCCCGCTGTACCCTAGCGCGTAGGTCTGACACCTCCTCTAGCCCAACACTAATTCTCACCAAATCAGGATCCACGTCGAAAGATCTTGCCTATGTATATGTTAGAAATTATCAGCAGATGTTTGAGGTGGTACATACCCAGTCCAATTCACCGTAATGGGCCAGCAAAACATACGGAGAGCTGAAAAGTTAGCGAGGTTCTTTCAAAGAGGCTCAAGCCCACTTACCTCAATGTGAAATTGGTGCCGAGGCTGGGACCCTTCAACACCTCCAAGGTATCATAGAAAGCAATTGCCTCATCTGTTGAGTGGAATGTAACAGAGAATAGTCCACCGTAGCCACCGTTGGGGTTGCGGAGGCCGTCGTAAAGGGGTTTTGTGGGACTGTATTTGGGGTAATACACATCTTTCACTATAATTTGGTCAGAATCACTGCTGATGTGATATTGATTAAGACTTGACGTACCTAGCGGAGATTCCTTCAGCATAGCCGTGATATTCTCAGAGGTGGAGTTGATCTTATCGATACGAGACATAAAGTCACGACTATTTCTCTCTAGGAAGACGGCATCTTCTGCCCAGTAAATGTCTTCGAAGTCTCGATCATAAATTTTCTTCAGGGCTGAATAGTACTGCCCATGGGGGTTGAGCACTGCACTTCCTCCCATCACATTGCTGTCGCCGCTAAAGATCTTTGTCAAACTGCTGACGACAATGTCTGCAAGGTGGAGAACATTGATATTGATGAAGTTGCTAATGGTCTCATCAACCACAATAGCAAAGTTGTACTGGTCTGCCAGCGCACGAATGCGTTTCAAGTCTGGTGTTTTGAGAAGAGGATTACCTGGCGCTTCAGTAAATAGTCCAAGGAAGCGTTCGCCGGCCTCCAATCGAGATTCCAAATCATCCAGATCTTCTGAGGAGCCGTGGCCATAGAAGACGCAACCTGGTCCCCATTTTTGAAGGATCTTTAGCGTATCCGTGTAAGGAAATCCGAAACAGATTGACGGCAATTCGCCCCGAGTAGCCAGCAAGGTCTGGTGAGCATTGAAAATGGCGCTCATGCCCGAAGGATGGAGGAGAACATCGTCCTCGGAAATGCCGGCGACACGGCCTTCCGATGAAGCGGTCTCTAGAGCTTCCGGTAGCTCGGCATCAGCCGTCAAGACACCTGCGATGCGTTTGCGAACAGCTAGCTTGGCCTGGTTGGCGAGAGAGGTACTGAGGTTTCGACCGAATCGCTCCTCAATGAACTGAGCATAGTCCCGCCCATCTTCAATTCCCCTGGGAGGGGAGTCTCCAATAGAACCATTTCTCGCTCCGTTCTTGGTTTGGTATCTCCGAGGACCCTTGCAAGGACGCTGCGAAATCGACTCTGTCGTTCCAGAGCCCTTGTCTTCCACCAAGAATCCATCCTCTAGGGCACCAAGGCAGAACTCGCCCCGTCGGCTCGAAATACCGTTTCCAGAATGCTGCCACACCTGTTTGGCAATGGAGGCGTATTCCTTTGGATATATGACACACGACAGGGTGGATGTTACTGCTGTTGATCCGGCTTCGGTCTGCGGGGATGGGACGAAGTTGACGATGCGGACTTTGTGCGCCTGCTCCGCAGGAATTTTTCCGAGCAAAAAGGATTGGCAAATGCGCGCCGTCTTAATTGATGCAAAAAGGGTCGCAGTCTCAAGATTCAAGTCACCGACGCGGCGGACGACTTCCTGAGCGAGTTGTTGAATAATAGGATGAACGAAGAATCGGGGATAGCCACACTTCATCTTGCTCATGACCCAATCTTCTCCTTCTTCGTAGCCAACATTTGCTCTCCATGTTGGTAGCGATACACTGACGGCCTTGTAGATATAAATTAGTACTGAAGTAAAGGTCCATGGAGGGGTCTATCGCGGGGTTCGAAAGATACATGGTCAGTATTTGGGGGCACAGTTCCTCCCAAAGCTTGCAACATCTCGAAGTTTAATCAATCTTGTCACGAAAGTTTGGATATGTGAAAATTAAGAAGAGAAAAGACAATGGAGGGATTGACTCAAACGATGTACTCAACTGCGACTTCGGCGATGTGCCCAATGAGTCAGCAATGATACCAATACCAGATTACCGTACCCGTTATCTAAAAAAAAAATCATTCGTTTACAAACTGCTTGTGACTCGAATGTTCAACAAGATGTCGGCACACACAGTCAAGCGACGGAAGCTTAGCCCTTCTCCAGACAATGGCGTTTCTTCGTCTCATCCCAATTCCTCGAACGACGCGAAAAGGACGTCGAACGTCACCGACAAAATGGATTCCAAACGACAGGCATCCCGAGGGAAAGATGAGCGCTCTGCAGAGCTTGCAATGGCCAGTGGCTTCTATAAATCCAGCTTCTTCAAGCTGCAGATGGATGAGCTGCTGATGGGATTGAGACCTAATTATGCTAAGCAAGTCTCCAAGCTCCAAGAAACCCTTCACCAGATCAAAACTGCCATCGAAAACGTGCCCGAGAAAGCTGCGCAATCCGTGTCCGATGCCGAGAAGGAGCTGCGTGCCTCTGGTCTAGTGGTCCCATGGCCCGAGCCGCGACCGCACAAGGATGTCAAGTATACCATGATGTATGCGAAGCCAGCGAACATCAACGTGGTGGGTAGTTTCGCTTTGAAGACCGGCGTCCGCACCTTGGAATCGCGCCCCGTTGATTTAGCTGTAACCATGCCAAACTCACTCTTCCAAGAGAAGGACTATGTCAATTTCCGATACTTCCATAAGAGGGCCTACTACATTGCGTCTGTGGCTGCTGGTATCCAGGAGACTGTGGCTGCTCTTGGGTTTGATGTCAAATTCGCTCCTCAGGACGGAGACAGCCTTCGTCCCCTTCTCTTGTTGGAACCGCGTCAAGCTGAATCGTCTCAAAAATCTATTCGAATCTTGCTCGCAATCGATCCTGCATTGTTCCCAATCACGCGAACACTCCCAATGAAGACCAACATCCGTCAAGGCTCTTCTGCTAACAGTTCTGAACCTGGCGAGCCGACTTCGTTCTACAATGCTAGCCTCCGCTCAGATGCTACCGTCTCTCTCTACCATAAGTCTCTTTACTCAGCCTCAAAGAAGTGCGAATCGCTCAGTGATGCATGCATCCTTGGACGCACTTGGCTGCAGCAACGGGGGTTCCATGCCCCTTTCCAAAATGGAGGCTTTGGAGGCTTTGAATGGACAGCGCTTTTGTCTCTATTATTTGAAGCTGGTGGGCCCTCGGGACAACCGGTTCTCTTGCCTTCATATAGTTGCTACCAAATCTTCAAAGCCACCATTCAGTTCTTGGCTGGCAGAGATTTGACTAATCCTCTGTTCTTTGGCCAAGAGGTTCCCGTTCCTTCTGGGGTCCCCGTTGTTTTTGATGGCCGCAGCGGCTTGAACATTCTCTACAAAATGAGTCCTTGGTCTTATGCGACACTACGCCACGAGGCCGCCACAACCTTGAAAATGCTCAACGAGAGCCGAGAGGACAACTTCGACAAAGTTTTTATTCTCAAGGTCGATGAACCAGCTTTAAGATTTGACCGCCTAATCTCGTTCCCTAGGTTGTTCAACGGGGACACTCTCCGAGCTCTCCATGAACAGACAGAGCTGTGGCAGGTCATTTCCAGGGCTTTGGGAGACCGTGTTAAACTTGTCTCCCTTGCTAGCCACCCCATTGATCCGTGGTCAGTCAGATCCAAGCCGAACAAAAGGTCGAGCCAGGGCGTGTCCGTGGGACTTTTGCTTGATGCTGAAAATGTCGGACGTATCGTTGATCACGGTCCACCCGCAGAGGAGAAAGAAGAGTCCGCCTCATTCCGATCTTTCTGGGGTGAAAAATCAGAGCTGCGTCGATTCAAAGACGGCAGTATCTTGGAAAGTCTTGTGTGGTCTGATCAATCTGATGAGTCCATCATCTACCAGATTCTGGAGTATATTCTTCAGAGGCATTTGCAACTTACAACAGAGGATTTCGGGTTCATGGGCGATGAATATGATCAGCAACTCAAGAATTCGGGTGATGGAATTTTGGCATACTCGAGCCCTGCTTTCCAGTCCGTCAACGACGCTTTCAAAGACCTAGAGAGGTCTATTCGCGACATGGAGGAAGTGCCATTGACCGTTCGTCATCTGGCTCCGGCCAGTCCCCTTCTTCGATACACTGCATTGAGACCGAACGGAGCTGCCGATGTTGTGCTTCAGTTTGAGAGTTCTTCCCGCTGGCCAGACGATTTTGCAGCAATCCAAATGACAAAGGTTGCATTCCTCCTCAAGATTGGTGACTCTTTGGAATCAACTGGCGCTGCTTCTTCCTGTCGTGTTGGTTTGGAGAACGAATCGAGCAAGGTGGTTAATAATGCATACTTGGATATCCATCACACTTCGGGAGTCTTGTTCCGCCTGAGAATTCACCACGACCGAGAGCAAATCTTGCTTGAACGCAACCTCAAGGATCGGACTCTTAGCCCTCGAGAACGGGAAGAGGCTGCCTACGCCCTCTTCGCCTACAAGAAGTCGTTTGTTCAAACCCCTCGTTTGACCCAGTCATTGCGAAGCCTATGCACTCGTTTCCCTCTGTTATCGCCTACCATCCGTCTCACCAAACAGTGGTTCAACTCTCACCTATTCAATGCCCAGATCAATGAAGAATTGATTGAATTGCTGACGATTCGGGCATTTACTCAGCCTAACCCCTGGGAATGCCCCTCAAGCGTCATGGCTGGGTTTTTGAGGACTCTCCACTCTCTGTCCCGGTGGGACTGGCAACAGGAACCGTTCATCGTTGACTTGGGAAGAGAGCTGAGCCCAGAAGTAACTGAAAACATCCGCACTCGTTTTGCTGCTTGGCGTAACATCGATCCTGCAATGAACAGCCTGGCGCTGTTTGTGGCTTCAGATGTCGACCCCGAAGGCGTAACCTGGACACAATATGAGATGCCCTCCAAGGTTGTGGCTGCGCGGATGTCGAGCCTGGCCAAGGCTGCTGTGAATCTGCTGCGAAGTCAACCACATGATATGGAGGTCTCTGATCTGTTCGATACCTCTCTTGCCCCTTACGACTTTGTGATCCATCTCCGCCCAAAGCTGTTCGGTAACCGTTCTTCAGTAGCCAAGTTCAAAAATTTGGCCGAGCCCCGCCCTGAAAAGATGGCAACCGTGAAGTCATTTGTTCGAGATGTGCAGGCCTGTTACAGCCAAAGCATCCTGCTTTTCCACGGAGACGAACGCTGTTCTGTCATTGCTGGAATTTGGAACCCCCAGACTTTGAAGTCGCGGAATTGGCACCTGAAAACGGCATTCTCAACAGGCCCAGCAGCGGACTCGAATACCCAGGTTTCGATCAATCAATCTGCCATTTTGAACGAAATTGCTCGGTTGGGTCATGGTCTCATTGAAAGCATCGAGATTCATGGCGCTGCAGAATAGACTTGTTATCTAATTAAAATTGACATTTGCATATACATCATACTTTGAGCTGTCTCTCTTCATTATAATACGTTAAATTTAATTGACCATGAAGCGTTAGATAGATATCTGTCTCTGTTTGACCGACTGTGATGTACTTGTATATTTCTGCCTGAGGTGTTGATAATTGATAACCTATCAATCCTCACGTTGTCGTCTTCTTTCACCTCCCACTTCTCTCAATGACGTCTATAACTCGGGGTCGAGGCCTCCATGCTTCATTACAGCCTTGGAGCAACCCCAGAGTCTATCACCAACTCCGATCCCAATTGCAGCCCGTCTGTGTGCGGTCCAGTCTACTCTTCTCAACCTCGGCCTCAAGCCAACAATCCCGCCGACCCTCCCCATCATCACCTTCATCCTCCGTCCCGTCTACCAGTATAGTCACAGCCCCTTCCAAAATTGAAGTCAATGCTCCCAGCAGCACATTTCCCGCGGATATCGTCGACCCAGCTCCCGTCTCTCCATCTACTGGACTTCCCGGCAAGCTGAAACGCTTTGTCGAAATTGGCCGCATATACCTTACTTTTTACAAGACAGGCTTGAAGAATGTGTACCGGAACTACCGCGTCTCAATTCCTCTCCGGAAAGTGCTGGGGCTCCCAGTATATCTCCCCGTGTCTCCTCCGCGGACAATTTCACAGAACAATGCCCCCTCAACAAGAAAAGAATCAGTACTAGGACGGGCGCAATTCCAGCTAGTCTGCCGCTCAGCCCGTGATGTCCGACGCATGATTCCATTCACAATGATTTTGATTGTCTGCGGGGAATTCACGCCGCTGATTGTCCCAATCTTCGGGTCCGCCATTACTCCAGCTACATGCCGAGTTCCCTCGCAGGTAGAAAAGGAGCGCGTGAGCGCAACCAAGATAAAAATGGCCGCGTTGGACGTGCATGTAACTGCGTCCAAGGACGCCTCTCTCAACCTGCTTCGATCTAGTAGTGAAGAGCAATTGCATCTTCTCGCTAAGCAGTTTGCCGACCCAGTTTGGGCAGCGAGTGCTGACCCTGCCTCTGTACTGCGTGCGGCAGCTGTTTTTGGTCTGGCCAAGCGCCATGATCGGGCTGCTGGGACACTTCTTGCTGGCATAATCTATCGACCCCGGCTCGCACGGCATATTGAGTACCTGTCCATTGACGACGAGATGATTCATGCTGGCGGCGGCGTTCGAGCTTTGAATGCGGCCGAGGTTCGGATTGCGGTTGAAGAGCGTGGTGGAGTTGATGTCTCTGCCAGTGCGAAGGATCGCAAACAGGCGGAGAATGTTGAAAGGCGCTGGTTAGAGCAGTGGCTGTCTATTCGTGGAGGTGGCCCAAAGTCCAAGAAGCAGTAGATCTAGGGCCTCGGGCTTGAGAACCTCTGTCTGTACAATATTATTATTTCTAGAAGATCTTTCGTATTAGTTCCAACCATTTTGAATCTCAGCATAATACCTCGGGAAGTCGCGCGATTAGAAATGTTTATCAAGAAGTCCCTATAAACCATGATTAGGAAAGCCGATATATCCCATTGAAAGCTGCTCAACTCAATTGCAAAGGCATGGAATGATTGGTTCGATTGTTCAAGTAAATCCAGTGATATCAAATTGGCGATATTTGCTAACATCGAAAGAAATAAACAAGACATGATGCGTATGACAACAAGATAACAATCCAACTTCGCTCGAAGACAATACTTGTGGCAATTTCGACCAAGTCAACGGGGGTATCAATAAACCAGCTCTCCAAGAAACAGAAAATCATGCTTTGAAACCAAAGCCGGCACTTAGACAGACACGTATTTCACTGGTTTAGACAATTCAAGCACCCGCAACTGCCGACACAGCAGCCCCAGCCTGCGCCTGCGCCTGACCACGGACTTGCTTTGCCCATCGCAGACCACAGCTGTTGCAAAGGTCACGATTTCCACTGGGACCGCGGCGCCACTCTGGGGTATTTTTAGTTCTGCACATGGCGCATGCCTTTTCAACGGAGATGGCGCTCTGCTTGCGCTTGCGCTTCTTGCGTCGAGCCAACAGGCGTTGCAGTTCATCTGCTAGGGTGCGGTTCTGCTTCTCCAGTTCACGCAGCTCAATTTGCCAGCTTGATCCGCGGGTGGGGTTGAGTTCTGTGAAAAAGGTTGCTGGGTCAGCAGTGGGTGAGATGTCGCGATTCCCGGTTGGCAGACCGTTAAGTCCGATGAGGGTTGAGAGATCGGGCATTCGTTGACCCAGGGTTCCGTATTGGCGGGGTGGTTGGGGGTCATCAACGGTGAGGGTTGTGCTTCGCGTAGTGCCTGGGACTGTAGCAAGGGTTTCGTTTCCAGCAGCTGAGATAGCGGTTGCGGTTGGAGGGAAAGATCGAGCAAATCGAATCTGGGCGACGAGGAAGGATGGCTTGACTCCTTTCCTAGCATCACCAGTATAGATGGTTGTATGCGCAGAAATGACATGTCCTTTCTTGTGTCGCATCTGGTGTCTGAAAGACGGAAGTTCCTCGATATCCTTGTTACTACCCGCGATGGTGGTCATGCCCGCCCCCTGGCCACGAGCCGCCGCATCCAAAGCTTGTATGATTGTGGCAGGACCACCAGACTCGGGCTCCATGATTTCCTGCAAGCCCTTGCCGATAAGTTCATCAGGCGAGCGGCCGAGGACCGGCTTCACCTTGGTAGTGATGAACAGAATGACTCCGGACAAAGAGATCTTAGCCCAGACATCGTTTTCAGCCAGCGCGGCGGACGAGCCAAGTCGGGCAATCTGATCTAGTGCATAGACTGGTCGGGGACGGCCGGTCATGACGAGATGTCTCCGGCCATGGCTCCGGTCAATGTGCCATGCACCATGACTCTCGAACCACATATATCCCCGGTATTTTTGTCTGATACGGTATACCACACTCACTGGAGCGGGTGTTGTGCTCGCTCTCAAGTCACGCATCACAGGACCAATATCACTGGGATGGCAGATAGTAGACAACGTCTTGCCAACCAGCTCGACTGGGTCATACTCGAGAATCTTCTGGCAAGAAGGCGATAGATAAAGGAATTCACCGTTAAATGAAACTACGTGGATCACATCATCGGTGTTCTCAACCAAAATGCGATCCAAGTAGTGACGACTGACTTCATTGCCAGATGAACTGACTGCATTGAGGATGGCAGTCACTTCATCATGACCAAATTGTGCCACCAGGTCTGGCCGAGTCGTGTACGCATCTGGTGGCGGGACCACATACTGAGGCAGTTGGTCCCGTTGATAATTAATGCTATAAGTGCCATCTGTGGAATGATCAGTAAGGTATATTCTATGAAGCGACCCATACATACCAGGGTTTCTCCTGGTAACGGCATCAGGCTTTTCAACCAGATCGACCTGGAACCCAACATAAAACCGATACTCCTCCGAGTCCCATTGGATAGGGATCATCGTAATGAGGTTCATAAAAGGCTGTCCACCCTTGCGATAGTTAATAATACTAGCTTGGATCTCACTGCGATCATCAATGGTAGAACGCAACCGGTGTACTGTCTGTCCATCGACAAAGGTCCGCTTCGCACCAGCGGCGATCTTGCCATCAGGCCCTTGAAGGAATCGACAGTTCCGACCAACAATCTCGTCCTTGTTATAGCCTGTCAATCGTTCAAAGGCCTCTGAGACATAGATAATAGGCTGATCTTCACGCAAGATATCACACATCACAAAGGCACAAGATAGATCGACTGCGCCAATGTTGATTCTGGGATTCGGGCGCATAGCCACGCGACCCTGGATCGTTTAGTAAATATCGCTATCAAGATGCATAAGCAAAGCTTACCAAAGCACCCAATACATCAAATCCACTACTCGAGTAGATACCGGTATGCTCGGTCTTGCCAATCTCGGGCTTTTCCAGCCCCGGCGAGATATCCCCTGGAGGCGCCTCCACGTTAGTATACCCTGTGCCAGAGACAACGGCTTGAGTCCCAGGCGCATAACTTACCTTTGGCGGGTACAGGTTTCTTGGGCTGGATCGCGACCGGTTGCGAGGTGCGGTACGGGCCTGTAGGCTGCAGCCGACGTTCCTGGGGTGGCCTTTGAGGGCGCGGCTGCTGCTGCATCTGCACTTGCGGCCGGTCACTCGTCTGCCCTGAGAAATCCGAGTCCTCGAAGTTTGCTGTGGAATCGGTGCTTGTGTCGTAGGGTTCCTTGCGCGCTAGCGGGGCCGACTGTGACTGTGGCTGCGGTTGTGGAACCTGAGAATGGGCATGGGGGTAGTAGTTGACCGGCATTGGTTGTGGGAAGGACTGGTAGGCGGACTGGAACTGGGGCTGTTCCATCTGCGTGAGGCCCATGGTGGTTGCTGGGTATGTTGATGGAATACTATAGGCATAGGCATTGCTGGGATCCATGTTTGAGGGCATTGAGACAGGGTTTGGCATCGAGTCGTAGGCGAGCATTACATTAGACATGCGTCCTTCCAGGTCCTCGGGTGGGCGTTCAAAGCTCTGCATGGGTATATTGGCGTCCTGGGGTAGCATGGCGCTAAAGGCATAATTGCCGACCTGGGGATAAGTCAAGTAGGAAGGATCGTGCAGGGGCGCTGAGCCCCCAGAGTCCCCGGAATCATCACGATCATAGTCGAGGCTGAAGTTCATAGAGTTGGCCATAACGTCCGTGGGGTTAAATGCAACGCCCGGACTGAGTTCCAGAGCCCCGGGTTGACCAAAGTCTGGGGGCCTCCACTGGGGCTTTTTGGAGTGTTTCGTCTCAGACTTGGTCTGTCTGGATGTCTCTGTTGATGTCTCTGTTGATGTCTCTGTTGATGTCTCTGTTGGTTGTCTTGGTCTTCGTGGTCTGTGGTCCTCCTTGACCTGGCAGAGAAGAGAAAAGGGTGTCTCCTCTTCTCAAAAGTACACTGTCACTTTGTGTGGACCCCGGAGAAGTACTGAGCGCCAATAAGCAACCGACAAACCTGAGCTGCAAAATTGTTGTGGATTCAAGCACCCAACAAAGGCGTGTATGGAGTACTACGTCTTGTTTGGTCTGTTTCTCGGTTATGAGATGAGCGAGATGAGATTGAGGAGTTGAGGTTGAGGAAAAGGTGGGAAAGTGTCAAGAGGCAAAAGCACAGTTGATCTGTCACAAATGCCAACTTAACTGCCGACACGAGTATCTCCAACCATCAAAGATCATACTGGTACAAGATCAGACACTATTGACTGAAATCTGAAGCATCTACTGTTTACTTCATGGCTGTATATTTCATGCATGTTAGGATCCTCTTATCTTAGCCCCTTTTCTTCCAGCTCTCCATCGCTTCCTTTTCTCTCCCTCTCTCTCTCTTTTTTTTGATCTCCAATGTTCTCCCACGTTACCCCATAGCGTGGCCATGGACAAGATCTCAATCACCATCTGTGGAGATGGCGGATGCGGTACGTTGCAGCAACCTTCTTCTTCTCCTGGGAATATCCCGATACCGTGATTCGGTGCCGCCTCTCCGGGTTTGGTGCGCGATCGAGATCTGATCAGATCGGGAATCAGGCAAATCGTCCATCACCCTGCGGCTGGTCCGCAGTCAATGGATTCATGAGTGAGTCTCCCTGCCCCTGCAGGAAACAGTCGCTGATACCTCATCTTTAGATATGACCCAACAATTGGTAAGGCAGCCCTCGATGCAGCAATTTCACGTCTGATCGATCGCAGAGGACTCGTACTCGGTCACCCGCAATGTCGACGGTCTCCCCTATTTCCTCTCCATCACCGATACAGCCGGTCAGGAGGAATACCGCGGCCTCTGGACGGCCTCTACGCTGAAATCCGATGCATTCCTCCTGGTCTACGATATCACCAATCCATCCAGTCTCGATACACTGGATCATTTCATGGACATGATCAATATGGAGACAGAGCAGCGCGTGGAGGACAACGAGCGATTGCGTAAAGAACTCCGGCGCCAGGATCCAGGTATCCAAATTGGCATGCCACTGCCGGTCAAGATTCTCGCGGGCAACAAATGCGATCTGAAAGATGATCGCGCGGTGACCTCACGCGACGGGCTCGAGTATGCGCGCAAACACGGATGCGGATTCATGGAGACCAGCGCGCGCGACATGGTCAACATCGAGGAGACATTTTCCCGTATGGCGCATCATAACAATCAATAAGAGCAAAGCTAACGGTGGTAGATCTGGTTCGTCGCGTTGTCGAAGCCCGTCGAGTTCATGGTCAACTAGATACACCACAGCCTCCCCAGTGCGCAGAGCCAACCCCTACGACAGCGTTACCGCCGACCACTGTAGATGCCGCGGCCGAGGGTCGAACCCGAAGTCGTATTTGGCGATTCCTCAAGGGTCGGAAGACAACGGAACCACATGAAGCCCAGGAACTTAATAAAACGGCAGCAGAAAAAAAACAAAGAAAGCGTTGTCTCTGTTGTTTCCGGTAGGAGCATTGTCTATATTTCTATCTGCATATTTCTGTATGTCCCTGTATATTAGCAGTCTGTGGATTGAAAGGCCCCTGTACATAGAACCTCGCCCTGGAAACATCGACCGTGTCGTACATGGAAGTATATCGAGAGCAAAGCGAACCCACCTTCGGCACGAATGGACTCGGAACGTGTCTCCGGGGAGTCCAGGGCACAATTAGTTCTCCACGGATCGAATGGCTCCAGACCATATGGCACGATCAGGCACTATTTTGACCAGAGCCAATGAGGGCATCCGCTGCATATTGCCATATTCACCCATTGCCTGAACTAGTAAGGCCCTCCGCCAAGCTTTGTGGACAATGAAGTAATGCATCGCGCAGGGCTTGAAGCCGGAATGTGAGCCGAGATAGCAGGATAGCATAGTAACCCCGGTCTAGACTGGATGATGCAACATTAAACATGAAAGACCACAAATTCTGTCCAAGCAGATCCGGGGGATTTACGAAGATCAGGTTTCAAGTGGTTAACGTCATGGACTCCCAGTGGCGCATGATTACTCAGATTATGCTTCGTTGGTAAGCAGGTGATGAATCACGATTTCGACTTACCTGTGCTAGCGCTTCGGAGCTTACCTAGGTAATGCTTATTACCTCGTGAATAGCTTTTCAATTTCGTCCATTTCTTCCTCCGTTAGACGGAAGATCCCTCGGCAGGATCTTGCCGAGTCGCCGTGCATAGAATTATACACCTTATGCAATGATACTGTTCAACATAAAATCACACACACACACACACACACACACCATCTCTTTACACGTTATAGCTTATAGTTTATAGTTCCGGTGTGCCAATAACGTTGACTATAATAGAATAATCATTCGTATCCGGAAGTGTAGTCCATTCGGATATACGTCAGAAAGACTCCGAAGGCCGAACAGGAAGCTCCGTCTCCGACTAGCGAACTCTGACCAAATGCCGAGTCTTCCAGACTTCTCCACTTCGAGTAATTCGTCGAAAATAATTAAAAATGAATAAAAATAATAAAAAAAAAGGAAAAAGAGTGGAGTACACGTTATGATTCGATCCGATCTTGTGCTTCTACATGTACAATAATCCATGACTCTTGTAATAAAAATTAGTTGTAAATCCGAAGCCCCCTCTTTTACTGTCCCTATATATGCACTGCTCCCCTTTTCTGACCCAGAGATCATCTGCAACCGTCTACTCATAACTTAATTATTCTTAAGAGTCCGGTTTTCATCCTCGACATTATTATATCATTGACATTGACGTCGATCACTCCTACTCGCCGGATCTGGAAGTATAGCTCAAAAGCTCAAAATCCCCCTCTCCGGGTCGTATCCTTTTTCTCAACAACTTCCCCATCTACATCATATATCATGGCAGCGCGCCAATCAACACCGGCCTCGGAGCATTCCCATTCCGACGGGGGAATTCGCAAAAGAGTATGCAAGGCTTGCGATCGGTGTCGTCTGAAGAAATCCAAGGTATGTAGCACAACAAGACGAGCAATCGTCCATAAACTGACCAGGATAGTGTGATGGATCCAGTCCGTGTTCGCGATGCCGAGCTGATAACGCCATTTGCGTCTTTGGGGAACGAAAGAAGGCGCATGATAAAGTGTATCCCAAGGGGTGAGCTGATATAAGCCATATACCGTTTAAATCCATACTCACCAGTCTCTTCTCTAGATATGTTGAAATGCTCGAGCAACAACAAAACTGGCTAGTCAACGGTCTCCAAGAACTCTATCGACGCAACCTCGAAGGCGAAGGCTGGCCTGGCGAGCGGCTGAAGCTCGAGCCCAACGGCCACCCGCTTACACACGACCTGCTTATGCGCCTCGGCGCCCTCGACAGCAGCAAAGGCGAGCGCTTTGAAGAGCATCCCGAGGCCCTGCAGCAGGATCTATGGCGCAGCAACACAGGCATGCAGCGACAAGAATCATCCGACGGAGGCTCCGATAGCCCACAGTCCCCCGCCCGCTCGCGCTTCTCATCCGATGCCTTCTCTCAACACACTATGCCACCAACGCCACCCACATATAGTCCCTCGACGCGCGCACCAGTCAAGACTGAGCCACAAATGCCCAACACTCCACAATTTGCGCAACCAATGCCATTGGGGGTTGTCAATCCCTTGGCTCTGGATCAACAGTGGCCCAACAACAGCTTTAACCCATTCGAGGATATGGATCTGATGTCCGCCGATTACTCTCACATGCCCTTCGACGACCAGCTCTCATCACCAATGTTCAACCGCCAGGTGCCCATGAACTGCCTGTCACAAGGATCCTATATAGATTCCAAGAACGAGTACGACGATTTCAATCAGTTCTTGAATCCGAATCCTACGGAAATTACCTCTCTTTGAGGGATCTGAGGCTCTCGACTTTAATGCCGTATGACGACACATGTATAACATCCTTACATACATGTTTCAATTCTCTCTTCTCTCTGGGGCTATTACCCCCCCCCGGTTTCTTAGGTGCAATTGGGTTTATGTACAGTGAATGGGGTTTCGGGGCGTTTCAAAACGGCGGGGGCGTCATACCCTACATGTTTTAATTGCAATCTAATGATGTTCTGTTACACCATGATCTCATTCTTTCTAGAAGGTGTTCAGGGACCGGAGTTGGGCGCCGAGCCTATACTACATGTATTGTGCTCCACAAAAATACGCCCAGCCTCTTTAACTTCGATTGACTTATCCCGGATATAATTCGGACTTAAAAGGATGACTGATTATGATTTTGGATGACTCAGCGGAACCCACTTGAGGCATTTGACATTTGAGCCATTTCTTTAAAAGTCGCCGAAATGCCGACTTCCCGATTCACGGAGTTTTATATTCCGATCCCTTCTTGATTTTGCTTTTGTTTTCGGCCGTTTTTCTGATTCGTAATACGGAGTTAAATGTGCTGGTTACAGTTGACATCTACCTCGTATAACGGGATGAAGTGTCGGAGGTGAAGCGTAATCAATACGTCGTATTCGGTTTCGCAACATAGCCTGGATTGAGGAGCCCCTGACATGAAACCTGTTTACCCCGTTGACCCACCGGGAACCATGCTGCCTAAATCTCGCAAATACTGAGAGTTTGGCAAAGTTGGCAGCACTCAGCCTTGCTTGGCTGGCACTCCGGGGTAGAAATCCTTCGGGCGCCGGAACCCCGTTTTGTCCGACCGGATGCTGACTGTCCCAATCCCGGGCCTGGGCAACCTTGTCGGAACGCAAACAATTTACTTGACTTTATACAAGTACGGAGTACGCAAGTACATTGAATTTGAACACGTGAATGCACATATGAACATGGGACATGGACCGATATGTCGCGGCTAATTGAGAGCTTCTGAGCTCCTGTTTAGCCTAATCCCCGATTCTCTTACATTTATGCTAAACGGAGATTGATCCCGCAGATTGCGGGGTTTTAACGTCATGTTGACCCTGAGAATATTAACCTTCCTCCCCCACTAATCTGGTCTGTCAACCATGTCTGTCCCTGAGCAAGCAGCATTTACCTTCCTGCCCTTGGGCGCCATCATTCAGGAGTTCCGTGTCGGTGACAAGAACATCGTCCTAGGCTTCCCAACACAGGACGACTATGTCAAGCACAACACCCCGCATTACGGTGCCACCATTGGTCGTGTCGCTAATCGTATCAAGGATGGCCTTATCCAGAATCTGAATGGCCGGGAGTACAATCTGACAAAGAACAACGGTCCCAATGCGCTGCATGGCGGTGAACAAGGCTGGGGCAAGCGTGTCTTTGACGGCCCCCACACCGTCAAGCGCCACGGCCGTGACGCTTTACTGTTCAAGTACCTTTGTCGGGATGGCGAGGAGGGGTACCCGGGCACTGTTGAGGTGCGCGTATGGTACACAGCCAGCAAGGAGGATGACGCCAAGACCGTGCTGACGGCAGAGTACGAGGTGGAGTTCATCGGTAATGAGTGCGATGAGACTGTTGTCAATCTCACCAACCACAGGTAAGATCTTACATTGCCTCAAAGCATATTTCAGCAACACCCACTCACAAGCATCAAGCTACTTCAACATCGGCTCTGGCCCCGATGTATCGGGCACCACCGCCCAACTCGCAACAGACGATTACCTACCTCTGGACGACACCGGCATCCCAGTTGGAGGAATTGCCAAATTCGGACGCGATGTGACCAAGCCCTTCGAGCTGACCGCCACCGGCGCTCACATCGACGACGTCTTTGTCATGGAAAAGGACGTTTCCAAGATCCCGTTGGACACACGTGGCTTGCCGCTGCGCCGCCTGGCGCAGTTCAGCAATGCGAGCACGGGCCTGCATCTGGAGGTTCACAGCACTGAGCCCGCGTTCCAATTCTACACGGGCAAGTATATCAACGTGCCCGAGATCAATGGTGCCCCGGCTCACCACGAGGGTGCTGGGTTCTGCGTTGAGCCCAGTCGGTTCGTCAATGCCATCAATGAGCCTGAGTGGCGGGGTATGGTTTTGCTTCGGCAGGGCCAGATCTTTGGATGCAAGAATGTGTACAAGTCGTGGAAGGCTTAGATTTCCAGAGTCGTGTGGATATGAGAATAGTCAAAAATGGCAAACACAACAAACAGAGACCAAACCATGTCAGATCTGGACTCGGCACCGAGGCAAGGTCCAGATGTACAGACAATTCCGAGTTTGTGTTCCGTGACACCTCCCCGATCCGATTTTCGGCCCGTAACACCTTCAGGTTTTTGACGTTTGGACAATCGATTAAATTAAAAAAAAAATCATAAAATAAACCGAGCTAAACTGAATTGGAAACATAAAACATCGAAACTCAAAAATAGACAATGCTAGTTTCAACGCCTATCACATTGAGCCGTAGAACCAAAACCAGGCAAACGCCTCGATTTCAAAGCAAGACCCCCCGTAAAATAAACCCCGAAAAGCCAAGACATTCTCAAATTCTCGAAAAATGCCCAAATAGGAAACCTCGGTAACGGATCCACCTCGGTTCCACAGGGATCCCGTTCGATGCCGTTTCCCGAGTGTGATATCCTCCGGAGAACGGCACCCACAACCGGGCCATCTCACGGATATATCACGGATATACATGCCACGGATGTTCCTCCAAACTTGCATAGTACCCAATTAGGCCTGGATCGGAGGATCTGCTCACTAGTCACGTTGACTATCTTTCCTGTGGGACTGCAAGCTTAGACAGTGTGGGTTTCCTGGGCTGCTGGGCTCAAGGGGTACATAGTCTATAGTGTGTGGTGCCGAGCATGGACCCGATAATGCGGTATGATGGCGTCGAACGGCCCGAATGGAGTTACTGTTCGCATGTACATGTACCTGGAAGTCCGTCCGTTCCTGGCGGTTGATTGGTTTATCGGATTTGCTAGTGATGATTATCGGTTTTGTGGATTTTGATCGACTGTTTTCCTAGTTGGGTTGTTCTTTGGTACATTCCATGCTCTTTTCGCGAAGATTATGGAGTCGATGATCTACACGAACCTTGAGCATTGCTCCATGATTACCATACAATATGAAGGGCCAGTGCGGTGAGATCTGCATTACCTGTCTACTGTACGGAGACCCGCAGTTCCTTTGCTGGAAGTTCTAGTGAAGGCTAAAGAGCATATAGGCTACTGTACATGGAGTCTATGGTGATCAATGGAAGATAGTCAGATGATAATGGTCAAAGCTGACGCTGAAACTAAAAGCTAGCTGTCTTTTGAACGCAATAATATGCCCAAACTAGCAACATAAGCCCCTAATTAACCAGAGCAAGAAGATCAATGTCTGTATACTTCCACGTGACCCGACCGGAACCGGAGAAGTTAGGAACTCCGGGCCGACGCACCCCGCGCGGGGAATTTCCAACTCACTTGATATTCAGAACAGGCCTCTTGGCTAATTGATCTACATCCTCGAATCTTGCATAATAACCGGCTACTCTACAATGGCTTTGGCTCACGGCGATCTACGGCACCTTCTGCCCGGCAATTACAAGGGCCTCATCACATCCTGGCTGGAAGAGGACTGTCCTAGCCTGGACTATGGTGGTTTCGTGGTTGGAGAGTCCGAAGGGGAAGCGCGTCTACTAGGCAAAAGCAATGTAAGCATTGATGTGCACAAACCCAATAGTATACCACGATACCAGCAAACTAACCACAAACTAGGGCATCGTCGCCGGCGTACCATTCTTCGACGAAGTCTTCAGCCAACTAGGCTGCACGTACGTCCACCCACATACCCCACAAAACAACATACAAAACAAACTGACAACCCCAGAATCGAATGGCACATCAAAGAAGGCAAAACAATAACCCCAATCCAACACTGCGCAACAGTCCGCGGCCCAATCCGCAAGATCCTCCTCGGCGAACGCGTAGCCCTAAACATCCTAGCCCGCTGCTCCGGAATTGCCAGCAAGAGCGCCTCAATGCTGTCCGCACTACGCGCCCAAGGGTGGCAAGGCACCCTCGCCGGAACACGCAAGACAACACCTGGTTTCCGACTCGTCGAGAAATACGGCATGCTAGCCGGCGGGGCGGATCCGCACCGCCACGATCTCAGTTCTATGACTATGCTCAAGGATAACCATGTGTGGGCGTGTGCTAATAACCGCTCTGCTGCTGATGGGGGTGTAGCGGACCCGTCGTCTATTGAGTCGATTGCGGCTGCGATTCCGCGGGCTGTTGCTGCTGCGAAGGCTACCGGTGGGTTCTCGACTAAGGTTGAGGTTGAATGCCGAAGTATTGAGGAGGCGAATGCTGCTATTGGGGCGGGGGCGGATGTGATTATGTTGGATAACTTTAGTGCAGAGGGGGTGCGGGAGGCTGCAGCTTTGTTGAAGAGAGAGTGGGCTGCTAAGAGGGCTTTCTTGATTGAGGTCAGTGGTGGGTTGACTGAGGAGAATGCGCCGTCGTATGTGTGTCCTGATGTAGATATCTTGTCTACAAGCTCTATTCACCAGGGGACGGGCATTGTGGATTTCTCGTTGAAGGTGTCGTTGCGGTGAAGTTGACATGGCGTGCATCATACAGTGCCTTGTTTGAATTTATCACCTGGACAAAAGATATTTACTTGTATAGCGTACATAACAAGAAACGAAAACATAATGGCCGCAATAAAACAGAAACGCCTTCCTCTCATGATCCTCGTGAATGATCATTACAAGCATATGCGATAAGTGTAATGTGGATGTGGAATGGGCGAAAGAAACTCCGACGCGGGGGTATATAATACAGGGTTTGGCCGCAGCGCCAGACAATCAGACCTCGATGTCTACCGTGATGCCCTCTCCTTCACTGGAGCTAGGCGCTTCGTCCGAGGTTTGGGGTCGGCGGTTGCCACTAGATGGAACAGGTCCCGAAGGGCCACGCCGTGTGCGTTCTCGGCTGAGTTGGTCTCGAAGCTTTTGATTCTCGGCATCACGCTCCTCGAGGCGTTTGCGAGCGCCACTGCGGTCCAGCAGACGACCTTCACGCTCGGATTTCAGTCGCTTCTCCAGTTCATGTAGACGGTGAACCCATTTCTCATCACTGGTATCCCTAGTTTCCCAGCCACCTTGCGAGCTGCGCGTGCGATGGACCATGGCTCCAGGGTTGTTAGTTAACGTGCTGCCGGATGAGGAGTGAGAGGGCTGCGGAAGACCCGTGGCACTGCGTGTGAGGGTTTTCTCTGGACGAGGTCTGTCACTAGCTGTGGAGCTTTGACGTGCCAAAGTGCGCTCCGGATCTGGTGCTGAGGCTAGGGAGGGGGACCGAGGTCCCGACATCACTGCAGCGGCAGCTGCAGATGCATGTCCGCGTGAATTGGTTTGGATCAGGTTGAGTTCAGCTTTCAGGAGTCGGTTCTCACCGCGCAGCTTGGAGATTTCTGAAGAGGAGCCCCCACGGCTGGTTCGCATATTCTTGACTGCTTCTTCAATGCGTTCGAGCTTGCGGATGCGTCCATTGTACGACTGCTCCAGAATGTGGTAGCGCTTGGTCATCTCGTGATCAACGGACTTGATACGATTCTTGAATCCAGCAATCACAGTCTCGACAGTCTTCATCGCAAGCAACAAGTTGCGGCTGAAGCCAGGCCAGAAAAGGATGTTACCAATGACTTCCTGGCTGGGGAGATTACCATTGATAAGACTGTTAGAATGCGCCCAGTCTGGCCCGCAAAGACCGGACATCCTCTTCCAGATAGCGAGGAACATGGTGTTGCGTTCGCTGAGCTGGTCCTTGAATTGCTGCTCCAGCGATGCATATCGCTTGCGATCCTGAGTACGAGCATTCTCCAGATCTGTGATGCGGGAGTTGTTCTGTGTAATAGTGCGCGAAGCTTGCTGGTGAGATTTGAGTGAAGATTCAAAGGACTGCTTGTCCGCCCGACGTGCTTGACGTTCACGGTCCAGGAGTTCTGAAAGTTTGCGAGACTCAAGTCCATGGCTTTCGAGCAAAGCGTCGCGGTTGCGAAGCACTGACTCCTTCTCATCTAGTTGCGAGCGGATGCTCTCCAGCTCAAGTGCGGTTGACTCTAGCTCCTTTTGTAGCTTCATGATATTGGTGATCAAGCTAGATCGGCTGCCGCTGAGATCACCCAAGGTCTCTCTCAAGTTATTTTCAAGGTCCATTAGTCGTTCGCGCCAGGTCGATGTCTCGATCTCCTGAGCGGACAGGCTCTTCTTCAGTCGTCGGACTTCCTCCTTGGCAGCAGAGGCTTCGCGGTTCAGTTCGTTCATGATGCGCTGAACATCTTGCTTCTCCTTACTGCCAACCACCTCTCGTTGGTGTCTTTCGTCGGCCAGACGTTGCTCGAGTTCCCTAGTCTTCTCTTTCTCACTCATAAGGCTCATGTGGTAGTTCTTGAGCTCAGACTCAAGATCACCAATGCGGATCTTGTCGCCATCTTGCTCTTCGCGGAGGAAGGCGATCTCGTTCTGGCTTGACTCGATTTGCACTGTCAGTCGTTGAACCTTGGTGTTGGCCTCGAAGAGACTCTTCTCCACAGACTCCATCTCGCGGTTGGTTTCCTCGAGCTCTTGCTGCACGGACTTGTATGCCGCCAGGTTGTTCTGTGCATCTTCCTCGAGACGGATGATACCCTCACTGGCAGAACGCATTTCCGCTTGCAAGACCTTGAGACTCTCGTCCTGGTTTCTCAGGTCCTCGTTCAGGCGCTGGCACTCCACAATCTTCTGATCCAGTTCGTCTCCAAGGCTGTCTAACTCATCTTGAGCCTCGGCTCGCAGATCCTGGAAGGCGGCATCCCGTTCATCTGCAATTTGCATGGCGTGGTCTCGTTCTTGGGTGAGGCCTTGGATCTCTTCTTCGGCTTGATCCACATCTGCCTGATAAGCCTTGTCAAGAGCCTCCAATTCTCCCGAATATTCCTCGACCTGGGCTCGGAGAGCTTGGTTATCGAGTTTGAGGGTTGACACTTGGTCACGCAGGTGACCATTTCGTGCTTCGAGTTCATCACGGTCTAGGTCGCTGCGAGACAAGCCTCCGTCGCTAGCCTGAGAGGATGGTCGAATATGGGCGCGTGAGGCAGAGCGATCAAAGATACTGTCTCCGGCCACTGATCGGGCAGTATCGCGACGCTGGCCCAGTTTCAATTCTTCTATCTCCTGGTAGAGACGTTCCTTCTCGCGGTTACGAGATGTGAGCATCGAAGTTTGGGCGCTAACCTCCTTTCTCAGCTCCGCGTTCTCCTGTTTTAAGAGACCCAGCTCCACAAAAAGTGTGCTGTTGGTAGCCGGAACCCGGTTGCCATCTCTGTCAGAGAAGTATGAAACTTCACTTTGATGTTGACCAGACTTGGTAGTTGAATACATTTCGCTCCGCAGGCGGATCGACTCGTCACGAAGTCTCCGGTTCTCATCCTCAGCCTGCTCACGCGCAGAGGTTTCTGCGTCAAGCATATCCTTCCACATATCCTAGACAGCTGATTAGCCAGGAGAACATATATCATTTGCGTATGACTTACTCGCTCCTCCCTCGCACCGGCATCGGACTCGCCGGCGCGGTTCTCGCTGAGCGACTTGACCATCTCAGCCAATCGTCGCTTCTCGCTTTCTCTCGCAATGCTTTCCGATCTCATGCGCTCAATCTCGAGCTCGTAAGTCTCAACACGCTCACGTAAGAAAGCAATCTCCCCATCCTGCGCCGAGTCACGATCACCGTCTTCTGACCCTTCGGGATCATGGTTAACCATAGACTCCTTGTCTGACTGCTGATCCTTGACTTGCTTTTCCAAGTCCCGGATCTTGCGTTTGAGGTTTTGGTTGTCCTTTTGCAGCTTGACCTTGTCAGACTTGAGCTCAACGTTCTCCCCAATCATCTCTTTGATACCTTCCTCGGAGCGTCTGTTCAGCGCCTCATTGAGGAAATGAACTCGCATTTTGAGGTCAAAGTTGTCCTTTGAGAGACGATCAATGGTGCTGCTCTGTTCCTTGAGAGTCAATGTTCGGCCACTCTTGCCAAATGTCGGGGTCGAAGCTCCGGGCCTCTTCTCAGGAGACGGTTGGAGATCTTCCCGGAACCGCTGCGCAAAGGTAGTAGGGATTTGAATCCCCTTGACGCGCTCGGTAATCACTGTATCGGTAGGGGGGTTGGTGTCTTGTGGTTTCGCCCTTGGCGTCACCGGTGCGGATACATCATCGTAGTTGACTTGCTGCCGGGAGCCAGGTCGAGACTGTGGCGAGCTCTCCTCCTCCAATGTATGAAGGCCTCCATCTGCTGGGCCCATTATATTGCCCTTCTCGACGGAGTTTTCTTCGCTGTATCCAGAGACGCCTGATGCCATGCTTCCGAGACTAGTAGTCCGGGTCATTTGAGCTCGACTCGGAGCTTGGAGGCCACTCCAGTTCTCGGGAATTGCGCCTCCAGTTTGAAGAGCATAGTCCGCACCCACTGTAGCATCGCTATTTGTTGTTTCGGTTTTGTGGCTCGCGACCGAGGATTGAGAAAGGCGATGGGCTGATTGGCGGCTAGTCAGATATTTAGGTCGACTGGCTCTGCGACTACTAGCAGCACTGCCGTTCTGGTCACTGAACAATCGCGACGCGCCGGGCGATAAGCTTCGGTCGGTGTTTCGAAGCTTGGAGGGTGTGAGTTGCGATTCATTCTCGGTCATAGAGAATTCAGATCGGAAGGGGCGCTCGTCCTGAGAGAACTGGCTGTTGATTTGCGCATTTTCCGACAAGGTAGACTGGTTACGCCGGAGGGCTGCTGCGGTCGTGGGCGACGAGGCGCGTGAATCAAAGATACTATCGCCATGTTGTTCCTGCTCTTGTTCCTGCTCTTGCTCCTGCCCCTGTTCTTGTTCGGGTTCCGTAGACCCAGTAGGTGCCGGCCCGTCTATCTTTCCTTCTTCTTCTTCTTCTTCTTCAACATTCTCCTGTTGCTGGTTGTGGTGTGCATCGGTAGATTCACTGAACGAGAGCTGTGATGAATCGTTCTGCGAGATATCGTGATCCTTTGGGACTCCCACCAAGTATGTATCATCTGCACCAGCTGTAGCGCCTTTCGTGGCGACATCAATTGTTGAGGGTTCAGGGAGAAAACTTGACTCGATATCCATCAGTTTGCGGCGCATCTCATGCTCCTCAATGAGGGTCTGGTTGTTGGCGCGTTCGTGGTCGCCATTCTCGCTGGATAAAGGGAAAAGACTGCTCTGGTCGTGGTCAATCATCGAAGGAGTAAAGCTGTGATCACCAAGGTCGAGTTGCGCCGAAGTCATGGTAAATTCAGGGTCCTCCATCTCGCTTTCTGGAGCTGTAGGCGCGTCGTGCTCTGTCACCGGAGGGGGTTACCCCCTGCTTCCTCTGCCATGAAGTATTGGGAACTGAGATCATCCAAGGACTGTTCTGGCGTCTGGAACGTCGAATAAGACGGGGAATTGATCGGAGTTGAAACGGTGACGGTGCCTAGGCGTGTTTGGGTCTCCACACCTTGCGACTTGCTACCCGCTTCGATCGACGAATGAGCGTCCATGTTGTATCAACAGGCACAGGAACAGGCACAGGTACGATTCATGGATGTGATGTATATGATGGATGGGTGAGAGAATTACAAAATTTGGCACATTCGAATTTAATCTGGAAGGAGCAACGGCGCACTTGATGGAATCAGCTGCCACCGTCACGCATAACCAGAGTATCGCGTATAGCTGGTATAGTTCGTAACTTAGCTTTCTACGGTAGTCTTCTTTACGCGCAATATGCAGAGTATTCATAGCATTCTAAACAATCATGGTATCCATAGCATCACATAACCGTCCCAACATTAAACAGAATAATCAGTAATCCACGCCCCAAGCATACCCGGGGAACACTATAGCCACAGAAGAAAGTAAACAAAAATTGGTAATGTCAAACAACAAAGACGGGATATCGCTTTGGAAGTATGTATTAGGGACAGTTCCAGGCCGAGAAGGTATGTACAAGTCGGAGAATCGGGGAGGAAGGAGAAGTCAATTATGCGACTGCAGTGTGCTCCACAGTCGCCTCCTCGGCCGGAGTGGTATTATCGCTGGTAGAAGCGTAGATCTTCTCCTTTGAATTGATAGCGTTGCGCAGGGAATCGATATAAGTGCGGAATTTGACAATCTCCCGCAACAGATAGGATGATTTTCGTTCCCAGTTGGCCATGGCTTTGGCGGCGTTGGGATGGCGCGGAGAGAACGCCAAGTTCATAGCAGAGCGAAGTTCATTGTGTCTGGAAAGATCGTCCTCGACGTTCTTCACATAATCTTGCAGAGATTTGAACTGATCCTCTTCCGTGAAGTTGGAAGCAACCATGCTCTGTTGCGGCGGACTCCAGTCACTGATGTTAACCCGATCTGCGGGGAGTCTGGGCCGCACGCCCTGTTGATCGATGGAGCTTCGGATGGAGCTCTGAATACTCGGCCGTGCTCCCGACGAAGGTGGTGGAGATCGACTTTCACCTCCAATCAGGGCACTGTTGATGACAGCGTCACTCCATCCATATTCGATGTTGCTAACACCCCCAACAAGGGGTTGCTTGGACAATCGAGCACTCCAGTAGTTGGCAGTGGAGACGAATTCTCGTACGATTTCGGGGGTTCCAGCTTGGAAGAGATGAACCGCTCCTGTGGGCAAACTCAGTGCCCACACATGAGGACGAGACTTAGAGTAACCAGGCGATGGCAAAGCGCTGGCGATCGTCTGGCGTAGCATGAACTTCCAAAGCTCCTCCGCATTTTCCGTCCAGTTACCACCGCCGACCACCACCCCACCGCGTTGTTTGGCCTTAGCCCGCATTGACTTGGTGGTGTTGGTGAATGAGAACAGACGCATCCAGCCTTGTTGGATGACCGCAAAGCAGTCATTCCAGTTGCGGTCCTTGGCTCTCTTATCCACCGCATCGAGATGATGCTTGTGCTTAAGGCTTCCTTCTTTGGCCCATGGAGCACCGGCAAGGGCTAAGGTCTCGTCTGCAAGTAGAGGAGTGGTTGGCTCCTCGTAGCTGTATACAGAAGTAGCCGAGTCCTCGCGGATGATGGCCTGACTCAGAGCATTGGCGAAACCAATAGACTGTTGGTATTCGCCACGGGGGAAGTCCGAGCCAAAGGAATCCACTGAAGCCGAGGTGAACTTGCCCAGAGAATATTTGCTCCAGGTGCTGGACCCAGTCGGACTCCAAACGGAAGATTGGTCGTCCAGGCTGGTTCGACTGGAGCCCATCATTGAAGGAGGATACAGTCGGCCCGCACGCGAGCGAGGCTTGGATGACCATCGTGCAGCCCCATGACGCGAATCAGCAGAGCGGCCTCGGGGATAGATATCGGAGCCACTCTTGCTGATTGTGCTGGGACTTCTGCGAAGCGTGCTGGAAGAGGGACCCAGGAAATTGTTGGATGCCATGCGTGACACCTCTCTCTCCGGCTGAGCACCGAACAGAGGGAGTCTTTGCTTTTGAATGGAGGTGTAGAAGTCTTTCAGAACAACCTCAACTTGTTGCTCCCATGCCCTCACGGTTCCATTGAACGGCGTGTTGACTAATGGGCCCGCATCAACATTAGCCTCGCTGTCTTTGTCTAATGAGTTGCGATTGACATCGGCGGGGAAAGTTGCAGAGCGTGCCGATGTAGGGGCAGAAACAGATTCTGGGCGCCGATTCTCAGTTCTGGGGCGAATTGGACGCAGAGTTTCGAAGCCCTCGGGTGCAGCATCCATTGCCACCCGATGAATAGTGGGCATGGTGTTGCGGACGAACTGAGACTTGGTCATCTTGGAATCGATGTCAGCCAAGTGTAGGTCGGTATTGAGCAATAGAATGGAGTAGCAAATAGTGTGAACAACGTCAGTAGCCTTGAAGCCATGACTCGGGTTGCAATCACACCATCGAACCGAGAACGCATCTAGTACTCGGTCCACCTGTTGAGTTTCTCCCTTCAGCACCAAACGCTCACAAAGAGACCGGAGGGCTGCAACGATATTGAGATTGGACCAATTGAAAAGTCGCATGTACGCTTCTCGGATTGTTGCTCGATCAGGATCGCCCAGCCAGGCGGCAGCTGGCTCATTGCCTACAACCTCGTCCTGGCTATCAAAGAGCTTTTGGGCCTGTTCTCGGTCTGCTGCCGTGGGCCCATCTTCGACCGCCTCACCTGGTCCGTCTGAACTGTCTGCACTGTCTGCAGTTCCAGGTGCGGCCTTGAGTTCTTCTTGCTCAATGAGTGGAGTGTTGGCAGCTGTTTGGTATTGCGATGCCTCTGAAACAGATTCCACGGGAGATTCGCAGGGCATGTCATCAGGAAGTACCAGTTTGGCCACATTGATGCGAGGAGGCTCTTTAGTAGAACTGATGCTGCGCGAGAAATCTTCCACCACAGGGGACAAAGCCGCAGGGGCACCGTTGCTTTGGGGCTTTTCTAGAAGGACCGGGTCGGTAGACACTTCAGCATTCGGCGATTGAACACGATTATCTACGGGTGCCAAATGATCTTGACCACGAGGGGGAGCAGAAGGCGGAAGAGAAGCTCTGGCTTTGGGAGCACCAGGGGCCGATACACTCTCTCGTTTCTTCTGTGCTTGCAAGAATGCTGGCTCTCGTACCTGGGCCTCCCAGTCCGAGATTTCTTTGTTTTCTTTGTTGTCTGGTACATGGTCGAGATACGGGTTCATGACCTGCCGCAAACTGCTCACAGGGCTTGGCTGTGGTTTCGTGGTATCCGTATTGTTAGACGCAAGATGCTGTGGAAGCACAATGGGCGGGGGAACGTGGTCAGCCACTGACTTCTTTCTTCTACGGAAGAACGAGGACTTTTTGTTCACTACCTGAGGTGGCCCTGTGCGCATAGGAGACGGAGAAGCACCCGCTGAGCTCTTAGGAGCCTGGAGATTTCGTGCCTTCAGGTTGGCAGTTGCCCCATTGTTGTCCTTTGGCTCGGGATCCTGGAGGTATGATAGATCGTTGGCGTTGTAGCTGGGCGAATCTGCAGGCCCAGGAGCCTGGACCTTGGATCCAAACACACGTCTGAAGAAGCCTGGGCGTTCTTTTGCATTGGCACCGCTGCCGTTGGATGTGATGGTTGTAGTTGTCACGACTGGGTCTGCTGGAGGGAAAGCTGGCTTGTTATACGAAATTGTCGGACTAGGCGCGGGAGGGTCCAACGAATCCGAGATGGCCGGCGGGGGTTCAAGATCCGTATCACTCATATTTTGGAATTCATTATCCCGAACTTTCAGGGTCCCCGTGCCGATGTTATCAGGGCGAGTCTTCCGCACCTGAGGAGCAGCAGATTTCGGGCTGGTTCGTCGCGATGCCACCGGTGTTCTCGAAGATGCCGTAGTTGGTGTCTTGCTATAGTCCGGAACCTTTCGTGGTCCAGCTGGGACACTTGGAGTGGGCGCAGCATCATTATCGTCGTACGGCATCGAATCCTGCCCAACATTAGGTTCCGCATACGGAACATATGCTCGTTTAGGTCCGCAATCGAAACTGTTTGACCGTCGGTCCAAGCCCTGGTCCGTTCGTGCTCTGGGAATTGTAAAGGAGTAGTCTGCGGCGGATGACGAGCTCCCCTTGCTACCTTGACGGTGGTTGTTTGTACGTGGCATGGTTCCACCAACACGTGAGCTCATTGCGTCTCCGCCGCGAGAGCTTCCCATCCGCCTCGGTGCTGTTTGGTGGTTGGAGCTGCTGTTGCTTCGTCGGCCCTTGGTGGCTGTGATCGTTGCATACCGGCCACTACCATCATCGTATCCATAGTCTGGTTCTGACGACAGTGACGAAGAGAAAGTGTGGCCCCGGTACCTGCCGTGCGAATTCGACTCTTGCGAGTAATGACTGTGTTGGTCGGATTCAAAGGCTGAATTAAACAGGCGGTAGTCATCCAGAATGGACGAGCTGGGGGCGAATTGATCCAACGAAAGGAGCATGTTATCGACGATAGAAGTTCGAGCTGCATGTTTCGGGGACAAAGACAGGTCATGGGGGTCTCGTTCATCTCCAGATTCGCTGGCTCTTGCGGCATTCTCCCTGAGGGCGTCAGGGAAGGCATCGCGGATGGATGGTCGAGTTTGATACCCGCGCTTCGAGGGATTGTATCTCGCGGTCTGAGAGGGAGGGGTGCGAGGAGGGGAATTGGCAGCTTGTGCTTCCCGTTGCTGGGACATTATCGCGCTAGGCAATGTTAATACTTGTTCCTAGGGGTGTCAATTTTGATTTGCGCGAGGGGGAGCACCAGTGCAATTGCCCTCAACGTGGGACAGGGGAGTCGAAGATCAAGGGAGTGCCAGCGCATACCTAATATGCCCAAGGCCAGACAATCAGGCCAGAAAGAAAGTGGGAGTTGGAGCCCAGTCAAGGAATGAATCAGCGCATTGCAAGGGTCCAAACCCGCAAAGAGTGGAATTGCCGTTGGCCTTTGCAGGAGAGAAACCGGGGGCGGGACGAACTCCTGAGATTTGGCCGAAATAAAGTTACCGAATAAGATACTCAACTTGTTCAAAGGTGTACAGTTAGTTATGATTAAGAAGGACTTGATCGTTGGAACAGGGGAAATTACTCGAGGAAGTTCGAGACTAGCATCTGCCAACACACACTATACATGCAGATTCAGGGGTTTCAGGTCCCTTGAAGTTCTGCTTATTACTCTGAAGCTTCCAAATTGCCAAATTGCCAAGTTGCCAAATTGCCCAATTTTTCTGTACGGACTCCGTCTAGTGGAGCAGTGGGGGGATGGATCCAATATCGGCGATTCGCAGGGAACTGGTGTACTTTGTGTTCGGAGGTTTCAGATGTGATATATCATCGGAAGAATCAACCTATAGAACCAGAACCAAACTCGGTTCATGCAACAGCCAACTCTATGTCATGAAATCGATTTATCAAAACAATGTCATGGTAAAGCCATTGACTATTTCGTTAGCCCCTTGCAGAGTGGATTCTGAATACTGTAACTCCGTATGCCTCTCCGATACGTATACGAGTGGAATGACCACTGGTCCAGAAGTATGAAACTCAAGTGTGATATAATCCAACTTCGTGCAGACTGCACAACCGCTGTCATACCATGCAAGGAAAGTGACCTGCCAAACATGATGTTATTCGAGACAAAACGATATATACTCACGTGACCCCGATGACATAACGGGGCCGCCTGCTTGGACACACGTCCAACTGTTTGCACCGATTCCCCGGGGAGCTCTTTAAACAGCCGGGCCTTCGATCATGAACCCTCACATCTCCTTGCCCCGCCAACATGCCGGCTCTGCCAACTTCGGCTCCACGCCTGCAACCCGCGGGTCGAGTGTACGGATGCCGCGCTTCTTTAAGAGGTAGGGACCGGACCACACCATACTAGACTGACAAAAGGGAACAAACAATAGCTGATATACGATTGGAGCAACAGACTCTTCAAGTTCCCTCAAATGGACTTTGAGATGGCCATTTGGGAGATGACATCTTTGTTGATTGCGCCCAAGAAGGTCTTCAAATCGATATACTACCATGTAAGTGGGATTGCCGAGTCCATTCTCTTGTATTTTGCTAATCACGCGGGGTTTCAAAATAGAAACGTGAGTTCTACTTCAGTCGACGCCCAGACACCCATGGACATGACCCGGAATCACCAATCACCCTGAACGACATTGACCTCTCGATTAGAAACCAAAAACACATGGCATCGCCCTGACCCGTCATTCACCTACCTCCTATCATTCTTCCTTCTCCTCACAGCCTTTGCCTGGGGTCTCGCCTACACACCCTCCTTCGGCGCAATTGTACGCCTAACGATCTTCTTCGTGTTCGTGCACTTCATCGGCTCGTCGCTCTTCATCTCAACAGTTGGATACTTCGTGATTGGAAAGCTATTTGGTCCCAATGGCGCGGCGGCCTCTCTAGCTGGCTTGCGGGGTTCCCGTGGCCGAAGACGGGGAGCCGCACAGGGTCTCTTCATGCAGCCAGGAGAGAAGGACCAATTGGAGTTTGGATATTGTTTTGATGTAAGACACATCTACCACTTACTCGATGAACTATTCTGACCTCTTCTAGGTGTCCAACCGTGCCTTCTTTCCCCTCTACCTTCACCTATATGTGGTGCAATTCCTCCTCTTGCCCCTGCTCACCCGCAGCCCGAGCAATTTCCTGGCTACTTTCCTTGGCAACTCGCTCTACCTCTCCGCCCTCATTTACTACACTTACATCACCTTCTTGGGGTACAATGCTCTTCCCTTTTTGCACAACACCGAGCTACTCCTCTTGCCTATCCTTATCTTCGCTATCATGTGGCTGGTCAGCTTGGTTGCCGGTTGGGGCATCGTTATGCAAGGCCGCAGCGTTGAGGGGTTGTTCTGGGGCGTGTGAAATGGACCCTTTGAAAGCTTAGCGCAATAGACTCTGCTCCCCGGGTATGACATCTTCCCTATGAAGAGTCGGGGGATATATTCCCCGTGTATGAACCTTGATATACCCTTTCATGGTTCCTTTTCCTTTTTTCTTCTGGCTCATACATTACCAAAAAGAGCTACTTATGCTGTGTCTATCTAATGCTGGAGGCGTCGGTGTACATGATTTCAATTTCAATTTTAGGGCCAGGCATCAGGGCAGGTAGTTTTGTTACTCGTGTCTACTAGATGAGTATATCAACGTTTTATTTTGTTTGCACCTAGTGGTCTAAATTCTCAACATTTGAACACATCCCATGCATCTCATAATCACATAACCATTCAACCTTGGAAACCCTTATTTCTTCTTACCACCAAGCTTCTTAGATCCCTTGCCCATGGCAATTTGACGCAACTTAGCCTCCCGCTCCTGGTTGATAAGCTCACGCTCCTTAGCCTGTTCATCCTTCTCTTCCTGCTCAGCCAGCTTGCGCAGGCGCTCCTGCTCACGCCTCTCGCGCACAAGAGCCAGACGGGCAAGATCAGCCTTGGCCTCATCAGTCTTACCCTCAGCATGCAGCTTCTGGTAACGCTCACGGGCCTGCTGGGCCTGAAGAGCCTCACGCTCCCGGCGCGAAAGCTGCGAGATATCCTTGACCTTAGCGGGCTTCTTGGGCTCAGCAGCGGGCTCAGCGGCGGGCTTGGACGTCATCGAGCGGGACTTGGCGGTGTGGTTGGGGTTGGCGGGGAGGTCGTCGTCGGATTCTTCCGAGTCTGAGGGGGGCAGGTCACCGGGCTGTGCGGCTTGCTGGCCGCGCTTCTTCATGGCTGCTAGCTTCTTGGCTTTGGCGGCTGCGCGACGCTCTTCACGGGTTCCTGCGCCTGTGGATGCTTCGGGCTTGGACTCGTCCTCGCTCTCTTCTGAGGAGCTTTCTTCTTCTGAGGAGGATTCTTCTTCGCTGGATGACTTGATGCCATCCTCTGGTTCCTGTTCGTAGAGAGCTGGGTTAGGCGGGGGGTTCTTGTGTTTTGGGGATTCGGGCTTTTTGGTCCACGTACCCGCCAGAGACCAACTTGGTTGCCATCCTTGTCTAGGGGGTTGAGATCTCTGCTGAAGTGCTTGCCGCCTGTTGTTTTATCAGTGTCGTTGCTTTATCTTTGTTTGTCACACGATCATACCTCCACGAGAGGGCTTGGAGAACTTTCCTCCACGACCACCGCGCGCCATTTTGTAGATTGGATAGAGATTCGGGGGTATCTGTTGACTTCAAAGAAAGCAATGCGTATCTAAGAGCGAAGAGAGGTTAGAATAGGGTTTTCACAAAGGGTCTCAGGCGCACAGAGGGGCAAAGCGGGGGGGCACCAGATAACAATGCGCCAGAGACCAGAGACAGAATACCAGAAACTCCAAGACTCAAAACAACTCACCTGTGCAGTGTATCAAGTGCAAATGTATCGAGTGTTGAGGGAAGATCAGGCAAAAAGTGGAAACGAGTCACCGCGCAGGCATTAATCACATGTGGGGAACTTTTTTGGCAAACCACAACGCTTCGATTTCGACGTTAGGGCTTCGATCATTATTCATTACCTATGTTATGTATATGTCACGCTATATGGATGGTATGATATGCTATTTACTCGATCCCTTGCTTAGACTCGCGCCAATCCAGTGCCCACCTTGGTCACTCGGGCCCCAGTCAGGGTGATTCCACCAGCGATGATCGCACTTCCCATGAACATCTGGGCATACAGATAATTGCCATCGTCACGCTCAACCAGTGCACCAGCAATAGGCGATCCAATGAGAGCAGCCACAGCTACTACGCTGAGCACCATGCCCATGCGCACGCCGATCTTCTTGAGATCAGTTGTGAGGGTGCTGAGGGTGGCGGGGAACAATGACTGAATGCCAGCCGCGAAGAGACCATAAAACACAGCGAATGTCCACAATCCTCCCATACCTTTGACGGCCGCCCAGCAATAGCCTACCAGGGCCGTGGCGAAACTGAAGGGAATCAACAGGTTGAGAGGCCCAGTGAACAGATCAGCGAGCAGATTGGGGACCAGTCGACCGACCAGACCGACTCCGTTCATGACCAAGAGCAGATCAATCGATCTATTCGTGGATACACCAATGATGTTGCGACTAAAACTGCCGATATAGAAGAAACCGACATACAACCCCCAGAAGTTCAAGAACATGCCAATAGCAAATAGCAGGTACGGCATCTCAGTGAACGCAGCCCACTCAACAAGCGGGCCACTCTTGCGCGGCGGAAGGCGCTGCTTCAAGAAGAGCACACAAGGGATCAACGTGGCCAGCGAAATAAAGCCCAACGTCCGCACCGTCCACCCGTACCCAACAGCAGGCAGCATACGCATGATAACAGCCGGGAAGACCATTCCACCCGTGGCCGAGCCGGAAGCCACAATTCCAATAGCAATACCCCGATTCTTCACAAAATACGTCGAAACAAGAGCCAAAGTCGGGCAAAACATAAGTCCACACCCAATGCCCTGCCCAAGACCCTGAGCCAAGAACAACTGCCAGTACTTCGTACACAATGAAGTCATAAAGATACAAAAGACCTCAAGGGTAGCCCCAACTGCAAGCGTAACCTTGAAATACCCAGCATCAGTGGCACGCCCAGAAAAAGTCCCAATAAAGAACAACAAGAAGATCTGAATACTGCCCACCCACGAGATATCCGAAGGCGGGTGACCCAGTGTCTGGGTATAGTATGTCTGGAACACACCAAAGCTATTGATATAACCCCACGTATTGAAGATGACGAAATGCGCCAGTGCAACCTGAGACCAGGCCTGGAACCCGCCGTCGGGGGGTGGGCCTAGCGATTTGCCGGATTCTTTAGTCCGCACGGCTGACAGTGTGCGTGATATGGCACTTGCTGTTGTTGGAACGCGGTCGAGGGCATCGTGGGGTTGTGGGGGTTCATCGTAGCCGATTGTTGACTCTTCGTCTGAGGATGCGCTGCGTGGGCGCGGGGTGTGATCTATGCTGGAGGATTTTTCGAGGTCATGGTTTGTCTCGGAGGCCATGCTTGACGGTCTCTTTTCTATTTCTGGTTGTGGCATTGCGTTGGCCATGGTGGTTTAAAGTATGGCACTGTGAGTCATGCCGCGGAGATGCAGATTGTAGACTGTGGATTGTTGGACAAGCCTGTCTTTCAAGGAGAAATTTGAGGAGAAATCAAGTCCAATGAGTCAAAATGAAGATCGGGGAGAAAAAACTTGCCCGAGTTATAGCGGGATTGGTTCCGATCCCAGGCTCGCAAAGATGGCCGAGTGCGCCTTTCCGATGGCACGGGTCCACTTCCGTGACATAACATGGACTTGTACTTGTGCATTGGGCATCAAGTTATGTGCGTATATGAGTATAGTGTGCCTAATGTGAGCTACATGTAAGTCCATTCAGAGGGATGCAAGTACACGGAGAACTGATGCTTTTCCCGAGTTCTGCACTACTTCCTCCGGTGCAGTTCATTTGCCGTCGAAGTATAGAACTACATGTACTCTGTAATACTGCAAAAGAGCATTGATACCCCAGTGCAGGATATATACATAAACCTGATACTGAATATATGAAGACCCACAGATATTGCTTTCTCCATACTGATATTGCGCAATTGTCCGGGGTCCCCGCAGAAAAACCGGCTGTCTCGGATACGGTTGAAATTCGGACACTTCTAAGTACATGCCATCTATGGGATTACAATGCCACTCCAGAAATTAGAAAGCAACGGGTGGATGTGCTATGATAAAAAAAAAAAAAGGCAAACCATCTTCAAGATCGTTTGCGATGAATCCGGCATGCCGTGGCCGAGGCCGGTGTTACTGTAGTGTGAGGTCGTTTATCTGGTGGTCTGTCTCAATGGTCTTGGTTGGCGCTGCTAAAGAGCATTTGGATCGATCCAATAACATCGGCTGGCTCCAACAAGTGCCAGCTGGCATCAGTTTGCTTCGAACTGGCGCCGACGGTGACTGAGTACACGTGATCACGAGGGAGTTCGAACTTCTTCAAAGCGCGGAACATATCTAATATAAGGTTAGCCAGGTTCTTTCAACCGTTAGGTATGTTGCCAAATCTGACCTTCGTCGGTGAAATCATCACCCAGACACAAGATGAACTCCGGTGCTTTTCCTGGCCCAGTACCGTATTCATTGACCAGACGAGTTGCGATGAAACCCTTGTTGACAAACGTAGGTCGCACTTCCAGATTGGCCTTGCCTGCCATGACCTCCACATCCCACCGTTTGGCAACGGTGTCCTCCAATTCCTTACGACACTCACGAGCTTGGAAGGCACCGTACTCCGGGTCAGCCCGACGATAATGCCAGGTCAATGCCACCCGCTTCCGTTCAATGAATGAACCCTGTGTGCGCTCAGTGTAGTGCTGGAATACGTCGACAACTTCCTTCTGCCAGCCCATATCACTCCTTTCGGCCAAGTTCTCCCAATCATCTGATCGAGGCTGTCGGATGAAACAACCGTGCTCGGCACTCAATCCAAGTTCCGGGATATGGCCCATCCACTCATCCAGGAAGGCCTGGTCTCGTCCACTGATAATCCAAACAGCATTTCGCGGGTCAGCAGACAAGCTTTTGAGAGTACGAAGCACCCGGTCTGAAGGAATGGCGGCCTGCGGGTCCTTGACAATCGGTGTCAATGTGCCGTCGTAGTCAAACATGAAGAGACGCTTTCGAGCCTTGCGGTATTGTCTCATCAATTTTGCGCGATCAAGCGCCGGTGTAGCAGCGGACTGGTCAAAGGACGAAAGGTTGGTTAGTAGGCGGTTGAGATATTGCCTTGACCACATCGCAACTGTGTTGGTGAGCACATGCTTGTAGAGCTTTACGTGCTGGTCCTTGCGCAGATCTGGAGGCATATTCAATGCTTGGTCAATGGCCTTGGCCACTCCACCAAGATCCCACGGGTTGATGTGGATAGCGTTAGGCAGGGTACCCGCGGTACCAGAGAATTCTGAAAGAATCAAAGGGCTGTGGTTGGTTTGCTGGCAGACGATATACTCCAGACTGGTTGTGTTCATACCGTCTCGTACCGTGGTGATCAATCCGACATCAGCCACGCGCAAGAGAGCGAAATACTCGCGCGGAGACAAGTATTGTGGGTAGTACTGAACAGGCGAGAAGCTCAGCGAACCAAATCTGCCGTTAATGGTCGAAACCAAGTTGGAGATTTGACCAGCAATCTTATTGTCGGGGTCCTCTTTCTCCTCTTCCACACTAGTCGGACTTGTCACTTGGATGAGAACAACTTTGTTGCGCCACTCGGGGTAGCGCTCTAAGAAGATTTCAAATGCCTGGAGTTTCTGCGCCACACCGCGAACACTGTCCAACCGATCGCGGCCAACAATAATTTTCTTTCCGGCATAGAGCTTGCGAATCCCCAGCACTGCCTTTTCTATATCCGGGGCCCCGAAGGCAGCCTTTTGAATGGCACGTGCGTCGATACCAATAGGGAAGACATCCACTGCGACATGAGCGCCGTAGGCATCGACACCAGCAGAATTGGATTCAAAGCCCAGGACACGGGTGCAGCATGAAGTAAAGTGACGCGAGTAAGAGAATGTCTGGAATCCAATCATGTTTGCACCAAGCACTCCTTCCAAGATTTCCTTGCGCTTCGCCAGGCACCGTACAAACTCGCTGCTGGGGAAGGGCGAGTGGAGATAAAAGCCCATCTTGATGTTGGGAATGCGTTGCCGCAACATACTGGGCAGAAGGAACAAATGATAATCATGGATCCAGACCACATCTCCCTCCTGGTATTCTTGCACAATTCGATCGGTGAACAACTGGTTCAAACGGACATAATCGACCCACCAGCGTCGCTCAGATCGGCCATCTGTTGGGCCGTGCTGCTTGTAGTGGAGAAGAGGGTAGAGTTCACGTTCTGCGTAACGGCGCCACCTCCCCTGATCTTTCAATAGGATGGTCTCTTCGGGTTCCTCGGGGGCATCTGACAGCCACACTGGTACCACCTTACCGTGGCGACCTGTGCTCAACTTCTCTTCAAGCTGCTCTCGTTCCTTCGGGCTGACCTTGATTCCCTCCACCAATGGGTGGGCAGGTGGCTTTTGGGTTGCATCCACCGGTACCGGAGCAGTAGCCTTGTTCAGTGTTTGGTTGACAATAGCGCTGTTTGGGGTTGCAGGCAACTTGGCTCCAGCATTTGCCTGGATCTGCTGTAGTGGTGATTTCAGATCCACAATTGGCTCAACCTCTCCGGTCCAGCCTACCAGGGTATGGGACCATGTTGTCTCGTCCGAAGCCAGATGTGCGAACGAGTCAAAAAGTGCCGAGGTACCGGATCGTGGTTTGAGCTCCTGTTGTGCATTTTGTCAGTGTGATCCTCTTTGGAATTGTATTCCTTCACGTACCCAGTCCGATCCTGATTTAAAGCCGATCTTGTATGGTATACAGAAGGCGGCACTGATAAGGCGGCCACTCAGACGAAGGCCTGGATGTTGCACACGGGGGTCCATCTCGGGTGATGTAGGTGTATCAGACGTCAAGCTCAGGCGGCGCAGCAAGTCCATACCAGAGGATGCTTTCCTTGCACTCTGCACTGGGTTGGTGATGTCGGCGGGGTCGGCGTCCACCGGCGAGTCCCCGGGAACGTTGTTGAAGTATGAAGGCATCGCATCCGTTTCCACAGCAGGGGTTGCATTGGTCGCTTGGGTATACGCCTGCTCCTTCAGGGCCTTTAGCCCGGGACCAACAAGCACAGGGTTCGGCTGGCCGTCGGGGACTTCGGCGGGGCTCTCTGGTTGAGACATGATGATCGTGGAGTGTATCGAAGATCAAGATACGATGAGACTACCTAGGTAGCAATGAGGCAAGACTTCCTGTAATCACATGCGTTAATGATGTGGAAACCTTGAGGTGGGCAAGTTGGTGAATGGTGGGAAGTACCTCGGAGGGGAGTCGATAAGCAAGATCGACACGCAAACAGACTATCGCAAAGCCATGGACGATTTTAGAGGGGTACAAGTCAACAGTCTATCAATACAGGGCAAATTGAGGAGTGAGAAGAGGTCAGAGTGTGAAGTCCTTGGAACGCTGAAGGAGGGGCAAGCGGTGAGATCTTATCAAGGGACTCAACTGGGAAACCGGTCAAGTGTGAAGAGGAAGAAGGAAGTTGTCAACTTGAGATCTCGAGAGGTTTGGTTTGTGGATATTTCCTCAATGCTACGTCATGATACCCTGGTCGATCTACTTTTTCCTTGGTAGATTCTTTATTTTGTAGCTATGTTGCGATCACCGACTTTGTTGATGGTGAAACACCACTGACAGTGACGAGGTCAAATAGTATCGAATAATTGTCAATTCCACAATCAGTTTCTTGATACTCTCCAAATTGCAGAAACGAAGTTATTCGCCCGGTTCTTTCTCCAATCAAGTCACATGGCCAGTTCTGCCTGAGGCCAACGTTCTATACAAAGTTCCGCGTCGAGAATGTTATCTGCATGCATCCTCGGCATGGTGACATCCACTCCGGTGTATTTGATCTCGACATGCCTCGGTGAAGCTTCTATGCGATACTTCCGATCTCATCTCTCCTTCCGTCCATTCCATAGCTCTGTTGCGGCGGCCAAGACCCCCGATGTCTTCGCCAACAGCCTCCGCAAGACCTTAGAGGCTCATCGTTCCGCCAATCGGGCTCGACTCATTCGAAAAACATACCCAAAAGAAGACTCTCCCGGACTGTGGCGCCCAGAGGTCCCAATTGAGAGTCGCGCGGGCTATCAACTGCCGACAGAGCCAGCTCTACCGATCTCGGAATACTCGCCTGACACCCCCAAACCGAGGTCCGATAAGCGCCAAAGCAAGCGAAAGGATGATGTCAAAGCGCAGTCTCGTCAGTCGCCAATCGATCGAGCCGGAGAAGACGCGATTCAACCGGCTGGGAATGGGCGGCCGCAACAATCTCCATGGCTGAAAGGTTTGGAGCTGCCTCGCGCCAGTGGCGAGACAATCTTGGACATGGAGATCTGCGCATTGGACCAGTATCTTATGCCGACTTCCCAGGAGACAGACCAAATTGAAAAGCTTCGGGCAGAGGTAGCCTCACTTCTTGAGGAGGTAGTTCCGCAAGCGCCCAGAATGATTGGATCACACTGCACCGGTCTTGTCCTGGCGCACTCAGATCTCGACTTTATTTTACCATTTGAAGACTTGCCACGGTCAGCAGATCGCGATCGAAAACCTAGTCCTACCCGGCCTCAGATTCAAGATGCCCATATCCGCCTCCTCCGTCAGGTCGCGAGAGCCTTGCAACATACCGATGCATTTAGTGGACAGGTTCAACTATCTGACAAGCGCAACCCCGCATTATCAGCTCGACACCGGCGCACGGGGCTTTTGCTCCAGTTCTACTGTGGTGAAGGTGTTCCCGCCATCACAGAGTATTTGCAGGACTACCAGGCCGAATATCCCAATCTCCGACCTCTGTATGCCGCGACACGTACATTGCTAGAGGCGCGTGGACTTTTCGGCTCACCACAAGCGGGCGTTGGACCAGATGGGCTAGCAATGCTCATCGTGGCCTTCCTGAAGATGAACCACGGGCGTTTCACAGGGCCCAATCGCCTGGGTGACCACTTCCTTGCTCTCCTGCACTTCTACGGCACTGAAGTTGACCTGCCGTCCGTCGGCGTCGCAGTGGATCCTCCTGGACTCTTCGGCACGGTATCACTACCGGTAACCTCAGATGTTGATGAACCTGCCCATCAGCGCGGCCAACGTTCTCTCATCAACACGAAGCGTACCGCCGCAGTAAAGGGGAACCATCTTGTCGCGCACCGGCTGTGCATCCAAGATCCAACCCATTATATGAACGACCTAGGCCGTTCATGCACTCGCACGTCTGAGATGCAAAACGCTTTCATGACTGCGCACCAGCAGCTTCGTCAAGCATGCGACAATTGGACGAGTAATGGCAAGAATAAGAATCTGAGTATACTTACGACTGCCTTACATGCCAACTTTGATACCCTGGAAATTATCCGCAATCAGCTCGTGTACCTAGATGACCATTCCAAGAAAGCCCAGCGGGTGATGAAGCAATATTGAAGCAAAAACCACATGGGATATCCATACAGTTTAATATTAATTCACATTTCCCCTCTTATCTCTTTTCCTTGGCAATAGTAGGAATTGAAATTATATATTTCAGTAGAGCCCATGCGCAGGAGCATGCAGCCAAGACAGCCACCAACCGAAAAGCTTAGAACAAAGTCTAGAAAAGACTAAGTGAAAATGCATCAATCGCTATAGCGGCGCGCTCGAGAATTTGAAGCATGCAAATACTAACAAGTAATTGAACAAAAATCAAAGCAAAAGCAGAAAGGAAGAAAGACGCCGTCAAGTGCAAAGCAATACAAGCAGAGAGATTAGTTGTAGATCTCCAATGGGGAGATCTGATCTAAAGCATAGAGCCAGTTTCCACCCTGCTCTTCTTTCTCAAGCCTATCAACATGTCAGTAAAAAACAACCAAATGGAAGCTAAGAAGTAAACATACCAATCATACGGCCAGGCGATTAGGTGGCCCTGGACCTTGTTGAGGAGATCTTCTGCGCGTCCCTTATCCAGGAACTCATCTGCGCCATAGGGATCGCGCTTGGAGCCAATGGTAGTAGCTCTGCGTCTACGTCTGCGAGACTGACTGGTCGAGTTCAGGTTCACAGCTTCGGAGTAATCGACTTGGACCGATGTTGAGCGAGGCTTCTCAATATCATCGCCAGATCCGTTTTGAGCGTTGGTCATAAGGTTCGGGTCTGAGGCCACCTTCAACGGGGCCTTTTCGTCGATAGAAGACAGTGTTTCTTGCTTAGCCAGCTGCTCGGAGTGGGGACGGTGGGCATCTGAGGGTCCAGCACTGAGCTTCTCATCGATTGTCTGAGGGGATTTCGGGTCCGTCGGCGGGGTGTCGATCTTGTTTGCACTGATGAAGGACAATGGGGAGGTGATTGAGATGGGAGAGCTGACTGGAGCAGCTCCAGGAGGAGCACTTTGCTTTTGCTGAGGTGGCTGGGCAGGTTTGTTGCCCTGTTGGCTCTGCATCTCTGCGAAACGCTCGCCATATGCGGCGTACTCCTTGTACTCCTTCCAGTTCTTGACCTCGCTGTCAGGCATGCAGCGGAACACAGATCGGTAGATCTTTGTGTTCTTTTCAGCGACGGCTTGCCATGTGTCCAGGTAAAAGCAATCAATGACTGGGTCCCTCATGCAATCCTTATCAATGAAGATTTGCTTGAGGTCTGGGACGGCGGGATGTGGGTGTTTGGAGGTCTCGTGGTCTTCTCCCTTTGACGTGATCAAACCGATACCGTTGGATTCAGACTCACGGCTCGATGTGCCAGAGCCACTATGGTTCTGTGCGGCATCTCCATTTGCTTCGGATTCGCGCATGGTATCGCTCGATGAACCAGGGCGTAGATTCTTGTGGGCCGAGGCTGACCGGGATGGCTTCTGTGAAGAGGAAGGTCGTTCAATAGTACCCTTGCCTTCTGAAGCAATGGGCGAGAGTAAGGCTTCGGATCCATTGGCGACCATCTGCGAATCACGGCCAACTCCCAATCCAGCTTCACTGGCTACTGCCAAATGGTCAGCACCGTCACCATTCACATCTTTCCTGTGTTCGGCGTTCTCGGTGACACGCGGGTCAGCAGTAAGCTTTCGGTTCGATTTGAGATTAGGGTTGGCACCCTGTTCCCAGTCGACATCATGGTTGAAGCTATACATGTCCTCCGAACGAGAAAGGAACTCGTCTTGGACGCGGTGGCGACGCTCAATCATCTCTCTCTCATCTTGACGTTCGATAACGGATGATCCAGAGTTTCTGCGTCCGCGGTCGTCAGATGGTCGGTCATTGCCCTCGGCGACTTGGATCTTGCGCAGCTCTTCTTCGGTAGCGAAGTCGTGCTCCATGAGCTCGTCGACATCAATACCAAGATGCTCTCTCATTAGGCGCATGCGCAGGGTGTGCGGGAACCGACCAACAAGGTATGGCTTGCCAGCCATGCTTGACATGATCATATCAGTGTCTCGCACGATAGACGCAACCTCAGAATCACGCGATCCCAACATGGATCGTTCGTTGATATTTGCAGATCCAATGATAGCAGCGCGATCATCCACAACCATGCACTTGGCGTGAATGTAAAGCTGCTCGGTCACCAGCTGCTTTTGGGGTCCAATCTTGCCCCAGGCTCTCAGACTGAAGAACTGAATATAGTCCTCGGGTTCAATTCCAAGAGCACGGAGGCGGCCGAAGATGGAGGTTTCTCCACGGCAGATACTGCGGTATTGACACTGCATGATGAGACGCACACTAGTACCACCTTCGCTATCGACGGTGTTCTGGAATCCGGGCATCAATGGAATGACAATAACTGTGCGCCACGCTTCTTCATTCTTGGCAGCTCGGACGATACGCTCAACCAGGGCATCTCCAATGAGGTTCTCGATCTTTCTGCCATCAATCTCACAAGTACTGATGAAGAATTGGTTCTCGATGTAGACGAAATGTTCAGACTCCTCAATCATCTTGACATAGGCATTCATGATACTGTGTTCGGTGACATCTGGTGTTCCGGTCGACCACATGCTGCTGGAACGGAGAATCTGTACTTCACAAGTTCCGTCCAGACCCAGAGCTTCTAGGTCAGCGGGGTTGAAATCGGGAGGTGGCAAGAGGAAGGGCGTGGGTCGAGTAGGCTTGCGCTGGCGAAGGATATAATTCCAGCGTTGCACGAAGTGACGAGTAAGATCCCGAGCAGGTTGGCCGACGACGTGCATGGAGATATCATGCCAAGGCATACGCGGCACAACGTTGCGATCATACATCTCCTCATATGGCTTGTCAAGATCATAGAAATCCTGAATTCTGGGGTTGGAGTAGTCCTTTCCAGGCCAAAGCTGGCAGTGGTCTGCATCCTTAGGACCATCCGTGGTTTCGAAACCAGTGGGCTTGTCATCGGTCAGCTGATGCTGGGGAGTATCCCAACGACCGAAGCATAGATCAATACCTCCAACAAATGCCAGAGTGTGATCGATAAGACAAAGCTTCTCGTGATGAGCCCAGAAGAAGGTGTTTTGGCGGAACTGGTTTGGTGAACGCTGGACGAAAATATTGGGGTGGAGGTCGAGAAGAGAGAATTTGGAATACTCCGAGTCGATGGGAATGGCAGAGTTGATGTTGCGGTACATGATCACAAAAACCTTGACACCCTCACGAGCCTTCTGCTGCAGGAGACGGTCCAGCCGCCATTTCTGACTGATAGCAGCAGGACGACGCAGGTACAGCTCTGGACTCAACCACCAGTCATGGATGTAAATAACATCCTTTGCCTGGTTGATTGCTCGTGAGACAACCCACATGTGGTCCCGAGCATCAACAAGCCATTGTGCAAAGCACTTTTGTCGCACAGGAGCAAAGCTGTCGAACCGGTTGGGCTGCATCCAAGGGGTGTTGTCAGCCATGAAACGGATCGAATCTTCAAACTGCTGGAGTTGACGCTCATTTCGAGCCAACAATTTCAGCTTGCGTTCAGAGTTCTCAAGTCGGAGGGTATGGTGCTGAGGGTGTCTTGCAGACTGCTTTGCAGACTTGGCGAGATCCTTAGGATTCTGGTTGCGAAGGCTGATCTTTTGTGTCTGGATCTTAAATTGAGCATCCACCAAGAAGACGTCATAGATATTCATCTCTTCGGGAGAATCAACACAGACAACATAGCTATGTCTGACCAAAAACCACTTAGGCCAATGTCGCTTCTTGATCAAAGAGGGAGTCAAAGCTTTCCTAAAGTCAAGACCCTTGGAGGACTGAATGATCAGGAACCCTTCTTTGCCGTGGTAACTACCTTCAGCGGCCAAACGAACACCAAGAGCAGACAATTCTAAGAATTTACAGAGTCGGTTGCTGTCAGCTCGGAATATCAAGAACCTGATCATCTTTTGCAGATAGAGCTCCAGCTTCTTTCGCTGTTTTTCCGGGTATGTCTCCTTTTTCCCGGTCACACCTTCGTGGGTGGATGAAGGTCCTGCAGCTGGCTCGCCTTCCTGGTTTGTGATGCTGGACTTTCGGCGGACGATAGCTCCAGAGACTCGACGCTGACTTGGTTGTTGGCTCTGTTTCCTCTTCATCGGCCTCTCTGTTCCACTCATCCCCTCAGCGCCAGTTTCGTAACCGCCTTCCTCGTCTTCATCCTCAAATTCACTCTCCAGACCACGCACACCTCGCATGTAGGGGAAGGCACTTCTGGGGAAACGAGGGAGACTCGGGCTGTTCTCGCTCGTCCGTAGCTGGATGTATTTTTGCGTGCCTAGATGGAGCTTGTATTTGAGATGCAGATTGGCAAAGTCCCTCAGTGTGCGGAAGATGATCCACTTCATTCGTGTCATACCACTGCCATACTCCATCTCAACGCGGAAGACCAAATGGCGATCACCCGAGCTAGAGTCAACGCGGCTGTCCGTAACACGAACCTTGAGCTGCTCCAGAAGAATGGGGATTCGTTTGCTGCCATGCTCATCACGCTGGAACGCACTAGCCAGAATCAATGCAGCAGGCACAGCCGATGCAAGTTCAGCAAGCAGCTCGGCGGACTTTTTGTTGTCCACGGTATTCTCTGGCTTGCGTCGCTGACCAATAAGCTTCAGACCAGCTTTGATCTGCTTCCATCGCTGGGCACTGGCGCTAGTGCCACGTTCATTACGATGGCGTCTCCAACTTGCTGCTAAGCTTTCTTCATTTCCAGGCCCGGCGAACCCGGTCAATCGTCTCAGGTTACTGGGCCGCTGTTCGTCCTGGGTGCCATCTGGTTGCCGCCCAGTGTAGCTCAGGCCCCGGTTGGCAGCCCAAGGACGGGTTCTGCGACGGTTGAACCTCTCACGACCTTCGTCTTCTGATACACCCTCACGCTGCTGGGGTGTGAAGTCCGTAGTGCTTGCTCTCCGAGGGAATAGGTTGGTCCGATAGTTCTCAAAGGGCGCAAAGGAAGAAGCAAAGTGGAAAGATGGTCTGCGGGTGGTTTTGGGTGTATTAGGTGCAGTTTGAGATTCCTCTTGCTGTTGCTTGCGACGCCTGGGCAGCTTCTTCTTTTCCCGGCGCTCGCGTTGCTCGCCTCCACTCTCTTCTGCGTCGGCATCAATTTCACTCCCCTCTTCCGCCAGAGGCTCCGGGAACCGGAATTCTCCCCTTTCTGAGCCCGGGGTCGCAATGTCAGGTTGGATTGGTCCTGGTCGGAAGTCTGCACTCGCACTGCTTGGGGATCGCGAATGTGAGGTAAATGCAGGTGCAGCAGCCAATGACCTGATCTTGCCGAACAATGATTGTTTCCCCTTAGGACCCTCTTCCTCAGAACCGTGTAGAGACGCGGGACGTGATTGGGGCCGCGACTGGGCTTCGGTGTCGGTGTCTCGGAATTGCACGCTCTGGGTACGGGATGGAGGAGAGACTCCAGGAATGGATGATTGGCGTTGATGGCGAGCCCATGGTTGCTGCTCTTCGGTCGACCGGTTTGGCGGACGATTGCTCAGGGATGATCTGCCCCTCGGAGAGCCATGCTTTAGTGAAGACGGACGATGTTCGGTGTCCTTCAATATCCCGCCCGCTTCCTTGATCTGATAGGAGTCCAGGCCTGCATTTTCGTCTGTAGTCGGCGCCCGTCGAAGGGAATCCGGTTTCTTGGTATCCGTGGGGGAAGGGAAGGGCGAGGCTAATTTTGATACATTTGACATGGAAAGGGGCTCGGGTTTCTTCGATTCAGTTTTGAGGGAGCCAACCTCGGGCTCTTTTTGAACTGAAGAGGCCGACATATTGTCGGAGTGGTGCTAATGCAAGGTGATTATCAGTTGCAGTTCATGGGGGCGGGTCAGGAACCACTTTACATACGTGTGGATCAATCGAGACCCTGTCACAGCACAAAAGTTCTGCGCGTCATGCTAGGATTGAAAGGCGCAAAAAAGGACGAGTGTAGATGGACACGCGAGTGTTGACATTAAAGGAGCGTTGGAGATGATTTAGTACGGTGGAGTTCCGCCCCAGTTGAAGCGCTCCGACTGGAGAAAGGCCCGCTGAACAGCCACAGAGCGGGCGGTCAGTTGGACTGAAAAAGGGGTTGAGCCAACTACAATAGAGTGAAGCATAGCAGTAAAGAAGATGACAGGGGTTACATGGATATTCATCAATTGATTAGCAGGGAATTGGCAATATCGTGCTGTCAAGATGAAACATACATGTCTCAGGAGCGTCGCAGTACACCCAAGACCAATTGAGTGTATATTGTGGTGAAATAAATAATTGGATGTAGAGCTGCAGATATGTTCATGCATAGACATGATATAGAAAGTAGACTACTACAAAACATTGGATGTGCCTAGGGACAATCTGGTAAGGCCCTCGGCTTTTCTTAGTATACCCGAGTCGCCGTTAAACATCAACTCCCCCGCCATTCCATTCCTCAACAACTCACCTTGCTACTCATATTCTACTTCCATTCCAATCTGAACATAATCCCGTGAAGATGACAGACCCATTGAAGTCCTTTGACGACTCGGGCCGGCCGAAGCCGGCCGACATCTCCAGGAAAGTCTACGCGATTGCCGGCATTTCAGTAACTGTCTTTGGACTGGAAGAGCTCCGTTCAGAGGCATCCGAAGTAGCATGTCTATGGCTACTTCACCCTAGACTGGCTACCCAGGAACGGATGACTGGTATCGCCAACTCAACCATCACCGATTGGAACACAAGAAACGAAGATACGCCTTCGGCTAAGGGCCTAATTGCTGTTTCTTTTGACCAGCGAAACCACGGAACGCGTATGGTTGATCCTCTTGCCAATGAGGCATGGAGACAAGGCAATCCTCGCCATGCGCAGGATATGTTCTCTATTTTCCGTGAGTGAATGTATCAAATGTGATATTCTTACTATTTCTAATGTCTGAAACAGAGGGCACTGCTAAAGATACATCGCTGCTGATGGACTACCTCGCAGCTTACACTTTCCCCAGTGGGGAGCACAAGATCACCGAGAACCTAGTTCTAGGTGTTTCATTGGGCGGGCACGCAGCGTGGAGCTGTCTGTTGCACGAGCCTCGCGTCAGTGCCGGTGTGGTTATCATTGGATGCCCGGACTATATCAACCTCATGGCAGACCGCGCACGACTGTCGAAGCTTCCTTCATGGACAGAGAGCAACCCTCCAGGTGCAAAAGTTCTTGGCTCGGAGGCTCTGCCAACATCATTCCTTGATACCGTCAAGCAATACGACCCTGCCAGCATGATGTTGAAGCATGTGGATTGCGGACCCTCGACTGGGCCTTTGCGCGAAGGAACTTTACCTCAGCCGTCTGAAAGCGAGCAGCAGGTACTCCGACCACTCTTGACTAAGTGCTTGGCTAGAAAGCGCATATTGAACCTGTCTGGTGGCGTGGACAAGCTTGTGCCGTATCACCGTGGAGAGCAGTTCCTTAAATGGCTCAAGCAGGGTATCTCGTCCGATGGGTGGTTTGGTGACGGTGCTGTTTCATTCGAAGATATCATTGACCAGACGGCGGGTCATGAGGTGACTGGAAAGATGGTCGATGAGGCTGTTCGGTTTATCAGTAAGACACTGGCAGGTTCGGATAAGGCTGGCCGGCGAGGTTCGGTGCGAGATTCGAAGATCTAAGATGTACATATGTGACGAGTTGAACGTGTAGGACGCAATTAGATGCCATATCATTTGACCATGACATGAATCACAACCAACGTACCTTACCACGACAGATAATTCTACGAATACGTAGCCCAGAGTCGGAGACAACATTGAAAGCATACACGTCCAAGACTAAGCCGCTTTGACCATCCAATCTACATGAGTAAGTCCCAGTAACACTGAGACATCACCCTCAGATAGCTCGCGCATGAACAAGTTGAAAAAATCCTCCTTATGGTATTTGTTTAACACAATGTGAAATCGTAAGGGCATTCGGAGGCCATGCTATGCTGATATTGCATACACAAAAAACCCTTTTTCTTTTCGATCGCCAGTACCGATACTTTCGATTCTGACAGTCTCATTTTGAGTTTCCGATCGTCCTCCGTGCGAACGAACTTGATTCACGCAAGACCGAACACAGGGCTGATGTTGCCCCTATTCACCCGCCTTCTCCAGAAACACCAATTTGAATCAACACGCTTATGCGACGAGCTCGACAACACCACCGGCGGCCTTGATCTTCTCCTCAGCGTCACGGCTGACGTAGCGGGCACGGACGACGACGGGGATCTGGGGGAGACGGCCCTTGCCGAGGACCTTGGAGTAGCCGAGGGGAAGGAGGTCGATGACGGGGGCGACGTCGGTCTTCTTGCCGCTCAGGTAGGCATCACGCTGCTCAGCGGGGACGAGGGACCAGAGCTGTGAAAAGAGACCAACGGTCAGCGATACTGTCCAGATAAAAATGTGTACCGTATTCCATCGTGTCGATTGGCCCTTTTTTTTCCTCGTTCGATTCTGCTGTCGATTCCAATTCTTCATAACACCCGGACCGATCCACACGAATTTTCTTTTCACGGCTCGACTCGGATGTTGAAACGTACCTTGTCAACGTTGACAGTGGGCTTCCAGAACTGCTGGTTGGTCTTGTGGAAGTACCGCATACCAACCTTACCGAAGTAACCAGGGTGGTACTTGTCAATGTTGGTACGGTGGTGGTGCTGACCACCGGCCATACCACGACCACCGGGGGACTTGCGGTGCTTGCCGATACGACCGTAACCGGCCGAGACATGACCGCGGCTGTGTGAAGAAATCAAAGGTTAGTGATGTATTCGATAAATGCGATGTCGAGATGATCTTTTTAAGACGTCGCGATCTGCGGGAAAAAGAATTCGATTTAGACGGCACAGGAAAGGGTGTCGACTCACTGCTTCCGGGTCTTCGAGAAACGGGTAGGCATCTTGTCGGCGGTGGTGTTTCGACAAGACCGTTATGTGTTGGGCGTTGAAGGGGGGAGGGTCGTTCCGTCTTGAATGTTGAAATCCAGGCTCGGACAAGCTAGAGTGTGCGCTAACAAATTCGCTTGTCCCGTGATAGGGTCAAGCCCTCACCCTAGCTTTGTCATCACCACGTGAGGTGCCGACAGTACACCGCTTAATATTCGTTTATTCTGCTGGTTTTATTTAGGGCTCTTTTGTCATAATTGACATCATGGGGCGAACTACATTTGCCGGAGGTACATGTAGTCAACATTGGTTTCTGCGTATGTGACCTGCTGGTCTATATTTTGTCTTGAATTATGCTATTTTTGGTCTGTGATACGCCTTTTTTCGGAGAAAAACTTGGAAAGTCTTTGCACGGTCATCTGAGCCGCCCGTGTGGGCGGTGCTGGTACCAGGCTCCCTCGAATCCAACCAGGCAATTTTCCCTGGATGCGAGGCGAATCATATCGGCGATCAATCATGATGATTGCAGCGTAATCATTCACATGTCGAATGGCTCGCCCAATACATTGATTCACTGCTCGCATGCAAGAATTTTCATAAAAGTCTCTTCCGGCTGCTTTTCCTGCTGCTTTCCTTTCAGACTCGGAACCAGATGCCTGCTTGTAGGCCTTTTCCTCCAAGTATTGGATCTTAGCTTGCCAGACAGCGCTACGGATATTAGGGAATGGTAAGCCAACGATGAAGACGCCTCGTCCTAGCTTGTCAGAGAAGTTGATGCCTTCGGACAACTTTCCACCCACGATAGAAAGAAGCAAGGCCCCAGATCCTGATTCGACTGCATCGGTATACTCCTGTAGCAAGGCGTCTGTTGATGTAGTCGCTTCACGGGACTCGTAGAGAACTTTCTTCTTTCGTTGCAGTAGATCGAGGGTGGATTGACCGTTGCCGTTGGGAATAGGTTTCTTCCAGACATTCACAACCTGGCTCAGGTAGTCATAACTGGGGAAGAAAGCAACAACGCCATCTGGAATGATTTGACAAAGAGCTGCTAAGGTTCGTCCAAGGTCGACGATCTAGCACAAAGTTAATAAAAGAATAAGCTATCTGGAGCTGTGGAAAACGTACCATCTGTTCGGAATTTCGTTTCTCATAGGTGAAGTCGAACTCAGACCCCAAAAGCCCTTGGGTTAAGGACTGTGCCACTAGATTGGTGTGTGGAATAACATGGCCATAGCTGAATGTACTAAGACGCTCCGGGGGCAGATATGAGAACAAATGGTTTACATAGTCTGACATCTATATACAGAGTTAGGGCTTGGTTTTGTCAGCTAAAATAGGAACTTACAGGAGACATAGTACCGCCAGCCAAGATGACGGCCCTGGCATCTTCAGAGATCTCTCGGAAGTGATTTGTGGGATCAAGAAGCATGTATTTCAGCATGATATCGTCTTGACTTTTTTGATAGAAGAGCCGTCCCTCTTCTGACGGGTTCATTAAAGGAAGAAGAAAGCTTTGAATATGGAACAAAACCGGCATAGTAGTCTTGTCTCTGGAGCGGCCAGGTTGTGACTCTTGTGCGGATTCAACATACCCATCCACTTTTCGGGCGAGTTTGCTTTCTTGTAGATACCGAGATAGTTTGTAAGGGTTGATCTGGTCGACTCCTTTGCCAGCCATGAGATCTGATGTCTGCACTGATCCTTCCGGCTGTCCTTTATGTTGCGAGATTGACCGTAGATGATCTGCAATCGAGCTCACCAGCCGGATGACTTGGGCAACATAGTTTCGATTCTTTCCTTTGAGACGATTCTTGAACTTTCGGGCATATGTCGTCAACTGTGTGATAGCAGTCTGCAGTTGACCCAGCGAGACTGATACCGAATGGATACCGGCGATTGCATCCATCAAGTTGTGGGCTTCATCGATGATGACGACGTGACCCTTGACGGACAGACTGAGAGCTTCACGGGCTGATCTTTGTAGTAGCAATGGATATGGGAGGGTGATTATCTGGAATGTGTTAGCTTTGCAATTTTCATAATTGCATGCTCTAGGACTGACCTCGCTATGTTTGATAACCGGACGGGATGCATAGTAGGGACATATTCCGAGCTCTTTTCCGACCTTGCCGATGTCTTCAATATCCTTGATCGTCGCCAGGGTATGGTCCCGAAATTGAAGAGTCAGGGCCTCATCGTCTTTAGATGGAAGGAATTTGCACTTTTTATCAGCTGCCACACCGGACTGCTGTAAATCTAAACATTTTTCGTTAATCGCGGTGTTGTTTTCCAGAGCCCGAACTTTTGGGTTGATGCAAAGATTCTTTCTGGAACCTAACGACAGATGTTTCACGCGCTCTTCAAGTATGAAGAGGTCATCTTTACTCTCTCGATCAAAGTCGCTAGGAACACTGGACGGAAAAGTAACTCGTCGTAGTTCACCGGCAAATTGACTCAGTTGAGAGTGCGTTCTCGAGCAGTAAAAGATTTTCACCTCGTCATCCGCGTCGTCGCCTTCTGCTTTCTTCTGAGACGAAAATTGCCCTTTGAAGCGTTCTAACAAAGCCAAAGTGCTGGCAGACAGACCCTCATTGCCAGAATCGGGCCTTTTCTGCTCCGTGTCGCTGTCGTAGTCCTCGAGGACGAATTCTTCTTCGTCGGCAGTCTCAATTGTTGGCTCGTCAAGTCGCTGTCCAAGTTGGTATATGGCCTTTTCCACATTGGAGAGATTCATACCTGCTTCTTTTTAGGCCTCTCAGCACTATCCTGGGCTTGCTTCAAGCGTTCTTCCTCCTGGCGGATCTTGGCGAGTCGCGCCTCAAATTCCTGTCGCTTCTCGGTGATAGCCCGACGGGATTCCCGCTTGGCAAATTCGATCATCCACTTGGGCTCATCATCATCGCCTGAAACACGTCAGCTTGTCAGCTGATCTTACTAGGGACAGACCTACAGGTTGCATTGTCAACCGTTTCTTGAAACGCCTTGCGCTTATGGTCCCGCAGCCATGTCAAAGAGCCACAGATTAAGCTTAGGGATTTTCCCTGATCGGAAGAGGCTTAGCACACTGAGATCCCTGTCTGTGGCTGATGCACTTACAGTACCTGCACGGCACGTTAGATTAGAAACAAACAGCTAGTACCCGCGCTTACCAGTAGGGGATTCAAAGACGGCGATCTTGCTCTCTTCCAAACAGCCATACAGCGCCTGCATAAATTGCTGTTGGATATCGTATGGCGTATAAGGATGGTGGAAATCGTGCATAGTGGAGGACATGACGTGAAAGTCGCAAGTTTCGGTATAGTCCCCGAGCAGTTGAAGGGATAAAAATGGAACAGCGCAGTGGAGTTCATAAGGCTCCAGTCAAAAAGGGGACAATAATTTGCGGGTCCTGGGGGCTACTGCACGATGACAGAGAGGCCAATAGATGTATGATGGCAAGAAGTGTTCTTTGTTGGCATTGCCATTGTCCGAGACCTGTCAGATATGAGGCTGAGACTATAGATCCATTCCCTATTTATAAACGCGGGTGTTTGACCTGGCGGGGGTGGGGAAAGAAGTAAAGAAGAAGAAGTTTGTGTTTGGCTGTCGCAAAGTGGGCTGGTTCAGTTGTTCTCTTGGCGCACTTTTTTCATTTAGATGTGCCCCCCTCTTCTCTCCTTTCCCCTCATATGTCTTCAATGTACTTGTATGTCTGTTGAGAAACACGGTCTGATACTTGGTCTTTGCTTGTTCTCCTTACCATAGTTTCCCCCTCATTTCCACTATGAACAGACCGCCACAGGGCCGTGGTCAGCCACGCGTGGGTGCGACTTGGTATCCAGGGGGCCAGGATGACTTCTACATGCCGGAGGTCATATCCCCCTCTCCTCAGCGGTAAGGCGATCTACTCTCTGCCATATATCTGCAATAATATGCCGAAAGTACGAGTATTGATTCACCCCGGCAGAGTCATGCCCGACGTGCCGGAGCACATGCAGGACAACATTGCTCAGCTGGAGTATAACGCCCGCGACCCCCGCCGTGGTCAGCAGTCACCTGCGCAGTACCAACGCGCCCAAGCTCAGTTCCCCGAGCGAACCTCGTCCGCTGCCCAAGGGCCACCACAACACAGCCAGGTTCAAGACCCGAATTCCTACGCGCAATCCGCGACTTATGATAGCATGGATCACCCCAACTTTTCGCCGTTCCCCGTGTTGCGAAATCCACCACCGAACGTCCCTCCCACCGATGAACAGCGAGAGGCCAGCTTAGAACGCGCGCGGATGGCGGTGCTTTCAACTACCGACCCGGAGATGCAATTGGCATGGGCTTTGGACGCGCTGGCATTTGTCGAGGTGGCCGCACAGAACGAAGCCCGCCTCTGTTTAACCCAGCCGCCGCGCCCGCAGACCCCACAGATTGAACGGCAGCTACGAGTCGACGCTATGAACATCGTTGGCTTTTTGGCCGAGCAGCGCCATCCCAAGGCAGAATTCATTAAGGGCATGTGGCTTGAGTTCGCTAAATTTGGTTATCCCCAGGATCGCAAGGAGGCATTCCGATGCTACTCGCGCGCCGCTGAGAAGGGGTATGCGCGTGCCGAATATCGGATCGGAATGCAGTTCGAGAGCTCAGGGGAGCCGGAGAAGGCGATCAGGCACTACCAGCGGGGTGTTGCACAGGCCGATTCTGCATCGTACTATGTGAGTATTGTGGAAACAGTGTTTTGAGCCGAGGCTTACATTCTGCAGCGCCTCGGAATGATGATTCTCCTTGGACAACATGGCCAAATCCAAGACTTCAACACTGGGTTAGAGTACATTCGATTGGCAGCTCAGTCCTGCGACCAAAACGCACCTCAGGGTGCATATGTAAGTTTTGTAAATAATCTCGGTTCGATGTATGCTAATATTGGACATAGGTTTACGGTATGCTTTTGGCTCGCGAGCTTCCTCAAGTGAGCGTTCCAGAAAGTTTCCTTCCTCTCGATCTAAATCTGGCACGTGTCAATATTGAGAAAGCTGCATACCACGGCTTCGCTAAAGCCCAAGTCAAAATGGGTGCTGCATATGAGCTGTGTCAGCTGAGTTGCGACTTCAACCCAGCGCTGTCATTGCACTATAACGCACTGGCAGCTCGCCAGGGTGAGCCCGAGGCTGAGATGGCGATCAGTAAATGGTTCCTTTGTGGACATGAAGGTGTGTTTGAGAAGAACGATGAATTGGCATTCACGTATGCGCAACGCGCCGCCCAGAGTGGACTTCCCACTGCCGAATTCGCCCTTGGTTACTTCTACGAGGTTGGTATATTTGTTCCAGTTGATATCAAAGAAGCCCGGTCTTGGTACGCCAAGGCCGCCGCCAGTGGCAACAAGGATGCATCTGGTCGGATTGAGAGTATTTCGCGCTCAAAGACGCTCTCCAGAAAGGACCACGAGAAGGTTGCAGTCTCGCGCATCAAGTCCACGCGATATACAGCCCACCAGCGAGGTGGGTCCTTAGATACGACCCCTGAGAATATCCAAATGCCGGATCCTTCGCGTATGACCTTGTCTGACGGTCCACCTTCTGTTGCTCCTTACCCTGATCGTCCCCAAACCTCTCGTCCCCGGCCTCCGGGTCAAGGTTACCAATTGCAAGATCCCCGTCCAAGCTCTGCATTTGGTGTCAACCCGAACCTCCGGACCAATGGCCCGCCTGGCTATGGCGGTCCTTCTCCTGGTGGACCAGGGTCTCGTACCCCGTCCTATGGGCAGGCACCCCCGGGACCCATGAACTATCGCCAGCCTGGCCCTGGCACGCCCATGAGCGCACCCGCCGGACCAGCAAGCCCCCAGGCTGCCAACATGATCAGCCCCAGCGGAACTCCTCGCCTAGATGTTGGCTACTCTGCACCAATGCCACCCCCAGGTGACCGCAGACGCCCGCCGCCACAGATCAACCAGGCCCCTCCAGACCGCAAGCCTATTAGAACTCCTGTCTCTGCCCACTCTTCTGTTCAGTCTGGGCTGCCTTCACCTAGAACTGCGGCCTCCCCACGCCCACCAGGATCTCCCTCGTTCCCTCCCCGCATGGAATCCCGGCAGCCATCTCGAGGATCGGGAGCATCCACACCTCAACCACCACCCTCCATTGCATCATCAACCTCTTCAGCACCTCCAAAGTCTTCCGCTGGTAGCACAGCTGGAAGTGCTGCTGGAAAACCTGCCAAGTCTAGTGGCCAGCTGCCAGGCAAGGGACCCAAGACCTTTGAGGAAATGGGTGTCCCTAGTGCCAAGAATGACAGTGATTGCGTGAGTAAAATAAGTCCATTTACAGGTGAACCAGAGCTAACTTTTCTAGATTGTGATGTGATACCCCGGTCCCTTTCTATCTTTCCTTGCGATGAGTTTAGTCCGCTGTATTGCAGACACCAGGTGTTCATGTCATGTTTTGCATTTCTTCCCTTACACATAATCCCGGAGTCCCAAAATTTCGTCGTCCGGGAGGCGAATGGTCTCATTATTTGAGAAAATTGCATTTTCACCCAGAATTCATGAGTTTGGGGTATCTTTTTGGACATATAGTATTCGAGTTCTTGAAATTTTGGGTTAGATATCAGGAGTAGTTATGAGTTATTGTTGTTCCAGTGTTCTTCGTTGTAGTTCCACGTGAGGTCCAGATCTTACGATAGTTGCACCCGTTCTCAACTCAGCGTCCCCCAACCTCTCATCTTTCTGACTTGTTGTCTTGCTGTCCGTTTATCATGGCTCCTCGCAAAGGAAACCCCAATGCCACTGCTGGACAGGAAGGTGAGTCCTAATTGCTTGCTTCAGGTCAAAGCTGACCGCTGGAAGATGCCTCCATTGTCCGTGACTATCTTCGTGAGTATCACTGGAAACAGTCGTTTTTTTTGTAGCTTACCGTCTGTATAGGCCAGCAAAAGTACTATTCTAGCCCTCCCGGGTATCCTCGAAGTGACTAACACTGTTTGGCACAGTCGTCCTTATTCGGTTTGCTCCCCAATCTTGAGAGGCTAAAGACATATTACTGACAAGGTCAGGCCACCGATATATCTGCGAATCTCCACAACAAGGTTACCAAAAGTTAGTTTGGCATCTCAAGGTCAGACTGCTTGTCTAATATAATATTAGCTCAAGCCATCAAGATTCTGCGGGATCTGCACGAAAAGAAAGAAATTGAAGGACAGACTTCAGGTAAGTCATATCAATTTATAGGAAGAGCCTGCTAATTATATGTCACCTACATAGGTAAACAGACAGTCTACCACGCACTGCAAGATCCTTCGTATACAGCCGCCCCCCAAGCAGCAGCCGCGCTAAGCCGAGATATTGCAAACCATCAAAACCAACTCGAAGTATTCAAAACCAATGAGAAGAAGGCCCGAGCCGCTCTGACAGCCTTAAGGGCCAAACCCCGGGTGTCTGATCTTCGCCAGGATATTGCCCGTCTGGAAAGCGAACAAGAAGCGATCCAGGCCCGCTTGGCAAGCCGCCACGAGGATGATACGGTTTCAATCTCGCCGGCTGAAAGAGCAAAGCTTGAGACCGAGTGGAAACAATGGCAGCGGCAGGTCCGCATTCGCCGTCGGATCTGTCGCGAGCTGTGGGGACGATGCTCTGAGGTTCTTCCAAAGAACGTGACTGCCCCGGAGCTGTGGGTAAGCTATGACATGAGGCTTCAAGTTCTATCGGAATGTTGATAAATGCCTAGGAATCTTTGGGGCTTGAAGGAACGCTCCAATAAGAGGAGATGGCGATGATCGTGTGGTGATCCTCCCAGTCCCCACTTGGTCACATCATTTGACATTTACGGCTTTCAGTCTGAGCGGAGACTTGCTTGAGCGTGGATTTTCGGTGTGAACGTTTGATTCGACGGTTTGCAGCAATCTGGAATGGAGGCAACGGAGGGAGGCAAAGAGAAATCAGATGGGCCTTGTCATGGGAACAGGGGAAAGCGTAAGCGAAAGTGAGATCATGAAAGATAATGTTATTTTAGCAACGTATTCCCTACTAGTCTAGTTAGTTGCAACTATTTACTCCCGTTCCGTTCTATCTATACACTTTTTTGTACTCGGGTTCGCTCTCGACTCTCCGCCCACCGCCCGCCGAGCCTATCTCTTCCCCTCTCCAATCTCCAAACCCCTCCTCCCACTTCTCCATGCAGGTGTCTTCTCGTCCTCCTTCATCTCGTCAACAAATTCAAGCAGAGATGAGAGGTCGTGCGCCTCTCCCAGTCTCGTCTGGGGCGGCGCCTCAGAACGGTCATACCCGCAGTCACTCGGGACTCGACGTTGCCCGCAGTCCTCCGAACCAGAGCAACAAGAGTAAGTGAATAAATTTTCACTGACACTCAAATACTCCAGTTTTCTGGACAGAGAGCAGCAGGCTAATTATTTGCGTCAATTGCCTGTGCAGACACCAAACATGTTCCATGCAAATTCTTCCGCCAGGGTGCTTGTCAGGCAGGCCCCGCTTGTCCATTCTTACACTCCACTGATGCAGGAATTGACTACGCTCCATGCAAATACTTTACAAAGGTAGGAGATCTATACGGACGCTAAAATTATTACCATTCGCATTTTGGGGCTTTCCGACGTTAACGGGGCTATGATCTGGTTTAGGGAAACTGCAAGTTCGGCGCCAAATGCGCACTGGCGCATATCCTCCCCGATGGACGACGAGTCAACCGACCGACTGGAAACATGGGTGGCCACCTCAATTTGGGTGGTCGAGTGAATCCACAAGCATATGTTAACCAGGACTCAGCTCTCACCAACTCTGTTCTCTCGCAGCAGCGCATGAACGGTCACGAGCAGCCTCGATATGCCCCGCAGCTCCCCCCGCAGGAAGAGTACGCATCCCTGCAACAGCCCCCCTATGATGCGATTCCGACGATCGACACGGGCCTTGCCTCCGATGCGGGATCTAAGTATGGGTCCCCAGCCGAAGATGTTCGTTTCCCGATGTCGCCCAACAACAACCACCTTACCGCTCTCGATGCGGGGCTCCCGGCTTCATTCGACAGCCAGGGTATCTCGCATGCTGCTCGTTACGGTCCGGTGGCTGCTTCGATGCCATCGCAATTTGGATTGGAATCGCCTCCGGCCCAGAGACCAGCGCAGAACAATGCTTTCCGCAACTTGCACGACATTTACGGCTCTAGCTTCCAAAGAAAGCCTTCTTCGAACATTGGATCGTCGCCTCCAGCCACAGAGGACACCATTGGCCCCCGGTTCATGCACTCTGCCCGTTCTGTCAAACCGCGCATACTTTCTGCTAGTGTGCCCCGACCCACCGCCCTTGAGGACTGGGATGAGAATTTCCCGATGGAGGAGGACTATTTGCCGGTCAACTTGCACGACGATGTTCTCACCCCGCAGGAGAAGCTGCGTCGACTCTCACGGACTGACAACGATCTGAGCTCTAGTCACCGTGACATCAGCGGCTTTGGTATGACTAGCACTAGCTTTTCCAAGACCGGCTCTCCTTTGGCATCGAGTCCGTCTCGTTTTGGGGCCCTGTTTGCCAAGCAGCGCCAGCGCAAAGAAGAGGAGTCTCATGGCTCTTCTTCTTTCCACATTGGATCTCCTCTGCGTGAATCGTCATTGAACCCAATTGGCAGTCCTAGCCTTGGTCCTATTGGCAGTAGCCGTGCTTCCCATGATGGCTCGCCGTTTGTTTCAAGCCCTGGACGCCAATCCTCGATGTCGATGATCTCCGAGCAGCTTGGAGGCATGTCCCTCCACCCTCCTACTCGCCACACTGCAGTTCCTCCTGCTCGCATTGACCGGACTATCTCCTCTCCAGTCACCAACAGCAAGATCGAAGAGGAAGAGCAAAGTGATTTGGTCTTCTCCATGGAAGAAGAAGAGGGTAACAAGCGGAGCGGCGCCCCGTAAGGTGAGAACGAAGAAGCGGCTACCGCCTAAGCCGCTTCATTTGTTCAATGTTCAAACAATTATCACGAAGATACGCCCCAAGAAATGTCCACGCCCGTGGGCGATGTTGACACATCAAAAGACAAAAAAAAAGGAAACTGGAGTTCAATTGGACGCATAAGGGAGCATCAGAAGAGAATCAAAAAAAGAGGATTCCAAGACAAATACAACCTTGGCTGACATTTCTCACGAGAATCTAGTTTGGCAAAAACAAAAAAAGGCAACAAAAGCTTCCTCTTCATAGAACTGGCCCAACAGCATCTTTTCTTTTCCCGATCACACTCGAAATCATCTAGACCAGTCATGTCACATGTTCCATTGGGCTTCCGGCCAGCCATCTACTGTATTAATCTCTTTGCTTTTTTTTTTTTTTTTTTTTTGTGTTTACTCCATAGGGATTATTTTTCTCGACTATCATGTACATGGGCTGTCATCTCGACTCTTTGTTATTTTTCTGCCTACTTCTACTTCTACTTCTACTTCATTCAGTTCATGAATTCACGACCCAATCCCGGTGTTTACTTAGTGTCCTGCATTGATTTCCTCTTTGCTTTTTTCTCTCTTCATGTTCACTCGGGAGTGGGAGTCGGTTCTATAAGATTGTACTGCTCCAGCAGGTTTAATTGTGAACATAACCGTCTTAGTCTTAGAACCTCAACACAAGATTGTAATATGCTAGTCAATTGCATGTTGTTCTTGATTTCGGGGAAACAAACAAATCGAAACAAATCCGAGGGATCTTGAAGGCGTTAGATAGGCGGTAAACATGATGTATATGGCAACGTGATGCCCACAGTATTCCTCGCTGAAGATTAGAACCCCAAAACGTGTCTATCAACTGCTGTATTTTAGGTAGAAACCGTGGAAGGCAACTTTAGATGTATTATAGCGTGTGGTAACCTGTTTGCTGTGGTTGCCCCAACTTGTTCAGTTTGGCTGAATACTCAGACGTTTGCCTCGAGATGTTGTTTACGTCTTTCCTCTTCTTTCATCTTTGCCCCATCAACAACCACTGCTTCTGAAATGGTCTTCGTTGCAATTGCAAGCTGCCCATTGCTTTGATCGTTAAGTGAAAAGTGAAGTGGACGCCGTGTTTCATCTCTCGAACGTCCTCACATCCGCATCCAAGTCTATTCTTCAGTCAAATCTCGTCACACCTTGCTGCCATGGCTGCTGATTACCGTGAGCTTTATTGTCGAATCAAATGAAAGCCTTCGCCCAACTATCTGTCTGTTCTAGCCTATCGTTGGCTTAAACTGCCCAGCAATGCTCCATTCGAGTTGAAGCCCTCACCAGGCAAAGCATGGGGTTTTTTGCCACAAGACCCATCCAGAAAAGATCCTTGATCTTGCGTGAGTGAGAAACCATACTGTATTATATGGGACGCAATGCCTGTCGGAAGCTTTGATTTCATGGTTTCTGAAAACTTGTTCTACATTCGCCAGTCTCTGGTGAGCGAGTCTTCAGTATTCGCGCTTTACCCAACCAACTCCCGCTTCAACCATTCTTGTGCCCCGAACACAAATGCATCAGACAACGTCGACGATACCAAAGAAATGTTCGCAACCAATGATATTGATTCTGGTGAGGAGTCACATCCACTTCTTACGATTTACATGACTCGAAGTGAGCGCAACGAAAGTCTTCAAAGCAGAAGATTTACCTGCGAGTGCAGAGTATGCCACCTTGAAGCTCCCCTCCAGGAATTGAGTGACCTGCGCCGTCGATTGATTCGAGGGTAGCGATATGTTACACGACGCAGTGACGGGGATGAAACCCTCTCTTGGGTTATTGTCGACCCTAGGCTAAGAGAAGCCGCACAAGCATTGGAAATACTATCCTCGGAAAGACCCATATACTGCATCCTGGGAGCTTTCTTCACGAAAAAAAGAGGATGGTTGGATCACACATTGATAGACGAAATTGAGCCGTGGATTTGTTGCATGGAAGAATTCTTTTTTTAGGTCAAAGAGCAACTCTCGTATTGCTAAGCACGCTATGAAGCAGAAGACCTGGCTCAAGAAATTGCAAGTGGCTTTCAGGCTGTATGGGAGAGAGGATGCTGCCGATGATGAAGTGGACGTCCGCACGTTCCGAACTTGGACAAGCGAGTCCTTGACAATACTTTTCTTTTTCTATTTGGGTTACAACCTATCAACGTGCTTTAAGTGGAGATTCGAGACAAATTGGAATGATGTGACGATTAACTGTGACACTACAACGATTAATATGAAAGAAATATGTAAAGACTCAGTCTTTACTTCTGTAGTTGTGTAACCAAATACTTGCAGCCCAATACTATGGCGGTCAACCCAACGTCCCAAAATCCAAAAATATACCAAGCAGGAAGTGTACAGAACACGAGAATGTACATTTTCAGCGAATGTTTATACAATGCGTATCAGCCTGGAATGCTCGCCAAAAACAAATATCCACAATCCCATCGTAATATACATCGGCTTTAATTGCCATTCTATAGATGTAGGCAAGGGTCCAGGGGGAACGGCAGCGGTCACTAACCGCTTGTAGAATATGGGTCTTTGCAGTGGATCTTGGTGGATATTAGGGGTGCTGATTGCAACCGTCAGCGCTAGAGCCGTCTGCCGTGTTTGTGTTGTTTTAATCATGGCTTATAGTATGAAGCCACTAAATAGGTTCTAAATAAATTTCGGAGGAATTCCAAATAAGAGATAGTGGGGGCTCGCATAAACATTTGACTAGATGTAGTAAGCAGTGCTAAGCAGCACTAAGCACCCCGGTGGTGAGATGTCCAGTGGAGTGGGCTAGGGTATGCGGGCGATGATTAGGAGGACCCTGCATGTCTTGAATTACGAGTCGGCCCTAGCATTCGTGCCATGGATGTTCTTTTGTTTCCTCTTATATTTTCTGAACGTGTGCTCTACACACTACATCTCTGAAGGGATAGGATACCGTGTGAAACTCTGCTTGATTAAAGTTTATTTAAAGTATTTGGTTCGGGATGTCGATCCCGGGTGTGACATCCAGATAGCTTGTGTTACATGTGGCTGAACCCTGGTAAGTCATAAGCGGACCGATCAGTTCCTGTAGTTGCTAACACCTAGGCTAAAATGGTGGGTAGCAGGTAGTAGGGTCTCATCCTTGTAATTGCTAGAGATTGTTAGAGGAACTTCCAAGGTTGTCTTAGCCTTTCGACTAAAAGCCCTAGCTACAGGATTAGTCAGTCGAATATAGATATATTTGCCCACCCTAACCTGTTACAGACAAGTGCAGGTCTGTCTGGTGGGGTAGAGCGAGTGTATCTTACGCTACTTGATCGTGCAGGAGAAGGTAGGATTACGATGATATGACGAAGAAGGCTAAGGGTCTAATCTATGGACAGAGTACTTTGAATCTGGTGTGCTGCTTCCCAGCGGACAAAGGTATAAATATGGTTGAAAGCCCCCATCATCCTTTTCCAACTATCTCTTCTCTCCACACTACGACATCCTTTCAACATAGCCTCTTCAGATATCCATTCATTCAAAATGAAGGTCCTCAGCCTACTCAGTGCCTTTGCTCTGGCCGGCAGTGCCGCTGCCTGGAACGGCCAATTGAGCGCCGGTGCCTACAACCAAGGCGAGGGTGGTCAAATTACCCAGAAACTTAACCTGATTGACTACGCCACTGGATCACAATACCAGGGTTGGCTTGTTGGCGGCTTCAATGCTTGCACAAACACTGAATGTGACGTCTAGTAAGTTGATACATCCCCGAAAGTAACACACAGATGCAAAAGCTGACATACAACTAGCTTTGAGGAATTCAGTGGTGGAAACTATCAGTTCTCGACCAAGGTCTGGAGAACTAATGATGGATGCCACAACATTGACTTCTTGGGTGCTTTCGATGCTGGCCATGGATACTGCTGTGGCTCCCTCCCTTGTAATATCTCGGCCTAATTATGAATGTAGGCTCCAGCATTTCCCTATGTATCTTGTGACAGAGTTTACTAACGGAACAACAGGAAACGAGGAAGCTAGTGTACCAAAATTCTAGGTATAAAAGTGATCTATGTATAGAGAATTATAGCTAGCATACCGATAGTCTGCCCTATACAGAGGATTTACATTCAACTACCAAATCCTCTTTTCAAACTATAGCGGGCCAGATCCACGGTACGCCTGAAATTTTAACCTTGAATCAACGGACTCCGTACAAATAGGTACTTTCACACTACACCTTTGCGTAATCTAGGGGATTAGCCTGAGCTATTAAGAAAAAAGAGATCAAAAAAGAGACCAACAAGGAGATGAGAAAGATGTAAAGAAAGAGAAGTCAAAGTAGTGCGAAAGTAATGCGTCGAGGCTTATATATATACAGACAACATCCAACATATTTATCCATGACTCTAGTTCAGTTTCAAGAATCACACTCTACTTTCTTCCGCTTTTTCTCTTGAAATTTTTCTCTCATCTCTCATCTCTCATCCCTACCTCCAACCTAACTTCGGTTTAAACCCCGCAATATTGACAACATGACCGAACCAAATGACAGTCCGACCAGTGTAATCGTGAATTTTGTTGCGTCTGGTGAAGTCATCCTCGTCGTGGGACCAGAGCAGTTGCAACTGCGCGCTTCTTCACGCGTCCTCAAGACTGCCTCAAAACCGTCATCTACCATACTTTCACCAACCTGACTATATACCGCGATGTACCCAGTGCGGTCAATCCAGCAAAGTATCCCCTGCCCGAAGACAACGCAATTGCAATGAAGTACATCTGTGCTGTCATCCACCACCAGAACAACATGTTACCTCGACCCATAAACGCGCAGGATATCTTCGAAATGTCTGTCATTGTGGACAGATATGACTTTTTCGGTGCCCTGGAATTTGCAAGCGACGCATGGTTAGCCCATAAGGATGAATCTCCTAGGGGTCTTATACACCTCACGGCTGCGGCATACATATTCCAAAATGCCGAGGCATTCAAGAAGAACACGAGCGCACTAGTTCTCACATACGGTGGCTCATTTCTTGATCTTGCGGCCGAAGACGTTCAGTCTGTGCTAGACTGGGAAATTGTCCGGGAGTGCTTCTAAACTAGGCCTACTGGCTCAAATTGTGTCTGACCCATGCAAAAAGTCTTGCTAGAAGAACAAAGAAGCAATGCCAGAATGATGCTAGGTGATGCACTCTTCGAAATGATAGGCCACGGCAAATACACCAAATGCTTATGTCTCAAGAGGTACGGATACGACTACCTCATGTTGCTCAAAAGACTCTGCCTCTGGCCATCGGGCTTGAGTAGCGTGTCAGGGGCAATGGCTCGAGCCGATGCACTGCCTCCACTGATTGTAGAGAGCATGACATGTGTTGGTAATGGGGTCAAGCATATGCTGAGGAAGCATGAAGTACCCGGGGATGGAGTGAAGAACGGCCGGTGCATCCGGCATTTTCACTTTGGGCTCTATCTACCTTGCATCCGAGCAGGAAAGATGGATTCAGCCTCTTGCCAGGTTCAACATTAGCGCCATTATCAAATTCGTGTGGTTGGAGCCTTGCTGTCATTGAATTGAGATGAAATTTTATGACAGCACAATGAGCACGAAATGCACTTGATAATACATAAATAACCACCGGATTTGATAAAGATTTTCTAAAGCCTTCTGAGGTATATGTGTATATTGTGTACAGTAAGTTACCTAATTGAGATAGTTTGATGTTATTCATCATAGTCATAGACTACAAATCCCTTTATACCTCTCTGCCGTTAATCGAATTCATGTTACTATTCCGATGCACTCGAAAATGGGCAAAAATAGGCGAAAACAACGCACCAAACGGCTTCAAGTCTTCGTATACTGTAGAAACGCCCAAGAGTCTATCCATGGCATTGTATACAAATTCATGGACACAGCTAGTAGCCGATTTGGCCATTTCCTTAGTAACGAAGACTACAGTTACCCAATCAGAATTGCACCTAAGTAAATCATGACTATATGAACAATAGGAAAATCATTCTTACGGACTTAATCATACATTGAAACCAGGAGTCCCAGCCAGAAAGACGCCTGAACCAGGAAAAGAATTGCGCCAGTCATAACAAAAACCAAGCCGAGCCTCGACTATGTTCACCTCTGTGTTTCCTTGCATCTACATCTCATCCAGGTACATGGCGCTCCCCTTCAGATTGACCAATCCCTCGCCGGTAGATTGAGCCTGAATCTGCTGTGTCTGCTCTCTGGCCACTTGATCCGCTAGAACGACACGCTCGCGTGTTCTCACATCTGCAGCACGAGCACCATCTGCTTGATTTTTGTAGATTTGATCCGTACCAGACACGACACGTGAGACGAGGGTCTCGAATGCCTTTCCGGCGAGAGCATCGACACGGGTCTTTAGGGCAGTCTCGATATTGGCACGGTGACGCTTTGCGCTTTCTTCTCGCTCGTTCTTTTCTTCGGCTAGCTTGCGCTTACGTTCTTCGACCTTCTTCTGATGGTCGTCTTTGGTGGCCAGGTACTTAAGGGAGTGGCCGAGTGTCTGTGGCGAAGCCGGGATGTAATCCACTGGCGGGGCAGAGAAGAAAAGAACGCGACCAAGGTCATCGCAGTGGAACTGGTGGCGGATATCCTCTGGGATTGAGGCGTTGGCTGCGTCGCTGAGGTGGAATACTTCCACTGGGCGCGGCGCGTTGGGGTTGTAGACTGCGGCTGGGGCCTGCATGCGTCCTGAGTAGTTGTATGGCGAGGGTTGAGCTGAGGCCATCGGGGCCTGGAGGCCTTGGTAGCCTGCTGGCGTTTGCGGGGCGGCGAAGTTGCTCGGTCGCCGATTGAGAGATGCTTGGTACATCTGAGCAGGGGTCATATGGCCCTGGAAGCCCGGGGAGGCACCTGGACCGGGTGATGTCTGGGTGGCAATTGGGGCTGCGGGCGAGCGTGCTTGGAGTGCAGCTGCGGAGTCTCGTAGGCCCATGGATTGACGTGGTGCGACTGCCATAGGTTGTGGAGGTGGTGGAGATGGAGTTGGTTCTGGTGGTGGAGATTCCTATTGAAAGTTAGTTATGAGTTTTTGTCTTAAGTGATTTGTAGCACAACTTACGTTCTCATCGCGGGGGCGGCGGTGAACGGCGCCGACGACAGGGGGTGCGTTGTCTGTTCCCCAAGTCGGTCGGGGGAGGTCGTCGGTCTCTTTTGCGTCGTCCTTCAGAAGATGCTTGATCGGACTGGGAATCTTCTTGATCTTGCGCGGAACATCAAATAGGTCCATCTCGTAGTCCTTTTCGCGCACCTCGTCTGGTAGACAACTGGCCCATGTTTTGATCTTGTTCAATTTATGCTTTTCCTCGTTGTAGCGAGCCTCGCAGACGTAGATTTCTTTGTCTGGCGCGAGATCCCTCGGGCGACCACGGCTGTAGCGAGTAAAGAACATCACGAAGCAACGGTCCACAATTTCATCAATTCGATGATCCCGATATTGTCCAGTTTTGACGACCTCGTTAGGATAGAAGTGTTTTTCGAAGTGATGGACGGTCTGCTCTGGACGGTAGTACCAGCATGCATTGATCCATTTCTCCCCTTCGGAGTCCTGCCATGTCCGGTAGATCTGCGCAACAATCGGCTTGGTCACATCGTTTTGGTTCTGAATGTGAACCCAATCTCCAACCTTCCACAACTCACCGCGGTGAAGGATACCATCGGGCAGAGGGAAGCGGCCATCTTCCATCAAAAACTCACTATCGGGCTTCTTCTTTTCTTGCTCGGCCAATTTTCGTGATTCGTTCTGCAGATCGACAGCATCCTTGAAGATCTCGCTGTCGGATTGATTGTATGTCTTGGCGTTCTCAAACATGAGATCAAGATCCCGCATGAAATGATCGACCGAGTTGTACTTCTTGCGCTTGGATTTGCGCTTGATGATGTCGATAGCAATAGGATCCTTGATCTCCATGTAATAATCCGGGTAAGTAGCTTTGTCGGGGAGTCGTTCAAAGTGTGTGATCTTCAAGTGGCCACCAGCACCCTTGAATTTGCGGATTCCCTTGAGAATGGTCTTGATTCTAGTTTCCATGGGTGTATCCACGCGTGGAGGGCGGCCGCGTTTCTTTCGCAGGTCTGGCTCCGGCTTCTGAGCCATTCCACGCTTGAACCCAGGCTTGGGACCGGGCTTCTTCCTTCTTCGGCCCTCATCCTCAGAACCATCCATCTCAACCTCGTCATCGTCCTCGTCTTCCTCTGGCTCCTCCTCCTCTTCCTCTTCGTCGTCATCAGGTAAAGGATCGGCCTCGGGGATTTCACCTAGATCGGGGAGTTCTGCTTCCTGGGCGGAAATCACACCTTGCGCAGCTAGCTTCCTGAACTCGGACGCAAAAACATCCTACTGCCGTTAGTTACCGGTCAGTCAATGGGTTTCCCTGGGTGTAACATACTCTGATAACCAGCGCATCCTCGTAAGCTTGTGATCGAGGTCTGTTATAGGTTTGCGCATTGTGTGGGATCTAAAAGATGTCAGTCAACGAACCGAAGATCTGGGCGCAATTGACGTACCAGAGCACAATCGCGGACAAATTCCGAAAAATGGTTGTATTCCCGCTTGTTGATGCGTGCTTTCAAGATACTGAGAGCCATTGGCTCCTTAATGATATCGTAGTAGTCCGGAACAAAGCGCTTGTTGACACTGCGATGGAACAATCGCGACGGATCATGGCCACTGAACAATGTCAGACCAAAGGTTCACACAGCTTTCTCAAAATAACTTACTCATCTTCTCGGTAATTGTAAATCGATATGACCACATCCATCATCGACTTCCATAGTTCTCTGGTGATCACACCGTCATCCTCGATGGAGTTGATGGGCTCCTCGCGCGGGGGATGCGACTCTGGCTCGGATGCATCCATGTCGGAAACGAGCGCGTTTCCACGCAAAGCACAGATTTGGACGCTGCGATAATCAGGTGAGCGCTCAGCTAGAAAAGGTCCAGCGAATTGCCCAAGTTGTATCGTAGGGGGAGTCGGAGAATGTTTCACGAGCGCGTGAAGCTGCTGCTGAGTCAGCCGACTTTGACGTTACATACGGTAATCTGATTTCACAACCTTGCGCTGGAATTGCTTCACTTCAGATCTTCTATTCATGATGTTTCTCCAGGATGGTATTGCCTTACATGGCTGCCATTATTTACATGTTCATATCTGTATTGATGTCAGCTCTGACCCTTGATATGGGCTGATACTACCTCATTTGGCTCGTTGTACCCCGTATACTAAGCTCTGTTTGCGGATGTCAGACCCCAAGAATTCTTCAAACCAAGCCAAAGCTTCCTTGAGCTTGCTAGAATCTCAGCTACAAAGGGACTTTTGCTTGTCGGGTCTTTGCATCGCATTCCGACAGCTACCCCACACGGCATCGTCATATCTATCGGTGGGACGTCCGCATCACCGCCCTAGCTTCTCGCCTCCTCTCCTCTTCATCTCTTCTATCGCATATATACCATTCATCGCATCATGAGAATCCGAGTGCGCGGGCCCTCGGGCCAGTCAACTGTCACACTAGACGACTCTGCAACCATCAAAGATCTGCAAGACCAAATTGCGGAGAAGACTGGTCTAACTGCCTTTGATGTGAAATATGGATACCCTCTCCAACCGCTCGAGCTTGGCAGCTTCCAACCAGACCAGACCATCTCAGAAACAGGGGTCAAGCTGAACGGAGAGTCACTTATCGTCGCTCCGAAAGAGGGGACCAAACTTCTTAGCGAACCAACGAGAGAGGCACCGGCCACCTTGTCGCAACCGTCCACGTCGTCGCAAAAGCCGCAAACCAATAACGCCGACGACCCGCCAGAGATCGCTTCTCCAGAACATGCAGGAACCTTTGTTCTCCGCGTCATGCCCGACGACAACTCATGTCTTTTCCGAGCAGTCGGCGCAGCAGTAATGGGCGATATGGACACAATGGTCGAGCTTCGATCGATCATTGCAGGCGCCATCCAAGCAAACCCAACAGAATACACAGCAGCCATTCTAGGCAAGAAACCGGACCAATATTGCCAGTGGATCCAGAACGAGGATTCTTGGGGTGGTGCCATCGAGCTCAAGATTCTCAGTGAATATTTTAACATCGAGATCTGCTCGATTGACGTACAGACTCTCAACATGTTCCAGTTTAACGAAGGTGCACCTACACGGTGTATCGTCGTCTATTCAGGAATTCACTACGACGTTCTCGCCCTTTCGCCCTCCCTTCCGCCATACACTCGTGCCAACCCCTTGGCCGATGGTGACACGAAGATTTTTGAGGCTGTCGACCCTGTTGTTTTGGAAAAAGCCAAGGAGTTATGCAAGGTGCTCCAGGGCAAACACTACTACACCGATACTTCTGGATTTACTGTGCGCTGCAACGTCTGTGGTGGTACATTTATTGGAGAGAGGGGTGCTACTAAGCATGCGGCGGAAACGGGACATTATGACTTTGGAGAAGCAGGCTGAGCATTTGGAATAAATGATAATGCATTTGCAGCGATTAGAATCTGCATGGTATGAACAGAATAGCGTATGGCGTCAAATCGATATCACATATCGTACATAAATCGGGTCTCATAGCATAGCGACCTCGTCTGCTTCATCTTCCCCTTCGTCTTCCTCTGCCGAGTCTGCACTCTCTTCAGGGTTACCGCCCCATTCGACATCATGATGGATGGGGTTTGTGAAGAATTCATGCTGTAAGGCTTCTGCGGCGCTAAGACGCTTGGATGGGTCCAGTTCCATCAGGCCAGACAATAGACGTGTTGCCTGTTCCTCACTTTCTGTCAGGTCCTCCACACAGCTTGACCATTTCACCAGCTTCTCCCAACTGTAGCCTTTCTCTCCAATAGTGGGAATGTTTGTTTCGAAGATCTGTCCGTGCATGGCTCCTGCGGTTTTCATACGGCGGGTACCAAAGATGCTTGACATCTCGATCATTGCATCGATATCGTCTGCGGAGTTGAAGAAGGGGAATCGACGTCCCAACAGTGTCAAGAGGATAACGCCCACAGACCACATGTCGATCTTTGTGGTCTGTGATGTGCATTTGAAAAGAACTTCTGGGGCTCGGAAGCCTCGAGTGCCAGCACGGTTTGCCCGCCTCGACGGCCGTGAGTCTTTTTGAGGGTAGCCGGCTGACAATCCTGATGAGGGGGGTTCTTGGAGTAGTAACTGGAGAGTATCCGGCTCCGGCGGACATAGTTTTGATGAGTACAGAGACATGGGCTGGTGTATTCCGAGCCTTGGCGCTGTTTAAATTATCAGTACGTGTATAGTAATGTGGAAGTAGAAGTCATACCTCTGCAAGACCGAAGTCAACCAAGACACCTTCTTTCAGGTCTGGGTTGTAGAGGAAGTTGCTGACACAAACATTAGTATGCAAGCAGATCCAAATGAAACCAATAAACTTACGTTGGTTTGATATCACGGTGGAGAATATCATGTTCGTGGACCGAGTTCAATGCAGTCATAAGAGATCGTAGATAGTGGCGCATGTCTGCTACCATGAATGTTCGATACTGGATGCGAAAGTCCGTATGTGGGAAATAGGGTAGCACGGCAACGACTTGATCTTGGTATCGAAAAGCAGTGATAAGTGGACAGACAGACCCGCAACCTCGGAGATCATGTAGCAACTCCAGCTCGTTCTGAATCCGCAGCGGGCTACTCGTCACATAGATCTTCTTCAATGCGACGAACCGTGCCTTTTTCCGCCCACTTGAGTCACCCTGTACTCGTCTTCGTTTAGACGGTGGGCTGTCATATGTATCTTGTTGTGCTTTGTCGAAGATATCCCAGTCGTTTTGGTAGTGGTCGTAGTGTAGGTCCTCTGCCTTGTAAACTGTGGAAAATGTACCTATAGTTTGCCCGTTAGTAAACATTTAGACAAACATGTAAACAAGGGATATGAGATCGAGTCATACCCTCTCCGATCCTGTTCACTAGACGAAACCTGTCCGAAATTCCTGGAAAGGTATCCTCGAGCTTTCTCATGTCTTCTCGAACAGATTCATCCACTTCTTCCTCAAATTCGCTCTCCTCTTGAGGCGCAGCACCTTGAGCAACCGAATCATCCTCTTCCGCTAGTGTGTATTGTGGCTGCAATGCCTGTGGTTCCTGAAAAGAGCTGCTGCGCTGCAACTCAAACACACCTGGGGCGGCGCGGAGGGCCGACATGGCTTGAATGAGCTCCCGAGGGCAAGTATGAAAAGAGTTTAGTCGTGTTTTGGTTCGGAAAGGTCTTAAAAAGTCAAGAATATGGCCTGGGGTGCCGCGTCTCTATGTTGTGATTATGGAAGTTCTTCGAAGTTTGATTGTTTTCTAAGATCAATTACCAAAATAATCCAAACGCGGTAGGTATGCGGGCAAAACGCACGGTGACAGTACAATGGGCTCAGAATGGCTGGCAGATCGATCGATACAAGGCGGTAAGGAGGGGAAGCTGCAGTAGCGGTAAACTATGACGAGTTACATAAGATTATGTAAGGATCGGCCCTTTTTGGCAAAATCCAAACAATCGGCCTTATCAACAACTTTCCTCCCCGCTTTGATCTCTTCGCAACAACAACCATGGAGGACAGGATTCAGTTCGACATCAACGAATCACTCAAGTATTACTTGAGTGATCCTGCGACACTCCCTACCCCGGATGCAGACCCGGAACTGCTGGATTGCGAATCGGATCCGGAGTCAATCTCGCCCGCGCTAATTGACAATGTTTTGAACCCGATTGTGGATGCGGTGGCAGAGAACCCCGAAGGATTAACGAGAGCATCCGTATTTGACTCACTCCAATTCTTGCTAAAGTGCGCCCCGGTCCCTTCCCAACTTACCCATGGAGGCTTTCGCCCGTCAGGAATCGACTCTGACGAACCTTTTTACACTGGCAGGTACTCCACAGTCCTACCCACGAAATCCCTGAGCAAACTTCTAGATTTGGTTGTTTCTGGCCTCTCCGTTGAGGCCGACATCATTCATGGAGATTTGGAGTCCGACGAACAGGATGCCATCCAGGCCCACAAGCAGCTGCTGGAAATGTACGGATTTCTTTTGCAGTGGGCTCTATCTGCTGTTGAGGTAAAGGCAGCCGAAAAACCCACCGAGGTAGCTCCCGTGCGACGAGGTGGACCCAAGTCCAAAAAATCGGCCAAGGATGGACAATGGGACTGGACGCCGCAGATCCAAATTTCCATGGAGACCATGTGTAAGGTGATGAAGCTCAAGCTCGGACGCATCTTCTTGACGACGTCGGACCGCGATACCTTTATTAATCTCTTCACGCGCACCATCTATCTGGTCCTTGAGAGTGAGCAGCGGGTGAAGAGCATGGCTATTCGCATGCACGCCTTCAAGGTTCTGTGTATTGCGGTCAAGCACCACGGTCATGCATTCGGTATGTTTTATGGTTCAGGTCTCGCGCAAGGGCGCTAACCTTGGCATAGGAGCCCAAACGTCGATCGTGCAAAGTTTGACCTACTTTGAGCACTTATCCGAACCTATGGCCGAGTTCCTACACATTTTGGCAGAACAATACGACTACCCGCAGCTCTCCGATGAAATTTTGAAGTAATGCAATCCACTGTTCTGTTTTGTCTCACACTGACAATTTTAGGGAACTTGGAAACAAGGAATTCAATTCTAATGACACAAGAGGACCGAAGTCTGTTTCATCATTCATCATTAAGCTGTCTGAGCTTGCCCCCAGATTGATCATCAAGCAAATGACACTTTTGGCAAAGCAGCTAGATAGTGAGGTAATTATAGCCGAACAGAAATTATGTTGTTCTTTTGCTCACAAGTACAGGCATATACACTCCGCTGTGCAGTTATCGAGGTTTGCGGAAACCTCATTGCTGATCTCAGCCGACAAGAAGAACCCAGCGACAACTACAAAACTCAGATCAACGCCTTTTTCGATGTCTTGGAAGAGCGTTTCCTCGATATCAACCCCTATTGCCGGTGCCGTGCGATCCAGGTGTTTATGCGAATTTGTGACTTAGAGCAAAAGTTCCCTAAGAGACGCCAGTCTGCGGCTCAGCTGGCAGCCCGAAGCTTGGAAGACAAGAGTAGCAATGTCCGACGTAATGCGATTAAACTTTTGTCTAAGCTGGTCTCTACGCATCCATTCAGTGTGATGCATGGTGGACAGCTTTCATACAAGGAGTGGAATGAGAGGCTTGACGGAGTTGATGCCGAACTGAACGCTCTCCGCCCTGCTGAGACTCCTGGGTTTGATGCAGGCGATATGACACAGGTCGATCCTGAGCTGCTTGACGACGCTACACAGTTGCCAGACGACTCACCCTCAAAAGCACCCCGAATGACCGAAGAGGAAAAGGCTGTGGCTATCCAAAAAGCCCAAGAACAGGCTGCAACTTCTGAGTTGTTGACACGTCTCCAGCTGACGCGAAAGTACTACAATGAGGCCATCCGCTTTATTGAAGTACTTCATTCGGCGTCTACTATTGTGTCGCAATTGCTGTCTTCACGGAACAAGAGCGAGGTTATTGAAGCCATGGACTTCTTTGTCGTTCTTGATGCGTACAAGATTGAAACGGCTCGTGGTGGAATTCGTCGCATGCTGCGTCTGATCTGGACCAAGGGCAACAGTGATGAAGGAAAGGGTGTCCAAACCCATCTGATTGACTGTTACAAAGGTCTCTTCTTTGATGCACCAGGCTCTTTCAGTCCCAATGATGCCGCCAACTATATTGCTCGCAACATGATCAGTCTGACATTTGGCGCGACACCTGCAGAGTTGACTTGCCTTGAGCAACTGCTCAGCACGATGATGAAGGCTGGAAATATTTCAGAAGCAGTCATTGCCAAGCTATGGCAGGTTTATGGTATCCAGAAGAAGGAGATCTCGAAGACCCAGCGCCGCGGTTCCATCATTGTGCTCGGCATGCTAGCTCTGGCAGACCCCGAAGTTGTGGTCAAGGAGATCGAAGCCATGCTTCGTATTGGCTTGAGTGGCCATGGAAAGTCTGACCTTGTGCTCGCCAAGTATACTTGTATCGCCCTGCGACGCATGATACCTGGGCGGCAAGCCAAGTCAAAGGAGGTTGGAGTTACCAAATTGCCCAGTGACCACTCTGTGCTGGTAAAGCTTGCTGCCATGCTTGAGATTGAGACAAACAGCAAGGAATGGTATGGAGTAGCAGAGCACGCGCTCAATGCAATCTACACTCTCTCCAAGCACCCGGATGTACTCTGCTCAGACATTCTTCGACGGAAGACAATCTTCGTCTTCCAACCACACCTTCAACAGCGCCCACCTTCCTCGCATACCTCCGCTGCTGATGGCGAAGAGGAGCGTCCTGGAACCGCATCGAGCGAGGGACAAGGGTCCAAGCCTAAGCCCGCCTCCGCAGCGCTCTCGCAACTATTGTACGTCGTTGGCCACATCGCAATCAAGCAGATTGTCCATCTGGAACTGTGCGAACTTGACTTTAAGCGTCGCAAAGTTGAACAAGAGAAGAACAAAGCTGCCTCCGCTCCCCAAAAGGAGGATAATGCTGATGAGGACGAGCTTGATCTCATCGGTGGAACCACCGAAGATGATTTTCAGGATGCTATGGCCCACATTCGAGAGCGTGAACTTCTTTACGGAGAAAACTCGCTTTTGGCCAAGTTTGGTCCTCTTGTAACAGAGATTCTGGCCAACAACAATGCTTACCCGGATCGTGATCTCCAGGCCTCTGCCACTCTGTGCCTGGCCAAGCTCATGTGCGTTTCTGCCGAGTACTGCGAGAAGAACCTACCACTCCTTATCACAATCATGGAACGGTCCGAGGACCCCATCGTGCGTAGTAATGCTGTGATCGCCCTGGGTGACATGGCGGTCTGCTTCAACCATCTCATCGATGAAAACACAGACTTCCTTTACCGCCGCTTGAATGATGATGACGACTCTGTCAAGCGGACGTGTCTCATGACTCTCACCTTCCTCATTCTGGCCGGTCAAGTCAAGGTCAAGGGACAGTTGGGTGAGATGGCCAAGTGTCTGGAGGACGACGACAAGAAGATTGCGGATCTGGCTCGCATGTTCTTCACCGAACTTGCAACCAAGGACAATGCAGTATACAATCACTTCGTCGACATGTTCAGTCTGTTGAGTGCAGAGCGCAACTTAGAGGAGGCATCTCTTCGCCGGATTGTCAAATTCTTGATCGGCTTTGTCGAAAAGGTAAGATCATACACCTTGGCTTTGTTGATGAAATCAGCTAATATTCTCCAGGAAAAACACGCTCGCCAGCTGGCCGACAAATTGGCTGCTCGACTTCCTCGCTGCGAGACAGAACGCCAATGGAACGATGTCGCCTATGCCCTCTCCCTTCTACCGCACAAGAACGAGGAGATCACCAAGACCGTCAGTACCGGGTTCAAGGTCGTCGGTGCGGCAGCCTAATCAGAGACAGCTTATGTGTTGATGTAATTGATGATATGGGTCTGGTCTGTACATTCTGGCGTTGTCGGTTCAGTCTTGGAGGGTTTAAAGCAATGCATAATGTCCATCATTCATCCCAATGAACATACGTACCTTGATTACATTCTATACACTGGACCAACCCAGCAAGACTCTCTGCTATATTGATTCTGCAAGCATAAAGTGCAGGATATGCAATGGTTTCATTGCAATACTCATCAACCACTCCATCGGCCACCTACTCCGACGAAATAGCAGCCCCAAACAGAGTTCTAAAGCGAGAAAGATGCGCAAGTTCTAAGTATGTGATGAAGAAAGTAACGGAAACACAAGCCAGACATGAATAAGCACAGCAGAAAATGAGAAACAGACGCCGAGTGTGTAATGGATCGCATGCCAGATACGCCACATTTGTGAACTGCACAAGCCGAAAGACGAGGGAAGGAAGAGAGACAATTACAACAATCTATGCGCCCTTCACTGTACTTTCCGTCAAAGTGTACTCGCCAGATTTGATGCCCTGCAAGACCTTCTGTCCCTCCTCTGTCAACTCGGGCTTCCCCAGCGGTGTCACGGCACCAGTGAAGAAACGCGGGTTCCACTCTGTGCCCTTTTCCTTGCGCTCTGCTGCGCGCTCGCGTTGTCGTTCCTCGATGTCTTGTTTCAACTTGGTGGCCTGGCTGAACTGTTTGTCCACAATGGCGTTTGTGACATCGCCCCAGAACTTTAGAGACTCATTAGATAGCTGTTCTTCAGCGGGAGGCATGCTCTTGGGGACGGGGAAGAGAGGCGCGATGTCGATGAGAAGACGGGCGTCCTTGCTACCTGCCAAGGTGAAGTATATCTTTCCGTGCCAAGACCCGGTGATGCGAGCGATGACATCGTTCTCTGGTACGTCCTTGATTCTTGTCACGGTATCCTTGTCCTTGTTGTAGCGGAAGATCACACCCTCCATCTTGTTTTGTGACCGGCCAATCCATCCTTCTTCCATGTACTGAAGGATTGCCTTCATACCGGTCTTCGGGCAGGAGATATAGCATGTATCGGCGACTGTGATAGCCAGCGCACCGCGTAGGATTCCACCGAGGTGGGCGTCTGGATGAGTCAACTGGTATTCCTCGTTGTCTCTCTTCTCGATATTGACGAAGATTCCGAGGTTGTGCTGGCCGGGGCTCACGCGAATGCTGGTGCCTGTGAACTTGGCGCTGATTTGGTCAAATCCGCGCGCGGTGACGCCCCGCTCGGGACAGTCGATGAAGAAGGCCGAGACTGGGGGATGGTGGGAGGTCTGTTCGGTGAGGTAGCAAACTTTGACTTTGTCGTCGCCATCTTGAACGCTCGAGGAGCTGATTCCGGGGAGGTTTTGTTCTTCGGGGATGTTGTCATTGACATCCCAGCTGCACTAGAGGGTGTCAGCACATTACCAATGGAATACCTGTAGCGTAACTCACTCGGAAGAATTCACCCAGGGTAGAGTTGTATGGCTTGCACGGTTTCCCTTTGATGTATTTCTGGAATCAGGTTAGCGATATATTCCAGGCAACCGACGCAGGGAACTATACCAGATCCTTAGTGAACCAGAAGCGCAACACCTCCAACATACGACCTAACTCATCATCCGACTTGCCAATGCTGTAGCTCCTGGGTCAGCACATGAGCGTCTGCCAAATATGGGCGTTGCTGACCTCGCAAAGGTCTCCGGTCGGTCCAGGTAATGCCAGTATTCTTCGCCACCAAGCCGTTAGCCTCCAACTCCACACAGGATAGCATAGTAATGACCTACCGAGATTCGGTCTCGGCTCCAGCAGTTGCGCTGGCAGTGAAAAGCGAACCGAAGCGATATCCGCCACACCCACGAACCTAGTAGCCAGTATGTTAGCGCCTAGAAACGGCGGTGCGGGGCGACCTAAGAGACATACTTCCGGAGGATGGAGAGGAACGTCTTGAGCTTGGAAGAGTCATCTGGGGCTTTTTCAGGCGCGACAGTGGTCGACATGGTGATTCAAAGTATGCGATAAAGATATGTTGAGGAGAGAAGCTGGACACTTGAGTAGAAGATGTGGCAAACCGGTGGGCCGAAGGGAATTGAGGAGGAGGCGGGGGGAGGGTTCTCGGGCCTTATGTGCCGAAACAAGGATGAGGAGAGTCGCTGGAGTCGCAAATTGGCAATCTCAAAGAGTCAAGTATAGAGTCAAAAGCAGAGAAAAGAAAGGAGGTAAGGGCGCCTTGGAACTCGATAACGAGGCGGTGACGTGTGAACTATTTTTTGCCCAGTGGGGTTCGAGGGTGCGGTGTGCTTTTATGTTCTTCTTTGTCTTTGTTCATGTTCTTTTGTAAGTCCAAGTCTATATTTGCATACTTGACTACTTTTGATACTGGCTGTGTCTTAGACTACGTCACCGGGACGGGTCAAGCGATAAGGCTATACGATCTACAGTCTGCATATGTGTATGCCATGAAGTATCATGTGTATACAGTGCCAGTGTGAGACAGTCGAAGCGAGTATACAGTTCCTACATTCACACTACTCTCCTATGGCCTCTCATTTTCACCTCTCTTCTACCCATTTTCGAGCGCCTTGGGTTCATCATTGAGACAATTAAAATTAAAGAATATGAAAAATATCAAGACTATGACTGCAACCGGAGATCAAAGAAGTCAGTTGAATGGGAGTAAAGGGGTATCATCGGCCAATCAGTTGGCCACGAGGGCGGTTTGTAGCTCCTGCAGCTCCTGCTTCCGCGCCAAGAGCCGAAGCCACGTTCGCACCGCTGGGCTGTAGTCAAACCGCCGTCCAGCTGCATACTCTTCATCTGTCCTGTGTGACTGCTGTTCCTCCCGAATGCGTGCTCGGAGTTCTCGCTGGTCCTTACTCAGCTCCTGCTGATACTTCTGTAACTGCGCCGCTGAACATGATTGGTATTCCTGAACCGTGTCAGCGACCTCCGCCGCATCGATACCTTCGCGGGTAAGGCACAAGGATGGATCAGGACCGAGGATCAATTCATCCCAACAGACCTCAACTCCAGGAGGTGGCAGGGACATAGCACGTTGGCTGAGGATCTCTAGGCTTCGCACGTTGATGGCCATGGAGTCGAGGAGGTCAGGTAAAGGGTCACGCACGAGTCCCAGGATCGAAAATTCAATCTGATCCTCTTCGTATGCGGCCATTCGGGTAAGCAGATTAGGCCGGACCAATTCTAACCAGTTGTCCTCGGAACATTTGCCTATCGACTGATGTTAGCAGGGTCATCCTGACATATTTCGGGTCCAACATACCCAGTGCTTGAGGCTGTCGCTCGAGTCCATCAAATTTCCACAGCTGGCCCATCACAGGCATGAAGGCGATGAAGTGGAAGGTTGCATCTTCATCGTCATCATCTTGGCCCTTGGAGCGATTCTTTTTGGCGGTAGCTTCGATCTTGAGCTGTAGATCTGAGTTGAGAATATCCATTTTCCTAATAAAGTTAGATCATGAGCAAGAAAGGTGTGCAACATTGACATACCGGGCAAAGGAATTGTGAATTCTCTTGACAAATTCAAAGTTGTTGATGGCATCTCCACGCAGAGCTGGGGTAAAAGGCATGGTGAATTCCTTAAAAGACTGTAGATTATCTCCCAGGTCAATGCCTGGAATATTGTTCACAATGTTGAGTAATGCCACACTGGCACAGGCATTATTTGCGGTCTTGTCCGTTAGTAAAACATCATTTGGATGGTATTGAGGAGCTTACCTGGTTGGCAAACCAGATTCCATCAGGGCAACTGGCTTCTTGTTTGCCATGGTCATCCTCACGCCAACGGAACAAAAAGATTAAGCCATAAACAGGTTTGCTATGCATGGGTTAGTGATTGCGCCTGGCACAAAACCGGTCGGATTCATACTTGAGAAAGGCCATCATCTCTTCGTCAAGAGAGACGACTTCCTGGACCTGGACGCCCTTGACACCAAACTCACGCAGCATGACGTTGAACAAGGCCTGGGAGACCGTCAGTTTGTACATATTTATTAAAGATTGAGGATCCATACCGGCTCGGACTCTATCTCGCAGAAACCATTCCAGCTGTCTTTCTCTAGAGCCGAAGCAGCCTGGCAGATGTCATCGCTTTCGTCGTCCGGATCTGTCATCCGACGACGCTTGACTCGTGGACCCATGTCTCTAGATAGAAGGAATGAAGCCTCTTTTGCAAAGGTCGGCAATGATTGAGCTAGGTGAAGAAGCTATGTTGAAATGAAGAAGTGGATGGAGATCAAGTGAGATTAAATACGGCACAATAAAAGGAGGCACGGGAAGACACGCATTCAAATATAACAAAATTAAGAAGTAATTGAGTCCAATGAATAGACAGTAGACAATAGACAATAGAAGATGTATGGGAGAATGTCGTCTAGTGGACCGAGCTTCCCCCGACGCGCTTCCCGCGTCTCCACCAAACTTCACTTTTTTGTTTCCCTTCGTTCTCCAACTTTACAGCTATAAGCGCATCCTTTACCACAGCTTTTCAACCTGCTCTAGAAGGTCTTTGCAGCTGACCTGGATCCACCTTTGGGTTCTATTCTTTTTCTTCCCTCGAAAGGCCGAGCTCTGGCAACCACAGCATGCCATGAGCGGCACACCCTCCCTCGCGTCTGCCTTTCCCCAGACGCCTTCAACAAACCCAGGAGACCCAGGAGTAAGGAGAAAGCTCTTTACTCCTTCACGATCGCAATCGCGGGGGATCCGTATGAGGTCGCCGACCAAGTCGCCGCTGAAATCCGCTACCAAGGCCCCCAGACCAGCTCCGATCCCAAGCTCCAATGCGCCGCTGATACCTGAGAGCACGGTCGATGCACCCACCCAGCGACTCTATGTGGTCGGCTTCTACTTCGCTCTACATGCGTGGCGATTGTATGAATCCTGGACAGAATCCGATAACGAGCCTACGGGGCTCCTCGTGAAATGGACGTTGGTTGATTTGGTCTTCTTGTTCGGTCTGCAGTCTCTGCGCATACCTTGGCTGGAGTGGAGTTTCCCGACCACGCTTGCCCTTTTTTTGCTCCATGTTGTTGGTAATGCCTTTTTGATGTTCCGTATCCCAATTCCATGGGGTGCATGGATTTCCGGACTGGTCAAGGTGGCCTATGATCGCGAAGTGTCCATCTCTGAGCGCAAAGTCAAGCCAGGTGATATCATTCACAATGCCTCCCTGATTCTCGGAAAGCAAATTGTTCATATATTGCCAGAGGGGTGAGGTTTACCAAAGCCTAGCTAATGAGTGACATGCTAACTGTTTTAGATCTGCCGTTCTTAATCCGGACCATGATGCCCTTTGCCTTGACTCGTTGAAATCAATCATTGACCTCCCAATCCGTGTCAACCAGACCGACCCGATCATGATCGAAATGTTGCGCATGGATCTTCACACTGGGGAGAATGAAACGATTACGATCCCAACAAAGCAGCTGAAGAACATCAAACGTCAGGCGGAGAAAAAGCACAATCCTGGTCAGTCCCATCGGGATCTGCAGATTCCCATCCGCAAGACTGGAATCTACCGTCTTCAACGTGTGGTGGACGAGTCTCAGCTCGACGTTCACACCAAAACTGTCGATGCGCTGGTGGTTTCTTGCCCTCGTGCGTTCGTCAAAAACTCGCACCTCGACAAGTGCAAAGGAGAATTGTCAAACTTCGCCCTGGAGGTGGAAGGCACACCTCCCTTGAAGATCAAATACAGCCGACAGGTCAACAACCATGATCGTGGATTCTCGGTTCTCAACATTCAACCGGATAATTTGCGCTCCCCACTACTGAATCAGAGAACTACCGGTCCATTGTTCAGTATCAATCAACCCGATGTTTCATGGGCCCAGAGCCAAAAGATTGAGGTCCCACTGAATGAGTCGTTGAACGTTGGCGGAGAATGGTTCTATACAATCGAAGAAGTGCATGATGCTGCTGGCAATATCGCCAACTATTCCACAATATTCGAAGAATCGGACCGGCCATCTACAAAGTCGCAATCCCAGTGGTATCAGTTCTCTGTTCATGAACGCCCGCGGCTGTCTTTCGACGACTGCAACGCTCAGAACCCCTTGCGGGTCGCCAAAGGGAAAAGCGTTCGATTCCCACTCCAATTCCATTCCTCTGGACATGGATACTACGATGATGGCCCTTTCTCCGTTACCTACTCTTACACCGGCGACGAGCAAGAGACAGTGGATACCAAAACTCTTTCTCAGAAGACCATCGACCAGGTCCACCAGATCAAGGAGCCTGGAGTCTACTCACTGTCATCCGTTTCCACTCAATTCTGTCCTGGGGAGATCTTGGAGCCGTCATCCTGCTATCTGCAAAACCCGCCTGAGCCCGAGGTTGCAGTCAAGGCCGAGAGGATCTTTGACCGCTGCGCCAACAATGCTATTGGATTGCTCGTTGACATCGATCTGACCGGTTCTCCACCGTTCACTCTCCGATACAGCGTTGAGAGCTCCAAGGGTGCAACCCAAACCAAGTCGCAAAGAATTGACAGTGTGCGCACACAGCTTGACTTCACCCCATCGGAAGCCGGATTTTACCGGTACTATTTCTTGGACATCGAAGACTCTGTCTATTCGCCGCGGTCTCTCAGGGACAAGACACCTGTACTCGAGCAGGACGTCAAACCGCCAGCCTCGGCCCATTTCGTTGGAACCGCCGGAGTGCGTCGGGCCTGCTTTGGAGAGCAAGTTGCTGTGGATGTATCTTTCCTTGGAGAGGCACCCTGGGCCCTTCAATATGAGATCTTCCACAACGGCAAGAAGCAGAAGTTCACACTGGATTCTGATGTCGATACAGCCACTATCAGAACTGACAGACTGGTTAGCGGAGGCGAGTACACTATGACATTGACCAATGTCAAGGACAAGTCTGGCTGCAAACGAACCCTGAAAGAAAGCATCAAGATCCAGGCTCGGTCCCAACCACCACACGTTTCCTTCGGTGAGATCGACAAGAAGAGAACCGTGTCGGCCTTGCAAGACTCCAAGATTGATATCCCAGTGCGACTTAAAGGTGAACGGCCTTGGACTATCAGTTACAAGAATGTCGACGTCCATCAGGAACCCATTCAGCAAATCCTTTGGGCAGAGAACAGCGTCTTGAACGTGGATAAGCAAGGTCTCTATGAGATCACTGGAGTCATGGATAGCGGCTGCCCGGGTACCGTGGACCAGGCTGCCAACGAATTCGAAATCTCATGGATCCCCCGGCCTCAAATCATTGCAATTGACGGTTCTCCCGTTGCTGCTGCGAAGGAGGTCTTCAAATCAGAAGTCTGTCAAGGTGACGATGATAGCATGGAACTTCGATTGTCTGGCAACCCTCCGTATAATCTTCAATACGAGCAGCGACGCAAGACCGACCGTGGCGTGTCCTCGGCCAAGCCCCGAGCCCTCAAGTCTGCTCTCCATGCCACTTCGATGGAGATGGATACTTCCGAGCCTGGTCAGTACAGCTATAAGTTCACACAGGTTGGCGATAATCTCTATGACCATGACTCTCGGAGCACTCCGCTGGTTGTGACCCAAAAGGTGAACCCGCTGCCCTCCGCCAAGTTTGACTCCCCTGGCCATGTCTATGGTTTCTGCAAGGAAGATGTCAGTGGAGAGGAATCTGTTCCCATTACGCTGGAAGGTGTTCCTCCGTTCTCCCTGGAGATCACCATCAAGCACCACTCCAACGCCAGACCTGAGATTGTCACCATCCCCAAGATCAGCACCAACCGTCACAACCTGCTCATTCCTCGTCGTCACCTCGACCTAGGCCAACATGTCGTCAGTATCCACAAGGTTCGCGACTCTCGCGGATGCCAAAAGACCACCGAGTTGGACTCGTCCTCTGTGCGGGTTGCCGTTTCCGATGTTCCCACCATCATCCCGCTTGAGTCCAAGGTCGACTACTGTGTCGGCGAGCGTCTTTCCTTCTCGCTGTCCGGACACGCTCCGTTCGATGTTTTTTACACCTTCGATGGTGCCCAGCGCAAGGCTTCTTCTCCCAACACCAACTTCCGTCGTATTGCCGAACGCCCTGGTGAATTCACCATCACTGCGGTCAGTGACGGAGCCAGTGGCAAGTGTCGGGCCCACAAGGATATCACCAAGGTCATCCACCCGATGCCCAGCGTGAGGATCAGCAAGGGCAAGACCACCATCGTGGACATTCACGAGGGCGGAGAAGCCGAGCTTCACTTTGAGTTCTGGGGTACACCACCATTCGAATTCACGTGAGGTATTCCCCCAGTCTTGTCCATTCCAGTTTACTAACGAAGAGCAGGTACATCCGAAGCTCCAACGCTGCCAAGGGAAAGAAGTCTGAGGTCCTTGACATCAAACACGACATCTCCTACGAGAACATCAAGACCATCAAGACCTCGGATGAGGGCACATACGAAGTGATCGCGATCAAGGACAAGTTCTGCTCATTCTCCTCCCAAACGACGCCATCCGGCAAGTCAAAATGATGTGATTAATGCGATGTAATGCTGGGTGCTTTCTTTTACGATTGTTTTTTTTTTTTTGTGATTTATGTTCTTGTCCTTTCTTCACTCGTTTCTCCGACTTGTTTGCATTGCAGCGGCGCTAGCACTGTCTTCCATCTCAGATATCTACAATACGCTTTGTGTCCAATAACTAATGAGACTGTCGCCTGCTCATCTGGGGGGGTGTCTTTCTTTAGAATGGGGTTATGGCTTTGGTGTTGATTCCGTATAGAGGCTTGGGATGAGGAATTGGATGGAGTCCCTGGATGGTATTTTGTTATCGTTTGTATTGTCACCTAACTCATGGATCTCCTTTATACCCTTGCCATGTCTCTAGATGTAGTGTATCGAGCCAGGGGTGGGACGGGATGTGCTGGGTCTGGGAAAGACCGTACGCTCTTCTATTTTCGGGCTGCCTCGACCTGTCCCGTCTCTTGGTCCATGTTCCGGCCTCGTATGTTCGAGCGGATTGTATGTGGTGGATGGGTCGAACTGGGGATACTCGTGACCGTGAGGTTTGAAGGTCTCGAGAAGCAGCCGTATATCAAGTGACCATGTAAAGGGTAGCATATCAAGTCAGACACCCCTGTCTCTCTCGATCCATGTGCTGACCTCGTCCCAGGAGACATTTGGTGAACTTGCTACGCACCATCTTGCTTTTCTTCTCAACAGACGTTCGTGGACGACTTTACATTTCCACGGTTCAGGAAGGCTTTCGAGGGAATGAGTTCAGCGTCTTGCTTTCTGTCTGGCATGTTCTATGCTGAGGGCAGAGATCGGGGGTCCGAGGGTATGGAGGGTTCTCTTGATCAGCCTCTTGAGTCCTTTCATGATTCCCTGACTCTTTCCTCTCTTGAATGGGCACCTGGTATTCGGCACCCATACACCCTCGATGGACATCTGGAGGGCTGCTGAAACCACGCAACTGGGTTTGGTGCTGGTGCAGGACATTCTGTTGGGACTCCGGACTTGCACGCAGGTGTACTATCGAGGGATGACTCGTGGGCGGTTACTGTCCTCTATGATGTCTGGCCTTTGGCCCAGCAAGCACATTGCTCCCTGGAAATCCTGCGAGTACCAAGTCAAAAACATGGCTTGTTTCTGTGGGCTTGTGGGTGTTGGCATCTGACTTCTTTCCCAATCATCGTCATCTTTCTCCTGTCTTGATGCTTGGTCCTGTACCTGTTTCGAGTGGCAGCATCATATCTTCCTGTCTTGACTGAATACGTACACGCTCAAGAATACACTGCATGCAGGTCCACTTCATACAGCGTAGTGCCATTCACAGTAAATCTACAACTCAACCTGCACAGCCAGCATCCCCTCCGACATAAATCCAGTAACAAAAAGCCAAGCCCTCTTCACCCCATCACCGTTCGGCTCCACAGGAACAAGAACAGCCGCACTAGCCGTCCGGATCCTCAACCCATCATCCTCAAACAAAAGCCTCTTCTCCCATTCATTGCCAGTAGGACGAGCATACCAGACCTGCACAGGATCCACCCCCTCAGGATCCTTCGAAGTAACAGGCAACTTGATCGCCCTCGAAACACCCGCAACTACAACCCCACTCACATCATCATCGGCAGTAGCATACGGATCAACATAATAACTGGGGTTGTCAGTGACGGTGCCGAACGACACAGATTCCGAAATCGAAACAGAGCCTGGAGTAGAATGGCTGCTGGCAGTCGCGTTCAAGTTCCAATCCGAGTCCCGCTTCAATGTCGACATAAACAATTCACCACCAACAGCGCTGGAAATGATCATCTCATCGGCCGTCCGACCATGTCCAAGACCATTATTATTCCACAGCCCCGTCGACGCAACCGATGCCTCAACCTCCCTACCCTCGTGGATCTCGACGGGGAGTCGAACATGGATGATACTAGACCATTTCGCAGAAGGCCACACATCCTCCACATGCCGCATCGCACCCTCGCGATAGAAATGATCATTCGTGACATAGAAGGAAGAGGCAGACTCGGCATAGATATCATTTGGCGTTTCGATGAGTGGGTGGTGGATTGCGCGGATGTGTTGGAGGGTACGTGTGCCCAGGACATGATGGAAAAGTTCGATTTGGGAGGCTGCTTTGTGAGTTCCTGCTGGGATGGAGGTGTTGGCGTGGAAGTAAACCGGGTTGGGCAGGTGGTTTACGGCGAAGATGTAGACTGCCTCGCCATCAGACTTCTCATCTTGGATCACGTCAATTCCATGCGTCACGAAGGGACCTTGGAAATTCGTAAATTCCAACCGGGTGGATTTCATTGTCTATACAAATGTCATCCGCTCCATTCCTTTCTTGATATCAAACGACCCTTGGGAAACGGAGGGGATGAAGGATACCAACCTCGGGATCAACAACATGCACAGAACCCCTAGTAGTTGGCGGGATCAAATTCCCCAACGGGGGAAACCAACTAAACCGCGTGGTTTTATAATCCTCACAGGCAGTAAAGAGCACATTGGCCGGTTTGTAGTGGTGAACATCCTCGCAGTGGATTGTATCCTCGATATAGATTGGCCCGTGGCCGTCGGGTAGGATTGTTGGGATTGGAGTGTGGAAGACGCCTCCGACGCGGATGATGTGGGATATTGGGGCTGATAGGAAGGATATTAGGGCGATGAGCGTTGCTAGGGCTAGGGTGTTGAGGAGGCCCATTGTGACTCGGTGGTGGGGGATCAAATGGGTCAGTCGAAGCAACTGAATGAGAGTGGAAGGGAATGAAGGGAGGAAAATGGATCTGAAGATGTCATTAATAATGAATTGAACCTCGGATGTCTTTGCATAACCGGAACTGTGGAGATGAAAAGAATCGAGAAAGGATCATCAGAACTTAAGGGGAGGGGAAAGTGGAGAGAGTTGGAGAATGAAGCAAAGCAATTGAATTGGACTATCCTATGGAAATGGTACATGTTTTTGGGTTTCAGTTTCCAACCAAAATCATTAATTGCTAGTCATGAGTGGAGTGACTAGGTGCATGTCCGAAAAAAAGAAGGATTTAGGAGAAAAAAAGATAAAAGTGATTGCACTTGTGCAAATTCCCGATTCCATAACATGTCGTGATACTGTTTCAAATATTATCCGCCGCAAATCTTCCTAATGTGCAGACTGCTGCGCCTCCAAGAACTCCTGGTCGCTGGCGTCGAGAACGTCATATTCCTCGTCGGTCAGGAAGCCGGCGTCAGTGCTGGCGTCGTCAAGAGCCAGGCTCTCCACATCCTCAACATCAGCTTCAGAGGAGTTGGACAGAGTGGGTGTTTGGGGGGCAGGGGCCTCTTGAATGGTGCTGGACTCAGGGGACTCCTTCTCCAGCTTGGGGAAGATCATGCCACTTCCGCCAATCTCAGACACGGGTGACTCCTCGGCCACGACAGGAACAGGCTCCTGCACCTTGATCTCGCACCACAGGCTGTGGCCAACAGCCATGCCGTTGGGAAGCTTCAACCGCCAGTAAGAAGTAACGTGGCAATCACGCTCGGGAGCGCGAAGTTTCACGGTGAATTCAGCAGATTGACCGGGCTCCACAGGAGCCAACAGCTTATTGCTTTGTTGTGCCGAGTAAAGAGACATGGTGTCAGAGGGGTGGCTGGTGTCAACGTCGAACATGGCATCGCCACCGACGTAACGCACGTCACAGCCAACAGGCCATGCGGCATGACCGTTGTTGACAAGGGTCCAGGTTTGGGAGAAGACATTGCCTGGCTTCATAGTTGTGCCGTCCTCAATAGTATCCTTGAGGAACTCGGCATTGTAGTCCCGTGCACCAAGAACTGAGGCAGCTTCAACTTCAGGCTTGAAGGGCTTGGGCATCTCCACGGACTTGGCAGCCACTTCCACAGGCTCCTGCTCATCAATGGCAGCATTTTCCCAAGTCCGGGCTTGGCAACGATCGCCCAGAGCAAAGCCTGCCTTGGAGCCGTCATCGCCTAGAGTGCTCACAGTCACGCTGCGGACAGGAGTCTTGAACTTAACCAGCGGGTGAGTGCGGTTGTGGTGGTCAGTTGGGAGAGCCTCGCAACTGGCACAGAAGTCGCAGTCATGACAGACAGCACACTTGTAGCGAACGCCACTGATGTAGCTTTGAGCAGGCTTGTTCTTGCACAGAGGACCGTCACAGAAGATGCCATAGTGGATTTCATGCTCACGAGGAGCCTCACCAATAGCATCATACACCTTGACGAAGCGGTGACCAGGGTGGTTCTCCGGTGCTTTAGCGATGCACTCCGGGCAGAAGTCCCAGTCGGGGCAAGCCAGGCACTTGTGACGGACGCCAACAATACGCTTGTCACAACCATCACATACAGCGGCGTGTCGGAACTGACGACCAGGGAGGCAGCGAGAAGTGATCAGATCTTTCAAGGAGAAGTTGCGGTCAGAGCCAAGGTGGAAGGTGTGACCAGGGTGGTGACCGTGTTTGTTCCTGAGGAGACAACGGAGACACAAGTCATAGTCTTCGCAGTCATTGCAGCGGACGAGATAGCTGCCATCAGCCTCACGACAGCAGCCATTGCACATGGGCTTCTCCTCCCCCTGGGCTGCAGCATCTGAAGAATCCACAGGCTTCACATCCAACTTGAGAACCGGCTCAGGGATGGAATCAGGAAGAGCCTGAGTCTGGACAAGCTCAGTCTTCACGGGGACATGAGACTTGGTAATCACCTCAGACTTAACTGGAAACTGGTTGCGAGGAGCAATGGTCTCGGTAGTGCTATTGGTAACGACACCATCCTGAACGAATCTCTTGATCAGCCAGTGGCCATCACCGTTGCAGGAGGCTCCGTCTTCGACACAACGAGGGCACATGTCGTAGTCTCCGTTCTCACAAATACTGCAGTGGTAGTGTTCGTTTGCAATGGAGCGACCGCAGTTGTTGCAGTCAATGCAGAACATTCCATTGACGGAGTTGTGAGAGACAAGGGGGAAGTGGTGCTTCTCTTGATCCACCTCGAAGGTGCGGTAACGAGGCTGACCAAGAGGAAGCTCTTTGGGGGGTTCGGTTGCGTTGAGGATAGAGAGGTTGTTGGTGCGAGCCTGGTGATAAGCCGGGCTCATAACGGTGTCTAGGAAACTGTTTCGAGTCTCCTCTGGTGCAGAGGGCTCTTCGGCCGGTGCAGAGGGCTCTTCGGCCGGTGCCGAGGTCTCCAACGGCACCTTGGGCTCGACGGTGGAAATGGGGACAGTGACCTTTGTGACCTTAATTTTGAGCTTAGACTTTGCCTTGGCAGCCCGATACAGTTGTTTGTAGACTGCGACATTGTCACAGTCCAATCGAATGTAGGAGCCGGCGCTGTCGGAATAACGTTCAAGGATGACGTTGACATCTACCGGAACGCCGAGGAGGGTACGGAGCTAGACCAAAAGCGTCAGTTTATTCTCTTATCTCCCAAACAGTATGTTTTATTATGTACCCGAGATAGGAGTCCGAGGGTAGATGTATTTAGGCTTGATTGAAATGAGGGTCGGTGATAAGGATGGAGTTGGGGTTGAAGTCCGATCGGAGCTTGAGTGGAGACATACCTGTTGAGGGAACACCTGAGCCTTGAGCTCTTTCAAAGGGAGCTTGAAGCGACGGTTACTGTCATTGTAGAGAACCTTGACGGTGACCATTTGATCCGGCACCGGATTAGATGGAGAGGATGGAGTCGCCATGATGTGAAGCTCCCTCTCTATCAAAGGGTGGCCAAAAGGGCACTAGTGGAGATAAGGCAGCAGTGATAGGAAAGAGGGAGACTGGCACTGAAGAGTACCAGATGGAGAAATCAGTGATGCAAAAGGAAGATGAATATGAGAAATGGAGAATTTAAAGCGAAGTTAAGTCTAGAGAGAGAAGAGAGAGAGAGAGGGGGGGGACTAATAGTAGTACAAGCATCGAAAAAGCGGAGAGAGACGGTCAGCTGCCTCCAGGCGGTGAGAGGGTTACCTAATATGGCGTCAAAGCCGGGGGAACCAAATTACTGCAATTTGTGTCATTGAAACAGGACACATCACTACATGAGGTCATGGTTTGCTGACCGGCGTTGGTTTGTCCGATTGGAGGATTGGAGGGCTTGAGGTCTGGATTCATGCATGTACATTCACGATGTATATTGTGGGGAAATGATGAGGGGAAAGTGAAATACCTCATGACTTACCGATCTACACGGACTAGTGGACGGGACCTCGGGAAGATGGCAACGGGTTCGATAGACGGCATTTGGCCCCCCGACTTCGTTAAGGAATATAGTAAACAACGACTTGGGGGGATTGGGATCAACCAGGACACGGGGCTGTGTACATCCCCGGGCTGCAAGATGCACATCTTCACCTATACTCCCCGGATGTACCACGTCTAAGCTCAGCCCAATTGCAGCAGCCCCGGACTACAACCTTGGCAACCCCAAAAATAGGGGGAGGCAGCCTGTAGCCAGACATCTGACCCATTTGGCGAGGCTTGGCTGAAATTATATCCAGTAGATAAGGAACTGCATAGCCTCGACATCTATTGCGGTGCCTATACAGACCAGAGTCGCCACTGAAACAAGCCACTCAAGCACAAGCAAGGATTCTTCAGTATATCAATTCTGCCAACCCAGGCAACCGCAGTTTCCTCAATGCATGTTCTATCCCTTTGTCCGAGTATGCTGCAGGGTTGCTATGCCGATCTGTCTGGCTCTGCAGTCGATTCTAGGCTCGAATCTCATGGTATGACAGCAACGGTGCTCAACGGTTTCCGTCGGGTCTTATTGCGAGAACCGACCCTGGCCTGCTATAGTGTGGGCTGTTGGCTCTGATGGGACCATATAAGGCAAGCCTATTGCTACCCGCTAAGCACAATCTCGAGCCAACCTAAGACATGTTCGACATTGCTACTTTTGGCGACAGATGACTAATAGTGTGATTACAAGACACAATATACACGACTTTGCAATTACTTTTTATTGTCAAAAACCCGAGGTGGAACAACATACATAAATAAAGTCATAGGTGAGAATGAGATTCGGTATCCCGAGTGGGTAAGGAAGCTAGACTTGAGCCTAGCGTGGATGTACCGTGAAGGTACCGTGGGAGTGGGAGACATGAAGAGGAAAACGCTCAAATGCATCAATAATCCAGATCTAACAAGGGCCGCAATGAGTCATATCGCAATTACCATGAAAACCAGAAAGATTAAGATAGAAAAAAACAAAGTCATGCTAGTGAATGTGGCTGGAAGACAAAGAAATGAGAAAAATGAGAAATGGCAGTGATAAATGAAATGGAAGACCCCTGTTGATCAAGAGATTTAAAGAAATGACAACATTACCAAAGTGGGAAGAAAGGAAAACAAACCCGAAGTGAAGCTGGTGAACATGAAGTCAATCGTCGATCATTGACCATAGTACCCGGGCTGTTGTTGTGGGTAGTAGAAACTTGTACCAGGGGGCGTCATCATCCCACCCATGCCAACCACACCACCAGGTCCAGATCCAGGCCCGGGGGTGCCGGTCCACTGTAGCCTGACCCAGAGTACATCTGATTGGCATCGTAGAAGTAAACGGTGCCGTTTGATTCATGGGCAACTGTTCCAGGTTGAGGCTGCTCCCCCGCCGAATACGGCGCTTGCTGGCCCGGGAAACTCGGCACAGATGCACCAGGCCCCACCGGTCCGTTATAATAGTCGGGACCCGAGTTCGGGTAGTACATGCTACCCGGAGGATAGCCCGGAGGGTAGAAACCAGGTTGTTGGTACGTGTAGGGCTGGAATGGTGGAGCGTGGATGGCTCGCTCCGGGATCTGGGAGAGTGGGGTGGCAGAGGGTTGGCTAGGTGGGCCTCCACCATCAGGGTGCATGACAGGAACCTGGTGATGGAAGGGCTGCTCTTGCTGTGGCTGAGGAGGGTTGAATGGGAATGGGAAAGTAGCCGGACTCTCGATGTCAGCCACAGAGACCGTCTTTTGGGGACGGGGTTGATGCATGGGGATCGGGGCGGGGCGGCTTTCCCGATATGCGGGGTGAGGGAGTGGCATGGCCATGGGTCCAGGAGGGATAGCCCCAAATTGTGGGAGCCCCATAGGCGGGCGGTTTGGCGGGGGCATGCGAACAATTGGTTTGGGATCAGTGGGGTTCATGGGTCTGGAGTAGGTGGATCCTGCGGGCGAAGGCCACCCATCCTGACCCAGTGAAGACCGACGGCTAACCAAACTCGGAGTGTACGATGAGGTTGGGTAATAGCTAGGACGGCGCCCACTGTAGAACCCACCGCCACGTCCACGGCCACGATAGCTTTGATTCGGCCGCAATGCGCGAGGAATGAAGATGAACGAGCGCTCCACTGAGGGAAAGATGTACCGGGGAGCCTGATTAGGAAGAGAGATCCGGACCGGCTTGTCGCGTCTCAAGGGTGGCCGATGCTGAGGCAGCCGGGTGTGGAGTCTCTTCTCCGTCACAAACTGGACAGGATTGGCCATTCCAGGCAAGGAGACAACCACCGGCACATTTCCAACCAACGTTGTACTCGAGAAGGTTCGGTTCGGCGGCGAGGATCTCGGGGCGGTAGGAACGGGCTGTCCTACAGACGGCGTTGGGCGCTTCGCAGCAGCAGGTCGATCATCTGATACGGTATCGTGGAGGTCGTGTGCCCACTGTCCTCCACTGGCATCGGACTTTGAAGGCCTAAATCCGTTAGTTAGTACTATACTCAAGTTGCGTAGAAAGAAGTGCACACCTGCGAGAGTTTCCGTCCACGATCAGACCATATGGACGGGACTTGCTCTTGCTGAAAGGCCGGTGACCGTTGGTGCCCGCTTCGGCGGATCGTTTGTCGTGAAGGAAGAAGCTGCCGCGTGTGGGGACGAAAGCCGGGTTTTGTTCACGCTCCTTTACATACTTATCATTCTCACGACGCTTCCTTGAAGCCAGGTTGTCTCGTTTTGGTTCGGCGGGAGGGGCAGAAGGCGTTCTCTCCTCCTCAAGATGGTCGATGTTGACTTCAGCATCACCAGCATCCGAAACCTTCAGTCCGTTCATCATCGCCTCAGTGTCCGAAACTGTTGTCTTAAGCCCTCGCTTCTCAGGTGACGTAGAGCTGCGCCGTGTTGACTTATCCCGATGACCGTTGACCTGGTTGCCGTGGACTGACGGGGCCACCTCTCCCTCGCTTTCCTCACTACCCTCTGCATCTGCATCTTCATCCTCCTGGTGACTGTCGGCCGAGCCTTCACTCAAAGAGTCGTCACCTAGATCTCCAGCCATTGAACCCTCATCTTCGCCATCGTCGTCCCGTCTCTTTCTTCGGCTAGCCCCGATATGACGTCGAGCAGGAGCCATGTTGGAATACAAGGGATGTTGAGGGTTGAGATGGCTCAAATGTTCCCTGCTGGTAGAGGTTTACCTCGAGACCAGGTGATCGGGACGGGTACCGGCTGAAGAAAAAGGAACGGGGTCTGGTGAGGGCCAAACGGGGTCAAGCAAGGAAACGATACCCAGGTAAATGGAAATGGAACAAAACAACAACCCAAATGGCCTTGACGAAAGAAATGGACAACTTGTGCAACAAGATGTACCAATATGAATAAGAGAAGAAGAAGAAAAGAAGAGCAAGGGGTAAGAAGAAGGAGCAGCCCAAGAGTGAGAAGCACAAAGAGTCGATGAAGGGCATGACATCGCGAGAGACGTCAGGCCTCATCGGGCCTAGCCCGGGCGGTGAGCCTGGTTCTGCCATGAACCGGTCTAGAATTTGTTTACTTTATTTTTTTAGTTCCAACTATATCCCGAGTCTACTCTATGCCGATTTTGGTGCTCTGACGGTGGGATTCGTGTGCTTTACTTTGGACTTGTTTGACTCGAAACCGCATTCTATGCGGGTTGGATGCTGTGGTATGCCGATTCGGAAGTATACATGCATCTCCTCGCGCATCTACAGCCTGTACTACCACCCGATAAGATCTCAAGAATAAACCCTTGGCTATGCTACAGTCGAGCAACAAGGCACACCGTAAAATATTTGATATCAATTCCAGCTCAGAATGCAGGCTGCAAACAGCAGATCATTGACAGGGGTCAGAATTTTAGATATCCGGTACGAAAAGAGTATACAACATGTGGGAAGACCGGTTCAAATGGTCATACATCAAGGGAAAAAATCGCAAATCATCCATCACAAGTCATCAGATTTAGTCGAATGTAGTCTTCTGACCTTGGCCTTCGACAATAGCACCGCTGAGCTTTTGCACGGTTTCCTTGGAATAACGAGACTCGTCGATCGAAGGACGTCTCTTCTTCTGGTGTCGGGGCTTCTCTCGTGATTCGCCGTCGACTTCGGTGATTGCGGGACCATCCTTCTTCTCGGCGTCCTTTCCAAAACGCTTCTTGTATCGTGTAGAGGCATCCTCTGCGAACTCCATTCTCATGCGGCGGCCCATGAGCTGATTGACCCACACCCTGCGCATCCTGGGCTTCCTTGTCTTCTTAGCCTTCTTCTCAGAGGTTGCGTCGCTCTCGCTTTCGGAAGATGAGTCTGATTCCTCGTCCTCCTCCTTAATGAGTGTGAATCCTCTCACCGCTGCTTCCGCGGCAGCGAGCTCTTCGAACTCCACCCACGCATATCCCTTGCATTTCCCAGTATCCTGGAACGTCGCCATATGCACGTTGTTGACTGTTCCGCAGCGAGAGAAGTTTTCTTCGAGAAGTTCTTTGGTCACATCGAAACTGAGGTTGCCGACGAAGAGACGCTTGGAGGGAGGGTGGCCAGACTTGGAAGCCTCGGCGCCGGATCCTTGGCTCTCGGACTTAGCAGGGCGGCCCTCATAGCTCTTTGCATCCTTGATAAGTACGCGGCGGCCGGTCATGAGCTGCTCGCTAAGGCCAATTGCCTCTTGCAGAGCCTTCTTGTCGGTGAAGTCGACGTAGGCGAAGCCTCTGTTCTGAGAGCGCCCGAACTTTTCGGGACCCTTGGGAAGGTGAATGCGAGTGATAGTAGCGTCTTCAATGGAGGTATCGTTGGTAAAGAATCGGCGCAGATCGTCCTTGGTCACATTGAACGACAGGTTTCCAATCCAAACACCGTATTCGGACCGCTTGTCCTGAGTGCTTTCTTTTTCGGACTTGGGCTCAGACTTCGCCTTGGGCTCTTCACCATCAGCTGCATCGCCCTTACCCTTCTTTGCTTTACGCAAAGCCTTCTTCGAGGGTGGCTCTGGCGCAGACACATCGATTTCAAGCTCAGGACCTTCCTGCAGCTTGCGCTTCTTCAGACTGGGATCAGCGACTTCGGACATTGTGAAATAACTGCAAAATCACACGAAAGACAATACTCTCAAAAAAAAGATACCGCAAGAATTCAGATCGGCGATAATTTAAATTTTTACGGCGGTCCGGACCCGCCTCCCACGCAGTCCGCACTCCGTGTCTTGGCGTCGCAGGGTGAACATCCCCTTCACCATCCCATCTCTCTTGATCCCGTCTATTCTTCACAATGGAGCCAAACGAAGCACGGCCCGTCATGGAAACTCTACCGGATGCCCCGGCCCCGGCCCCAGCTAAGCAATCGGTTCGGTCTTTCAAGTATGTGATCCTAAGCACATCACCTCGCAGGGATGAAGCTGACTCGTCTTTACAGGAAAAAATACGCCAAACTCAAGGTCAAGTTCGAGTTAGGAACTCGCGAGAATGAAAACTTGATCAAGGAAGAGCTGCGCATCGAGGATTTGTCCAAGCGCATCCAGGAACAAAACGAGTAGGTACTTGGCAGTCGCAGTCCGACATGAGCTGTTGCTAACCACCTATTCTAGTCAACTGCTAGAGGTTCTCCTCGAGTTCAATGAAAGCCTTCACATTCCACCCGATGTGCGATTCGATTTGAGCATGCCAAACGACCCTCCCTCACTATCGGCTCCCGAGCAGGAAATCGCGCCTTTGGTCAATGATGCAACATTGGCAAAGACCGCGTGGAAGGAAGCCAAGGCTGCATTGGCCGAAGGCAGGATCAACGCGGATGCTTACCGTAGCGTCGAAGAAAGCATCAAGCGGAACAAAGCGTTTGCCCCGGCAAATCAATACAGCTCTTTGTCTCAGTCCCATCACCCCAACCCAGACGCCCTCAAGGCTGTAAACGATGATACCGACCGCAAGCTGGGCTACTTTGCCCCCGATCACGAAACTGAGTACTATCTGGCTCTGGACGCGAAGCTTGGAGATGATGCAGCAGCTCAGCAGCTCGCGCGCATTCCGGATCGTCCCACACTTGCAGAGCGCGAGCGCGACGCATCCATTCGGAACCCCGCGTCGGTCTACAATTGGCTACGACGCAACCAACCGCAGACTCTGCAGGATAATGAGGCCGCTTCGGAAAAATCTGCGTCGCGTCCTTCCAACCAGCGCGCTTCCAAGCGAGCACCAGCTCAACGCAAAGATGAGGATATGTATGATGAAGATGGTGCGGATGCACCTACTCCCAAGAACAAGCGCAAGCGTGATGAAGACACGGGATATAGACCCAAGGGGGGCAGTAGCCGGTCCAAAAAGAAGAAGGATGAGCCTACTTCCACTCCTAACAAGGCTGTCAAGAAACCCTGAGAGTTGGTTTTGCTCCACAGGATTTATGTGTATTACTATGGGCGTTGGGTTTTGATTTAACTGGCTTGGTAAGGACCAGTTGCATTGAAATATCATATCAATCATATGTGAAGAAATATCTACAGTTCATCCTTCATCTTTTTAGTCCACTGTACTTATCAGAAGTAAAGCTCCGTAGATGTAATGTGGAGCAGTCATGTGACCACATTTTCTTCTCAGAGCTTGTCTCCGACACTCCACTCACATTTCTTGAGATACAAAATCAACCTATTTCGCAATGCCAATTACCATTTTACCTCCCGTGGTAGAGGACCTTGGTCCCTACCAAGCTGAATCCGATGACTCCATGTCAGTGGACTCCGATGAAGACGTTGAAATGGGCGGCGTCACTCTGCCCAACAAGCGATCCCGCGTACATGGGGAGTCAAAGATCGGCACAGGAATTGTCACACCAGGAGAAGTGGTTACAGATGATCCGCAATGGATGAGGTTCGTATTGAACAGAAAACCGAGACTTTGCGACCTGCGGGGCTCAATTTTTACTTTTTTGGGAGAGCAACACTAACATTCTGCAGAGGTCACGGCACCTTTATGAACCCGCTCTCAACATCCATCATCGCCACTGTCGCCGGTACAGTTCAAAAAACAAATAAGTTACTCTCCGTACAGCCTATGCGCGCCCGCTACACCCCCGAGATTGGAGACTTGGTTGTTGGTCGCATTGTCGAAGTGCAATCGCGGCGCTGGAAGGTCGATATCGCTGCACCACTACTCGCTCAACTCCCTCTGTCTGCGATCAACTTGCCCGGTGGAATTCTGCGCCGACGAACGACCGCCGATGAACTTCAGATCCGCACATTCTTCAGCGAGGGTGACCTTGTGATGGCCGAAGTGCAGAGCGTGCACCAAGATGGATCAGCATCGCTACATACCAGATCTGTGAAGTATGGAAAGCTACGCAACGGTATCTTCCTCGCTGTGACAGGAACCGGGGGCGGTGGAGCATCCGGCTCCAGTACCAAGGGTGGTCATGGAGCTGGGCCTGCCGCAGGTAGCGCACTTAGTGCGCCTGGAGGCTCTGCTACCGGTGGTGTGGTACGGTCACGACGACAGATGTTCACTATCACCTGTTCCAACGGTGGTGGTGAAGTGGATATTATCCTTGGTGTGAACGGATACATTTACATCTACAAGCATGTTGAAGGCACGGATGCTGCATCTTCAACCACGGATAGTGTCACTATCACTCGCATGGAAGAGATGGTTTCAAGCTCGATCTACTCCAGCCAGAACGATGACATCCCACCACAGACCCGCCGCGAGATTGCGCGGTTGACACAGTGCATTCGGGTTTTGGTACAGAACAGTGTTCGTGTGGACGAAGACACAGTCAAGAGTGCCTACGAAGCTAGTCAGCAGGTGGATCTGGAGGTTGGGGATGATGAGGACGAGGAGGACGAGTGGCGCCAGGAAGGTCGCGAGTACCTCGAGGGTGTCAAGGCCCGACGAATCATCGAGCTGGTGATTTCACAACAATAGAATGTATGATAATGATACCCAAACAAGCAAAAAGGGAATAGGCAATTGTCCACAACGTACGGGGGACCTTCTCCGGTTTTCTCCATATGATATCAATGGCCCAGTACGATCATCCAATCGACCAACCACATGCTTGCATTTAATAAAGTAACTAGGCAGCCAAAGTGGAATGTCGATTTCAGTCAATAAGAACAAGGGAAAATCTCTGAATAACAACGAGAATAGCATCACACTTCCATTGGTGGAATAGCGAGTTCTCCAGCATCGATTACATATTCGGTCACGGGCGCCTTAAGAAGGGGAGTTTCCGTTTGACTTTCTCCCTTTCTCTTCTCTTCATACTCGACCGTACTTGAGATCATGCCCAGTAATTCAATCATATCATTCTCACTTGATTACTGCCCGGTTCCTATAGGTTAACGCGCACTTCTTTTTCTTATCCGCTTATCGATTACTTTGACTTCACATCTACACCTCGGCTCCCCGAGGACTTTTTTCAAACATATATTTCCGACTACCTCCAACATGCCTGATCTTCGTCGCCAAATCTTTGAGAGCGGCAAGACTGTCTCGCGCAAAGCAGCCTCCCGTGAAGCGTCCCGCAACGGCTCCCGTGCCAGCTCCAAGCAGACCTCTCGCCAAGGTTCTCGAAATGCCAGCAGACAACCCTCGGATGAAGAAGACTCTGGATTTACATCTGATGACACTGCTATGAGGTACGCACTCTGTTTTTCCCTGCCCTCTCCCCGCGTACTTTTCTTTTGTGTGTGCATTTCAAGCTATATTCACATGCCCCCACTCCCGTGGCGGCATGATGTCACTACCAATGATGTCGGGAACTTTTGCAAGCAACGGTGCTAACCAAGTATGGAACAGCATCGGCTCTCTCGACGATGAGAACCCCGAAACAGAAAACCCCGACTGGGAGCAAGAGCTTGGTGATCGCATTCAAGAAATTCTCGACCGAAAGCGCAGCAGTGTTCAAGGCCGCGAGGAGGCTTTACAGGCTTTCAACCGTTTGACCAAGTACCACTACACCGTGGAAGAGATTCACGGCGCTGTTCCTGATCTTCTGGCTGCATTCGCTCGCAGCGTCCGCACTGAAGCCAGTACCCGCGAAGCGACTCTTGCACTGCGTGCGATTGAATTGCTCGCAATCTCAGCCTTTGACAACACCATTTTTGAAAATGCTGAGCCTTTGCTCACTCGCACCATCCGCGACGCTACGTCTCCCGTTATCAAGACAGCTGCTATTCACTGTCTGGGCGCGTGCACCGTTTTCGGAGGTGCAGGTGAAGGTGGCATTCTCGAACAAATGACCTTCCTCCTCGATATCATTGCCTCTGATGGACAATCTGTTGAAGCTACCGATGATCCTACTGTTGTGACTGCTGCAATTCAGCAGTGGGGATTCCTTGCAACGGAGATTGATGACTATGAGAACGAGAGCGAAGAAGCCGTCCAGATTTTCATGGACCAGCTAGACAGCGCCAGTTCCGAGGTCCAGATCTCAGCCGGAGAGAACATCGCCCTTCTCTATGAGAAGAGCTACACCCCTCAAGAGGATGACGATGACGAGGAAAGCGATAACCCGGAAGAAAGCGATGACCAGGAGGATAACACCCCCGGTCCGAAGCTGGTGAAGCGCTACAACGCCTACCACAACACTCCCGAGCTGGAAGACCAACTCCAAAACCTGGCCACAATCCACCACAAGCGCATCAGCAAGCGCGACAAGAAATCCCTGCATAGCAACTTCGCCTCGATTCTCACCACGGTTGAGAATCCACGCCGCGGACCCCGCTACAACACAGCCATCGACCAAGACACCAACCGTCACTACGGCAGCACTCTCACTGTCAAAATCGGCCGCCATGGCATCATGAGCATCGACCGCTGGTGGAAATGGGTCCGATTGACTGCTCTGCGCCGCGTTCTCCAGGGTGGCTTTGCGGAGCACTACTTCCAGGGTAACCGAGCTGTTCTCAACAGTCTCCCTGTTATGATGCGTATGCCAGAGCAGGGATCTGGGTCTAATGATCGTCAGGGCGCGCGGAAGGCGGCTAAGATGCGTAACTCGCGCCGCTGGACTGCTCAGCATTCGGATGACGATGATGAATAAATACAATGGGAGAACTGGATAGGATACAAAAATGGTTATGGTTATGCTACCCGGTGGAGATTCTTACCTTGCACAGACAGTTTTTCTTTGGTCAAGTTCGGCTTGATGGCTTTTTGCGTGCTACGGCTTTCGTTGTTTTCCTTCTACTCCGATCCTTATTCTTTTGTTTCTTTAATTCTGTCACTACTGTTGCTTTTTTTTTTCCGAGCATGGCTTGATTTGATCTTCTGACGATTCAAGGCTTGAAATTTGTGCATATCTCAATGACACTCAATATGTTTTCACTGTAAGAACTAATAACAAAAAGCTACAAGCGTAGAGTATATACCAAAATACACCGAAAACAAGTCACGATTTATCTCTATAGAGTGAAGAAGGTCCTGCCCGATCCAAGTCTCCCCAGAGCGAAGATCAAAAATTCTCACCATGCAAAGAGTACTGCAAAAAGACGAAACACCCATCCACCATGACCGTGACTCTCATCAACATAAACATCGCCATCACCAAACCAGTATCAGTGATCCAACTATATTCTACTCAAAAACAGGCACAACATTAGACCAACTGCCCTTGGCCCTCTCTTCCCAATACCCATCCTTCCCACCCTTCAACCTCCAAGACACCTCCTCCGAATCACCCCCAATCCGCGTAAACCAGCGCGGAACCCAAGCCTCGCCCGCATTTTCCATCTCACGTCTCCGCGCACGCTGACCCTCTTCAAGCTGCACCTTGACTTCCTCCGCACGGTCTAAATCACCATCTTCCAATGCCCGTTGATCAGGCCGGAGACGGGAGTCCGTGGCGGGGAGATGGCCCTCTTCAATAGAAGTGATCTCATTCAAGGTCGCCGCGAATGATGTCAATCCGTAATGCTTGGGTGCGGATGGGACGAGGGTTCCAGCCGTCCAGACCGTATTACCAGTAGGGTTTCCATCACGGGTCAGTGTCAGCGAGGAAGGCCATGAACCCGATAGACCAAGCGGGAGGGGTTTATTATGAGCGTCAACGGCGCGGGTAGAGACTTCCTCACTGCGGCCGGAGAACATACCGCCAGCCTTGAAGGTCGAGATAGTGCGGTTACCAGAGGATTCATTCGTAACGGCCAATTCACCGACCGGCTCGACGTATTTCTCGCCTGCGATGATATTGCGCAGGAAGGATGTTGCCGGTGTCCAGCTGTAGTGCTCGCCTGTTGCGTGGATGGTTATGCGAACGCGGCCTTCAGTAGTGATTTCGGCAGACTTGCCCCAGAATTTCTGGCTGGGCATAGGGGACTGGCTTAGGGACCATTCTTTGCTGTCGGCTTGATAGGCCAGTTGCACCGGGCGGTGCGAGACTTTCTCTGCTATGAAGCGGAAGCCGCGGTCTTCGCGGACGAGCTCGTATGTCTCGCCTAGCATTGGGTTGAAGGGTTTGCGAATTGAGCGTTCGCGGACGCGGTTGCTTGAGAGGGAGGAGAGGGCGAAGGCCGTTACGTACATGAGGCGTTCGGTTGCGTCTGCTGATTGGCTTGCTTTGTCGAGGAGAGAGGAGTATTCGAGGATCTCTGCTGCGCGTTGCAGAAGGGACATGGGCTCGTTGGCGGAGACCGGCATGGAGATAGTGGATAGGTCCTTGCCAACGTTCTTGCGCAGGAAGCCGATCAGGCTTGGTGGCATGACCGTTGGTGCGAGAATGTTGGCGCGACGCTTTATAGGGTCCAGAGGGAGCGGGTTCAGGGACTTGGGCTTGGTTGGGAATAGACCACTGCTGCTCTCCTGTCGAGTGTCAGATTCGCCATCACTGTCGGAGGGAGCGTCGTCTTCGACTTCCTCGGCAGAAGATGCAGGCCGGTCCTCCTCGGGGCCTTCGTCGTCGCTATCGTGGATGGTCAAAAGAGGAGACCTGTCACCACCTCCGTCCGTTGCATCGAAGAACTCTTGCGAGATGTCTGACTCCATACTCCGCCGGGGAATGATAGATTGCCGAGGCGGGTGTCGTCGCTCCTTGCTCTCAGAAATCAATGTAGAGAATTCCGAGATAGCAGTGTCAAGGTCGCGCAATACAGCCATCAAATGGTCATGGATCTCATCCATTTGATCTGCATGACTATGGATACTAGCAGGCTTTCCCTTTCCATCCGTAGGAGGCACAACAAGCTGCGAAGAACTAGAGTTGGAAGTTACAGCATTTGGACGTTTGCCACTACCATGGGACTGTCCACTTGTCTTGCGCTTCCAAAAAGGCCGTCTAGACTCCTCACCAGGAGTAGCATCGTGGGAGCTCGGCTGAGGACTAGGCGATCGGCCACGAGACTTAGGCCGGTCAATACCGCCAGTCGGAGAAGGCGAAGTCATATATTTAGGATCGGTATCTTTAGCCAAGCGACGCACGGCATCCCGCGATTCAGAAACCTGGCTTACCAGACTCTCAACACGAGTCCATTCGCGTTCCTCTGCTGGGTCAGGATGCGATGGTGCATGCAGACGCAACTCCGGAGGAGCAGCCAGACTGGTATTGCTATCCTTCTGCGCATCCTTAGAAGAAGCTCTCTCCAAAGCGCGCTTCCATGCAATAAAGTCTTGATCATCACTGGCACGGAGATGCCAGATCTCAGTACCAGAGTCGATCGAGATTTCACGCGATTTCTCGTTGGTCGCAACGGCCGCTAGCGAGAGTGGGATCGCGCCTCGTAGAGCGGCCGAGTTGCGGTCATGATAGTATGACAGAGTGCAGGAAGTGAAGTCCAAAGAAAAGAACCGGCGTGCCCAGCCCTGGTGGCGCTTTCGCCGCCGCTTCTGGAGCAGTCCTGTGTGGACACTCCCGTTCGATACATCTTGCTGCCCGTTAAGCGTGGCGCGACTGTTTCCGCGGCGGCGGGTCTTGGGCTGTGGCAGCGAGTCGGTTGATGCACCGGTTTGCGAGCGCGGAAGTGTGTTCGATACAGAGGTGTGTGGTGGCTGGCTGGTGGGATAGGTGAGGAGAACAAGTGTCAGGGTCTTGGAGATTTGTTTAGAGAAGGTATTATCAAAGACGAGCGCGTAGTTGCCGCCCTCGCTATTTGGCACATCGTATGTTCCTTGGGTGATCTTGTCTGCCTCGCATTTACCGGTCCATCTGATCTGTTTTAGACCAATTCCCGTCAGCTTGTCTATAACAGCGGATTGTTGGTTGCGGCCGGAATTCGCGGCTGTTGCGGGGAGGTTCTCGGTTGAATCGGTGCTTTGAGAATCGGAGGCAGGAAGGACAGATCCCAGTGATGATGTCTGGCCTGGGTGCTTGAAGATGCCGAAGTTGACGGACTTCTTGTGCGGCTGAATGCTCCACGAGATGGTGTGGTTGGCGTTGACGTTGATCCAGCGAACAAAGTAAGACTTTCATGAAATTAGCAAGAAATAGATCCTGTATTCCATCGTACATACCTTGCTGTGGATTTCAAGCTCCTCCATGGCCGCCATGGTTGCGCAGAGGGAGGGGTTGAAAGAGCCTCAGCAATGTGTACACCCGTCGCGGTCCGGAGGTGCGGCTGAAGGTGGCTTCGATGCCGAGCCTGTTAGTCCACAGCCACACGATTGACTTGAAGACAATTGAAGATGATTCTATGAAAGGAGAGAGATGACATTAATAAGATCTGAGATCTGAGGGAAGAACGTGGAACATGTTGAAACCGAGGCTGCACACTAGTAGTTCACATGGCTCGGAAGTAGCTCCTCGTGTCCTTACGCCACAGTCTGGGGTATTTTACACTAAAGCACTGAAAATCATGAAAATCAAGGCTGTTCATTGAGGAAATAATGGTTACATGCACGCCCAATGCCCCCCGAATCCATAGGTATATCAAATTAAAGAGAAATTCCAAGCAATGCCCAGTTCTGAGGTGGGGGTCCCCTTTTTTTGGCCTGGAAGAGTTCAAAGATGGCGAGAAAATACAATAGTACACTGTACAGGCGAAAGAAAGGAAATCTCATCTCCGGTTGCCCTTGCTCATGTTCTGGAACATCAGCTTGAAGCCGTTGCACAGAGCTTGCATGTCGGGGTAAGGGTTCTTCTGTAGTTCGTAGCCCTGTGGAATCACCTTCACCGGCCAATTCTGAAGTCGAGCGTGTTCGCCTGCCTTGAAACAAAGGAAAAAGTAGCCAGGGTACTTGGCGTTGATGCAGAAGGCATATGCCGAGCGGCGGGGGTTGGCCTTGGTGTAGGTTTCGAGCCATTGGTCTGCAAATGTTAGTCAAGGACGAAAGGGAGGGGAACAGAAAACATACCCGTCTCGGTCTTGCTTCCTGACTGGAATTTCTCGTGGTGGACCATCTCTTCCACCTTCTTGGCCATCGCCTTGACATGGTTGACAATCAGTTCGTCAAGATCGCTGTAGGTATACCGACCGCCGACCTTGAGGACACGGCCAACTGAGAACTCATTCTCCTTGTCTAACTCGAGAACGTCAATGTGTTGGTATACACCGGCTGCCACCTTCCAGGTGACTGCAAGATGGTCGTGGCCCCGGGAGGACGGGCGGATCACAACGTCGCCAAGGGCCTGAGCCCCCAGGAACTCCTCGGCCTGGGTAGAGTTAAAAGGCCGGAAGAGCGGGTGCTTGATAACACGCATAGCTTGGCTGCCACGCTCCGTCTTTTCTTGCAGTGACTGTTTGTCATTGCGTTCTTGCATTTCATCCCAATCGCCGTTGCCGTGCTCCTGGTGTGGGCGGATTGGATGGCTGACTTGATCCTCGCGCAAGGACACATTGCAGGAGAAAGTCTTGCGGTTCAGGTGGGTAATCTTTGCTTGAACAGCTTGGTGAACGGAGTAGACATTACGGACAGGGATATGATCGGGAACACCAAGATCAGTCTCGGAGACAAGGACATCAACTCCGCAGTCCAGTTTAGCCTCGATGTGATCGTCAAACACACGCTTGATGGCAATTGGTACAACCATGCCAGGGGTGAGCGAGTCAGGTGTCTCGCCAGTGAGCATTGTGAAGATGTCATCAGTGCTGAGGAAAACAAACATCTTGCGCAATTCTTCATACGGACTTTGCAACTCCGCTCGAATTGTCTCAAGAGTAGCACGCTTGCGCTGGTTCAGGTTTCTCTCGAGCTGCTCGGCGTATTCCTCCAAGATCAAATCGTTGACACGATCCTGTGCTTCTTCACGGAACAGTTTCCGCATGATAGCTCCAGTACCGTTCTCGTCAGTCTCGGCCTTGATGTCTTCCTCGTCCAATTCGAGGGCATCAGCGGCCATCTTGCGAGCAATGTCATAGTCTTCGGGATGTACACGAGTATTGTCCAGCGGGTCGGCATCTGGGTCGGCGTTCTCATAGTCGATATAGACAAAACTGGCGCAGTTGTTCCAGACCTTCACTCCCATAGCAGGGTATTGCGCGTTGACACCAAGCAATTCCACCCGGTTGTTAACGACACCACCGTTCATGTTGACGATCTTGAGCAAGTGAGCGGCCTTGCGAGGACCAAGACCGCAAACATATGGTAAAAGATTGGCTGTTGCTGTGTCGGCCACTGCTTCGTTGAGATCAACGCCAACCAGATTAACCATATCCACCAGAGCAGACTCGAGCTGCTTGAGGATTAAGTCTTGAGAAACAAGCTGCTGGCCGGGTTTAAATTGTATGGAGACAATATCACGGCCCAGAGAGGCATATTCCTTGAGTGGGCTTTGGAGGTAGCGGGCGAGAGCCACACAGTAGTGGGTCAGAGGTCCGAAGCCTGGATTATCGCGTCTGGCGCGAGGGCTGTTGTGATACAATCGAGCAACCTCGTCGTTAACGATGACCACGTCCAAGGGGTCACTGATTTCGTCGTCATCCTCATTTGTATAGGTAGCAGTGCGCACGTCCTTGAGTTCAACAAGCTCAGACACTAGCTTGTAAAGACGGCGAGTGTCTGGTGTCATGCCTGAAACACCAATGACATCCGGGTGGCGGCGATTGACCACTCTCATAAAGTCGGCCACACCGTCACCGTCTGGAATACCACGGTTCTGGTCGCCTACTGAGAGATCCACAAATTTGCCATTCTCGAGCACGCGGCCATCTTCTTCTGTGTAGGCCCAATGAATGGGATCCCGGCCAACCTGTCCAGATCCAGTAGACAGGGTGAGAACGCGGGGCACTGTGCCCAGCACCATGCCCTTGGGTTTGTAGGCAGCCTGATCCAGTCGCTGGGAGAAAGCCTCACGACATTCCCTGGCGACGGAATTTTCACATTCCTGTCGAATGTGCTCTTTCACACTGCGGTTGATCAATTTCTCAAGTTTGCCGAGGGCCAAGTCCAGTGCATCGCGGCGAACACGATTCCACGCGTCGGCGATCTCACTGTAGTTGTCTGACTCAATATCGGCGTACAGACGTGAACGGAATTGGTCGAAGTTCTCGAACCGGACCTTGACATCAACAAGGCCTTCTTCCTCGGCCTTCAGCATACGCAAGAACATCTCGGGGCGGCGGGCGATATCAGGAATCTGTTGGTTGCGTAGGTATTTGAATTCCGCATAAGGGTGCTGCTCATCGATGCGGCGCAGACCTTTTTCTGTGCGGAAACAATCAATCAGACCATTCATGTAATATGCTCGGCGCATCACCTTGCGCATCTTGGGGCTGAGGGCCAGCTCTTCAGCAAACATAGATTTAGCGGCCTTGAGGACGTGGGAGCTGCTGGAAAAGTCATTGTCGACAAATTGATCGGCCAACTCCTCAGGCTGTTCGCTGGGGTCTTCGGTGTACTGCCGGCGCCCTTCCTTGGAAGCGTTCGTAGCAAATGCATCGGCTGTGACGCCGAAGGCCTTCACCAGACCATAAGCCTTACCATTGCGAACTCGCTCAAAGAAGGATTTTCCGGTGGTTTTGCGGCGCTGTGTCTCTCCATTGGTCTCGCCATTCACTTGTGCCAAATCGCGAAGCTGTGAAGAGTATTGGAAATGAATATAGTCCTGCACATCTTGAAGCTCTTCCATGGTAATGGCTGCGGCCAGTAGTTCCTCCACGTTAGAGTCATTCACGTTGAACAGACTCTGCAAACTCTGATAGGATTTTTGGATCGTATTGCGCTTGTCGACCAAAGCACGGAATTTAAGGTCGGCATCGAAGATATCCCATAGATCAGTCATGTTAAGAAGCTTTTCCGCACGAAGGCTGTATTGAGCAGACTCATCGGCAGGGTCGGCACCATGATCCATCTCCTTGATGGCGTGAATCATGTAGTCCTTGCGGTGTTGGAAAATGAATGGAACTTCCCAATCATCCGTGATCAAGAACTCCAGCATCTTGGCGACGGAGCGCTGGAAGGGCTCTATAAGTTCATCGTCCAGGCGTTTCTTGAGCAACATCAAGTTAGAAATCCAAAGGGCTTCCTCACGGAATTGATCCTCGGTCAACGTCACATGTCGGTATGGTTTGCGGGCGACCTGGTGGCGTTCGGGTTCATCGAGGAGACGGATTTGGTTGTCGTCCTCTGTCAACATGCGTTCGGCGAGTTCAGACGGTTCAAAGACATCTTTAAGGTCCAGATGACGTTCCTCGGTTTCCTTTTCTTCGTCCTCCTGGTCTTCCATTTGCAGTGCAAAGTCATACTCAGTGCCGTCACCAAACGCAGCGCGCATATCCTCCAGTGCATTCTCGTCCAGGCCAGAGATATCTGTCGGTAGAAGGCCAGTTTTGTTCACACGAGAAGCGGGCGCAACTTCCAGGTCGTCCCGTTCCCGCTGAGCTTCATCGTCGGAAAATGTGTCCTCCTCAATGAAATCGTCCATCTCGTCGCGCAGACCGCGGCGCTGACCAGGGCGAGCATACTGCTGTGCTTCCTCTTCTTCGTCTGAGTTGAAAATATCGTCAATGCCTTGGGACGGTTGGTGGCTATCGCGATCCTTGCCGCGCTTCAGACGCTTGAATTTGGACTGTAACGGGTCAGGGTTAGTATTTGCGACCACAGACTATATCGCCCACATACCTCTTGAACGGGTCCACGTTGAAGTCCCGGCACATGTTCACCAATGAGTTCCAAATCCTCATCATCCAGATGCTCTTCCTCACGGGGACGGGAACGTTTCTTGTGTTGTCTGCGAGCGCGCCGTTCCTCCATTTCCTCATCCTCATCGACAATGAAACCCTCGCGAACCTATTTGATCAGTTTCAGTCAGCTGATCAAGCTTCGAGTCGAGGCAAAACTTACCGCGCGAGCAGCCTCCTCGTCGTCTTCTTCTTCGTCGTCCTCTTCGCTCGAATCATTGTAGTGATTGGAGGTACCGGCACCCTGGCGGACCTGCCCATCATAGTCGTCGGGAACCTCCTCATTCTCATCATCGTCCATGAGAGCCTCACCCTCGATCAAATCGCGAAGGCTCATCTTGCCCGGAGGTGACGATCCCTATTCCTAGGGACCAAGAACCGATTGAGCAGGCGACGGGTGAAAGATTCGCGGTTCAATAGCGCTAATGCGACACCCGGTAGTGCCGAGCTCGATGAGGTGGTTGAGATGGGAGGGAAAAAAGCGAGTGAAGCAGTTGCCAGAGGAAGAATCGCGGCCATCGGCGAGGGAGGTCGCAGGTCGCAGTGATTGGCCGGCGGTGTGGCTGAATACGCTAGTCTGGTATAGGCAGCGTCTGTGGCTAATGCATCACGTGCGCTCTTTGTTTCGCCTCACTTGCTTACCATGTACAGAGCAGTGTAGGTACTGTACATAATTTGTAGGTACCTTCCTGCAGGTCGACTCACCTCCTTTTCTTTGTTGCTCTTAGCAACATCTCCTATGATCCTCTCATTCGTCATACTTGTAAATCTTCCCAAAATCTGAGCCCAAAACCTAGTGGATCCCACCCCGAACACCTGTTGTTTCATAGCGTCAGTAATTCCGATACAAAAAGACATTCTAGTTTTCCTCTTCCCCTGAGCAACTTGATGTTATTCTACTCTTGAAAGTGATACACTTTTGCCGCCGAGTGATAGTTTCGCGACCCAATCAGCGCCAAGAAGGTGATATCGGCTTCCCCGCTGTTAGCTTCCTCTAACATCCCATCGGCTTGGGGAACTTTCAAGACTGTCTTTCTTTATTCTTCTCTCCTTTACGCAAAAGCGCCATGGCGGACGCCTTCCAGGCCCGGACGTTGAAACGCAAGAACGTCAAGGGTCTTGCTCTCAATGCAGCCCCTAAAGCCACCTCCAATCCCTCCGATGGCGATGCGCAGGTCCCTGGCGCCGTCGGGAACAACGAGGCCAACCGCACAGATACGTTGGAAATCGGTCTCGAGTTTCGCCTTGATCTTCGCAGCGAGGATCTGGTCACACTGAAGGAGCTTGGTGCTGGAAATGGCGGCACTGTGTCGAAGGTGATGCACGCATCAACCAAGGTGGTGATGGCTCGAAAGGTATGGATTCCTGGTTTGTGATGACCTGGTGACCCTGTATGCTGATTCTGCATTCCCCCGCATCAGATTATCCGTGTCGACGCTAAAGAGAACGTGCGGAAACAAATTCTACGAGAACTGCGCGTGGGCCACGACTGCAACTGCCCCAATATTGTGACTTTCTACGGTGCATTCCAAAATGAAGCGAGAGATATCGTACTATGTATGGAATATATGGATTGCGGGTAGGTTGACCGGGTGGAAAGAAGGTGAATACGGCTGACAGGCACAGATCCCTCGACCGCGTTTCCAAGGACTTCGGTCCTGTCCGGGTGGATGTGCTAGGAAAGATTACCGAGTCGGTGCTGGCTGGTCTTGTGTACTTGTATGAAGTTCACCGCATCATGCACCGCGATATCAAGCCCTCCAACATCCTGGTCAACTCCCGAGGCAATATCAAGCTTTGTGATTTCGGTGTGGCCACAGAGACAGTCAACTCTATTGCCGATACCTTTGTCGGAACATCTACATATATGGCCCCTGAGCGAATTCAGGGAGGAGCCTACACGGTCCGTTCAGATGTGTGGAGTGTCGGTTTGACGGTCATGGAGCTGGCCGTGGGTAAATTCCCATTCGACCACTCTGACTCTGCCGCCGGCAACCGTGCCAGCGCCGGCCCAATGGGTATTTTGGATCTCCTTCAGCAGATTGTTCACGAGACCGCACCAAAACTGCCCAAGAGTGATGCCTTTCCGCCTATTCTGCACGACTTTGTTGGCAAGTGTCTCTTGAAGAAGTCCGAGGAGCGACCAACTCCGCGAGAACTATATGTACGTTGACTTGCGGTCTATATTTTGGACTATCACTGACCCCTTCTAGGACAAGGACGCATTCCTGCAAGCCGCCAAGCGCACACCTGTCAATCTCGAAGAATGGGCAATGAGCATGATGAAGCGACATGACCGCAAGTCCTACCTGGGACCTCCTGCACCAAAATCCCTCCGCGAGACCGCGACCCCGACCTCTAATTCGGCCTCATCCCCAGTGCCCTCATCAGCCAAACCCCCACCCATCAGCAAGTCAACTCGCACGCCGCAGCAGTCTCCTTTCCCATCGAACCCAGCATCAAGCGACCTCCCTCTGAACGACCCCTCCGCCAATCCCCGCTACTACCCCCAGTCCCAGTCTAGCCACTACGTCTCCTCGCGGTCTCCTCAACCCCCATCCCTGGAGCACCTTTCACTGGAAACAACTGATGACAACGACATCCGTTCCGGCCGCCACGCAATGCGTCAGCATTTAGGAGACCCGGTGTCAGCTATCGATGCCCCATCTCGCCCGTTCATGAGCCCTCGCTCTGCAAGCTCGAACACTTCCTCCTCTAACTCCCGCACCAACTTGCACTCGGCGACGCTGCCTATGCGTCCTGCTCCTCCAAACGGTGCACCTCCCGCTCCGCCAGTCTCGGCCGGTGGGACCTGGCGCAGCCAGCCAGGCCGTGACGCATATCACTAAGCCATACACCGGTACCGGGATATGATATTTTCTCGTTCATCCTTCTCCGTCTCAAGATGGATTTGCATATCTTTAACGTGAAATTTTTCTCGGTCATTGTTTCATCGATTCTGGACTTTCCAGGTCGACTCTCTCATTTCCCTTTCTGTCTGTGTATTCGGCGCTTTCTTGATGAATCAAGACAATAAAGATGATGAAGACACAAGACAAGCCACGCCGCATAGCATTTCCTATTCCTTTTCTTTGCATTTCTCTCCTCTCGTTTCTGTCTAGCCCTTTATCAACATCCGCCTGTGGATATCCCTCGTTCTTCACGTGTCGGTACATTTTGTTGGACATTTATTTCTTTCTCTTTTATTTCCTTTTCTCTTCTCAATGATTCTCTACCTGTCTGGTTGGAATGTTTGATTTGGCAACGACACCCCTTCTTTTTCATCTTTTTCATCTTTTTCATCTTTTTCATCTTTTTCATCTTTTTCATCTTCCTCTGATTCTTTTATCTTCTTCTTCTTTGCTGGGATATAGCTTCCTGCATTACTCGGCGTACATAAATGCAATTTCAAACTCTTTTTCCTTTTCTATTTCTACTCTAGCTATGTCAGGCGTTTCACGTGGTAGACGAAATATTCATACAGTGGGTTCTCAAAATATGTGGACAGCTTGTCAGAAACACACAAAATGTTTTCAACTGTCAAATGTAAACCAAGTACGCAATCCAGAGAAAAAAGTTATCACAGAAATCTTGAATCAATTGTAAAAGATGACATGAAGTTCAGCAAGGTATAGATACAGAGCTCATGGTAAGACTTGGATAAAGAATACGAACTCGAAGGCGTGAGCCCACGACCGAAATCACACAATAACAGGAAATCGCAAACTCAAATCAAGCTCAAAGCAGAATTGGGAACGCCTGGACACCGTGAGCATGGAATCAAGATCAAACCAATACCGAACCTGGCACAAGTGTACTAGCAATCAAACAAATATCTATTTATTTCATCATAGGCTCCGGTCCAGCTAGAGGGCTAGGGGCAGGAGGGGCAGGAGCAGGAGCAGGAGGGGCAGGAGCAGGAGCAGGAGGAGCAGTAGTAGGTGTGGAGGGAGAAGGCGCAAGGTCAGGCATCGGGATCGATGGTGTAGATGCAGATGTAGCTGTAGATGCTTTTCCACCCCGAGTGCTGGTGCTTCCACCACGGCCAGAGCTGCCTGCGCCGCCGCCACGACCGCCACGACCTTCTGCGGAAGCAGTGGTGCCGTTACGATCGGCATGTTTTTCTGCGTCTGCTTTCTTGCTTCCGCGTGGGCGGCGCGTCGTGCCACCTCGTGAACCGGGTCCGCGTAGTGGCAGGCCTGTATCCTGAGAAATGGGGACAGCTGCGGCAATGGGGACGTGAGGGTGAGAAGCCACGGAGCGACCCCGGCCTGTTCCTCGGCCGCGGCCACGACCACGCTTGATTGTACCATCGGCCCTGTGATTTGTTAGTATTACGTTATTATATCCAGAGTATGACAAGGAGGGAGGCATACCGTTCCACTTGAATCTTCTCTCCCTCTGGCACCAATGGGCCGCTGTAGACAAAGAATCCATCCTTACTAGCAGCAGCCTGCTCTTGCCAGACCATCTCACTGTCATCAACGAATGGGTCATCGCGGTCATATTCTTCAACCTTCTTGCGGCGCTTCTTCTTTCCATCGCTTGCTTCAGAGGGTGCACCATTTGTTCCGAGGCCAGTTCCACCCATCGTAACATCGCCATCCACATCACTGTCACGCTCAGCATCGAGGCTCAGATCCTCGTCTGCACTCTCGCCTGCTGAAATGCCCTTGGCATTCTTATCGTTGCGCTCTAATGCAGCACCGGCAGCTGCTACACGGGCTAGACGTGCTTTGTGAGCGGCAAGACGTGGATGCAAAGCCGCGAAACCATATTGTTCTTCGGCCAGTCGTGCGAAATTGACGATCTGGTTTCCTTTATTTAGAGGGACGTGGACGATGATATTCGGGGTGCTGCGCGAATCTGGCGATTTGGCAGATTCATCTACCCCGAATAGGGCGTTGCTGATCAAACCGGAGCCTTGCGGTAGTTGCGGGGCCTCTTTGGTAGGTCGAGCAGGCTTAGGAGATGGGGCCTTTGATGCAGGCGTAGCTGCTTCTTTTTCTTTCTTGGCACTAGGTGCAGATTGTTCCTCGGTTGTTTCCTTTCGGTCGACTTCGATTACTTCGGACGGCTGCGGTCTAGGTGGGGTCGGCTGCACTACCACTTCGGGGTGCGCGTGGGATTGCGGTTGAGGTTGGCGCACGGCAGGTGGAGAGAGCTCGAGTGTGGGAGGTTGTGATTGCAACGGCCGCTGCTCAGTAGGGGGGTATGGAGTCGTGTAGTGATTGGGTTGAGCGAATGCATGTGGTGTGTGCACAGCTCCATGAGAAGGCGATGAGATGGGGAGAGGCGAAGGGGCTAGGGATGGGTGTGTAGGTGTGGGCGCCATCGCAGGCGGCGCCGGTGAAGAGAGACCGGAGACATGACCAGACGAGGTGCGCTGAAGCGGAGTATAGATTGGTTGGGAGGTTTGAGGAGGGTCGATAATGCTCGAGATCGCTGGCGACGCACTGGCGCGATAAGCGTTATGTGGAGAGACTGCGTGAATCGGGGGACTGTATGCTGGTGCCGGGGAAGGGTTGTCAAAGGCAGACCGAATCGGGTCGAAGTTTTGTCCACTGGTCCTTTGAGGCGGTAGTGGTTGTGGCGCTGGCGGTTGTGATTGCGGACGCGGGGGCTGCAGCGGTTGTGACAGCTGGTATGTAGCTCCTGGGGCTGTGGGATGTGGACTTTGCGAGTAAGGCGATTGGGCTGGTTGGGACTGGATTGATTGGGGTTGAGGTGGTGCTGTGACTACTTCGACCGGGCCTCGGGCGTCTGCCGGAGCATCACCCCCCGTACCATCAGCCGATGGCTCCAGCTTGGCTTTCTTCCGAGACGCGGCCGTAGTTGTGGATTTTTCCCGAGGTCGACGCGTTGCTCGAGCTGGCTTTTCCTTGGGTTCTTTTTCTTTTTTGGGCTTGGGTTCGGTTCGACGCGACCGTCTATTGGTAGCAGAGGCACGTCGGTTGGTGTCAGGCTTGGGTTCAGATTCAACAGGTAAGCCTTCTGTAGGCACCACGGCCGGATCCGTAGACATAGTGCACGGATGTAATCTGATCGAATGGGTGGATGACAATGGTGGACAACGACAAAGTGGTCACGAATCGGTCGCTAAGACGTTTCGTTAGGAATGAAAGTTGGGGAAATAAAGCACAGATAAGAAAGGTCCGAGTTGAAAAGGAACATCAAAAACAGAGAGATGGAAAAGGGAGTGGGAACACTTGAAAATTCAGGAAATGGGAAATGGGAAATGGGAAATGGGAAATGGGAAATGGAAGGGAGCAAGAGGGAAAGGGAGAAAAGAAAAAGGGAAAAAAAAAGGGAAGAAAGGGGATTCAATAACTAAATCAATTCACGGCCAAAGTCGATATGTCTAGCTAGAGAAACTAGAATGCAACTGCAAGATACACAGTAGAGTGTAATTCTCAGACAGTCAATCGACAATAACAATCGTTCCCTTTGCTAGTCAATATTGATAAGTTATTCTTACTGAGGTCATTGGTATCATATCCAGTTTCCTGCAGTTGTGCCCGTTATTGTACCTTAGGTACTTATACAGGATCTAACTATATGGGGCAGTTGATTTGAGGCATTCCCTTTCTTCGGACTGACCAGACTCGACTTCTTGCTATGTGTCTTGTATCACTATGGATGTTCCTTGAAATCTTTTTATAGCTGTTAATATTAACACAGTATTGTCTCGCATCCCGAAGCTTATCCTGTACCTGGAGTACTCCGTACTGTAGGGAACATGTCAATTAGATGTATGGAATGTATGTAAATGCAACAATTACGGCATGCTAAAGTAGTATATGGAATATAGAGGTATCAGGATCTCAGGGGGTCTCCTATACGTCAAGTGCAAACCCTTTCCTGAGGAAAAACAGCCCATGAAGTCAAGCGAAATGTATAGATGCAACGGAACCAGTGTGAGGAGTCCCAATTAGGCCTAGCACATCCGTCATCTACCACTAGCCTAATATGGTTAGCCTTCTCTGCAGACCCATTTTAGGCTTTGGGAGCCGCATCCCCGCGCTGACATAACTTTTTTTCCTCTCTTCTTTGTCTTGACAACATGGCTTTCCGCGGCGAACGTTTCGTCCTCGACCTGGATGGGGATGAAGGCGCTCCTGAAATTCCCTCTCCATTCTCTCTCGTCGGCGAAATCCAAGAACGGGCCCCCTCCGTCGCCAAACCTCCTGCCCCCACGCTGTCGAGTTCATCAACCGGCTTCCCGGCACCCCGCCAGCGCAAGCCATCTTCCTTCAAACAACGACGAGCTCAGCAACCCACCGCGTCTAAACCGTCTACCGAGGAACCCGTTCAAGATGAAAAGAAACTTATCGACGAGGAGAACCGGCGACAGCTGGCAGCCATGTCGGACGCCCAGATCAAGCAGGAACGGGAAGAGTTGATGGAACAGATGGACCCAAGCCTCCTAGAACGGTTCCTCCGCAGAGCTAGAATCGATGAGCATGAGCAGAGCGACAAAGAGCCCCCAGCACCCAAAGATGAAACTGCGTCTAAACCGAAGAAATCAGTTTCATTCGATGTGCCCGAGCCAACAACCAGACCACGGGCACTATCAACAGCTCAATCCCATTCTCTTCAAAAGCCATCTCAACCACCTCCAGTTAATGAAGACCGCCCACCCAGCTCTCTCCCCCAGGACCTCCACCCAGCATCCGAACAACCCTCCCTCGACCCAGCAACCCTCGAAACCTTCCACTTCCCACAGCCCTCAACGCCCATGCCAATCCTCGACCCATCTTCCCCCAACTTTCTCTCAGATCTCCAGTCCCACTACTTCCCCGAAATCTCCCAGGACCCATCAACCCTCTCCTGGCTCCAACCCCTCAGCGCGGATGAAGAAGACCCCGATTCAACATCCGCCTACCACCCAGCCAGCAGCGCCATCTCCATGGCCCCCTCAGCAATCCGCTTCTCGCTTACCGGCACAATCCTCGCCCCCGAGACCTCTCTGTCACTCCCAACAACCATGGGCCTGCACCACCACGGCGACGATCCACATGCGGCGGGGTACACAATCCCCGAGCTGGCCATCCTAGCACGCTCAACATTCCCCGCCCAGCGCTGTATCGCATGGCAAGTCATCGGCCGGATCCTATTCCGTCTAGGTCGGGCAGAGTTCGGTGATCGCGGTGGGCCGTTGTCCGAGGGTTTGTGGTTCGTGATCGAGAAGGAAGGTGTCGTTGCCGGTATGCTTGCTGAAGCGGATGGCGCTGCTGGCCAGAGTGCCGGCAGAAACAAGGCTTTCAGTAGCAAAGATGCCGAGGTTCAGAATGATAACATGCCCATTGCGTCTGGTGTTGGACGTCATGCTAGTGCTGCAGCTTGGGCTGTAGAGGGTATCTGGTTATGGCAGAAGGGTGGAGGTGGTGACCGTGGACTGTTGAAGGAAGGACAGCACCGTTCGTTATAAAATACATGTTTCTATTTCGATTATATTTTATGTCTTTTACGAGTGAATGGCTTGCATATTGTCGATATGATGCAATGAAAATAGGGATATGGAAATGACATTAAGTAGAGTTCAAGAACACAGTACGAGGAAAGCAAATATATAGATACTGAATGACATTGATATTGATCTCATAAGAAATCATATCTCCTACTCTCTGGACCTAAAAGTCAAGCAAATAAAATACACGTTGCCTGTGGGAATAATAACTCTTGGGCAAGTTAACCCCTTCTCTCATACTCCGACACAAACATAATAATCACTCAAATCAATTCTACTCATCAACCCGATCTCCAATCTGCACACCCCAAACCTGCCACCTAGCCTCCTCAACAAAGTCCCTCCGCAACCAAAGCCCAGAAGGCGGCTGCAAAGTCTTCATATTCACGCCAGGCTCCGAGGAGGAATCCCGCTCAACAGGCTGCGTTCGATCCAACCAATCAAACAGCAACCGCAACTGCCAGATACGATCACGGATTTCATCCGGGTCAGCACCGCGGCCACGGGCAGACTGCACGATATTCCGCACGGTGTGAGACAGCGCGAGGCGGGAGTCGACTGCTGAAGTGCGTAGCCAGGGTGGCGCGGAGACGATGTCTGAGGAGATTCGTTCTCCGCGCATTGGGAAGGAGGATGGGAGGACGAGAGAGCGTTCGCGGATGTCGAGCCCTTGGAGGGAGGGCAAGTTGAAGACCCAGTCCCAGGGGGATTGTGAAGGTGTTGAGGATGTTGGGGTTGTTGCTTGGAGGAGCCTTGTGCGGGTTGGCCAGGCGGAGGGGGGTAGGCCCTTTGCTTGAGATGAGGATTGTACTGTTGAGGTTTGGAGGATGTCTTGGGCTTCACTTAGGCCTGTTAGGGTTGAGGCGAAGACGGAGGCTGTTGAGCCTGAGGGGCTGTAGGTTGCTTTGCGGCGGAGATAGATTGATGGGTCGCCGCGGTGGAATTTCTCGCGGAGGGTGTCGTTTTGGCTGAAGTCTAGGACTAGAGGCCAGTGGTCTGGCCCGCGGATTTCAATGCGTGTTATGCTGCTTGGGTCTGGGAGGAGGCAGGGGGCGCCGATTGTACGAGTTGTTTCGTCATTGAAGGTTATTGTTATTGGGATGGAGATTGGTCGGCGGGTGTCGATATCACGGGGGATGAGGCAGCGTGGCTCAGCGGCGAGGACCCAGAGATGGCGGAAGGCTTGGAGGTGGCATTTGTTGTCTAGAACGGAGGTAGGGAAGATTGGGTAGAATGCGCAGATGAGGGAGACCACGGCGCGTTTGGATGTACCGAGTGTGTAGCTGCCTCCGCCGAGGAAGAGAACTCCTACCGCCATGTGTGCTGCCATGTGGCTGCCATAGGGCGTGTCTGCGTCGATGCGGCCATGCAGGGAGCGCAGACGTCGGAATAGAGCTAGATCACCAGTGCCGGCCATGACTGCGGCTGCAGCTAGGGCTACCACATCCTGGCAGTTGCGGACAGAATTGCGCGCCAGCTTGGCATCGTAGTTGTGCACAGGCAGCCGTGAAATGCGGATGAGCTGGTCTAGATAGAACAGCAATAGGTCTCGTGCTTGTGCTTGTCCCGATCCAGCATGGCGGAGACCGAGTGCAAAGCAAAGACCAGCAATAATATTGAAGAAAGGCATATCTTCACTGCGCAGGCGGCGCACGTCCACAAGTCGCGATCTGGCTCGGTATACCTCAGGAAGACTTGAGCTGATCCACTCAGCTGTGGGCTGGATGCTATCCCACATGATAATGTGCCGAGCCAGAGTTCGCAACAGGAACAGGTCCGGCCGAACATAGTCGAAGCGAACAGTTGTATCAGGGATGTCAATCTTCTTGGCCAGTACCGAATCGTTCGTCTTCATGAATATGATCATCAAGGCAATGGTTGCGCCAGCTGTGGCACGGTCAAGCACATGGGCAATATCGACATTCTTTGTGCCCACGGCAATTGCTAGCAGCCGCTCAACAATGTGCATATCACGCATACCACGTAGATCGTCACCTTTGCCGAGGTTGATGAAGCCAAGCGCAAATCCTGCAGCCAGGCGGTATCCTTCATCACGAAGGTCCTCCTGTGTAGCAGCTTGCTCGTCATACTCACTGTTTTCAATTTCAGAGAGCATGACCTCGCTCATGCGACGGTGCTGAGAGCCACAGTAGAGCAAACCAATACCCATGATTCCGGCAGTTTGAGTCAATGGTGAAAGGTTCAGCTCAGCTGCTCCCATTGGGAGCATTCGTGTCACATGGACCGAGAGCAGACGTGTGATAAGCGTATCCATTGTACCAATATACGATGCAGAAAGACCGAGCAAGAGACCGATCGAGGTCATGGTGTGCTTCGGAGTGAGGTACTTGAAAGCAACCCACTTGGCCAGCGATTTGAGATGACCGTTCAAACCCAGGGCCAACAAGAAGCCGGCATGGCGATTAGTGAGTTCTTGTGGCTTATTGAACAATATCCACGAAGTGTCGATTCCCTTGGATGCCTTGGAGATTGCCAGGCCAGTGGAGACACCATTGTGGAAGAATGCCCAACAAACTTTCTCTTCTGAAAATGCAGATCTTTCCGCGCTGACTGTCACATTAGAGGGCTTCATGACACACTGTAGCGAAAAGGATGGAATTGGCAGTTTCTCAGTCAACAGTGGAAGCCGTCCACTGAAGGAAAGCATTCCACGACCTGCAGGAGTAGAAAGAGTGCGAACAGTCACTAGCTGCACAATCTCCTTTTGCGCCTCGAGAAGGTCAGCATCGCTCCATTCTGGCTCGGCTATGCATTCTGCCACAGGAGCTTTAGACTGATTCAGGAGTCTGGCTGCTTCCAGGAACCGCTTATCATCTTTGAATATCAATCTTGTCACAGAGAATCGGTCAGCCTCCGCAGATGCCTCAAAAGCATTGATGGCATCGATGTCCAATGCCGCACTACTGATGTAATGGAAGTCTCGTACAGCGTCATGAGACGGTACATGTTGCTGTGGTGCTGGCAATGAAGTGGTTTGAGTGGGGTTCATTGACATGTAGAGGTCCTCCCGATCAATCAACTCTAGCAGTGATGCATTCCAGGAGGAGGAGGCTTCAATCTGACATTGCATGACTGCCTCGTACAGCGGAGCGCTGACACCTTCGGGGAAGCTGTCGATAACACTCTTGGTGAATCCCCAGCGCTGCAACAGTTTGATCTTTTCCAAGGGTGTTGAAACATCATGAACTTCAGTGAAGAAGCCATTCAGTGCCAATGTCCTTGGTGTAAGACTGAAACATTCACGCCACATGCGGCCCTTTCTAGGACTTCGCTCGGATGCAGTCACAATATCGAGAAGAGTGACAAACGGCGTAGGGTTTTGGTGAGCGGCATCCATGAGGAAAGCAAAGATAGATGGAGGAGAGAAAGGTTCTCGGGGTACATTGAGTCCAGAAATTTGGGTGTCTTCAAATTGCCAGCGCTCCATACTGGCCATTTCAGTTCCGAAGTAGGCATTCTCGGTCCATTTCCAAGAGTTCCAGCCTAGCCAGCCGCCCAGTTGTGCGAGAACCGGAGCAAGCAAACCCAATGGTCTCCGGGACTCTTCCGAATCGCACGTTGAAAGTTTCTGCTCTTCGCGGAGTAAATGCAAGGCCACAACGACACTGCATAGAGCGGTACATCTTGTATTTTCAGAGAACAGTTCTGAAATAGGGAGATAACCTTCGTCGCCAGCAGCCCTAATACCTTGGGAGGTTTGAAGGAATTCACGACTGAGAGCAATGCATCGAAGCAAGTATGAATTGTTGCGGTAGGTAGATCGGCTTGTATTGGGCTGGTCAAGTTTGGGTGTACGCGAGGCTGTTGAGAGATCCTCGATTGCATCTTGTTCAACAATCCATCCCCAGGAGCTGTCCATCATCCAAGGTGCTACAACACCGGATGAGCCAGACTCCAGGTCAAGCATGGTCTCCCAGCTTTCAAGATCAAGATGACCGCCACTGCTCGACCTTAGCAATCCCCTCTTGCGGCGTGCTCGCTTGGGTGTCGGGGCCGCGGGGGGCGTGACGAATGGAAGTGCTAAGCTTAATAGCACGACAGTCATGGCCGTCCACTCGAGGTCATTTTCAATGTCCTCTTTACCTCGAAGCCATTTAATGACTTCCCACCAGGCAACCATGATGCCATCGCCTGCTTTGTCCGAATCACGTAAGGCAAATTTGCAGGCCCTAAGTACCTTCTTCACAAGATCATTACGGGGCTCCATTCGGATTTGGAGCCTGTGTCGTTGTTTTTCGGTGTCCACCAGGTCAATCTTGCCTCGAGAGCACACATGATCGAGCTTGGTGAAGACGAGATTGGGGTCGGCCATTACTCGGTTAACACCGCTTTCTCTTGGGCGTGTCTCGAGCTTGTTGGCAGAGATACCATGAGGCTCATGCAGCTGTAGTGGGATGGGAACCTCTACCTTCGTTGGGCTACCCCAGAGTGTTTGCAAGGATAGCTCGCGGTGACCGCTTTCTGTCTCGCTGAGTGAAAGGATTCGTGAAATGTCTCCATCGGAGATCGTGCAAGCATCTGAGATGTTTGGCACATGCTTGACCTTGACTGCATGAACAAGCAATGGACTCTGGTCGGACTTGTTCTTCTTCTTCCGGCTCTTTGAAATGGAGACTCGATCCGCTTTGAGATTCACAATGGTCATGCTCCGTGCCTCTTGGTCCACGATGCATATGGCAACAGAAGCTGTGTTTCCCTTTTGCGCGCTTCCATAGTCAGTGAAAGCCAAAGTGGAAACCTTCAACCGACGGAATGCTGGCTCTGATGTGGACTTTTGGAAGTCTCCAGAGAATTTTGATGGGAAGCTCTCGACCTTGTTTAGTAAGAGCTCCTCTGGAAGCCCAGATGCCGATTCACGAAGGGCAATGCTCTCGAAGCCTTCTGATAGCGCATCATTATTGAGTTCTTCTAGTAGCCTATCCACCGGGGCATCCACAAAGCTGCCTGCAGTACTGTAGACAGATCCTGTCCCAGGAGGAAGGGAGCCTCGCGGGTTGAAGCCAAAGCTTCCACGCATGCTTGCTCCTCCAATAGACTGCCGGAAACTACCATGGCCATGAGGTATGGCGCTAGACTGACTTCCAGTAGCCAGCTCTGAAAATGTCATGCGGTCCTGACTAGTGGCAAGATCCGTTCGGGCCAGCAAAGAGCTGACACGTCTAGATGTCTTAAGGGGCACACCGACATCACCAAAGTCCTGCGCGACCCTTGAAGCAAGGTCGTCTTCAGGTTGCTGAGACTCGGTTTGGCTCTTTTCGGTCCAGCCTCCGAGGCTCTCTCTGCCTGTAGTGCGAGCAGCGGGCGTTGTTGCACCAGTTGCCATACCGAAATGTGAGCTCCGCCTTACTGAACGAGTTCCTCCTGTCTCTCGTCTGGCTTTGTCTTTCATCGAGCCACCAGATTCATCATCTTTGTAGCGTGCAGTCCAAATCGTATAGATGCCTGTAGTAGTATTGAGGGTTACCACTAGAATCAATGGGCCATTGGATGCGCCTCTGCTGGTTCCCAGAAGCTCGTCCTTTGGAGAGATGTATACAATCTCATCCAATGGGTCCAGCACTTCCAGTCCAGATGGCCGCTTTCTTTTGCTGTTGACACTACTCTGGAGCCATCGAGAGCTCTGCGATGTCACAACAAGGCCCATCTCTGAATGGGGATCGATGAGAGAGAAGACTCGCGGTAGGTCATTGCTCGGGCTGGAGTTAGGCACCCAAGAGCTTGGAGCTGAGAGCTTAATCGAAGGTCGTCTGCCTTTGCTGGAAGGTGGTCTCATGCCAAAAGACTGTGAAGCACCCGGGTCGAATAGCGAGTTGGTCATGAAAGAATTGGGAGGTGCAGCTAGCTGCTGACGTCCTTCGGTGGGTTCTGGGATCTTCCTTTGAAGTAGAAGACCGCGAGGGGTTGCAAATACAGATTCCACCTCGAAGGGCAGAGGAATTGTATGGCTGTTGCCCGCGACAAAGAAGATGTGCGCTTGGGATTTCAGGACCACCACCAGAGCTCTGGAAAGGGTTTCACTGGATTGCTGAGGTGCAACCGCTGCCACTTGGGCATCTCCATGCAGATTCAACGTTGAGCCCTGGCTTTCCATCGACTGTTTCCCATTTCGCTGGCTCTGTTTTGTAGATCTCGCGGTGGTGCTGGCTTGTCTCGTAGGTGTGTTTCCAGAGCGCTTGAGGTTGACAGCAGCAAATTGCGTAAATAGAGCATGTCGGATCTCTTCTTTCTCGGGGTCCATTCGAAAGACTCGCTTCACCATCCCTGCGCGGGACCATACAACGCAATGCTTCGTCCATACAAGGTCATCGTCCACCGGACCTGTCAACCCGCTTTCGTCGACGCATACCGTCCAGTTATAGTGGTCTTCAGAGGGATCAGGAGGGAGGATACCCTCTGCGACAAGGTAGGATACAGCCGAAGGTTCGTGGAGGCCGAGAGATCGAACGGAAGCCATGGTGGGCTGATGAGCAGCTGGTGTAGCAGTGGTAATGCGCCGTCACAAACAGTTCTCTGGTCCAGCCTGCTGAATTGGTCATTTCGTCCATGTAGGTTAAGTAACGGTGCGCCGGCCACAGGACATGGTTGTTGAATGTCGAAGTTGGAAACGCGCTGGAACGCGGATTTGGATCGACTTTCTCGCCGCCCAAAACAACTTCCGTCAACACCTCCCCTCGCCTCACTACCTTTCTACTCTACTCGTCGCTCTCTGCTCAATACTTGTCTAAGATTGAGCTTGCACTTTTCATCGTCTGAGTTGTCTGTCATCATTGCGGTGCCCTTTGGCGCCTCAGCTGGAACCTTCACAAGCTCTTAATAGCTTGACAGCATCGCAATTCTCACGATGCCCTCATTCTCAACCACCCCTCTGGTTCGATCCAGAGAAGATGGCTTGCAGATCAGGTACGTTTGACTGCCTTCCCTTCGCAACACTTGGTTAAATGCTGATTCACTCTCTCTGCAAACTTTTAGCTATCGCCTGCCTCATCGCATTCACTCCGCCAAGGGTTACCCCCTCCGAGCTCCAAATGGCTCATCCATCATTGTCTACGGCTATGACACTGGTCTGAAAGTTATCTGGAGAGGAGGGAGACGCTTTGCAGAGTCAAAAGCACCAGCACCTGCAGAGAAACCGAGGCGCGCGGAAAACCATGTGGACGACTCAGTAATGATTATTGATTCGGACGAGGAAGAGCCCGAACAGCCGGCACAAGAAGAGCCTAGCTACGGTTTCAGCCTGGAGGAAACTGAGGTCGATCCTGCTGCTCCGTACGAAGAGATCCTGCGACAGATTGATATTCCCCTTGGAAGCCGAGTTCTGGATGTGGCCGTTCCTCAAGTTCTCCCCGAAGAATCACGCTCACCCCTTGACGCCTTCCCGCCCATTTTGAGAAACACAACTGTCATCTCTGTCGTTTGCTCCGACTTTTCGACACGAGTTGTGACTCTACCTCTTACGCCTCCTCATCCTGCACAGACCGACTCTGTGACCTGGCGCATTCAAACTCTCACGGTTCTCGGTGCCACTACCCATCAAGATACTCCCCGTGGAGTGTCTCTGACTTTCACCTGTCAGGATAATGAGGAAGAAGGCCCACGCAAATCGCGGGGCCGGTTCGGTAACCGTGGAAAGTGGGACCTCCTTCTGGCCACACATTCAGCAGAAGGGTCTGGCGCATTGCTGTTGCACCGCATTCCAATCCGAGAGGAACCATCTGGATCAGGCTCCTACCGCTTTCTAGAGGAAGACATTGTGTCTCAGCGACGACTTCTGCCGGCACCAGCGCAGACAATCACCTTTAACCCTTCGCCATGGCCATCTCCTCGCCATTCAACTCTCCTTGTTGCATTCCACAGCGGGTGTGTCAAGGTCTACTCTTGTTTCTCTGTGAAAAAGGCCTCTAAAACTGCGCGACGGGCATCCATCCCACAGGAAGAGTATGAAACTACCGATATGGAAGGCCGATGGCTGATCAGCCTGTACCCCGGCTTCGAGCCGGGACCCGTGGGGCTACCCCGAAGAAAGACAATCGTTGATGCTGATTGGGTGCTGGGTGGTCAGGCTGTCATGGTGCTTCTCGAGGATGGTGACTGGGGCGTCTGGGACATTGAAGGCGCCGGTCCTGGCGCTGCCAAGGGCCCGTTGCACCGCCAGACAAGCATTCAAGGTGTTACCGGTGGTTCTTTGACTGCATACGCAGTCAGTGGCCGTATTGTCACACCACTTTCTAACACCCAGTCCGAGGCAGAACAGCGGCCCCGATTTGCGCCTATGACACCATCCACCAGACGTGTCCGTGAAGATGGCCTGTTGAAGGGATCGACGACTGCGGCTAGTCCATCTCACCGCGGCCAGATTTCCGTCTTGCAAATTAACTCGACGCAAGATGCGCTGCCCGACGAATCCATCCTGCTCCGTCATGGCCGTCAGAGTGCAGTTATCCCAAGTCTGCTTTCCCTATGGCGCAATGCCGTGCAGGCGAAGGGTACATTTGATGCTTCCAACCGCTGCCGAGTGTCTCCCTTCCAAGATGTCAATCTGATGGGCCAGAACTTCCAAGCTATTGGCCACCTACCAGCACCTGTTCGCCGTTCTCGCCAAGCAGAACGACAAGTCTTCGATGTTCTCGTGGCGGCAGAGCACCAATTGATGATCCTTGCCCCTACATTAGTTGAATCCGACGAACCGAGCCAGCTCTCCGTGAAATCGGAAGCAACTCCCGAAACTGATCAGCTCATGCTGAAGCGTGGTGAGCTGGATGTGGAAGGAATGGGCCGACTCCTGAATGGCATGGCCAACGGAGCGGCGTCTCTACGTATGGGCAGCCCAGTCAAGCGGACTCGTATTTTCGCTTGAAATGGCCATGGAAGTGCCATAGATGATACTAATACCCATATCCGTTCTATCCCAGTATTTCTGGTCTATCTTCTTTTCCTCCTACTCACTTCATCTTTCTCTCTAGTAGATCATTCGCGCTGTAAGGTGGAGCGCAAGGCGAGATCAATGCCTTGAAATTCCATCTTCGGATGCGAATAAGCTCTGTATCGGATGCGATATATCGATGACCATTGCAAGTCTGAAGTGCTACGCACGAGCCCTTTATATTGTGGCTTTTGTCGCAATCCCCATATCTGACCTTGGAGTTCCATGCTTGAGTCTGTTCTGCTGTGGATGTCGATCTGTCTCTTGACAAATCTTACATCGGTGGCCGCTGTGGGCAGAGCAGAGCATGGCCAATGTTGGATGTGAAGGAGATGGGCATAATGGGACATTTAATAGCTAGCAGTAATGAATCCAATACCGTGACTCTATACTCTTAACTCCATCCTTATTCCGCTACACGCCGAGGTTATCGGAAGAGCCGCACTGATAACGCAATCTACATCCCGCCAATCCCCTCACTTCCAAGCTTACTCTGTTTTCTTCTTCTCTTCTCTCCAATTCCTCTCCGGATCCAACTTTATTCCTCATGTCAGACTCTTCATTGCAACAACCTCCAAAACGGAGTAAGACTAAACTACACTCCAATCGCACCACAACCCAAAGCTAACAACCAACAGTCTGGGCCTCCCTAATAACAAACCTCTCCTACCTCCCAGGCCTCTTAACCCTCCACCACTCCCTAAACCACCCATCTCCAGACCCAGGGATCGCCTCAACGAACCTCAATGCCGCCCAAGGGACAAAATACCCCTTTGTAGCCTTCTACACCTCAACCTTCCCAGCCACAGGCCTAGAAATCCTCAAAGCACGCGGCATCCCAGCAAAACACGTCCAATCCGTAACACCAGGTATAACACGCAAGTACGCGCAAGACCCACGCTTTGCAGAAACATGGAACAAACTCATCGTTTTCTCGCTGGAGGAGTATGACCGCGTCGTCCTCCTTGATGGAGATATCCTTGTTAGGAGGAATATGGATGAACTCATGGAGATGGAGTTAGATGGGAGGGATGTACTTGACAATGGCCAAGCAAGACGGGCTTTCGCTGCTGCGCATGCTTGTGCTTGTAATCCTATGAAGAAGGAGCATTATCCTGCTACCTGGTATGCCCATATTATCTCCAAGATGGCGTATATATATATATATATGTGTGTGTACTAACATCACACCCAGGATCCCCGCAAACTGCGCCTATACAACCCAACACGCAACCCCAGACCATGCCCAGTCAACAGCACCAGCACCGGGCTCCGGCGTAGGCATGCTAAACAGCGGCGTGTTGGTGGTGACCCCTTCACTCAAGATCTACGACGAGATAAGCACCGGACTGGCCGATCTAGCGCGGATAGAGAAATACGATTTCCCAGACCAGGAATTGCTCTCTGAAGTCTTCGACGGGCGGTGGGTGCCACTGCCTTATGTTTATAATGCGTTGAAGACGTTGCGGATGGAGGGTGTGCATGATTGCCTATGGCGGGATTCGGAGGTCAAGGCTGTGCATTATATTTTTGGGACGAAGCCTTGGCATGAGGATGTACGTGAGGGGAATGTATCTGGGCTTGATGAGGTGAATGTTTGGTGGTGGAGGGCTAATTGGGAACGGCAGGCGTTGGAGAGGGGGGAAAGTTGAGATTGAGGATGAGTTTTCTATTCCGAAGTGAGGTAGAATGGGTGGGATTGATGTACAGTAGAGATAGATGAAGAGAATGAGTTTGGAGGGTAGATATATACGTTGCACATGTCAACAAACCACAGAAAATAAAGAATATATAATAGACAGGACTATATGTGAATGATATATCGTAATGATATTGATGTCAATTTGAACAGCTCCCATATTGGATGCATATGCAGATCGATCTAAGTATATCCATGGCTAGCTATGCAGGTGCCTGTTGCATAATAATCAATCGCATCATTCCTCTACGTCGCCAACATCATATCAACTCCACCATCATCTTCATCTTCGACGTCATCATAATCGCCTTCAACCGGTGTATCCGACAGCCTCGAGATCCTTCCGGACCGCATCCTCAGTCTGGATCTTCTTCATCTGTGTATCTTCGAGCTTCTCACCGCCAGCAAGACGCATCTTAAGCTCGTCAATTGCACGGATCTTCTTCAACAGACCGCGGATCTTCTTATCCTGAGCGGAAGGATCCTCAACAGGGGCAGCAGGAGCGGCAGCAGCAGCAGGGGGAGGAGTAGACTTGGCAGCACCGTTACCGTTGACGGTGCCGTTCTTGCCGCTACGGTTGCGGTTGCGGTCTGGGCTAGGGCCAGTTGGGGCGTTGGCAGGGGGAGCGTTATCGGTTCCCTCCTCCTTGGCTTTTTTGGCAGCCTCGCGCTTCTTCTTGTTCTTGGCGGCGGACTTGGACAGGTTCTCGGTGGGCAGAGCAACGCCGCCACCCGGTGCGGCTCCGGGAGGAAGGTACTCCTCGGCGGGCTCGGCACCGGGGATTTCACGGCGGCGAGGCTTGCCGAAGCCGTTCATGCTGGCGCCGGGAACGCCGTCGCGGACAAAGGCAGCACCACCCTCGTCTTCACGCTTGAAGGCGAGAGGGGTCAGCTGGCCGCGGGCACCGGGGGGACGATATGCGCCAGCAGGCTTGACGGGGGCCTTGCGGGTGCCCATGTAGGCAGTGGCAGAGGGGTGGGGAACGGGGAGCTTGGTGAGCGGGTCGCCCAGAGGGTGCTGGGAGATGCTCTGTGGCCGCCAGGTGACATCGTACAGCTCGGTCATATCTTCGTTGTACATAAGGCCACCGCTGACGTGCCAGATGCGCACGCCGTTGTCGACACGCAGACGAGGGCTGGTTGTCGCAGTCAGAATGTATTGTCCGTCGGGGGACCAAGCGCAGACACTGGCGTTGGAAGCCTCGACGGTGGTGATCTTGTGGTAGTTCTTGTCCATATCGTAAAGATCCATTTGTCCTGCCAAGTTACCGAAACCGGCAACCAGCACGAAACGGCCATGCGGCGAGAACTGGATGGTGTTGCGCGGGGCGAGGGGGAAATTGTGGGTGGCCACACCGCGCATGTTGAAGATGGTGGTCTTCGCGGGCATGTAGCCGTACACAACACCGAATTCCTTCGAGTTGGGGTTCCAGCTAACATCGTGAATGGGGCCCTCCTTGTCAAGGTCGATACGCGAATCGAATGCACCGCTGGCGCTGAGCAAGTACAATGTTGTCTCGCCATAATAACTCTTGCCAGTGCGGTCGACCTCGGTCTGTGCGAGCACAATCAAGGTGGTTCCAGAAGAGTTCCACTTCAATTGGACCTTGTCGCCCTTGAAGAAGTTCTTCTGGGAGACAGGGGCACCGAACTGCGGCACAATGAAGACCTTGACTGCGGCGGGTTGACCCTTGCGCTCGGGAATGAACACCGCAATCGACTGGGTCTGACCCGGCGAGAGCGCAAAGTCCGACACACCCTCGACGCGCAGCTTGTTCCAAACAGTTGACAAGTTCTCGCTCTGGTAGAACTGGACCTCGTTGGTCACAGTGCGAGCGCAAAGCTTTTCATCGGCGGTGTACTGCAAGTTCCATCCAGTCTGCGACTTTTGCACGAAACTGCCAACGACCGCATGCTCTCCGTTCTCAATGGCACGCCACACCTTCAGGTTCTTGACGGCATCACCGTTCTCGTCCTTGGACGTGCGCTGCCAGGTGATCACGTAGGTACCGAGCGGCGAGAAGCCCAGCTCGAACACGTTCTCGGCGGCGATGGTTCCGACGATGTGACCGACGGAGGCGTCGATAATGGAGACCCTACAGGCAGCAACATTAGTACAGGAGTAGCCGGAGAAATAGAATCAGCTTACTTCTCGGGCGATGCCCAGGCGTAGTACCGGCCACACGGCGAGTAGGCGCTGCAGCGGAGGTTGCCCTCAGGTCTGACAGAAGCGCACAAGTCAGCTTAATATTCCCTCATAAGTCAGGATCAATTCATACCTCACAAACCCGGGCAGAGGCTCATACACAGGGGCGGCATCCATGATACCAATGCCCTTGAGCGTGCGATCTGTAGACAATCAGCAATTATCCATCAACATTCGCATCGATCGAGTCGAGCCGCGACTTCATAATCCAGGGAACTCACAGGCAATCTGCGTAGGAGCTGCCATCTTGACTTCACTGGGTCAAATAAACCACCAACAGAAGTGCTTCAGAAAGTTATGACTCGATTGCGTATCCCACAAGTCGAGAAAGGAAAATCAGTCCGAAACTCTGGGACCCAAATAACCAGTTGTCACGACAAAGTCTCCCAATGTAGGAATGGGAGTCGACCAAAGCGAAGCGAAACTTGAGAAGAACGAAACGGTGGGTGAAATGGAATCAAGATGAGACTCAATTGGCGGGGTTTGGTGGAACAAAAGACTTGGGTCTTCGGTCGGTCGGTGCTAGACAAGTCAATGCCAGCAAAGAAAGGTCGGAGGCGAAGAAGAGGGAGGGTAGTGGTTTGAGGGTTGGGAGGTTGAAGAGTGAAAGAACGAAAATTCGGGTGTCGCGATGTGGCTCGGCGGCATGCCGTCATCTGCTATACAAGACCTCAACTACGACTTGGCTTGATTGAGACTTGGATAGTAGTTATTTATGAATTTTTATTGTTCGTTCCAGTCACTCTACTTCTGTCTACACGTAGATGTCTCCTTCGAAGCCAGGTGGCCATAATTATCCCACATAAAGAGGGGAGTACCCAATCATGTGCTCAACATCGCACCGCCACAGGAATAGAACACTTTTTGTAGAGATAAATAGCTTGCATTAAAGTCAATACTCCTCTCACACGTAGTCATATCCACCGACTTTCTCGGGGATCCCTGTCTGTGGTATTACATACATTGCCATTGGTACATGAAAACAGAAGCCCAAACAAAGCAAAAACGCCATTCGTAAATTCTTGATCTAGAACACCCACTCTAGTCCCGGCCTGGGGAGCCAAATCCATTGCTGCGCCCAGACGGAGTAGCCAGTCGCGGGGTTCTGGCAGTAGTATCAACCACATCGGAGTCAAAAGTCATACCATTCATCATGCGAGCATCCTCGTTCATAGGCTCGGGGGTAGTCGATCCCGCAGGAGAGGGCGACATCATCGAGCTTTCACCAGCATGGTACTGCTGCTGCTGGAGGTAAGAAGCCAGAGGATTAGGTCGGCTAACAGTGCTGCTTATGGAAGTCGGACGCGCCCCAGGACCTCCAGAGGACAAGCGGTTCAATCCCGCAGGACGAGAGGTCGGACCACTGATGGTACTGTTGGCGCCCTCGCCGAATCCAACAAGACTGGCATTGCCCTCGTCACTGACGTTGCCCACACTCGAGGTCCCATCATCCGGGTCGTGGTCTTCACTCATTTTGTCAGCGTCAAATGCATCGCTCCCACTCGCCCAGGTTGTACGGCCGCCAACGCTGCCCGTAGCGCTGGCGCTGCCAACTGTGCTTCGCTCCTTCAGGGCTTGGCTTTCGAAGTATCCTGGCGCATATGAGCTCGGCGCGTTGGACTGGCCGCCTGCGCGTGCAGTTGCGACCCGCTCGAGACCGGCTAGGCGGGAGATGCGATCTGCGCGCTCGGCTTCTAGAGTTGTGGTGGAGGATGTGGATGCAGAAGAGGACTGGTGTGCGTGGCCGCCGTGGGGGAATGGCTGGCCCTGGTGGCCGTCTTTGATGGCTGTGGTGGACAGCGCGGACAGGGAAGTGGTGCCCGAATTGGGAGTGCCTCTAACCAATCCATCACCCGGGTCAGTAAACAGAAATTCTAACTGGACGTAGAATAGAGATGAAAGTCTTACGGTCCCATATCGGACGGGGTGACGGGATCCGACGGGGGAGGAGGCAAGTTGATCAGCGTGGGAGTGGACATGGTTAATTCAAGAGTCTGGTGTCAGTCAGTAAGGTGAAGAAGCTAAGATGTCAAAAAGGCAAAGGTTGGGAAGTTGAGGAAAGACTGCGGGGAGGAATAAGCAAAATAATTGGACTCGACGTCATATTACCTGAATGGGCAAACGTCTATATCTTTGAAGGTCCTCAGATTGCTTTGGTATAGTTAGAATGATTGTTCATGTTCTACCTTTGTATGAACTTATATTGTAATTTCTTTGAAGATACAGGTTATGCACATGCATGTGCATCCGACGAAGATAGGTCGTACTGACTCACATTTCGCGTTGACGTTAACGTTAACTTACAGGTACATGTATCCATGTGGCAAGATAGTGTGCAACAATATCTTGTACCCAACACAAGACCAACACAAATCAATCCGAGGCGAATAAAGAGACTTCAAATTCAAGCCCAATACAAGCGGTGGCCATCTATTATAACGGCCCAACACTTCAGTGTAGATCCACAATCACTCAATATTCAGCCCTCTGCTCTACTCTAGACTCGGACTCAAGATTCAACATATTGCGGCTGAGCTCCCAAATCATATCAAATACAAAGTGAAGTTTCAGCCCTTGTAAAATGCGGCATGGCCAACCTTAATGTCAGAAAGTAAGCAGAATACGAGGCCAAAACGCTATATGACTTCGACTCGTCCTCCACTCTCCCTTGTACAACCAACAAACACCCACCTTAGCCAAGATGATGCGCAAAAAAGAAGCGTATACCCAAATCACACCCATCCCCTCCAACGTACCCCGCCAACTAGCCCTGGACATCCTCCACAGCCACAGCGAAATAATCACCCTGAACCCACTAGTCCTCTCGCACCGCCCGATCAAAGCGCCCCGAGATGCAGTCTCAGATGAGTACTACTCAACCTGGTACGAAATCACCGAACGAGTGCAATACCTGCCCGGCCTGGGAAAGATGGGCTCAGGCAAAATAAGCTTCAAAGGCTGTTTCCACGACGAAACTTGGGGTCTCAAGACTCACACATATGCACCGATGAGCATAGATCTGCAGAGCAAATGGCGCATTGCAGGCAACCAGCCTGACGAGCCGCCCGATCTGGAAGGGCGGGAACCGCGCTCAGCAGGTGCGCCTGCGAACGGACTTTATCTGCGCGAGGATGTTGAGATCTCGTGTAATTTGACGCTCATGTCATTTGTCAAGGGTCAGCTTAAGGCTGCGTCCAAGGTTCTTGTGGATCGGTTGATCAAGAAGGCTGAGTTACTTGATGAGGGTGCTTTGCAGGCTATGATGGAGGATGGCAAGTTGAGGACGTTTAATCCGGCTGATCGGTCGAGTTTGATGATGTCGCCTTCGGTTAGGTATTCGGATCGGGAGAGGAGGAGGTCGTCTCGGTGGTCTTCTCAAGCTTCTGAGTGTGACTATGACAATGAGCAGGAAAGTCAGGGAAGCCAGGGAAGCCAGGGAAGGGGCTCTGTGTCTGGGTGGAAGAAGTATTCTTTGTCGCCCCGATATAATCAGGAGCAGAAGGGCTTTATTGCGGAGTTGCCGGCTGATACATATCATCCACGGCCTAGTCCTGGGGTTGAGAAGTATTCTGAGTTGCCGAGTCCTGATATGCGGTTTTCTTCGAATCGATATGATGGGCATCCTGCTGAACTTCCTCAGTAAAGAGGGATTGGAAGAACTATAATGAGAAAGACGAAGGACCTTTATACCTGGTGGCGGAGTATGACTTGGAGTTCTGCTTTTTTATCATGATCATCTAGCATGCTACCTGTGTGATGTTTTCGGAGAAGGCTTTGAAGCTTTTGGTCATTCTATCTATGTATTGAAGCAATTGGATATAATTATGTTCCACGTTCAATATAGTAGGCATCACCAGCGGAATGGGAATGGCTGGTCACGTAAAAATGACTACTACTACTCCTCCATCCCATAAATGATAAATGCAATTCAGAGATTTAGCAGGCATTCTATTTGATCTGGGTTCCAGTTCAAGGGGTATTCTTATCCTGTAATGAAGTAGATGTGATATAGTTTTGAATATCGAAAAGTCGAAGATGTACAATATAGAAAGGAGGAGGAGGATGATCATGAAGAGAAAGCAAGAAGCAAATATATAGAACCAGCAGTGCACCAGTCAAATACCAAAATAACAATACGCCAACTTCATACAATCATTCATTCATGTATACAATCACCTATGCCACGCTATAAGAGAAAAACAAAGAGAATACAGTCCCGCTGTACCACTCTAATCCGAACCCATCACACATATCACTCAACCTTACGATTCTCATAATGACCCCTAAGATCATCCACCTCCTTCTGCAACTTAGTCAAATCAGCCAAGATATCCAAAGCATTAGAAGGCTGGGGCAGAGGTGCATTCTCATCGTTCTCATCGTTGACCCTCGACACAGATGGGCCATCACTACTACGAATAACCGAATCCCTCGTCCTCCTCGGCGGTGGTGGCGGAGGAGGAGGTCCAGAAGATGAACTGGACGGAACACTTCCATAAGAGGAAGCGCGCCGACCAGCTTTCAACGAGGGAGGTCTAGAGCTTGGCGAGCCCCATGAATTGAGAGAGACATCGCCTGTAGGAATTGCAGCCTGGAATTCCGCCGATGATGTTGGAGGAGGCATACTGATTCTCTTTGAAGCTAGGGATCGAGTTGGGCCGGGGCTTGGAGGGAGAGAGCTATTACTCTCCTGCTCTCGCTCCGAGTCGAATGAGGACATGGTTAGCCGGCTTGATTTTGATTGAGTGGATTTTGATCTTCGCATTTGACTGTGTCGTCGGCTGAGGGGTGGTGTTGGTGGTCGTTTCTGGGAGTGGCTACGTTGCAGGGAATCCGTTGATTCTGTTGCTGCCTGGTTCTCTGATACGGAGAAATAGTCTGCTGCCGAGGGTAGAGATACCGAGCTTGGATGGGCTGCGCCAGGCGTTGCCCTTTCTGTTGAGGAGCCATGGATTGATAGTCTGTTGGAGGATCTCGAGCGAGTATTCACTTGTGAAGAGTGTGCGTGTGTATCTGGATCTACATCACTCGCAGCCGTAGCCGAATGGCTAATCCGTTTCCCGTGATGAGACTTAGGCGGAGGCGGGGGCTTCTTCTCCCTCGTTCGGACAGTACTTTCCGGCCAGGGGGAGGATTGAGCCTCGGAGCGTAGAGAGCGCTGGGAGCGGTCTCGGGATGCGTCAGGGGCTACAGGTGCATCCCCTGATGCGGACCGGACATTGCGGTCTGCTGATATGGACGGCTGCGTGGAGGATGGCGTGGAGGATCCATCATCAGATGGAGCAGGGAGTGGAGCAGACCCAAAGAATTCACGGCGATCACCATGAGCTGAGCTCTTGGAGGCTGGTTCGCTGGCCTCGCTGTCACTTGCGGAGACGTCGGGGTTGAATGGGTTTTCGTCTGAGCTTGAGTCGTCTACCTCCAGCTCGAGGGATATGGATGACTTCCCCGGGTAGCCGTTTGCTATGGTGGGGGTGGATTGGGGAGGGTTGGGGTTGGCAGTCTGAGGATCTGCGGAATTGCCTGTTTTACAATTAGGGGTGTTTGGGATGAGAGTAAAGAGACTGACCCAGGTTTCTTGCGCGGAATGGATTTGACATCGCGAAGTGGATGAAGAGCGGAGAGAGGGGAGAGAGGGGAGCTCCCTGAGTTTCTTATCCATGAAGTTCCTACGCGCCGCGTTCCGATCGAACGTCCGGTGGCCCCGAGAGGCTACAACATTGAAACATTGAAATATGGAAACTCGAATGTCAATTTGAAAATCCCATATGGGTATGATACAGGTAAAAGAACGCTCTCTTTCTCTCTCTCGCTCTCTCTCTCTCTTCTTAATAAAATAATCTCCCCATCACCGCTCGTTATAGACATGCCATGTCTCTTCATCCTCGAAAAACTTATGTGCCAGACGCTTCCCGCTCTCCGTGGGCTGGCTGAATGCAATTTGTGCCTTGCTTATTTCCATTCCGTAAATAAAGTTGATCACCACGCAATCGAGGAGATCCAAGGCGATGCCTTTTCGCCGTGAGGATCCAGAGGTCCAGATACGAGATACTCCGACAATGGCCGGTCGTAGTTCGTCTCGCACAGAAACCGAGGAGCCATTTGCGCCATTCTGATCCGTTGCGACCGGGCGCGATTCCCAGATGCGCTCAGTCAGGCAGAGACCGACACAGCGACTGTCCTTCATATGCAGGAAAACCCGATAGCGATCTACTTTTTCGGTCGGGCCATCCTGCAGATGTTTGGGCGGCTCTGTTTGGCTCCAGAGTGTTTCGTCGTCAATTTCTGGTGACGAAAGTTCTTTGCTGACCACCTCGAGCACCTTCTTGGCTTGGTTCTTCGCGCTGGGGGACGCCTTGCGATCAACAATAACCACGTATCCTTCATCGAATCGCGTAGCTTCGTACACCCAGCGCGAGGCATTTGCGCGCATAAATGCCTTTCCCAGGTCGATTCCCGTAGCATTCATCTCGTGGAACTTTTTATGCAGCGCCGCGTCCTCGGTGTTGGAGGGGATATATTCCATCCCACAGGTGGCGCAAGTCTTCCGTGTGTCATTTCCCAGGTCAATCTGCATCTGGCGCATCACCGGCTTCTGCCCCTTCTTGGGCTCGACCGACGAGCGCACACTGTTCGAGTTGACCTCTGTCAGTGGAGACGCTGCATCCTTGTGCTTTCGCTTGAGAAAGGCAAATGTCGGCTTGCGAGTATTGGCTGGCGGGGGAGTTAATCGTGGAGGTGGCGACGAGGGTGGTGTTGTGAGATCGTCAATATCATCGAGCGTGCCTTCCGACAGCACAACGGAATTGCGACGCGACGGGCTGGACAGCACGGCCGCTGAAGATTCGCGTATGGCATATTGTAGGTTGGTCTCTGCCTCATCCGACTCATCTTGCACGCGTCTTTTCTTTGCAACGCGCTCGTCATCGTAGACGCGCCATGTTGGTCTTCCGTATGTTTTCATGAGGCCTCTGGGATGGGTTGGTTAGCTGTGGCGCATAGAATCAACCCGAAGAACATACCGCTTAAATGAATTGGTGACAGTCCACGGCATCCCTGCTTTTCCAAAATGGTCGCAAAGTGGGAGAAGTTGAGAAAGTTCCAGTTTAATCGGTGACGGCACGCGTGGGACGCTAGTCTGTTTTAGGTCATATTGTTTCGACTGCGACTACAGCCACTCACCTATCCCTTGCTGTCGACTTTGACTCTGCTGGTGTCTGATGTTTGGTGTCTGGAATCTGGGGTCTGGTCTCCAGTGGTCCGATGGGAGCTCACTGGTACAGGGCAGGAGTAAGGTGTTTATATGATCAACAGGTGGGGAGTTTAATAACCCTCTTTGCCACCTAAGCCGGGATTGTGGCCGGAATCATCAAGGAGAGCTGTAAATTTGTACAAAGTCAAGAGTGAATCTGTGAGAGTGATTGTATACACTTCCAGCCTCTCAAATTCCTCAAAATCCCCCCGTTGGCATGTTGGAGTGGCACGTCGGGCACCCCTTTCATGGGCCCAGGAACCAGTCAATCATAGCACATTATCTCGACCAATCGTACCATCGTGACACTCGATTGAAATTAAACATCCTCTCGAGAACCGCACGTTGGGTCTCCACTCACAGGCACCAACCTAGCATCCTTAGCAACCCACGACGTTATTTCCACCTAGACCGAAGCGCCAAACGGGTCACCAAGAGCGCTTTTATGCTGATTGGACCACAGCATGTGTGAGATCGAACATCACAGACAGTGATTGGTTTGACACGAGGCCAGGTTACGAGGTCTCATCACAGATTCCCTTGGCCTCTTGGCCCCCGGATTTTACTGTGCATGGGTATACAGCATAGAGTTCATACTTGACTAGTCTGCTATTTTCATGTAGCCACCTAGTCTACATCCTAGTCAGAAAAGGCTGGCAGATGCAGCCTTAGAGGCTGCTCTATTGCTTAGATGTAGCCTCGCATGGCGCCCTGGGGCTGATTTCGTATCACTTGATCCGAGCCCCCAGAAGACAGCCTTGTGCTGTAGGGAATAACCCTGGGGGAGGGGAGGACTATGGGAGACACCGGACTGATTGACCTCTGCCTCAACACTGCAGGATCTGTTACACATGCTCGTCATCTGGTCCAACTCCCAACTCCCGATGTGTCCATTTGCCTCGGAGAGTTTCGTGGGCGCCAAAGGCTGCAGGCTATGAGGTCTCTCACATCATCCTTTGTTTCTCCAGAAGTGAGGCCGTGAAGGGCTGTGAGATCCTAACGGTGGACAGCTGTTATCAGCAGCCTGCAGGGCTTTCCATAATCCAGGGTTGCTTATTTCATGTGGCATGTTGGTGCTTACTATGAGGTAGAGGCACAAGCCCTGGAGGGGCCATGTCGATCTTCCCCCGCCAGGCTCGGTGCGCTGCAGAAGATTGTCCAACGGTTCCTGGACTAGAATGTAGCGTAAGAGTACGGAGGAGGAATCTGGGGAGAATCCTAGATGAAGCGGCTATAGATTAGAGAGGACTGGAGAGTAAAGACATACACTTGTGATTCTTATCTCCATGAATATCCATATTAGGTCAGACTTCAGGTTTCAGTAGAAAGTCCCCGTTTCGGGGACTTTCTGCGAGTGTCTGCAGAAGCACGATGTACTGAGGGGAGGTATATAACACCGACGTCTGGTTCCGCTTTTCAGCGGATCTCCGACCGGACCCCCAAAATTCAACTAAAACTCTTCAACTCCCACCCCATCATCACAATGTCTGATTCAGCTCAAGCAGCAGGAAAGCGCAAGCGTGCGAGTGAGTGTCCTGGTTCTTCTGTTGTCTTTTTCCCCCGGTGGCGCCAATATGGCCATTCTGCGCCCCTCCGAGTTTTTCGATACCTGTTCGAAACCATGTCCAAGCCCTGAGATTGGTCCCCAGCTCCCTCAAGTTGTGACCGCAACTGCGGTGTGACATTGCTGGGCCAACCGTTCCTCCTTGCAGCCCTTTTTTTTTCTGTCCCTCCCGCTTCGCTACAGATTTATAGCCGACAAAATGTCTGACTCTTCTTCTCCAGGGACCCAGTCTTGTCCTCCTCCCGAGCTCCCCCAGCTCGTCGCAGAGCAGCATGTGGCTATTCCTACTCACGACAAGGACACCCAGCGCCTGATCGTGGTTCTTTCCAATGCCAGTCTGGAGACCTACCGCGCCGTTTCTAGCGGACGCAATGGATCCAAGGATGAGAAATACTCCCTGCTGAACAGCGATGAGCACATCGGTATCATGCGCAAGATGAACCGTGATATCAGTGAAGCTCGCCCAGATATCACCCACCAGGTATGAGTTGGCGATGCCATTGAAAAGTTTTGCCTCGACTAAACCTTATCAAGTGCCTCCTCACTCTTCTCGATTCTCCCGTTAACAAGGCCGGCCGCCTGCAAATTTTCATCCACACTGCCAAGGGTGTGCTGATCGAAGTCAACCCCTCCGTTCGCATTCCCCGTACCTTCAAGCGTTTCGCCGGTTTGATGGTCCAGCTGCTCCACCGTCTCTCCATCCGCTCCACCAACTCCCAGGAAAAGCTCCTCAAGGTCATCAAGAACCCCATCACCGACCACCTGCCCCCCAACTGCCGCAAGGTGACCATGAGTTTCGAGGCCCCCGTGGTCCGCACCAGGGACTACTTGGAGTCGCTGAACCCGAACGAGTCCGTTGCCATCTTCGTCGGTGCCATGGCCAAGGGCCACGATGACTTTGCCGACACCTTCAAGGACGAATCCATCAGTATCAGCAACTACAGTCTCAGTGCCAGTGTCGCCTGCAGCAAGTTCTGCCACGCCGCCGAAGAGGTCTGGGACATCCTGTGAGAGACTAGACTAAATTGCGCAGCTTGAAGCGCGCACCTTGCCGTTAGCGACGGCATTAGCCATGAGGCCACGAATTTTTTCTTACGGGCGGGGATTGAGTTGCATGACACACGCGTGCTATTTGCTGAGTGTAAAAGCCCATCTCTACCTTTCTCTCGGTTTTGTTTTTAAAGGAGATTCCAGTGTCGGGAATCACTTGACGGGACACCAAGCCTCGGGATATCGATCCCAGGTCGTTTTGGTTGGGGACTTGTGTCCTTGGGAGGCTTTCTTCTCCCCTGTCTCCGCATGACACGTTACGGGCTGGAGGGCATTTGGTTCCTTTTCGCCAGTCAGTCCTGATCCGTCTTCCATCCACAGGTTCAACCTCGACTGTGATGGGCAGATCAGAAAAAGTGAACAGCATATAGATCAGGACCCATTGACTTGGATCCTGAGCCAAGGCACATATCTTCAACTTCTGTGTTACAAATATAGCTATTTTATTCATTTTGTATGCGACGTGGCATGCAACTAGCGCCTCACTTTGGATGCACAAATGAGGGTCCGAGATGGGGGTAGTTGCAGTAGTGTGATTGTATTGTGTAATATTGTGGGAGTGTCCTCATGATTTCTTTCCTAAAGTAACCTGTCAATCCAATAATGTGTAAGTAAAGTAATCCTATCAAAATCAAGTAAATGCGTCAAGACAAGAATAGTGGCGGTCAGCACATCTGCCCAAATACAGACTGCCTGGATCGCTTCCTGGCCACTTCACCTCTCCACCAACCCACTTGAACTACTGCATCTTGACCAAGCGCCCCATCCGCCCTTAGACTCTGACCTGGCAGCCCTTTGATCCAGTCCTAGATTGGGCCTCTAACCAAACTCAGCAAATCGCCAATTTAGCGTCCGCTACAGCACACCTTGGGCCTTCACATCCGACACTACTCGCCTTGCTCTGGCTGTTTCTAGCCGTTTCAAGCTGCTGATCTCTCCGGCCATTCAGGACACCCGGTCGAAGCCAGTGATGGCTAATCAAATGTCCAAGATATACCCACCCCTGACTCCATCAAGAACTCTCCTGTCTTAAGGCCCACTGTCATCTCGGAGGGGCTGGTCTGTGGCTCGCCGTTCTGGGACGACTGCTGGCAAGTTCGTCCTTTGATTACCTTCGGGCAGGAAATCGGGGACACTGCGTGTGCCTTTACCGCGAATCTGGAGAGCTGTCGATGCTGACTGGCTGGCTGTAGGGGGTAGCTTCGGCCTCGTTTTTCCCCCCCCCCCTTGTCATAGTATAGACTGTTCTCTCACCGTATATATCCAGGCCCTCAAATCCCGGCTTTGGGTTAAATCCAACTTCCTTTCCATTTTCTACTCTTCTTCTCCCATATTCACCCCTGTCTCTCGCTTTCCCTTCCCACTATACGTCTTCGTACTTATACATCAACATGCCTGTTTCACATATCACCCTCACGGTCTCTCATCTGCCGACTTCTACGTCGTTCTTCCTATCTTGTCTTCAGCCTTTGGGCTATCAGTTCATTGGGAGACATGACGATTATATAGGTTTCGGGCAGAAGCAGGGGGAGCCTGCTGATTTCTGGATGACCGAACAGAAGCCCGGGTATGTATTTCCAAAGAGGCAAACATAGTTGAGCACAAGCTAACCCGAACTAGAGTCCCTCCTGGTGCAGTTCATGTCGCCTTCCCAGCCCCGTCAAGAGACGCCGTCGGCTCATTCTTCATCAGCGCCTTAAAGGCCGGTGGAAAGATACACGGCGAGCCCAAAGAACGGGATTCCCATACTGGGTATTTCAGCGCGGCAGTCATCGACTTCGACGGCAACAGCATTGAAGCCGTATACCGGCCGACCAGCAGTGGCTCATCAGTTGTCTCCGCCGCCAGCGGACCGACAATGGCTTTGCTGGAGAACAAAGACAGTCGGTCTGTGGTCTCCAAAGTGAGCAGCAAGGCCCCCTCTGTCAAGGCCGAGAGCGTTAAAGCAGAGAGCATCGCACCTCCAAGGTCTGAGGCCCATTCTCGCGCTGTTTCAAAGGCTCCTACTGCCATTGAGCGCTCTGCCCCAACTGTCGTGTCCCGGGCTCAGTCCCACGCACCTTCGCAGCAACAATATGCTCCCTCCCAACAACAATATGGGCTCCAAACGCCTCCGCAAACTCCCCCAAAGACCGATGATGGCAGCAAAGCAGCCAAAACAATTGTCGGCACTCTCATCGGTGCGGCAGCAGGTGCAGCTATCGCCTATGCAATGGTCAAGGGCGAGAATTCATCCAACACCGAGCAGCAAAGCCCCATGCAATATGTAACCAACTTTCCCCAGCTCAAGGCGGCACCCTCCCAAGCCTCTCACGAGGAAGAAGCGCCAGCTCCAAGCCAATTCCGAGCCTTGGAAGCGCCACCCCCGCGCAGCGAATACGGCCGCAGTGAATATGCCCGGAGTGAATATGCCCGAAGCCAATACACAGCAGCCTCAGCCCCGCGCACAACGCTCACGCGCAGCGTGACTTCCAAGAACCCGCGCGCAAGCACAATCTACGAAGGAACAGAGTTCATGCACGACGACCCCGGCCGCCGCGCCTCAGAGGGTAGCATCTACAGCATCCCCGAGGACCTCCCCTTCCGCGCAATCGAGTACCCACCCCCGAGCAACGCCTCGCAGCAGCGCTACCCCTGCAACCCATCGACTTTCATCAGCAGCTATGCAAATGACAAGCCCCGCAACAACTCTAGCGGCAGCATCCACAGCTCGTCAACCATCAAGGCCTCCCAGTCCAATGTGCAGCGTCGTCACAGCAGCGATGATAGAGACGAATACTCGACACACAGCAGCCACCACAGCCACCACAGCCAACAAACCGTCTACCGCGCAGCCTCCATCAAATCCGCCTCGATAGCCCCATCCTCGCACCGCGGCAGCCCACCCTCAGCAACAGGCACAGCAAAGGAACCAAGCATCGCCCCCTCAACCCGCTCAGCCCGCGACATCCCCCTGCCACAGGGCTCCCATACAACAACCTACAGCAGCCCAAGCATGCACAGCAAAGAAGGCGGCAGCACAGCCAAGAACTCCCACGTCTCAGCCCGCCAAATTCCCCTCCCACAAGGCTCAATCTCAACCTTCTACTCAAGCCCCAGCATCGCAAGCGATACCTACCACGGCGCCGGCGGCGAGGTAACCCGCACAGCAGACAAAACCTCTTATGTCTCCCTCTCCCCGCGAGACATCTTCCTGCCTGAATCCGTCATCGACGTCGACGTCAACTCGAACGTGACCCCCGATGACTCCATCTCTCAGGTTGGTGGCCATAGTCACGGTGGACGGTCGAGATCGAGACATTCGCACCATAGCCAGGCGCGTTCGCACCGTTCTCGCTCGCGCTCGCATCGCTCTTCGCATTCGCGCGCTTCGAAGAGGGAGCCTTCTGTTCATTCGAAGGCTGGTTCTAAGGTTGGATCGAAGGCTGGTTCGAAGTCTGGTTCGAAGTTCGATGAGCCTGTTAGACCGGCTGATTCTGTGAGTCAGGTCTCTAGGGCTTCGCAGCGGACTGCTAAGGCGCCTGAGAGTCGGAGGGGGAGTCAGGTTGTATGATCCTTGCATTTTTTGGTGACGGTCATGGTGATGATTAAGCTGATGTGATGATGATGTTGACGTTGATGTTGACGGTGCATTTCCCTCGCGTTGCATTTGCATTTCTTGCGTTCCTTTCGTTTCTTCTCTTCTTTTTCTTCTTCTTCTTCTTCTTCTTCTTCTTCTTCTTCATGGCATTGGTATACTCCCTTTCCTCGGGGTATATCATTTGCATTCTTCTACTGCATTAATTTGCACTTGCCTCTGGCATTTTGGACTGGATTTACTCTTTCTTCCCTTCCTTGATTTGACTTGACTCACCATGAATCAAGTCGAGTCCGAGTCTGAAGAGGTTGAAAAGTACAAATCCAGTTCGGGGATTTTTCGATACGACAGACCAGACCAGATTGATTCTATAAATTTGTTCTTTTTGTTTCATTACTGTTTTTGATTTGCATTTACACAGATAGAGACATACTATATTATACATACACATATCATATGGAGTTTTGGATTGGAAATTGAGAGGCATTTTCGATAAACAATCATCCTCTGACCTATGAGTGGATTCATCTTTATCCTTGTTGAATATACTATATAACCTTGTTAGGATGGATAATGTCAGTGATGAGGTTTTGGCCAGACTTGTGAAGGTGAAGATGACCCAAGATGTGGTAGCGAACTGCGAAGGGTTAGTGTGTTGATGTACTCAAAATGATACTGGCATCGAGCGGGATACAAGTTTTATTCCTCTTGGAGCCTAGGTAAAACAAAACACTGCTATAGTGACTATCTATGCGCTTCTGTTCTATTCCAGTGTGATAGAACTTTGTTCGTACGTCTAAACCTACTCGCAATAACGATCACCCTAGCCCGATATTCACAACCGAATTGATAAACCCTAAATTCAAATGCAATGCAACGCAATGAGTGCATGAATTGCACTATTCACCGCGCTATATCATCTCTCACCTCGTCCTCCACTGCAGCGAGGCCAAACCCGTTCCCGATGCCTACTCCGTTCTCAATTGATACTCTCGACGAGGGCATCTTAGTGTTAGAGAATGTGAGGAATATAATACGGCCCGATGAACACCCAATTGCTGCAGTTGTCCCAGACATGACAAAGAGAGCACGATTATCTGGTCGATACTCAGGAGGTAGCCAAAGAAGACTGACCCCATCATAGGTGATCCAGGACCTGTCATCATTCAATCCATACCCATGTTTCCTAGGCAAGGGCGTGACAAAGGTATTCGGCATTATGTCACGTAAGAGAATATCGAATTCGAATCCATAAGGATCAAGTAATCCATAGGATGCGTCTTGAGACACTGAGGTGCATCTCCCGGTAGCCAGATCCCAGATATTCACTATATTGTCAAAGCACGCTGAAGCCAGTCGACTTCCATCTTGAGACCAGGCAACTGACATAGCCAAACCACTATCAACCTCGAGCGTTGATATACACTGGCCAGTGCTCGGGTCCCAGATTTTGACCGTCTTATCCATGGATGTTGATGCAAGTCGACTTCCATCTTGTGACCAGGCAATCGATCCGATTTTGGGGCCCCTTTCAACCATTTGGGGGTAATGTTTGGTAGCTGTATCCCAGATCCTGATTGTCTTGTCCTCGGACCCTGATGCGAGTCGACTTCCGTCTTGCGACCAGGCAATTGAGTCAACTGTTCCTGTATGCCCTTCAAAAATTGACGCATCCTGGCCTTTCATTGCATCCCAAATCCTGACTGTAACATCTGCGGATCCTGATGCCAGTCGGCTTCCGTTCTGCAACCAGGCAATCGAGGAAACTACGTCAGTATGCCCGTCGAAAGTGAACACAATTTGGCCAGTAGTCGTATCCCAAACCCTGATTGTCTTGTCCCGGGACGCTGATGCGAGTCGGCTTCCATCTTTCGACCAGGCAAGTGACTCAACTAGATCGGTATGCCCCTTCAGCGTTAACTTGAAATGGCTGGTCAGATCCCATATGCTGACTGTGTTATCCATGGATGCCGATGCGAGTCGATTGTCATCTGGTGACCAAGCAATTGAGCCAGCCAGCTTGTTGTATCCCTCTACCGTAAATACACAGTGATAAGTGCTGAGATCCCAAACTTTGACTGTTCCATCTCTTGATCCCGATGCAAGATGGCGTTGTGACAAAGCAATCGAGATAACATGGCCAGTATGCCCTTCTAAAACTTGCTCGCACTGGCCAGTGGTAGTATCCCAGACTCTCAAGGTAGTATCAAAGGATGCTGAAACAAGCTTGTCTTCATCTGGCAGCCATGCAATTGATTTAACATGGCCCCCATGTCCATGGAGGGATCGTTTGCATTGACCGGTAACAGTATCCCAGATCTTGACGATGCTATCAGCCGCCCCTAATGCCAGCAGATGATGAGACCATGCAATTGAGCTGACTTCTCCAGCAGCCCCCTCGAGCGTTAAAATGCAGTGACCAGTGACGGGATCCCATATCTTAACCGTGTTGTCCCAGGACTTTGATGCGATTCGGCTTCCGTTTTGTGACCAAGCAATTGAACTGACTTCCCTAGTATGGCCCTCTAAGGTTTGTAAGCATGTACTCCAGCTCTTATCGGCTTCTAATTGGTTCATAATCCATCTTGGGCTTTGCTCTTCATAGCAAATTCTCGTGATGCTTTGAATTGGGCTGAAGATAAGAGGTGAACTGTAGACCTGAAGGGGGCTGCTTTCAATAGCAACCTTATTGTACTGAAGAAATCGAGCGGCGTCTGAAACTCGATGTAAAAGGTGTTGTGGCTCGCCAATTTGCTACTCCGCCATGCTCGTTAGCAAAATGGACGTTTTTCTAGATAGAAATTATGCATAAACACTCACCTGAAGTAAGCAGTCAAGCTTTACTATAGATGCTATGCCTTCAGGTATACGTCCTAGAATGCTCAAGGCTTCTAGCCAATGAAGGTAGTCACACCGTAAGAAGCGATCGAGTGAGCCACCATCTTGGAGGTCTTTGTCCAAAGTTTGGCTGGAGCAGCATGCATTCAGGTGTTCAATCCAGTGGACAACCCCATACCGTATTGCGGCCAGCGGATCTGGATTTGGCCTCTTGACCTGCCGAATCGGATATCCGGGGTCATTTATGCCGTAGATGTCACGTCGCAAGTTCATTTCCATGGCCTGTAGAGATTTCGAGAAAAGACTATAGTGCACATTCTCAAGGCCGCCAGGGTAGACCGAGTCAAATTTCGTTTGTAGGAGAAAGTCTTTGGCTGACTGGTGAACCAACGAGACTGTGTGTCCTTGAAGACTCAAGAAAGAACCGCAGTACCCTATAATTTCTTTAAGATCGCTGGCTTCATCCTCAGACAATTGAATATAAGACGGTATCTCACCCAATGTGAGAGGGCGGTAGACGCTCGTCGTGACATTCAGAAGAGACATGCAGATCTCAGCGTCTTCCGATTCGGTGATTTGGACCAACATTCGCTCGTAAAGCTCATTTAGGCTGGGAGGGAAGCCTCTCAACTTTTTCTCAACGTGTCTCTTCGGAACATTTGTAAGTTCCTTGCAAACCAAGGCTACCCAAAGAAAGGTGCCATTTGCATTTGAAATGAGATAGTCTTGGACACTGTCCCGTAGTCCGGTCATGTAGTTGTTGTTTTTTGCTAAGACATTGATCTTATGCCGGATGAAAGAGTCAACAGCAGCCGACAGAATGGCCTCGTTTTCAAGAATCAGTCGTGTTGGTTCTGCGTCGCGGAGGTCTCTCTCGATATTCGGCCAGTTGCGACTTGAGACTAGACACTTGATGTGCGAATTTGATGAGATCTCAACAAGAAAACTAAGAAGCTTTTCTAGATCTCTCGTGCACTCGTCAAGCGCGTCGATAATCAGGTAGGTTTCCTGCAACATCGGGTCTTTGAGGATATTAGCGAGAACTTTGCGTAATGCAAACCAGGCGTTTTCGCCTTCAAAGGGACCTTCGCCAACATGAATCTGGAGTGAGGGCTGCTGCTTTACAAGCATAGAGATGAGTCCTCGTAAGACTGCAGTAGCATTGTTGATGGCTGCGTGATTTTCTTGACAGAAGAAGAACGCGATGTTGGTGCCGTGTGTAGGTAATTCATTTATGATACCGCAAAGCAACATTGTCTTGCCCTTTCCAGGATCTCCCTTGATCCAGAGAATGCCACTGCCATGTATCCAGCTTTGGAATTGCTCATTTTCGAGCACCCAGCGGTACGAGTCATCGAGAAGACCACCTTTATCAGTCTCAATTCGATCTTTGTCGTCAAAAGGATTCGTGGACTTGAGATTTCTTAAGCATCGACGATACTCGGCAGCAGACATATGTTGCTCAAAGGCCTGAGCATGATTGGCGATGGCCACTAAGGTCTTGCGTGATCTCCGAGTTTCCTGTTGGAGCTTCTCAAGTTGTTGCAGACTCGCGCCGCTCAAAACCTTTTCGATGTTCTTATACAGAGTATGTTCTCTGTCCTTGATCAAATCCAATTGAGTGTTCCAGTTGTCGTAGTTTGCGACGTCCTTGACATATCTCTTGCTCGAGCTGCTATAAAATCTTAGCACGCTCTGCACTTGGAAGTCAATGAAGAGTTTGTATAGGTCTATCAAACTCTTCATGATTTCATCCTTCAAGCTGTCCGTCATGGACTTGGAGAGAAAATATAGCTCCATCTCAACATAGTAACGGACCTGTGAGCTAACATATCTAAGTCCCTCTTGATTATCAGCGTTGACGACAGCCGGATTCCTCAGGAAAACAAGGAGGATCGAAATGCCTGCCATCGCAACTGGCGCATAAGGGACATCCTTGAGTGCATCTCTGGCGTAGGCTTGGATCCAATCTACACCCTTGGCGAAATTTCCCACTGCGTCTCGTAGGCTCATCTTCTTTCCGAAGATTGTCATTTTGAGACTCCCGTCTTCGATGTGTTTCAGACCCAGCTCAGCTATCTGTTTTAGTTTCTCTCGACGGCCTGCCCCGTCATGCTGAGGGATCTGGTTTTTGACATCGTTGGTATGTGCCTCGCATTCTGATTCTGATGTCGAATTTTCCGTTGCTATATTGTGATATCAACACTACTGAGAAACAAGCATAGCTGTTTCTTGTCAAGTACATACCTTCAATAAGTACATGAAACAACAGGTTCTCATATGTAGACCACGCATCAGACTGTTCTAGTTTCAAAAGGTCATATGCTTTGTCCCAGAGAGAATCAGACTCAGTACCAGTGACTATGGTTTCTTCTGCTTGTATTCGAGTTGACGTGGGAGCACCTGTAGCCTGAGCCTCGGGGGTTTCCGCCTCTGTTTGGGAAGTCTTTTGGGGGGAGGTAGATATCTTATCAAAACAAAGTGGGTTCAACTGCTGGGTCCATGGGGCCGTAGGCGACGACCTTATATTGCCATTTGACCCTTTTTTTTTGGACGAGTTCCACCTGAAGAGCCCTTTCAATCGGGGTCTGATTGATTGTGTGCTGCTCATCGCAAGCTCGCTGTAAAGAGCAAGGCCCTTTTCAGTGTCCGAAGAAAATAATAGTATATATTCGAGTGTGTATTCGAGGGTGTGAAATCAACGTCAATTGATTGATATATTTTTGGAGGGAAGCAAGGCGTCGATTTGTACCTAAGCTCACCATATTATCGCGCCATTTCGCGTCGGTACCGCTATAGGCCGGATCAATCACGTTCAAAATTTCCAGCTAGGATGTAGGGTGATATGGACATGCATTAGTGCCATGATTTATATTTGGAAACGCGCCTAGGACCAATCATTTGTCGCTAAGGAAACGCAGGCAGCTGAAGAGATGGGGACGATGCTATGCATCCAGAACCGACCTGCCTAAAAGCGTCAAGACTTGAGACGTATGGGTTAGCTATTTGGGGACCAAAATGCAAGACGTTTATCGAGATCTACTATGTAGGGAGTGGTTGCCTAGTACAATTGGGGCATTGCCGTACCTTATAACCGACCATGTCGGCTATGGCACCTTTACCGCCATTTCCCAAGGGGCTCCGGGCCTATAATCAATTCAAATAGCCCGGAGCTATTACTATCTAGAAAGATTGGCGTGAAATGGCTGCTAGTTGAGTACTTTAGGGCTAGTGCGGGAATGACTTGACTGAACTACCACGATGCGGGGCCAAGCCTCCAATAATGTACTCAAAGAGTGATTGTTGCCTTTTGACCCAAAGACCTGTGTTTCAGAACACTTTCAGTCGAATCTTCACCGCCTTATAACACTTGCATTATTCAATATAAAGATCCCCACACCTACAATACAAGCTCAACTATTCACCCAGAATAGTAAATCAAGAAGAACAACTAAATGAGGTCCACGAGTTCAAAATATTGAGCCTATGTAGGGCCAAGCTTCAACGAGGTTAACGGGTCCACAGCTCAATGTAACCAACACGAAAGCGAGGCTGGGAGAAACAAGTCCATGATTTCTAGGGAGGAAATTGTAGGCACCCTTTGGTGATTTAACATTGAGTCGCTCACAGAGGCAATGGTCAAAAAAGAAACATGAGCCTTTCGTTGCGGATTGGAATATCCCCCAATGCACCACCAAGCCTCAAGTCAAGAGACCCGTGAAGAATTTGGCAGTGAGCCAACGTTCCTTAACCGACTCAGCATCACTTCCCTCAACACGGCTCTAATATGTCTCTCTCGGCGGGCACCTCGAGGTATCAAAAATGTCGCTGCAAGATGTCGCGGAAAAAGGAGATATGGGTTTCAACAGACCTCAATTAGGATAGATGCCCTTCAACGCTTGCTACCAAGCACGTATGTGGCAGAGGCCGAGAAGTCTATGGATACGTCCTCTACTCCCAGCAGTTTACTCTACAATTCAGTCACTTGAATACGCAATGTCTAGCAAGCCTTGTGTCTGAGGGACTTGGTAAGTTCTTCCTCTTTGACCCAATACTGAATTTCTACGCTACTGGAATTTGTAGAATACATCGTGGACCAGCAAGTCAGACAGTGCCTGTGAGAGATGTGATCCCAGCAGATCTGCTGTGCCAGCCGATCAAAGAGACAAGCTTTGGGTTGGCGGGTCCAAGTGTCTAAGCAAAAATCTCTCTCTATAGCAGTTGATTGAGCTGATGTACTATCCCGGCCCTAGATTTATCCCAAAAATGAAAGTGCGGCTGCTCACGCTGCAGGTATGTGAGCCTCTTCCCAGTCCTGTCTGAAACTGGACTGACTTCAAAGACGGGGACCAACCAGATCCGTAGACATTCGACCACAATAGACGAGCGTAAGGACCACGGCTCTTTGCCGTCTCGTCGTCCCTATTGTTGGCCACCAGCGTATATAAGTCATGAAATGTCTCGCCGATCTACAGCTAATGTTGGACAGTGCACCAGAGTGAGCTCATCAGAGAGGTCCCTAAGGATCCAGCACTACCGTCAGTGCCCTACACAAAGCCATGGCGTACACACTATTCCTGACCCCGTACGCTTCAATCCACGCAGCATGGTGAAGAACATACACCAGAGGAGCGGGCCAATAATAGGTGCAAATATTTGATTGCGAACTTTACTGCATGGAAGCTTGAGACGTCCATTCTTCTTGATAATGTGATTGATTTATCGCGCCTTCCGCTGCACTATATCATTTATTTGTGCAGTTTCTTGTGCTCCAAACAAGAACACCATTCCTGATTTCCATGCCATTATACATAGGAACAGCCCATCGCCAACCGTGAAACATCCTTGTGGGGAGTCAGTCCTATCGCCGGATCGGTGATAGGACTAAGGTAGCACTAGGAAGACACGTAGTAAACGCAAGTACCTCGGGCTCCAATCTCCAAGAGATGCGCGTAGTTGGCTGTCGAAGGCAGGAGGGTGCTATAAAAGCAGTTTTTTCCTGTTAGATTAATACAGCGATCACTCACAATATCTAACCAATTTTCCACGAGAAACAAGGGTCGACATGTCATTACAACAGGGGCCATGAAGCATTAGACAGTCTCTTTACGAACATCTCAAAACGAATGTACTATTTCATGCACTATCATTGCCTGAGCTTGGCCTCTTTTTTTATTTATTGTCGGTCATTTTCGAGAGCTTCGGGTTGATTATCTAGATCATTTAGAGGTGATATGAAGCCACTTAGCTACTATGAGGTACTGTGAGATACTAAGAGGTACAGTTGAAATTATCACCAAGGGACCTGCCTGGATTGTGCTACTCGTAGGAAAGAGATCGGGCCTTAGCACCTAGCACAAGCCACAGAAGACCTCACGATGACGAGTCCAAATCATCGGTAACTGCATCTAGCCTCCATCTTTATCGTTCAACCGCAGAATTCACCAACCCGAAGGAACCCGCAGAGCAGCACTGTAGAAAGAAGATATTTTTGGAAGCACACTCAATCCTTACGAGAAATCTCAGAACAGAAACCTTGAAAAAAAAAGATGCCATGCATGAAGAAGTTGGTCATAAGGATCGTTGGAGTATGACATTGGGTCCCGGATTTCTCAAACGCAACGAACATGAGACGTTAAATCCCCAAACTGCGCGGACACGCGCGCAGGAGGAAAACAAGCAAGCGCGATCACGGAGGAGAGACAGGCATTTAAATTTGAAGACATAGAAATGGTTCAAGATAGTGCAAGAAAAAGACAAGCAGAAGAAACGTTTCTACGACCACGGGGTACGCCAGGCTTTCGCGGGTTCTGAATCTGATTCTAACGTGGGTTGCGGGGCACAAGAACGGCGAAGCGGAAAGATGCAGAGCGACGAAGTTGGAAAAAGATCGAGAGGTATTTGTGTGGTCGAGTGGGAGGTCATAAGGGCCGCGGAGAAAGGTAGGAATGGAGGAGCGAAGAAAACATGATATTGGTTTGTCGTTTCAAATTCTCAAATAGCGTACTTGCGGGTCCATTCGCGGGCTGTCGACTCGTAGCGAAGGCGATCAGTCTTGTAGACGTGCGCAATTTCGGGAACGAGAGGGTCATCCGGGTTAGGGTCTGTGAGCATCGAGCAGATAGAGAGCAACACTAGAATATGTTAGTTTCGTGATGTAGATGTGTGGTAAGGCTAGGATACTCACCCTTGGAAATGGTGAGTGCAGGGCTCCATTGGTCCCTCAAGATATCCAGACAGATGCTGCCGTTGGAGTTGATGTTGGGGTGGTAGATGCGGGTAGTGAAGTTGACTTTGGGAGGCTTGAAGGGGTAGTCGGTAGGGAAGTGAATGGACAGGAAGAAGACACCGCCTGAGTATGGGGAGTCACCCTAAAGTGAACATTAGTACCGTGCGGCTGAGACTTGATCCCTCTGGGTTTGGTGGGGAGACAGATGGCCTCCCTCACCAGGGTCCCTAGAGAAGAACGAGAAGAAATGACTTACAGGACCCATAATTGTTGCTTGCCAGTGGAACTGTAGCAAAAAAAAACACCGTCAGTAATCCATGTCCATTTGTACCAATATCAGGCCACTGATCAGCAGGGCACACGTGCCCCGCCACAGCGCCAACGCCAACAAGCACCAGAATCGGATTTCATACCAGGTCCTCGCCAACAGGACCAGCGGAACAGGAGGAGGGGGGGGTCCCTGAACTTCAAAGTCAGTTCTGAATAGATCGCAAATCGTCATCTCTTGGGAAAGGCTTACCGGCCGAGGTCAGTGAGTTCCTTGTTAATGCGCTTGAGAGCCATGACGAGCAAAGAGAAAATAAAGTCAAAAAGAGGACTGGAAGAAGATTAGAAGTGTCGAAAAAGAAGAAGAAGAAGAAAGGGGAGGGACATACGATTACGTCTTTGTGTGGAAAAGAAAGAGAAAGAAGAGAAGATTGAGAGGGGGAAAAGTGGGCGGGTTTGACTCCTTACAATACCAATACCGCCACAAGATGACACATCCTGAATCATCCGAATTGGGCTATGCAACGTAGAAGTAGGCAGAAGAGTACGGAAATCCGGAATTAATTGATTATTCATGGATCGAGGCTCAGAAAATAGGGCTGAACTGGTGTCAGATTCAGATAAGGTTGAACCATTTATAAATATAATGTAAGCCGATCCTCAATATTCTACTGTATACATAAAGTAATTTTGATAGTAATCCCGATACCGTACGGTATATGCCCCTCGATGATGTCACGTGCAGGTGAGGCGCCAAATCCCGGCTTATATCAGACCGTATACTTCTTTCGTATCTAGACAAAGGCCTGCACACCAGTGATGGCACGGCCTAGAATCAATGCTGTTTCTATACATTAGTTTCTGCCCAACACATCAGGCTTGCATGACTTACCATGGATATCACTCTGGCCCTCGTATGTCTGCACTACGAAGAGATTGGCCACATGGCGCGCAATATGGTATTCATCGCTGGCAGCATTGCCACCAAAGACTTCTTGTAGACTAATAAAAGTGTTAACAATGTGTCAACCACCCATAGCTTGCCCAGGTGGAGCAGGAACGGGAACATACATTCTCGAGTTGGCCAAGGCCCGGTCACAGTTCTGACGCTTGACCATGGAGATCATCTCAGGTGTAGCCTTGCCAGCATCCTTAAGACGAGCCACTTGGACCGCAGCAAGGGTACCGTAGGCGGCATCCGTAGCAGCATCCGTCAGCTTCTTCTGGACAAGCTGGTACTTAGCCAATGGGTTGCCCTTGAACTGCTTGCGCTCAAGACTGTACTCGCGCGCACGGGCAAGACAATCCTCCAAAGCGCCCATGGCGCCAAAAGCAATGCCCAACCGGGCACTGTTCAAACAAGTAAATGGACCCTTCAGGCCCTCAACCTCGGGGAACATATTCTCCACCGGCACGGGGCAATCATCCATCTGGATCATACCAGTAATGGAAGCCCGCAGGGCAGTCTTATTCTTGATAGCAGGGGTGTCAAACGTACCCGGCGGGCAACGCGAGCGCTCAACAACGAATCCACGAATCTTACCCGTAGACTCAAGCTTAGCCCACACAAGGGCAAGGTCACAGATGGGCGAGTTGGTGATCCATGTCTTGCTACCGGACAGCAAGTACATGCCTTTCTGTGTGGGGTGTTCGCGTGCCACGGTCTCCATAGATCCAGGGTCGGAGCCGTGATTGGGCTCTGTCAGGCCGAAGCAGCCAGCCACCTGGCCCTTGGCCAAGCCAGGAAGGAATCGTTCTTTCTGCTCTTCTGTGCCGAACTCGTAGATGCCCGTCATGGCGAGTGAGCTCTGGACGGACATGCCTGACCTGTATCCTGAGTCCACGCGCTCCACTTCCTTTGTGATCAGACCGGATGCCACGGTGCTGACGCCGGCGCAGCCGTATCCTTCAATTGAGGCACCGAGGAGGCCCAGGTCACCCATCTCTTCCAGAATGCGCCGGTCATAGTCCTCGTTGCGGTAGGCCTCTGGGAAACACTGACGTCAGGTCACTATGTAGAAGCAAGGTGAGAAAAAGTACATACCCAACACCCGTGGCATGAGCTTGTCTTGGCAGTACTGGCGTGCTGTGTCTTGAACAGCTAGTTCTTCTTCTGTGAACAGCTCTGCCGCCTGCAGGGGATCCTCCCAGTTGAAGACGGCGGATGAGGCATATCGGCGGCCTGCCACGGAGGTAGGGCCAGCCTGGATTGAGCGCGCAGCAGCGCGAAGGATAGATCGATTCATCATGATCCAATATTATGTGAGGGTGTTTGTACAAGGAGAGTGTAAATTCAATAGACAATTGTTGCGGGGGAAGCTTCAAATATGCACTAACGGCGGAGAGACCTCGGCAATTTTGCAAGTTTGGGGTAAAGAAAATCACCGAGAACGGGGCCTGCGATTACATACTGTACACAATGAAGATTGTTGCACTCGGCTTGTAATGTAATTATTCGACGAGTCTGATTTGACAGATTCCCCGAGTAATTTGGTTGTTTGCCGACCGTTTCGGACTTTTTCGGTTTTCTTGCTTCGGTATGCCAAGCACCGAGGTGTATACTCCGTCAATTATGACCTCAATAATTGGCTGCTAAGTGTATATATATCCCAAGTCATCACCTCCGTGTTAATTAGGCCGTCATTATTATTTACAGGTTGTGGAACGATCAAGGGACATGGCAATAAGAAATGTCAGATCCAAGGCCAGCATATCACGCTGGCATCTGACTCTGGAGGAAGTCAAATACCCCCGTGGGGAAGTAATCCTCATCGAATCCCCACAAGTCCGCCATCATGGGATCCACCGAGCCCTCTGAGAGACCTGGCTCTTGCTTTTCGGGGCCTGGCGGCTCAAAGCCATTGCGGCGCTCAGCAGACAGCGGCGCAACCCCAAGTAACGGGGGTGGGTGATTCAATATTGTATCACGCTCGCCCAAAACCTGAGCTCCGGGAATAACCACTGGCTTGAAGAGGGATGAAGAGTCGTGGTGCGAGCTCATGGATTGTTGTGTCCCTGAGTTCCGCTTCTCCCATTCCTCAAGCCCAGTGAGCATCTTGCGGAGACCCCTTGCGATGTGGTGGCTGAGATGACGCTCACTTGCACGCTGACTGCATGAGACCATGAGCCCAACGACTCGTCCGACGAGGACACGCACGTAGCCAACATCGACGTGTAGTCCTGCCGAGGCGATTGAAGTCTGTTGGCCTTGGCTTCCTGGAATGGCCCCATTTGAGCAAACCTTCGCTGCAATTTTCAGCAGGAAGACTGCTGCAAATGTGATCATACTGTGTAAATACAGTGGGACGCCGACAAGAGCGCGCTGGATGTCTCGCTCGTCTAAACAGACTTGGAGAGTGGCAATGGCTGATTCAACAGCTAGGTTGGCACGCTTTCTGCGTTCGAATGACATTTGTCCTGAGGAGGTAGAGGAATGATATGTGCGAAGAGCAACTGAGTTCAGTTGCAGACGAGAGAAATGATAATGCATGTATACGGCCTTGTAGGGGTATGCACCGACGTAACGGCTCCCAGCTAAATTCAGTATCAGAATGTATGAACAGATATTCTTGAACACAAGACCACTCACCAAGTCTAGGAAGCCAAGCCGACTTCCAGTCCCCTATATCAAGATCAAACTGGTCGATCTTGGGAAAATCACTTTCGGGAACCTCCAAGTCAACGTCGGGTCCAAATGCAAAATATATACGGGTTAAAATTATAAACAAGTCGACTTGGCTGTGAAGTCGAAGGTCGCCTTGTGATACTGATGGTGTCTGCGTGAAGATATTGTGTTGAGTAACACTAGCATCTTCATGAATCATCGGTGGTCGACCATATGCAATAGAAAAATGATGTTCCAATGTCTGAAATTCGTTAGCGAGAGTCAACGTTTGGCTCCAAGGGCACTTACGTAGAGTAGATACCACAGCCTTGCCTGTTCAATGTGTTCTGGTGACCCTTGTACGGCCTTGCGGTAAAATTGATGCAGATTACGTTCGGTTGCAATACGAACTGCATAACCAGAAAGCTTCCAACTTACATCCGCAAGCCAGAAAGCTCCGATACATAGGGCGCGGATATCATCCATTGTATGATGATGACCTAGCATGGATTCCGATGCTAGCTTTGCAAATTCGGTGTAACAAGTATCGAATGTGCGTTCTTTGGTTGGCATGTGAAGTGCAGTAACAGCCAGAATGGCAGCAGACAGCATTGATGATGACCGTCGAACGGATGTCAAGTCTTTATGTGCCAATAATGCTCCATCCCATAGATATCGGTTGAGTACCTGATCAAACTGAAGGAACAGCTCCTCGGCTTCTTGGATATTCACCACACCCCGCGAGATGAAATCAGTGACCAATGCCTGATCTGGTGCAATATTTTGTCCTGGTGAGCTCTCGCGGTTCTCGCTCAGTTGTGTCACCTCGTATAGACTCCCCATTGGCGCTGTAACCAAAGAAGTTGCGCCGGTTTCCTCTCGGTCAAGAGAGTATTGTGGCTGCTGCTGTGAGAAACTATATTTTGATGGTCTCGAAATTAGAGCTTGACGAGCAGAATCTCCAACCGACTCCGTCCGATTGTGCTGTGCATTATCGTCGGTCGAAACGGTGGAATCTTTTCGGTTCCTCTTCTTCGAAGGTGTTTCAATCGAATTACCGCCGGCTTGGTAATATGATAGCTCCGGTAGCTGAGACTTTCTGAGTAGGTCCGTCATCGCTGATTCAATCATGGTTTTCCACCTAAACAGCCACCGGCGCAATTAGTAGGTGGCAGCTCTTAACCGGGCCATATGGCACTCACTCGGCTTCATCCTCTAGTAACGTTTGAAGGCTTTTGTTTACAACACATTCTAATCCCATGCGCCGACACCTTGAGCACACCGTGTCCGATGCTTTCATGTCACATCGAACCTTGTGCCGCTTACACTCCGTGCATGCTCGTATCCGTCGAGAAATCTTCGGGACATGAGGCCGCGAGTGGTCCTCGGGCGTGAAGCCCTGTGGAGAAGCGGACGAGGCCTCGCCATTGGCCTCGAAGTTGGTGCGATTCCGCTTCATAGTAAAGTTGAGGTCCTCCGCATGGCGCATTCCGGGGAGAAAGGCGGGGTCGCATGAAGGCGCCTGGGCTCGAATTACTCACTGTTCAGCCTGAGGCAGCCATGCGTAAGGCAGTAAGGCATAAAAGAAGATGCAAGTCACATGATTGTTATTCGCGCTATTCCCCTTGTGGCTTAATGGTGTCGCGCTCTCCAGCGCGTTCGCGTACTGCGGTGTTAAAGCTCAGCCTGGGTCCTCATTCCATCTTGACCAAGACAACTCAAGCCCACCACCGACATGGGTATTAAGCGTGAGTGGCTCCGTTTCGGGCGTCACTTGATCTATGCTAATGAACGTCAGATCTCTACCAAGTTATCTCCGAGAATGCCCCCGATGCGATCAAGACGGGCGAGATCAAGAACCACTTCGGCCGCAAGGTCGCAATTGTATGATTTCCATGCCATTTACTTGAAATAAATTTGTATTGAGCAAAAGCTGACTTGTGATTTCTTGTTAGGATGCGTACGTCATTGGTTCACCATCACGATAGCTCGACAGTCGCTAACCCAACACAGGTCCATGAGTATCTACAGTTTCTTGATTGCCGTCCGATCAGAGGGCCAGCAGCTGATGAGCGAGTCGGGTGAGACAACATCTCACCTGATGGGAATGTTCTACCGTACACTGCGCATGGTGGACAACGGCATCAAGCCTCTCTACGTTTTCGACGGTGCCCCGCCAAAGCTCAAGTCCGGCGAATTGGCAAAGCGTGTGGCACGCAAGGCTGAAGCTACCGAGGCTCACGAGGAGGCTAAGGAGACCGGAACTGCGGAGGATATTGAAAAGTTCTCGCGACGAACTGTTCGTGTTACTCGCGAACACAATGCTGAGTGCAAGAAGCTTCTTAAGCTTATGGGAATTCCCTACATTGATGCGCCTACAGAGGCCGAAGCTCAATGTGCTGTCTTGGCCCGTGCTGGTAAGGTGTATGGAGCTGCATCGGAGGATATGGATACCTTGTGCTTTGAGGCGCCTATTCTCCTGCGCCATCTTACTTTCAGTGAGCAGCGAAAGGAGCCTATCCAGGAGATTCACTTGAGCCGGGTTCTGGAGGGGTTGAACATGGATCGCCCACAGGTACATTCCCAGTCAACATATAAGATATCACATTTATTGACTATGATCCCAGTTCATCGATCTCTGCATTCTTTTGGGATGTGACTACCTGGAGCCCATTCCCAAGGTTGGACCCAGCACTGCCCTCAATCTGATCAAGGAACACAAAACACTGGAGAAGGTTCTAGAATACATGAAGAACGACCCCAAGAAGAAATACGTGGTCCCCGAGGACTGGCCCTACCAAGATGCTCGTGACCTATTTGTCAGCCCAGACGTCCGAGCTGCCGACCACCCAGACTGTGATTTCAAGTGGGAAGCGCCTAACATTGACGGTCTGATAGAGTTCCTGGTAACAGACAAGGGCTTCAACGAGGACCGTGTACGCAACGGCGCAGCACGTCTGTCAAAGCATCTCAAGACCGCTCAGCAGTCCCGGCTCGAGGGATTCTTCAAGCCTGTCGCCCGCACCGATGACGAAAAGGCCAATCTCAAGCGCAAGCACGATGAGAAGCTGCAGGAGCAGAAGAAGCGCAAGAAGGACGATGCCAAGGCTAAAAAGGACGCCAAGTCTAAGCCTCGTGGTGCGGGCTAGGCTGTGATACGAAAAATTCCTCACTATGTTGTCATACCTGATCGTTTGTCAAAGGATGTGATATCGCTACAAAACTTACTGATCTAACATGAGCTGGGCTGGCGTGGGCGTTCTGTGGTTTGTTTTTTAATGCATTGTCTTCGCTTTGGCTGTGGAGATTCCCGTTTCACGGATCGAAAAGTATGGAAGTCCTGTGTATCATAAGCTCTCTTCATATTTGATTTTCAAAGAGACATGAAATAGTTGACTTCATTGTCTCTTTTGTCTTGATGACATTTTCTAACTTTTTGGATACTGAGATCAGACAACAAGGAACAATATCATGGTATCGCCTTTTGCCTGATCCTCAACGCCATGAGAGAGTAAAAGACCAAAACAACTCTTCACTTGCTAATGAATCAAGTTTCAATGCCAGTATCTCAATCAAATTTCTTATCGCACGATGTGGTGCAACAATCGCAGGGGATGAACACCCAGCACGAACGTATGGGCCGGGGCCCAGCTTAGCGAGAAGAATCCAACCACAGCCCAAAACAACGACTGATCTCCGCAACCAAAGCAACAACAGTCTGTAAAAGAACATAAATACATAAGCAACATCTACAATAGTCAGATCCCACCCTTACAAAACGCAAGCCGAGCCCATGTAGTGCAAGATCAGCGACCAACCAAAGCCAACCCTTGATTCGACCCGCCGAATGCGGATGCAGAATAATGCAGTCATTCCTGATCTCTATCGACCCAACACCCTGATGAACCAATAATCGGGTGCATGGCCTAGCTAATCATACCGTGTACTTAGCCGAAAGGGGAATATTTAGTATTACTTGGCTTTTTGGTGGGTTGGAAATGGGTCTAAACGTGTTCGCGGGATTGGGGGCTAGATCTATACTTGTGATGGGTTACGCTCCGAAAAGGGGGAGCTGTGGCCTTATTGCAAAACTTGGAACGCTGGAAACTTGCAACAGCGGGGATTTGATCGGGCTTTGGGGGCTTTGCTTATTGGTTCTTTGCTTGCTGATCTTGGGGATCGTGTGTGGCGTCGGTGTTTTCCCCCTTCTCTGCGTGCTGGATATATATCGCGTGCCATCATTTTTTTTTTTCGGTGTGTTTTATTTTGGAGTTGTTCATAATTTGTATGAATCATAATGAGAGTACTTGTAATCACGAAAAATAAAAAATAAAACCAATATAGATATATAATCTAGCCCTATGTCGATTGTATCACATACTATCAGTTTCTATGTCGTAGTTGAAACCCTGCTGTTTCAGTCTCGGGGAAACAAGAGGTCGAAGAGAATCAAGTTACTGCCGCATGAAAAGAGACGGGAATCTCACAAATGATACTCATCGCAAGATCAGAGCACGTAGGTTTCCCGGTGTGTTGATATAGAGTAGTTCACATGACACGCCCAAATGAGAACCGTTATGCCCCGTGATCCACCTCAACTTCTATACATTTGCCACCAGGCACCAAGTCTACACATCATTGAGTCACTCTCCCGTATCGGTCCGTGGAAATTGACAAGTCACCAGGTGTTCACAAAACGGTTCACTTTCGGGATCTCCCACGGGCACGAGGATGCAGGTCCCCAGCAAGGGAGGGTAAGCTTCGATGACTTCGGCAGCTGCACATCACAGCATGGAGATCTGCACCAAAGGTGCAGCCCTTGAACACAGTAGCCCAATTATACAGCACAAAGTTACATGTATACGTGAGTATATGCCGAGTCTGTCGTGTTCCTTTCGCAAGCGTCCAGGCTCCATGAATTCCATAGAGGATCGCCAGATCCGGCTAGAAAAGAGGGATAGAACGATCACCCCGGATGGCATTGGAATGTGTCCATCTCCAACCCCTGGAGATATGCAGACATGCACCTGGCGCCGAAAATGAGGCATATATGCGCGATTTCCACTGAGGGGAAGACGCGAGACTCTTGACCATGATCGCTCTACATGTACGATATTAAAATCATTGATTTTGTACCTGTGGACTTGTGAGTCCAGAATTAGAACCAAAGTCTACAAAGCCTCAGAGTATCTTCATTTTAGCCTTTAGTATAGGGGAATGTACAGTCAAAGTACATCGACAATTGAACGCGATCTGGGCAGAGACAACAACTCAAGGTAACAGAACTCCAAGCAAAACAACTAGAAGAAGAAACATCCAAGACAAGGAAGAGAAATTAGAAAGAAGAGAAAGAGAAAGTAAGTTAGTGCTTTTTTTTTCTGATCTTGTGTCAACACCGGTCGCCTATAAATCGCGGATGCCCCGCGGCCTTCTTCCCTTTCCCTTCTCTTTTTCCCTCCTACCACCACGAATTCAGATTCATTAATCATTCTCTCGATCCTCAAGCTCGACCTTCTTCTCTTTGAACAGCTTCCACATCTCTTCAATCATGCCTCCCAAGAAGTCTACCGGCGCGTCCAAGAAGGCGGCGCCTGCTGTCCACACCTCTTACCGCGGTAAGTTTCCTCTGATCCTGCTTTCGCATCACATCGCGTAAACGCGATTTGTGCATCATTATAGTCGCGAATGACTGCTGATTCGAATGATATAGATATGATCAAGGATGCCATTGTGAACGTGAGTTGATCACTGCCGGCGCGAGCCACCCTGGTTGTTGTGATTGTCGCGCCCGACCGTGACACGTCTTTGCCTTTGGGCATGGTCAGCCACAATACCGAAGGCTTTTGTTTTTATTTGTTGCCTTTGCTTACTGACTGGTCTTTCTGTCTGCAGCTCAAGGAGCGCAATGGTAGCAGGTATGTTTCTTGTGTTTCACCTCGCGGTCGCCGGTACCTCTGATGGTATCGGCGGCCCGGATTATCAACCCCAGAACATGAAACTGACCGTTCTACTCTTATAGTCGCCAGGCGATCAAGAAGTACGTCTCGGCCAACAACGACATTCATGTTATGTCCCCGGGCATCTTCGATGCTCAGTTCAACAAGGCCATCAAAGGCGGCGTTGAGAAGGGTGAATTCACTCAGCCCAAGGGTATGTTTAACTTCAAATTTACGCTCTTTTCTACTCACGATGCTTTCCAATGCGCTTAAATATCACATGACTGGTCGGCTGACGCGTCGCTCTCTAGGTCCCTCTGGCCCCGTGAAGCTCGCTAAGAAGGAGCCTGCAACCAAGGCCCCTGCTAAGCCCGCGGCCAAGCCTGCCGCGAAGCCTGCTGCTAAGGCTGCTGCTGAGCCCGCTGCTAAGGCTGCCAAGGTAAGATCTATTAATTTTGTATTTGCTTCTCATGCTAATTGTCATTGAAGGCCACCAAAGCCACCACCAAGAAGGCTGCTCCCAAGAAGGCTGATACTAAGACTGCCGCCACCAAGAAGACCGCCACCAAGAAGGCTGCTACCAAGAAGACTGCTACCAAGGCTGCTGCTAAGCCTAAGGCTAACTCTGGCAAGGCCCGCAAGACTCCCGTTTCCGTACGTACCTCTTGGATGCCCCGCGCACCCCTTGATCGACAGTTCACTAACACGCATTCCAGGCTCCTGCTATCGTTGAGCAGCCCAAGATCCTGAGCACGACCAAATCTGGCCGTGTCACCAAGACTACTGCTCCTCCGCCTGCCAAAACAGGCCGTGCGGCTCCCAAGAAGCGGGTCACCAAGAAATAGAGGAGATAACCTCCTTTTCACCAAGCCCTCCCTTTATTTTCACGAGCGCATTTCCAGGGAGGGCATTGGGTATTCTTTTGTCCTTCTCCTGTAATTTCTTTCTGTCGATCTTTTGATCTCTTCGCGGGTCTGACAGTCTCCTTTTTTTTTTTTGTTTCTTTTGGGATATCTTATGATGGCTCTCTTTTTTTCCAAAGTCAAATGGATGGCGTCCTGCGGTGGGGTTTGCAATGGGGAACTACGGTCTTTTTTGTTCGAATCATGTGCTTGAGTTTGTGAATTGGATCTTGGATCTTCTACTGTCAGGGTCCGGTAGAGTGTAGATCGCGTATCCTGGACCGCGTTCAAGTAAACAAACCGTAGATCGGCTCCACGATCTATTTTGGTTTGACACCTGTCTTTTAATCTGGGTTTACAAGTCTTTTATGTCAAGTCATTAATCTGCTATATTCTCATCTTATAATATGAGACACGGTTGTACGAATCGTTTCATCTATATCAGATCAATTCCAAACCCCGCACAAATCGTCTTCATCCAGTACAAGAAAAGCAAAGACAAACAAAGCAAAGAAGCCTGGGAAAACAGCCTAATAGGGGGGAGGGTCAAAGTGTCATCCAGCCCTGTCGTAGCCAAGCGTTCCAGCCCATGAGGATATTACGCCCAATCTCCGATCTCCCGACCGAAATACCGTGCCACACATTATACACATGATACTGGCATGGATACATACAGTACGAAACACTCGGTCCCTGTGGCTTAGCCTATACTTACCAATCACTACACACTAAGGACGGAGACCGACTGTATATGAACAGCCGTCCGACTGTGGAGACTTTCCCCTGTGGCGTAGCGCGGAATATGATTTCACCATGAGGCACTATTTTTGGCATTTTGTTTTGATTCCGCAGTTCGTAGGTAGGATGAGTAGTAGAAGGAGGATCGAGAGTCCTGTGTAGTTAGATATGTGCTCTGCGGTGGAGGCATGTTCGTCTTATCTTTGGCGTTGTGATGCTACGCTATACTAGGGGTCCGGGTCAGGGACAGCCGATTGTGGGATGCTATTGGTTCCCTGCGTATCATTGAGAGACTCGGATGTAGTAGACCTGGAATGTAGACCGTATATAACTCTGTAGCTAAAGCGTGCATAAACATGATGACGTTCGTACTTGGATAGACCCGGCTGTTCGACACCGCCGATCTCCTTGCATGGGAGGGGTAGGGACACATGGTCCAATGGTAATAGTTCAATAGTTAGCAGTAGCAGTAGCAGTAGCAGTAGCAGTAGTAGTAGTTGGGAGAATAAAGAGCACAGAGTACTGTAGTATAGATATTACCATAAAGAGTGAGGAAGTCAAAGGGGAATTCGAATTTTATGCAGCAGCCTGATACCAGCCTCCACCCTGGCACAACTTAAGAAAATAGGAGACTGACAGAGAGTCCCTGAATATGAAAGAGAATATAGGTAATTTGTACTCTGTACAGAATTAAAACAGAGATACTGTAGCTGAACTGTGGATACAGGTATTACGACACGCACGTCTTTTCGCCCCGACAACCATCTTCTCTTCCTTACCCTTTCCCCCCCATATTCTCCCCCCCCCATCTTCCCCTAATTCTTTGTCCCCCTGCGCATGGTCTTGATCATGTTTATTGGTTAAGCACCTTTGCCTTGAGCAGGCACACACACACTCTCTCTCCAACCTCTTTGGATCCCAGTCTGGTTCACAACTTCCCTGGTCCGCCCAATAGTCTCGGGGTTGTCCACGCAGGGCTCACGTCACTTCTTTGCAAAACGCAGCCATGCCATCCTTTAACGACGTCTCATATCAAACATCTACTGCCACTGCCACCCACCCTCGTTCCTTCGACTCCCCCCGAAAGTCGCACGACAAAAACTCCGTCGGAAACACCTTCCTGTGGACCAACTATCCCGACGCGAATCACGACTCCCTCCAGAATGACCGATCCCTTCTGACCGATTTCAAGAACGGCAGTGCATACTCTCTGAATGGCCCTCGGTCGAGTGTCAGCTCATTCACGCGCGATCCGCCACTCTCCAAGGACGGCAGCATGCACTCGGTAGGCAATGGGCCCGCCAATCCCCGTGAGACCAGCCGGCCCTCCATGGTGGACCGGAAACCTTCAGATGCTGGGCCGGGAGCAGGCTCTACGACAGCATCACCCAGTCAACAGACCAATGGCAATGGGAACTATCGCCCTTTCCCCGGGAAGCTGATGGTCAACGGGGACTCACACCGACCCTCCACGGATGAAACTTCCATCTCACCCTCCGCGTCGCTATTACAGATCCCGCAACCCGACGAAACCGGTCGTCACTCCTCCGATACCGATCGTTTGAACTCGACGAGGCCTGGCGGTCAGCGCCACTCCTCTCCTCCCGCCCCGGCAATCCTCGACGGTAGTCCTATTCCCGAGTCGCAGGGCTCTAGTATGCGCCACCGACATTCGTTACAAGTCCCGAGGGTGCCTAGTGTTCGTCGGGATAGCCGGGAACTTAGCGACGATGCCGCTTACAGCACCGGCCGGATGTCTCCCACCTCCGGCTTCCGACGCACATCCGTTAGTTTGATGCGAAGAGCGACAAAAACTACCCAGCCAGATAATGCTGTGGATGAGGCGCCTCCAGATGAAGATGCCGCTCGATGGGCCGAGGCTATTAAACAAAAGCGTGCATCGCGACGCCGGCGCGAAGAGGAGGACGACGAGCGGGTGATTGTCGGAACCAAGGTCGACCAGAACCACGTCAACTATGTGACTGCATACAACATGTTGACGGGTATTCGCTTCACGGTTTCGAGGATCAACGCCAAGATGGACCGGGAACTCACTTCCGCGGACTTCGACGCCAAACACAAATTCTCTTTTGACATGTATGTGTAATTCTTCATTGACTTGAACCTGACTAACATTAGCAGTACTGGAAACGAACTGATTCCTTCCGCGAAATACGATTTCAAGTTCAAGGACTATGCACCTTGGGTTTTCCGACACCTTCGCGCCAAATTCCGTCTCGATCCCGCCGATTATCTCATGTCCCTTACCAGCAAGTACATTCTGTCCGAACTTGGCTCTCCCGGCAAAAGTGGAAGCTTCTTCTACTTCTCGCGCGACTACAAATACATTATCAAGACCATTCACCATTCCGAGCACAAGCTTCTTCGGAAGATTCTCCCCGAGTATTATCGACATGTGGAGAACAACCCGGATACTTTGATCTCGCAATTCTACGGACTACACCGAGTTAAAATGGCCTATGGACGTAAGATTCACTTCGTCGTGATGAACAACTTGTTCCCGCCACACCGAGACATTCACCAGACATTCGATCTGAAGGGATCGACTATCGGCCGTGATTTGCACGAAGCTGATCTCGAGAGAAACCCGCGAGCCACCATGAAGGACTTGAACTGGGTTCGTCGGAACCGTCATATTGAGGTTGGCCCGACGAAACGTGAGAAGTTCATTGAACAACTCAAGCGTGATGTTGTGTTGCTCCAAAAACTCAAGATTATGGATTATTCCTTATTAGTAGGAATCCACGATGCAGCGAGGGGGAACGAGGAGAAACTGCGTGATAAGACATTGCAAGTTTTTCAACCGGGAGGTGACCGCGAAGAAGATACAACTCCAAACTCGCTGATGCGCACTCCATCGAAACTGGAGAATGAGCGCAAGGCCCGGGAACTTCGCATGCTCATCAAGCGGGAGCGCCCCGTTCCCCTGGATAAAGCCGCGGCAAAGATGCCGGAAGAACTCCTTGACCAACGGACACACTTCTTTTACGCTGAGGACGGAGGTTTCCGAGCTACCCATGAGAATGACCTTCCTGGTGAGGAGGTTTACTACCTCGGTATTATTGACTGTCTGACCCATGTAAGTATTGCGTTTCGAATGGATAAATCACAGCTGACATGCTTCATAGTACGGAACCATTAAGAAGATTGAGAACTTCTTCAAAGGTCTCTCGAATGACCGCACACAAATCTCTCCAATTGCCCCAGAAGGCTACGGAGAGCGCTTCATTAATTTCATCAAGGGCATCACAATGTCCAGAGAAGAAGCCGAACGAAAACAAGAAGCTCAACAAGCCTCAGCTGCAGCTCAAATATCAACTGAAAAGCGACACTCAAGGTCTTCTTCTGTGGAACGGACCATGCAGGCAGCAGAGAAGGAAGCATCGAAAGATGTTTCTATCACCCATCCCCGCACATTAGCCACAGTCCGGGACCCTGCGGATGCAGCAGGCCCTGGCCCAACATCGACTCTTCCCATAGTTGATGAAGCCGGCGAGGCAAGCAGCGTCGGTGGCCACAGCTCTCACAGCCGGAACGGTCCTCCCGCGTCTGACAAGGCACTCCCTCCTGTTCCTAACGATGCTCCCCCACCACTACCAAGCAAGGGCAAGGAACCTGTCCGGGCCAACCTTCTGACTCCGACAAGTCCAGCCCGTCGTTGATTGTGATGTCTTTACTGCATTTATAGAGACATCTTCGACGTGCGCTTTCTTTTCGTCTGTTCATCTGATTTTTTGTATTCAGCGAGATATCCCCCCTGTTGCTCTTGATAGATGTCACTATTTCATTTTCTCAGCATGGGTCTGCGCGAGGCATCTCATTCCGCTTTGTCCTTTTCCCTCTAACTCTCCATCTCCCCTTTCGCAAGAAACTGATGCTCACGAGTTACATGTGTATAATTTTCTTGATTGTTGAGCGACTCATCCCGTCCCTTCGTGTTGTCTGCCTTTTTGAGACTCGATCTGGTGTTGTGTTGCTAAGCTGATGCCAAAGCTCATCACCACACTGGCTCTTCCCCCTGACTAGAGCTTTGCTTTAATCTGCTAACAAGATCATGTACCTCCATCAATGGATGTATAGATCTCCCTTTCGTTAATTACCCGAACATACCACACCACACTCTATATCATATTCAACCCCAATCCAACTACTGTCTTTCTACCACCGGTGCCACCATTCACATTCACACAAGACATATCAGTCTCCTTTACCAACACAATTTCTTTTTATTCTATTTCCGGGATCAGTCCTCAAAACAACAGAGACAACTCAATATCACCTGCCCAAAAAGCCAATACAAAGCCGTTCCATTCAAGAACGCAATTTTCCTTTATCGTCTCTGTACCCCCTGCCCCTTTTATTTCCCATTTGCCCCTTTGTTTATCGTCCTTTTGTTGCTGCCTTACTTGAACCTGCCTTGTCCTTGATCGAGTCTCTCTCTCAAACCATACCCTGTACCAATCAAATCACTATACCACATGTTTCGTCGAGATTTTCGCTTTCTTTCCTATGTGTCTTTTGAGATCCTTGCTAGCAGAATTCAGTATGTTCGCTTTTTATTGGGATTTGTTCTTTCTGAGGTTGTGTGTTCTATCTATGTAGGTTTGGTGCGTAGAGGAGAAGGTAGAGGTAACTCTACTGGTCTTATACAGATCTTTCCCAGCAAGTGATATAACCGTCTGTATCTACACTTTCATCGATCTACCCTATCAACTTTCATCTCAGCTGCAGGACATGCATGCTGCTAGTCTTGGTAAAGAAATAGAAACCACTAGCCCTACAGGTAAAAAGAGTGAAAAAGAAGCCAGATAGGCAAATTCATCATTCAAAAACAATGGGAAGAAAGTGTCAAAAAGAACGGGCGACTATCGCAAAGCTCCGCTCCTTTCCATCGCGCATAAACAGAAATAAAAGATGTGTAAGACCTGCCCATCCATAACTAGACGCCGCATTCTCAAATAGAGAAAGCATTTAGAAAAGAAAAAAAAGAAGAAAAAAGATCAAATGTGAAACGTGAGACGTGGAAGGAGGAAAGAAAGATGATAAACAAGACCTTTGCCCCCGATTTAACCATTGCGAAATCAGACATTAAAAATCGGAAGCTGGAAATTGAGAGTTGAAATGGGCATTGATATTGTGCAGTGTTGAGGGTGCAGTGTTCAAGGAAACCAAAGAGATTAGCCAACATTGCAGATTGAAAGAAAGAGAAATAGGCTCAGATCTCTTCTGCTAAAGATTCGTTTATTCAGATCTTCCCTGCGTAACCTTAGCTGCCTGGATAGCAGACATCTTCTGCGTCCAGGCCTGGCTAGGTTGGGGTTTCTTGACAGTGCGGAGGTCATCAGTTGAGAAGCCGGAGATACGCATGTTGTAGTTGCGTTCCAGGACGAGTTGGATATCTCGTAATTCGAGAGTTGAGGAGGGGCGGAGTTTGGCGAGGCGGCAGGCTTGGGTGATCACGTCGTCGACGAAGTCGTCCGCCATTTGGAGGATGAACTAAAATGAGTGTCAGCTTTAGGGTTTTATTTGATTCATCTTTCACTTTTCTTTTGGGGATGTGAGAGTTGATATTTGAGATTTGATTGCTCAACTTACCTCTTCTGCGTCGGGAGTGAGCATTTCTCCTTCGCCGCCGCCAGTGACTTGGCGTACGAGAATATCGAGCATTTTCTTGCTCAGCACGCGCTGGCCTTCACCTTCGAGAACGTAACCGGGGTGCTTTTGGATTGCTGGCTGGCCCATCATACCGATGGCACTGTGGCTGGGGCCACCTGAGAGGGAGGGACGTGAGGCAGGCATTGAGACGGGTTCGGGAGTGGAGACGTTGAGATTCTTAGGGATTGCCATGTTGATGTTGCGAGCTGAGGCTTCGGTTGAGCGGTTGGCGAGGTATCCCTGGGGATGGGCCTGGTTGGCCTGAGCCTGGGCTTGCTGGTTCATCGTGTTTTGCTGTTGGGGGGTAGGGTTGGTGTAGGTCTGCGCGGCTTGTGAGATCGCAGCTTGGTGAGACAGGGGACGTGGCGGGCCTTGGTTCACCTGTTGAGGAGGCACAGTTGGAGTTGGTGTTGAGCCGTCCGGATTGGGGGTTTGGCTGAAAGTTACCTGTGCTCCTGGAGTTCCTTGCTGGGATGGGGGTTGTGGACGCTGTGCCTGGGGTTGTGGTGCACTAATTGGGACGGGGGTATTTCCTGCGGATTGGGGTGCTGGTGTTTGTCCTGGCTGCATCGCCGAGGGGGACATCGCGGTTTGGCCAGCTTGGTTGCGTGCCGCATTCACGGCGGAATTGATTGTGTGGGGTGCTGGGGTAGGAGCCTGACCGGATTGCATATTGTTTCCTGCGTTGCCTCCTTGGGCATTTTGAACAGCTTGAGTGGCTGCTGGAGGAGCAGCTCCCCCAGCAGCAGCCTGGGCCTGAGGTGGTTGCGATACTGCTTGTTGTCCCGCTTGGTTCATGGCCTGACTCTGAGGATTTTGCTGTGACTGAAGTTTGAAGCTTTCCTGCTGCTCCTTGAACTTGTTTAGGAACTCACTACCCTCCCGGAACAGCTTTTCAGCTGCCAACTGTCTGTTCTTGAATTCCTGGATTTCCTCCTGGTTCATATTTCCCTGCGCCTGTCTCTGAGAATACGACGAACGAAGCTCAGCAATCCGAGCCCGCCCAACCTGCTGCTTCTGCAAAGCGATACCATATCGCAACCTAGCCTCCGGGATCCAGGTCTGCACCTGCTCTGGAGTGACATTCGGCGGCAGGAAGAAGTTCAGCGAACTGACCTGAGCCTGGATCTGGGGAAGCAGCTGGTTGAGCGACTGCGGGTTATTGGGTTGAGTGCGCTGACCCGGTTGCGTCTGTGCACCTTGTGGCCCCTGATTTGCCTGCTGTGGCTGCTGTCCCTGCTGCGCGGCCGCCTGAGCCTGCTGGTGCTGCTGCATAGCCTGCTGTCGGTTGGCCTGGAACAACCGCATCCCCTTCATCAAGTTCTGCGACAGCTGTGACAGCTTTGTGTGTGCCTGCTGATATTCGTGGCCATTTGGATCGCGCGTGTTAAGCAAGTCCCACAGGCTGCGCACCAGCCCAGTGTGCTGGGCTTTCTGCGAGTCGTTAAGGTGTGGCAGCTTTTGCACTTGATCGGTTCGAATGAGGTTCGAGTGTTGCGGTTGCTGTGGCGCTGCCATAGGCTGTCCAACTTGCCCCTGAGACCCGTCCATCTTCGCGACGAGGTTCCGGGTTCGATATAGAAGACCGGAAGGTCAGAAGCCCAATGAGGTCGGCGACGCGTGGACCGATGCAGAAACGTTCGGCGGAGATAGCTGCAGTCGGAATTATTCGTATGAGCGGTCGGTCTGTGATGTATCCAATGAGATGGCGGAGCGAGAGAGCCTGAAAGGAATGAAGCTCGATGGCGGGATGCAACTTTGACAGAGGTGAGGTCGACGGGGCAGGGCTGGTCTTGGCGCCCGGTTTTATAAGGGCCGAACTACCTACACGATCACCACCGCCTGACTATGACTCGTCTATATTGTTTTCAGTTCATGAGGGGGGGGGGGGGATTACCAGATTCTGTTATAGTTGGGGATGAATTGGTGACCTGTAGTGTATCGCGATGAAGTATCTAGATTGTTACTATGGAGGCGATCGCAACACTAAGAATCATTGATATTGATATTCATAACTATTGTAATACACAAAATGACCATAGTCATCTGTTTCTGGAAATCAGCATGGCATATGCATAATCATCAAAGGTGTAATAACGACCTCCACTCGTTGGCCTCAACCAGACGAATAGAGCATCGTTATGATGATCAAGCATGGCTCAAGATCTTTCTGTTGCCACGAAGATGCACGGCGTATGCTATGGACCGTGTTATTTAGGGATTGGCCGTGCCGGCTGTAAATTTCGTTCGAATACCCATGGTCACCAATTTCGAACGACCATAGTCCATGGACACAGAGCTGAAGTGGAAAACCAGGAACAGGCCAGGAGCCCTCATTGGCTTTTTTGTCCAAAAGCATGACGTTCGGTCAAATAGCGTGTTTACTGGCCATGCGTGACTGGTGCTTTTGGTAGGCAAGAATGCAGCCCAGCTGGTTGATAGTAGATCCTTTGCAGGGAGGATGAACCCCTGTAGCTCAGAGAAAGCTCAACCAAGCAGACCTCCTAGGTCTTGATCCATGCCTGCAACTCGCTGTTCCAGAGTACGCTTCCTGCGTTCCAGGTCTCGGATTTCAGCCATCTCTCGCTCGATATCCTCATCAGTGATATCTGGAGTCTCCGGCTGCGCAGTTGACGCTGGCACCAAGTCATCTTCGTCATCTTCATAAGAGTGCCTCATTTGATCCAGTGCCGCTGTATTGGTCGCGACCCGGTCTTCTAGCTGAGCTATAGACTCCGTAACAAGCTCATGACGATAGCGGAGGCTGGAGATCTTTTCCTGCGCTCCAGTAACGGGACTTCAAGCTTGTTAGACCAATGTGATATGTACTTCTGGAGCTACCACACTTACTAAACATTGCACAGGATCTCAGCACCTCTAAGAAGAACTTCAATGTTGACCTCACCGCGGGGTCCTCGGGTTGAGGTGCCCGCAGACCGCTTGATCTCTTCCATCATATCATGACCAAGGACTTTTGCTACAGCAGACTGGTTGCGATTATTCCGTGCTGAATAGATTCGGCTGGCCATCGACTCGTTTTCAGGCTCGGCGGGGAACATAGTCCCGCGTCGTGCGGCGCGTTTGTGTCCATGAGCCTTGGAGGAGGGATCAATTTGGAAAAGAGCCCGCTCATGGGCTTCTGTGTCTCGGATCAGGGCTGTTATATCGTGGGATCCTAGCAGCGCAGTAGTGAAAATCCGCGGGGAAGGGAACCTAGACCCTTGTGTTAGTCTACATAACGTGAAGGGTGACAAAGGAACTCACGGCAAATCGGCAATAGCATTGGAGGAGAGTGTAATCTGCTCCAGGTGGGAACTGAGAAGAGACATTGTTGCGGGATCTGAGCTCGAAACTGTGAAGAGGTGCTTAGAGTGAGTGTTTCTCTTGCGTCGTTGTTTACTCCGAGCTGCAGTGTTGCCTCAGGCAGAATATTCAGAATCCGCCTGTTCATCAGCTGCCACACCGAAATTGAGGCCTGGAAAATGATTCCTGGATAGAACTCAGCTCTGTAATTCGTCTTGAGGTTGACTTCACAATATTATCTCTTTGTTCTCGCAGCTTCTAACACGAAAGTGCACTGCGGCGACTCAGCCAGTAAGCTCCCCCTGACTAAGCTGCTCGTCTGGTCTCTTGCGCCCGTCCATCCCATCTTGACATCACATCACCCATCCACTTCATCCATCTGTCTGCACAGGTTTTTCCTCATCATATTCGTGTTATTGGCAGCTAGGATCTCTAGGGTTTGCCTTTCTACTTCCTGTCTCTATACTTTGCTCGCCCTTCTCCCTACTTCTCCCGATAGCTTGGTGGCTGCTCACCTGAGCTCGACAGCTTGAGAAAGATGCCGGCCGAAAGGCGTTCTTTGCGATCAAACAACAAATCCGACACCTCTTCATCTGCTAACGGTGAAAAGGCTCGCTCGAACTCCCAGAGCTCGAGTGCGAAAGACAAGGCCGCGCCTACTACCCGCGCAGCCGCTAACAAGGCCAAGTCAGCTCCAGCCAAGAAAGACGCAAAGGGCGCATCGAACGGTGACATGGGGGACAAAGACTCGCATGCGAACGGATCGAAGTCAACCGAGAATGGCGTGAATGGTTCTGAAGATGTTGAGATGGGAGAGGATACGGCAGGTGCGCCTACATCCGCATTCAACGCCAACAAGGACCGCAAAGGTGACGAGAAGATGACCGTAGTAGTGCCCCCGACCAAGGGTTTCAAATCCGGCAAGGACAAGGAGGAGGACGTGGCGATGGAGGGAACAGAGGATGATGCTGAGAAGGAGCCTGAGGTCGACCCAACGACCAAGGCCATTCAAGGTTTGTTAACCTCTCTTTTTGGTCAGAAAAAAAAAGGCTTCATTGCTAACGAATACCCTCCAATTCCCCATGCATTCAGACATCAAGACCAACTTCACTTTGCTCGAGCGAGCCGTTGCCCATTTCGACCCCAGATTTACCCTCCGTGTCCTGCGGTCCATATCCTCGATGCGGAAACATATCACGCCCGAGGTCCTCGCCGAAGTTATTGTCGACACTTACTCCGCTTCCAACTCGACAGCTTCGTTCTTGTTGGAGGTTCTCGGTAAATCCGATGCTTTCGAGAATGCCCCGGCTAGCTCGCAGATGGAGGTGGATTCAGAGAAGACCAAGGCAGCACCCAAGGAGACTCTTGCTGAGGTGGACGCCTACCTATCTATCTTGGTTCAGATCTACCTCTTCGACAAGCGGGACATCCAGAAGGGTGCTCAATTCTCAACAGACTTGATTGAGCGCCTGCGTGCACTTAACCGCCGTACGCTGGATTCTCTCGCTGCCCGCGTGTACTTCTACTACTCCCTCTTCTACGAACAAATTGCTCCGCTCCCTCCTTCCCCAGCAGCGGCTGTTACCACTATCCGTCAACCATTGTTGGCTGCTTTGCGTACAGCTGTGCTCCGGAAAGACGTCGACACACAGGCCACTGTGATGACACTTTTGCTTCGCAACTACCTGTCCACGTCTCACATCTCACAGGCAGATCTTCTGATCTCCCACAACCCATTCCCCGTCGCTGCTTCCAACAACCAGATTGCTCGGTACCTGTATTACCTTGGCCGCATTCGTGCCATCCAATTGCAATATACAGAGGCCCACAGTCATCTGATTGGCGCTACCCGCAAGTCGCCTGCCAGCCCCGTTGCCCGCGGTTTCTACCAGGCCTCTCACAAGCTGTTGGTAGTCGTTGAGCTGTTGATGGGTGATATTCCAGACCGTGCCGTCTTCCGCCAACCGGCTTTGGAACAGGCCATGCATCCTTACCTGTTGCTTTCCCAAGCAGTCGGTGCAGGTGACCTCGATGGATTCTTGAACATTGTCAACACTCACAGCGAGACTTTCCGCAAGGATGGCACATACACCCTGGTTTTGCGCCTCCGACAGAATGTCATCAAGACCGGTATTCGTATGATGTCACTGTCTTACTCCCGTATCTCTCTGCGGGACATTTGTCTCCGCCTCGGACTTGACAGCGAAGAATCTGCCGAGTACATTGTCGCGAAGGCTATCCGAGACGGTGTCATTGAGGCCACGCTTGACCACGAGCATGGATTCATGAAGAGCAAGGAGGTTGGTGATATCTACGCCACTAGAGAGCCAGGTGAGGCGTTCCACGAGCGTATTCGTGCTTGTCTCGCTCTTCACGATGAGAGTGTCAAGGTATGTTCTTGAGTCTCTACCCTCATGGTTTCTTGTGGCTTGTCTAACACAGTTCGTCCCGTTACAGGCTATGCGTTTCCCTATGAACCAGCACCGTCTGGAACTCAAGAGTGCCCAAGAAGCTCGCGAGCGGGAGCGGGAACTTGCCAAGGAGATCCAGGAGGGTGACATGGACGATGAAGATGCCGGCGGCGATTTTGATGCCATGTAAAGGGGAGTGTGGATGTTTCCATAATCGATACAGCATTTTTTTTCTTCTTCCACACTGGCCCCATGCAGGGGTATCTACCTCGTAGTGGCCTCTTTCAACCTGTGTGTTAATTCTGCAATTTTGCTTTGGACTTTATTCGGATGTGTACGACGGTAGATGTGCAGGACTAAGATGGCCGGCGCAATCAGTCACTTACACTGGAATCATTTGCATCGGATACTATTTTTGACAAGTCTGTCGAGTCTGAAATGTAGAATTCCATGTATTTTCGGGACACAGTGTTAATTTAAACAATCAATGCCACTGTAGACCAATATTCGGACAAATATGTAGACGCCGGTGATATCTGTAAGACGTTGGAGCTGCACCGGGGTCCGTGCCGTCCCGAGAGCTCGAAATCTTCCCGTCCAAGATTGTTCCTGTCTTCATACTCCGCAAACAACCTTGCATCAACATCGACTCCTGGAATTAGGTTCCCATGGTTTGATTTGGAATCTTCCATTCTTTTATAATTGACCTTCCAGCATGGGAGCTCGCACCGTATCGGCCTCTGGGCTGATCCTCTCATCACGACCGACCGGGACCTCCGTCTGCAGCCAATGCCTCCGCGATGACCTCCGCTTAACGCAAATCGCTCTTCAATCCCGAAAATATCATCCTACCCGCCGGAGGGATGCTTCGCCATTTGGGGCTGCCGTGTCGGCGGCCCAAACCATCTTCAAGGGTATGCCGAAGGCGCCTGCAGGCGTCTCGGTCGACCCGTTGAGAATTGTTGGGAAAGAGCTCAAGTTTCTCACGAAGAACATCCGGCAATTGCTTGGCTCCGGCCACCCGGCGCTTGACAAGGTCGCCAAATACTACACTCACAGCGAGGGCAAGCATATGCGGCCTTTGTTGGTCCTCCTCATGTCCCAGGCCACAGCCCTGGACCCGCGCAAGCACCACACCTACTCCGATAAACCCGCCACTGTCGACGACTCCTTTACTGCCCAGACGATTCTCGATGACGCCAACCCAGAGATGAATCCGCTCGTTTCCAAATCCGCCGACAGCAAATATGACTTTTCGGGAGACGAGAACATCCTGCCTTCACAGCGGCGCCTGGCCGAGATCACAGAGTTGATCCACACAGCCTCTTTACTCCACGACGATGTCATTGATAATGCGGTGACACGCCGCGCTAACAGCTCCGCGAACCTGGCGTTCGGAAACAAGATGGCCGTGCTGGCGGGTGATTTCCTGCTTGGGCGTGCTTCGGTGGCACTCGCTCGTCTCCGCGATCCCGAGGTGACGGAGTTGATGGCTACTGTAATTGCTAATCTGGTCGAGGGCGAGTTCATGCAGCTGAAGAACACCGCGCAAGACGAATCCAAGCCCGCTTACACCGACGAGACCCTTTCCTACTACCTCCAGAAGACCTACCTGAAGACTGCCAGTCTTATCAGCAAATCATGCCGCTCCGCTGCGGTCCTAGGTCGGAGTGCGCCGGAGGTCATTGAGGCTTCGTACGCTTACGGCCGCAACTTGGGATTGGCTTTTCAGCTCGTGGATGATATGTTGGATTACACTGTTACCGAGGCGGAGATGGGCAAGCCAGTTGGTGCGGACTTGGAGTTGGGTCTTGCGACTGCGCCGCTCTTGTTCGCGTGGAAGAGTAACCCCGAGCTTGGTCCTCTTGTTGGACGGAAGTTCCGCAAGGAGGGTGATGTGCAGCGGGTGAGTGGTCCATGTTCAAACTTTCCGTAACAAAGAATACTGACTATCATAACAGGCCCGTGAGATCGTCTATCGCAGTGATGGTGTTGAGCAGACTCGTGCTTTGGCCCAGGAATATGCTGACAAGGCCATTGCTGCCATCAGTGATTTCCCTGACAGTGATGCCAAGACCGGTCTGATTGAGATGTGTGAGAAGACTATGAAGCGGAGAAAGTAGAGTGGAATCTGTCCCATGTAAACATATGCCTTTTTCTTTTCTCAGCTCTGCCTATGTTGCTTCTTTAGGTCATTGTCTTTTTTACGCCTGTGTATACTTATATATCTTAGATGGTTGGATACATACATATTTTGAATGTTTACCAATGGATGCATTTTCTCCTGTTCCACCTTTTTTGGTTCCTTTTTGATATCAAAATAGCTGATGCTTTATCATGGGCTCGGCGCTACGGGGTTGAAGGCCATCCCATAAGTGTTTCGTTACAAAAGAGATATCCCAAGCTCAGGACTCGACTGAAATCATCTTCGACCAAAATTGACCTTTTATTGCCCCAACTACTTGATGCAGTGACAGTTTCAGGTTCCTGACAACTGGTCGGATCACGCGGGGTACTAACGGCTACAGAGGAGGGCCTTGTATGTAATGTTAGTACAGTATAAATACGCATTTTACACACATATAAGTGGGTATTGTATGTGAATTACCATGACCATACCTATAATGCCGAGGTACCCAGGACCTCCGTCATCCCGTGCAAGCTGCAACTCCACTTGCGTTGACTTATCTCTTGCTCTCTTGCTCACCTTTTGTCTTCGTATCTCACGCTGTCTCGCTCGTTTATCTTGGAGCAGGTCTCTTTGTTCCTTGTCTCTTCGCTGTTGGAGGTAGCACTCCCAAATTATGGAGCTTTCGATCCTCCCGCATTGATCGACTGGTTCCCGATGGGTTCGCTTGGTAGCTTCCTCTTTGTTTACGCCCTTGGTGGAATCACCTTCATTCCTCTCGTTCTATCCTTAATCATTCTGTACACCTATCTCACACTTCCAACTGTCTCGCAAGCGCAGCAATCATGCGCGAAAGCGACCGATCCGGTCCGCCAGCCTACCGATGACGACTATAGTCTCAAATCCGGCACCGATCAGCTGGCCGAGAAATTCCACCGCACCCACGAGTCCGATGTCGCTGCTGGATATTTTGCCGTCTGTCGTGAATATGTTCCTGGTGGCGTCAATGGGAAACCGCCGGAAAGGACGACGCCCGCGGGGGAGGTCGTTGCGACTGAAAGTCCCAGCGTCTATCAGGCTATGTACCGGAGTTTGTTCGATCGAAAGCAGACCCCTAGTATTGAACCGGCGAAGTCGAATGGAAAGACCACTAAGCGGGCACGAAATGTGTTTTACATTGTTCTGCGGTATGTCTTGCTGGGATTGGGTGCGAGTTGCCGTGTAAGCGCCGGTTGCTGACGATCAATGCTGTTTGATAGACATGGCCATTTGATGTTATATGACGATGTCAATCAGGTCGAAGTTCGTTATGTCATTTCTCTCGCTCACCATGATGTGTCAATATATGGCGGAGAAGGGGATATCCCAGAAGGAGAGCTGTGGCTTAAGAGAAATGCCATCTGTCTCTCGCGGCGACTGGATTCGCTTGGTGATCTCGGCGGCCCGACTCCGCCATTTTATCTCTTCTCTGAGAATTTGTCCGAGAAAGAGGATTTCTATATCGTCATGTTGCGGAACCAGAACCGTCTGTGGGACTCGACCGATCGCCCGCCCAAGCATCAAGAGTTTGATATCAAGCATATTGTCACATTAGTCCAAAGGCTGCATTCCTCTGAGGAGCAATTGCAGACACGCTGGATCAATGCTTTCCTTGGAAGATTATTCCTTGCACTATACCGAACGCCTGAACTGGAGGAGTTTATTCGCAGCAAGATCGTCAAGAAGATCTCTCGTGTTAACAAACCCAACTTTATCAGCAAGGTGGGCTTGCAGCGAATCGATATGGGTGAAGGGGCGCCATTCATCACCAATCCGAGATTGAAAGATTTGACTGTCGATGGAAACTGCTGCATAGAGGCAGATCTTCAATACACTGGAAACTTCCGAGTCGAAATCTCAGCAACTGTGCGCATTGACTTGGGTCCTCGATTCAAGGCCAGAGAAGTCGACATTGTTCTTGCAGTTGTTTTGAAGAAGCTAGAAGGCCACTTGTTGGTTCGCTTCAAGCCTCCACCCAGTAATCGAATCTGGATGTCCTTCGAAACTATGCCCAAGATGGAGATGGACATTGAACCTATTGTCAGCTCCAAACAAATCACATACAGTCTCATTTTGCGCACGATCGAGAGCAAGATTCGAGAAGTGGTGGCAGAGAGCATTGTCCTGCCTTTCTGGGACGATGTTCCATTCCACGATACTTTGGGACAGGCTTTCCGTGGTGGCATCTGGCAGCGGGACGCTCCAGAACCAAGTGACCAAACAGAGATACCAGATGAATCTGGTGAAGCCCCGGCAACGCCGAAGAGTGTCGGTGGCGACCCCATTGAAGTCTTCAAGTCTAAAGATGATCGCACAATGAGCATGCCTGCCCTTTCCGAGTCCACAACAAACAAGAAAAAGTCACGCAAAGGTCCGAAATCGTCTCACTCAGACTTGCAAGCAAATAGCTCAAGTGCAATTTCCACTGGCATTGAGAGGCCAGAAAGTACGCCGTTGCCTCGAGCAATCCGGTCGCAGACTTTCTCTAATGCTGCAGACCCTGTGGTCACAGCAGATAATGCCAAAGTTGACAAAGTAGTCTCTGAGAACAAAGGCGACGCGAAGAGTCATGCAACCAGCGCGATGATCGAGATATCGAGCCGCTCCCCACCCACGTCACCCATCCGAACGCCGAGCAGCTCGCCACCCACAGGTGGCATCACAGTTCCAGAAAATGCGGTTCATAGTCGCGAGTCATCATTTGCAGAGTCCATTGACAGCATCAATTCCCGAAACGAAAATGGCCTCCAAAGACCCTCTGCTACTCAGATGGAGAGCAACTCCTTCTCCAGCATGAGGAGCTCTCGAGGTAGCTCCACTACCTCGCTCACCAGCGACAAGGCTCGCCGACGTAGCACGATCGAAACCATCACCAAATCCTTCGCCTCCAACATATCATCTGATGACAAGCCTGCCGGTTCTATGACAATCGGGTCAGCCACTGCTGCCGCAAAAAAATGGAGTTGGAATGTGTTCGGCAAAGGCGATCCGAACATGGGTCAAGAATCCTCGCAGCCTTCTGCAGCCACGCTCGACCAGCCCATTGGGCGTGGACATCCTCATCCGCCAGCCGGATCTCCATTGCCTCGACCGGACAAGTATGCCTTGAAGAGAAACCCCACAAACTTGCCCAAGCGGAAACCTGTTGGGACACACACGGAGTCTGAACGCCCCAAGACGGGCGACTCACAAGCATCACCATCCCCTCTACTTCGCAGAAAACCAATGCGTCCTGGGGTGCACACCAATGAAAGCACCGATGAACTGCTCGTGGTGGAGGCACCCCAAGACTCTGAACCCAACAGCCCGGCCCCTGGTGACCTGGACTCGGAACAGATTCCGAAGAAAACCACGCCTGTTGACATTGAGACTTCCTCCAGAGCCGAGAAGTCCGGACTCGATCACAAGGACAATGAGGAGGCCTCTTCAGAGGCCTCTGGTGCGGAACAGATAGGCTCTCTTGATCAGATGCCTTCAACCCTTGGTAGCAACGAGGCTCCGCGATCTGACAGACTAGGAGTGCCCGCATCCTAACCGGTGTTGCTTTTGCTCAGACAACTGAAGGACTTGGAGGGGAGTCTGTTCTCTATAATTTCCTCTGCCTTGGTGAGTATTTTATGGGTATGGACTCATGCTAGGCTGGTTATCCCTGCATGTGACCCTTCCTCGCCCAGAGTAGTGTAAGTGCCAGTCATATAGCCATCTCTCTCGTGTCAATGGGCGACCCAGATATCCAATATATTGTTACCTATCGAAGCCGTTTCAAAGTAGACCGTAGCCTTCGTGTTGATAACATAATAGCCTGCCGCAATTCCTGTTGCCTAGCCTGCAGTGTATAGTTGACGCGTATTCTAGAAAGCACAGCCTCTTCATTCGCAAGGGATAGAACTCTCGTAGTCGAATGCTTCATAGTGTCTCGCCCAACCCGCATCGGCTTAGGCGTCGCCAAGACTCCCGACAGGCGCCAACTTTCCCGTTCCCCATCAACGTCATTGCTCGAACTCCCACGTGTGTCTTTTTGGTGCTGAACCAATTCCCTTTGACTCTGCGTTTCGAGTAATCCAATTTATCCGGTCGGCGCAAGCTCACTCAAGCGTCTCTGCGCTGTCCGGGTTCGGGATCTGCTAACGCGACAGTTGTGTCTAACACTCCCACTCTTCCGCCCCTGAGCACGCATCGATTGCTCCCCATCGGTCAAGATGAGTCGGTAAGCAAGACCCCTGCGGAATCCCTAGATATCCTGTCTCACACTGAATCGCGCAGGACCGAGGCCGATTTGGCCATCAATATCCGCAAGGCCACCAGTATCGGTAAGTGGTGATCGAGGACGAAGTGACAAGACTCGCGAGCTAATGATTTGATTGCCAACAGAGGAAACCGCCCCTAAACGTATGTCCTGATCATATACTATTGCAATCCCTCGACTCGATTGTTATCGCCGTGGGCATTGTCGTGTCCGAATCCGAGCTGACCACCCCCCGCGCCTGTAGGGAAACATGTGAGGAGTTGCATCGTCTACACGTGGGACCACAAGTCATCGGCAGCTTTCTGGGCTGGCATGAAAGTGTATGTTTCTGAGATATCCGGAGGAGGTATAGGGGTGAGGGGAGGTGGTGTTTGAGTGGTGGGCTGACACGCATGCGTTCTTCATAGGCAGCCTGTCCTCGCCGACGAGGTCCAGACGTTTAAGGCCCTGATCACGATACACAAAGTTCTCCAGGAAGGTCACCCCATGGTTGTGCGCGAGGCGCAACAGCACTCCAATTGGATTGATAGCTTGATGCGAGGCGTTGGTGGCGATGGTGTTCGAGGTATGATATCTGCACTGGGCGAGTGCGCAATGGTCCTTGGCTGGAGGAGTCGCAATGTGGGCGAGGGACAGAATATTGACGGTTTTGGATAGGATATGCGCCGCTCATTCGGGAGTACGTCTTCTTCCTTGAGTCGAAGCTGGGCTTCCACCGCAACCACCCTGAGTTCAACGGTATGTCGTCCCCATTGGAACGGTGGTGTAGTTTGTGGATGTCTGACGGATGTAGGTCTGTTTGAGTACGAGGAGTACATTAGTTTGAAGTCGATCAATGATCCGAACGAAGGGTGCGTACCTACCTGCCTTTGTGATAACGCGAGTGGGTAAGATCTAACGAGTTGCAGTTACGAGACTATCACCGACTTGATGGCCTTGCAAGATCAGATTGATTCATTCCAGAAGCTTATCTTCTCGAACTTCCAGTCAGGCACGAACAATGAGTGCAGAATCTCAGCGTTGGTGCCCCTTGTGCAAGAGAGCTATGGTATCTATAAGTTCATCACCAGCATGCTGAGAGCCATGCACACAAGTATGTGTCCTTCATCATTGAGATGCATTCAATGGAAACTGACTGACCTCTTGCAGCCACTGGCGACGATGAAGCTCTCGAGCCTCTCCGAGGTCGGTATGATGCCCAGCATCACCGTCTCGTTCGCTTTTACTATGAGTGCTCTAACCTGCGCTACCTGACTGGTCTTATCACCATTCCGAAGTTGCCGCAAGACCCTCCCAACCTGCTCGCTGAAGATGATGATCGCCCAGCTCTTCCCAGGCGACCCGCGAAGGAAGTGGAAGCACAGCCCTCACCACCACCTAAGGTGGCTGCAGAACCAGAGCCTATCAATGACTTCTGGACCAACGAGGCCAGACGCCAGCAAGAAGAGTACGAGGCAGAGCAGGCACGCTTGCAACAGCAGTGGGAGGAGCAGCAGCGCCAGCAGGTTCTTGCTCAACAGCAGGCCCAGAATGATTTCGAGGAGCAGCAGCGTCTCCAAGCAGAGCAGCAACGATTGGCACAAGAGCAGCTTCTCCGTGACCAGTATCAGACACACACACAAGGCCGACTGGCAGAGCTGGAGCAAGAGAACCTCAACGCTCGTGCTCAGTATGAGCGTGACCAGCTGATGCTGCAGCAATATGACCGCCGTGTCAAGGACCTTGAGGAGCAGATGAACCACCTGAACTCCAACCTCAACTTGCAGAATGCCTCCAAGGATGAGCAGATTCGATCCCTGCAGGAGCAGGTCAACACATGGCGATCCAAGTATGAGGCTCTGGCCAAGCTGTACTCCCAGCTTCGACAGGAGCACCTTGATCTTCTGCAGACCACAAAGAGCCTCAAGCTCAAGGCTGCCTCCGCACAAGAAGCAATTGAGCGACGCGAGAAGCTGGAGCGTGAGATTAAGACTAAGAACCTGGAGTTGGCTGACATGATTCGAGAACGTGACCGTGCTCTGCATGATCGAGATCGCCTGACTGGTACCAATAAGGACGAGCTGGAGAAGGTCAAGCGTGAGCTTCGCATGGCTCTCGAGCGTGCTGAGAATGCCGAGCGCTCAAAGGGAACCGAGATCTCATCCATGCTGTCCAAGTACAACCGTGAGATGGCTGATCTGGAGGAATCCCTCCGAGTGAGTATCCATTATCTTTGTTTGACTACATGATCCATACTGACCGTCTAGAACAAAACACGAGCACTGGAGGACATTGGCAGCCGTAACACAGACCGCGATGGCGACCACGACCTGGAGCTTCGCGAGAAAGACGAGGAAATCGAGGTGTACAAGTCCGGCATGGAACAGGCCCTTATGGAATTGGAGGAGCTGAAAATGGTAAGCGTGGACCCTGATTAATGGAATATGTGCATGCTAACTCCGTGTCATTGTAGAACCAAGGCGATGCCGACCATGCACTTGATAGCCAGATTGATACTGTGCTCCACGGCACAGTGGCAAAAATCAACGATATCATTGACTCCGTGCTTCAGACTGGTGTGCAGCGTGTCGATGATGCCCTGTATGAACTTGATTCATCCATGCAGGCTGGTAACCAGAATGCCTCCCCTCCATATGTGCTCTCGCAGATTGAGAAGGCCTCAGCTTCTGCGACTGAGTTCTCTACTGCGTTCAACAACTTTATTGCCGATGGCCCCAACAGTCCCCACGCTGAAATTATCCGCACAGTCTCCATCTTCTCTGGGTCTGTTTCTGATGTGTTGAGCAACACCAAGGGTCTGATGCGCTTCGCCAACGACGACAAGAGCTCCGACCACCTGATGAACGCTGCCCGCAAGTCCGCCCAGGCGACTGTCCGCTTCTTCCGTGGTTTGCAGTCATTCCGCCTTGAGGGTCTTGAGCCGTTGCAGAAGACTGATGTCGTTATCAACAACAACCTGGAGGTCCAGCGTGATCTGCAGTCGCTGTCGAAGCTCGTCGACTCGTTCGCTCCTAAGAACAGCAAGATTAGCACCAACGGCGATCTTGGCGACCTGGTCGACCAGGAACTGCTCAAGGCAGCTGATGCCATTGACGCTGCTGCCCAGCGTCTGGCCAAGCTCAAGAACAAGCCCCGCGATGGTTATTCGACTTACGAGCTGCGCATCAACGATGTGATCCTTGCCGCCGCCATTGCCGTCACCAACGCCATTTCCGAGTTAATCAAGGCCGCCACAGAGACCCAGCAGGAGATTGTCCGTGAAGGTCGCGGAAGCTCTTCTCGTACTGCCTTCTACAAGAAGAACAACCGCTGGACAGAAGGTTTGATCTCCGCCGCCAAGGCTGTGGCCGCCTCTACCAACACCCTGATCGAGACTGCCGATGGTGTGATCTCTGGTCGCAACTCGCCCGAGCAGCTCATCGTCGCTTCCAACGATGTCGCCGCCAGCACTGCCCAGCTTGTCGCTGCCAGCCGTGTCAAGGCCACCTTTATGAGCAAGAACCAGGATCGCCTGGAGACTGCCAGCAAGGCCGTCGGCGCCGCTTGTCGCGCGCTCGTCCGCCAAGTGCAGGATATCATCAAGGAGAAGAACCGCGACGACAACGAAGCGGAGGATTATGGAAAGCTTAGCTCGCACGAGTTCAAGGTCCGCGAGATGGAGCAGCAGGTAGGTGATTCCCCGTCCCCCAACGTCCCTCTTTCTCTTCGCTCCCTACTGACATGGATCCCCCAGGTCGAAATCCTCCAGCTGGAGAACGGTCTGGCTCGTGCTCGCCAGCGTCTGGGCGAGATGCGCAAGATCTCCTACCAGGAGGACTAAGATTAACTAAGCCGCTATTTTCGTTACTTTTTTCCCCTTGGCCGTCTGTGTACATTCCGCATCCCGATTCCGAGGTGTTCCGTCCGTATCAGTCGCATTTTGTGTTCTTCGATCTGGACCTTTTCTCTCCATTCTCGTAGTTAGTTTGAGTTAATTTCCCATGGCGAATGCAAGCAGCTTATCCAGTTCACCCTTATATCCTATCCTAATTTGTCTGTTCTCTCGGCACTAGCAGACGGTACCGTAGCTCAGTCACATCCGCACCCTACTTCGTCTCCCTGCATGCCAAGATTTCCCCCGGACTGTGGAGTCTCGGCACGGCTGGAGATTCGTGGGTCGCTGCGCTAGCGCCGGCTGTTAACAAAGAGAATCAAAACGTCACTTCATGTTGAACAAAGATTGTGTGTGCCCCAGCGTCGCTAGGTTGGTCGTCTCTTCGAAGAGGCGTCATGGCGGGAACTCGGATGGATGTTTCGATGGGTTCAACTGAGAGGCTGGAGGGATTGGAGCAGCCAGGGGGGATATTTGTAGTATGCAGGAGATGAAGCTGTGAAGAAGGAAAGTCAGTCAGAGAAGTGCAGAAAAGTTGACAAGTGAGTAAATCAAGTACACGAGCCGTGAAGAGGATCTTTCAGCTCCAAATACTCTTTAGTTCGAAGTACCCTTAAGCCCTATGTACGCTTCTGTCTACACTTTCTTTACAAATCTACGAGAGAAGAGAAGCAGGAGTTTTTGTGCATTGAAATAATAATGACTACCTTGGCCCTATTTGAAGATTATTGCAAATACAAATAATCGCAGAACACAGAAGATTGTAACTTAAGATGCCCACGCAAGAAGAATAAGAGAACGCAGAATAGCCCCGAGGAACATAGACCGACGACCATCCTGTCTCGAACAATGCGTGCAAACAGAGAAGATACAATCCTGTGATAAGGACATGATTTGATTGAAATTAGTAAGGAGGAAAAAGCGCTCACAAAGCAGAGATAATGGTACAGGTGAATTGAAAAGCAAAGAGGATGTGCAGTATGGGTGGAATCCGCCTTGAGGAACCTTGATCAGTGACTGGCCTCTCGCACAACATGGCGCAATGGGATGACAAGAAAGAAAAGAGAACACTGGAAGTTGGGTGATGAACATGGATTGAGAGAAAGTTGTCAGGAATTACAATAAAGGCGTGACGTCGTGCCTGTGAGTCCATACAAGACCTCATGGAAGGCTGATTGATAAAGAAGTCGAATGCTGTGACATGATCTGCCCGTGAGAAATAAAATGTTTATTCTGGATATTGTCAAGCCGAAATCCGAATGGTGACACGACAAGACTTAGTTCCCCTGGTGGAACAGCATATGCTGAGAGTCGTTGTCGAGTGTGAGCATTTCGTACCATGGAATTGGGGTGTAGTCCATCTCGCAGAAGGTGGCACCGGAAAGCTGATCGTTGGCAATCTGCTGGCGCTCGAAGTCGTTGTAGGAGGCAAGAAGAGGCTCAACGCCATTGGGGCCGTAGAGAAGTCCATTGTTGCCTAACACGTCCATGAAGTCTTCATTCACAACAGCAACGACATTGGAAGACTGCAAAACAACATCATTCTCATCATCGTTCTCGTCCTCATTCTCGGCAACGTTGTTCTGAGTAGGCACAAGACGAGATGCACGGCGTTTGCGCTCAGAGGGGCGGCGTGGAGTGTACTGGTAATCAGGATGGGCAAGGGAGTGACGTTTCTTCAGGTCATCGGCGAGAATAATGTAACGCTGACGAACTTCCTCGGACTCGTTCTTCCAACGAGCACCAAGAATACGGGCTGATCAATAAATTAGCAGAGGGACAATGTTTTTCAAGCATGACATACTTACAGATCTCGTTGTTGGTAATGTTGGGGTTAGCATCCTTCACAGCGTGGTGATTGGCCTGACGATAGAGGATGAAAGAGTTGGGAGGACGTGGGATCTTGGTGGAACGAGTAGGCACGCGGACAGCGTTTTCAGTAGTTGCTTTGTGAATGGCCTTGGAGATGCGCTGATGGTCTCCAAGCTCCAGAGGCTTGCCGCCAATCTTGAGCTGGTCAGGAATCATGCCCTTGGTGAATTCATGAGGATGAACTCGGTAGCACTCAATGCTGGTGTCAGCTAGAATCTGAACCTGCTTGTTCAGAAGGGCACTGTAACTATAGGTCAGTAACATACTCAAGATAATCCAAGGACCAAGAGCTTACGCAAGGCGCTTGGAAATAACCATGAGGCCCTCGTGGCCGATCACAGCCTCGACAACGTTGAAAGGCACAAAGACTTCACCATCAGTAGACTTGATATGAGTGACAGCATCTGACCAAAGGATCTCGACAGCTTGAGCAGGGGTGACTTGGTTCGAGCCACTGGGAGAGACATTGGGAGTTACCATCTTGAAGATCAGGTTGAAGATATCAAGGTTGGCAAAGTAGCATAAGAATGTAAACAATGGAAAGGTGGGAATAAGAGGAATGAAGAAGGTGGGTAAGAAAAGAAAATACGAAAAGGTGGAGGAGATCAGAGTAATATACAAAGTGGACGAGGCAATGGGCATTTCTTTGTTTAGGCGGCAGCACCAATCAGAGTGTCTCAGCCCAATTGAGATTTCTTTGTCTTGTCAATCAAGAATATTGAGTTAAAATTTTACTACCATGAGGGTAGCCTGCTTCAGAATGACTTGGGCATTAGGTACCTGCTCAACAGCCAAATCCAGCACCCCCCCAGTCCTTTTCTGCATGTGTTTCCATATACGCTGCTAGTCTTCAGGGTGACGTGGGCTGCAGGGTTCTGACATACGATACTACATGCTATCAAAACCTACTCATTATGTATAGACACATCGATATCAGTTGTGTATGAACTGCTATCGATTTGTGCTACTCTAGATGTAAAGCGGGAGAAAAACATGGATGTTCTGTTCTCCACGTGGCACTGCAGATCTAGGGCTTGGCGCATCCACCCATATTTAAGCTTAAAAACAATGGTCCATGCACAATAAATTCGAGCTGATTTACCAATTCTCCACTACATAGAAGCTGTCAGTATTGTAATAACTTATTCAGTTGGTTTTCACTTAGATGGGGCGCAGGGTTGGCAATCCGATTCATTTTGAGAATGTTGGCAAGGTACTTCCCCAGGAGGTACCTCTGGTTTTCGAATTTTAGCTGCAATATTGGATTTGTCATGAGCTAGCAAACAATGGGTTGCAGAAGGCCAATCAGAAATTCAGAAAACAAAATAATTGGATTCAATAATGTGGCTGAATAGCGAACAACCCCCCGGACGACCGATTACGACGATGGAAGATAATACAGTTTGTCAAAAGGCACCCAATGCGGAATAATAGAGAAATATCTCCCAATTGACCAACGTAAAAGAAGAAATGGGAAAAAAATTGGAAAGAATCTCCCAAGAGGGCCGAAGGCGTCACAGCCAAGGCATCCACAGAGCCTCAGGTTCCCAGAGACCATCCCCAGACCCCCAGCAAAGGCCATTCATTGCAGGAGAGCTACTCACATCTTCCCCGGGCAGTTAGTGCTTTTGTAGAATTAGGCTCTAAGTAGCCCTAAGGACCACCAACAATATACAGCAGCGAGCCGTTTGCATGAAAAAGACAGTCAATACTACATACAAGGACAAGAGACAAGAGATAAAGAGCCCACACAATGCAGGCAGAGATGCGATTTTAGAACTGCTATATTGATTATCAAGCGAGTTTATCAAGCGAGTCAGTCAAGCTGTCACATAAATCTAAATCATTACTCCAGCGTTGTAGCAGACGGGTTCCAATCACTAGCCCAGATGAACGTAGGACACCGCCACTGTGTACCTTTCTCTTTTTCTCCACTAGGGCCCAGTGGCCGACGGCAAATCCAGAATGAGCGTCCACGATTCATTCCAGGTTTTTTAGTTGTCAGGCTGATGCAAGGCTCCTGGTGTCCATCGCATGGTGGGACGGGCTTCTTGGTAAAGAGCTTCGACCAGTCCTCCTTGCTGACAATTGGGTCAATAATTGTATCGCTGTCCGTGAGCTTGTTGGACTTGGGTGACTGGGATAAGGAGCTGTATGGATGTAATTCCGAGGGTTGCGATTCGAGCTCTGTAGCTGCCAGTCTCTCCTGCGATGAAGACGGTGTTTGGGTATCAAAGGAAGCCCCTGAGACTGGGACTGATATCGAGGGCCGAGTAGATTCGGCGCAGTTCACGGCTTTTGGCTTGAAGAACCCCATCAATGACTTTTGGCCGGCTGTGGTGGCCCCCGGGGACGCCGTTGCAGAGGACTTGCTGCGTTTCGCTAGGGAGGCTGAGAGAGGCTGTGAGCGCTTCCGAGAAGCAGTGTGAGCCAATTGTGTTTCGACTTTGACAGGTGCAGAAAAGTCTTGGATGATTTCACTAGATTGAGATGTTGTAGTCGTGGCTGGTGATTCAGAAGCCTGAGTCTCGGATTCCGTAGACACTGCCACGGTTGGTTGCACAGGCTTCGATGGTTCACTGGCCGGTTTTCGAGCAAACATATCCTTGATACTTCGGCGTTTATTAACGTCAAATTCCGGAAGTAGACGCCCTGACGCAGGCAATGCGAATTTGGCCGAATATTCCTGTTGACGCTCGCCATTTTTGAACATTCCCGGTGGATTCATAATATCCCTGATGTTCACCAGACCCTTCGGTTGCGACACGCAGTCTTTGAAATCAGCAAAAACAGGGCAGTGGTCCGATCCCTAGGAGAAATCAATTATCAGTCATCAATTCTGTACGCGTCAAGGAGCACAATCTTACCATCAAACCTTCCTGGATATTGGATCCAGAAAACCAGTCTTGCATATTCAAGCTGCAAAGCACATAGTCGATCCTTGAACCATAGTTGCCTGGCCGAGTATTGAGTTTCTGGTCCCAGCACGTATACATACCAGTACGATCTGGATGAAACGACCTGCAGATATCGAAGAGAACCGGCTCTTCCCTGCCGCTGTCGCGTTCACCGACAATGACACCGTCGGATAGCAGGTGATTGAAAAGACGCCGAGAAGGGCCAGATATGAACTCCTCCTCCGAAGTTGTGCCTTTCCGTATAGCCTCCATCGCATGCGCGGCATCGATTCCATGTTTTGCAATGTTGATATCCCCAGTCACGATCACCCGTTTCCCCATCGCTGTCAGGTTGCGAACCCGAGAATCCAAGGCATTGAGAAAATCCATGCGAAAGGTATCTCGACTTTCGTCTCGATATGCTGGACAATAGACACCAATGAGAACAAAGGCAGGAAACTCCAGGATCACACAGCGGCCTTCGGAGTCAAGAGTGGCTGCATCGATTTTGGCTTTAGGCCTCGGATTGGGGTCATCTTGCTCGTCTTCGGAATCAAGCTCTTCAGAATCCACCGTGATCCTGGAAAGCTGCTCAGCTGTGGGGTATCCACCAATTTGCTGCCCTTTTGGAAGATCACAGAATGATACTGCCGAGTTTGGAGGGCAGAGAACTCCAGTGATGCCTTCTTCGGCCCGGACGGGAGCACATGTGGCATTGCGCGTGTATATCACAACACCGGAATATCCTTTAAACTGTCAGCAACTGGTATAGGATTCGCAGCAGGTGCAGCTTGCCTTTCTTGACACGCGGTAGGCTGAAGTAGCAGTCCCAACCTGGCACCAAGACCATGTCATCGCGGAGATCCTTGCGCTGAATCTTGGTCTCTTGTAGAACGACAATATCCGATTCCAAGATATCAAACATGGACTTGGCAGACTTGATTAGCTCTTCAGTCCTGTAACAGGAAAGGGATAAGCGATTACCTCGAACGTGCGCGTCCCTCTCCATGGCTCGTAGGAGAATGGATTCCTTGAGAAATGGTGAGCCTGATATCTTGAATCTACAAGTGTTCAGCTTACCGGATACCATTTACTAATAATGTGTTGTTAGCATATATTTTATCGGCTTCCTGTCAACAAATCATATGTAGCCTACCATTCCACGTGGTGATACGGAATCCCATGCTGTAGGTTATTGTTCTGACAGACACAGCAGCATGTCCAGTGCCGAGCGATATCCACAACACTAGAAGCTGCGTTAAGTCGTGGCATCGACAGCTCTGTCGAATCGCGGTGCATACATATCCCGTGACATAGCCATCACGTGATAGCAATGGGGTGATGTCAACTTATGTAAGCCGGGAGATCACGGGGATACGCTAAAGGCGGCTTTTGCTTCAACGCACCACCTCCGGTCCACCACCTGCAAAAGAACCCCTTAGCCACCACCCACCATGTTCTCTCAGCGCAACATTGCCCGCCTATCCCAGCGTGCTTCGCAGCAGATGCGTTCCGCTCCGGTCCGCTCGACTGTCCAGCGCCGTTTCAACAGCGCCGAGGCCAAGCCCTCGTGGATCGTCGACAACGAGTTCAACCGTGAGAGAGCTGCCGTCAAGCACCACGCTGCTTCTACCAGTGGTACGTAACCCACTTAATTGATCGCTTGCAGAGCTGTTGCCGGCAGAAAATACCGATCGCTAACCCGATGGTTGTTTAGACCTCTGGCGCAAGCTCTCCATCTTGTACGTCTCCAATGGCTGAGATGCCCGCACTACCGGAACAAAAACTAATTGACTCGCAGCGCTGTTATCCCCTGCCTGATTGGCGGTGGTCTCAACGCCTACAACCTCTGGAATGAGCACTGGGAGCACTGGGAGCACATGCCTCCTCTTGAGGAGCGCACCGAGTACCCTTACCAGAACATCCGTGTGAAGAACTTCCCTTTCGGTGACGGTGACAAGGTATGTTTCCTCCAGACTATGCAATTTGAAGATCTGACCTAACCATAAACGACACAGACCATCTTGTGAGTTTCAAGCCCGCGATACTTTATCAGTCTTCCCGCAGAACAGCTAGCTCCACACCGATCAAGTGCACGCTGACTTGATACCTGCTTCTTCTCTTCTGATACTCCACTAATTGCACTGCTAACTGACCTATCTCTAGCTGGAACTCCGATGTCAACTACCACAACAAGGACAAGGCCACCTAAATTAAGCCATTGAAGACCGAAACACCTCAAAGTCTATTTTTCAGACCCTCTTTTGCGTGCGAGGGCTGTCGTTTTGGGTGCATATCATGTGTATATCTATCTCACTGTCGTTCTAGGGGTGCAATACAGTCAGATGCTTGGGGAGATGAGGGTCCAGTTGACAGAATGAAGCGACGCTTCGTATTTCTAACATTCACTCGTGCTGCTACTTATTTCTTTTGTCCGCACTTGGAATCTTTTCCCTGATCTTGCTCTATCCGCAATTCAATATCTACTTGGGTTGTCGAATGTAATCTAGCCCAGCCAGTAGATATGGTGCCTCTAACTGCCTACAGGGCGGAATATACTAGAATGTATCTGGTAAGTCATATGGATGACTCGCTTGACGAGTGGCGTCAGTCCCTGTAAGCTTGGTTAGATACTTGAACGTCGGATGCGCTTCACATCATTTGATACTAATTTGTATGCGGAAATCATTGAGAATCTTTGTGACGGACCAATATCATTCATATACTAAGCAATGGGCTAATCAATGGAACAGGATTTGAATCGAAGAAATTCATTTGAGTGTTTATTTCCTGTAGAAGAAACGCCTTTTAGGAGAATAGCCAAGCAAGTAGCAGTTTACCCCATTAATTTCTGTTCTGCACGCGAGCCACCATCTTTTCCTGAGAACAAAAGAAAAGGAAACGAAAAAAAAGCAAGTCATCAATTGTGTAGTATGAATCAGTCTGCGCATGAGGCAGAACCTCGTCGGGAATCACCAAGCAATCTGCTCAAGCTCAGTAGAAACCTTCCATCCATGCATTTTGCAAGCTCTAACATAAGCAGCCACTGCTTCACCAACTAGATAGTCAATGTTGGAATGACGAGTTGACAAACGAGCTGGGTGTGGGTCAGTGGTTGTAAGAGCCATGCGAACCTGCAGCAGGACACTCTCAATTGAAGCAGAAGGCAACCATCCAGAATGAGTAAGGAGCTCCATGCACATGGCGCCACCGGCCGTAACGTGTCCGCCACCTCCAGAAGCAAACTCTAGGAAGCGAGGACGAATGACTCGTACGAATGGCGGGTTCATTGGGAATTCGGCGGGGAATCGAAGCTCGAGAACGATACTCTCCAGATTGGCTGCTTTAAGATCCTTTGTGAGGGGGAGCTCTGGGTCGAAGGTGTGCAGTTCCACAATCCATTGGTAGACTGTTGTGATCAGGTTAGGGTCGACGTACCAGCCCAGTTCGCTGAGTGGGACTTTTTCCTGGACTTTGAGGGTTGCGTTGAGATGCTGCTGGAGCAGCTTTGTCGCTGGTGTGGTGGCATATTTTGGTGGGTTGAGCAGGGGTAAAGATTCCTCTGTCAGGGTTCCAGGTCGGAAATCAGTTTTGGGATCGACGGAGGTGAAGCGGGTTTGTGAGCTTCCTGTTTGAGTATCCTCCATTTCATCGTCCGAGAAAAGAATTAAGAGATCTTCTATGTCTGTTTCGATGCTGTTTTTATCATCATTGTCGTTATTGTAGTTGTCGTTGGTGTCATTGTTCTCATTAGTATCATTATTCTCGTTGCCATCAACGTCAATGGGTTCATCTTGGGTCTGTCCACACATGAGTTTGCGTCTTTTAGGTGGCGTAGCAAGATCAAGGACCACTGGTGCATCTTGCTGTTCAGTTGCAACTCGAAGAGGCCGACCACGATGGCCGCCTAGTGCTGATAATGGTATCCTGATGGGATTCCCATCGGGACCATTAACATGAAGCTGGGGGTCCTGTTTGTAAACCAGACTCATATCTTGAGTGGCGCTTGATGGCATGGATGCTTTCGAATCCTCGTAGGGGTTGTTAAGCTTGACGAAAAGGTATCTTGGCTGGATCCAGTCCAAATTTTGCACAACGTAGTGGGGTCTTTGACTCACGAAATCGGATGGTGAATTGACAACTTCGTTCAAAGAAACCACTGTCCGGATGTTCATCCGGTTCTGGGGCCAGCCGCCAACGGTAGGGCTATTGGTGTATCCCAGTGAAGTATGGAAGGTATTGGACATGTAAACTCCATTGCCACAGGACCGGCCGTTGATTATTCGTTTGAAATGAAGACCCTCGCGCAGGATACTGTGCCAGTTATGCACAGGGCTTCCATGCCAAGCGAAGATCGTCGGGTGCTTTGGACGGGTGTTCATGGAAATGGACGTGACCGCATCCACAAAGCGCTGCTCTTTATCCGCTGCACCCTGCACAAGTCGAAACTGGACATAGCCATGCATTCCACGCACTATATGACAAGTGTCCTGATTGTCCATTCTAATGAACGATCGATTCGATGCAACAATCCATCGTAAAAGGTCCAATGCGGCTGGTGAAATCATATCCTTCCACGAAGAGAGAAGCCTTTCTGTTCCATTCTCGCCGATGTACGCTTTCATGTCCTTGATTTCAGGAAGCGAAGACAGCAGCATTGCGATCATGGCTTGCTTCTGTGGGGCTGGCAAATCATCAAAGTTTGTATTGTAGACCACAAAGTTCACCTGTTTCGGCTGATCTATCAGGTCTGCTGTCTGCAACTGACAACCGAGAGTGATTGGTCGTGAGATTTGGATATGATTAGAGAATTCGCCGACTTTTTCAACGCGGCAATGCCAGTATTCCCTCCATAGATCCTGATCGATAGAGGCCTCGGGTCGGACGATGACAATCCAGTCACCTACTTTGACCTGAGGTGGGGTGTCTGTGCGAAGATCAAGCTTCCTTGCAGTCAATCGCCCGATACGAAGCGGATCGGACTTGAGGTCTTTTTTTGAAAGCATTTGCGCGGGAACACGAAGCTGAAGACCGGTTGGGAAGTCCTCGAGAAGCAACGATGTAGCTCGGGAGTACGCCAGACTAATCAGCAGGTCCACGACAAATGGCTGCGAGCATATTTCGTACTCCAGACTTGTGCCCATATCCATTGCCATGTATTGATATAAGCACAGACCGCTTGAGCAAACATATGGCTTGAGTGCCTCGAAGGTATCAGTGGTCTTGCAATGGCAGACAAGACAAAACTCTGTGCATTTGACAAAATGGCGCAGGGTAAACTGCATGGCAAGAAGAGGTAAAGATAGCACATTCAGATTCCGATCCATCTCAACCATATGATCGGCCGAAAGAAATATTGGCGTTGAAGTAGCCCAGCTGTCCAGCTGACGATATTCGTCTGAAATGTTATCATAGTTGATGAGGATTTTGCCTTGGCTGACATGGAAGAATTGTTCGGCTCCTGTCCATGAAAGTCCATGCTGTACCCGAAGCCCGATGATCTTCAGGAGTCGTTCTTTGAGAAGCGAGTTGATTGATCTTCCCGTGAATAGCGGTTTCATGGGGTCGCCTGCTAGTGTGTTGTGTGAATCAGTGTTCGAGTCCTTGGTCGTATGAGCGTGTGTGCTTTCAATGGCCTCAAGAGCATATTCCAGAGATGGTTTGTATGAATTGCAGAGCCCAACGTGCATCTGAACAAAGGTAGCTTTTGACTCGCTCGCCGCCTGGAAGATTGTTTCGAGATCAAGGTAGGTTGGTCGATAAAGAATCAGCAATACCAAGTACTCTGAGGGGCGAACATTCCATGCATCCATAGCTTCCTCGGAAAGTCCCAGTTTGGCAATGCGGCGGGAGACAGAAACGATGATATCCCCTTGAGGTGATCCCAGGTATCCCACCTTGAATCCCGCGTTCTTGGCAGCGAGCAAGTCCCGACGAATCTTCTCGCGTACAAGGCGCTCACTTTCAATGCCCACAAGAAGAACGTCGTCAGATTCTTCGTCTTCCCAGCCCGAGTCCCCATATTCAGAGGCCAGGTCCTCGTCGTCGCTGAAGCCCATTTCCTCATCAAGTCGATTGGATGTGTCACTGGGTTCAACGATAGTATCGGTGATAACATTCTCAATGCTGCTCAGCATATCATGGATCGTTGAGCCTGTGAAGAAAGAAACACATTTCTCGACGGCTGAGGTGACAGCCTTGGGACAATCTTCAGACGTGGAAAAGATCAGATAGCTGTGATGTTTGGGGTAATCATGAGAGTCTATTCCTGAGTCAGTAAGAAGTTTTAGACAAAATGCACATAGAATCACCAACCAGATAATACGACCTGGAACTTCATTTCAAGGTTCGCTACGGGTAATTTAAACATGAAAGAGATCGATCCTTCATATTCTCCAGTCTTGATATCATTTATGCTGTAAAAGGTGCCAGGTATGGCAGCCATCTCCAAGTCTCTCAAGAAGTCTCGTCGCGGCATGATGACGAAGGTCAAATGCGTAGACTCGAGGGTTGAGGAAAGAGATGAGACAGGCTAGAAGGAAGCAAGGCAAGAAACAAAAAGTGAGTGAATTCGACCAAGAGAAACAAGTTTCATTCAGAAAGATGAGCAGAATTAAGGACTAAAGAAAGTGTGGAGATGGCAAGTATAACTGAAAGTACAGAAGTTTGGATGAGGTACAGCGGAGCCCCCACATCGGCCGATCCAGGCTTGGCAGCTGCCTGAGGTTCTATACTCTTTTTTGACTCGCTTGAATGGCTTTGCGTCATTGTTGTTGTTATTGTACGTCGCTAGAATTCTGAATGGCATGGATAAGCCATAAAAGCAAAATATACCAAGTCCGTTATCAGAATAAATACAGCCAAAGAGTCCAAACAAGATATAAGATACTACTCCTTCAACCCCTCCAAGTCCCTCACAGCCATAGGCCGATTAAACAAGAAAGCCAAGCTAACCAATGCCTTTCCAATAGCACAAAGTAGAATAGGAAAAGTCGAACTAATCTCCCGCTGCGCAAAAGCACCAACAAAACACCCAGCAGTCAACATAATCAGAAACATAACCCTCCGATTCCTCAGCCGATTCTTTAACTTGCCTAAGCAAGGGTCAACAACCACATCAATGAACGCAGCTGTTGCCATAGCAGTAGTTATCTCCGTGATCTTCAACGACCGACTCATAGCAACCTGCCCACCAGACGCGAACGCCAAACAAGCAATAACTGCCAAGGCAGCAGGGCCGTCTCTCCGAATAGGGAAAGAATACTGGATAGCAACAGCCGTGAAGATAAGAGCCGTCTGAATGAAGTTACTGATGAGGAGCCATAGTCGTCGTCGAACGCCAATATAATTCCCTAGTTGACCCATGGTGAAACCGCCTGCCACGAAGAGACTCAGCGATATCCCGATATTGGGGAAACTGTATGCATTGTTGGTCAAGCCTGCTACTCCGATTGCGAGGAAGAGTGTATTTCCTGTTTGGTTCGAGGCGAAGCAGCTGTAGTCGGGCCAGGCGGCTGCGTCTTGGATGCCTGTTGCGAAAGAGAGGAGTAGGAGTTCGCATTCGAGGAGGAGGTCCTCGCGGATATCTTCATTTAGGAAATCCCGTATACTGGATCTGCGGGGCTTATTGGATAGAGGTAGTGTGTCGTCCATTTTGGGTATATAACTGATCGTTGTTAGTATGTGGTGCAGTCTAGCACGTTTGAAATATACATAGACTCACGGAAATTCCAAATGACACACGGTCAGACAAGAGTCAGATCGGTGATCAGCACGATCTAGTGATCGAAGGTCCACAATATCGAAAATCGAAACACAAGCACCCCGATCCCGGTATCTAGATCGACGAATATCAACGAGCTACCAGTTGAGGTATGGCCTGAACGCCGGGAATATCCTTAGAATAACGAACGTGCTCAGCTTGGCATTTGGCTCTATACATATACACGGCACTTAATTCCTTGAAAAAAGATCAACCGAGCTAACATTCCACGCTGACGTATATCCATCATTCCAAAAGAATGAAAAATTCCAAGCCATCGGCATCGAAGATCGACGATTATGGAATACGCCAAGAGGTGCAGTATGCAGTGGCTGTGATATCCAGGCAAATCTGGCGTTTCTGATGGAGCGGTGGGTCATCAGTTTTGGAATCTTATTTGTGGCCCTGTTTCTATTCGCTCCACGTATATTGGGCTTCTGCCGTAGGGCTTGCTTGTTTAATCGACTGGGACATGCCAAGGCCAGACTTTGATCATCTGTTTGATATGGGCATTTGGACTCACATTTACTGTCGGAGGTATGTATGTTTAAGTCGATTATTTGGTAATTCTTATCTCTCCGACTTGTAGGCTTGGATCAACGAAGAATTCGGTGGTCATTCTTTGAGATGATGATATAGATAGAGGGTTGTGTCGAGCAATAAATGCCATTCTGTTATACAATTGCAAGGACTGCCTAGGTAGAAAGTATATACAAATCAAAGTCAATGCAAGCGCCTCAAGAAAAGAAAGCACCAGCAGACAAGAACTCCAACACCACACTAGCTCCTCACAAATTCATGTCCAGATATAAGAGTCCCAGTATCTAAACAAACAGAGAGCTATTGGGAGCAAGAGTATCCAACCCAGACTCACCCTCCAAGAGCGGGAAAAGTCTGCGAATGCGATCCTCAAGAATAGCATCCTCAGCCTCCCAGCGCCTGCGCTCAAGGGTCTTAGCCTGAGCACGACGCTCACCACCAAACCAAGCACTCTTGGCCTGCTCTCTGCTCTCCTGCTCTTCCTTCAGGGAACGAGCAACTAAGGAAGAGATCATAGTCTTCCAATTCTCCAGACCAACCTTGGCACACTGCGCACAGCGAGTGCGGGCGTCGCGGTCATCTGATTTTCCAAGGTCGAGCATCGTGGACTCGGCCATATCGACTGCATCCCGAGTCCAGGCGAGGCCTAATTCTTTGCTTGAAGAGGCGAAGAGGATTTCCCCAATGTAGGTCATCAGGCCTGCTTCTTCACAGGCGGATGCAGTTGTGCGTTGTGGGGGCTTATCGCCTGAGGGGAGAGGTTCGGGGTAGGTGACGGGAACGAGGACATTTCTGATTGATTTGAAGAGGGAGGCGAATATGTCGTTGCTGTTTTTGTGGGGGGGTGGGAAGGCGGGCATGGTGAAGTCTTCTGAGAGAGGAAGGCTGCGGCGGGCTTGAAGGACTGATGTGAAGAGAGAGAGGGCTGTTGGGAGATTGCCTTGGCGGGCGTTGTGAACTGCAAGAGCTGTAGAGACGCGAAGGAGGTTCTCTGATGGTAGATCTGCACCCTTGCTGTTCTTCAGAACTCCGTTCTTCATGTCTACAATCTTGCTCACATCTCCTTCCAGTCCACCGGCGGCAATATCCAAGGCCCAGGTGTACATGTCACCAGCTGTCTGGCCCAGGCCCTTGAAATCAAGCCAGTCGGCATATGCCAAAGCAGCATCGAGCTTCTGCCTTGTATCAAAGCCCCTAGTCGTCAAAACCTTCATATAAAAGCTCTCGGGAGAAGGAGAAGCCTGCTCACAGTCTTCCTCCTGCGGGACCTTCTTCTGACCAACAGGCATAGGCTTCGGCCTCGGGTTAGACGGCCCAACAACATACTCCGCAGGGGCAGAGATACGCTGCTTACGATCCGTCAACCAACCATCAAGGTTCTCAGCAGCCTTAGCAGCACCCATAAGCGCCTGGAAATAACCACGACGCCAAGGCTCACTCTTCGCCGAAACGTCAAGCCCAGTCCGGCCAACACCTTCAACCAAGAAACCGCCCTCGTCCTGCTCAATAATGCCTTTGCCTTCAATCTCGGGGTCCTCCAGACGCTCCAGCAACTCGCGCAGATAGCCAGCAACCATAGGCCAATTGGTCATGAGCTGACCAATCTCTTCAGGATTCTGCTGTGCCGCCGCAGAGCGCAAACACCAGCGACTTTTCCAAGACCATTCCGGTGGCGTGGGCCATGAATGTTCGATATCTTCTTGGTAAACGCCGAGCTTGACGACGGAGAAAAGGACGAGGATGGCGTAGAATGACAGGCTGAGCTTAGTAACGCGTGAGAAGCGGCGCTTGTAGTGTTCGCGGCTTTCTGTCGAGATCAGACGGCCGAAATGTTGGCGGAGGTGGATTGATAGAGGTGGGAGTGGTCGGGCTGGCGCAAGTGGTGATAGGAAGGGTAGTTGGGGTCGACCTTGCGCCGGAGAAAGAAGCTGTAGGCGTGTGCGTTGGGTGAATGGGCGGAGGTGTACGTTTGGGCCAGAGGTCCGGGGTGGTAGTACCGGCCGGATATGACTCTGTATTCGCCCAATGGCGCTGCGTGGGGGCAACATTGTTGGATTGTTGAAAACGAGCAGTGGTGAAGCCTTGACGCACTTGGGGACAATATTCGTGTTTGTCTTGTTTGTCTGTCACGTGACCTGCATCCGACTATGTGACGACTAAGAATCCAATGTCAATTTCTAGGGATTTTACATAAAATAAGCCTACAATCAGGGTAAAGCGTGAACAGAAAAGCCTTCGATAAACAGAAATCAAACGTCTATTGGCAAAAGTAAATAAGCCAGGGGAATCCAAATAAAGCCCACCATCAAAAACCAGTACACATTTCTATGCACAAGAGACCAAAACTACTCCAGCAAATTTCATCGAATCAGAAAATAGTTTACTGACGCTCCAGGAAGCCTTGACTCTCGAGAACGAGAATGATCTCGTGGACGATGCTGCGGACGCTCTGCTTGGAGAAGTCGACAACAAGGTCAGCCTTCTCGGGGACCTCATAGGGGTCATCTACACCAGTGAAGCCCTTGATCTCACCACGGCGAGCGGCGGCGTAGATGCCGCGCTTGTCGGTCTTCTCGCAGTGCTCGAGGGGAGTGGCAACGTGAACCAAGAAGAAGGAACCAGCCTGGGAGACAGCGTCACGGGCGTACTTGCGGGAGACCTCGTGGGGAGCGATGGGGGCAGCGATGACGGCGGCACCGGCGCGGGTGAGCTCGGTGGCGACGAAAGCAATGCGCTGGATGTTGGTGTGGCGGTCCTCGCGGGTGAAGCCAAGCTCGGAGGAAAGCTCGTGGCGGACGGTGTCACCCAGCAACAGGGAGACGGAGCGACCACCCTGCTGGTTCAGGGTAACCTGGAGGGCACGGGCGATGGCGTCCTTACCGGAGTTCAACAGACCAGTGAGGAAGATAGTGAAACCCTGGGTGGCACGAGGGGGGTTGGACTCGCGCAGGATCTTGACAACCTCGGGGTAGGAGAACCACTCGGGGATGTGAGCGCCGGAGCGCAGACGGCGACGGAGCTCGGTACCGGAGATATTGAGGGTCTTGACGCCAGCGGGAACCTGGTCAACAGGACGGTACTCGTCGGTGTCGGGGAGGTAGGTAACCATCTGGAATTCAACGACCTCGATGCCGAGCTCGTCCTTGTACTTCTCGACGGCGTGCTGGGCATCGTAAGGGCCGTAGAAGTCCTCACCCTTGGAGTTGGAACCAGGACCAGCGTGGTCACGGCCGACAATGAAGTGAGTGGCACCATGGTTCTTACGGATAATGGCGTGCCAGATGGCCTCACGGGGACCACCCATACGCATAGCCAGACCGAGGAGACCCAGAACGGCCATGCCGTTGGGATAGCGGGGAAGGAGAGCCTGGTAGGCGCGGACACGGGTGAAGTGATCAATGTCACCGGGCTTGGTGAGACCAACAACGGGGTGGATCAGGACATTAGCCTGGCGAGAGCGGGCCGCGCGGACGGTAAGCTCACGGTGAGCGCGGTGCATGGGGTTACGGGTCTGGAAAGCGACGACACGGGACCAGCCCAGCTTGTCGAAGTGGACGCGCAGCTCAGCGGGAGTGTCTTGAGGTTATATTAGTCCAAACCCGAGTCACAATCGGGCGTTCAACATACAGCGGAGGGCGACATAGTCGTAGTGGTTGAGCTTGTTGACAGCCTCGATCTTTCCACCAATGTAGAACTCCTCAACGGTCTCGTTCAGGTACTTGATGGCAGGGTGCTCAGGGTCACCGCCGAAGACGAGCTTAGCCTCTCTGGCCCTAATCAGGGGAAGTTCCACGTCAGCGAGCCCCACTAAAAGCACGAGCCTCAATGGGCTTATACATTGCGTAACGCTCGTTTGCGACACCAAAACGCCACAAATGCTCGTGGTCTCTCATGATGAAAGAAACAAAAGTATTCGGTGTGTTCCAGACACGCACCCAAAGATCGACAATGCAGTCCCAAGACTCGAAAAGCAAAAAAAAAAGGTCCAAGACTCACTTATCGGGGCGGTAGATGTCGTCAATGGTCAGGATGGCCAAGTTGCGGTCGTCACGGAAGTCACGCAGGGTAATGCGGGAACCAGCCTGGAGCTTGTTCTCGCTGATGACCTTCTGGCTGGCATCGAGGGTGATGGGCATGGAGAAGACGTTGCCATCGGCGAGGCGGTTGTCCTCACAAACACTATATGCACATTGTCAGCGTCGTGCACTTTTTGTACAGAATGAATGGTCTCATTCCAATGGCTCATAATACATACCGGTCGTAATCGGCCTGGTTCATGAAACCTGCATGATGATCGGCATTAGCCACTGCCCCTCCAAAAAAGAGATGGATCCAATCCCGGCACACCACACCGGGCGGTTCCAAGATAATCATCAATTGAACTCACCCTCAAGAGGAGAGAAACCTCCGTTCATGATCAGCTCGAGATCACACAGCTGGCGCTCGGAGAGCACAACAGCGGGCAAGTTCTCGGCCTCAGCGGCGAGCTCGGCCTGGCGGGGAGCATCGCGGGCGAGGAGGTCCTTAAGGACACCACCGTGGGGGGCGTTAGCCATTGTGTAATTAAAAGATGAAAAAGAACTTTTTCGAAATTCTCCCGTGAAATGGAAGATAATGTACAGCAGGGAGTGGGAAAGAAAGAAGGGGAGAGATGACTTTATGAAATTCTCATGGAGGGGCCACGACATGGCATCAGTCGTCAACAGTGGAGATTGGGGCTTGGCTTGGCCGATTCCGCCATCCAGAACAAGTAACCAGGGGTCTATCAACTTCTTCCTTGAATTGGATCGTTTCGTTTTTCCACCATTCGTTCCAAGGTTATGTCTATCGTTTCACTTTCTCTACTTGCACGTGTTTTTCTTGTCCTCTGCCGTTGCTTTCTACGTTGCTTTCTACGTTACTCCGAGCCATTGTACATTAACCATGTACCATGTACCATGTGCCATATCCCCGATGTCTCCGAGGCGGAATGGCGTACGTACTCGTAAATGGCGGGGATCAGCTGGATTTTCAGGGGGCGGCATATTCTCTACCCGGTGGAGAGTGATCCTCATATACATGTACGTCGATATTCTGCATCAACTGCATCTCACATCTCAAGGAGTATACATTTGTATACTTCAGAACAAACTGTCTCACAGCCTTACGCCATTCTGCACGGTCACGTGTTGCAGCACGCAACCTCCACGGTCAATCACGACATTGATCTGTCCAAATGGGGCAAGGATCGTCTTGGCATTCTACCTCAAACCCTAAATGCCGCAATCTCTACATGGAACAGCTTCATCTACAGAAGAACATAAGTACATATTACATGTGCAAAAGATGACAGCACTCACCCTATATTACATCCATTATCACTACCTATGTACAAACTGTTCCTCCTCTTCCACGTCTCTCACTCTGCGGTCGCCGTACTGTTAGGGAGTGTGATGGTCAAATTCTCAAAATCGATAGTAAACGCCCCCTCCTTCATGGCAGGATGGGTGGAATTTGAGTAGGAATCAGTCAGATATTCCTCGATGTGATCCCCAGAGACCATAGCCGAATTAAGCGAGCCAGTCTTCTGCAGAATGTACAGCACAGCAACCCGGGAGAATTCAAGCACGTTTGCAGGAACAGCCGTCGCAGTAGCAGTAGATACGGCAGCTGACGCCTCCGCAGTCGAGGAGGGCTGGAAACTGATCTTGGTGGCTGTAGCGGTGGCTGCTGGATCGGATACGTGGTCTGGTTTGGTCGCTGACACGCTGGGTGCTGCGTCCTCGTACAGGATGCCGTTGACGGTGGCTTCGGCGCGTGGTGCGAGGACGGTTGTGGGGCCGGAAGTCACGATGGAAGGGGAAGCGTGGTTCTTTTCAGATGGGATGGAGTCTGCGAGCAGGTCGAGAGAGCGACGGCTGTTGCTGATACTGTTGGTAGTCTCGACCTCGCTGAAAGCAACAAGCGCATTCTCTGTCTTGCACGAGACATTTCTCATGCTAAAGAGAGCCATGATAGTGTAGGCATCGAGAGTGATATCGAACTTCTTCTTAGACTCATCGAACAAATCTGCGAGTGAGCTGCCCATGGTTGCATTCTTGGTCGAGTCGCCGCTTTGGATGGCGTGGGTGGTACAGCTACCGTCGTTTTCAACCGTGCATTGCGAGCCGGTATAACCATTCGAGCAGACGCATGAACATTCACTGCCACTCGAGACACTAATGCCGCCATTCTTGCAGGGGTTGATGTTTGCACAGGCTGCGTCCTTGTTTGCCTTTTCGCGAGGGACGGCAACAAGGAAGACTGGCAGGAGAATCGCGAGGATGACGACGATGAAGATGACAATACAGAGAATCACGAAGATCTTGCGGGGCATTCCGCAGCATGTGTTCTTGCGCTTGGGGGCGTTCGGGTCGTCATCGTTGGAGTGGAGTTGCTCGACGTTGCGCAGGTTTGAGCGACCGAAGAAGATAGGCCAGGATCCACGGCCTTCGGGGGTTTGTAGGCCTGGGGGAGGGAAGGATGCGAGGATATCTGAGAGGGAGCCCGAGTTGCGACGGCGCTTTTCGCCATTTCCTAGACATCGATATGTTAGATATCTTCAATATGGTATCTATGTCCAGGTATGAGACTGCAAACTCACTCATTGCAGTTTTGGGTCCTGCTTCATCACCTGCAGCCAGATCATTCCGGCTGGCAGTCCTTCCATGGTCCAAGTTTGATGCAAGCTTGGTAGCACGACGGATCAAATCAGATAAGCTGGAAAGACTTCCACGAGCCTCTGCATCCCGCAAAGCACCCATGTTGAGGGCAGGAGGCTTGCGACCTCCAGGTCTCTTGTCGCTCATGGTAGGGGCAGCTCTAGGCAGATCTCCACCGAAGACCTCAATCTCCTTCTTAAGGGCAGCACTGTACGTCGAGTTATGTTGGTAACGCTGGGTGAATGGTGGCTTTTCCGGGTCAATGCCCTTCAAAGAGTCACTCGATGCTGTAGAAGTAGATGCCTTTCGTAGGTTGCTTGGTGGGTGGAGCATTTGGTTGGCGGCAGCTACTGCTCCCACTCCAGTGGATGCGCCTGCGAATGTGGCCTTATTTGAGTTCTCTTTGGGAGTGGGTTGTGCGTCGGGGAGAGAAACTACAGATGCGGGATTGGACTTTGTGATTGTGCGCATTGTTGGCTTCCCACGTTTTCCAAGACTGGCACTTCGGACAAGAGTTGCGTCTTCCTCTTTGGGACTTGGGTGAGGCTCGTCAGCGTCTTCGTCGGATTCCACGTCAAGATATGCACCCAAGATCTCGGATTCCGGGGGTCCAGAGCCCCAGCTAGAGGGGATAGCTCGGCTGGATGCGAAAGAGCTCTTGGTGAAACGGGGATCGGGGAGATCCTCTGGGATAGGAGCAACGCCTAATGGAGCTTGAGGGGGTCGTCGAGCGTTGAGAGGTGTGACCAGACCTGCTGTCCGCTGGAAAGTATCCTGGGAACCATGAGGCTCAAGCGGTGGAACTGGGGGCGGGAATGGTGGCATATCGGGAATCGAAGCCGACGAAGAGGCGGTCGATTGTCTGAACAAGTCATCCGTGGCAATCGAAATGCGAGGAGTCATGTCGACTGTACTTGTGGGACTGACAGGGGGCTCGACCTTCATGGGCCGCCGAGGCTGCAACGGCGGAAGCGGCTGCAGCTGTGAAAATGATCGGGGAGGCCGTGGGGCCGCGTTCAAACTTGTTTCCGTATCTTGGCCATCCCGCTCTGAATAGATTGACGGTGAAGGCATTTGGCTCTGACGCGAAGGCATCTCACTTGGACGTGGCGGCCTCTGCGGAGGGGGTCCTTGTGGGAGCAAATACCTTGGATGATGGTTGATTGGATTTGGCGGTAAGCCTGAGTCAGGCAGAGGCCATTGTGTCCGGTGAGAAATGTCTCTAGGCAGAGGTTGTTGTCCCATCTGGTTGGATGGTGATGCACGCTCTGGACGCACGCCAGCCTCTAGCAACTGTCTGGCGTGCTTGACTGACCCTTTCCTGTCGATATCCCCGGACGGACGGGGACCCGGTCCGGAAGTTGGTGCGCTCATTTGGTGTTTTGATATGCCAAGCCTTCAGTTGAGTGTTGAGTGTTGAGTCGTTGGCAAGAGGTTAGGGCTTGCGGTACATCAAGCAACTTGGAACTGCGGCTCAATGGAGATCAATGTGTTCATCCCCTGAATAAGAACTGAAAATGAATGATGACTGGCTCGATACCCTGATCGAGTGAAAAATGATGGTAAGAGAGGCTTTGAATAGCGAAACGAGAGGAACGGCGGTTGACAGCTCGAAGCAAGTGTCTAGAATGCAACTGGATGATCGACCAAAGACTTGAGAACCACAGGAACAAGCTAGAATCGCTAAAGAAAGGAACGGGCATTCAATGCCTCTATTGAATGGGGTCAGATCAAACTATCCCAGTATGGTTCCAGGCTGACCACTGCATACCAATAAAAACGAGAGAACGAAATCGCTAGTATCAAACCGCGTTCAAAAAGCAAACTGAAGTTGCATTACTCCGAGGATAGAAGAAACACAGAAAGAAACAAGCCTCCAAAGAAAGAAAACGAGGGGGCATCTCCTGACGGGGGCCCTGACACATTCCGACCCTATCTAAAACCCCGGGTCAGAATAGATTAACCGGGTTTTTTTTGCAACCGAGGTGGAGGCTGGCGCAATTAATCTTTAGAGACATGCTCCGTGTAATATAACAGCCACATTCATCCCCATCAGAGTATGATCCTGCATAACCTCCCTGCTGGCCCACTGGTTGGCGCCCAAAGATCAGTCAACATTGCAGAGAAGCAAGCATCCGGCAATTGATGGACCGCATTTTCAGAGAAACGGAGACCCTCAACATGAGACCCTAGACGAATCAGCCGACGATTCTGGGGCCAATTGCACGAATCGCCTTGTCAGATCTCGAGGCTGTTGCACCAGTGGGGTCTGTTCCAGGAGTTAGTCCCGGACGCTACGTCTCATCTTAAGAGTGGGTTCCCCTGGGCCTAAGCGGGCAATCTGAAACTTGAGTAAACAATCAGAATGTGACATATGGTCCAGATATGTCTTATACTGTAACGTCAACACCGGGGTAGAACAGTCAACGTCAACGTCAACGTCAAAAGTTGAACGTTGAATACATGTATGAAAGAGTTGAGTGTAGTCGGCTCCAGCGGCTCGGGGATTTTGTTCATTCTTGGGCAAGCGACGGTCTGGACTTGGCGGCACGGGACTCCTGACTGACCTGGGCTTCTCCTAGCGTTAGTGTGTCGCTAGATCAGGATCATTTACTATGTTTATACCTGTAAATACGCCTATAGATCGCTCCCTCTACCGTACTGGGGCATGTATAGCCTCAATGCGGTTTACGCCGTAAAACCGAGCGCACCCACCGTTCGTGGATCACGTACTGGTCTCTCAGTGGAGCACGTCTGTCTAGTTTTTGTTTGTTTTTACTACTGTGTGCATTCGGTCACATCTAGTAATATAGAACAAAAATAGGGCCTGTGTGACTGCTAACGTCAAGTACGCTTCATCTGATCATTTGGTACCACGTTGGACAAGATCGTGAGATTCCTCTAGAAGTGCAGGTACCAGCTGGGCCCGCAGATTTCCGATTTTCTCTTCCAGGATCCGCATCTCAAATGTTGTACTAGCCAATTCAGGGACGGCGGTATCAACCGCATGGGCGAAAGAGTGCTGTGCCGTCCGCAGGGACTGGGGCACTAGGATTCCATACCAATGAATTGGATCATCAGAATGGAACTTCTTGCGGCGGAGCTTCGGCTTCTCCCTACCGGTCGTTGCACTGCCATCCGCTGAAGACTCGGGGGTTTCTGGGGTTGTTTCACTGTCCACTGTGGTATCCTCTGTTCCGGATTGCACATGCTTGACCGAGTCAGAGGTCTCGTCTTTACTCTTCTCATCTATTCCTGCTTCCCCTTCATGGCTCGAGGTGGACTCTATGGTGAAATTGTATCCAGATGGTAGCGAAGCAGCACTCTTGTTCTCCGGGTCGTTGGCGCTTTCGTCCGCAATGTTTTCCTCGGGTTTGATTGAGCTGCCGATTTCAACGAATCAATAACTGACAATATTCAACGGATTTGTAGCATTACATCTTCCTTGTCGCCTTCATGCGCTCGTCGTAGAAGTCGGGCCCATAGCGGCGGCCAGGGGGACACGAGAAATTGGCCTGGGCGAGAGAAAAGAATCCCTACTGTATATCAGTTAACTGTCGCATAAAACTTGGCCAGGAATCATACCGAGGACAGTTGTTCGGCCAGGCCTGTTTGCAGCTTCTGCTGCTTATCCAGTAGGTTCAAATATTGCTCAAGAAGAGTATCCAACGATTGAACCAATTCCGAGGCCACGGGCTTCGCCTTTGCTTCAGGAGCCTCGGAGCCAGGTCGCGAAGCCGGCGGTGTAGGTATTTGAGTCATTGCGACAACAATGCAAACTGAGAGAGACGGCCAAATCGAGTGACAGTCGACAGAGGTGTAGATCAGAGACAAGTCCGAGATACGGGAAACGTGGATCAAAAGGAGCTCGGCCCCGGTAACTCCGTCATTCTCTCCCGCAAAAGAATTTCCCGCCCTTCAACCAACTCTTGGACTCACTTCAGCCCACCTCCTTTCTCAATTATAAGAGACTGTGTTGCAACTTATCGATCCTGACAATCTTTGTATGGGTTGATATTGTTTCCCCGGATCTCCTCGCTCCTGCAAATCCGAACCGCCACCTCCGATCCCGTTAGTTGCGCCCAACCCCCGTGAACGTCACCTCATTCTTTCTTGACGAGTGTCACACGTATCTTCGTCTTCTACTGGACCTTTGTGGCATTCTTACTGCTGTTTCACCGCCATATCGACAGAGCGAGCCCGACAACAGTGAGAATCTGGAGTCAAACTCAAGCAAGAGTTCCGCGCATCGTTCAGGTCATTACATTTAACGGCCTTCTTACTTCCTCTCCACTCTCTCCGTACTTTCAGTGCACTTAATCATCATGTCTGTCGCATCGCTGCACCGTGATGCCGGTTTCCAGGTCCGGTCTTTGGTATGTCCTTCTGATATCCGCACTCCAACTGCAAGTGCACCTATGTTTGATAGTCAGCAGCTAATCATCTTTTATCTGCTTAGTTCCGCTCCCTCCTGCGTCAATCTGGTCAATTCTCCAACTATAACTTCCGTGAATATGCCCGTCGCAAGACAAGAGATTCATTCCGCGAGCACCAAAACGCGACGGAGGAGCGTCAGGTACAGGAGCTGATGCAAGAAGGTCTTCAGAGCCTGCGCTTGCTCAAGGTCAGTGGAGATATATGGAGTGTCAAAGCAAGACTCGATCAGTGGCAGGCAGAGGGAGTTCGATTCCCCGCCCTGAAGATGAATGATCGGGCTTTGCTACACTGCCATATACAGTCTCAAATTCAAATTAGTGGTTCATAGAGCTTACAATATCACAGCGTCAAACGATCATCAGTCAATTCTACCAGCTCGACAAGCTGGTGGTGGAGGGCCAGAACGCCGTAAGTTGACTTCTATATTGAGACGTCGCAGGAGCAATCGGTCTCACCATTTCCACAGGGCAAGGAAACGGGCGACCACGGAGGCATTGTGCGCCAGAAGGACACTGGGTAAGTTTGTTTAGTCTTGATAATATTCACTTTACATCGACTGACCGGTAGTAGCTGGGATTAAATATCTCGCCATTCGTTGGAAGGAGGCATGTAACTATCCCATCTCTTGTTTGAAGTACCAATAGTGAATCATCGGACACCTGATCCATTTCTGTATTTATACACCCAGCGCTGCTGTGCAATCAATTCCCATCGAGCACGAGAAATATATCACCACTCCACTCTGGACCATATTCAATTGCCATCCTACGCATAGAACTTGTTTAAAGCTGAAATATTATTGACTTGCAGGACAGTATGTGGATTGTTCATCATCCTCCTGTAGTAAATTCACGTTCAGGGAAATCATATTGTGTCCTCACAACGGCCTGGAGGCATTTGTACTGATAGCTCACTGCAATTTTGTTTTTATCTAAAGGGACTGATAAATTATGGCCAAATATCCCGCATAGTATTCAGGACTATAGTGCCTTCGTTGCTCACTATATCCCAATCACGTGATCGCTCCTTACGCCGCCGTCGCGCGACGGAGAGGCACTGTCTATCACCTACTCCCCCATACTATTCCACGCAACAGCTCCGCCAACTAATTAACCAACTTATTTGTGGTCGGCACGCTTTATATTGGTTCATTGATTTCGGGGAAGCCGACCGCAGCGGCATTGACACATATGCCTTCCACAGTACGTTGCACGTTGCGCTCACGACTTCCATCGGTCCTGTCTAGCTGGACTAGTCCGAGCTAGGAGCCATGGGCACTTTGGACACAAGATATAATCGCTTCAAAGAAACAGCTGGCTAACACCTTTTAGTTTCGGGCTTCGCGCTCAGGGCGACATCTCGACGGCCCCAATCGCACCCGAAACGGCCAAATCGACCACGATGTCTTTGAAGGATTGCCAGTACGTCGCTGGTCGAAGCAGCCACATACTTTCTCCCAAGCTCCCAAGCTCGAAGACTCCGATTTCAGTGTCCAGGGCTCAGGCGGAGGGCCGACACTACCAGAGCTCCCAATGCCAAGAGACAGCCAGCTTCTGCCTCCACTCAGTCGCGCCCTTCTGCGCGCGGCCCGGGCTGGATGTGTCCATATTCGCCAAAGTGGTCGGGCTGCCGATGAGGAAGAGAAGAGCGTAGCAGATGCGGAGGACCCGAATTCAGCCAATGCCCACGCCGCCGATCGAAGCTTCACTACTCGCAAATGGCTGACGCTTCCTAAGCACCTGGAGCCAGCAGAGGTAGAATTCTTGGCGAAGAGACGTCCTGGTCTTCCTTGCTTGTATGGCGCTGCTGCTGGTGATGCGGGTGCGCCGATGCGCAGGACGAAATTCAAGAAGACAGACCCTGAGACTGGCAATATCTCTATATACGAAGCCTGGGTACCTGAGGGTCATCGCATTGAGGGAGAGATCACTGGCGATGTGCAGGCGATTGCTGCGCAGAGCGAGGTCCCTGTGAAGCCAGAGGCGCCTGCGCCTGGAACAGTCGTTGAGGGTGTAGGGATTGTCAATGCCGAGGGCGTTGTTGTTGCAGAGGCTGGCTCAGCGGCTGTTATGACACCACCCAAGCGACGTCCTCCTCCCCCTAAGCGCAAGGGCAAGGGTATTGGTAAGGGTCGCAAGAAGAAGGTCATGTTCGCGCCAGGCGAGGGTGCCGATGCCGCCACAGTACATGGTATGGGTGACGGTACTGGTGATGGCCAGGGAGGAAGCCAGGATGGTTCACGCATGTCGATGGATCCGAACGGCCAAGATGATGATGAGGAGGATGGCGACGAGAGTGACGAGGGGGATGAGGGTGATGAGTCGATGGTAGATGCTAAGACTCCTGAGACCCCTCAGCCTCCGTCTGGTACGGAGTCTGTTGATCAGCCTTCTATTGAGACTCCCGCTGAGCAGTCAGTTGATGTCGACATGGCAGACGCTGGTCCCGACAACCAACAATTTTCCTTAGAGCCATCTACATCTGTTGGGGCTGAGACTCCTTCGCAGCAGCAGGTTACCGATTCTTCTCAGCCTGAAAAGGCACCCGAGACAGACGACAGTGCACTGGATACCAGCGTACCTCCAAAGATTGAGGCCGCTGAGTTGGATCAGAAGCCTGCCGCACCAGAACATAACGATGCTACTCTCTCTTCTGCTGAAATTGCTGCAGTTTCGAATGCAGCTGCTGAGACTGACGCCTCAGAGCCCAGCAAATCTGAGATGGCAGAAGCAACGACTGACGTTGCGCCAAAGCAAGAGGAGCCTGAAGCCACAGGTCAACCTGAGGCTACAGCTGCTCCACAATCTGATGGTTCCGACAAACTTTCAGAACCAGTGCAACCTTCACTTTCGACCGAAGTCCCAGCCGAGACTGAAGAACCTCAACCCACCTCAAACGAGACCACCACCCAGCCTCACATCGAACCCGCTTCAGCTGCCGCTGACGATGACCAAAAAAAGGAAGCCGATATCCCCCAACCTAACCCAAGTCCGGCTGAAGCAAAGGACGTCGAAATGAGCGAGACTCCAGCGGCGCCGGAGCAGAGCCCCGTGCCTGAAGGAACCCAATCTCCTGCGAAGCCCAGAACACCCCTATCGGAACCACCAGCCGATGAGTCTCAGCCTCCTTCATTTGAAGCGGATTCTACCGCCGCAGATGTAGCTCCCGCAGAAGAACAAACACTTGTGGCTGAGGATAAAACAGAAGATAAGGCAGAACAAGCGGATCAGCCAGAAGCTGAGACTGCCGCTGCAGAACCCGAGCAGAGGGATGACCATCCTGGAGAGGTTACTAGGGAAGTTGAGCAGCCCTCGGATTCAGTTCTTGAGGGTGCCCCTGCGGAGTCTTCGTAGGCTCTTTTTGTTACTACTATCCAGTTCATGCGGTTTTTAACGGTGTATGATGAATACTCTTTGTCTTGTTTATTATTTGTCTGGCGTGTTTGTATTCGTAGGCTGGAGTCTGGGCTCTAGGGTTGTTTGTTGGTCATTGATTCTTCGCTATTACATTTATGTAGAATCATGTTGTTTGTCTATTGTTTCAACGTGACTTATTTGAATTTGTTCACTTCGGTGACTGTTTCTGTTACATTATACGGCAACGTTCAGGGACCTTAAGGGACAACGCACTATTTTGACATGTCACCTTCTTCAGTATTTCTAGTACGCCTCTTCTGAATCTTGAATCAATTCCAATTTTAGGATACTGCTTTTTATTGAGAGTATCCACGAATAAGGACCGGTCTTATCTGTTGACTCTGATTCCCGACACTTTTGCTCAAATGTGTGCATCAGTCGCTCTATCATTAGCTTCGTGCTCTGCCTGTCCGTTCCTTCAGTTCATCCTGTTCACTGATCCATCGTTGTCGCTTTCTCCAAACCCCGTACCGTGCCATTGAGAGCTGAGAGTCTCCACTTCACAGACTAGAATTAGGGTATCCCCCCACTGATCCCACTAAGAGAGGTGAATCCGGCAAGATTCATCCTATCTATGTGACTAAGTATGATCTACCCAGCAATTTCGAACAAGAGGACAAGTCCATGCACCTCCGCCTACTAAGGGCTAGACATCTCGCCCGACAAAGGATAACTGAGCCCGACTGAACATATAGGGACGAGATGAATCACAGCAGCGTCATCTGTGCATTTTTTTTCTCTTTCCAATTTCCTTTAGTCTTATATGCAGCCCTGTAAATCCCAGCTGACTTTATCTTGATCCTCTCACCGAGTTCACCGAGCCTTCTTAGGCAGAATCTTGAAGCGTTAGGGCTTTTTGGCGGCAAGCGTTCCGCATTAGGAAATCATCCGACCGATCAGGTCACTCAGCGGTCTTTTCAAGACATCATGTCACTATTCTGCAGCAGGACCCCCACTTTATTGGTGTATGGTAAGGATTCTATGGGCCACACCTCAAGCCGCGAATTTCCCGAAGGATTCGGAATCCCGATCGGCTTGCCGAGTCAGGCCAGACCCAGTAGCAACTTGAATATAAATACGGTAGCTCCTCTGGCAATTGTTTCCACTTCTCTAGTCACACTTTTACATGGAATAATCTATCCATTCTGAATTCTCAATTAATTTTACGTACACCATGGCTTCTTGGTTGTTTGGCGGTTGTCAGGCTGCGAATGTACCAACCTACTTTGATATCAGGTCAGACCATAGCACTCTATTTTGCTTTTAACTCACTGACTGGGTGATTACTTGCTTAGACTCGATAATAGTAGCCTTACCTTTCCTCGTATTGATGAGGATACTAGCTACGGCCACCTCAATGGCACCGTTGTTCTATGTCTGAACAAGCCACTGCCCGTCAAAGAACTCAAGCTCCACACAAGAGGGATTCAATATGTCAAGTATGTTCCCCTGTTTCCTGAAAATACCGCTGGTCAGGATATCAAGCTAACACTATCATCAGCTGGGATTCAACAACACCAGATGGCCAGCACAAGAAAGCAGCCTGGCGCGAAGCAACATTCTACCACCAGATCTGGAGCTTCCTTCCCGAGTCGAACAAAAAGCAAACAACCTTGCAACCAGGCAACTATGAGTTCCCATTTGAAGTCACTCTGCACAACAGCCAACCAGAGAGTGTCGAAGGACTAGACGACTGCTACATTCGATACGAGTTAACCGCAGGGATCAACTGTTCATGGGGATTGATTGCAAGATCGAAGGATATGAGAGTATCTGAGGCTCTGGAGCCCTTATCCTTCCTTGAACCTGAGGTACGTACAAGAACGAGACCCGGCTTCTAAGTGAATGGGACAACTGACATCACAACTACACAGAGCATTGAAAGAACCTGGGCCGAAAAGATTGCATATCGAATCAGTATCCCGGGACGATCATATCAAATCGGAGCCCCTATGAAGATTGATTTCCGATATATTCCACTCCAAAAAGGCGTTCGACCTGCCTCGATCAAGGTCCAGCTTATGGAATCCCACGCTGTGGATTCTAGGGCTGGAGGGCCAAGATCTATACGCCAAACCCGAGAGAAGATTATCATCAATGATTCCTCTGAGTTTGAGGATTTCTTAGGAGATGGGATTTCCCCTGAGGAAGCAGATGGAGAGGAATGGGATGCACTATCTCATACCATCTTGCCTTCGAAATGCATCGAGCCCTGTGTGCCAAGTTGCAACACATCTGTCATTAAAATATCACACAGCCTCAAAGTGTGCATCAAGCTTCTCAATCCTAATGGGGCCTACTCTGAGGTAAGTGTGCATGAGAAATTACAGGAAGCACAGAAAACAACAAAGCTAACGATTGTCCTTCCATCTTAGATTGCTGCCTTCTTCCCAATTTCCTTCTGCTCTTTCCCCAAATCCTTCTCCTCTTCCTACTCGCTATACAAAGAATGTCTCACCGACCTCCAACCTGCTCCATCATACACAGACTACATCCACGACAAACCATACCCAGAGTGTGATGTAATGGATCTTTCAGGTCTACAAGCTGTGACAGGTCAGACTGAAACCCCTGGACAGGAATACACCGAGGACAGAGTTTTAACAGAGGAGCTTCTTGGAACTCCTTGTTATGAAAGTGCGATATGCTCGGGCGCCCCACGACGTGGTGAAAGTCCTTCTTACTGGGATGTTGTTTCGATTGGTGGATAGGTTACGGTTGGGGAATTTTGGGGTTAGAGGTCCTTTTCATGCGTTAATGCGTATATACCCGAGAGACTCAGCTAAGCGGTCCTATTTTGCTTGCTGTTCAATTTAATGTTTGCTGCTTGGTTAATATATCGACTCTCCGGTGAATATCTGCCTTGAGATATGAAAGTTGGTAGGAAGAGGCGAAGTTTTATGAAAGCCAAGCTGTAGATCTATATAGCGGGTGATGGGAGAGAGAACCCTTGGGTAGATGACCATTCGAAGACCAATGTCAGAAACGATGCTTACCATACTTAATATGCATGGAACCAACTCTCGATGGGGACTATCATCTGAGCCAAGGGTAAACAATGTTGAATTTGGAAACATCTACCCTAGCTATATCAAAGCAGATATAAAGGTCACGCACCAATCTGAACTAAACACGCAACAGCGGCCCAGGGCATCCACTCACTTTCATGACCATGACGCATTAACAGAATAAGAGCTCAAGCAGAAAAAGGAAGCCAGAGAGGAAGAATGATAAAGAAGAAGAACAGAAGAAAGATAGAAAAGACAAGATTGAATAGAACAAGGAGACCGACCACGAAACGCCTTCTCAGTTATGGGGTAGAGCAATAACAAAAAGGGATGTCGTACAGGGGGGGGAGTAGCTAATGAACATGAATGTCAACAATCGAGCAAGAAGGACAAACACGTCAAGAAAGAATTGAAGTCGAAAATTATGGGTTAGAAAGAGAGAGGAAAAAAAACTTGCTGGTGGAGAGCCATATCAGACATGAGACTCGAAACACCTGTTGCGTCAAATGTCAAGGTTGACAGAAAATGAGATAGTAAAAGCCGAAGGAACTAAGCAAGTCCACTTCCCAGCTGCTGGCTGATGGTCTGCAGTTCATGATAGAAGGCAGAACAATTTGACTGCTAAGTCTCGTTAACAAGCAGCGCACTGCAACGAGCAGTCAAAGGCTGATCAAGGCGTTCAAGGTTTCTTTGTTCCCCTGACAGATCGCACAACACGCCGAGCGACGCTCTTGACATTTCTGCCGAGGCCTTTCTTAGCAGGGCTTTTCGCCTTGACGGGGCTCTTAGCAGAAGCCTTTTGCGCAACATTTTTGCGAGGACGGCCTACGGCACCCTTGGAAGCAGTGGCGAGAATCTTCTTCTTGGTCTCGGCAGATGGACGCTTGAGCGTTGTTGTTGACTTCTTGGCGGGCGAAGCTGGGGCCGCCTTGGTGGTCTTGGTGGCTTTGGTGGCTTTCGTAGTCGTGGTAATTTTCGTACCACGAGTAGCGCGTACAGCAGCCTTCACTCTCCCTGTAGCTTTGACTTTGGGCAACTTGACGTTCTTCGCCTTGGTGGTGGTCTTGGCCTTTGCTGTGGTCTTCGTGGTCTTCTTTCCCCGGACAGTTGCCACGGCCTTCTTGACACCAGCCCGAATAGATTTCGTTGACATCAGCTTGCGACGTTTGCTCTTTGGCAGCTCATCTTCCTCGGAATCGGACTCAGATTCAGACTCAGACTCGGTTTCGGATTCGGAATCAGACCCAGATTCGGATGAAGACTCTGCTGCAGCCTTGCGCTTTTTGCCGATGACTTTCTTGGTCTTCTTCAAACTATCGGCCTTCCGCTTCTGCTCAAGCTCTTTAGCGCGCTGTTGCTTATCCTTCAGACGTGGCCCCAAGAAGCCTCGGCAATTGGCTGATCCACAGCGACATTGTTGCACGTTCTTGTTGGAGTATGGGCTCATATAGTATTAGCGCAAGAGTCTATCTGGCTGGTCACAAAAGATACTCACTCGAAATTGTAGTCATAACTTAATTCCTCCCCAGTGGAGATTCCACGATCTCCGGCAAAGAGGGCCATGCGAGGCTTTCCAGCAACAGTCCATTTCTCCATACGACAGTTGGGATCACATGCATGATTGACGAAGCGAGCGATGGACCCACGCGTCGCATCAATGATCATATTTTGATCAAAATACATGAGATAATAGCACTAAATGAACAGGTCAGCAACAAGTAATCAGTAAGAGAAGTAAGATGGCATACGTCATTGTTCTTGTACACTGTTCTCATCCTCTTCTCGCACTCAAACTGCGTGAGAATCTCTCCAGTATACTCCACAATAATCTGATTGGGTTCAAAGGAACGGTTGCTGCGGACGCCGTAGCCACGATCCTGTGTCTTGATGACCTCGACTCCAATGTTATACTTGCCACCAGCCTTGGTGCGGTGCTTGAGTCCCTCGAAGTTTCGGTTCCCGCACTCTGGACCCAGCCTGCAGTTACCGTTGTCACACTCGTAGAACATGTAGCGATTCTGGCAATTTTCGTCGCAGCCAGTTTCCTCCTCACACATGCAAGTAGACAGCTCGAGGTTCTTGTTCGCTTTCCAAAAGCTTCCGGCGTCGCCAACAAAAACATCTAAACTGTGTGTTAGCCCTCACTTCAAAATGTGAGCTTCCGATCCAATACTCACTCTTGTTAGTCTTGCGCCACTCATCGGGCTTGGGCTGGCCAAGCGGGAGAGGCGAGAAGATGTCGTATGGCAGTTGGTAATCTCTTCCGTTCTTCAACAGCCGAGCACCCTTGAACATGGGCATAGGAAGAATAGTACGGTGCATGGGACCAGTTCCAGTCTTCTTAGAATTCTTGCTCCGGCGCTGTTTGGGAGGGGAGTCCGAAGGTTCCTGTCCAGTGTAGAGACCGTGAGACAGCCACAGCTTGCGCTTAGGCCGAGGCGAGGATGGTGCGGACGGTTCCTCGGGAGCAGGCGTATCCTGAGATTTGAGCTTGGACAAATCACTCTCAGAGACTCGGCGCTTCTTCGTTGCATGCTCATTCTCTTCTTTTGTCGGGGCCAGATTACGAGGCCGGAGACTAGCACGACGACCAAGTTCCTTATCTGCCATACTTCTCGTGCGCTTTCCCAGAATACTGTGGGCCCGATCAACGAGGTCAGAAGCCTTATCCAAAATACCTATGCGACCTGACCGCCGTAGAGACTTGCGGGAAGCGGCACGAGTCGGGGTTGGCTTCGATTTGGGCGTTTCCTCATCTTCCTCCAATGCCTTGTCCACACGCTTCCGTAGTGCCCGCTGTTGAAGCGACATATTCATATCCTCGGATTGCAACTCTTGGGAAGACTTTGAGACCGGGGTATCGGGGGCCATTGGGTGATCATCTGCCGCAGCATCCTCGTCTGGAGTACCGTTCCATAAGGAATTTTCCATCACGGCAATACTGTGACGCAGAGAGGAATGGGATCTTTTTGCGTTGGCGAGGCTAGCGACGTAGGCTTCGCTGGAGGAAGCGGCGGATCCGTTCTTCTCAGCTGTGTCGTCCAGTGGCTGACCGGCCAGCGATGCGCGTGCGACTCGTGTTGACCTCCGCCGTCCCGCGGTATTTTCGTCAGTCAACGCGTTTTCATTGTTGCTCGATGTCTCAGAACGGCTGTTCTCGGGGGTCAAAAGTTGCTCTGGAACGTCGAGGCTAATGTTGTCTTCGGGCTCGTGTGCCTTGTCGGCAGCCGCGGACGCGGACGCGAGTAATCGGGACGTTCGGGGCGCCATGTTTGAAACACTGCGTAAATGAGCAGGACAATTCCACGAGGAACCGCCTTTCTCAATGAACTGGCGCGTGTGGTCTGGGATGGGGGGAATATAAGGGGGAGAGTGCCAGACGGGGATCAGCTCCCGCGCGCTTCTTATCAATTTAGGGCGATGCGATGTCTGACGCGTGCAACACCAACACAACCCCAGCCTCAAAAGTGCAGAATTTCCCGAGATCTTCAATACCCTAGAGCGAGAAAGGATTGGATAACAAGGGGGAAGGAGGAAACTTCTCGCATGAGAAGGAGAAAGCTTACGAAGTCAGATTTCCTGGAATGCCGAAATCCCTCATAACTTCCACCCCGCATGGGGAATTCTACGCGTACTGAAGAAGTGTATATGAAATGAGAATCTAATTTTGCTAGGCACAGATCAAATATCATGGAATGAATATGTTCCATAAACATGATATAGAAGTCGAGGTAGACTGCTCTGGTAGGATGTCTGATTTCCAGTTGTCACACAAGTGACAGAAGGGTAATAACAGAATAAGGAAATGTTCAAAGATCGGTAGGAAGACAGGATTATGTCTTTGCCAAGTACAGCAAAGCAGACAGAACTTGGAGGAAGAAGGGTATGGATAATGTGGTGATTAGAACGTGGTAGCTGTGAAGGATTTTGGAAAGAATGGGAAATCGAAGGAAGATATCATGAATATCATGTTCAAGAGTCGTGAGAAGTCGACGGGCACAGAACGAAGGTTTTTTTAGCCCTGCTGGGGACCGACATGTTGCATCTCAATGTCTCCTTGAGATTCAACATCGGGGACACGATACTTGCGCTTCTGTGTCCCCAATCGTTGATCGCCATCCTCATATCGTTTCTTGAACTGCATGTATGTGGGAGGTCGGGGACGTCCAAGGACGGCAATCCAGTTCTTGAGAACATTTCCCTGAGTGAAGGGCCGATGGCGGTCCGCCTTGGCAAACTTGTGCGAGTTGAGATACTCCCTTGTTGTCTCGCCACGACCGGTCAGGAACAAATGGTATGCCCAAAGGGACGTGGGATAAGGCACTGCAACGATACCATAGATCACCATAGCCCAGGGCACCCTCCATTTGGAAATTGCGGCACCAAAGGAGATGTGCTCCTGCGACCTATAGACCAAGATATGTGCGAGGCTGGCGCCAATTAAAAAGAAAGATAAAATGGTGCAAGAGCTGACAAAAGTAAAAAAATAGCGATAGTTGCGGCGACCAACACAATTGTTGAGCCACACACAGTGGTGATCGAGGGTCTCGACACAGTTGTCACAGACACGACAATGATAGCAGCGAGGAGGCCGCCAGATGCTGCATGTCTTGCAGTATTTGACAGGCACGTCCATGGCAGCCACCTCGGAAGTAGCGAGTTTGACCATCACCCAGTCATTTGTAGGGGGGCCAAGCGCCAACGGATCATCTGAAGGATTCGGCTGGGGCATAGGGTGAACAATCCGGGGCATTATCTGGTTATTATATTAGCAATCGTCGGATTCATCAGATTTGAGTCACTCACTCCAGGATCGACGGTAGACGCATGTACGAAGGATGAGATGCAAATATAGAAGATATAGGCAAACAAGATTGGAATGGCAGGTGAGACGTTATGCCATAGCCAAGGGGCCGAGAATCCGAGGAACAAAGCTGACGGTACAACGACTAGAAGCCCCGTTGCAATATTGACGGGCTTATCTCTCGCATTTTGGAATCGCCCTCCTCCGCAAAACAGAGTATTGCCAGTGAAATATTCCCAATTCTTCCCCAAATTAGATTTTGGAAGAGGGGGCTTCTTCACATCAAGAGGTCCCGGAGAAGAGGTAGCGGATGAAAGATGTTCATGGCCCCGAGAGTCATGGTTGTGTGGCGTTCCCCTATTTTGTTGGAATGAGAGGAATGAAAGTGGTGATTTCGGCGGTACATCCTGAGCGGCTTGTCCTGAATAGTTCGCATCCAGGTTGAGACGACCAGGCTGGGGTTTCTGTCTCTCCTCTCTGTCTCGCAGCAGCCTGACACTGTCGCCCAAACTTCGGATGGTTGTGTTGTCGATAGGGCTGGCGTTGGAGGTGTTGCGGTCCGGGATGATGGGATCCGTGAATTCTGTACCCCGAGACGGTGGAGCTTCCATATCTGTCTGAGGAAGAGAACCTTGGGGGACTGTACTGTTCGAAACTATGCTCCTCCGGTTCTGACTTCCTTGTTCTGTCCAGTCATCGGACGAAAACGTTCCCTTGGTCCTAGGGCGAGTACCCCGGTGTGCTTGCAATCGCTGCGAACTCATTGGCCGGAAGAATGCCTGGGCCGTCAGGGATGGGATATGACTTCTACTCAGCCGGCTAGCCGAGCTATCAGGTCTGCTGGTGACTTGGCTGGACGCGGTAATGGAGTTTCGCGTCGGAGGCGGACCACGCCTGGAAGCCGAGGGTCCATGCTGGTGCGATGGTGGAGGTGATGTAAAAGAAGTTGTTCGCTCTCCGTCGTCATCTGTCACTCGTGATGAAATTCCTCCCACCGAGGGAGGACGAGGAATACCTAGCACATGTTGCTGTGTTGAGGCCGGGTTCGTGTCGCCGCTGTTTGGACGATCTGTGGGGTTTGCCATTGTGCTGGAAGAGAGTGAATATTAATAATTAACTATATCGAAATGCGCGCTATCATATTGCGACTCGAGAAGACTATGGCCTAATGGCGGAAGCGAATCGCGGTGAGCGTAGGCAGCTATCGGGCAATGTGACGAGCGAAACCACAGAAAGGAGTGACAATGGAGTCGAGACGGGATTGAACAAGGGACTAAACGGATCGTCCAGGGTTCTATGAGTTCATTAGTCTCGAGTCTATGTGCTGTGTTCCACCGACAAACGCGAAAAGCCGGGGCCAAATTGTAGAGCCCCTGATGGTGAAAATCGGAATCACGTACCTTAGAACAGCGATAAACAAGCCCAGCCAATGCATAAAAGCCAATTACATCACAGGAAACATACTCCGGAATGATCAATCGTCAGCGACTCGAATTAAAGAACCAGAGAAATCGACCCAAGCAACGTAGGGGGCGATGGGATGGAATTATTATGTAATCTAGATCGGGCTAAAGGTGGGTCTTCGGCCAGGCATCTCAGGCAGCATATTTATATCACGTGGTGTTCAGCCTCATGATTGGATTGCTTGGAACTATAAGTCGACCCCTTGATACTATTTGGATGCAATGATCTAGGATTTGTATTTGTCAAATAGAAGCCTACATCTAGCCACTAGAACAGTATCCAGATCTGGTTGGATTGCATAATTCAAAAAAGGGTATTCAAGATGCCCATATCAGGATCGAGCACCCGGATATATAATCCAAATCCATGATCCAACAAGCTTAAATGACTGAATAACAGCAGACTATCACCATTGACCAAGTTTATACCTAGGTATTTAATTTTATACAATTACATGAAGAATATTCTCTGGTGTTGAAAGCGGATACTACAATAGGAGCCATACATCTGTTCACAGTGCCAAAAAGTATTAGACAGTCTCTCTACGAACACCTCAAAAAGATGTACTATTATATGCATGATTTCTGCCTAAACTTGGCCTCTCTTTTGTAGTATATTTTTAATCTCTCTCTTTGAGTCATTCTCAAGAGCTTTGGGTTGCTCATCCAGATCATTTAGAGGCGGGTGTTGTGAAAGGATATATAGACACTGTTGTAGGACGTAAAGTCACTTACCACTCAGATAGCCCCTTGTTAAGATTGTGTCGAGCAGATGCTTATACGTATAATCAAATTGGCTCTGAAGATGATTGGGTATTCTTGTTTCAATGTTCTTGCCCTTAGATTTACACTAGAAGATACTTGGAGCTATGCTTCGCATGACTCTTCAACCTGGTAAATATGCAGAAAAGGTTATGGTCAGCGTAATAGAAATGATTATTTTGGATCAATATATTTCTTATAGTCAAAATTGAAGAGACCCGGACGCTAAAAATTTATTGAGCAATCAAAGGCATATCATATCCGCTTACAAGAAAGCGCTTGAGGAATTGGCAACCAGCGTAGAACCGCCCTCAAAACAGAATATATTTGGCCGTGGGACTTTTGCTCGAAAACGACCAAGTCTCGAGAACATAGCACTACATAAGCGGTTATGTGGCGTATTCTGTAATACTGATTGAACCCGAGGTGTTGGTCGCATTTGGAAAGATAAACCGTGATATCGGATAAATCCAGGAGCTCAAATGTGACAGATACTGGGGTCTTTCGATCAAACTCGGCAATTAGTATGTATATGGCACACATGAATAATCAATTTTCATATCCCTAATCAGACCTAAGCCCATATACAAGTCGCAAATTGTAGTGAAGTGAGTCGGAACATGCGATGCAAATTCTGTGAGTGCTGATTGGCCAGCTTACATAAGGTCCGTTCGTGGCCGGCAACATCATTCGATTCTCTCCCACTCCCGTCACCAGTTCACCCACAAATTACCAACTCCACGCACGCTCGACTTGCTGCAAATATGTCCACAATCGCTGCTCTGGCTGGCCGCCGGGCTTTCACCCGCCAGGCCCTCTTCCGCGCCCCCCCACGCCGCTTCAACTCCTCCAAGGTCGAGGAGGCCGCCAACCTTGACAAGGCCGGCAAGCGTGACCCCGAGCTCTACGTACGAATACCACAAGCCACTAAACCCCCGCAGAGCTATCGGTCTAACTGCTATGTCTACAGGTTCTGCTCGGTGTCATGTCTGGTGCCTTGATGATTGCCGGCTGGTGAGCATCCCTCCCAATATTCCCCTACATCTCCCGACATCCAAATATTTCGCCCCATTTGCGCCATTGTGACGTACCAATGCTTTCAATGGAGCACTCCGACCGACTCACATCTCTCAATGGCGCATTTCCAAAGCATTATGCAAGCTTGAGCATCGGCTAATCCATGATTTCGCAATCTTTAGGTACTTCGGCCGCAAGCCCACCTCCGTCAACTCCGAGAGCAACGTTCGCATTGGCGAGAGTGCCATGCCCTGGGAGAATGTTTCCGAGGATGGCAAGGTCTACAAGTACCAGTACCACCCCCACGGTGACAAGAGCCAGCCCCTCCGCGCTGCCCCCAGCGCCATGAACACCGTCATTGTCCCCAATGTCACCCTGCCCGAGGTATGTTCCATTGGACTCTCTGACTCATATGCCATGCTCGATCACTTGGTTCAGAACTTCGAGGTTGGCTTGACTGTCTCTATATTGAATGCTGACATGTGCCTTAGGACCTCCACGAGCGCTTCAACAAGTACGGCAAGGAGGAATGGGACTACTAAACGGCTATTGAATAGCTGTTAAAAGTGCCTTAAGAAGTTGAATGAAGCGAACCGCCGTATCCTGCGGCCGGCTGCTGTATACTAAGACTGCTAAGACTGCGGAGAGAAGGGGTTGCCGCGTGGGTTAGCCCATTTGGATTGCAAGGGTTTTTGTGCATAGTATTCGTGTTCAGATAAGAGTCAATTGGGAATCGATCTCTTTTTTGCGCTTTATCTTCATCTACCAACTGAAGTGTGTGTGGTGTCCTGCTACTAACCTGCCCAAATCCATTGCTCATGCACAAGCTTTAAAAGTGATGGAATTGACTCATGATACTGCTATACAATTGGGACAAATTCGTGGATATCAGTGTTGATTATGGAAACACTAGCGAAAAAGCCAACAAAGAAACAACAACTACTCTATGGAGTCTCATTATACATGGGTCAACGAAACCCTCACCTCATACACTATGTTCCACAATTTCACTGCTTAGTGGCCTCATTGCCTTCACTAGCAGGCTTAGCCTCCAGGGAGGTAGACTGCTCGACGGAGCTTTCGTTACCCTCAGCCACAGAGGCCGGGCTTTCAGGGGGCACGGAGTCCTCGGGACCGCTAGCGGTCTCAGGATTCTGGCCCTCCACATCCGGATGCGGGGGCGCGAGCTGTCCATCGACAACAGGGACCTCGTGGGCGTTCTCCATGCGAGGACCGGGCTCATAGCGAGTCTCGAACTTCACCTTACCTTCGGCGCGGAGAGAAGCGACCAGATCCTCGGGGAGAACGTTGCCGTTTTGGTCGCGGTATTCAACGCGAGCCATGGAGCCTTGGATCTTGTGCGAAGTGACGGCTGCTTCTCCGGAACTCTCAGCGGGCTCAGCGACGGGGGGCGCGGGCTCTTGGGCCTTGACTGGTGGCGGGGCGGGAGGAGCTTGAGCTGCGGTTGTTGGGATGGCCTGGGGAGGGTTGGGCACATATTGAGTGATGTATTGACTCAACTATTTGGTGGGAAAAATTCCATGTCAGTTCATGGTCACGTCGATTCAGTAACCTCGCCGGGGAGGCTGCCATTCCGGAACACTTACGTCGGTGTGGAAGGTGTTGCAGTCGAAATCCCAGGATCCGAGGAGCTTCACCTGGTTGCATGCGTCGCGAGTCCAGGGATTTCCATAAACGAGAGGGGCGTAGATGGTGAAAACCAGGACGCTGAGACCAAGGAATGCTGCCATCAAAACCTTTCCGATCACGGGCTTGGAAGCAAGTCCAAGGCTCTGGATACGGTTGGTAAGGAAGTCAAACTCTTGGCAAAGAACCATGATGGCGAAGTACAGGGCCGGGAGGTAGTGGTGCAGGAAGAGCTGGCGAGCCATGAGGTAGAATGGGAAGTAGTGGAAGAACCATCCAAGAACACTGGTACCAATCTCATAGTCGAAACGCTTGAAGGCGACGTTGTTGTAGTCACCACAGCTGCGCTGCCAGCGGATAATGGAGAGAGCCTTGAAAACGAAGTAGATGCCAATAGCCAGTGTGCTAGACCACCAGATCAACGGGTTTCCAAGCAGGTAGATTTGGCGGTTGTCCTTGCCCCAGAAGTTGATACCACGGAGAAGAGTGGGCCAAGAGGGAGGGCGAGAGTCCCAGGCGTGGGATTCAACCAAGCCAGCGTTGGTGGTCCACATAACCTTCTGCAGCTCCCAGAACTTACCCAGGAATCCAGGGTTACGGTAGTTGACTCTCTCGGCGTCTGAGGCCATAGCGGGATGCTGGTTGTCCTCAACATACCAGACACTGTTAGGAAGGGTACCTCCACGGGCACAGGTCACTTCCTGCTGCTCCCAACCCCAATCCGGAAGCTTGACCTTGTGAGAGAACAGAACACAGCCGGTCATGACATGCACCAGCTTGAACTTGGTCTGAATAGTTCGCAGACGCTTCTTGGATTCTGGCGTCTCGGACATAGACGGAACGATCTCAACCTTGAACAGATCATTGGCATCACCAGGGAAACCTTCGTATCCATAGGCAGATACCTCGTATTGCCAGTCAGCCTCGGTCACCGGGGGGCGTTCATCGTGGGAGTGGATTCTGCGGTGAGTGATCGAATGGTAAAGTTTGATGACAGATCCATCCTCGATGAATCCAGGAGCAGTCAAGTTGTCCCAGGCGAAGGGACCCTCAACCTCTCCATACGGACCAAGAGGCTGAGTCTGGTTCTCCAAAAGGAACAAGTTGTTCTCATCCTTGTGAGGGTAGAGGGTGATTTGCTGCTGCTTGCTGCCAGTGGGGTACATGTGAGGGTGAGAGTGCAGGTAGCCACCCTGGGTGTTCAGGTGACGAATGCTGACTCGCGAACCGAAGGAGACATCTGCGGGAACATCCTGCATAGACTTGGAGTTCAATGTTGCCTGGAATTCCGAAGACATGAAACCGTCACCTTCTCCAGGGTTGACCAAGCACATGAAGTGAACAGCGAACATGGCAAGGTAGAACCCAAGAGGGATGACAATGAGACAGAAGACTCGGGAGAAGAAGTGCTTGAACCACAGGCGCTGTATCAAAAGTTAGCCCCGAACATCAATTGATTTTGATGCAGAAATACATACCGGTGTGACAGTCTTGGAATCGCCCAGCAGCACCCACAACTGGAGAGCCGTAAGGGATCCAACCCACGCCATAGTGAAAAGGCCGACCCACTTGACGCTAAGAGTAGCGCCGAGAGAGAGACCGGTAAATACCAGCCAGAACCACCACGGTCCACTAAAGGCATGGGAGGGTCCCAGCTCCTGCTGATTGGTAAAGCAACTGAATGACAGAGCAGTCAGAGCAGTAAAGAAGATCAATGGAGAGTCAAGAAGAATAAGACGAGATTGAGTGACCAAAGCGTTGTCTGCAAAGTTATTAGATATAGTTCCAACATGAACCACGGGATCCATAGATCAAGCATACCGAAGATTACGACGCCAGCACCCATAACAGCAGTGGAGGTCCGGCATCCAGTGACCCTAAGAGTGAAGAACATCAAAGGAACAGTCAGAATACCCAAAATTGCTGGTAGCAAGCGCATTGCCACATATGGAACGCCAGGCTCCAGATAATCCTTGCCAATGTCCTTGAAGTCGAAGTTTCCGTCAAAACCGGCCAGCCAGCCAGCCAGGGTGATCAGCAGTTTAGCCAGAGGAGGGTGAACATCCATGAAGAATTTCCCTTTGATATACTTGGACGCAAAACCACCGAAGCTATTCAAGACCATAGTATTAGCACCCCACTTTCTTTTCATATGACGCACGGGTTTGGCGGGCAACATACTGGACTTCATCAAAGACAACGCTGGTGGGTTGGTAAATTCTGAACAGACGAACAGCTGCCGCAATCATAGTGACCAGCACAACTAGCTTGTAGTCTGAGCCGGGAAGCTTGAAGATGTCGTTGTTCTTCACGCCATCCGAGGCATAACTCTTGGGTGCCGCAGCTGCCATAGGCTTGCGGTGCTTGGGTTTCGGCGAGCGACTGGGGGAGCGGCCAGAGCGGCTCTGAGGCCGCACTGCCAAAGTGTCTTTGGATTTCTGCCCCATTGTGTTTCAATTGTCCGATGCGATGCGAGACGACGTCAGCGGTTCAGGGGATCGGCACGAGGGGTCGGAGTTTCGAAGGAATAAAAAATGAGATAGATCGTAGTTGAAGTGTGATATGATCACTAAAGAGAGGCTTGTAGATAATGGATAACTGGATGTCGAGTGCAACTTTTGACCTCGCTCCAAACAAGCTCACCACCGATTAATGATCGTGTAACGATGAGAAAGAAGGCCCCATGACAGGGAAGAAAATAAGAGAAAAGAAAAAGGACCGAGGAGGGAGAGTAAGAAGAAAATAGGAAACAGTCAAGAGGCGAGAACAGCAATGGACGAAAGCGTTCAGTTCCGCCTTAAGGCCAGATCGACGGCGGCTGTGGACGACCCCCTTAACTTTTTAGCCCCCAGTACGGTTACGTGTGTTTTACATGTGAGATTCACAGTAGAAGTGCATATTGTGAACTATAATCTAGCAATTAATTGACTCGATAACTATCTCTGAGACCCTGAAATACAAGTAAACAGTCCCATTCCGGAGGCGGAGTAGACAAAGGAGAGAAACATGGCCGCACATGGGTACTGCCATGGTTCACCGCCACAGGTGGCTGGAGTAGTCAGCAACGTCCATCAGTTCTATCAGTTCTGGAAAAGACCATCTCTTCCTATCCTCACCACCAGCCATGGAGTCGAATGGAAATACCCCTATGATGGAGGAGACCAGCAAGCCTCCAGAGGGTTTGGTGTTGCCCCCCAAGGATATTCGAGGTAAGTTGCAGGACTGTTCTGCCAGGACGAGGTGGCTAACATCGCGATTTAGCAATTGTCGAGAAGACCGCAGGTTACACCGCTCGCAACGGTGCTGTCTTCGAAGGTACGTTTCCCCCAAGAGCCCACACATCGCGCGGCAGGAGCTGACTTCTGGGTATCTAGACCGTGTTCGCGAGAAGGAAAAGGCAAACACCAAATTCTCCTTCCTGCACGCCGGTGATGCCTACGCGCCCTACTATCAATGGCGCCTTGCAGAGATCAAAGAGGGTCGCGGAACATCAGTGTCAGCAGGCCGAACTGGAGAGACTGGAGCTGTTGCCGAACCCGAGAAGCCCAAGGGGCCACCTGAGCCCGCCGCTTTCCACTTCTCGGCGCGCATGCCCAACATCAGCGCGCAAGATTTGGAGATAGTCAAGCACACAGCCTTGTTTGTCGCAAAGCGCGGTAAATCCTTCATGACCGCCCTCTCTCAGCGCGAGGCCAGGAATTTCCAGTTCGACTTCCTACGACCTCAACACAGTCTCTACCAGTTCTTCACGCGGTTGATTGACCAGTACACCATCTTGCTTCGCGCGGAAGGGATCGATGAAGCTACCTCATCCGTTAAAAGAATCGCCGAGCTGGAACAAAATGCGCAAAACAAATACCGCGTCATGGAACGCGCCAAGCAGCGTGCAGAGTGGGTGAAGTACCAAAAGGCACAGAAGCAAGAAAAGGAAGATCAAAAAGAGCAGGAGCAGATTGAATACGCCCAAATTGACTGGCACGACTTCGTTGTGGTCGAGACTGTCGAGTTCACCGAGGCCGACGACAACGCTGGACTCCCACCCCCGACCTCCCTCAATGACCTCCAATCCGCCTCTCTCGAGCAGAAAGCAGCCCTATCCCTCAACACACGACGCATCGAGGAAGCAATGCCCACAGACCTCGACAACCCAACCTACTACAACGCCTACCCAGCCCAGCCCGAACCAGTCATCGCTCCCCAGCCCTCCACATCGCCCTACCCAGCTGGCCCCTACCCCCCACCAAACCAGTACACAAACCCAGAAGAAGACCAACGCATCCGCGAGCGTATGCAAGCACGCGATCAAGCCGCAGCCGCCCAAGCAGCAGCCACAGCCGTCCCAGGCCAGCAACCAATGCGCATCCGCTCAGACTACGTACCGCGCGCCCAGGCCCGCCGCCAACAAGCCGGTGCCATGGCCATCTGCCCATACTGTAACCAGAAGGTCCCCTCTGCCGAGCTGGACGACCACATCCGTATCGAGCTCCTCGATCCACGCTGGAAGGAACAGCGCGCCAAGGCCGACTCCCGCAGTGCAACAACTAACCTCTCCACCGTCGACGTCGTCAACAACCTCAAGCGTCTGGCCAGCCAGCGCAGCGACGTCTTCGATCCTTCGCCCGCCGATCCGGAGGAGGAAGCTCGCCGTAAGCGCTTGGCTATGGATGGCTCTGCTGGACAGCAGGGCCCGACTGTTGGACCGGCTGGTGTGCCCAACCCCAATAATCCTCAGAATATGAACATCGAGGATCAGTTGCGGCACATCCACCAACTTGCCAAGAAATGATATCCTCACGTTTTAGACTTGGATGGGTTGTTTCGAAGATTTTTTTGTGATATCAAGTTAGGGTCTAAGGGGTTTCTTTTGCTTTTCAACTTCACGTATCTGTTACTACAATTCGGAGTTTGGGAGGGATGATTCGGATGATGTGCTTTTCTTTCTTTGTACCATAGCCCCCTTTGGCTCTACAGAAACCAACGAAATATCTAGTCTAATCTGTGCTCTGATCCATACGTATACCCGAGGTGGTTCTGTATCCGAAGCATGTTCAATACAGATAAACAAGGTTAGTGTATGCTCTGTTTATCACCTTACCGCGAGGTTGTTCCTGGTAACCGTTTAGTGTACATTGCTTACATTTCAACTTGAGTGATTACCATCTATGCATTCATTCTGACTCAATTCATCTATCATTGACCCAAAGCCCTACCACCAATAGTAGCCAGACATACCGCCATTGCGGCGAGTCAAACTTGAAAATAGACCGGAAAGAAAGAAGAGGACAGAATTAGAAAAAGAAGTCCATCAGTGCCATAACACCAGGGTCCCCAAAAAGAAAACGAAACGAGAAAGAGGCAGACAAGACACATTATGTATACATAATTGAAAAAAGGGGGTAATAATAATACACGGTGATATGCTGAAAGTGCAAAAAAAGAAGACACCGAAGTCAGACGATGAGTAGAAATCACCATCATCACCACATCGACGAAGCAGATAAGTCAACGCCGATAATGAGAAAAAAAGGTACAAGCAGCACTGCCAGAAAATAGAAACGGGTCTGCATCAATGGCACAAAAACAATTAAGTGACTTGGGGAAATGCAATGCCAAAATAGAACACAAAAGGCAAGAAGACATTAGGTGGGTGAATCGTGAAATGCTAGGGAGGCGTGTAGTCGTCTCACTTGTGGTGAGTGCTCATAGAATCAATCAGACGAGAGCCAAGAGGTAACAGTATTTGGTTTGGGAGTTTCTGCCTGTGCATGTTACTCTGCTGAGGCCTCTGTATTTTTGTTCTGAGCAGGGGTGGAAGGCTCGTTGGAGTCGTGTGCCTTCACGTCGATGGTCACATCTGCGTTGGCTTCTTCGTAAACGCTTACGTCGGAGTCGGCAGAGATTCGCTTCAAGTCTTTCTCGCTCATGGCCATATCATCTCCGTCATAGATAGAGCTTTGCGGTCGAGCGGCATCTGATTGAGCTGTGTTGTGGTCGTGGTTGTCGAATGAAACTTCAGCCGCCTTTGGCTGGAGATAGGTGACATCCACAGGCTCCAGGTATCGCTCGTCATCGTCCTCGCTGATACTACTATTAAGATCTGTAGGCTCTGCTTTGACAGGCTCATTTTGCTGCTTGAACAAAGGAATGATGCCAGCTCCAATGCGAGACCAGAACATCCTCTCCCTTAGGCGAATGGTTTCATCCCATATTTCTTTTTCTTCTTCGGTATCACCGGCGCGAAGGTGTCCGTCAAGAATAAGACGCAGGTAACCAGTGAACTCGCAGCAGGAGCGTACTCGCTCCAAGCAGAGAAGACAGAGTGAATATCTTTGAGCGTTCTCACTGTCAGATGTGCGGAAACGGTGGGTTCTTTCATTGCCTGTGCCGGTTCTACGTTCACCACAGACGGAGCAGGGGAACTCAAATTTCTTGGAAGCTGGAGGCATTGGCTCCACGACGAGGCTTCCCTCGCAGATGCCGCTAAGAACGGTGCGTCGGGTCAGCCACGAGATTCCTGGAGCCAAGTCTAGCCGCAAGGTAGGCTCAATGTCCTCCATAAGAACCCGCTTGTAGAAGCGCGTTTCCTTCAGAGGAAAATGAGACCCGGTTGTTGAGGACATGCTCCCATTAGGCGAATGGGCAAATCCTTTGGTGGGCGAAGAAGTCGTTGATGAAGCCCCCCCACTTGCGAAGCTTGCCAAACCCATTCCCATTACGTTCAACCCGCCGTACGAGCCACTAGCCGCACGGCTGGGGGGCTTAGAGCTCCGAGAGAGGACCAGAAGATCACGGAAATCCTCATAAGCCTGCAGATCAGTCCGGCATATCATGCGGAGCATCTGCGGGAAGTTGCAAGAAGGACCCGGGGTGAATTCCTCGATGTTGCAGATCGATGTAGGAGCCGGTTCGAGCTCAGAGTCTTGCTTTGCGGAACCTTGCACTTGCGGGGGGCCAGCAGGGGATGGTGGAGCCGTTGTAGTACGGGCATCGACGTCATCCTTAGAGATGTTCATCCCTTGCATCACGGACTTGAGCTCAGCGAGCTGGGCTTGGTGCGACGCCAGGAGCAGCTCTGTGTCTTTGATTTGAGAACGCAATTGCTCGTTCTTCTTTTCCACCGCTTCGCGTTCAATCTTAGCCGCAGCTACCATCTAGAAAGAATGTTAGAATTGGGATTGGATCTGCGGAGTAGACATGATATAACAAACCTTATTAGCTTCTTCGAAGAGAGCCGCAGTCAGGGTTTCCAGCTCCTGCTCGATGGTTTTCTTGCCTTTTTCAACAGCAGCACGCTGTGTCTGCTCTTCCACAAGTTCATTTCGTAATTGTAGGATTTCACGATCAGAGTCGGCCTTTTTAGTGTAAACTTTGGTGTCGATGTCACGGCGATATTTCTCGTTCTGGAATTCGAGAGCTTGAATTTTGCCCTGTGCAAGCTCCAGCTCTTGTCGGGTAGCAACCAGGCTATCGTCCAAATTTGTTTGGTTGTTGATAGCCTGAATCAATTTCACAGACAATGCTGCAACCTCGTTGCTCAGGTCGGGGTGGTGAGACGATGACGTCGAATGTGAAACCTCCGCTCCGATCGCCAATCGCGGATCCTGCAAGGTGCTAAAATTGGCATCGTCGAACCTGGAAGATCTTTTCGAGCCAGAAGAGGCAGCGTCGGAAAGGTTTGTGGTAGACTTGGCTTTGGTGACGGTTCTGTCGGGGGATAGGGAGCGGTGCTCGGAAGAGACGGACCTCTTATGGGCGTGTCGTGGAATCATATTGGATGTGGAGAAGAAACTGTGATGAGAAGTTTGAAAGGCAATTAAACTGCCCCCCTGAGCGTCAACAATTGACTCCTACCTCGAAAGACATCTTGATCGTGAAGACTTACTCGGCCATGGTGAGTGACGTAAACGGCGTTCAAGGAATGTGAAGCAGGTGAGATAGGTCCCCGCTGATCACCAAATTAATATCACGCCGACAAAATCTGTTGTAGATAGGTTCCTGCCGAAGCCATTCACACCGAGGAGCGTATGGTTGAGACTGGTGAGGCCGCGCGTGCGATCGGGGGAGGCGTATAAGTGCTGGATCGGAAGCTTGAGCCCGGCTGGGAGGAGTAGAGACGGAGAGGTAAATGAACCGACGGAAAGGACAGCGTCGCAGTATAGGGAAAGGATTGAATGACCACACGCAGGTCCGAAGGGTACTATCACCCCGATGATGGCACTGGAAGAGTTGGGAAGGTTGCAGCGCGAATGTCCACGAGGAGGCAACGCTTAGTCACCCTGAACTATTGAAAGGATCGGCTACGCTACTCCAAGCGCAAAATCGTGAAGACTTTGATATGAATCAAATGGTCGATGCGCCAAAAGAGGGGGAATTAGGCAGTCTAATAAGCCAAAACGGAGAAATGCTCCATTTCCGCCACCGGGGACCGAGACCTCCGGGCGCGTGCCGTGATAGAGATACCTGAGAGCAGGGATGGTTTCGAGCTAAACTCGAAGTTATCACCCGAGATCTCACAATTGCGACTCGGCTATTTTCTATCAAATCACGGCTAATCGTGATTTGCCCCTCGCATTCGTGAGGCGCAGCATTGGGCATGGATATAGGGGATATGAGGCGACTCCACGTTTACTCCAGACTGTTTCATCCCTGTGCAACGTTTACATGTACTGCATGTTGACTTCAATTGCAAGGAGGCTGCATTTTCAAAGTGACTATTGCCTCATTGTACTGTATTATCATGCGTGTAGATAGACGATATCTAAGAGACAGGCGATGGATAAGGAGTCCGATACTAATGCGCAAGTAATTTCCCTTCCATGAGTAAATGGTAATATTAGGCTATCAAGCCATTGCAGCTATTAAGTACTCTTATCTCTAGAGGTTATCCCGTAAAGCTATACTATAAGTGACTAAAGTCTTATAGTTCAATATTCCACGTGCATCCCCCGCGTGTCGGCCTCAGGCGGAAGTGGGGTTCCACCAAATCTTCAATCTCGACTTTAACATCATCACTTGACTTATCACCATGGCGGACGCAGAGCTAGAAGAGGTACTGCCTGATCCCCAAAATAAATGCCGTGAGCTCCTCGATCGACCGTGCTAACCCACAAACCAGATCAGACGAGCTCGCCTCGCGCAGCTCCAACAGCAACAGGGAGCACGTGGCGGCCCCGCTGGTCAAGATGGTGGTGATCAGGCACAGCAGAGACAGTGAGTATTTGATGGATTGCGCAATGGTGCATACGTATACTAATCCTCGCAATTAGACAAGCTGAGGGTAGGTCGAACGACCCAATGTCCTAATCCACGTGAAACCGCAATGGATAGGCCTCCGACACCGTGATTATATCCCTATATATCTGACGCAATACTTCTACTCTAGCTGAACGCCGCGCCTCAATCATGACCCAGATCCTCGACCCCGCCGCGGCCGATCGCCTGGGCCGCATTCGCCTTGTCAAGGAATCGCGCGCAACAGACATCGAGAACCGTCTTATCATGCTCGCTCAATCGGGTCAGTTACGACAGAAGGTGACGGAGGAGCAGCTCAAGGAGCTGTTGGGTGCTGTTGCCGAGAACCAGCGCAAAGAGGAGGAAGAGCAGAAGATTGTCATTTCTCGTCGCAAGGGCGGCTGGGATGACGACGATGATGATCTGCTGGACCTGTGAGGGTCAAAAAGCTGCAATCTACAGATTTTTGAAATTATTGCATTCGGATACCTTTTTTTTGGTTAACCGTCCTCGTGGGCCACTTGGGATATTCCCTGTGGGCGTTATGGTCCCATGCTTTACACTACTTTGCAGCTGGATTGGATTGAAGGCATTCTGCCTCGCATTTGCAAATTGGTATATTCTTTACAGCTCTTTAATCATACACACTTCTCTCGGTCGAGATCCGCCTTTCCAACGAAACAGGGAAGGACTTAACCCGAAGCTTGCAACTTCTCCTTCTCCCTCTTCTGCTGCTGCCGAATCATCTTCCGAATATCCCTCAAATCGGGCGGCCGCTCAATATTAAGCTCGGCCCTAAGCTCATCAACATCCTTCTCCAGAACCTCTTCCCAATAAACATTAATAAGCTCATTACTCCTCAATCCACTCCGAATAGCCCACGGCAAATGTAACGAAAGGAATCTCTCCTTCTCTGCCGGCTTCATGCGCACAAAAGCAAAAAGACTCAGACCCGTCATGGGCAGCAGCGTATTCAAAAATTCAAGCGCCTTAAGCGCCAATTCGCCCTCCACGAAGATTGGCAGGCCTGTCACGGCATGGTAAAAGTCGTGGCACTCACGATACCGCTGCATGACATAGGCACATTCTTCGTTGTCGATGTATTGCACATTGTCGCGCGTGTCCGGGGACACACCTTCGCGGTCTAGCCATGTAGCGTAGGTGCGGCCAACGGAGTTCTCGGGGAGGGTGCGGAGGTGGGTCATTTTGAGGGTTTCGGAAGTTATGCGCGGCCGGTCGCGGAGGATGCGTCGGCCTGTTGGGTCTGAGAGCATGGCATCGCGAAGTCGGTATATGAAGTATGGTGCTGCGGTTGCTTCGCCTAGGGCTGCGATGAGATCTATGTGTTGTTAGACTCCGGCTTGCTGGTCATTTTTGGGCCATATTGGTTGGTTCAAGTACCCGCTCTTCTGGGATTGATTAGAGATCCCAATGCCGAGCCAACGGCCAGAGCCCCGCGCTCAATTGTGGTCAGAGGGACATGGCCAGGGTAGTTCGGTGGTGGGCGGTTTAAAACGGAGAATGGTCGTAGAGCATATGACATTGTCGGATTGGTGGCCAAAGACCGAAGATCAATTGCTCCACACCTTCCGAGGACCGACATTATGTGTATCGGAGTGCGTGAAGTATGAACATATTCTCGGAAGTAGAATTGGAGGTCGTACGATTATCAGATCAGAAACAGCGTGGATGGTTGTTATGGGCCACCCTAGGCGATATCATAATCGATAAACATCTCCACATCTACAATCTCCCTCTTCGGTTCGTATTGTATGCGCAATTTAGATCAGCTTGCTTTGAAGTTCTTTGGAATCAAAGAGATCCATCCCTAGCAGGTATATCATCCAAATCTCCAGATTCTGATCTTAAACCTTATTTCAGTCTCTTGGCGCGAGCTAATCATATGCAGTTCCTCAAATTCTCCGAGAGGCACTTTTATTCATTCAAAATGAAGCCAGAATGGTGGCCAGGTGAAGAGCACGAAGCCTTCACAGAATGGGCAGTCTCAAACGGCGTTGAAACAAACAATGTCACCCCAGCTCGGTTCCCAGGCCGAGGATTGGGAATGATGGCTACCCAAAAAATCTATGTATGAGTCCAAAGCCATGTCATATTGAATGTACATGGACCCATACTCACAGTCGACCAATCTAGAAAGGAGACCCAGTTCTCCGAGTCCCAACAAAGCTCATGATCATTGCGGGCGGCATTCCTACCGTATTCACCGAGCAATTCCCTGAAGACATGGCCGTCCAGGCTCTTCTAGCAGCGTACCTCACACACGGAGTCGCAGAAGATCTTTCTAAATATGAGGCTTGGCGCAAGTCATGGCCCAGTCGTCAAGACTTTGCAGACAGCATGCCGCTCCTATGGCCAACTGTATTAGGAGGACCATCATGGCCTCCCAGCAATGACAAGAACAAGGATGTCATCGACTTAGACAAGCCTGGTTTCTTTCCCCCGTCCATCTCAGGTCGCTGGAATAGCTTAATACCTGGACCGAAGACGAGGAAGTATGAGCTGGATCACCAGAACATCCTTCCGAAACAGGTTCAAATCTTGAGTAAGGCATGGTTTGATACCACTGCTGTTTATCCAGAGACTGATTGGGAATCTTTCTCATATCATTGGCTTATTGTGAACACAAGAAGCTTTTATTGGATTGAACTGGGCCAGGAGGCCCCCGAGGACCCCAATGATGCCATGGGAATGGTGCCGTTTGCTGATTACTTTAATCATGCTGATGTTGCTGTATGTGTTTTATTCTGGACTTGGAAGTGTAGTTGCTCTCTAGGCTGACATTATTTCCCGCACAGCGAGATGTCAAATTCGATGAAAATGAATACGTCTTCTGCGCCACGAAGGACTATGAGGAAGGTGACGAGGTGTACATGAACTACGGCAGTCACCCGAATGATACTTTACTGGCAGAATGTGAGAACCTGAGAGAATCACAATCCTCAATTCAGCAGGCTAATACTCCTTGCAGATGGATTCTTCCTCGATGTTAACGAGGCAGATTCAGTTTATCTCGACGATATCGTCTTCCGAGACCTTCATACAGCCGAGCAACAGGAGGACTTGTGGTTGAACCAGTATTATGGGTAAGTTAATATGATTGAGTTGATATATTACAAAGATGCGCAATCCCCATGCGCCATATACACCAGTTCACCATTAACACAACGCCAGCAATTACCAAGTCACACCGCACGGACCGTGCTACCGCACCGAGGTAGCCGCATGCCTGAGTTATATGAAGGAAGAGGACTGGCGGAACCATGTACTCGAAGGCGTAACCCAGGGCCTGGATGAAGAAAGGTCTGAGGCCACGCTCAAGAGGTGGATTTTGGCATATGCCACCGAGGCACAGGCAACTATCATTGCACTGCAGACAGCAATCGAGAACGATCCCGCGGTGCAGGCACATCGCCAGAAAGCGGAGACTTTGTTGAGGCGGTGGGAGCAGATTAGGGATCTCTGTGAGAATGCTGCCAAGACCGTCTCGACATAGAGGTCGTTTGCGGGGGAAATAGATCACTGTTCAATCTTCTGATTTGGCCTTGTGTGGGGGGATGATAGGAAGACTCAATTGAACAATTGCAACAGAAATGCAGATCATAAAGGTTCCTCGCCATCAAACACGATACCCTCATGACTGAAAGGTACCTCAGCGCGGTCTCTCTGTGCCAGGGCAGTCGCTTTGCCGGTGATGAGATGCTTCATCATGTAGTTGAGTGCGCACTTAATACCCAATTCTTCACCACGACGCACAATATAACCATTGAAGTATTCGATCTCTGTCGTCCTGCTGTTGTTGATATCCTGCAACATGGAGCTTTCATTTCGAGCAGTCATGCGTGCGATACTCACGACGTAGCGACGCAGGCGTTCCGCAGAAAAGCGATCTTCGATACCTGGGACACCTTGCAGCTCAGGAAGAGCACAGATCACAGCCGAGATCTCGAATAGCAACAATCGCATGACGCGAGTGTAGCTGAATGAGTAAAGGAGCTCGCCATTGTTACACTCGCCTAATGCTGTTATAGGGTTGATACAGCAGTTGACTGCGAGCTTTTCGAGTTGGTATTGTATCAATCCTGCCGGTGTTTCGGCTGTGGCAACCAAAGCCGGGGTCAAAGTCAAAAGCTGCATCAGATATTTTGTAGTTGGGGCCCATGATTTCTCGGCGTCAGGTCCAGTGAGATGTGCAACGCGGTGTCCAACGGGGCTGAGAATTGTAGTACCGACTCCCATATGGGCAATACTGAATTGTTCCTTCCGAGTCAAGCCATGGCTGAAGACACCCTGGATATAATTGGGTCGTGTTTCGGGATTCGGGAAGACCTTTTGGTTGAGGATATCAATCACACCCATACCATTGTGAATAAAGCAAATAGTCGATTCAGGCGTCAAACGGTGCGCTATATCTTCCATAGCAAGCACTGTGTGGTGGGCCTTGGTGCATACAATCAGGTTCTCGATCGGACCAGCTTCTTCCGGGCTGAAAAATGGCGACACTTTCCCACCTGGGCCGCGGTCATGCTTCGAGGGCGCGGGAAACCAAGCTCCATTTTGGTCTACTACTTCAACGTCGAATCCCTTCTGTATATTGTCCATGCCATGGACGCTCACGGCAATACTTTCCTTGCGTTGACGGTAGGCATTGTAGAGTAGTTTGTTGTGCATACATAAGGTGATGGGAGGCGGGGAGCTTCGAGCCGCAAGGGAGTGAGCGATGAATGACCCGACATTTCCAATGCCGAGGATATGTACTCGTCCGGATAACGGAGGTCCATCTGAGTCCCGATTTGCTTCTGCTGCGTCTTGTGCCCACGTCGAGGCGAACCGTGCCGTTGATCCTCCGTAGACTTGGGGTCGATATCCAAAAGATGTGTCGAGAGTGCTAGCTCGCCATAACGAGCGGCATCGAAGGATGTGTTGCATCTCAAATAGGTTGGGGGAAATCTCCCCAAGAAATGTGTTGGAGCTCAAATATTCGTGGGCGGAGATGGAATTGAGTTGGCAAGGCCGGATTCTTAACACCCGAGGCTGTGAGAAAGACGAAAATAGACCCCAAGAGCAGCCTAACATCTGTTTGTTTAAGAAATTAATTTGGTCTCCGCGTACCTTCGGCGATCTCAGATGCGCAGTGGTCCCGAAATTCTCACCGCCCGTTCTACCGCCTGAGTTGATCCAGACCTATTTTTTTCTGGTATCAAGTAATTTCTCATCAACACTACGCCCTATCATCATGGAGCCAACAACCCTGTTACCGCTGCTTGAGCAGCTAGACGACCATGTAGATGACCTGGAAGAAATCCTGCAGCCCCTTCTGGCCAGTTCCTTGGCCAAAAGTTCAAACAAATTACCCGTCATGGACAAGGCCAAACTTCATGTGCTGGTCACCTACACACTTGAGTCCTTAATATTCTGTATGTCAAATTGAACTGCACTGGGAGCTTCTGATGCTAATGACCAGTCTAGCTTATCTACGGCTCCATGGAGTCGATGCCAAGCAGCATCCTGTGTTCCGGGAACTCACTCGCGTCAGGCAATACTTTGCAAAGATCAAGGACATTGAGACACCATCTGAACAGCGCTCCATGACACTTGACAAGGAAGCTGCCGGCAGATTCATCAAGCACGGCCTGGTGAGTATCTACCAATCTGGCTCAGACGATTATGATATCGCTAACAGTATCTACAGTCTGGCAATGATAAATTCGACTTGGAGCGGGCAGAGAAGCAAGCCAAGGAGAGAGCCCAGGCTGAATTCAAGGCTGCTCAGCTTGCCCGGAAGAGCGCCGCAGCTGCTTCAAAATCCAATGACCAAGGCGACAACAATGAGTCCGAGGAAAAGTCCGATGAAGCAGCAGCAAAATCCCAGAAGGAGGCCAACAAGAAAAAGATAGAAAACAAGTCAATCAGCAAAGGCAAAACGGAACGGAAGGGCAGCAAGACAAACCGATCTGAAGAGAAAAAGGAACGCAGACAGAAGAAGGAGGAGACCCGGAAAGCTCGAAAGGCTCAATGAGTTTTTTTCAGACCACCATGAATGGTCGATGTACTATGAGGCGCCCATGTCCTATAATTCTAGATACCCTTCCAAAATGGAAACCGCATTGTGCTCTAACAATATTGATGTAATGTCGTTTATTTATCTGACCTGCTCATTCTCAGTCTCATCTCTTTCTCGCTCCTTCCAGGGTGACATGATGTACAGAGAATTGAACATTTTCTCGAAAACACCTCGGGATCTCCGTATACTCCGGTAGTCGCAGGGATATCCCCTATGTCCGATTCCACGTGATGCTTCATGGCTATTATATAATCATATCCACCAATCAGAATCCACGGAATTTGCATCGGAGTTTGCCTCACTCGCCGAACTTACTCATCTTCTAGCTTGTTCTTTCTCCACCAAACTTATACTTATATCAACTTCATATCTCTATCTGTCCCATCAATCCACACACATCTAACATAATGCCTCGTCAACGCCGCGGTGCCGCCCCTACCCCTGCGCGTAGCGCTCCCTCTCGCCCTACCGCCGCTCCTGCTCGCCCGGCCGCTCCCACCCAGCAGCAGTCGCAGCCTCACTCGACCGCCGCTCACCCTCCTCAGGCCCAGCATGCTCCTCCCATGCAGCAGCAGAGCGCTGGCCCCGGTCTCTTCGCCAACATGGCCTCCACTGCTGCGTAAGTGCCATTCCCGGCCATCGGATCTCTGTTCGATCTAGCCCCGAGAAAATCCGGGGTTAGACTCAACATTCTTCAAAAACTTGCTAACATACATTCTTCAATATAGCGGTGTTGCCGTCGGTTCCTCTATCGGCCACGCCATCGGTGGCATGTTCGGCGGCGGCTCCAGCGCCCCCGCTGAGGCCCAGCAGGCTCCTCCCGCTCCGTCCCAGGCCATGGACAGCGGTCTCTACCAGAGCAACGCCAACCAGTCTTCATACGAGAACCCCGCCTGTGAGGTTGATGTCCGCAACTTCCGCAACTGCATGGATGAGAACAACGGTAATATCGGTATCTGCGGTTGGTACCTCGACCAGCTGGTACGTTTACACTTTGCCTCGGCTTTTTCGTCTTTATATTGTTTTGCTTGCTAACCCTTAATAGAAAGCCTGCCAGGCTGCTGCCAAGCCTTACTAAGGGCTTTAGATCTCTCTTGACTCGTGGTGTGCTTGATTGGAGAGACAGATACAGTCCTCTCTAGTAATAAGTGATGGGCATGTTCGAACTTTATCTTTCGTAGACAACCTATCTTTTGCATAGCGATCTTCATATCGCATCTTTGTACTCTATACCATCTCTCCTCGATAGGGAAATAAACATTTGATTGGAATATTCACAATCAAAATTGAATGTATGACACCAAAACATTACTCTTCTTTTTTCTTTCCTTTGACAGTAGAACCCTAAATACCGTATGTGGAAGCCTAGGCCATACCAGGTAGAACAGTAGACGATTTTAACGGCATGGACAAGTGTGTATTAAAGCTGCTCACTTCCCAATTCAAAGCCAATATCAAGTATGTAGATGTTTAGTACAGTGCGCTACAGCTAACCCAATCCATCAACGCCACGTAAGATCAATGCAAGAATTTTTGAAGCAACAGACTGTGCCTGGCCCTCATTTATCCTTCCCATCTTGGTCCTTCCGCGGCTCAAAATTCAACTGGAGAGAAAAGTCAGCAAGTCCATACCAAATAACAATTCACTAGACATCACCAACTTGATTCCCATTGTAAAGCTGGCTATCCTTGCGCTCATTCTGTTGGTCCCTCAAAGTTCGAATGTTAGGCCCCGTATTCCTGGTACGCGGGTTGCTGCCAGGAGCCGGAGAAGAAGACGTAGAGGGAGCTGCGTCGTTGGCTGGCGTGGATGCGCCATATCCAAGGAATGAGCCAACAAGACCCGTCGCAGTGCTAGCAGCAGAAGAGGCGATGTTGTAGACGGCGGATATGCCACGGACTGGCAAGCTTCCAGCTGCCGAATATGCCTCTGTGTATGTAGACACGGGGACCATAACTAGGTTTGCCGTAGAACCAATACCTAAGTTCTGAAGAGTCTGTGACTCTTGTGTGACGGAAAGCGTTTCGCTGGGGAGGGGGTTTAGAATATGCTTGAGGTTGTAGGGACGATTGTCTCCTTCCATTTGTTGGTCAAGCCAAGGTCGCACGTCATTTCGAATGCTCTGAGTGGGCTTGAAGCTAGACCGCACCGAGCTTCCGTCAAAAAGGCGTACTTGTAGTCGATATTGGGTTGGGGGCCCTCGAGGGACTGCAGGTCTGGGTTCTGATGGCTCGCTGATAGTTGCGCTCTTCCCGGTACCATTGTTGACAGGCTTTTGAGATGCGGGTGCCTTGCCTTTATCTTTCTTATCCTGGGGTTTGGCTTGTTCCGTAGTATCTTTAGCCGACTTACTGCTGTCGGAAGCAGAACTTGTTGGTGATGCATCTTGTTTAGGAAGCATTGCGGTCAGAATTCGCTTCTTTATGGCAGCTTCACTGCTCTGCTTTGGTGTAGATCGCGCGGCACTAGCAGTTGGTGGCACTTGAGCCTGGGGCTCTGGAGTCGCTGGCGTGGATGAAGGACTAGCTGAAGCTGCAGGAACAGCATTCACCTGCATTTGTGGTGCCGGATTGGGTGCATTTTCATCCCCCAGAGCCGCAAGCAATCTACTGCGGAAGTCTTCCTTTGAGACGTCTGGTCCAACGTATTCCTTTAGCGTGCCATTCCTGGGGCGGATTAGTTCAGGGCACGGGAGAGAAACAGTCACACATTGAGATGATTGGCACACACTTGATTAGTACCACTGTTGGAAACTTCGAGATCGGACAAAACGAAGTTAGGAATCCGGCTTCCTGTGAGCCTGCTGTCAAGCGCAACACAATGGCTTTAGCATTGAGTGCTTCCACAACCTATATAGGGGTCAGAAAGTGAGGCCATAACTGCAGCAAACAACCATACCTCCTTATCATTGAAATGACTATCCTCCCATGTAGAGCTCAACTCCGAGTCATCTGTATCCACGTTGGAAGATCAGCGACATGTCACTTAATGCGGGGAGAAACCAACGGACCTCGGACAAAACAGATCACCCCTTTAGCATCTCTGACGGCGAGAGCAATGCCCTCCTGAAGGGATCCTTGGTAAAACAGCGTCATGATTGCATCCCTGTATAACAAATGCGAAGAAGAGCTGGTGCGGAGAGTACAGGTATAAGGTTGGGGAAGCCCACCGCCTAGAGACCTCCGATCCCGAAATCCCAACTGCCACTGACCAGACTCGCCTTTTTTTGTTCTTGCTACTAACACCTCAATTCGCTCTGCATATTCTCACTTGAAGCCGTAAACATGCGGCCAATCTTCTCCGCTCTACGGGAATCAGCTATAGGAGCCTGGGCATCCCCGACTCGGACTGTCCGGAGCACTCAACTACGCTTGAAGCTCGACTCTATCTGCGCCAAATGCCGTGGGCAGCAATTCCGCCAGATATCACAGTCGCGTCAGCTCGCTGAGAGTCTGAATATTGTGGATCATCCCGCAAGACTCGTTCGTGTTAATAAGAAGCATGGGCCTGGTCTGATCATTCTGGGTATGCTCAATGCGACCTGTTTTCTACGACAAAGTCCGTACCCAAAAGATTCACAGCTAACAGGTACATTTCCTCAACTCTAGCTCTTATACCTATCATCTCATTCGGGCTGGGAGCATGGCAGATACAGCGTTTGGACTGGAAAACCAAACTGATCGCCAAATTCGAGGACCGTCTCGTCAGACCACCTCTCCCGCTACCACCGCGAATTGACCCAGATGCGATCTCAGAGTTCGACTACCGCCGTGTATACGCTACCGGCCATCTCCGCCATGACAAGGAAATGCTGGTTGGGCCCCGCATGCACGATGGCGAGGATGGATTTGTGGTTGTTACGCCGCTTGAGCGCGAGGGACAAAGCACCGTGCTTGTGAACCGGGGCTGGATTTCCCGGAAGTTGCAGAACCAGAAGGACAGACCCCAGGGACTGCCGCAAGGGGAGGTTACGGTTGAGGGCCTACTACGAGAGCCTTGGAAGAAGAACATGTTTACGCCGGATAACAAGCCAGAGGATGGAAAGTTCTACTTCCCTGATATTAATCAGATGGCGGAGTTGAGTGACAGCCAGCCTGTTTGGATTGAGCAGACTATGGGTAAGATGCATGATCGATCATTTAAGTAATGTGTGACTGACGGCTTCCTCCAGTGCCTGACCTTGTCGAATCGTATAACCGTGAAGCCAAGGGCATTCCCATTGGCCGTGCTGCGGAGGTCAACCTGAGGAATAACCACTCACAGTACATCTTCACATGGTATGTTGAGTCATTCCTTGAACTCGGTGATATGTTGCTCATGCTCTGCAGGTTCGGTCTGTCTTTCGCTACATCTGTCATGATGTGGATGCTTATTCGGAAGAAGCCCAACGAGGCCATGCGCCGTGTGCGCCAGAACCGAAACTGGTAACCGGCTCTTGAATGCCATATTCCTCTCTGTGCATAGTTCATTGGCGTTTGGGGGCGTTTGTTTATGGAGCTTTAGCTCTTGACATTCATGGTGGCATAGCCAATCTCATGTCTTGCTGGAGCTCTTTGGGGAGATGTTTCTGGGCAAGGGAAAACACGGTCGTTGAGCTGTTGATATGGCGTTGTCTGAAGAAAGTCAGCAGGTGTCTCTTGAAGATTTACTTTGGGGCAAGACTGACCTCCGCAATAATGCCGTGACATCACTCTCGTCAATGGTCTTCCGTCCTGCATGCTTTGAATAAGCGGCCAAGTCTTGGCTTGCTTGTTCAAAGTACCATGCGGATGCTTGCTCGATTGCGGCCAGTGCATCCTTGTTGATTTTCGTCTTTGAGCCTCCCTTCGAGTGCGCAAAGCGAGTGGCCAGTTTTTTGACCACGCCTGCAGGCAAGTTTGGCACAGGAATTCCGTGTCGTGACATCTTCTTTTCCTTGGTCTTGGTGGGTACGTTTTCGTCTCGCAATCCACCTCCGACAATTCCAGGGCTTGCGCTGGGAGATGCTGGGGGTGCAAGGTCAAGTCCAAAACCGAAATCACCACCGAAATCGTCATCATCTGATGGTGCCTCAACTGTGTCAAGTGGCTGGATATCTGCGGCGGACAGCTGGAAGTCATCAAAATCATTGACGTTTTCATCAGTCGGTTCCTCAAGCGGAGCAGCAACAGGAGATGGAAAGTTGAGATCAAAGTGGAATCGACCCAGGTCTTCCGTCTCTCCCCTATTTGTGATATTAGCATCTGTAACATAGAAATCCAACTCGTGTATACCCACCCTCTATCAAATTCTCCCCCGCTCATCATCGTATCCTCTCCGTCTTCCTCGCCAATGATGCCGGTTTCATCTGCATCATCACTGTCATATCTTGTCTCTCCGAAATCCTCACTGATCCTGCCAGTCACTCGGCTCATCATTGATAGGCGATCCCGATCTCTAATGCTCGCATCCCGAGGATACTCGACGGACCGATATGTAATATCCATGTCCTCTTCTCCGAGAGCAAGTGACATCCGAGGTGGGCGCATTTCAGGGCTTGCGTCGTCATCTTCTTCTTCGCTCTCCTGGATAGGTAGCGACAACCTCGGCCGCTCAATTTCCGGTTCGTTGTCTAGTTCTTCAAATTCGTCTTTGGGCTCTTCAACCGGCTCCGGCTTCTCCTGGGGCGAGGACTTGATGACTTTGGAAGTAGGAGCCAGCGCTGATGTCGATATACTCAATCAGCCCAGACCTTTGCGCCTTGAGTGACACCATGGATCTTTCTTACCTCTTCCTAAATTCCGGAGAATATCAAAAGTAGTCTCTCGCTGCATTCTACCACTTCGTCGTCGATCCCGACCAGGTGTATTGGCGGCGCGCTGTTGTATAGCGCGAAGTCCGTATGGCGTTGCAGGTGCACCCACGCCTCGGGCACGCGGTGTGAATCGAGAGGCTGATCGTTGGGCGGATGGAGTGGCTGCGGTGACAAGTCGACTTGGTGTCAGGGGGTAGCGCGTATGACTGGGAAGTCGTTGAAGCTGTATTGGCACTGTCAGTTTTGCCGTAAGTCTCTAACATCGAACCGCATAGCTCACTCTTGTCAGTGTTGTATCTCCCGATGGTGTACTGATCCCAGGTGAGATGCGCCGACGCGCGTTTGGGGTAGCGGTGTTAGCCATTGTGTCTGACTTTTCTCGGCACTGTACAGGTACTTCATGCAAGAAATATCAGACTGCATATAGTACCACTAGGGTGGTAACAACACAAGTGAACACCGAGCGATGAAATACAAGACTTGGGTTTGTCGCGTCAACAACAATTGCGGGCCACGGCCTGGGCGGTGGGTCCTTATCGATAAGACTGGCTGAATCAGCCAGCTTTTTTTTGCGCATTGAATTGAGCTTCGGTCTTCCCAATTGAACACTGAGATTAGTATTCTGTGTTGATACTCAGTGAATATCGCAACAATGCCCGACGCAGCTGCCTCCACAGGGCTCTCTGATAAGCTTCAAAACAAACGCAAGAGACAAGCCGACGATTCTTCCAAGCCAGAACAGCCCGAGGGCGCTGCTACCAACGCCGAGGGCTCAAACAAGAAAAAGCAGAAGAAGAACAAGAAGAACAAGAAAAATACCGACCAGGATGGAGAATCATCAAAGAAGCAGGACGACAAAGAAGGCATTGACGAATCCATTGGCAAGATGGATGGCCGTCTGCTAGGCGATCACTTTGCGCAAAAGGCCAAGAGACTCGACAAGCAGCTGTCTGCTGTTGAGCTCAGCGATCTCTCTGTTCCTGGTGCGTATATATCTGTTTCCCTATATGGCAACGGCCAATGTTTCTCCAGACTAGAGAACTAACTTGTCGCAGATTCCGCATTTCTCGATACCTCTTCCTTTACCGCTACCAGAGATCTGGGCCAACTCCCCGACTTCCTCAAGGCATTCAGTCCCAAGGGTGCTGATCTATCAAAATCCTCCGAGCAGAACGGCACACCGCACACACTTGTTATCTCGGGTGCTGCTCTGCGGGCCGCTAATGTTGTCCGGTGAGTGGACAGTCGTTGAATTATTGTCGAATATAATACTAACAATATATCTCCAGTGCCCTTCGTTCCTTCCAAACCAAAGAGAGCATTGTAGGAAAGCTATTCGCCAAGCACATCAAGCTCGAAGAAGCGAAACAGTTCTTGCAGCGTGCCCGCAGCGGTATCTGTGCTGGAACACCTACCAGAATTGCTGATTTGATCGAGTCTGGTGAGTTTTCCTATTCGCTACAGGCAATGGCTCTGGCTTTTTTTTTTACATATACTAACTGTTATGCATAGGAACTCTCAAGTTGGATGAACTGGAGCGCATTGTCATTGATGGATCACACATTGACCAGAAGCAACGGGGTATCTTTGACATGAAAGAGACGCATATGCCACTGCTGAAGTTGCTCACTCGACCGGAAGTGAGCAAGCGCTATGAGGCATCTAAGAAGGGCGTCAAAATCTTGGTGTTCTAATGTAGCAGCTAATCATGACTCAGTCTGCTTATATGGTCTTTTGGGTGTCTAAAAAACTTGAAAATATTCATCTATACTGTTTCCCAGCATGCTTCGTAGAAACCAAATGCGCCCATCTATAAAAGTTGATAACCTTCACCGCCTCCCAGGTACGCGGCAAAAATTTAATTTCACTTTTCTCTCCGCCCGATTTTTTTGGAGCTCGAGTTTCACTGCACTGCCCAGATCCTCCACCTCTTGCTTTGCCTTTTCGAAGATCACCCGGCTCATACTTGCTAGAACCTACCTTTTATTCCTCCATTGAAGCATTTTATCACAAGTCTCCCCACACAACAGACGCAATGGGTGACAAGCGCAAGCTCGTTCAGGATGAGGTCGTTGAGCCCGAGGGCAAGAAGATGAAGAAGGAGAAGAAGGAAAAGAAAGAGAAGAAGGAAAAGAAGGAAAAGCGCAAATCCCGTGATGAGTCCGAGGATGTCGCTGTCGAGACCCCGACACAGGATGAAGTGAAGAGCGATAAGAAGGAGAAGAAGGAGAAGAAGCAAGAGAAGGACCGCAAGGAAAAGAAGGAGCGCAAGGAGAAGAAGAAGGGCAAGGCCGGTGCCGATGAGCCTGCTGCCTCCGAGGACGCCATGGATGTGGATGAGACTCCCGTCGAGAAGAAGGAAGAGAAGGAAGAGAAGAAGGAAGAGAAGAAGGAAGAGAAGAAGGAAGAGAAGAAGGAAAAGAAGGACAAGAAGGAGAAAAAGGACAAAAAGGAGAAAAAAGACAAAAAGGAGAAGAAGCAAAAGACCGAGGAGAAATCCGAGGAAAAGCCCACAGAGGAGCCCGCAGCTGAAGCTCAGGCCGAAGAGGAATCCGAGGAGGCTCAACAGTCCGGCAAGGCCGCTCGCTTCATTTGCTTCGTCGGTGCGTTAAATCAGGTCAAACATCCGGCACCAGCATCAGCTCTAACCAAATAATATACAGGCAACCTCCCCTACTCCGCCAACCACGAGTCGTTGACCAAGCACTTCGAAAAGAACCCCCCAGCCACAATCCGCGTCGCAACAAGAAAAGAAGACCCCAAGAAGTGCCGTGGCTTCGCCTTCATCGAGTTCGACAACTATGACCGCATGAAGACCTGCCTCAAGCTGTACCACCACTCCAACTTTGATGACGGAAAGTACCCTGCTCGCCGCATGAACGTCGAGCTGACGTGAGTAACCCTACATCACCTTCAAACATGAACATACACTAATGCACACCCCCAGTGCCGGTGGCGGTGGCGCCAACTCTGAACACCGCAAGGCCAAGATCCAGGCCAAGAACGAGAAGCTGAACGACGAGCGCTCGCGCCAGGCCAAGGAGATCAAGAAGGACAAGAAGAAGTACGAGAACAAGCCTGCTGCTGACGATGCCAATGCTATTGAGATCCCCGCTGCTGATGATAAGTGGGCTGGTGTGCACCCCAGCCGGAGAGGTCGTCTCTGAGCGTATCTCTTTGGGAGGTAGGTGATGCCCGACTGAGATTTGCTTGTGGATACTTGGACGATTCTCGTTGGGAGGTCGCTGTACAGTGAAGAGTTTCTGTAGCAAGCTGGATGTTTTGGACGCCTTTGGATGCATTTTGTATTTTGTTTTATCCAATTTTCTATTTCTTTTGTTCACAAAAGTACAATTATGTTTCTCTGTTCTTTGGATAGAAGATACCAATCTCATTGCTTATATTCTTGAGTCTGCGGCAAACAACTACGAGTATCTTATCACGTTACAATAGGCTCCATGCATGTGCGCGTTTCGAACCGTCTAGCCCATTCCTCATCTTGCCAACTTCTCTGGAATGAAATTGAAAAAAAAAACATGCATAAATTCGATTAAACTATAAACAAAGTCAGACAGCGGAAGTTATAGAGAACAGGATAATTCCCAAAGAAGATAAACGGTTAATGGATTTCATCAAAACGGAGGCCAAAACAGCCTCTAACTACCCAGACGCCGTATTAACTATATATTATTCATTATAGCATACGAAGAAGATGGGATAGACGAGTCAAGCGAAACGCTTTACAAGATCATGCATTTGTTGACTCCCTTCCTCCCGGATTTCGTAGCGGGACGGGGGTTGAGAACGGCCCTGGATATGATAGTCAGGAACGAGATCTTCGTGTTTTCTGGGTTGTGGAGCAATAGTGGCATACCGGATGGCTTCGTCGAACACGCTCTTCAGGTTGCGCTGTGTCAGCGCCGAACACTCGAGGTACTTATGTGCGCGAATCTCCTTGGCGACGGCCAGGGCTTGTTCGTACGAGACGGTCTCCATCTTGCGTGCGCGGAGGGCCTGGACGGTGTTGGGATCGTCTCTCAGGTCGAGCTTGGTGCCGACGAGGATGATGGGGACATTGGGGGCGTGGTGTTCGATCTCGGGGAACCACTGTTGGTCAGGCTGAGTGAGTTACATGTCCAAATCGGGGGATATGTCAACAGAACCCTGTGGGTGCAGGTGCGGGTGCGGTGCACTTGCAGACGCAGGCAATCCGAATGGAAATGTGGATTCTAGGACCAAATTCGTACCTTGGCTTTGACGTTATCGAATGATGGAGGGCTGACGATGGAGAAACAAATGAGGAAGACGTCGGTTTGCGGGTAGGATAGCGGTCTGAGGCGATCGTAGTCTTCTTGTCCGGCAGTATCCCACAATCCCAGGCTGATTGGCCTGCCGTCCACCATCACACTAGCCGTGTAGTTGTCGAAGCTGTCATGGCATCAATGTCCGGTTCGATAGAGCGTTGAGGATGAGGGGTATGGGTGGGCACGTACACAGTAGGGATGTACTCTCCCGGGAAGGCATTCGTTGTGTACGAGATGAGAAGACATGTCTAAGACTGGTCAGAGTCATTGTCTGGACAGAAAGGGTGTAGACTTACTTTGCCAACTGCTCCGTCACCAGTCACCACGCACTGAATCTCAATTAGCGCATCCCCAGCAGTGGGCGCGAAGTACCCACCTTCAATGATTGAGTTGCTGGACCCGTCGCCATGTGCGCGAGTTGAAAGAACAAATTCCAGAAGAGTAGGGTAGAGGTGATTAGCTTCAGGGGAATGAAGCTAGGAGGTCGGAGCTCGGGAAAAGAGGGGGGAGGAGTGTGGAGACCACGTAAGAAATAAGATATGAAGGGAGTTGCAGAAGCTCACCTAAGGATTATCAAAGGGAAAGGAGAAAAAGAAAGAAGAAAATAGGGAAAGGCGATCGGATCACTAGCCCCCTCTAACAGTCCCCCACTGTGTCTAACTATATTTAATTGTGATAGGATCGAAATCTGGAATATCAACCCAATAGAATCCGAACAAAGGCGCCTAAATCAACTGCATGTCTCTATTTATATCCCGTTCTGTCAGCTGATATAGGCTATTGGGACCTATGGTGAGATGTTTGGATCTACAGTCGCGACACTCCCCTCCAACCACCTAAGAATCCACCCGCCTTCAGCTCCGTCGGCTTCGCCAACAAAGTGGGCAATTTGCCCGCGAATTCACGGAAATAGGGTGCCTTCATGTGGGCCTGGACCGCCGCTTGGTGCTTGTACCTAGAACCGATCAGAATTTGGTGGCAAGAAAATACTGGTATAAATCGTAGGACAATGCCGAGGCACGGTCACCCTCTCTGGGGCCCTCTGGGGCCTCTGGGAGGGGCTACAGGGTCCATTGGCTTACCTCTCGACCACCACGATCTCCTTGGTCTTCTCGATCTGGAATGCGTAGTAGAGCAAGGTGTCTGGTTCGTGTTCTTCAACCTGTTTGGTGACTGCGGATACGAGTGCCGCCACCTGTGGTATACACTGTCAGATGTTTGGTCCGCCAAGATATAGGGAGGACGGGCTGAGCTGACCTCTGCGAAGTGCTCTGGCTTGGGCGTGATCACTGCGGTGACGTTGATTTCAGACATGGTGGAATAGGAACGGAGATCTGGAGGATGAAGATGGACACTGTTCAAGTGTTAGCCTATAAGCGAGATAGTAGATACAAGGTCATGACGCCCTACCGTAGATATGGAGATATGACAAAATGGAATGGATCTCAGCACGATCTACTCCGGGCAGGGCTTAAATATGTACAAGTACAATGCGGATCATATAATCCACATTGACCTCGGGCCATGGCAAGTGGGTCTGGACGTGCAGATGTGCCACATTTGATGTTATACTAACCTTTCGGGTATTCTCTATTTCATCTATCGCACGAGGTTCCTTTCCCTCTTTTAGTTTGGCATTTCTTGCTAATATTCGATCTCACCCCGAAATCGTTCTGTAAAACCATCCCAGATTCGCCTTTCCTCCATGACTGCACTAGAGGCAAAGCCGGCCATTCTCTTATCGATTCCTTGATTACGACGCCAGATGATGCAGTGGTATATCTTTGCCTGTTGAGGTTAGTGGTGGCTTATTTCAGGTTGTTCTTCGATGACTATAACGAGGTGAGACATGGGAGTGATAAAGAGAAGAGGGAACAAACAGCGGAGATATCATCGACGTACAAATGGTGATCCTGAGATCTGCTGCCCACGCGGCCGCGCCTCTTTTCAGTATGAATCCCGCCCTCGTAATAGCTTTCTGACGTCCTGCGGATTCAGAAATTGATCTAGGTAGTGAGAGGCTTCCTAAAAGGCATCTCGAAACCCCTGCACAGCACTCTCGTATGAAGTCCTCTGGCTATAAGAACGTCCATCCTCTCCTTTCATTTGGCCAGCGTGTTCATCAACGGGCCAAGAATCTTGGGACGTGAGCGACTGTATCCGCTGAAACACGAGAATACTGTCTGACTTACCGGTACACACTCACTGTGACGCTTCAAGCAATACCGGCATTTCTTTGACCGTGAGTTATTGAGGAAGATGAAGCTCGAGAGATATTCCCGCCGTCTTGAAAACAGCGTTCGCAGACCTTTGCTGTATTTGGATCGGCTATAAGATTAGACAGTACGCGATGGGAGATTCCTGATTGCCTCGTCGTTCCAGCCCGGTACAGCCAAACCTGCAAGTCTTTGATCACTCATAATGGAGCTAAATTGGTCGAAAGTTCGCTTAAGTGTTGCCATCTGGGGCTCAGCGGCCGTAGTGTCATTCTCGATAGCTCCACTGGCCATTTTACGTGTCATTCTGGCCATATCGTCGGTAGTCCAGAGCTTTTGCCAGTACGCGAGCAGCCTCGGCCACCATGCGTGCCGCCTCTATAAAGTCTCTCTTGTTTTTTTTTCTGTTATACCAAAAATTTGGGGGGCGGGCGACGCTAGATCGAAAGGTTTCACGGCTTGGATCCATTACACCGCTTCGTGGGAGATAGTTGACATGAGGGTGAAAGCCAACAGGTATGAGTTCATCATATCATTCCATGACGGATGGCCGAAGCTACTGGACTGATAGGGTCCACGGTATGGATCCATTGTAGCGTTTGGGGGATTGTTGATGCAGGAACGGTGGAGCCCAACATTATACAAATATTGGTTGCCTCAGGCACTAGCTGAATCAGCTACCGCCGAGATTCGCGTCTCCAGGTCACCCAATCAACATCGGCCTTGACTACCAATCAGCCCCATTTCCCCCTTCAGCGGCCCCGATTTCTCCGATTTCCGGACTCACGACCTCTCACATTTGGCGGTTTTTATACTGGACTGAAGGCTCCTGATGGACTTGGGGTATCGGAACATTCTGGCACCGGGGCCAAACTACACTCCCGACTTTCGGTCCACCTTACCCCGGCCTCTGCAGAGAAGTTCGGAATCTTGCGAGATGGAGAAGACCCCGCCTGTCACGGGCAAGCGCCGAGGTGGCAGCCGGAAAGCCTGTAATGAATGTAAGCAGCAAAAGGTGAGCCACATGCATTGCCCGGATTACTATTCAATGCTTGCCCCAGTTTCCGCGTGGCTCAGTTCCACCCCCGCTAATGCCTGATAGTTGCGATGTGATATTGTTCAAACCCCGGCTGCGTCTTGCTCACGCTGTCGCAGGCTGGGCATAGAATGTAAAATTGAACAGTCTTTCAAGCGGATTTCCAAGAGAAGGTATTTATATACGTTGCTTTTCGTTCTCTGCTTTAATTTCCTCTTATTGATTCGATCTACAGGCACAATGCTGAAATGGAAAAGGAGATTGCAGATCTCCGGCGCCGTCTTGGAAACGGATCAGATCATGAACCCGCAGCGGAAGAACCTCATGAGTCTCATGGAGGTGACGATCTGTCTCGGTGCTCAGAGGATGTCTTCGCTCGCCGGGAATCTGCTGCGATTGACCGCTCACGACCCGTCTCGGTGCCAATTGAAACACATCCATCTGTAGCAACTCCGTTGACTATGAAGAGAGATGGCTCCATCATATCCCAAGACGAAGGCCATTGGAGACTAGAGGATATTTCTATTTCCAGAGCTCGAATTGCCCGGCTCTACGACCAGTATGGATTGGTTTCTCATCAGACCGTGTTGCAGCTAACATGAACCCAGGTACTTCACATATTATCACCCATTTCTCCCCCTATTGAACCCTCCAAAACCACCAGAGGTGTATCTGCACCGATGCCCTCTTTTGGCATGGACTATCATCTGTGTTGCAAGTAGGCGGTCCCCATATGAACCTGGTCTTCTCAGTGCACTATCAGGGCCATTCAGCAGGCTGCTTTGGTCAACTATCACTAGCGTACCGCAGGACTATCGAGTAGTCAAGGCGCTTTGTGTTCTATGTACTTGGCCTCTTCCAACGACAAGTCAGCGCACTGATGCAACCTTCATGCTCAGTGGCTTGATGATGCAAATTGCTATGCAACTTGGTCTGCATCGCCCAGTACAAGCCGAGGAGTTTACAACTTTCCGCATGGAAGTTCAAGGCGAGGCATTGAAGGATCGATTACATACATGGGTCATTTGCAACATAGTGGCACAAAAGTGAGTGTATTCTTGAATATCTGGTCACCAAAATACTGACTTGAATAGTGTTGCAACTGGTTACGGACAACCGCCAAGCACAATATATGACTGGGCTCTGGAGCCTGCATCCTTGAGAGATGCCGACTACCGTCTTCCCCAGGACTTGGCTATCCGCCTAAGGATTGAGAAGTTCTGTGACAGAGTGACCAAGGCTCTGTATAGCAGCAAGCCAGAACCCGCGGAATTCGTAAGCGCCGACAAGCTGGTGGTCGTGCAGATCCTTGAGAGCGAACTCAGAGAAATGGAAGTTGAATTCGGCAGGGACATCTCAGGTATGCACATAAACTCGATACATCTCATGATCCAGCCCTTCTAACATTTTTCAGCAATTAATCTCATCCACCTTCGTGCCGCCGAACTGCACTTCCGGTACTTCATGTTCTTAGGATCCAACGCCCGAGTCGACGACCTGACCAAATTGTACCTTGCAACAACTTCTTTCCTTAACCGTGTTCTCGACCTTGAAACCTCGCCAGGTGATTTAATTGGCCACTCTACCAATTACATCCTTCAGATGATTGTATCGGCCGCGTTTGCGCTTATGAAGTTGCTGAAAAGTAGCTTCAGTCGACATATAGACTTCAACCATGGCAAGCTATTGTTCAATGGCGCAATCTCAGCCATTCGTCGGATCAGTGTTATGGACCATGATCGGCCCATTCGTCTTGCCGATATTCTTGCTCAGATGTGGAATGCTACTAGCTTAGAGCCTGCTGAAGAGGATGCTTTACAGCTCAAGGTTCGCTGCCGCATGAGTATGAGCCATGTCTACGATACCGTCTGGCGATGGCGACAGAGATTCCGGCCTGTAAAAAGCCTTGAAGAGATGCAAGGTAAGACTATTGTATTAACCAAGTTTGTCTATTTTGTTCTAACTTTTCTTCCAGCGGCTGCCATAGCGGCAAACCAAGATATCTCTACCGCGACTGGACCCATGACACGTCAACAAGACAGCTCTCTCGAGGATTCATCTTTGATAATGCCTGCTCAGTTTGACGAAGGCGGCGCATTCTTCAGCGAAGCAGGGTTCTCAGAGGTCTTTGACTCCCTCAATTGGGTATTTGATGGCATCCCTGACTCTTTTGTCGCACCGCCAGTGCTATAGATCGTGTCTCCTCGTGCTATTGCCAATGGTCTGTATAGTTGTAATTTGATTCCTAGCGACGATACCAAATAAAAGTGATTTTATTTATATCTGGTGGCTGTGCATCTAAAAACGGAGAATAACGTAGTCAGGCCCAACGAGGTAAAGATCGAATCCACTTAAATGTGTGGCTTCGGCATTACGTCTACCAGCAACCAACTTGGGTACAACCGTTCGCGCCACTGCATTGTTGCAGCCCAAAGGTGAAACTCGCAGGCTCCAACATTCTTGTACCTGACCTCATCGCCCCTAACCCACCGCCAAGCATTTCAAGTTCCGGTGTCATAGTGGCCCGCGTCACTCCCAATCTCCCCTCCTGACACTCCCCATACCACTTGAGACACCAGCTCCCATGTCGGATACAGCTATACACGAACCCGCGCTACCTCAGCATTCCGATGCGCCTCCGTCCAGCGCCGGTCGCTCGTCTCCCAGCCACCCCGGAGGCGAGCAGCCCCACGAGGCCATCTCCGACGAGCTGAAAGCCCGCCTGGACAAAGTCATCTACTCCGATGTGAGCAGTCGCACAGAGCCCTCCGTGAAATGACAACGAAAAGCAATTAGACTAACTGCGATCGCGTCGCATGCAGATCGGCATCACCACTCTCCTAACTCGGCTCAAGCAAAGCGTAGCCTCCGCTAGGGTTCGTGGAACACCAGCAACCCCCAAAGAACCAATCGCAAGTGCTGACTATGTACACCACAGGATTTCTCGACATTTTTGAAAAAGCGCGGATCGCTCGAGGAAGAGCACGCTCAGGGGCTGAGGAAGCTCTCCAAAGTGATCAACGATGCGGCGAACCGTACCGAGAACCGACAGGGAACATACAGCTCCAGCTATAAGGATATCCACCGACTGCAAGAGCGGATGGTCGACCATGGCCTCCAATTCGCCGTATCCCTTCAACAGATGGCCGATGACCTGCACGAGCAAGCGGGTAACATTGAGCGCGGCCGCAAGCAATGGAAGCAGACTGGATTAGCTGCAGAAAAGCGAGTTGTCGACGCGGAATCTCTGGCTGAGAAGGCAAAGGCTAAATACGAGTCTTTGGCCGAGCAGTACGACCGTGTGCGCACCGGTGATAAGCAGGGTGGAAAGTTTGGTCTGAAGGGCCACAAGTCTGCTGCTCAGCACGAGGAGGAGTTGTTGCGCAAGGTTCAGAATGCTGATAGTGACTATGCGGCTAAGGTTCAGGCTGCTCAGGCCGCGCGCCAGGAGCTTGTTTCTACGCACCGGCCTCAGGCCGTTGAGAACCTCCAGAAGTTGATCAGAGAGTGTGACTCTGGCTTGACTTTACAGCAGCAAAAGTTCGGTATGTTTTACTTATATGGAAGGTTTTTACGTCAAATACTCATTGGTTTGCAGCTTCTTTCAGCGAGAAATTGCTTCTTGGCCAGGGTCTCTGTGTCAGCCCTCTTAGGCCTGATGGAAACGCTGGGTCATTTGGTTCTAAGAGTCTTGCCGAGGTTGTGCGTCAGGTTGACAACCAGAAGGATCTTCATGAGTTTATTTTAAGCCACGAGGGCAACCCCGGGGCTGTAGCTTCAGAAGCGGTTAAATATGAGCGCCACCCTGTGAGTTTCCCAGGCTCCCCCATTGCTTTCGTTATTGACGAGATTAATAGACCCTTGGTGGAGGCGTTGCTGCCCCAGCCCCTGCTCCTGCTGCGGCGCCTTCGCAACCAAACTCCCAGAACAAGCGCATGTCGATGTTGCCGCAAGCTTTGTCTTCCCAGGCCAATATCTCTTCGCCCGCGCCACAGCAACCACAGAGTGCTGATAGATTGCCACAACAACCTCCTTATCCATCTCAGCCAGATACATTCTCCCCACCCCCGGCAGGCACGCAGCCGCCTTACCCAGTATCGGGACCGCCTGAGCCCACCCCCAAGGTCCAGGTGCCAATGGCAGGACCTCCCCCAATGGAAAAGGGCTTCCAATCGAATCTCCCTCCCCTGAAGCCAGTGTTTGGTGTTTCATTAAATGACCTGTACGCTCGGGATGGAACCGCAGTTCCGTTCCTTGTATACCAGTGTTTTCAGGCCGTTGAACTTTTTGGATTGGATATGGAGGGTATCTATCGACTTTCGGGAAGTGCCAATCACATTAGCCACATGAAGGCTGTGTTCGATAACGGTGAGTTTAAAACAAAATCATCAAGGCTTGGGCAATATCTAACCTTAATCAGATTCATCACAAGTCGACTTTACCAACCCAGAGAACTTCTACCATGATGTCAACAGTGTTGCAGGGCTCGCGAAGCAATTCTTCCGCGACCTTCCTGACCCCCTGTTTACTTCGCAGTATTACTCTCAATTTGTTGATGCAGCTCGTAAGTGAAATGCCATCAAAACGCATAGAAACAGAAAACTTACCATGGAATGACAGGTATCGACGATGATATCCAGCGCCGAGACTCGCTGCATGCCCTTATCAACAGCTTGCCTGATGCTCACTATGCCACTCTTAGGGCTATCATACTGGTATGGCCACCCTGTCAATATAGATACGATTAATCAGAGATACTAACTACATTCGCTACAGCATCTGAATAAGATTCAAGAACACTACACCCAGAACCGGATGAACTCGGGCAATCTGGCGATTTGCTTCGGGTATGTTACCACACTACAACACACCGTACACAGCCAATCCATATACTAACTTCTCCCCAGACCAACCCTCATGGGCGCCAACTCCGGCGGCAACATCGCCGACGCAGGGTGGCAAGTCCGAGTCATCGAAACAATCCTGAATAACACATTCCAGATCTTCGATGATGATTAGACAGATCGCCCCATCCACCCGTTCCATACCATAGAGTATCCCTCTATCCTATGCGATACATGAACGTCGGTCCACAGGCTCACGTCCTTATGTCCTTTCCGTGTTGCACCAACTTCGGGTGCTTCTAATGTCCCCTCAACCACATACATCCTATCCTCATCTCCTTTGCGTTACATGTTCGTCTTCTTATCCACTCATCCCCGTCTTCATCCGCCGTGCGCATTTATTCCTGTGTTTCAGTGATACCTTTGCTATGCTACACATTAATACTCTGCTCATTGAGCGTTTCTTGTACATATACATATTGTTCTTTTTCTCTTACTCTGCCTTATCCTAGTCCTGGTCCTGGGTTTGATCTTAGGTTATCCATTTCTTCTCTATATTGTCAGTAGCCAAGCCTTCCATATTCACGGTGCTTGTGACTCTAAACTGTTATACCTTAGTATGCATATAATCCAAATTTCACAGGAGTCATAGCTCTGTATACAATGCCATGAAGTATTGAAGAATTTCCGGAGTTGCACATCATGATTAAGGCCATAGCACAACATCCCCGTAACAAAAATATCAATATCATCTATAAGAAGTGATGGCTTTAGGAAAACATAGAAGTTCAATCCAAATATTCCAAATAATAAACAGTGGCTATGGTACATGAGTGTAAATGCTTTCTATATAGGGTTTCCTTCGCATGTCAAGGAAAAAGAACAGATCCAGAAGGGTTTTCTGCATCCAAGTTGTTGTTGGTGTTAGGGCAGGGAAAGTGTAGTTGGTACAAACGTTAACACAAGCGATGAATAGAAGATGAAATGCTGAGGTGCCAAAATCGAGCAGTGTCCAAAATAAAGACCGGAAAGCGAGGATTCGATAAGTATAGGTGACTCGGAGTAGATGCCCTGCGTATAGACCGTGCAAGTATCCGCGTGTTCTCAGATTGGAGGGGGCCAGGAAACGCAAAATATCAAGAAGAAGCCTAAAAATCACAATACGGACGGTGATGTCCGAACTTATTTCTTAGGTCCGGGTCCCCCGCCTGTCATCATCTCCCTCATTTGCTCAATGCGCTCCATGGCCGACAAGCCTGGTGCGAAGTAGGGATCCTCGATAGCCTTTTGCAGGGTGGTCGGGTTAGTCTGACCCCAAAGGGTCCAGCCCTTATCGTTACCGTTCCAGCGCAAGTTCTGGATAACGAGGTACTCGACGCAATCTTGTTCCTTGGTGGAGACAAGAGTTTCCACGGGGACCGCTCCCCTCTTGACTCTTTCAATCTTGCTGGTGGACGTGGACTGGCGGCTTGTGACGCGCACGACGATTTGGCGAATACCAGAGTTGGGGATTTCAGGCAAAGATGTTGCGCGGTCTGACATGACGCGGAGGCCGAGGAAGTTGGTGCTGGGCTTGCGCAGGTATTTGACCAGCGTCCATTCCACTTTCTCGGATGGGTTTCTTTTTTCAATTTGGCGGACTAAGTTTTTGGAGAGCCCGTCGGCGCAGAATCGGCGGATCTCGGGGATGTTGCCTCTGGAAGTTTGAATATTAGTTTTGAGTTTGAGGGATGGGACGGTGTATGCTTACCGCGCAAATGAAGTGTACATCTGCTCCATTAACTGGGATGCGACATGACGCCTCTGCTTGAAGTTGAATGGCATATTGTTATCTCTCTTGCAATATTGCAACAAACTGTAGTATATTTAGAAATTATGTTTGCAATTGTATTGATGCATGCAGCGTTTGGCCGTTGCGACAACCACAAGACAAATAACTGCACCAATATGAAATTGGGGAAGACTGACCTGCCGTAGTTGGTGAATAGCGTCTTGAGCCATGTCCACTCCATGTGCAATCTATCGCGCGGGCTTTCAAAGATAGAAGGCATATCTCTCCACAGTGGCTTGATAAAGGTCCCGGGTAATAGACCAAGGTCGTTTGGCAATTGGGTCAAAGGCATGTCTTTGGTGCGAGTCTTGAATGAGGGCTGAGACTGAGTGGCCTGGCGGAAGTTCATGGGCCTACCAGCCAAGTTTAGAGACGTCTGCGAGAAGGACCGACATTGGTATGATCCAGCGGTACAGGATTGGGCGATGAATATTCCAGATGGCACAATGCGCGCGGAGGTGCCCGCAGGCAGTCGTAGGGTGGACGCCATGGCGAGTGGTTGTGTTACGAAAGGAAACGGTTCCTGGAAGCACAAAATCCGCGGCAGTTAGCAGTCACGTGGACCACTCCGCAAAGTCCCTGTCCAACACTTCAGATAAAGCTCGACCCTTCACAAGGTCCTTAGGCCATTTACACTCTCCATTCTACCCACTGGCTTATTCGGTGCCATTAACAAACGCCCATCAGTCAGTCATCGAACTGCCCCCGAAAAAAAGACACCGCCCGCTATCGACTGGGTCCCATCTCTGCCCAATTAGGGGAGCCACAAACAGCTTGACAACACCCATTCTTCCCAAAGCTCGATCGCAACGGTCACATTCAACACCCCATTTCAATCATTGCGTGGCGGCCGCATATGCCGCGATTCAGAATAAAGGCTGGCTCTTCCTCGACGTAATGCCTCTCCTCCGCCATACACACCTCACGAACACTTATCTCGTGCCGACTTGAACCTCCGACCAGCTGGTCCACCCAGCTATCTCAACCCTCCCACCCCATTGCCGCAAGGCCAATTGACCAAAGAGGTGGCTTCTTCATCTTCTTCCGCCGTCCCACCATCCCCGACCTCCTCGACTTCCCATACCCCACTCAGCAGCGATGCCGGCCAGACTGCTCCATCAGCTCTCCATCCTCGGGTGGCTGTCATTTTGGGTGTCGATCGCAGATGGTATGTTCCCCTACTAGTCTGTCGCGCACTAAGCACGCTGCCCGCTGCTTGGTGGGGACTGCGATGTGCCTTCACCTTTTTGGCTGAGCTGCTGCATATTCGACCGGGTATGGGACGGGAGGGGTGGGCGGCGGCGATTGTTGGTAGTGTTGGACAAGAATGGGATGTCGAGAGGAGATTTCGTGTGACGGAGGTTGCTTTGGCTATTATGTGGGTATGTTATATATCCCCAATCTATATCAACCTGATTGATATTGGAATATAGTATGCGTTTTGATGCTAACGGATTAACCAGTGCTGCGCATCTGCATATCTTTCATATTTCTTCGCAGACTGCATGATGTCTCGATGGTTGGTTATCCCTCATTCCATACGCTTCCTGTTGTCTCCATACTGACCCTCGATTCCAGGCTTCTAAACTACACTCCGCCAGCGGTTGTGATCCGTCTCTTAACAACAAACGGCCTCATAGCATACATAACATCCTGGGTACTCTACTTATCCGGCGCATCCTCAGACCCGCGACTACTCCTACCAGCCTGGATATCCATAACAACTGTACGTCACGAGTTACCATATATCGGAATCTATCCCTTCTACACATAGACACATACTAACGATGACAATATAGTCCCTAACATTCGTCTACCACGCAACCCAAAACCACGCCACAATAAAACGAGAAACAGCAGCATCCCTACTAGTTGTCTCAGTAGCAAGTTTCCTAAGCATGTCCTCACTCCTCATGCAACTCCACCTAACGCGCGAAAACGAACCCGAAGTCCCCGTCTTCGTTATCACGCGCAAGCTATGGGATTGGGCCGTTGCAATCTTCCTGCGTATGCGCATTGCAGATGAGAGGGTTGTTGTTGGGGAATTGTAGGCTTCTTTTGTTTCTACGATGTATTCACTTCTGAGGCTTGTTTTCGCCGTTCTTCTTTTTGATCCGTCTTTTCTTCTTTCGGGATATCCAACAGAGTTTCTCTCAACATACGATTCGATTCGATCTATAGCGTTTGCTTGTGGTGGTTTTTGTACATTTTTCGGGATTGGAGGGCTTTCCCCCTTTACCTTTGATTGGCTTTTTGTTGTGGTCTTTCTTTGTTGCAATATTTTATACCCCGACCCAGGGACTTTCTTTCTATATAGGTCAATTCTTTTGGGATTTTCGTGCATCAAATGGTTTTGTAAATGGTATGCGGTTGCTTTTAGGACGAAGTCCTACTGGAAGGATCAAGCCAGCATAGAAACTGATCATGTTCTCAAGTGTAATCAGGGTCGGTCAATACAATAGTTACTTGAATGGTGAAACAATATGCGAATCTCGAGTGGAGTCTATGTTGGGCTCTAGGTTTACGTCAAAGCCTGCCATTTGGAGTATTGGATAAACAGTTGAAAATCCTTGTTTCCAAGCAAAAGCACGGAATCACAAAACAAATAGTAAAGAAGACAGTACGAAGAAGAGAAAAAAGTAGAGACTGCATCGCACGCCCCAGATCCAACTGGATCTCCCTGAGAAGCCAGATTGACAATTTGACCCAAGGCAATGAGCAACAAGTAACTAACCCCCTCAATGAGGAAATGTATGCGAACACAGTAATAAGAAAAAAAAAAAAGATAAAAAATTGTCTGGCTAAGCAGGTAATGGGTATCTACCAACGCGTCGTTCCGTCATAATCCCGTCCTAATGATGAGCGGTCGAGCCCCGCTCGCCTGCCGACCATACAGGAATCGGCGCACACAGGTGTAGCGGGTCATTTCGACAAGGCCCAGGTCTACGCCAGGCACAGAGTGGTGGGAGGAGAAAGCAGACTCCTGATCGGGTTGAGGGCCAGTACAGAGAGAGGCCAGCGGGTCAGAGATGCATGGGCAAGCTTCCTATTCCACCGCTCACAGGGCAAAAAACTGGGAAGAGGGGATCGGAACAAGGCATGTTGTTGGGATTAGAATCCGTGGACCTAGAGAGGATTGAGTTAGATGGTGATGCTATCGAGCAGTAAACGGGGGCACATACCTTGATGGTCTTGGCATCAAGCTCCAGGCCCTCCTTCTTGTCAGTCAAGAACTCCTGGACATCCTTTCGCTGATCTCCTTGCAGCTGAATCACCTCGCCCATCTCAGTGTCAGCGACGATGGTGCCATTGCAGGCTGAAAAAAAGTTAGCATGAACCGGTAGACAGATCTGCATCAAGGCCAAAGACATACCGAACTTCTTCTTGATGACCTTGAGAATCTTCTTCTGGTCGAACTTCTTGGGCAGACCCTGAACAGTGGTCAGAGTCTTACGACCATTGCGCTCTGTGAAACAAGGCGGTTAGCATGGTACCCCTTTTAAGCGCCGGCGAGTCGCAACGGCGGCGACCGACGGGAATGACAGGAACAATGACGTACGCTGAATCCGTATGTGGATGTAGTTCTGAGACTGTTTGGTCTCGCCGGTGTCTTCGTCGGCTTCGGCGAAGGGGTCTGAAGGTGCATGGTCAGCCTCAGTTGAGTACCAAATTATTACCCCGCCGCGATGAGACTCGGTGAGACTCGGTGGGGGATGGTTGGAATCCACAACTTGACACTCGGGCCAGGAGTATATGCATCTCCCGGTCGCGTCAAGAGTGTACAAAGGTGTGGAAGTGTATGCATGTGGGGGGGGGGGGGGGGGGGGATGTCCGACACGCGCTCAGAGGGGGAAAGTGGCGAACTTACCGAAGGTCTTGAGGTTTTCGATGGACATAAACTCGGCCTTTGCGTGGTAAACGGCTCTTAAAAGCAGTGTTGGTAGAGAGAGAGTGAGAGACGAGATTCAATATCTCTTTGGAAGACGAGGTGTAGGTGGAGGGGAGAGGCTTGAGGCTGAAATGGTGGAAGAATCAGAGAGAAGAGCAGAGCCTTTTGAGGAAAGAGTCACGTTGAGGGGAAGGCGGTGAGGGGCAGGCGGTGTGACCCAGGTACATCTATAACGAAGTGGCAATATGAGATGAAGTACTGAAGTACTGAATACTTCTAAACTAAGCTAGCAAACAATCATGTGTGGCTTTGATTGTGGCAAGTTTGAGGTGTCGAACCTCATGACTATTGGTACATTGTGACAACATGGTGGATCCCCGGCCTCTATATCACCCAACATCTTTACCAATTGTAATTTAGTGAACATCGCAAGATTGCAGGACAGTATTATGTGTATCAGGATTCGAGTTGGAGTGTTTAGGCCGAAGGCAGGGGAGTTGGTGCGGGGGCAGCGCGGCCACCAGGAGCCTGGGGAGGCATGAAGAGCGGGAAGTAGGTCTGGAACGGGGTTAGAAAGATATCAATGGGCATGTAGATCGAATATGAGCACATACAACAACCAGCGCCATCACTATAAAAAATGTTAGTCCAGCAATGAGTAGAAGGGGGGGAGGTGTAGAACGAGGAATTACGAACAGGACATGAAGACCGACATATAAGCCGGGGTAGCAGCATTCTTCTTCTGGTCTGGGGATTCACCGAGCCAGGTCTGGAGCGAAAAGACGAATGACACCCTATGTGCGAGTCAGATCTGGCCGATACGAATGCTTGTTCCACACTTACCATCCGATCATACTGTTTCCCGCAAGTCGTCAGTAATGTTCTTCGTTCTTGCCCAGTGATCAATGCGCGTCGCTTACCGGTTGCGAGTGAACATCTAGGAGGCGAAGTGTCAACACAAAGGTATCGCGACTTGATTCCGGGGAGGTACTTACAGCGGCCATGGGCATGGTACTCGACATTGTGCCTGTTGCATCACATCAGTCCTGATCCTGGGGTTGGGTTATCTGGAGACGTGGCGTACTGGAGATATCGGCATCGCTGCTGCTCTTGGGGGGATCGACATAGGGGATGGCTGGGATTGTTAGATTGCCAGCAAACACGGGAACCGACGTCCACTCACCGAGGTCAGCCCTCCGCATATCTTTCTTTGACGACATGGTTGCTGTTGAGATGGTTGTAAGAAGGATCGAACTGACCCCGTATGCCAAGACCAGTCTGGGCCTCCGAACCCCCCGGATTGAATATCTCCGGCTTTACGTTTACATTTGACTTGCCTTACTTACAACTCAAGTTAGTTACTTCGTACAAGTTACAATCCGGATAAGCAGATTAAGGCATTATTCACCGACAGGTCATGATCGGGTCCAACTGCATGTCGGTGTGATGCCTGTGCATTGGTCACTTTCAGCCCCCTTGCAGTCTGATTGCCAGAGCACCTTACACGGCATCTGAAGGCATAAGGTCAAACATGCCTCGGAGAGCAAAGGCCAGGTTGTGACAGCTCTCATGTTGATCAGTTATGTGCTCCGGAGGGGTGGGCCGACGCTCTACGGAATGTGGACGGTGGACGGTAGAGTAGAGTGGACGGAGCACAATGTGCTCGATAAGCAGATCTGAACTCGGGGGATTATTTGGCCAAGATTGGGGAGAGAGACTCGGTCGACTCTTTGACCTGTGTACCTTTTTTTTTTTATCAAGAAAGGGAGTGTAATTCCGCGCCGCTAAGACTTGGGTAAATCGCCACGGACAAGGACATGGGGTTCACGGGAGTCGGCGGACTTGGCTGGTATGATAGGATATCATCTCGGTAAAGACTCGGATCAGGGGCAAATAGACGTGGCCCCATTCTTGGTAACACTGAAGTTGTTCATCATATGATATGGAAATCATTCCGTCGATCTTTAGCTGTACACTGAACACTGAAGTTCGGCTTCTTGGACTTGCTTGTTTCGTTCCCCATCTCCGCTCTATATCCGAGTCCCCGATCTTCAGCCCTTCGCATCTTAACTTCTTTCCTATCACTTTGTCACGCCTTAATCTCGTATCAGCTGCGCTTGTCTATCTCCGATCGGACTGACGTTTTGTTTCCTCCCACTTCTCCATATCGCCCGAATGACCCGATTATTCCCCCATATCGCATCATGAGCCGAAGATGATCCCCCATTCTTCCGGCCAACCGTGGGGCCCTTCTCTGCGAACGGTCAATGGCCCCGGACGGCTTGATAATGCGATGGGCTATGGGCATAGCGACAGGCCTATGCAGCAACCGAGCCGTCCAACCGTCGTCGACCTGACCGCAGGCGGTTCCGAGTCGCAAGATCGAGAACCACCCCCCAAACGACCGAGATTGGAGGTGCCAGGTGGAGCAAATGCGACGGACACTGGGGCTCCTGCGAACACCGAGGCAAGGAGCACTCCCGGAAGTGCAACCTCACGACCTACGGTGTCGTGGCGCGGCCGGCCGCTCTGGTCCTTTCAAGCCGTCGTGTCGGAACTTCCGAACAGCGAGAACCGAGGCGATGTCGCTGGTTCAAAGCCTTCATCACCGCCGCCGTTACCTGCTCAGCCATGGAAGACTCCCGCTGTCGAGCCGCCGGCCACCAACGTTGTGAAGTCAAGGGAAAGCTCACCCGTCGGCGCTGTACAGACGACCCCATATCGCATTGAGATCCCGTCCGCTGCCCCGATATACCACAACGAAAGTAGGTTATCCCCATCTTAAATGGCGTCCTTGTCGGACTAACATGCGCAGAACCCGCCGATTTCACCCCATGGACCGGGAACCATCCCGAGGACATCCTCAATGAACAAACCGCGAAACAAGGCTATTACGACCGGACCCAAGTCTCCCAGAATGAGTCAAACACCGCCAGACCAGCTCTTTACGCGCAGTTGAAACACCGGACAGGCTTGCAGATGCTCTCGTCGGTCTTTGCCGCCGCATTAGAGAAACGGCAAACCCACAACTCCGTCGACAGAGAATCGTCCTTTAAGCCACCTCCTCGAGTAACTCTCACCGATAACAAGCGCGAAGTCTGGCTGCGTGAGCTCGCCAACCCGACTGTTCCCTTACGAAAGCTAAGCCGAACCATTCCTCACGGTATCCGCGGCAGGCTTCTTCTAGATCATTGTATCACTAAATGGATACCTGTCGCACGCGCTGTCTGGCTCGCCAAATGTGTCGGTGCCAATGAGATTCGCGCCTTCAAGCGCAAAGGCACGAACGGCGCGCTGGCTGTTGGTTTGGAGGCGAAATGGGTTCGCGAGTGGACGACAAATGTTCAGCAGTTTGTCGAGGCTACATTCAGCGCGCCCAAATCTTCGGACTGGAAAGCCAAGATGACCTACGCCGTCGGATTGACGGCTCGTCTGTTTTTCGAAAACCTGCTCGATCATGATCACTTCCTCGAGTGGTTTTTAACTTGCTTTGAGACCGCCTCACTCGGTACAATTCCCGTCTGGTTGTTGATGCTTGGCGTTTATTGGAAGAGTATATTGCGATATCGACGGAGAGGGCGACGATTGGCTGAGTTATTACTCGAAAAGCTGCGTCAGGCAACGGAAGCAAAACTTGCTCCCCTTCAACCTCTCATCGATCGACTTGGTCACTTCATTCAACGTCTCATTCGTGACCATACATCCTCAATGATCCTCCCGAACACTTGGGAGACGTATAAAACACAAGTGGCATCAGTGCTTGACCTAGAAAATGCATTTGAAAAAGCCCTGTTTCAAAACCTCGCCGAACGCAATGCACGTGTGCAGCGGCCAAATCATTCCAAACAGACCGATACTCGCTCGCCACATCAACGCATCATCCGACTCCTCGACTCGATCCGCTCCGCTCACGACATCTCCTCCATCTCCTCCTGCTTCGACACTTTTGAAGACAAGGCTGTCTTGGTCTCCAAGTTGCTAGAATGGCTATCCACGCCCTTCCGCCATGGCCTCTGCCGCATATACATCGGTGCTCGCCTTCTTCGAAAGTGGAAATTAGCTGGCGTGGACATAGACAGCCACATCCTCGCTTTTCTCTCGCGTGGACAGAACAACCAAAAGTTGAACATGGACCAGATTTATCACGTTATCTCTGAGCTTGTCAGGTCACAGACATTCTCAGTTGGTCGCTATCTTCAGTGGCTTATGGCGAAAGGTGTTACCAATAGTCCTTCAACCAAAGATCATAATGTGAGTATTGGATGTTGAAAAAGTGAAGACTTTCGGTACTGACAAACTGCAGGTGAAGAACTTACCAATCGACATTGGACTGATTGCGCAACTTCCCGTTGGCCGTCTACCAGAACATGTTGCGAATTTGCGTAACACTCTGCTAACACGGACTGGGCTATCTGTTTCTGAAGAACCCGCAGTCATTGATAATGTGAAAGATATCATCAGCCAGCGTCTACCGGCAATCTTTGGTGGCAGTGCACATGCGACAATGGAACTGGACTCATTACCGCCGAACCTGACATGGGCCGTCAAGGCGGAAATTGGTCAGTGGCTACGCCGTGCCATTGCTCAACACAGCCGCAATGCAACAGAGTGAGCATACCATTTTCACCTATTTGTCCTTCATTAACATTTGGATAGATCGTCGACCACTGGAGTATTCGCCGCTGGTGTCCTTCCCGTGGTATCCGCGCTGACCCCAATCGAGTTCTATACCGTTCGCGACATTCTAGAATCGTTTGGTGATATCTCAATGCTAGCCGACGTATTGAATTTCGCATCAAGCTGCACTGATGGCACTGTCCTCGCATCAGTAGCAGATACCACGAATTGCCATTTCGACTCTCTTTGCGTGATTGGCGCTACGACCGATCTATTCCGACGACTCATTGATGCCTACGCGGGTATCAAGAAGTTCGGCATGCCAAGCCTTGATCTGATATTCTCCCTGATAGAACTTGGCTTGCGTATCCCGAGTGAGCTAAATACTGTTGCAATCCTTCGGCAGGATTTGTCCCGCATGGAGAACAAATCGATCATGGCTGCCTACTCCCCTGTCTCTGACCACATCCCCGACAACTTCGGTGACACTGATCCTTTTCTTCGGGAGAAATTGGATCAGATCTTACTGACAGGAAACGTTATGGATGAGCCCACGTTGGACGCGATATTCAGCGCATTGACAAAACATCTGGAGGCCGAGGAGGGTCACTCGAAACTGTCAGCAAACGATACATGTCGTTACCTGGCCCAGCTGAGGTCTTTCCATCCCAAACACTTCGATGTCATTCTCGCCCGCTGGGTCTGTGGTCATCTGCGATCGCCCGACCGGACTACTTTGCTACGGATTCTGCCGCCGCTCATCGGTGTCGGATGCGTTACCATTCGAGCATTCCTGGCCCTTGCTAAGAGACTTACTCTGTCTACACCAACGACTATTCCCAATACGGCTCACTTGCCAGCAGACCTTGTCCAGCTTCTCTTGCCTTCCACGAAAGAGAGCAGACGGTTTGATCTGGTCTCCTATCGGTTCCAGCTCGCACAACAGGAATTCCTCACCAAGAATACCGAGGAAGCGCTCAAGATTGTTTGCGATGCGGCGGCTTCAGCCAATTCTGGCGATGCTCCAGCCAAGTACGATAATCTGGAGAACTCGATGGTCATGTTACTGCGTGATCTTCTTGTGAGAAAGCCTGATTGTGTAGCGCAGAAGTGCATGCAAAAGCTCGCTGAGCAGTATCCAGCCGCTTTGGTTATTGTCCAGAAAGCCCTTGATCTCCTTTTGGGTGTTGATTCATATTCGGCTGGGAAATCGGTTCTTTCCGAGATCCAGAAGCTGGCTAGTATGACGGACGACTTTTCGCTTCCATTCTGCCAGCTAAAGCTGCAAGTTCTATTCCATGCAGACACAGGAACTGAAGATCGCAACAGTATTGTCGATGCCATGTTCAAGACGGCTGTGGCAGATTGCCGCGCCCACAGGCTTCACTGGGTTGATCTCGTTGCATTGATGAGCCCCGATGCAGTTCGACAAATTCGTGAGCGCGCCGAAAAGGAGTTTTTCTCTATTCCACTCTTTGAAGACCTGACCAGCGATAACTCTGATCAGCCTGACAACCTGGGACCATTGGAAGCAGCCAAGCTCCATCTCACCATTATCGAAGAACTCGCAGGCAGTGTGCCCGAATCCGGAACCTCGTCTGTCGGCCCAGTTCTGGTGGAAAAGATGGACGCACTCTTGCACAAGATCATTACAATGCACAGTACACTCGCCAACACCCAAAGCACAGCCAATCAAACCCGCACAAAATTCGAACGCGGCCTCGCATTCTGGTTCTCAGCATTGCTTCGTATGGTCGTGATCCACCGCTCCGCCTTCATCAACCAGCCCCAAACCCTGAAGCCCAATCCTCCCCATGATCAACTCCGCCTCCTCATCTCGATCTTCTGCATCGCCCTCTCCCGCCTCCCAGGAAATGTGCTCCGCCTCTACCCAGCGGCGGACTACTTCCCTCATCCAACATCCACACCGGAAGATTACCGTCCCTGCCCCGGAATTCTTCTCCAAACCCACGCCCTCGACGTAGCAGCCTCCCTCATCGATATCTTCCCCGATGAAGTCCGCTTCCAATGCGCCCGCTTCCTCAAAGAGAAATGTCCCTCATTCGTGCCATTTCAGAATGATTCCCGCTTTCTATACCTCCTAGGACCAACGCCTGATCAGACCTCGGTCAATCCACAGCAAACCTCAGTCCCGTCACCGGCGGCGTCAACATCGACACCTGCCCAAACGCCTGCGCCTGTATCTGCTGTTGCTGTATCTGCTGCGCAGCAGTCTGCCCTTGCGGCGTCTAGTGCGTATTCTGATGATATGAACTGCATCGCGAACCGGTTGCGTCTTCAATATCGGGGCAGAGTCGTTGGGCCTTATCCTGTGAGGCCTTGGGAGCTCCTTGAGGATGCGGCGCCGTTCAGGAGTATGAATGATACGTCTGTCAACTTGGGCTACTTCGATGCTAGGCGCGTGAGAGCTTGATTCTCGGGGTTTCCACCGTACTTCCTCTCCATCCTTTTCTCGGAATGGCTCATCCCCTTTGCCCCTTCACCTCAACTCTTTACCCCCTACATACTTTATTCTCTCTGTCCTTCCCCTCCTCCTTCTCCTCCATCATCACTCCCCAACATCCATTCCAACCATGAGCGCTTGCATAAGACAATTTGTCTATCTCTTTGACATTTCATTCTATCTTTCTCCCGCTTTCGGTCCTATTTCTTGGTTTCTTCCTTTGTTTGTTCGGGACATCTCATCGGCGTGCATCATTTTGTTTTCAACGACATTACATTCGGTACCTATGACATGGCATGGCATGCAACATGCAAGATTGCATCGAGAAGCATTTGTACATATATCCACCGGCTTCCTTTTCGGCGTTCTACTTTGGTTTCAGGCAGGAAGGGAAAGAACTCAAACGGTTCTTTATCACTGCCGGGAAATTAACATTACCCGCAAACTATCAATATCAATTTCAATTATGATCCGCCATGGTCTATTACTTGTGCCTTGACTTCACTTTGCATTTATTCTTTTGTCTTTAGTAACACAGTACTCTCTTGTTCTTTGTCTAGGGCCAGTGAATCATATTGGGAGAGGGGTATTTGAACTCTTTGCTACGGGAGACCGTTAGCACGGGACTATCCGTCCGTCCCGCTTCGAAATACTCTACATTCTTCATTCATCTCTACTTGGCCCTTCTACAACACCATCATCTATGAAAGAATACTTGTACATGCCAGAAGTCAATACAAAAGACCAAAGCTGGTTGTCCAAGGTACACCGATGAAAACCAATCAAGTCATCAGCTCATTCCAAGTATCCGCAGTCTCCTGTCCACTCAAATCAGCAACGGCACTCTCGGCGGCATAGCACTGGTCAATGGTAGCCTGGGGAGCATTGCAAGGGCTACGAAGACGGTTGCATATCTCCCACTTGATTGTGCGGTCCGAGCAGCTTCCTTAATCGAGACCGCCGCCGCCGCTACCACCGCGCCGTTGCCACCGGTGTTACTCCTGTCGTCGGCCGTTACGGTAGTTGTCACCTCCAGAGTCTGGGTGTCTGTCGTTGTGACAGTTGAGACTTCGGTGATGACTTAATTGTTGGTGATGATGCTTGTGTCGATGACGGCCTCGGTTTCTGTTCCTCCTGGCTCGAGGATATGTTCGGAGTGCGACGCAGTTCCCCTGGCTTCCGGAATGGTAGGCTTCGGATGTGGCTTGTTCTTAATATCTACGTCGATAACTACACCTATATTGAACTTCCATGGTCTTTGAGTCCAATAAATCGGGAGACTGGGCATACCGGCGTTTGTTAACCTGTCCAGTCCAAGATATCGGATGATCTACATGGCAGTTGAGCTCGATCAATATCTCTGTCTATATCACTCTGGTCAATTTTCCATGATGTGGACAACATATTCAAACAATTCTTGTTATAGTAGGGTTTTATATCCTCCTCGGTTCAATCTAGTACAGTGGTTGTGATATATATTGAAGTTACCTGATTTGGGAACAAATGTGAAACGGAACCAGGCACCCACTTCACCCAAATAAACACAGACCTACTTAGTTTGAACAAGGGCAAGAATGTGAACTTTATCCCAAGATGGTTTCTACATATCTTATCTATCTGTACTTACATTTATCTCGTTATATGTTTGTGCTATTTTAAATTCAAGGAAAATGAAGCTATGAGACCGGAATGAACCCAAGAGCTAATGATCTGCCCAAACAGTGTCACCATAGCTTTGTGGTCATATTGCAACATTCTAGAAGTATGGTGCTTCAACTTTGATTGGATTAAAGGGGCCGATGAAGTTGGAAATACATTAAGAGCTAAACCGCCTCGAGTATACTCTGCAGTCACATACGTATTTCAATACTACACACCTACATCCTTTGGGGTTGAGAGAAGAAATTGTTAACAACAAAGGTGATTCGATTTCAAATCCCATAAATAACCCCAGTCCTCATTTTTTTTTTTGGTGTTTATCCATTTTCTCATATCGGCCCACGTTCATGACAACAACAAACAACAGATAGACTGTGGGGATAAAACCAGAAAACAAGAATAGAAAAACAAAAACAAAACAACAGTCCGCAGAGATTGATATCCATAACACATGAAAGAAACAATGATAGAAAGATCAATATGAGCAAGCAAAACACATGTTCTCTGTCGTATCCACCTCTGTCTCCATTTCGCTTTCAACATTGACTTAGTGATCATTCCATTCTTCATCCCAAACATTGATCGGCTCATCCTCATCCCGTGATGAAGCAGACGGGCCATTCGTGAGAGCAGGGGTAGCAGGAGAAGAATCTCCATTGGTGGCGGTCTCTTGGATGGCGGTCTCCTCGTTTAAAGTCTGCTGGGTGGAGCCTGTTCGCAGGCGTCTTCTTCGCTGGCATAATCTGGATTGGCGTGTTTCTTCCTTTGTTCGTCCTCCATTTCCATGATGAATGCCAGCAGCCACACCACCTCTTTATCGATCTCTAATCCAGTTGCGAAGCCCATGACCATTTCCTCCATACCATATTCCTTGGGCATAAACTCTTGTGGCAGAGGTGCGCGCTTAGCAAAACGTTCGCGGATAAGTGCTTCCATTTGAAGTTCTTCTTCAAGTCGTAGTTCCTCTTCATCGTGAGGTTCTTCTTCAGTTTTGAGTGTTGGTTCAGATGAATTTTCTGCTACTTCAGCCTTTGCCGCACCCTCTGTATCCTCATATGGCTCCTCTTGCTCCGTCTTTAGAGCCTTGCCCTTTCCATCGATGTTGTCCTGATCAGTCACTGGAGCCTTGCCCTTCCCCTTGACGTCCTCCTGCGCCTGCTCCTTATCCTTCGTATGGTCCCTGGCTAGAGCGGGGACAGGTGGTTTGTTTGGCAGACTGGAGAAGGGCTTTCCGCCGGGCTCAGCGGCAGCGGGAAGCTTTGGGGCTGGAAGATCCTGGGATTCGATGTTGGTAGTTGCACTGGGTAGCTTTGGGGCAGGTACTGACTTGGAACTGTGGTTCATAGAGGCGGGAGTGGCCAATCTCCATGAGCCCGCTGTGGCAGAGTACTTGGGAAATGACCTGAGAGGCTCGGCTTCAGTGGGTGTCTCGAGGGCAACCACGTTCTTGGACTCGGGTTGAGTCGGTGTTTTGGTAGCCGCCGATGCAGAGGACCCAGCCTTACTTGTAGGAGACTTGGCTGCAGGAGTCTTAGTGTTAGTAGTCGACAAAAAAGCTTCAACATTGGTCGTTTTCTTGGTTGGGGTGTTGATGGTATTCGATGCAGAGGCCTCAGACTTGGCTGAAGTCTTGGTGGGAGTCGAATTCAAAGAGTCAGTAGTTGCAGGCTTCAGTATAGCTGCTTTTTCTTCTTCGTATGCAGCTCTGTTTGCATGTAAGGGAATAATGGGCATCAACTTGAACTCATGTCTGACAGGAGTGATGGAACGGCGCACTATCCTGCCCCTCCAATCAGCAACTTGCTCAACCTTGGGCGCGGCCGTTGGCAACTGCTTGATTTTATCCGCGGGCTTTGAGTTCTCTGGGGTTTCCTCCTCATCCTGAGCTGAAACTTCAACAACGGTGACGCGCGAGCTCTGGATAGGCTCGCTCACAGCGGTCTGCATGTCATCTTCCTTTTCCTCATCGAGAGGTTCAACAGTAATGATTTCACTCTCAGTGTGACCAGACTGGCTTGGAGGGAGATCAGAACTTCCATCGTCACCATCGTGCACAGGAATCAGACGAGGAATCTCGGTATCAATGATTGGACCCTGACGTCTGGGACGCTCACATCCTTTTTCCTTGGGGGTGCTGGGAGTAGTGCTATCACTGCTAGATCGGCGGCTGCCAGTGACCAGTCGGTGCAAGTCGGGCAAATTGCGAATGGGTTGACTTTGGGTGTACTCATGTTGAAACCCATAGCCATCCGGTGGGCTGTACCAGTCATTCTGCATGCCATTGTATTCGTTGTCGGCCATGTATGAATCGGGGTAGTATGGTGGTGCATGGTGGTGAGGCTGTATGTCGTGGATTGGTTGACTAGACACGATGAGAGGGCCGGTCGTGATGGGTGGCATATATGTGCCAGGAACAGAACCCATGTTAGCCAATTGAATGTGTTGGGACATGTGTTGTGGCAGAGCTTGAGGGGGGAAGCCGGGCTGGTTGGGCGCAATGAAAGGGTAAACAGGGGGGAAAGATTCGTTAGTAAAGTATGGAGCAGGTGGGCCTTCTTGGAATTGCATCTGGGGGTTGAAGATCATAGGCTGAGCAGCAGGGAAAGGACCTGGAGCTGGGAAGCCCTGGTTGGGATAACCCTGGAAGTTGGCTGGCTGGCTTTGATGGAAGCCGCCGCTGTTGGAGTAACTGTGACCAGGAAAGACATTGTTCGGGAAGTTGTTGACCGGGAAGCCGGCTGGCGGTTCATTGTTTGCAAAGCCCTGGCCATTATAACCATTTGGAGAGGCTGGACCGTTGAAGTTCTGATGATTTCCGTAGCCGTTGGAGAATCGGTTGCCTCCGCCATAGGTATTGCGGGCATTGCATCCACGAGGAGGGAACTGACGACCACCTCTGGGACGGTTATTGTAACCATTGCTGTTGCTGTTGTATCGCTGGCCACGGGGTGCCATTTGGTTGCTGGCCCGTCTGGCCTGATTGCCTTGAGACTCCATGATGGGACGCAGGTAAAAGGTATCGTCGGAATGGCCCTACTGCTGTGAGCAAACAGATCAGTGAGAAGGATGAAAGAGCGTACCTTGATGGCTTCTTCGTAGTCACCGAGGAAGGCAAAAGTGACTCGGGCTACCACAAAAGGCTCGCCTGAGTCAAATGACTGCTCGATGGTGAATTTCTCAATAGAACCCCAGGTGTTGGAGTTGAGGGCGAAAGCAATGTCGGACTCGGTGATGGGCTCTCCGGAATGGTGTCCAATGATGGCGGAGCCTCGATAAAGTCAGAGAAGATGGGGTTGGGGAAGAAGAAAGGAAAGAACTCACGTTTGCAATTAGCAGCTTCAACCCGCAGTGTGCGCCCCTCCAGTACGATCCCGGGGTGTTCGATGACCTTTTGTGCGGACTCGGGGTTCTAGTAACTGTCAATAGTGCTCTATCGCACACTTGGGATCACTTACATCAAACACCACAAATGCGCCAGGTAAGGCTTTCTGTCTGCCTTCCTTGACCTTGACCCAACACCGGCCAAACTGAGAGAACGTCTTAATGAGGCCTTCCTCTGCCTTTGCAAGTTCGATCTTGGTAGAAATGCTTGAGTGAACTTAGTATACTTTATGACTACTAAGAGCAAGGGATACTCACTTTCCAACGAAAATAGAACACGAACGATCAAAGAAGCCCTGGGCATTCTTAGCCGTAATGACTTGGTTTGTGCGATCTACACGTCGAGGATATCTCGGCTGATAGGCGCTTCCATTCGATCTGGTATGTGAGTCGGGGGTTTTATGTCCGTTAGTACTATGATCAGGAGTAAACCGATCAGGAGTACCATGGTCGCGAGGGACACGTTCGACAGGCTTGATGCCATTCTTGGGGGCATCAAGCGCATTTTCAGTGATAACCAGCTCAGAGCCACAGTCACTGGACTCGGGAGTCATAGCATCAGTGGAGATGTGCTCCATAGCCATGTTTGATATATAGTATACCACTGGCCGAAGCTTTGTTTTGTAACGCCAAACGAGAGTATTGCTAAAGCGCAAATAACCAATGAATCAACGAACGAATGAATAAACGAAGGGGTGAGATAGATGAAACGAGTTGTCAGAGTATGAACATATGACGAGAAAAAGAATATGGAGAGAAAGAGAAAGGAAGGAAGATAGTGGGCGACGAGGGCATTATACGACAAGGTGGGCAGAGAGGCCAGCCCTAAGTAGAACGGAAGTAAACCAGAGATCCTATCGTGACTCTTATGTTGCCTCCAATTAAAAAACATACAGAGTATTTTCAAAACACATAGCCATGGGTACGGTATCGTGGCCTCGGAGTATGGGTTACAGCCAACCCTGTTTAGGTATCGAGAGGGAATTGTAACCTTCATGACTCTTTAAAGAGTTGACAGCCAGCCGTGGAATGAGAAATTGAAATAATTGATTGGCTCTCGGATGGCTGTCTTGAATGTCGGCCTCAAGCCATGTATTAGATAGGGAGGCACTGATCAGAATGTCGTCAATAGACGGCAACTAGATGGCAGTTGCATATGCCACAAGCCATTCTCTCAATTATACCTGGGAGACAGATTTGCCACCCACTTGAAGTATACAATGCTTGTCAAGTCACTTAATACATCTGCTGTCGATATAAAGTCCGAACCTCAGGAATGCCGAGTGCGGTAACCCGCGAAGTATATTGTACCAAGGAAGACCATGATGGAGCGATCGAGTGATCGAGTGAGACAACCCAAAGAATCAAACTAAGCCCCCAAAACGGCGGAGTTCAGTAGTGCAACACACATTTAGAGTAGTACGCAGTACACTAGAGGTAGACTGAAGTGAAGTAAAGTTATCTTATCAAATCAATTCACGCCACTCGGATGCCGGCCGGCGGCATTTCTAGCTCCCGAGCTCTGAACCTGGACCTCATCTCTACTCCTACAACTCCTCAAAATGATCCCAACAAAACGCCTAGCCCAAGGTGGCTTTTTCAGACGTAGTGCTGACGAATTTGGTCGCCTGTCCAGGATTGGTAACTCACACCCAATTCACAGCAAATCGCGCAAACTAACAAGGAACCAGCCTGGAACACAGAAGCCCTCCACACACCCACGAAGCCTTATTCGATCCTCAACTTCGAAGATGAAAGCACGGTTACAAGCTGCAAAACCATGGCCGACCGCGCCGTAGGAGGGTTCAGCACTGCCAGCTTAGACTTCGAATCAGCAGACCCTTCAACAAACACACCCTCGCATGCCCGGTTCCACGGCACCATCTCAACTAAACTCCCAGAGAACTGGCGAGTCGAAAGGACTGGTAAGTTTGAAAATATTTAACCCCAACTCATTACCGATACAAAGCGGTCACAGAAGATTACAAAAGCTAATCACCGGCACATGCACAGGCTACGCCGCCTTCCGCAACCAAGACAGAGGCCTGTGGCTTTTCGGTCGCCTTTTTTGGGATGTCGATCCATATGCGTACCTGGCATTACGGATTAAATCGGACGGTCGACGATACACCGTGAACGTTCAGAGTGACTCCATCGTCGACACGGATATCCACCAGCACAGACTATACACGAAACACCACCGCGTACGCGACATCGAAGATCATAATGACGCCCCTGACTCCGTAGACGAACTCTTCCCCGAGGGTATGCCTGCGGCACTCTCAGACGTACCGCCCCAATCCACGATCCTGTCGTCATCGACTAGTACGACAACATCTGGGGGAACCGGGTGGGAGACTGTTCTATTACCATTTAACTCTTTTGTTCGCACGAACCATGGTTACGTGATCGAGCCCCAGACATCGTTGATGCGCCAGCGCATTAAGAGTATTGGTATTGGCTTGACGGACCGTGTAGAGGGGCCGTTTGATTTGCGCATTCATAAGATCTGGGCGACTAATGGGATGGGTGAGGCAGAGCATGAAGAGGAGAAGCGGATTTGTGGCGCGGATGCCCTGCCTATTGATGAGGGTGTTCGGACGGGTTGGACTGAAGAGCCCGCGCCGAAGCCTGAGAGGGAGCAGCGACAGCAGAGCCCCAAGGAGAAGGGACTGAAGGGACTGAAGGGGGAGTGGGATGAGTGATCTTATTCATAGCTGCTCTATGTGTACATTACCCCTAGTGGGATTTTGGCTTTGTTACTCCCATCTAAAGTGACAACAACAATTTGGACATGAACTGGGATTTCATTTCATCCTGAATCATTCCAGAAATACATAAGGTATAGACTCGAGGGATATACTCGATAAATAGCGTCTAGACTTGTTTTAGTTACCACCGGTGATCTTCTCCCAAGCCTCCTTGTACTTCTCGGCAGTCTTGAGAGCAATGTCCTCGGGCATGCGCACACCTTCCTTACCCTTCAGACCCTCCTGGACCAGCCAGTCACGCAAGAACTGCTTGTCGAAGCTGGACTGGCCCCGGCCGATAGCGTAGGAATCCTTAGGCCAGAAGCGAGATGAGTCAGGGGTCAAAACCTCATCGGCGAGAACAACCTCGTTAGTCTCCTCATCAACACCGAACTCGAACTTGGTATCGGCGATGATCACGCCGCGCTCGAGAGCGTAGGCGTGGGCGGTCTTGTAGAGCTGGACAGCTAGCGAGGCAACAGTCTCGGCGTGTTCACCCAGGATAGCGGCAGCTGTAACAAAAATGTCAGTCTCTTGCATCTATAAACACCCACCAATGCTTAAACCAGACAAAAGACCGCAGTCACGGATTCGTCTAAGCTGTCCATATACATACCCTGATCAGGATGGATGTTCTCATCGTGCTCGCCCTGCTCAGCCTTTGTGCTGGGCGTGTAGATAGGACCATCAGGGAAAGCCTGGCTCTCCTGCAAACCAGCAGGGACCTTAATGCCGTGCACAGTGCCAGCCTTCTTGTACTCATTCCAAGCCGAGCCGGTGATATATCCGCGGACGATAGCTTCAATGGGGAGGATCTTCAGCTTGCGCACCTGCATGCTGCGGTTCTGCAGTACTGGACGCAGGGACTCTGGGATCTGGGGCGGGAGGTCGAGGGTGATGAAGTGCGTGCGCAGGGAAGGGTGCGCCTCTTTCAGGGCGTTGAACCATGTTCGTGTGCAAAGGGTGAGGAGGATGCCCTTGTTAGGGATACCCTATTAACTGGGTTAGCCACTCGATCAATTGGATATTATGGGGGGGAGAATTGCAATTGCAATTGAACTCTGGTGGGGGTTGTACATTCTCCATGATCACATCGTAGGCGGAGATGCGATCGCTCGCAACGAAGAGGAGGGTCTTGTCGTCGATCTCGTAGAGATCGCGGACCTTGCCTCGGGCAATGAGGGGGAGGGCACCCTGCAGGTCAGTGGTAGTCAGAGCTTGAGACATGGTGAATTGTGCTGAAGTTCTAAAGTTCTGCGTCATCGTCACTTTTTTTCCCGAGTTTTGGCGGGGTCCCGATTGCGGCGTTGGTGCCTCAGGCGATCATTGATATCGCAACGCGCCCTTGAGAAGCTCATTGTTGATACGCTAGAACTACAGCATGGCACAGCAGTAGCAAGCTCAGAATGACGCGTTATTTGACTCCCTGGAGGGTCTCGCTGCTGTGTCTGGTCACTCTCTACACGGATGGTGTTGTTCCCAACTCGTCTGCCATCCACGTCCTTTCGTTCCTGACCGCGGGTCTATTTCCGCTTGACCCTGCCGATAAACAATGGCAGGAGCACTACTTGCCGAGCATTGCAGAGCTTGAGAAATGTCTTACTGGTCATGAGTCATCTGTTCCTGGGCGCTCGCTTTGGGATCTGTTCCTGAAGAACCTGTGGGCTCTCGACTCAATGGATGCGCTGGAGACATTCTTCAGCGATGTGCTTCCGTCTCTGTTGGCCAAATCGCGCGATGAACAAATCCAAGACAAAGATAATGGGCTCGCCCCGGAACCCGAAGACCGCATGCGCTTATCGAGGAGTTCGCCGCTGGGCGCGTTCGTACGCAGATCATACCTTGAGTACACGCGGTTGCAGTTTCATGATTCTGTGAAGCTCTGGACTGGATTTGTCAAGTACCGTCTTCCAACATACAGTTATTGGTCACGGAGGCACCGTGGGGCTGAGGGGAAACTTGTTGATGCCAATCTTCGTGCCTTGGGACTGGATTCCTCGAGCCACTTGTCACAGGTTGTATATGGCAATATCGAAGATGACGAGGACGGTGAGGGCATTGTCAGCATCAAGGATGCAGAGAGGCTGGTCGAGTTTCAAGTTGGTGAATTGCAGAGTACGTGCTTCTCCGGTGTATCAAGGTCGTGCGCTAATGGATACAGGGATTGGAGGCAGAGTTCCAGACGAAATGAGAGCTCAATTGAAACACATCATAACCTCGGAGTCTACAACGCCACAGTTGATGTACTACCTAGAGTATGTTACCATACACCGAAACATTTAGCTTGGCTGACAACTTCCAGATATCTTGATGCATGGAGAGCCGGGGACTACACATCCGCATTTGATAACCTGCACCGGTACTTTGACTACACTATGCACACGAATGTTGACCGAAGTGCGTACCAATTCGCCCTTCTGAACCTAGCAATCATCCAAGCGGACTTCGAGTGCTTCAATGAAGCAATTTCAGCCGTGCAAGAGGCGGTCGCAATTGCTCGCGAGTCGCACGATATGAACTGTCTGAACTTCTGTATGAGCTGGTTGTATCACTTTGGCAAGGCGTTCCCAGAGCAGATGCGAGAAGTTCAAAACAGCGGGATGCTGGGTAACGAGAAAGAGGGCCTTGCTTTCCTCAAAGCCAAGTCCAAGGAGACCGACATGTGGTCTCTGTTGAGTACTACATTGCTGAGTGAGGCTAAATTGGAGATGCAGCAGGTATGAATCTTGTATGTCTTTGAAAAAATAGGGGATACTGATCTTCACTAGGGAGAGAGTCTTGCGTCGATCGTGGAATGCTTTGTGCGAGCATCTCATGTCAACGTGACAAAAGGCCTTACAACACCCACGGGTGCATACATGCTCCTTCAAGGCTCCATGTACGCTCGAATAGGTATGATTATTCAGTGCTTCATTTGGCGGTGGCCATGCTAACTATAAACATAGGAGCTACCCACCTCTCTTGGTTGAATACTGAGGTATTCCGCGAGTGCTACTTGGAGGGCCAACCCCATGATGACTTTGTCAAGATCACATTCCGAAACTGCCAAATAGTATGTGGAATTGATGTGCTATTGTTCACTCACGACACCAAGCTAACTGATCTCTACAGTTAGCACAAAAGGGCAACTACAAGGAAGCTTTTGCACGAATGAACAAAATCGAGCCAGAAAAGCTACGAGCCTTCAAATACAACAACGCCTGGACGTACTACTCCGGACTCCTACAACTACAACGACAAATCTGCCGGTAAGTACTCCATGCAATCACACCACATCCAATCTAACACACAACAGCGATGACAGAGTAGCGGTGGAACACATCCTCTCCCAACTCCAAGCAGTCCAACTCCTAGACTTCGACATGCGCCTCCTCCTAGCACTCCACTCAATCGAATTCACAATCCGCCAAGGCGACTACGGCCGCGCTCTAAGAATGGTCGAACAAGCCGCCCACGCCATGCAACCCGAAAACTTCGACGTCCACTCTCAGATCAAGCTCCTTTGCTTAAAGGCGCAGATCCTTGGGAAATCCGGACAGCCGCAACGCGGTTTCTCACTAGCAATGCGCGCAGCAAACATCGCGCATCGCTCCAAGGTCCTAGCTGACCTCTGGGTGGCCATCTGCACACTGGCCACAGTCCTATTAAGTCTTCACGAATTCGAAGCTACAGGCGAGCTGGTTGAGAGCATTATGCCCCAAATCTTGGAGTCAGATGATTACGCCCTCATTGCGCAGGCGTATTCGCTCCTCGTGGATGCGAATATGGGCATGGCCGGTGAGTTGTGGAGGCTTCAGGGCCGGGACTCGCTGTCGACAAGGAAGGAATATGTGAACCGGGCTCTTGGGTATATCGATTCGGCGTATGACCACTACGAGGAGATTGAAGATATCAAGGGCCAGACGGAAATGATGGCTAAGAAGGCTACTGTTATGCATCTTACGGGTGACCCTGTCTTGGCTAATGATTATGCGGCGAAATATCTGGATTTGCGAAGGCGACGGGGTACTGAGGCGTGATGTATTGGTATCTTTGACACGGAATAATGAACACTGAGCCTCGTCTCTATGTAAAACAATTCGATCGTCACCAGTAGAAAGTTGATAAATATATACACAAACCAGTCCTCATCAATCATTCAATCACTATCGCGCCACCCAACAAGAAACTCATCCAACAAATCATTATTCGCCTTCTCAGTCCTCTGCCTCAAAAGCTCAGCCCCAATATCAAACTTGGCATCCGCTTCAGCCTGCTCTTCATCTGACAAGGATTCACGCCTAGCAGTATTCGTATTGCGAATCCTATTCCTCCCCGCAAAAGATGCCTTAGTCTCCGGCATATCAAATTCGAGATCCACCAAATCAGACCCAAGATTGATCCTCGGTTGCATGTCTATCCCGTAAACCTTTGGGCCACGAGTTGAACCGAACATTCCATCAAATGCAGAGATCTCGTTTCCGGTGTTCAGATCGTGATATTGTCTTGTGGGATATTCAGGTGATTCCGAGCCGGACATTGTATGGTTGTCGCTGTGTTCCATGGATTCATAGCTCTGTGGTGACCAAGGCTGTGACTGCTGCAGTTCATGCTGAACTCGATCAGGATGGTTGTTTGTTTCGGCGTTTTCTTGGTGCTCGTGTTCATGCATATGCTCCCCATAATGCCTCCGCGTACATCCATCATTAAAAAACTCCTTCAGCAACAAACTCAATTGACAAAGCCTCTTCATCTGCCTCGGAGGAAGAACCTCTTCTTCCCTCTCAACAGAACCAATCTTCCTCTTCCGCCTCGAACCATCCCGCTGTTCAGCCATAGAACTCCGCGCCACAATCCCATCCTTGAAGCCCGCACCCTCGGGCGAATCTCCACACTTAGCACCCGCCTCCAATCGCAGCGTCTCTTCCTCGTCGTACGCAGTCGCGGGCTTGAAATCGATATTGTGATCTATCAAGACCTGCTTGAGATATGTGACGCGACTTTCAAGGAAGGAGACATAGCTGCGTGGCAGCTCGCGCTTGGTGAGGGGGTCGTAGCCGACACAGCGTGCGCCTGCTTTTTCACAGGATTCACAGCGTGGAAGGCGCTGGTCGCAGCGGTGTTTGCGGAGGCGGCAGCGGTTGCAGGCTGAGACGTTGCGGAATGGCGGGGGTGTGGTTTTTGCATTTGAAGCGGGAGTTGAGGTTGAAGATGGTCGCGTGCTTGGAATTTGGCGTTGTCTTGGTCTTGAGAGCTGTGTTTGTGGTGTTTGTTGGTTAGGTTGGGATGGGTTTGGGAGTTGGTTCCATCTTCTTTCTGGGAGGGGGGATGTTGGGGATGTGAGGTCTAGCATTGTGAGAATAGGTTAAATGGAGAGAAAGAAGAGAGAGGGAATCGATAAGGGAAAAAAGTACATTCGTATCTTGGAGCTTTAGTTTTGTTATCAGACAGTGGAATAACTATAGCTCGTGAATTCCGAAATGACAGCGTTCATGCTGGGCGATAAGGTTCGAATTCCGGTTGAACTCCGAAAGGCGTTTAAAACTCCGAGACATTCCGCAAGTTGCGATCTGCTGGAGGGGCTGTTCCTAACGGGGCCATTTTATATGCTGATCTGTTTAAACATAGGTTGCCGATATGGCCATGTGGTTGTAGATATTTCCATAGATTGTTATATCTCCAAAATGGCGTGGTTATAGTGCTCTTTCCGGGCTTGACATTCCAGCATGCTTCTAGAACTAGAATTCACAATGGTAGGAGCTAGACCATTCTAGGCAGGCTAAAGAGCATGGACGTACTGGGCTACACTAAGTGGACTGCGTTAAGACACTAACACGTTGGTGTTGCATGTGGATCGATGGAGGGAGGGGTGACATATGGAGTGCTCCACTATACACTGTAGAATGGAGGACATGAAGGTCAGGAGGCTCATTCATTTCCCGCGGCAAACTTGAAGTATCGAGGGAAGTTAGCTAGTATAGTATACTAGTCTAGACTAGTAAGTATGGGGGAATGAGGAAGCCAAGCTTCGGAGCGGGCGCACGGCCCGTCACTTGGCACGCGGGGTGATAGATGCCGATTCGATTTGGAGCTCGTCTCGGCATATGGCTCCAATCGGATCAGAGACCTGGGGTTCTACGGGGAATTCAACGTCTGTAACACTGGTCGATGGAGACCCTCCAGAGCTCAGGTATATGATTGACAGCTCCCCCGGATGATCCAGAACGAGTAACTGGACTTTTAGAGAATTGACACGAGTGGGACGAATGGGACGAATGGGACGAATTGGCCGTCACACAGTCCTCTCAGATATGCAGGCTGATAGGGCTGATGTAGTAAAGATAACATACCATGGAAAGAATCCTAGGATCAGAACGGAACGGATAGCTCGGGAACCAGAACAAATAGCATGTTCGAACAGAGCGGGAAACAATATCCCCTACTCCAACAGATGCATTCACTCGAAGCTCAAATCCAATAAAGCTTCCACATTCGATCATCCATAGATTATGGGGTTATGGGGGGAACACCCGCCCTCGCCGATCCCTACTCCCATCAACGCCAATTCGCATTTCTTGTTCAAAGTATCGAAGGCTAGTCGCATATTCCCTCAATTCGAACTTCTCCAATTGTCCAGGGTACTTGTTTCAAAAGCTATATAACGCCGTTCCCTCGACCCACTGTATCCATGATATCATTCAGTGTTACATAGTTCATATTCCTGACTCGCCCCCCCCCCCCCCCCCAAATCCATTCTCAATCATCTTTATCTTCTCTGAATCATTCTGCGTCTTCTATCATTGATTGCCATACCATGGCATCAGACGACACCGAAGAAGCACGGGGTGTTTCCACCGCCGTGGACTTGGAAATGACCATGACGAACGAGGACCCCAAGGTGGTGAAACAGGCGCCCGATGCTGATGAGGCTATGAAAGCCTTTGAAGAAATGCAGGGTGAAGCGATTGAATTGGATGAAGCGACGAACCGCCGTCTTGTGCGGACGATTGATTGGCATATTATGCCGATCATGTGTTTCGTCTATGCGATGAATTTTCTTGATAGTTTGTGATGCAATGGTGCCAACTTACCTGTTCTATGGCTGACCTATTCCAGAAACAACATTGTCCTACGCCAGTATTATGGGTCTGAAAGAAGATCTCCATCTAATCGATGATCAATACCAATGGCTTGGTAGTGTGTTCTACTTTGGTGAGGCATCTTGTTCTAAATTCTCTACCAAGAGAGCATGGCATTGATCTATAAAACCCCAGGCTACATTGCCTGGGAATACCCAACAAACCGCCTCCTACAACGACTACCACTAGGAAAATACTCCGCGGCGTGCATAATAATATGGGGTCTAATCCTAAGCTGCTTCGCCGCAGCAAAGAACTACCCCGGTGCAATCGCCATCCGATTCTTCCTCGGTGTTTTCGAAGCAGCCGTCACACCAGGTTTCGCACTCCTCACTTCCCAGGTATCTCCTACCATTCACTCACCTCCCCACCAAACTAACACATAAAAAGTGGTACACCCGCACAGAACAAGGCAAAAGAGTCAACATATGGTACAGCTTCAACGGCTGGGGCCAAATAATAGGCGGACTAGTAGCCTACGGAATAGCAGAAGGGTCGCGAAAACACGGGTCTTTAATAGCACCCTGGAAAATCGTCTTTCTCTTCACGGGCCTGCTCACAATCGCGCTGGGCTTTATCTTTCTCTGGATCGTGCCAGATAGCCAGCTGAACGCGCGCTGGCTAAAGAAAGAAGATCGCATCCTGGCCATTGCCCGTGTGCGTGTTAACCAGCAGGGCATTGGAAATAAGCACTTTAAATGGTATCAGGCTAAAGAGGCGCTGCTTGACCCTATGACGTGGGCTTTCTTTTTCTTTGCGCTTATTGCTGATATTCCTAATGGGGGTATCACGAATTTTTTTAGTCAGTTGGTATGTTTTTTTCCCTGTCCCCTCTTTCTCCTTATTTGTGTCTATCTATGGCTCTTTTATATTCAAGAGTCAAGCTGACAATTTCTGTTTCTGTCCGGTCAGATCACAAGTTTTGGCTACACACCTGAACAAAGCCTGCTGTACGGCACGCCAGCCGGCGCAGTCGAAGTAGTCGCCCTGCTAGCAAACGGTTTCATGGGCGACCGAACCGGCCAACGAATCTTGTGTAGTCTCGGCGGACTACTAACAGCAACAATAGGCGTCGTGCTGATAGTGGCACTGCCATTAGAAAACAATATCGGTCGCTTAATCGGGTATTACCTGACGCAGGCATTCCCGACTTCGTTCGTTGCGCTGCTTTCGTTAATTTCGTCGAATGTTGCGGGCTATACGAAGAAGACTACCGTTGCTGCTTTGTATCTGATTGGGTATTGTGTTGGGAATATCATTGGTGCGTTTCATTCACGGAAGATGATATGAATATAGATATAGACATATACTTACTCGCAATATCCAGGCCCATTAACTTTCCGCCCTCAAGATGCACCACGCTACATCCCCGCTGAGATAATCATCATCTGCTGCTGGGGCGTGTCGTTGCTTATCTTGCTTTATATTTGGTGGTGGTATAATAAGGAGAATCGGCGGAAGGCCGCTATTGTTTCTAGTCCTGATTATGTGAGGGTTGAGGGTCGGGAGTAAGTTCTACACTGTCTATTACGGAGTAGTATGCAATGCATTTCTGGATTCACTGACTGATCTTTCGTTTAGGTGGATGGATCTTACGGACCGTGAGAATCATGATTTCGTTTATACGCTGTAACGTCATTTACGTACATACTCACACGTACGTCCGCGTCTTCCATTGCGTTAACAGTAACGTTTACTGTGACGGCAACAGCAATCTGGTAAATATTTCTATGCAATGCACATGACCTGTATCTATTTCTATTTCTATTTCTATTACGTCTTCTACTTTAGAACGCTGTCCCGTCCACGGTAGATGGACATGATGACGCGGCTGGATATATATTCACCCTACATTGTGAGTGCGGTCAAAATATACTTTTCTTGGATGCAGGCCAAGCGAGATATACGTATATATATGTAGGAAAGCACGTACGGTATATGTATATTTATCCCGTGTGTGCAGAAGACCACAAGGCTGGACATATGCAAGTGTACATGTATACCTAGCGTGCCAAGTTTATAGCGGCGGGACGGGAAAGGGAAGGGTCAAAAATACGATAAGTAGATATCAATGAGCTAGGAAAATAGGATTGGCAGTTGACAAGTAATTAATCAAATCATATTAACATTTGGATTCTCATGTAAAAAAGTACGCGACCCAATGCAATTTCCGTAAAAAAGAGTGTTCACCCCTCGCTGGAATAAAACGGAGCAAACCAAAATTACCAGAATATGCAAAAACAACCCGAAATACAGAGTACATCGTACGAACACAGCTGAAAGATTAAGCCGAAAAACTGCATACTCGGACATATCAGAGACAGGTCATATCACATGGATACCCAGGCAACGTAATGCGCTGCGCCCCTATAATAACCGCCGATCACCACGCGATTGGGCGGGAGCGTTATATTAGCCATGCAAGGTGAAGAAAGTAAACAAAAGCAAATGTATCAATTCGGCCGATCTCTCGGATGATATAATGTAAGGTAAGATATTTATAAGATATGATTTGATTTACCCACTGGGCAAATCAAAATCAGATGCAAAGCCCAAGGCGTAACGCCACCGATCCAGTCCCGGATTGTTGTAGATACACATAACAACGAAAACATCAAGTCAATTCAAAAAGGGAAGAGAAACATAACACTCTGGGATGGAAATGACAAACACCGCATAATATTGGACCATGTGACACGTTAGCTATACAGATAGATTGCAAAATGTGTACCTGGTCTGGAACTGAAGAAAGGGCCAGGTAGCAAGTTAGAAGATGAAGGAGTAGACAAAGACCAGGATGGTCGCGATGGTGGCAACTGTGTACTCCAGTTCAAACCATGCGGCTTGGCCGCCGAAGGCAATCTTCTTGCTCTTCTTTGTTGGGTGCGCGACGCCAGTCTTGGGATCGCGGGTGAGAAGGTCCTCGCGCTCTGGCATGGTGGGTGGGTCGATGGCGTAGGAGACTGGTGTCCAGAGGGAGGTACAGATGAAGAGGAAGGTGAGAGGGGGCCAGAAGGCGTGCGTGATCAGACAGAGGATGATGCCTCTGAAGCCGGTGTTTTGGGCCCAGCAGCGGTAGGAGGAGATTACCACTGCCACGAGAGTGACGTACACGAACGCCAGGTGGAAACTGGCCATATAGTTGAGGAGGATGACGCGCAGGCGGACGAACATGTTCTTGGACTTTTTGGCATCGCGCTCGTTGAGGGTGGAGCCGAGAGAACCAGTTGGCTTGAAGGCTTGTGTTTGACCACCGAGCCACTTGGGCAGGAGGAAGGAGCGCACGATGCAGAGGGCAATGTAGGGCGACATCCACAGTTGGTAACGGGAACCTCGCTGACCAGTGTGGTAGCCGGCTGGGATGAAAAGAGCAAATTCGCACAGACGGTTGGAAATCGTGGCGGCGAAGCAGGCCCAGATCAACCAGCGCAGCTGCTCCTCGGTCGCGAAAGCGACCAGGCGCTTACCCCACAGTAGAATGATAGGAATGGCGAAGAGAGAAGCGGTCAGCAGTAGAGTGTACACACTGAGAGTGGCGTAGAGGAATCCGGAGAACCGCTGGGCGACGGTCATCTTGCGAACGGCATCACCATACAGACAGAACTTTAGCTTGGCAGCCGTGTCCACGGTACCAATAGCCCATCTTGTACGCTGCTTGAGATGTCCACCGAAGTCTTCAGGCACGGTACCGAATTGAAGCGGTTCATGCACATAAGCAGTCTTCCATCCTTTGCCAAGCATCAAAGTCGAAGTAGCGACATCCTCAGCCAAAGAGCCAAGCGGGAAGTTGCCGATCTCCTCGAGAGCCTCGCGTCGAACGATATAACCAGAGCCAGTACACCAAGCCACACCGAGCGCGTCCTTGATCGGCTCAATAACATGCACGAAGAAGTCCAGACTCTGCGCCAGGGGATCGGATGCAGGGGTATTGTAGAAGAGCTGCGGCGGGCATGCAAGGGCCATCTTGGGATCCACCAACAAGTGGGGAAGAATCGCACGAAGCCAGTCTTGTTCGGGAATCTGCAAGCTGTCAGAATGTAAATTTGAATACGGGCGGGAGATTGGTCATTACCATGTCGGCATCCAGTGCAGCCATGAACTGGCCTGCACCTCCGGGAAGGAGAGTAGTCTGTTCCAGACCGTAGTTGAGGTTACCGGCCTTGAAGTGGTGGGGCTTGCCGGGGATTTTTTCACGCGCCATGTAGTAGACATTGGGGTGGATAGCGGCGAGTTGGCTGCAAGACTCTTCGAGAGTCTTGGACCTGGCGTCATCCAAGATAATGATACGGAACTGGTCGCGAGGGTAGTCCTGGTCGCAGGCACCGCGGACAGTATCGAGCACGACCTCGTCCTCCTCTCCGCAGCAAGTAATGAAGACATCGACGGTAGGACAGTCCTTGCCGGTCAAGCGCAGCTTTGGGCGGCCACGCTTCTTCAAGGCCAGCATTGTCCAGCAGTTGTGCATAAGCGAGGGAATAGCAACAGTGATTTCAATGGCCACGAAAACCCAGGCTCCAGCGTAAGAGACCTGGGCCACATTCTGTGCCATGATGATGCATGCAATGCGCAAACCGAGATAGAACAAATAGATACCCGTGTTGGCAAACGTGAGGAATGGAACGAGAGCGAAAACCCAGCGTTTCCATCCTTTCCAAGTTTCCGCATCGTCTCGATCGTACAGACGAGCAATCGAGCCTGATTTGACCCAATCTTTGGCGAATCCGGGGGAAGCGGGCTCGGTCACGAGGGGAGCCAGACTCATGTGGGATTCACCGACGCCATTCTGCTGGTACTGTTCATCGGTTGATTAGATGCTAGCTGAGAGAAGTAGAAAAAGGGTGCATACCAGTGTGGGAGAGGCCGACCGCGAGTCGTACGGTGTTTGTGAGTCCCATGGTGTGTTTGGGAGGGAATCCGAGTTTCCAGACGTGCGTGTGGCGGGCTGAAGCCACACATGCTGGCCATTCTCATCTGTAGGGAAATGCCCCGGTCGGACCGGAGTTAGGGCTCTTGGTCCTGGGGAATAGGGAGCATATGGCTGGGGGTGTTCGAAGCTGCTGTTGTTGCCATAGCCTCGGTAGACATCCATCTCGACCTTTTCCTGATCGTCATGGCCGTAGCGTCCGTCCATATTGACGGGACAAGGCTACTGAGTAGCCTTTGAACTTGAACAGGATAAAGTAAGAGGGAAGGTTAGATCCGAGGAATGTAGTAACGAACGTGGTCAGCCCAGCTGGTTGGAATGGAATGTGAAGAGAAGAGAAAACCTCTTATCTAAGTAAATCGAGGTAAGAGTTCTAAGCCCTGAGACTAGCGCAGCCAAGCAAAGGTACGCTGTGGGCTCACAGTGGACCGCATGCGGCGAGATATGATACGCGTACAAAAATAGATTACCATTTATTTGTATTCTCGGGGTATTTTGGTTGAAAATTGTATTTTGCTCGGACTAACTACGGCGGTTACCGTTTGCGGGTACCTTTTTGGTCATGTTCCCTGAATGGTATTGTAATGAACCAGGGTCTTGCTTTTTTAATTTCAGACTGGAACCCTAATCTGACCAATCAGAGACTAGTGCGTCGATCATCTAATGGGAATTGTGCATCGGGTAACAGCGTTGCATGTGCCGTTACGGTGCCTGGCCGGTATTGTGCCTGTTCCACTCTTTCCACTGTAAAGAAGTGTACACAGAAAAGTGGTTCTTATCAGGTGGCTCTGGTGGACTCTGTCTTAGTCTCGATCGTCCACCTCCACTGGCCGATTGCCTCTCAAATTTCACTCTTCACCTTGCTTTGCTGTTTTGCTTGCTCCTTGCTATTTGCTGTTGCTCTTTGTTTGCTACTGTGAAGATGGTATTTGGTATCGGATTGATCGTCAACGCCGTCCTAGTGGCCATCCCGGTCGGGGGCAGCGTTGGAGCTTTGATGGGCATCGACGCCCACCGCTCAGCAACAGGACAAAAGCCACTGTTCACTGGTGGAAACACAGAGGATGGCACTACACCAGGTGGTGGAAGTACAGGCGACGGCGGCGACCACCACACAACCACTCCGGTCCACGGCACACAAATGACAGAGTACTGTGATCTCTCATGGGGAATTACACCACCATCCAAGACCGAGCAATACACCCGTGAGTGACTCGACTCAACAACGGGCACAATGACTGACAAACATAGTGAACCCTAACCAATGGGGTGTGACTGATACCACTGTTGGAAAGTTGTGTATGAATGTGCGTATTCCCAGTCTTGACTCGATTGATGGCTGCTAATGATCTCTGCTATAGGTGACCACTTTTAAGAACGAGACCTATCCCACAAACACTGCGCCAGAATTCTCCGTCAACTGGAAGTTCGACGCTGGACCAGAGACACAGCCTGTGCACGCCTACTCCAACATCCGGGTGGACGATGTCTTACCGCTGGCTTTGGACTCGATGCAACAGCTATACCTCGATCTACACTGGACATATGGAAGTGGTAACGCCTCGGTCGAAACTACATCCAGTGACGATTTGAAAGCTGCCAATCTCAATACCAACGTGGCCATCGATATGTTCTTGGACAGCGACAAGACTAAAGCAGAAAACGGCACCAATGCTGCGTACGAAGTCATGGTGTGGTTTGCGCAAATCGGTGCTGCCACCCAGCCCATTGGTCTCCAGAACAAATCAAAGGCAACCAGAAATTTAAATGGAACGAACTTGTAAGTTGTACGCCTACAACAGCCGGATGTACCTACTAACAGAACCCAGCGAGCTCTACGCAGGCCAAAACGGACAAGGACAGAATGTCATGTCTTGGGTTTCAGAAGAAGCTGTCAACGGCGGCTTCACCGAAAGATTCGCTGGTGACATCTACCCTCTCATCACCGATCTTTACTCCATGACGTCTGCCGACCTGAACGACATTGAACCCCCCAGCAAGGATGACTTCCTGGGCAGTTTGGCCTTTGGAACTGAGGCCTTCTACTCGGGCGAATTTGTCACTTTCTCGGTGCCGGAGTACAAGATCGACATCCGGACGTAGGTCTGGCTTTGTAAAGTGTATAATTATGAGCATTGTGCTTTACGTTAGACATGAGCGATTACATGAATCTAGTTCTTCAATTCTTCAATTTCTCATTACTCTATTTTACCAGTATGCCTTTTAGAAAACAGGATATGTAGTTACATTACTATAGATGATGACCTAGTTGCCATACTTGCCTACAAAATACCATTTCTGTTTCCGGCGATGAAAGGGTAACCTCCCCCACACTCCGCGTTGCAGACACAGATGGCACTCCACAATCACCATACATTACCCGTTACGCAGGCGAAGAATACAGTAAAGTCATGCAGTCCTCAAAACAATGCATTATCCGCCAAGTCTGACTCAAGCCTTCTGGTCATCGAGTCAAGCGTAAGCTAAAACCAAAGTACTATTCACCAGCCAATGAAACCGCCTAGCAATATCAGCACCACGCAACTATATTAACCTTAGCAATAACCACAAGCCAATGTCCACTCGATAAACATCTACTATGTCTCAAAGCCAATTAATGGCGCTGCCTATAATATCCGGCTTTCTGCTCTAAGTGCGGGCTATGCTGCTGATCGCCCCCGCAATTTCTGAATCACTCGAACCTTTGTCTTACTTTTCAAGTTTAGAGTGGATCTGCTTTTCTTTCCTTTTTCTTTTCTTCTTCTTTTTCTTTTTCTTTGTTTTTGCGGAGACGGGATGGGTGGCTGGTGTATATCATTACCGACTTCGAGGGATGCGCCGGGGTACAAGTTCAAGTTCTCCGAGGCGTTCGCCCGACCAATTTGGGTCGGGGTTTGAACTTGAAATTTTTTTTAACGTGCACAACTGGATTTGGATTTGGCACTCGTACGAAGACAATCCGGCTCAAGGATTCGCTACTTTTCTCGAATGGTGTACTAATGTCATCGGTGCAAGGGACAAAAGCGCTGAGGGACACTTCCGGCACGCAGGCTTGACCATAGAGATGTAAGATAGCTACTCCAGCGATGGCCGAGAAAATTCTTGGTGGATGACTCCTCCCTGTATTTTGGATAGTGATAGTATTATGTTCCGTGTTTCGGACATTCTTCTTGTGTTCAAGGGCATTGAATAGCTTGACTTTCGTACATCGCGGTTTCTTGATATCGAGTCTTTGTTTAACTCGATGTCAGAAAATTCCCATGCTTACGACTCACGGGCCAGCAATCCCTCAGCCTTCTGAGCACCATCAGTAGCTTCTCTGTGCGATTTATGCCCATTTTTGAGAGAATCCGCCATGACCAAAGCATCGCGACGACCCTTCTCGGCATTCGCCATCCAAACTAATGGAATGGGCAACACGATCAGCACAGCAATAAAGAAGAAACCGGTCCGCACCTGGCCAGTTGCATCAATGAGAATGCCGATCACAGCGGGCCCGATAAATGAGCTTCCCTTGTCAGTAGCTGCGTACAGGGCATAGAAAGCCGCCTCGCTGCCAGGAGGAATTAAAAGCCCAAAGAAGGACCGGCAGTATGATTCCAAGCCACCAGAGACGATCCCGTGGATGATGCCCAGTGGGAAGATCTCTCATGGCTGTTGCAGGCCAATAACTCTCCATTTCTTGACAAACGGGATGTAGGCTAGCATACCATAAAGCGGGATGATCTCGAACAAGGCAATACATAGGATAATGCCGTTCATAGCAAAAATGGACAGTCTAGCGATCTACTTACCAACACCACACACCGCAAATACCTCCGCTGCGATACCATATGAATACCAGCCGAGGACCTCACGATGGCTGGTCGGGGTGGTGTCTTCGCCCGCATACCGCGGGGGCCCCTGCTCAACGCCCTTGTCGGACGCAGGAGATGTGAAGGCAGCCAGAATCTACGCGAGCATGAAGGAGGAAGAAGAAGGTGAAGAGTGGAAGAGCCCAGCTCCCCTGCCATGACCTTTCCCAGTGATCGAGACCAGCGGTAGGTGGAATGTCTTTCGCTGCTTTCTGGTGTATCGTTGTAAATGACTGATCTTGTCTGTAGCACCTCAGTTCAAGTGGACGGAATCAACGGTATTTATGGGCCGTGGACGATGTTGATTTGAAGATGGCCAGCAGATGGTCGAGTATCAGATCTTTGAAGTTGGCGTGTGAGCAAATGAAAAACGAGGTAATGCGACGAATGAATGACTAGAATAAACAGTCGATGACCATCTCGCTTCCTACTGAGCAGCCCCTTGTTCCTTGGATCACCGGACCAGGTCTTCGTAGTTCGTATTTCCGATATCATCTCCACGGATCACTCGGGAAGGTGAAAGCTTCAACTATAGAGTGACTCGGTAAAGACTTAGTTAACTCGGTCGACGGCTGATAAAATGCCCAAGAAAAGGCCGGATGGAAGCGATTTCTGGTGCTTTGAAAGGGTTGATAACTCAATCGGTCAAGGTCAATTCGCCGGTCCGAAGAATCGCAACCGATAGAGTAGACAACCTCAGACAATTCGGACTGAATAAGAGAATTGAATGTCCCGTTTCAAGCTCATTGAAGTCCGTTAGGATCTCTGGACAGTCTCTTTTTTTTTTACCCGATCGCTGGTGCCATTCGGAAGATTCACGCAATGATCGGGGTGTCCCCCGTCTCGGATGAGGAATAGCGGGCAGGAAGCGAAGCTGAGAGAGCCTGGAAGGCGTCAAGCCCCTTGTACTGTGCATCCAATCATCACTCCAACACTCCTCAACTCCAGACCCTCCCAGAGGACCCAGAATCCAACTACCCCAGAAACAGCCCAGTCAGCTGATCTTAATCATCTTATCATTCCCGCATTCTCGGGTGATTTCCTCCAGTATCTCCTCATTCAACCTAGCGTCATCCCTTCCATCCCATGATAGGTGCGAAAATGCAGCTGGTTCGCAGCTTTGGCATTCCCTGGCTGGGATGAGACAATATCTCAACGTCCTACGACTGGTCAATAGAGCACTCTCATCCTGATCCATGCTGTCCGCATTAGCCTGAATACAACCGAAGCTGCATCGCGGTTGGTTCCCAGCTCTCTCCACAATTCCCCGGATTCTCCAATGCGGCACGTGCAGACGTGAGATGAGATGATGCCCGCCGGGAGACCATGTATATAAGCCTGCGAGGGGGTCCCTGTCGATCAGGTTCATTGCGAGGGGTTATAACGAGACCACACGATATACCGACTCTACGAGACTACGGGACTACGGGATTGTGTCGGTGTCGGTGCTACAAAGCTCATCATCATCGATTAGATCACCAACTCTCGATATGGCGACGAACGCGACTCAGACCGAGATCGCTTTGGAGAAGTCGGCCGCCCACCATGTGGAGGATACCTTGGGCATCGGTGCGGTCATCGAGGCCAGGCAGGCCACCGATGAGGAACATGCCCAAACCCTCTTCCAGGCGCTGCGGGATAACCGCAAGGCCGTGGCATGGTCCGTCTTGATTTCGGCATCGATTGTCATGGAGGGGTACGATACCATCCTGATGGGTAATTTCTTCGCCCACCCCAGATTCCAGGAGAAGTATGGTCAATACTATGGCGGGGATACCGGGTGGCAGGTGTCGGCGCCCTGGCAAACTGGGTTGTCTATGGCCAGCACGGTCGGTTGTATCTTTGGTGAGTAGCTGCTCATTGCGGCGACTAGGATACGCGCGCCCTGTTGCATCTGTCTAACATTCTTTCCTAGGCGGTCTCCTGAACGGCTATTTTGCGAGCAAGTATGGTTACCGCATTGTCATGATTATCGCCTTAGGGTTCTTGACTGCATTCATCTTCGTAGTCTTCTTCGCCAACTCCGCTGCCGTCTTGCTCGTTGGTCAGATTCTTTGTGGTCTGTCCTGGGGTGTGTTCGCGACGATTGGTCCCGCCTACGCCTCCGAGGTCTGCCCAACCAATCTGCGTGGCTACCTCACTATCTATGTCAACATGTGCTGGGCCATCGGTCAGCTTATCGCATCTGGTGTGTTGTACGGACTGGTAGATCGCCCGGATCAATGGTCGTACCGTATTCCCTTCGCTCTGCAATGGATCTGGCCGGTCCCCTTGATGGTCGTCAGCTGGCTGGCTCCAGAAAGTCCATGGTTCTTGGTGCGGAATGATCGTCTAGAGGATGCTAAGCACAGTATCCGTCGCCTGGGAGGCAACAAGACCGAGGAACAAATCAATGGTCAATTAGCGATGATGGTCCACACGACTAAGATTGAGGCCGAGATCGAGGCTGGCACCACGTACTGGGACTGCTTCAAGGGAGTCGACTTGCGTCGCACGGAAATTTGCTGTGTGGCCTTCTTCGGTCAGATTCTGTCTGGTAGCACCTTCGCCTACTCCCCCGTGTATTTCTTCGAGCAGGCCGGCATGCATCCCAGCCGCGCATTCCAACTGGGTGTTGGCTGCACCGGAGTGGCCTTTGTCGGCACTGCTCTGTCCTGGTGGCTGATCACTTACCTTGGCCGACGGACCTTGTACGTCTGGGGCCAGGGTATCCTCTGCACCCTGTTGTTCCTCATTGCCATCATCGACTCGGCCTCGCATACCGACGGAGCCATGTGGGCGCAAGCCTCGTTCTGCTTCCTCTGGCTGTTCGTATACTCCCTGACCGTCGGCCCCATCGCGTATGCCATCGTGTCGGAGATTTCCTCGGTGCGGCTGCGCCCCTTGACCGTTTGTCTTGCGCGTACGGCGTACCAGGTGGTCAACGTCATTTCGCAGGTCCTGGAGCCTTATTTCATGAATCCGACTGCCTGGAACGCGTCTGGTAAGACGGGATTTTTCTGGGGTGGCACGGCCCTGATCGCCTTCACCTGGGCCTTCTTCCGTCTGCCTGAGCCCAAGGGGCGTACCTATGCCGAACTGGACATTCTCTTCGCAACTAAAACTCCCGCGCGCAAGTTCGCTTCTACCCCCGTGGACCCGTATGCTGTTGGCGTGTCTCCCTCGCAGGAGGGTCTTGTGCGAAATGGGACGACCCAAGAGGTGAAGGAGTGAAACGGCGGCGGCAATACTATATCAACCTTTGAATGATATGGTCTTCGCTGTTGCTCCCGGTTGCAGCCGAACATGATTTATACATAATGTGAGAGATGAGCCAATGAACCTGTTTTTATTTTTTGGTAACCCCTTTGCGTGACGGAATAGTCTTTCTTCTCGTAACGAGATCCATGTCGAAGGGTAGTTGGGCTCCTTGTCTTTGTTTCTTCGGCAGTAACCTCGCAAAATTGCGATGGTTTCGCTTGTGGTATCGTGGCCATTGTGGTTAGCGCTTATTGAAGAAGCGTACTTTTCTGAGGGGTCGTGATAAAACAACAAAGCTCGCAGGAGCATGGCACCGCCAGATCACGTGTGTTTCTGATACTCCAGCATACTTTCAGACCTCAAGCTGAAATCATTTCTTCCGTCCTCCAAGTAGAGGGGTGAGCAGGCTGAACATTGTTGAAGACACCCTCCGTTGCCCCACATTCTAAATACAGTAGACCGAGAAACAGTCACCCATGTTCTATGGGATTGCTTTCTGAGAGACCTGCGGCGAGAGCTATGGGAGAGAATCGGCAACGCATCTACAGGTGTGCCGAACGTGCTAGGAAGAGGGAGAGGCAGGCTAGAAAACGCCTCTCAAAACAAGATGGTGGAAGCCGTATTGGATTCTGCAAAGATGGGGTTGGCTATGCCGGGCTAGACTTGAATTTTTTTCAGCCATCACGCCAGCAGCACGCTAGCTGCATCAAATCCCGATAGGTACTATTTCTAATCTATCGATCACTCACACCACCATGGTATCATCGGGGTGCTATTGTGGTGCCTGGCCGATGCCCTTCCTCATAGATCGGGGATCAGCGAGTTCGAATTTGGATTGGGTGGATTTGATATGCATATCAGCTTCAACCCACCTTCAATTGACACCCAACACACACGACAAATTGCCAGATTCGCCTCGAAGGCGAAATAAAGAATCTGGATCCGATGTGTCAAACTTTGCGGCTCTCCCCTTGGCATTGAGCACGACATCTGCAGAGACCCACAATGCACGTTTTTTTTATCAATCTCTACATCGCCAATGTATTTCTCTTTCTTTGCCATCGTTCTCTTAATATTGTCTAATATAATATCCAGGACTCAATACTTGAGTTCAAGAGTCCGCACATCATGTCCACCGAGCCAGTGCCCGCGGGTCAGATCGAGCATGAGTTCACCCAGACACGCCGTTCGCGCTGGTCCTTTTTCAGGTCTATCCCGTTCCAGATCGCAGTCGCGAGTGGTGTCTCATTCACCGCGCCTGGTATGTGGGATGCGCTGAACAATGTTGGTGCCGGTGGTGCTGCTGAGCCGTATGCCGTGTCCGCAGCGAATGCACTTGTCTACGGTCTTTTCGCGGTTGTCTGTGTTGCTGCTGGTGCGATTAACAATCGCATTGGTCTTCGCTATGGTCTTGTTATTGGTGCTATTGGATACCCTATCTACGGTGCTGGTCTCTATACCAACAACTACCACCCTACCACTTGGTTCATGCTCTTTGGTAGTGCGCTTTGTGGTATTTCTGCTGGATTCTTCTGGGCTGCTGAAGCTGCCATTATCATTGGATATCCCAGTCCTAGCGAGCGCGCTTTCTACCTCGGTATGTACATGTCCAATCTATTTCCATATACCCACCTCCCCGCATCGGATGTCTTATACTAACATCACACAGCTATCTGGCAAACCGCCAAAGCAGCCGGCCCAATCGTCGGCGGCGCCATCAGTCTAGGCCTCAACGCCAAGACCGATGGCAAAGGCATAGTCAGCGCCTCGACCTACATCGTCTTCATCGTGATCATGTGCCTGGGCCTACCAATCGCCCTCCTCCTAAGCCCAGCCGAGAAAGTTCAACGCAAAGACCGCTCCGCAGTTCTAGTGCACAAGCAAGAAACCTGGGCCAAGGAGTTCAAAGCAGCCGTCAAGCTTATCGCAACCCGCCGTGTTCTCCTCCTTCTACCTTCCTTCTTTATCAGCTACTTCTACAACGGCTTCCTCTCAACCTGGCTGACAGACTACTTCACCGTGCGGTCCCGCGCTTTCTCCTCCTTCTTCACCAACTTTGCCGGAATCGCCTCCTCTTTCATCCTTGCTGGCCTCCTAGACCGCCAATCTATCTTCATCAAGACCCGTGCGAAGATCGCTTTCGCTTCTATCGTGGTCATCTTGACTGGAACCTGGATCTGGGCTACTATCCTCCAGAAGCAATTCTACGATATGCCCGAACCACCCCTGTTCGACTGGTTCACCGGTGGTTTCGGTAAATCCTACGCCCTGGTCTTCTTCTGGACATTCGGTGGTCAGGCCTTCCAGCAATTCCTCTACTGGCTCATCGGCCAGTACAGCACAGATCTGTCCTCGCTCTCTTACCACTGCGGTATCCTGCGTGGATTTGAGGCACTCGGTCAGACCGTTGCGTGGGCTATGCAGTCACAGGGTAATGCCAACCACTTTGTCAGCATTGGGCTTAACTTTGGTATTACCCTGTTGGCATTTGTTCCAACATGGATTGTCCTTAATGAGTTGGAACATAGTCATGAGGTGCAGGTTCCTGTTGAGGAGCAGACTGAGACCACGAAGACGGCTGATGATTCTTCGGCTTGATTAATTCTCTGCCAGAGACTTGATGTTCGACTCCTCTAGGTGTTTGGTTTTGTTTTGCATCATTCTCGGATTCGGTTCTTGAGAATGCTTTTTGTGTTTTTTTGTACTATAGATATATACCCCCCCCCGCGCTCATACTCAACGCCCGAGCCATTGTTAAAAATGTATAAACTTTCAACAGCTATCTATTTCCAGTGCGCGTATATCAAACACTATTATCAAGGGAGGTAGAAACTACCGAGGTATACGGTTTTAGGTCTACATAATACCTTCTAGAAACCTATAGAACATTCAACGGAAGCACTAGTAACATCCACCAATGGGTAACTTTCAACAGCTCGACAATTCGCGTGAGTCAATGCCAAGTAAGAGATTGCCGACGTATAAAAGCCCCTTCTAGAACACTAAAGAAGAACCGCACCTCAAACGCTAGCCCAGTCCAAATACAGAACGACTAGACCAAATGGGAAAATATAGATCCTGGAATAGATGAGGCTCAGGTCACGCGCAATCAAATTTACTGGCACGCTTGCGAGTCCAGTACAAGGGCGGTAACGTATACCGAGGTAGGGCTAGAATCGTAGCGGAGATTTCGGCGAGGGTCCACATTCAGATCTAACGTTAATTAACTTAAAGAGAATACTGCACGGTGCATTTATGTAGGTCAGAAATTGGATATAGTCAGAGTGTAGTAGTAGTGTCTCATATTAATCTAAGTAAACAAAAGTACAAAAGACAAGGTCAAACCAATCATTGAGTTAACCTACCAGTACGAAGAATAATAAATAATAATGCCTAAACCCAACTATTTTTAGACGGCACAAAACGTTCGCCGGTTGCCCCACTCGCAGAGACGCGCAATACAGATCCAAGCCCTAACTTCCATTGTTTCCCCGAGTGTATTGTAACATTGACGCATCAGCTGGTTCTATTTTATTCGCATATTGTATTGTACTGGATCCGATCCCAGCCACACGAACGGGTGGCAGGGAACTTATGCAGATACGCGACAGGGTATCTAGTTCGCATACGTAATTGGCGTTTATGTATGCAGCTAGGCAACCTCACAAACTATTACATGTGCATAGTGTACAGTGTACAGTACATATGCACATGTAAATACTAGAAATGGAATCAAGTGTTGCCAATGACCAATTGGATGTCGGCGGAATCAGCGGGTGTGGACGGGTTATCCCGGTTTTCTGGAATTGCTGTAGAATGGTGAGGTTTGGATGGTAGAGAGGGCGATTGGCGTGGATTGGCTGTGTAGGCTCTACAAAGATAGAGCTAAGTTAAGTTAGGGGAAAGAGCAAACATGGAGTTCCCTGTATCTTCAGGCGCAGGTACTGTTGCATGGGGCCTTGGGCCAGGAGATGAGTCGCTTAAAATCTCGAGTCTGTTTAGGTTGCCACTTGGTCCCTTGGGAGCGGAGAGACATCACCAATCAGTAGTGGGCTGTGTATTGTATAGAAGTTAGAAAAAAGAATACAGTGAACTGGATTAAAGTGAATTATGTGCATTATTGTATGCCGTTCGGGCTGGGCTGGACTGGTGACAAGCCGTCCACTGCCGTTGCGTGGCTCGTGGCTCAGATAAAACCATCAGTTCCCAGCTCTGCTTTTTCTTCTCTTCTCTTGATTCCTGACTTTTCTTCCTTTTTCCCTCGCTTGACATTGAATTTGAACAGCACTTCACTTGATCGCATCAACCGCCTGACTTCACTGTACTACGTCTCCACCATCTCGATCGGACCCAGTTTGCCTCTCAAAGAGTGTCTCACAGAAACGATTTGCAAACACTACAGACCAACACAGATAGACAGACACAGACCAACAGACCAGTCCACTAGACCCTTTCACAGTTCACCGTCTCTATACGCTTGGCACCTCCACCCACTCCACAGCAGATCACAACCGTTTCAGACCTGCCTTGATCTCGGACGCTAGCACCAAGTTCGGTGGACCTACTAAAATGGCCGCCCCCCAACCTCAACGAAGCCGTGGCTTCAGCGTCAAATCTGACAAGTCCCTGTCAAAAGAATCGGGCACCTCCAGCCATAAACGTGGTCCCTCTGAATCTTCCCAAGAGAAAGCCCGTCGCAATTTACACACCAAAGCCGATCCTCTCATCGCCATGAACGAAATCCAGCCCAGTAGGTCTCCACCGCTGTTTTCCACTTTCGCCGGTCGCATTTGTTCCATTCTAACCCTTGACAGGTATGATGGCCCTGGAGAAGTCCAATCTGGGCTCCCTCCGCGAGATGGAACACAAGGATCAATTCGGGAATGTTATCAGTAAGTTTCGTTCTCCACTGCCCCTTGTATTCCCTGCTAATCCCTTGCGTAGCCGATCCCGACTTGTCAAACCCCACCCGTCCACGTTTCGAGCGACCGTTAGATACAATCCGATCATTTGAGGCGGCCATTTACGGCAGCAGTCGCGCGGCATACGCCAGAACAGGTACGTCAGCCACCGACCAGCCACGGGCGGAATGAGTCTAACACTGGGTAGAAGATGCAGGATCACAAATGGGCGATTTCAGCCGACGAACAAGCTACTACGGAGGTAAGCTCAATCCCACTCCCTTTGCAAATCTCCAACCTCTTAACATAACCAACCAGGCCAAACCAACCATCGCCTCGACCAACAAAACCCCTACAACTCCCAATCCCGCCCAGACAGCGTCATAAACGCCTACCAAAACACCCCCCAAGGCCCCGAAAACCCATACCCATACAACAACGGCAACAACCGCTCTTCCCGACGACCCCAGTACCCACGCGGCGCCTCAGTTTCCACAGCCGCCTCCCCAATCTCCCAAGACCCACATTACGGGAACATCGCAAACACAATGCACAACAACAACAACAACCAATATGGCTACCCGCAACAAGGCAACGGCTACCAACGCTCCTACGATAACGTCACCGCGCTCTCAGGCTCCGGGTCTGGAAACACAGACCCGTACCAGACAACAGACCCCAGTTCATTGAACAGCTCGAATGACCAGCTCCAGCAGCAAGTCCTGCACCAGCAGCGTATGGACGAGCGCGCGCAGGCTGAGTATGGCTTTAATGGGTTTGGCAGTGGCCCTCATCTCAAGGGTTCGCAGCAGGCTCAGCCGGTTGGGGATCCGAATTGGGGTGGGCCTGTTGGCGGACGACCTGCTCCTGCGCCTCCAGCTCATTCTCCTCTGGCTAGTGGGGGTGGATCTGGGGTGCTGCAAAAGAAGGAGAGTCAGTCTGGTGGGGATAAGAGGAAGAGTTGGTTTAAGCGTCGTTTTAGCAAGGATTGAATTTGATATTCGGTCTGCGTCTGCGTTGCGGTATGGGTGATTTCTGGTGTGGTGTGCATGTACATGTGCATGTGATGTGTAATGGGTTTGTGCTATGATGTTTTGATCTGGGTATAGATGTGTATGCCCGGGCTTTACTTTGCTTCTGTGCTTTATGCTTTTGATGCATCATCCCCCTTTGTTTTTCTTTTTGAAGTTTCTGTTTCGTTTGGGGTCTGGCGTTCCTCCTTCTTTTCTTTTCACTTTTGATTCTATTTTATTGTTTTCATATCGCATGCTGTAATGAGGTTATGATACATGGGACCATGGGACGTGCGATGGACTGGAACTGAGTGACTTATTGATGTTACCTTACCTTTGACTTTGACTTTTGGTCTCCTCTTCTTCGGCGTTGTATGTTGTATTCTCCATGGCATTCTACTGTACTTCATTTTCATCTTTATCTTCATTAACAAAGATCACTTCAGGTCTGAGTTGAGTATCAGTCGGGCATTTCATTTCCTACTCTAGAAGCTTATTTTGAATGGCTGGAGATAACGAAGACCCATCTTATTGAGATGCAGCGAGACTGGTTGCAATTTCTGGCTTGACTATACATACTGGACAGATTCTGCATCACTCATTGAGAATACGTAGGCCACCGTTTGTACTGGAGTATAATTAGGCGTACATCCTTGATACAATCCAAAACATGTGACCTTGGCTAAGTCAGTCTACGCCTCCCTGTACCTGAAGAAAGATTTGGGTCCAACCTATGATACTGTTGTGAATCTATCCTTCAGATCCCTTATTTCAGACCGTTGGTAGAGAGAAAGAGGGAGAAAGATCTCCAATGGTGATAAAATGGCTACGAGAAGACGCGAAATAAATAGGCCTTGGAACTTTAGGCACATGTGACAACTTTTACTCACAAGGAAATATGTCGTTGAGGAAAAGTCGGCATCTTATCCCGGCCTTGGGGAGACACTCCCGCTTTGAAGGAATCCCCTGAGCGTATGCAAGTTTGCCTCTAAGGATGAAACAGAGTATAAGACTGCGCGTGGGAAAGTCCTTGAACTGCTTTCTGGTGATAGCAGAGAGACTGCAGCTGTGGATAGTGGTGATTATCTGTTCTTCGGACCAATGGTTAAGTCTAGAACCAGGCGTCAAACAAGATATTCAATGATTACGACAAGGTGTTCAATCAGGCCGGAGGGGATAGAAATATTGGGCAGCAGACCTTTAGTATTCATGGCATTATATCGAAGTATTTGGTTCTACCGGGGTATATAAGAGCCCAGGTTTCAATGGTCGTGGGTCGTGGGTTATACAAGGAAACATATTAAAACGCATCCATTCCATTAACTCAATCTCATCTAACATAAAATGGGAATCACAAAAACAACAAAGCTGCATGAAGAAACTGACTACCCCATCTACCTCTCCTCCCCAACCGCCCATAGGATATGTCGATGAAAATCAAAGTTACTTCCTCCCCAGCAACTTATTCTTCAACTTATCCGCCAATCCCTCTTGGTGAAGCGACTTCTTCCTCTCTTCCTTTTCCTTCTTCTCTTTCAGAGTTGCCTCGTCGAGGTGGACATTCCCTTGGCCGCCGCGCTGTTCAGAATACTAGTTAGCAAAATCTAAAACCAAACAAAGTGTCAAGAACTTGGCGACGAGAAACTCACTCCGATATGGTAGTTTTCATCAGTAGAGCCCCTAACCGCCAACTCGGGGATCATCTCGTTGTCGTGGGGGACTTTGGAGGTTGGGCGGACCATTGGGGAGCCGATGTTTCCTGCGCCGCCGCGCTGTTGGGAGTGTCAGCATACGTTACATCGGAAGTATGTGTAACAAGATCACAATATAACAATATCATATTATAGTGGAGGCATAGGTGAATTTGTATGCGAGTTGAGTACTTACACCGGCAGAGTAAGCACCATCACCCTGATCACCGTAGACTCCCTCTCGGACGATCTCGCCATCGACGTATCTGTTTCATGTTGATCAGACCATTTCCTTCATCAGACCACTTATCCCGTATATCGTATCACATCATATCGTCCGATATAGAGTGGTGTGGGGTGCAAGTGCGGGGAGCGTACTCAGTGTCATCATGGCCGATATTGCCCTGGCCTACGACACATACACGTCAGTATCATAATGACATCGATGGGATTTGTAGAGGGATAATACCTCCGCGGCCATGCGAAACCATAGGTGAATCGTGTTCGCCCATTGTATCTGTGGGATGAGGTTAGAATGAGTGAGGGGCGATAGGGCGATGAGATGGGGAGGGAGGGTCCTTATCAAGATAGATCACAAGACGATAAGGCAGGGCAGGGCAGAGCGTATGCAGGTACAGCTGTAGAATTATACCCACTTACCTATTTGAACTGTAGATCTAGATGTCTGACGGATATTAGATGTGGATGGATATGTAGATGATAGATCTTGATCAGATCAGTGGAGGTAGGTGGAGGAGGATCTATATAAATACGTCCGGGGCTGGCTATATAAGAGTCACCACTGGAGTTATTACGACTTATTTTCTATCGTTTTTCCATTGACTTGGGCTGTTTGTAGTGACGTTATTGATAAGATAACAGGCGCCGATTGGTGGATGTGTGACTAAGTGGTTCATACTGATAGCGAGCTTGGCATATAAGTTTAGGGGGTATGGAGATAGATATTGATATTTGCATTCTGAAGAACATAGCTCATAGCCACGGCACATTTGGGAGATACTATCAAATCATTGTTCTGGTTAATTGCCTCAGTTGCCCTTCTTCTTGTCCTCGCTCGAGCCGCCGGTAGTAGGGAGACCCATGAAGATCTTGAAGGAGTCATAACTACAGATTCAATGTCAGTTTACATCAACAGTATCGAGAGAAGAGCAAAAAAGACATACATCATCCACTGCATACCAGTCTGTGACACAATGTTAGCATATGTGATACCATCTTCAAGTTTCAAATGGAACTCACCAAAGTACCAATCATCACAATACGAACAGGCAATCCATTCCACAATCCACGGAATCCGATATCACCATAGATCCGACTCATGGCAGCGCCGAATGCCTCACCAGACTGGCGATTGGCATTCAACTTGCTAACCATCACATCGGCAGGATGCGACACGACAGCACACAGAATACCAGCCAGGTAACCACCACTGAAAGCAACGGCAGTCTGCGCACCCTTGTTGTAGTCGGACTTCTGGCCTGGCAGTTGGTGGTAGATCATCTCGACAATTGTTTCGAAAGAGGCGAACTTCATCATGGTATAAGGGACCTGACGGCCCCAGAGGGGGTACAACCCCTTGTAGAGACTTGTCTAGTCAGTATACTGCACGAAAACCTTTGCGTCGGGCCATTCAATCGAGAGATGGAAATGCGAAAGCTACTCACCCGGCCACACCCTCCTTGGAGACAACATCGGAGATACCGCTGAACGTGCCCCGGATATCAGGAGGAATGGTAGTCTGCGTGCGCACTTTGACAGCCTCGAAGGGACACAGAGCTACATCGGCGATGATCTCGGCTGAGGCACTGGCTGTCAGGTAGAGGGAGGTTTTCCACTTGTGGGCATTTTCGTGGCCAACCAGGTCGCTGTAGAAGGATTTGAAGAACTCATAACCGCCATATTTGAAGGCACCTTGGGCCTAGCCGCTGAGTCAGTATATCAAATCTGTGGAGGGCTCAGGTGTGGTAAACTCACACTGTATCCGAAGAAAGTAGGACTCCACCCAGTAAACACACCCCGGATTCCCTCCGCAGCACGGATGGTCCGGTAAGCCTGGATGTTGCTCTGATAGAGCTTGGGGTCGACTTGGCGACGACATTTGATCAGATCAAGAGGTGTCACAGCGGTGTGGGTTAGACCCTGGTAAGAACATGGTATGTGAGTGTCCGTCACGAGAGCGTGGATAGATGGGAAGGTTGCTTACACACGCGAGCAACCCACCAAAGGTACAAGATGCATAATACTTGAGAGAGCCAGGTTTGATCTTGCCAGCCTTCTCTTGGGCTTTCTTGCTTGCCAGGTTGTATTCGCGACCTGCTTCGTGAGCGATTGCGTCGGCTTTGTTTTTGGCCTCGTCGATGGCGCTCCACGCGGGGAACGGCGCGGGTCTTTTGGAGACGACCTTGGGCTCCGACTGGGTAGCTGGAGTACCCAGAGGGTGTCCAGCAGCCAGCATGTTTATGATTGACTGTGGAAACATGGTTGTTCAACGTACCTGCACCTTCCGGAGTGAGAGAGTGGTGGAGGGAAGAGGGAAATGGTGCATTACATCATTTTAGCTTCAGGACTCGGGTTACAGGGCTGCATCCTTGTCTTGAACCTTGGGGCCAAGGTAAGATTAATCGATATGATTCGGGCACTGGTCTCGGAACATGTCAAAGCTCTAGTGTAACTGCCTCTTCGTGGCTACATATGTTCGGCTTTTGGATGGGGGCTTTCTCGGCATGGCTTGCGCTACATGGCGCAGCCCACATAGAGCTCCGAACTGTTTATGCATGTATACTCTCTGCCGTCGCAGTATACCTGTGCTATATGTCGATCATACTCCACATTGCTTCTTGTTGGTGTTGACCCTGCTGTTGTGGTCCAACATAGTACGGTATGCACACGAAAAGAGGCCCCAAAGAGTTCTCTGCTGAGTCTGGATGGTGTAATGTCTACTTTCAATCGAAGGTCTACTTGAAGCATATTTCGATGTGGGTATCAGGTGGAGTCATGTCTAAAACAGCCGAATGCAGAATCGGACCCCCACCACTGATAGTGGGGTAATCTAGGGAGATATTGACAGCTCTGGAGTATCTCACCAGCTGTTTTGTCAAGATCATCCAATATATATAGACTTAGAGTGTACGTAGATATGTAAATGGTAACATGTCCCTCGAAGATGACGTATGGGCCCGTTGGTCTTGGCGGTGGAGAAAGAGGAAAAGCGCCGAGTTTGATCAAAAAGTCAACGGTCCCTCTCTCTCTCGACATTCTCTACGAACAGCTTGGGGACACCTCACATCACTCCCGAGTCAATTCTTTCCAACATCCACCTCACTCTTATATCTCTCCACAACCTCCCACGACCCACTACCCCTCCTCCGATTACACCGAAATGGCATCATACTTAACCGGCAGCGAGGCCTTCACTCGCGAGAAGCTCCCAACGGAAACCTCAGATGCAGGCCCTCAATCCGCCTGGGCAGACAAATACCGCGGGGTCCGCTTCCCCTCCCGTGGTTTTCAAAACACCAACTAACCTCAAGACAGGCAACAATTGAAGACCTCGACCCCCCACCCGCGCTCTCCATCTCCTCCCAAGACCCAATTGCCACCGCCTTAATGGCCGCCTATGAACGCGACTACACTCACCTCACAGTCATCTCCCCCACCAAGCGCTCCCTCCTCGGCTACCTCAGCATCCCCCGCCTACGGGAGCTCCTCGCTTCCGGCGCCGTGAAAGAGTCGGACCCGGTCTCCGAGGCGATGCAGCGTTTCAACCGCAAGCGCGGTATCTACCACATTATCACTATGGAGACACCTCTTGAGGAGTTGGAGCAATTCTTCGAGAGCGAGACTGGACCTAATGGCGACAAGCGGGAGAAGCAGCAGTTCGCTGTTGTTACCGATGTTGCGCGCAAGTTTGTTCTTGGTGTTGCTACCAAGGCTGATCTTGAGGAGTTTGTTAAGCGCAGGCCTACCTAAAGTATAAGTTACTGAAATATTTTGTGGAATATGTGATGTGGGACGTGGTTTCCTTTCGGCACAGCATATTGGCGTATTCTGTCTGTCTCGTGGGCATAGTTTTTTTCTCTATATGCGGTTCCTTCAACATGGACTGCGTATATCTAATATGAATATGGGTTGACTGGGATGGGTGGACGTGTCGGGGCTTTATATGTCTCGGATTAGTCTGGTGGGCGTGTTGATCTTATGATATCCAACAACACGAAGGACTTGGTCAATCTGTCTTTTTTCATTACAGATAGTTGATGTGCTTATTGTACAAATAACCCGTAGAGCTTGAATTGATACCGCAACGCCAAAGTAGAAGCCATCCACGGACCCCGTTCCATGCGGAGCTTACTGGGCTTTCTTTGAATCTGACTTGGGCTTGGCCGTCTGTCGGTCCTCTTGATCTTCTTTCCAGGCCACATAGATGTATGCGAACAGAACCACGTTGGCAGTCACGGCAGCAGTGATTCCAGCAAGTGTGGAGCTGCCTGTATTATACATCGGGTCAGAGGACGTTCTTGCAATGGAAGTGAGTTACATACCGCTGAAAATGCTGTTGACTGTCAAGAAATACATTCCAATGGGAGCAGCAACCATGGCTGCTGTAAAGCCAAGGAGCTTGTAGATAACATCACTATATCAGAGATGTATGAGAGCTGGTCTTCTATCTGGCTTCAGGTATCTTACGCAGGGACAGCGGGGGTCACATCAGAGTTGTCCTGAGCTGGAGCTTTGGCAACGTCCGCGTAGGACTGGCCATGGGGACGACGGGCAGACATTGGTGTGATTGTCAAAAAGTTCGAGAAAGTGTAGAGTGAAGTATAAGACTGAGCGATGAGTGGAACAAAGTGAAGGGCGGAGACTAGTTCCCGCAGTCACATGCCAGCATTTGATTGGTTGAGAGTATATATAGCGAGAAAATATTTTGGGATCAGACGAATTGTTATAGTAACCGATTTTATATTTCACTCTAATCTCTTCTATACTTACATGTATCGCTCATTGTCTGTTTAATCGATAGTTACACGTGATTGGCGCGTCCAGCGTTCGCGTTTCCGCCCTGGCAGAAAAAAACAGTTCCTGAGGAGCCATCAGATAGAGCCTCGACGCTATTCAAAGATCGCTATGGACCCTGTTCCTGACATTCCCCATAAAACTCCCTCGCCTGAACCCGAGTACGAAACTATAGCCACCCTCCCGCTCGCAACTCCTTCCCAGCGTTTCACGCAACCGACCCAACTCGTCGACAATCCCTACTCGCGAAATACTGTTATCCAAGTCGCCGCTTCTTCACCTACCGGCCCTTCCTCTTCCCCTCCTCGAAGGCTTCAACCGCAAGGAGGTTTACTCTCATCTCTGATTGCCCCCTCGGGAACCCAGTTCCGCCCTCCCTCCGCCGGCCCTGCCAAAAGAAAGCCGGTATTCGATCTCGACGACGGTCCAACATATCGAGGCGGTTCGTCTGAAGACGAGCAACCCCTGCGCAGTACAGACATAAAACCGGCCATGTTTGAAAAAACTTTTCGCGGCCCCGAAAAAGAAAAAATCATGGAATCCCCTGTCCGCCCCGACGCCGGTCCAATGGATCGTTTCCGTGAAATTACTGCCTCCGCAATGTACGATCCCAAGTCTGCGCCTATGAAGCGCTCTGCAGACGAGATGGGCGACTTGAACATGAAGGGCGTCGCCATGAAGAGAATTCGACAGGATATGCCCTCCCGCGCGCAGCCCGTACCGACCCCCGATATCACCTTTATCCAGGATTACCGATTGCGCATCAAGGTTGAGCGCATTCTCAAGATTATGCCGCACATTCCTGTACAGGTGATTATTAATGCTGTTGTACAGGCTAATGGCAATTACGATGACGCCCTCAACCTTCTGGCGGACAGTGCCCCGGCGAATGGTGTCCAGCCTGTGTTGATTGAGTCGTCTGAAGATGAATTGGCATCGCCAGCTACAACAGGCCCGGTCCCCGTGGCCAAGCAGAAGATCAAGGCCCGTGGGACTATCCAGGACAAGTGGGCTGCTATGAATCTGCCTACCAAGGCCCAGGACTCCGACGAAGAAAACAAGCCCCGGCGCCGCCTCGTCCGCGGTCCTAAATCCTCTCGCACCGCTTCGCCAGCTCGGCCTATGATGATTGATTCTGATGAGAGCCCACCAAAGAAGAAGCTTAACCGTCTGCAAAAGGGCCGCAAAATAGTCTCGCCTCGCTCGGAATCCCCCGAGGCTATGATGAGTGATTCTGATGATTCAGATGTTCAGGTTCAGGAACCCACCGCTGGCGGACTGGATTCCAAAGTCTTGAAGTTCTTCAACACTTGCGCGGTCCGTGATCTCGCCGATATTGCAGCGATCCCCGAGGATCAAGCCCAGATTATCATCAAAAACCGTCCTTTCCAGGCTCTCGATGATGTCCGCGTTGTTTCTGCTCCTGTTCCAGAGACTAGCAAGCCCAAGGGCAAGCGGGGTGGCAAAGCTCCCAAGCCAATTGGTGAGAAGATTGTCGACAAGTGTGTGGACATGTGGACTGGCTATATGGCCATCGATGCACTTGTTGCTGAAGTCGAGGCGATTGGTCAGCCAATTACCGCGGAGATGAAGAAATGGGGTGTCGACATGTTCGGCAAGAAAGAGGGTGAGCTTGAGCTCACTAAGATCCCCAACTCCAAGTCACACGATTCTGGCATCGCGACGCCTTCGTCTGATCACCAATCACCTGATGAGGATGAGGATGAGGATTCACTTGTTCCGATACGCAAATCCCGGTTCATTGGTCAGCCTGCCATCATGGCAGATGACCTCGAGATGAAAGATTACCAAGTGGTCGGAATCAATTGGTTGTCACTTCTCTTTGAGCAGGAACTGAGTTGTATCCTAGCCGATGACATGGGTCTGGGTAAGACGTGCCAGGTCATTGCTTTCCTGGCCCACCTCTTTGAGAAGGGCATCAAAGGGCCTCACCTGATTGTGGTGCCATCTTCCACCATTGAGAACTGGCTCCGTGAATTCCAGAAGTTTTGTCCAACCCTCTCGGTTATGCCTTATTATGCCGGTATCAACCAGCGAGCTGAGATCCGTGAACAAATTGAGGACAACCGTGACAATATCAATGTTGTCATTACTACTTATACTATTGCAAAGGCGAAGGTTGATGCCAAGTTCCTTCGTGATGTGGATTTCACTGTTTGTGTCTACGATGAGGGTCATATGTTGAAAAACCACCAGTCTCAGCTGTATGAAAAGCTCATTCGCATCCCTGCCCGTTTCCGACTGCTCTTGACTGGTACGCCTCTCCAGAATAACTTGCAGGAACTCGCTTCTTTGCTTGGTTTTATCCTACCGTCTGTCTTCCGTGAGCACAAGGAAGACCTCCAAGCAGTCTTTGCGAACAAGGCGAAGACTAGTGACGAGTCCCACGCAACCTTGCTTTCGGCGCAGCGTATCGAGCGTGCTAAGTCCATGCTCAAGCCATTTGTCCTTCGCCGCAAGAAGCACCAGGTCATTGATCTCCCCGCTAAGCATTCACACGTCGGCTGGTGTGAGATGAAGTCCTCTCAAATCGACATTTACGAGCACGAAAAGGACCAAGTCCGCCAACTTCTTGAAGACCGCGCAGCCGGCAAAAAGACCGGCTCCAAGTCTGCCAACATTCTCATGAAACTCCGCCAAGCAGCCATTCACCCTCTCCTCGCCCGCCGTCACTACACTGACGAGATCCTTCAAAAGATGTCCAAGGCCTGTCTCAAGGAAGACAAATGGTCCCTGTCCGACCCCAAAATCATCCTCGAAGAACTTCTCCCTTACAACGACTTCGAATGCCACCACATGTGTGTGGAGAATCCCAGCTCGCTCGGGAAATTTAAGCTCAAAAACGACGAATGGATGGACTCCGGCAAAGTAGAACACCTCCGCGAACTCCTAACTCGCTTCATCGCCAACGGAGACAGAACCCTAATCTTCTCCCAATTCACAATGGTAATGGACATCCTGGAACACGTGCTCGAAACCCTCAAAATCGAGTTCGTGCGTCTAGACGGCCGCACAAACGTTGAAGACCGCCAATCAATCCTAGACGCCTTCCATGAGCGCGAGGAAATCCCAGTCTTCCTCCTCTCCACCAAGGCAGGTGGTGCTGGTATCAATTTGGCCTGCGCGAACCGCGTTATCATCTTCGATTCATCGTTCAACCCACAGGAAGATGTTCAGGCGGAGAACCGCGCTCATCGTGTTGGTCAGACTCGTGAGGTGGAGATTTATCGTCTTGTTACTCGTGGCACCATCGAAGAGCAAATTTACTCCCTGGGACAGACTAAGCTTGCGCTTGATCAGGCTGTTGCGGGTGAGGATGAGGCTGGTGCTAAGAAGGGTGAGGAGGCTGGTATGAAGGTTGTTGAGGGGATGATGATGGCTGAGATGCAGAATGGTACTGGGCCTAAGGAGAAGGTGGTGGAGGTAGAGTGAGAGAATGAAGAAGAATGGAAGAAGCAGAATCTGAGTCTCGGTGATGCTACTCGGTTCTATTTCTGCTTGTGGTTCTTTTGTTCTGGTTAGCTGGAGAAGGTGTTTTTGGTCCGAATTTCTCACAGAAGTGGATATGGAAATGGATATGTGCTTGATGGCGATATTGAGGTTAATGGCTATGGCTACGTTTATGGCTGTGGTGGGAACATGGCATGGCATGATATGCTTATGTTCGTTTGCATGGTGAACTCTTGACATGCTGACAGTATGGCATTACTTTAGTACATGGTGTTTTTGGGTGGTTTTCTTTGAGTTGTGACTTTGATTGTGATTGTGAGGCGATTCGGTGCATATTATTATACTGTTGTGCATTACACTTAGAAATTTATTGTCTTTTGCTGTTATCTTGTTTCTTGTAGATCTTGCTCCTTTATAATTCTATCCTGTTATAGATAGACTAGTGGATGATGGAGATTGTAGTGAGATAGAGTCGAAGTAGGTAATTTATAGTGAAAATAAACATATACACCAGAGCATGTTTGTATTTTGTCAAGCGGGGAATCTATATGAATATGACAAATGATAATGGAGGAGAAAACACCTTAGATGCACCAGAAAAAATAAAAGATAGAAAACAAAACCAGTAGCTATGCATGTGGACCGAGACCGTGCTGATGATTAAAGTAAAGAAGAGGAATGTAGAGCACGATTAAGCGGCCGCCTGAGGCTGAGTCTGCGTCTGAGTCTCCACGAGAGAAACAGTTACATCAACCGCGGGCTGCTCATCAACCTTGACCTTCTGCTCAGGCTGAGAAGTCCTCCGAATAGGACCACAGCCATTGTGCACAGCGGGAGCAGCCTTAGTCCTCGCAGCACCACCACCAGCGGCACGAGCAGCCTCGGACTCCATAGCGTGCTGCACAGCCTTCGATTTGCCCTCAGCAGTCTCAGCCGAATGCGCAGAAGCAGGGGCAGAAGCAGGAACAGACTCCCACTTCTGTGAGAGATCCAAGATCTCATCAACACGCATAGCGGCGGGGACGAGATCATCGAAACTGAGGCTGCGGCAGATATCAAGATAAGTCTTGCACTGCTTAGCCTCCTTGAACTCCTTGTTCTTGCCGGGGATCAACATATTCATGAGATACTTCGTATTGCCTAGTCGGTTCTCAACCTCCAAACAGAGCTTGAGATATTCATAGACAACCTCCTTCCAGTCCGCAGCACCGCCATCCGCTTCAGCACGGAAACAGGAAGAATTCGTCTCGGCAGATGTGGCAATCATAGCCCCGTCAACGCCATACTCGCTCATCAATGCGAGTCCTTGATCGCGCGACGTGACATCGCCGTTCATGACACATGCCACACCAGCTTCGTGACAGATTTCCCTTACCATGCGGAGTTGATCGCGAATTGCGCGTTCACGGGGTCGCATTGGCGTTGTGCGGCAATGGACAGTCAAACCAGTGATACCAGTTCTAACGAGACGGGAGACAAGAGCGCGAGTTTCATCCGGTTCGGAGAGGATGCGGATCTTAACAGAGATGCCGATTTTGAAGGGCTCGCCAACTTCTTTCACGAGGGCTTCGAGGATCGAGACGAGGAGGTCGGGTGTGCGGAGGAGGGCTGCGCCCATGCCGCCGGATGTGCTGAATGGTTTGGGACAGCCTGAGTTGACGTCGATACCATCTACATCGGCTGCCACGACGCGAGCGGCTTTCACGGCTAGGTCTGGGTTTGCAGTTCCCATTTGGAAGATTAGACGGCTGGATTCGCGGGCCCGGTCAATGCGATAAATGATTGAGGCCTTGGTTGGTTTGTCTGGGCGGCCGCCGTTTGAGGGCATGCGCGTGAATTCGACTGTGCCGTTGCGTGGGTTGATGCGTCGCTCTGCGCCGATCAGAGAGCGATCGATTGTTTCGGGACCCCAGACTAGGTCTGCGCCGTATTTCAGGGCCAGGAGGCGCGAGGGGAGTTCGCCGGAGCGCACCATTGGTGCTAGCACGATCTTGTTGCGGTAGTCGACGCCGTTGGCAGGAATGGGCACGCGGGCCACTGTAGCCGGGGACATTGCGTTGGTCATTGTGCGTAGGAGTCTGATCATAGCATGCTGCGGGGTTGGGGGTGAGTCTTTTTTTTCTTTAGGAGTTCCCCGACTGATTGATATCACGTGGTGATAGGAGCGAGGCTCTTTCACGTGAGTGTCACGTGCGTCACGTCGTCACGTGGTATGAAGATTTCAAGTATTTTTACGGGTTGCGCTGGTCCGGTCTTTTTCCGGTAGCCAGCACCAATCAGTAGAGAGTATTCCCCGCCAAGGATCACGACATCAAGAATGCGATTGTTTCGTCATAGCCAACTTAGGGTTATTTAGAGTAGCAACTATATAAAACAATGGCTACTCCGTGTCATATACATGGACTTCGAGACTGTTATATGTAGACTGCGTATTCATGCCGGTATCGGCACGCACATTACGGGGTATCGGGTACTTGCAGAGTACATACTGTCAAGCAGATCATTCTGTATCATAAATGTAGCCTATAAATGCCAGTGTGTTTCTAAAGTGCACTTAGACAGGGTAGGTACCACTGTCGGGATGCCAATCTCGGAGACAAACTGTTCAGTGCCGAATCTCGGAACCACAAAAAATATCAACCTCCGACAGGGGTAAACTACTCCATCTTCCAAGTTTGTCTTGCCCAGGTCCAGTTTGTCCAAGTGTACCGCGTAATACATTAACTATCTCCTGCAGCCAATGACTCGTCCTTTGGCCCGACTGGGATTTCATACCTCCACCGCCTCCCGCCGTGTTTGGCCATCAGCAACGGTGGCTCCCCCCACTTCCACTGCCCCTCCCTCCTTTTCTTCCTTATATTCTCCCATTTCCCGTGCGGCCCAAATATCTAGACACTTTTCGTCACCTCCCAATATGTCTTACACCGTCCGCAAGATCGCCCAGCCCTACACCCTCGAGCACCGTGTGTTCGTCGAGAAGGATGGCGTCCCTGTCTCTCCCTTCCACGACATCCCCCTCTACGCCAATGAGCAGCAGACCATCCTGAACATGGTCGTCGAGATCCCTCGCTGGACCAACGCTAAGCAGGAGGTAGGAGACCTCGGCTACAACATCAATTGAACCCCGTGCTGATTGCGTCACCCGAAACGAACAGATCTCCAAGGATGACTTCCTCAACCCCATCAAGCAGGACACCAAGAAGGGCAAGCTCCGTTTCGTCCGTAACTGCTTCCCCCACAAGGGTTACCTCTGGAACTACGGTGCCTTCCCCCGTGTAAGTGTGCCCTCGTGACCATAACATGCAGGAGGAGGGTAACTGACACATTTCGAATCAGACCTGGGAGGACCCCAACTCCGTCCACCCCGAGACCAAGGCCAAGGGTGACAACGACCCTCTCGATGTTTGCGAGATCGGTGAGCTTGTCGGCTATCCCGGCCAGGTCAAGCAGGTCAAGGTCCTCGGTGTCATGGCCCTGATTGACGAGGAGGAGACTGACTGGAAGATCATTGTCATCGACGTCAACGACCCTCTCGCCCCCAAGCTCAACGACATTGAGGATGTTGAGCGTCACCTCCCCGGTCTTCTGCGTGCCACCAACGAGTGGTTCCGCATCTACAAGATCCCCGACGGAAAGCCCGAGAACCAATTCGCCTTCTCCGGCGAGTGCAAGAACAAGAAGTACGCCGAGGATGTTATCCGCGAGTGCTCCGATGCCTGGGAGAAGCTCATCTCCGGCAAGGCTCCCCGCGGCGAGATCAGCCTGTAAGTTTACTTAGACTTCCATTTGCGGTCTTATACTCTTATACTAACTTATAACAGCGCCAACTCTCAGGTTGAGGGCTCCGCCGACCGTGTTGACCAGTCCGCTCTCGCTTCCATCCCCCGTGGCGAGAACCTTGCCCCTGCTCCCATTGATGGCAGCATTGACAAGTGGTTCTTCATCTCCGGTGCCGCTGTGTAAATATCTTTTTGCGAATACCAAAATCAAAATGTTAGCATAACCGCCTAGGTGGGGCCTTTATTGAATGAGAATTCTCAACATCAGGCATGTCAACATGTTGACAGCCGTCTATCAAGAAACAATCCATCCAAGTAGACATTGACCGTAGTCATTCTATACCGGTATCTCTATACCAGTAGCATAACCAACAAAATAAGACCACCAAGAATGAAAATAGAATTGATATAATATAATATAATACAATACAATGCACAGCTCAAAACACAAGACACCACCAATACATATATCAAACAAAATCACCCTCTAGCCCTTAAGACTAGCCTCACGCTGCAAAGCCCGCCCAACCCTAGAAACCTCTTCAATAACATCGCCAATCTTAAGCCCACGCTTCCCAACATCAAGAGTAAGCTCCTTCCCGCCCTTAAAGCCGATAGTCATAGTCGGGCTGGCCGTCGACTCGCGCGGCAATTGCTTGACCTGGATGTCGATGTGGGTCGGGCTGCTAGTTGGGATTGTGTTTGGTGTGCGCAGCATGCCTAGGAAGAGGCGGCAGGGTCTTGAGGCACGCATGAAGGGGTTGTAGGCTGTGCGGAAGGTGGTTATTGTGCTGATTGGGATGGTCATTTTGGCGGTAGAGGGTTAGATATTTCGGGGAGGAGGGGTTTCTATTGAGAGTTTTAGTTATTTGGTGTTCGAATGAACCATAGATGGCTTGTTTTGCTTTGATTGGAACAATGTACCTCGATGGAGGGAGTCGGGATTGACTCGGGAAGGTTTTTAAAGGTGGGTTTCCTTTCTGGACTGGGACCCGCGGAGGTTGAACAGGGGGTATCGGATATGCGTTTTGTAATGAGAGAAGTAGAATCTGATCTGATCAATATACAACAGGTCTGACAGGAAACGCGCGTGGTCAATTGCAAGTTCGCATCAACGAAGTGCCTCCGATGCGGATTGCGGTTGAGAAATGGGGCATGTTTGCTCCGAATGCAAACATAACCCGAATGACGCCCGTCAACATGGCAACTTTCGACATGCAACTTGACATATCTTGCAGACCTCGTTACTTTTTAATACTCGAGGAGACGTCGCTACGCTGTATATTTTACGCGGGAATTCTGTGCGACACCAACAGCGGCGAAAGTCAAATGCGTTAAACCGACGGGCACCACACCACTTATCGCAACATGTCCTCCACAGCAGGTCTCCAGGGCCGCCTGAAAGAGCTCTCTACATCCCTGGGCCAGATACAACCTCTCGTCAACCGACTGCACGACTTCACAGCTTCTATCGGACAAGGCGATGAGGCGCGCCTCGAGCTTGGGAGCGAGATACACTCTCGTTTGAAAGATGCCGAGCAGGAGTTGGAGTTATTACGGGTTGATGTTGAGGCACTGGACACTGGCACCGATAGCAGACGTAAGGTATCGGCTGCTCATGGCGAAAAAAGAGGCTGAGAGGGAGCGGGTTGCTTCCATGGCGGGGCGGCTGGCTGAGGAGCTGAAGAGGTGGGTTATGCTTGAAACGGCTTGTGCATGATGGGGGTTCCTCCCGGCCGTGTTGCAGCTGTTGTATTAGATGACAATTTGCTAAAATTTGTTCAGAACACGAGGCGACTTCCGAAATGCACAATTGCAAGCGAAGCGGAATGCAGAGATCGCTAAGCGGAAAGAGAGAGAATTGCTATTATCGCGGTCAACGAAGTCCGAGAAAAAGCAGCCATCTGAACGATTCACACAAGATGACCTTGTTCTCAATGCTTCGAATGACGTGACATCTGCTCTGCGCAGAACACATCAACTGATGCAGGCCGAGCTTTCTCGCAGTGCATTTGCTCAGGAAACCCTTGGTAAGCTTGTTTGGCTTTATTAGCTCCGTTGGATACTAATCCGTCTGAATAGATCAATCCACAGTTGCTATCAACTCCCTGTCCGAGTCCTACAGCGGTCTCGATACACTTCTCTCATCATCTCGCAGCCTTGCTAATTCTCTTCTCCGCTCCCAAAAATCTGATACCTGGTACCTTGAGACTGCATTCTATGTTCTTATCGGAACTATTACGTGGCTTGTCTTCCGACGGGTCCTATATGGACCTCTTTGGTGGCTCCTGTGGCTCCCATTGAAGCTCATTGCTCGCGTTGTATTTGCAGCTCTAGGTGTGGCTGGATTGTCCAGTACAGCTGTGCAATCATCTGCAGACTCAATTTCTGGCGATTTCTCGTCTCGTATTCACGAAACAGCTACCGCTGTTATGGGAGGCACCGTGACATCCTCTGCTGCTTGGGAAGAACCACCAGTACCAGCTGACACAGATCGTGTGATCGATGAAATTGGTCGTATGGTTGAAAAAGGCAAAGAAGAAAGCACTGGCATTGATGATATAACCCCCGAGGAGAGAGAGAGGCAAGATGCACTTCCTCGGAATACGAAGAAGAGGATGTATGAGGATGAGCCTGTGCGGGATGAGCTATAGACCATGTTAAGTACATTAACTATGCATGCTACCAAGAGGGAGCAACCTTTTTATCTGCAATGCGCTTCACCGTAGTAAAGAAATGACCCGTTCGAGAGCTGAAGTATAGTTGGTCGCTCTGATTGGTCAATTGTTTAAGTGCTGCGCGTATCACGTGGAGACGCGTCTTGGTTGTGGATGGCGTCGAGATCTTGAACACATCAGCTTCGGAACCACTCTCACCTTCAAGTCTGGGCTTTAATAACATGGCTTCGTCATTCTTCAACAACAAGGCCCACGCCGCTGCCGTCGCAGCTTCCAGTAGCTCCAAGGCCAAAGCTGGCGACAACAAGGAAGACTCGACCCGACTGCAGCCATGGGTTGAAAAATAGTACGCCAATGCTCCATCCAAAGCTTCAAGACCCGCAAACTCACATATGCCAGCCGCCCCAAGACCCTCGATGATGTCGCCGCACAAGATCACACAACAAAAGTCCTTCAGCGCACCCTGCAAGCATCCAATGTTCGTCCCTAACACAACACCCAACTCACCAAACCCATTAACTAACACCCCCAAGCTCCCCCACATGCTCTTCTACGGACCACCAGGAACTGGAAAAACATCCACAATTCTAGCCCTAGCCAAATCCCTCTTCGGACCCGCCCTCTACCGCTCCCGCATCCTAGAACTGAACGCCTCAGACGAGCGCGGCATCGGCATAGTCCGCGACAAAGTCAAAAACTTCGCCCGAGCCCAGCTCTCCCAACCAACAGGCCTAGACGCCGCCTATCGCGCGCAGTACCCCTGCCCACCCTTCAAGATCATCATCCTGGACGAGGCCGACAGCATGACGCAAGATGCGCAGTCAGCGCTGCGTCGCACGATGGAGCAGTACAGTCGCATCACGCGTTTCTGTCTGGTTTGCAACTATGTCACGCGCATTATTGAGCCGCTTGCTAGTCGGTGCAGTAAGTTCCGCTTTAAGATGCTTGATAATAGTGCTGCTGGGGAGCGTGTTGCTGGTATTGCTGAGGCTGAGGGGTTGACTCTTGAGGATGGGGTTATTGATACACTTATTCGGTGTGGTGAGGGTGATTTGCGGAGGGCTATTACTTATTTACAGAGTGCGGCGCGGTTGGTTGGGGCTACTAAGCCTGTAAGTGCGGGTAAGGATGGTGATGATGATGCTGAGATGACTGATGCTGGGAGTGAGGGGAGGATTATTACTGTGCGGAGTATTGAGGAGATTGCTGGTGTTGTGCCGGAGAGTATTCTTGATTCCCTATTCCAGGCCATGCAGCCTAAGAAGGGTGTTTCTTCATATGAGGCTGTTTCTGGTGTTGTTACGGATCTTGTTGCGGATGGGTGGAGTGCTACTCAGCTTCTTGGTCAGGTCTGTGTTTCTGTTCCCTAGATTGGTGATATCAACTGACCTGTTTCAGCTCTACCGTCGTGTTGTCTTCAACGAGGCAATCCCCGATATTCAAAAGAATAAGATCGTCATGCTCTTCTCCGAGATGGATAAGCGCCTGGTCGATGGCTCTGATGAGCACTTGTCCATGTTGGACCTGGCGCTGCGGATCTCCGGCATCCTGGGTGGAAATTGATCGGGACCAGTTCTCTACAAAGCCAGTTCAGGTCCGTCGGCACAACCCACCCTATTACTCGATCCTGGGATTCACGGACCTGGACTGGATGAATAGATGGCGTTCGGAATCGAGATGATTCCCATGTTTCAGGCGTTGCATATGAAGTTCTAGCATTTAGTTTCTTGTTAAAATGGAATGATCATGATACCCTTCCAATGCGATAGCGTGTCTGAATTCAGCTATGTACACGTAGCTTTGAGTGAGCAACAGAAGAGTGCAGTCCCGTGCGAGATATAGAACTGAGACCCTGTACTCCATGGTATCCTACGAAAATCTTAAGTTGGATGAAGTCTTGCGGCGTTATCGTAGAAGAAGAACATAACCTTCTTCTTCCCCATGCTGACAGTTCTTGGTTACCAATTCTTTCTCCGTGGCCTTGTTTGAGAGCGAGCCTGACTCTAAATATATAAACAACTTATATCAGAGACCCCAAAGTTTATTAATACTGCATGACCACGCTTTCCCAGTCCTGGTGCTCCGTATATACCTTTCCCTCGTTGTTCGAATTCGAACAACGATAATGAATGCAGATTTTTGGATTTCCAAGCAAGAATTCCACACGTATTGAATCTATACGCGAGGTTTCAGGAATGATATCTTCTTGAGTGAAGCCCTCCGATTCAACCTGAATCATTCGTTCAATGACGAACGCCGTGTTAGCCATAGACCACTTGCCCTTTGAATAAGGGACGATTTTCAAAAGCTTGAGTGCCACATGTCTTGTATCCCAGTCCCGACACTTCAATGCACAAAACACAAGTGGCGTGACAATCCCCATCCAGATATCTGGACGTGGGTCCAATAGCAACTTGCCGGCCAGCTGGATAGTCTGTTGAAATAGTGGAAGGCATTCATCGTATCTAGTCTCGCCATCCTCAAGCTTGTCGTCCATCGAAATCCTGATGAATAGAACTCGACACCAAATATCAAGAAACGAGATCATCCTTTCTGCTCGAGCCACATCTCCATGTTTACATGACTCCCCAAGCAACATTTTCCAAGACTGAAGCTTCTTTAAAAGCGTCACCGCAACACCTACCCGCTTCGTGCTATCCCCATCCTCAGGCCTCGACCTAATCTGCAAAGCCAACCATCCAATACCAACAACAAAACCCGCAGTTTGCTCCGTATCAACTATAGACTCAACGATCGGAACCCGAGAAGCCATCACCTCAGGAAGAGTCAAATTAGCATACATATCACCATCCCTCAACGAAAACCAACGCAATTTATTCTGTGTAAACGCCTGCAGCAGTCGAGTCCCTAGAGCACTGTTCCTCAAGCCCACACTCTGCCATTGATCCAGAAGTCTCCATCCAGATCCAAGATGATAACTCGTTGCCCGGGCATCACCTTGGATCATAGATAACGCCCCTAGGACAATGCAAGAACATAGCACTGTCTCTACCTCCGCGCTGCTGGAAAGACCACTCGAGAGTGTTTGCCGTAGATGACCGTAGGCCTTGCTACACTGTTGCAGTGGCAACGATTGATTTTCACGGCCGAGTTTTCTGATATCGTTGTTCCAGTGCATGGCGCCGACTCCGATTGCTGCATGCCGGACTGCGGGCTGGGACTCGCCGACTTGGTGGACCAGATGGTCCCAGAATGCGCGACTGAAGTAGCTGGCAACTTGCTTGGAGGTATTTTGGCGGAAGAAGTTTAGATAAGTGCGCTCTTCCCCTGAGAGGCTGGCTTGGCTTGGCTCTATTAGTGAAGCCACAATCATGGAGTTTGCCGGGTATCGTTGTTGGTTTGATATGCTGATTGTTGGTTCTTGAAATTTGTATCGCTTGACTCCGTTGCCGATGCAAGGTACCTTCAGGCGTGTACATCGTGAGCATGTTGGTTTCACTTCGTCGCACTGTTTTTGTTCTGTTAGCTTGTTTTCTATGTAAATGAGGGCTTCCTACCTTCTTCTTTTGCTTGCGACAGCTCTCGCAGGCGCGACTTGATGGGACTCCGGGCATGTTATCCTACTTCGAGGTGTTGTTTCCAGCAATTATTGGAATGCCATACAATGAAGACTTATGGCAGCTTCGCGAACTCTTAATCCGGGAGAGGGGTAAGGTAAATAGGCTTCAAAACCGGCCCCAAAACCGACTCTAGGCATGTTAGCAGTGCGCAGGGCCCCTGAACTACAATTGGCGGTCACTTAAAGTGGAATTATTTTTGTCCAGTTGTTGGTTCCGGTCTCAGCCTCTCGCATCATAGCGCATAACATTTTAACTAAGGTTATATTTAGCTTCTTACTATCCCGTGTCTGGCTGCAGCAGATATATTAATAGTTGACCATTGTCTGGAAAAATCACAAAATAGAATTCATTGCATTGAACAACGTGGTGTTCGCGGTACGTTGAGCATGACCAGAACATTGCCATACATAGACACCTTGTAGCGTCCATCTAGTTGGAAGTCTACGTCAAAGTGGGGCTTTTGAAAGCAATGCATGTGTCGTTGGCTAATTCATGGAATCCTATATATATCTAAACCCGACATTTACCAAATGTAAACAAATCTACAATAACGGCTCACTCCGACCCAAGAAGATCAGAAAGCTTATCCAAATAAGCATGAGGCTTAACATCCCCAGAAACAAAATCCTCCGCAGAAGAAACACCAGTCAGCACACCAAGTGTACCACCAAGCTTCCCCTCAAGCCCAAAGCGAATATCAGTATTAGCCCGATCACCGACCATGCAAGCACGGCTCCGATCGAACTGGAACTTGCCCTCAATAGCATCCATCATAGCCTGACTAGGCTTTCCAAGCGCAACAGGCTCCTTGTTCAACATCATGATAAGCGGCGCACTCATAGAGCCAGCACCAGGGAAGAGAGTCCCGGAGTTGGGCAATGTGGAGTCGATGTTAGTTGCGAGAAAGATGGCACCACGCTTGATGTAGTGGTATGCGAGTGCGATCTTAAGGTAGTTCATGTGGAAGTCCAGACCGACAAGGACGACTCCGACTTCTGGGTCTATGATTGATCCATCACCTGCTGCGATCTTCTTGTAGTCCTCTGGTGTGACGTCGCGGCGGTAGGCTGGGTCTGTGCCGCCAATGAAGGGAACGTTCTCCGATTGGAGCTCTTGCTCGATGCCCGTTTCACCGATCACGTAGACTTTGCGTTTGTTTTCGGGGAGTTTCAGGATGCGGGAGATGTAAATGGAGGAGCTGTATGATGAGGAGAAGATTTCTTCCTACTTGGTGTGAGTTGTTCAGGTTGGTTCTTGGCTTATGAAGTTGACTTACCACTGTGCTGGGAATACCGAGGCCCTCCAATTTCTTGCGGTAGTCGGCGCGCGACTTGGTGCTGTTGTTTGTCACGAAGACGACTTGCTTTCCTGCGCCGGGGTCAGCTTCTGCTTTCATCCACCCTTGATGTAGGCGTACCATTCTTCCGAAGAAGCTCCAATGTCTCTACTGTCCCGGGAAACAGGTGGTCACCAGACCATAACACTCCTATGTCACTATCTTCTCAGCTATTGTTGCAACGCGGGGCTCGCGGGGGATCGGAGTGAAAGCCAAGATTCACAGAACGTGGGATACTGACCATCGCAGTCGAAAAGGAATACCTATGAATGATACTGTCAGCAATTGGACTCTCGGACATTCAGCGCGATCATATGCGGGGCTTACATCGAACTTTGATAGAAATTCATTGAGACCGGCCTTGTCGCCGGTCAGATAGCGGGGCGTATGCGCAGACAGTTCCGCCATTATGCGAGAGATATGGAAAGAATACAGAAACAGAATGCAAGAGGAAGACAAGAGAAGAAGTAGAAATGCCTTCAGCTTTGAGTCCGTCCGACCCGAAGTGAATCTCCGGTGAATCGTAGGGCCGCGGTTTCCGCGGGGGTTGTTCTTGGCATTCATTTCTCAACTATATACATAACTTCTTCAACTTCCTTCCTACGCAATGTGCTCTGTCTGAGGCTTGTCTTCATAATCTCTTGCATCTTCTTGTTTCTGGAACTGGTGCTGTCCAATCTCCGCCAAACTCACCCCTTGCGCGCGCAATGTCTCCAACCGCAGAGCATCCTCTGCCTCTTCGTCTCTCTCCTCCTGCGACATTTCAGGTCCCCAGAAGAGGAAGAACAAAATGAATGCCCAGACTGCGCCCATGAAGATGGCAATGACCTTGCCATAGTTGAAACGTGCCTTTCCATTTGGCCCAGGCGGTAATGGAAACCGCTCGCCAATGATAGATTGAATCGTGGCCGACGCAGATGATCCAAGGTTACCCAGCTGATAGGTCAATCCCACCATAAGAGACCTGAGTGCGATGGGAGAGAGTTCGAGGAGATGAATTGGCATCGGACCCCAGACACCACCAACAAAGAATTGCTCGAAGAAAGCACAAGCGGCCAACGACATGTTTCGAGGCAAGACGTACGCCGGGATAATGGCACCTCCCACAACGCACGACACAAGCATGGTAAGACGTCGACCAAAGAAAGTACTGATATAGCCAATTGTGCAACCACCGATTAAAGCACCGATCTGACCTACAACAGTGATGACTGTGGTCTGAGTCGCATCCATACCAACTTGATCTTTCAAGAAGGTCGGATAGAAGTCCTGGCTACCATGGGAACATGAGTTAAAGCCTGTCATCAACACAATCAGGTAGATGAACAAGACCCAGTTATCGCGAAGAGCCCGTCCAGCATCGCGGAGGAATAATTTCAAGCCCATTGCATGGGTACCATCAGGACTGGCTGCATGGGCTCGTGCCTCACGCTCTGCTTTCATAACTTGGAAGTGGTTCGTCTCTGGCAAGCACCAGCGAAACGCGATGATGAGTACTGGCGGGCCTGCACCGAACCAAAACAGACTTCTCCAGCCATGAGTCGTTGTCGGCACAAGGGCACGATAAAAAGCTGCGGCAAGAAGATAACCTGTTGCATAGCCCATCTCGAAAAGACCGGAGAGTAAGCCGCGAGCTTCGTATGGGAGGTCTTCAAGAGCGGTGGCTGCTGCTGGACCGAATAGCCCTGAAGATGTCAATAGATGACAGTCAAAGGACGCCGGGTTGAAGACATACCTCCCATCGCAATACCATAAAGAGCACGCACGCCCAAGAACTGGGGAAGTGTCTGGCAAAATCCTGAGCATAACTCAAGTATGATGAACAGAAACAGGTTGATAATCATTGGCCATTTCCGTCCATATCTATCTGCCAGAACCCCGAAGATGACAGCGCCAACCGACCGCAGCATAAGCGTAACTGTCATACCCTTGTGAACGTCAGCAGTGTTGCAGGTATACATGGCCGAGAGAACTTACCCACGAAACATCCGAATACGATACATCAAACGCCTCAGAGATTTCCGTGACTGTCATGGACACCGTGAAGAAGTCAAATGAATCCCATGTCCACCCAAGAAAACCAGCTGCAAACATGAGCCATTGATGGGAGGTCAATTCTCTCAGGATGGCATATGGGTTTCTCAGCTTGTTCTGTGGGGACTGGTTAGCAGTCCGACCACAGATCAGACTTGGGTATGCGAACTGACCTTTGGTGGACTCAAACTTGACACGCGTGTCGCAAAATACCGGAAGATTTGGCTAGGTGAATAGAACCACCCAGCTGCCATATGATTCCTCATGATGAAGGTTTATTGGCGCAGGTAATACCTGCTATGTTTATCGCACGACGCCATCCTTTTATATTCTCGCATTACCGAGGATATGACGATCCTATACCCGGACACGAAGAACTCGACCTTTTTTCTCTATGCATGGATGTCTTGGCTAATGACAACTAACCACATAGAACTGCATTGCACCGGCCATCGCTGTCTATCGCGCCCCCATGAATACCTTAATCCAGCGAATCACCACAATAGAGGCTTACTTCCCCGCATATCCGATACTGACTTCAAGGAAGTAAGATATGAAGCGTAAAGCTTAAGCGGCAGTGCAATATAAAAGTACCCTCGGGGCTGTCTTTCCCCCACTGCGGGCGTCAGCCAAGACCAGGGACACGGCTTGTTCTCCGCTGTGCGGGGGCAGTTGGGTCTCGTATCGCAGAGGCAAACGAAGGATATCTTGCTCCTTTCTTGATCTGTCGGGTTGTCGAGCGGAGCTTTGGGCATCGCATCAAGTCCGAGGGTTCTTGGCGGACACCGGGCTTGAGTTGCATCACCTGTAATGCTGGTCCTTGATGGCAAAGTCCGTTCTCGTTAGAACCCAGACTGCCCAAGGTGGTCAAAGTCACCGTCATTCTATCACACCCTCATTTCATCGGCAGGAGAAACAGTCTATAAGCCGAGCATTAGAATCCGGGGTAAATGCGGGGTTGGCTCCGCAGTCAAGAACCGCACAGGAAATCTCACTCTCCATAGTTCACAACCTGCATTGGATGATTTGTACAACTCAAGATTAACAAATTAGATTAAACTATAGAACTATTGGTTCCAATTTCAGTGTAACAAGTTCACATCAAATCTCCATAAGTCCGACCCTCCTGCTCCATCTGCTCATCCTTCTTCATATAGTCCTTCATCTTATCCATCTCATCCTCCTTCTTGGGTTGGCTGGGCATATCTTCATGCTCCACTTGAGTAGAATCATGCTCGTCCTTGGCTTGCCCAGCTTGGTCCTTGTTTTCGTGATGGTCACGATGGAGCATCCGGTCCATGAGGCCACCGAGGCTTGACTTGCGGTGCTTCGGTTCTAGAGTGATCCTGGTTAGCTTGGGCTTGGATGAGTCGTATGTCTGGGAGTTTTGCTTACCCTCAGGCATGTTCTTGTCCTTATCAGTTGGGAAATGAATTTTGACTTGTGCGTGCTAGCGCGAAGAGTATTGGTGATATAGAGTCTGGACGGAGTGATGTTCTTATAACGTGCAATGGCAACAATGGGTCTGTCGTCATGTTTGGAGTAACTTTATCTATGGAAGCCAATACAAATGGCCTTTGACTAATATTGATTTCCGACAGTTTGGATTATCGCGAGTGAGCGCGTCATCGATATTTGTTGCGACGGGTGTTATCTGCTGATCCAATCCCCCGGCATGATGTAGCTTTCCCCATATATCTTTATCGAGTATCCATGGATGTGAAGTATTTGGATTACTCGTGCTAACAGATAGCTTCGCGACGCTGATATAGTTCGCTGTTAAGAATGGGGGGTCGCAAAGTTTTGCCACATCTAACAGTATCTATACAATTTTGTAGATTGTACCACCATGAACCAGCCAGAACGCGCGTCGACCACTTAATGCAATCTCCAGATCTCTATCTAAATACTCTTGTGATGCGAAGGGCATGTTAATGCCTATTCATACAAACCCCACTCAGTTCCTATTCGTGCTCAATATGTACATAAAAATAGTAGCGTTGATTCAGGATTAACAAAGAATGGCTCAGCCTACTCCAAAAATATATTCGCTGGTTATTTTATCTGCACTTCTGATCCTGATTCACTATAAACCATCATGTCGGCTATTCCTCGTCCGCGGACCAAAATTCTCGACACAGCCGGTGATCCCCGTTTTAAGCGAGCTCCAGCAACCTCACGAACGAAATCTCAGGGTAGACTTCAAAAATCAAGATTGAAATGAGTCATGTCAGGAGAGCAAGTCCAAAGAATCAGGAATGATGCTAAAAGCTGCACAAAATGTAAGTAGCCAGTGACTCCATCAAGAGCACGCAGACGCCGGAAATTTCAGTGAATCCAAAGCTTTGAAAATGCGCAAATCTGTTGGAGGTGTGAGGAATGAGGCTTAAAATGCATTGCACAGACGCATACTTCTGGCTCAACCAGAACGCGAAGATTATCTTCATGACACCGATTACTCAATTTGAATCCAAGACTTCTAGCTTGAGTGAGACTGTGCGCGAGATGCAACTGAAGCTCGATGCTGGAAAAATGCAAAGTGAGCAATCCAATATTGGTCGGAATCTTGCGGTTGTCTCTTCATGGATGTGGATCTATCCCCAATATTGTCGAAAGACCAGAGACCGAGTTTCCTCTTTGTCGTCAAAGACTGGAGACATGTTATTCTAACGTTATATCCAAGTCTCTATTTCATCTTGGTAAAGAGTCCCGAAAGTCAACCGAATAGGACCAGGATACTATAGAACTTATTCACAAATTGACAAGGAAAGTACAGTAGCCACAGGAGGCTCAGGCTCTTCACGGAGACAGACATTACGGTCAGACGTGGCAGCCTCAAGTGAGGCGGCGCCCGATGTTTAGTCGTCGCGTCAGCAATTCTCCGTGCGTTTCATTTGCTTGGATAAATTATTAGGAGGCAAAACAGCCAATGGCATTGAGCCCTTGAGTTTCGACAACAGCACTAAGTACGTTATGCCGGCGGGGAAACCTGGGTCCCGTCTCTGCACTACCGAGACGTTTCCCAGAGAGCTGAGAGCTATGGCTACAGAGCCCAATCAATAGACATGTAAAGTAAATGTGATAGAGGCCCATAGCCTTGATCTTCACTCACAATATATGCAACTTCTTTCTTTCCCCTTCCCCCTCTGACTGTCTCAATTCGCATCCCAAAACCTCCACGATGTCTTACAATGTTTACTTTGGCGTAATATTGGGCATACTAGGTCTCTATATCACAAAAACCTTCTTGTCCCGCAAAGGGCTTCACAGTCCACTCCCACCAGGACCACGACCTAAACCTATAATTGGCAACATCTCCGAGGCACATACTCGCGATCCCCTGGTGCATATTTCAAAACTGGCTTTGGATCATTTCTCCACGGCTGGAACACCCGGTGCTTGGTTGGTTGATATGATCCCAGCATGTACGTCCTTGTTCAAAACGGCTGGCTATCCCATTCCCGGCTCAGAGAATGAGTTGATCGCTAAGTGGACTGCTGCCTCACTTTATACCGGAGGCGCTGATACAGTAAGATGCACAGCCCATACCATTTGCCGGTACTAATCTGATGTAGAATGTCTGCGCTGTTGAGTGTTTCTTCTTGGCAATGACGCTGTTCCCCGACATCCAGCGCAAAGCCCAAGAGGAAATCGATCAGCTACTGGGATCTGATCAGCTTCCTAAAGTCAAAGATCGCGCGCGCCTGCCATATATTGATGCCGTGGTGAAGGAGGTTTTGCGCTAGCATCCGGTTGCATCTATGGGTATACCGCATGCATCCAGCGAGGATGATACCTGGGAAGGATACTCTATCCCCAAGGGGTCATTGCTGATGCCAAATATCTGGTGTGTCTATGCTGTCTGGAAATGATTGGCAAATTTTTGAACAAGCTACTGACTTGTATAAAAGGGCCATGACACATGACCCTGCAATCTATCATGATCCTATGACATTCAAGCCTGAGCGCTTTCTCGGTATCGACGGCCGAGGACCTGAAATGGATCCGCATGATCTTGTCTTTGGTTTTGGCTGTCACATCTGCCCTGCCAGGTTCCTGGCTGATACTACAGTTTATCTGAGTGCTGCGCAAAGTCTTGCCGTCTTCAATATTAGACCAATTGATGGTCAGAAAGGAAAGAATGTTCGACCAGAATTCAAGCCGGGAGTTGTTAGCCATCCCACGCCTTGGAAATTCCAGATCGAGCCTCGTAGTGCATCTCATGAAGCTCTCATTGAACAGGTGAATCCGTGGGAGCAGAGCCATGCTCCTGAGTTGGAGAGGTTGTCCAAATAACCACCATCTGAAGATCCACTGAGGATCATGAACAAGAAGGACTCACCCATCTAAGCTACTGACAAGACCAAAGAGACGGCGTTTCAGTTTAGGAGCTAGCTTGATTGTATTCCAAATCTACGGTCCTCTCTTCAGCTTTGTAGAAGTTGATCTAACCACAGTATACTGTCCACACCGCTAGAAAGATCCAAAGACCCATATCCAATTGTGCCGCACAGTCGATAGGGTCCACTAAGCGAAGAATACATCAAGAATATTGTACTTAGCGAACAAGCTGGAAGATTCAGTGATCACTCAATGATTGCGTGTGCCCTGTATATGTCCTATTGAGCCTGCATCGAGTCGCTGAATAGTCTCTGTAGCACTACCTAATGACAATTGAGTATCATAAAACACTAAACGCAAATCTCGAATTCTGCATGATTGTATAGAACTCCAGATATTAAGGCTTTGTGAAGCCTACGTATTATTCGCTGCAGATCGAAGATGGCGAAGAATGGAATGTGGAGCTCGAATCATATATACCCGTATTCATAGATAAAATACCCATAGGAATAATTGAATATGGAAAACGATAGGAAGTGCCTAAGATCAACAACATCGTATCTGGCTTCAGCCTGCAGCCTATCACCTTGACCCAGAAGGAATATTCGGACTACATCAAGAGTAAGATATCAGCTACCATTGCCCCACTTGCTCATTACACATAGCCCATGGTGTCTTCTACCATAGCTTACAAGAAGAAATTCGAAAAAAAGTCTTTCCAGCAAGAACGGGTGCAGAAAGAAATGCCGCTTTCGATAAGGGATACACTGCCTACCCGAAGGACCAGGTACCTCCTACATTTGAGGATCTTAACTTTTACCATGGCGCGTAATCAACAGAGGTGGACGGATCAACAGGTCCCTCTTGACGTCTCTCTATTCGAGGATGCGCCAAAGCAGCAGCGGTGATCAAGGACACACCATTGAGACGCAGAGCCATTTTGATTACGGGCTGAGCTTTTGTCTAGGGACTTGAATCGGATTTAACTCCTCACACTCTATATAGTCGGTATTGTTATGCCGAGCTCCGGACGGCATCCTCCGCCGACACCCAGACATCACGGATGGAAATGAAGGATCCACGGTGCAGTGGAAGTTGAGGATACTCAAACTGGCACCACAAACTTAGCGCGATGTAACGGTCCGACGCAGGGGTCAAGTGGCGTTTGGCGATGGATTGGACTAGTAGGGATGTGGAAAACGGCAATTTCCCAGGAGCACGTACACTCTCTTTTTTACTATTCTTCCGTATTCTCGCTAGGAGCCCCCAATTCAAACTTGACTTATGGCCACACGGAAAGAAGAGGCTCGCTTTGGCCGTCTTCCTTTCGACCTATTTGCTTTGGTTCTTCCCCTTGCCATTGGGTCGGTGACCGGCGGTATCTGACATACCCTTAGGAAAAATGGGACACCGAGGCTGACCCGACACCGGAGGGAAGCAAAGCCCAGTGGGAGCAGCTAGCGTGGGACTACCAACGCTTGACGCTGATTGAACGTTGGGTACAGCTACCGCTCTTCTAAGGCGAAAGGGGCTAACAAGGAACTTCCCCTCTTGCTAGCCTTACTACAAACGACCCGAGCCAGAAGACACGCCTGCTGCAAGCGAAGATGAAGCCATGCAGATTCTCGGCAATAACCAGAGCCCCGCAGAGCGTAATATGAGCCTCGACTTCTGTAGTGCCTGGAAGCCAGTCTGGTTGCGAATATGCTCCGATCCCACCCTCGCAGAGACGTATGAGGAGATGAAGAAGTCAGCTTGGGTTCCTGGAGGGGGAATGCCAGGGGATTGCATTCTAGACGATGAAATGCTCTACGCTTTCGAGGACGGCACCCCAGATTCGTGGAGAAAAGTACTGGTGCGGATGCCTGGCCTAACTGACTTCCAGGGGGCTAGGGATTACAGCGGGGATGATTCCGACATTCAGTATTCGAGCGGACAGAACGACGAGGTTATTTTAGCAGAGATCGAGCAAGAGGAAGACGAGGACACCAGGTTTCTCTCAAAGCTCAGCGTACAGGTACAAACAACAGTGTACTTGTTGGACCGTGAAGCTATTACTACAGGACTGATCAAGGTACTTTGGGTCAATGAACATGGCCAGACTCTGTGGGAGAATCGTGTGCAACCTAGTACTTTAACAGGCCTCTCAATGGCCCAAGAAGACTCTTGTGGTCTCGCGGAGATTGTCGGTTATCGGGCTGTGCGGGGAGCGTTGATCGTGAGATGAGGGTCCTGCTCTATGCATGTGCCCAGAACTGATGGCCAGGGCCCGGTTTCGGGTGTTTAAATATCCCAGGATTCCAATTCTTCAGAGTTCATGTTACATCTAGCGTGGGAGGACTAGCTTTCTTTGTCAATGCTTTCCACCAAGTCCCGGGCGGGGCTGGCTAACCCACGATCGGTGGTGGAATCCGTTAGTGGAGATCCAACAAAGGCAATTCGTTTATTCAGACCAAGCTACTCGGAGAATATCCACAAACAAAAGAAGTAACAGAAAAAAAAGGACTGACTCAAATTCAACAGAGTCAGCGGCTGAAATTCAAAGTGAAACATGTGCACCTCGCCAAGTGCGCCGTGAAGTATATGCTGATGACAATGTTCCGATCCCATAGGAGTGACACCGATGATGAATAGATGATTATTAGATGGCAGGTAGGATGTAGGAGTGGGATAGATGGTGGACATGCCATGACATACCACACTCAAATATAATATCCAAAGGAAATAAGAATAGGAATAGACCAAGGAGTGAGGTATCAGGGGTGAAAATCCCTATAAGTACAGAATCCAAAAAGAAACCCCAAAACAGATCAGAATGGAGGAGAGGGTATGTGGTATATAGTCATGAGAGGTCGTGAGAAGAGTGTCAACGCCAACGCAAATGTCAAGGAATGAGAAAGAAGAAAAAAACGAAAACTCAAACCCAAGGATCCTTCCCATAAGTATGAGGATTAACAGGCCCAACAAATTTAATCTGAGCCTTCAGCAACTCCCTCCTCTTCTCCTCCTTAGACTCATTCTTCTTCCTCTGCAGAACCTTCACGGCACCACGCGTATTCTGCAAAAGTTGCGACTTAAGCGGAGGAGAGAGTGGCGGCGTAGGATTGGCAAATGAGATCTGCGAAGGATTCGGAGCAGAACCAGACGCCAAGCCGGGGTATGGATAAGCCTCCGGTTCAAGAGTGGGAGATGCAAGCGACTTGGCATATTTGGGGAATTGAACACCCCGTTTCTTCGACTTCTTGGGAGTTTCCCAGATGGACGATCCATATTTCTGATACGGAGACAGTGGCACGGCGAGTTGTTTCTGACGGAGGATGTTTGGCGCGGTTGGGGAGACTGGTGAGAGGGGGGAGTGGAGCGGGTAGTACATGTGATGGTTGGGGTTGTCGTAGTCGCTCGCACTGAGACTGGCGACTCTAGCGTTGGCTTTGGTACTGGTGCTGTATGCCGATGCTGATGTTGACACTGTTGAGACTGATATGGCGCGGAATGGGGCATCGTCTAGGGAGGAGTGGTGTGGGATGTGAACTTTGCTGCCTAGACTGGTGCCCAGGATGCTGGTACTACCTGCTTCGTCGATGTGTCTATCCATTGGGGCTGTTGATGGACGTGCCACTTCTTTGGATTTGGTCTCTGTGCTATCGCGCGAGAGAGTTCGGTGCACGTATGTCTTGATTGATTCGCGGACGCCGCCTAGACCTGTGCGATCGAGCGAGTGCCAGCGATATCTGGCTTTTGTAAAATCCAAGGCGGAGAGGTTCTTCTTGCGCTTTGAATGGGTGGATGGACTGATGCGTCCGCCGACTTGGAGGGTTGATGGAGCCAGTTCGGGGAAATAGTCCCACTTCTTCTCGCGGAAATAGTGGCTCGTGCCGGGGCGATTCTGAGCCCAGTGGACGGGTCGGCCGTGCTGGGTATCTGACCATGATGAAGAAACTGAAACTGATAATGGCGGATCCTCTGCAATTGACGCGACGTCTTCAAGTTCTTCAAGTTCGTCTATCTCTATATCGAGATCAATGTCCGTGCGGAGTGGGGGGACGGGGAGTGGGTCGGCGGATGGAGCCGGGTGATCGACCAAGTCGAAGTCGTCAGCGCCGACGAAGATGGGATACTCGAAGTCGCGAGGTTCTGACGGACTGACGATACTGTCGACGGTTGATTCACTGTCGCTGGAGTCACTCCACATGGCTGAACACTCTGGTTCTTCGGGGAGAGGCCTGGCGGGGAGAGGTTTGTTGAGGAAGAGTCGAGGGGAGAAAGGCACCTTGGGCGACAGAGAGAGAGGAGGAATGACTCGTTCGAGGCCTTCCAGAGAACGGGATGGCCGAACCGGAGGAGCCATTTGGTAAGATGGAGACAACATTGGCTACCAGGCACTCAATAGCTCTTAATACCCAGGACCAACTACCAACTACCAAGTATGATAAAAACAACCAAGGATGTGAAGGAAGACAAAGAGATAAAGGGTCAAGAAAGCCAAGTAAAGAGGAGTAGAAGAGTGCACGGACTTCATGCAAGGAGACATCACCAAACGAACCGACGCCACGCAACTTGCACCCTTGCCGATATGATTGGTCTACTACTTGACAAGTATAGTCTAACTAACAGTGTACTCCATAATCTAGCTCAGTTTGGACGCCTTTTCCATTGTTTCACGGGTCAATCCATCTGAAGCCTTGCGAACTGCACTCAATCGGCCTAACCGGCGTAGCTTGGCGATCATCTCCTCATCGCCAAAGTGGCTGTTATGCTCGAACTCGGGTTCCTGCGCATAGGCAACTCGCGCCGCGTCAACTAGCATACGGGCTGTCATGCCGAATACGCGATAGCGGAAGTCTGAGTCTGAGCCTGAGTCTTCTTCTACGTTGACGGTTGATGATGTCGATCCATGTTTGACTGTTTGGCTTGGGACAAAGAACTGGTGCACTGGAGATCCACTGTCAGCTTGAGACAAAGAAGACACATGGAACAAAAAGAACGGGAACAAATATAGATATCCCCATATTCTCAAAGTACGATGTACGGGGCTTATACGTGGTAATGTATACGGGGTAAGGGTACTTACTCCTCCATCTAGAGTCATGCCACAAACTCCAACTCCCTCGATACCACTTCTCATCTTCAGTAAGAGACAAGAAATCCCTAAATCCCGCCGTAAACACAGCAGCAACCTCCCGCGCATCCAACTTGGGGATCAGCGATACCTCCGGATCTGCCTCCAGCCCCGTTACAGGATCGTAGCCATGCAGCAGCGCGACGCAGGGACGCACGACCAGTTCGGTTTTGGCAAGATTTGCCGGCAGCTCGCAGAGATGCTCCACGCGGAAGGGAGGGAGAGTGATGCTCTCCCCTTCAGGGAGGCCGATCTCCTCGCTCGCTTCGCGGCGGGCGGTTTGGAAGGGCGTTTCTTCAAGTGTATCTGCTCGGCCTGGGTTTGTTAGTATAATGTAGTCCACTTGAGATAGCTCATATGTCTGTGTGGGTTAGCCCGGTTTGGGCCATTCTTTCCTTTTGGTTTTCCTCGTTTTTCTTATTTTCCATTTTATTTTGTTTTATTTTGTTTTTTTTTTTTTCCCCCTTTTCTTTCATCTTCCCTTCCTCGTTTGCTTCCCCCTTCGAGCGTATATTTTCTTTTTTTATCCCTTTTTTCGGACCTTGTTTTCTCGAAACAGATATTGCAGAAATAGAGCAAAAGGCAGAAAGCAAAAAGGGATGCTATAAAAAAAGAGCTAAACTTACCGCCAGGCAAAGCCGCCTCTCCTGCATCTACATAAAGTTAGCTTGACAGTTTGCCATGCGACTCCGACAGAGCCAGACCAGGCCAAGCCAAGCCAAAAAAATTGAAAATTGAAGATTGAAAAATGAAAAATGGAATAATCAAACATACACGAACTGAGTGTCTTGGCCCGGATCGTAACAACCACCCTTAGATCCCCCTTAGCGTCGGCGTAGAGCAGTATCAGCACGGCTGCACGCCGGCTTAGTGGCACCGAGCTGTATGCTGTTGGCGGGGGGACATAGCTTCGGAGTCTGGCTATTGCGGCCTATATGATATCATTAGTGGACTGTACGTTAAATGTTTTATCTTTCTGTTCTGTTGTGTTTGCTGCCTATATTGGATTTTGAGTTTGGATCCAGGTGTGTTTCAATACTATTGCTCGGGATGGACATCCACGGCATGGGTATTGAGTCAAAGTCAAAGAATCAGGAAAATTGATCAGGATCAGGATCAGGATCAGGACCGGGATTGGGATTGGGATTGGAATTATCGGGGATCGGGGATCGGGGAAGAGGATGGCATGGTTCACTCAGATACGAAACCTTGACTTTGAGCGTTGACCTTGACTCTCGGTCTCAGTCCCAGAATAGATCAACGAATGTTCCATTTCGCCCTCCCTTCTTTCCCTGTCCTTTTCAAGGTTCCTTTTACCTTTCTTCCCTGAAGAATACAGTAAGACCTGAAGCCGAAACTCAAATGGACCATGCATCTGTTCGGAAAAGGGCAACAAAACAAAACGAAATCAAGCATCAAGGGCAGGGGATGTATGCATCCATGGCAAATGAGCACGACAGAATCTGGTTCTGGACAGGCTGAACACGCGGACTGTTTGGGTACTTGCAGACTACTTCAACTTTCACAATCCACATACCTCAGAGACGGCGTTTAGGGGCGCCATTCTTTTTAGTTCGGAGTTGGGTGTGGGCCGTGCGGGTTGGTAAGGGGTCTCGGTGTTAGTCTTGGGGCTGGTGTTGGAGCTGAGGGGTTTGGGTTTGGATCCTGGTCCTACTCCTGGGTTTGCTTTTGATGTTGATGCTGGACTTGGGATTAGGCTTGGACTGTGTCGCGTGCGGAAGGTGAACTTGCAGGTGAAGGCTTGGCGGGGCTTGGTGATATGTTTGAAGAAGTGGGTTCTTCTCATTGCATTGACACTCTGTGGATGTGGATGTGATATATACAATTCCTTGGGGGTTCTAGATGTATGGGGGAAGAATGGGGTTCGTACTCCGTAGCCGAGGTAAGATCTGACTAATGATGTAACCGACCTAGGTACAGTCGCGTCTACATCTACAATGATAGGTGTTATATATTTCGGATGTTGAATTGATTGGGTGATCGATTGATTTTGAAATCATTATTGAGATTGATTGTCTTCGCTTATAGCCATGCTATCCATATGTAGCCCAGGTCCATCTTGAAGCCAGACAGAATCAAAAGAATGTACCAGCAACAGCCAGAGAGCAAAGAAACAACAGGGTAGGGGAGTAAATGGTCTATCAACATAGTGGAGAGAAATAAGACAGGACAAGAACAGAAGGGGAAAATCAAAGCAACCATCTATATGACAAGTGCGCAATCCAAACCAGAAACCAAAATAGTGAAAATACAAACACATAGCCGGCTCAACCCAGCATAATCATAACATCCACAGAAACCTACAAGCTCTCGCTCTTCTTCGCTTCCTTGGACTCGCTGGTCTTCTCAGCGCGATCACCTTCAGCCATGGCCTCTTTAGCCTCGGAGGTTTGCTTATCAGCGCCATTAGAAGCTTCAACCTTGGCTTCCTCCTTCTCATCGATGTCCTCAATATCCTTAGGCGCAGAAACACCCTTGCCCTCGTTCTCGCTGTTCTGCTCGTTCTCCTCCTCGATCAGCTCCTCCTGCTCCTTGATAACCTCCAGACGCTGCTTGTTGGTGGCGGCGCCCTCGGCGTTGTGAACCTCGAGCTCGATCTCGTGGAAGAGCTCCTCGGGGATACTGGAGAGAACGGACTTAAGGGCGTCGATCTGGGATGCCATCTCGGACTCCTTGCCACCCTGGGTGTACAGGTAGGCGTTGCTCAGGACGAGCAGGGTGGATGGAACGCCCTGCTTGAGACGGAGTTCGAGCCACATGCCGAGATCCTCACGCAGGCGAGCGGGGGAGACGCCGTGTGTGCGGATACCACGCGAGGCGCTAGCCATCTGCAATTCTGGGACGGAGAGCGAGTCTACGCCCTCGTAGAAGATGGCGCGGTCGTCACGCTTGATTTGGCGCATGCGGTGGCGAATCGTGTAACGAAGCATGGCGTCTGTGCCAAACGAGTTCAGGTTCATGTATCGGCAGATGCCGACCAGCTGGGGGCGAGACAGGTTGTCGAGGGTCAGGTCGTCCTTGAAGATCTTGCAGACCTTGATGACATCCTCGGTGGAGGGCGATTCGCCAGTGGTGCGAATCTTACGGAAGAAGTCGGCGAACTCGTCGTTCTTGACGGTGGCCATGGTCAGGGGGAGACCGGTCTCGCGCAGGGTGTTGCGCAGGAAGCCAGAAACCTCCTTTCGGGTGGAGCTGAGGTTCAAGGCCTTGGCATCACGAGCCTTCTGGCCCTCGTAGGTGCTGGGAAGAAGGTTGGGGAAGATCTTCAGAGCGACGGGCAGCAGCAGTTCGGCAAAGGGAACGATGAGGAACATCGAGAAGGGAACCAGACGGCCCAAATCCTTCGTGGTACGCTGAAGCTGGCGGTGCTCTCGGCGACTCAATTCATATCCACCGGCCATCTTCAATGCCAATCGCGAACTAATCTTGACCTCTGTGGCCAGCAGCTTGGTTCCATCCCAGTAGTGCTGAAGCTCTTTCTTAACCTTCTGGCCGAGGGTCAACTTCTTGGTACTCTTCTTCTCGGCCACCTTCTGGTCCTCTGCGCTGGACTTGTTCACAGTTCCGGACTTTGTCTTGCTGACAGCCGAGGTCTCAGACTGGGGCTTTGCAACGGCGGACTCGGGCTGGGTAGTCTGGTCTTGGGGGATTGGCTTCTTTGCTTGCTCGGCATTGAAGCCGGGGGGTGGGTAGGATTGAGAAGAGTTTGATGTAGACTGCTCGGTCGCGTATCCTCGTTGCGGCATCAGAATTGCAAGGGCCGATACTTGAGATGGGAGAGTGCGGCCATTTTGGAGAAGGGTTCTGGCTGCTACAGAGGCCGGGCTCAGCGCACTGGAACGGTGACGACCTGTTCAAGTCAAAATTAGTATTTTGATCTTTATCAATGATAATCGCCGTCATTTAATGCTCACCAGCGAGCGCTGCCCGAAAAGCAGGGGTTCCGCGAACCAATCCGGTGGATCTCATCGTGGCGGACATTTGCGGAATTGTTGGGGGGAAAGGAAGGGCTCGAGACAACGAGCGGACAGGAAGTAGGAGCGACAACACCGAAGGAGACAATCAATTCAAATGTCCACGGGATGAACAAATAAGTAAATAGAAATAATTCGATGGTTACGGAAAGTTGGAATGGACCGGAAGCGATGAGTTGTCTGCGATCATTCTGCACGTGACTCGGAGATCGGGGATAAAAATAATTGGTCTAGATCTGGTAAGGCTTGTTTAGGGGCAGTGCAGGAGGCAAATTATCTCTTCAAGATCATAACAATATGTTCATTCTATGCAAATCGTCGCTTGAAATCAATACCAAACTAATTATCAAGTAAATCTTGAAAACCAACGTGGAGGGTATAAAGAATGGCAAACGCTGGTATAAATAAACGCAATTAAACTATAGCCAGGGTATCGTAGATTAAAGAAAGAATTGTCCCCAGTATTTAACTTCTCCGAACAGCAGAATCGGAGATCAGACTAGCTTGCAGGGCACTCGAAGAGGCATCGGCAGAGTCAAGCAACGGAATACGGTCAACACTAGAGCGCTTGTCCCCACTGAAGGCACTGACAGCTTCACTGAGAGGACTAGGTTCGGCGGCAAGAAGCGGGCTGGTGACTCCATCGGGAGAAGATTGCCAGCGCGCAACATCTTTCTTGAGTTCCTCCAATTCCTTCTGAAAGCGCTTGCCGAATACATCGATGTAGTAGGTTGCTCCGTTGTGGATGCTCCAGACAAACAAAGCGGCCATATAAATTCCACTGGCCCATTTGTACCAGAACCAGATCGGGCAGGGAATCATGGTCGACAGAGCAAATCCATACTGGATGAACATGAAGCAAGGTTCCTGCAGCGCCTCCGGGAGGCTCAAAACGAACTTGCCAATCCAGGCCTTGGAGTACGACTTGCGGAGCCAGGTAAAGCTAGTTGGGCGGCCTGCTGCGATCTGGTCACGACGTCGGACGGTGATCAAGAAGTGGTACAGCAGCTGCCACACCAGATATGGAACTGTGGCCCAGATAATCATGGCCCCAAGGCCATAATGCTCGGGGTCCCCGGCCTGGCTGAACTTGATGTTGTAGACTGCAGGGAAGCGTTCCTTGAGCCTTTCAACTGGAGTCAAATGCACAATACAGTGTAGAGTCACTGGAGGCATAATGTGAATGAACAAACTAACATTGAGTCAGCCAACATCCCACTTAAACTTGTGGATCCAACATACCTGACAACCTTGTCCATACTGTGGAAGACCATCGAATTACGCCACATGGCAATAGCAGCAGCATTATTTCCAAAAGTCAGACAGAAAGTGCTGATGAACAGTCGTTTCGAGTTGGGGAAGACCCAAATGCTCAACATGCAGAGCAAGTTGACAAAGTAGCAGAGATCAGCCAAGAAGTAGTGATAACCCTTGGCGTGGTAGGTGAAATATCGAATAGGCATGAAGTACAGCAGCTGAGCACTGAACCAGATGTGGAAGTACTCCGGGCAAGCACCGATCAGATAACCGCTGATGAAAATATTGAGAACACCGGCAATGAAAGATGCTTTCTCGCGGAGGGTCACAGTGGCCGTTTTACTCCACTGCTTACCCAGCCGCTCGACACCCTGTTTCATCCTGGCACGGTATTTCTCCAACTTCTCATCGGCGGTCGGGGCTCGGCGTTTCCACTCCCCCACAACACGATCTTTGGCGTTCAACGACGACGACTTGAGCTTCTCGCGTTGCTTGCGCACCTTGTCTTTCTGCATGGCGATAGTCTGCTGCCACTTCTCCAGGCGCTGCGAGAGCTGAATATTGTCCAACAAATCGAAGATGGTCAACTTGTCCAGCGGTGGGAAAGTCTCCCAGTCCTCCTGGTATGAGCTGCTGTTGGAGAAGGATCCGTTGCGCGATAGTCTGCCCGGAGAAGCAGGAGGCGAGTAGAAGTCATCGTTATCAGCGAAATCATCGGCAGGGAACGGCGCATCGATCTCCTCCAGGCCCGGGGTGGAAGCAAGTGACTCTGGCATGGCTGGATCAGACTTTCTTCGAGCGCTAGTTTCCATCAAAAACTGTTGTTGGAAAAAGAATATCGTCGGACCGTCCCTGTGATTGGGATATGGTCGACTGAGAAAACGGTTGAATGTTAGCATCCCCATTGTGAACACGAGAGCAAGTATGTGGAAGACCGGTGCAAGCGCTCAGCAGACACCGGCCTTATTTAGACATGAGGGGCAAAGGAATAGATGGCGACCCTACCTTATCGGCGATCACGCCCTGGGCGGATTCACGAGGCAAAGATGGGAAACTGTGGTTGGTGATCCAGAGAATAAACAAATGCAAATCCCTGGCGCATGACACGAAAACGGCTATAATGAGAAGCTACAGAGAGTCAAACGGTGCAAAAGGGGCATGAATAAGGGAAGAGATGAGCCAGCGAGAATATGAGGAATTGACGTGTGCTTGCGATGTGGCTGGTGGTTGGTTGGGGGAGCTGCGCTGGGGGATCGCCATTTCCGCCCAATAGGAGGGCGGAGTAATGGCAGGTGGTGTTTGGCCTGAGGCAGCACTCTATACTATATAGTTACAATTACTATAACTTAAGTTTTGGAACTATGAGTCAAGTTACTAGTCCACTTACTAGAAATTATATTTGTACACTTCCATTCTCTCATAATCATGGCACATTTTCCCAGACTTCTCGTGTATCAAAGTTAGGCCACCTAGATCCCATCCCATAGAAGAAAATTATCGTCAATAGAAAGCCTGCCTTGATCCCAATGCTCAAAAACTCCATGCTTGAACTCATCCAAAATAAATTAAAAGAATAGAAAGGAAAAAGAATGACCAAGCAATCCTAGTATCCATACTGCGACACAGGACTGGCATGTGGCCAGAATCCCTGGCCCTTGTCAGGTATGAAAGGCTGCCCGTAGTAACCAGACATATAGGATGGGTCATGCATTGGCTTTGGGACAGTTGGCGACTCTGGAGGAATGACATGTACCGTTGGGGGAGGCATACCCAACGGGAACGAGCCAAAGCCGCCAGATGTTGGGCTGTGTGGGCCACTTGACTCACTGGTTGTGGGTGACAAGGGCAAGATATGCGGGTGAGACTGGAGCTTGGACTCGTCCTCGTCCAGGGTGGGGATGCTTTCATCCTTTACATCGTTCATGTCATGGTCTTGTTTGATTGCGGATGATGGCACCGGTGCGGGTTTTGTGCGCGATGAGGTTTCATCGGTGTCATGGTAGATTGCTTCAGGGAGATGCGTGTGGGTGATCTGGATCAGAGTACTGGCATCTATATTGAGGGACCAGTTAGTCACTGTACACATGACTCATACTTGGCTATATTGATACATACCGATTTCGCCGTCCAGGAATTGTTCTTCCATTTGTCGGACGAAGTAGATCTCATCAAGGACCTGAAGTTTGTTGGCGGGTGTGATCTGGCGTCTGACATCCTGACCAGCGTCACGCAATTTCTCAGCAGTGACCCCGTGGCTGTCCTTCAGCTCACAGAGGATGTGAACCAGGAGTCGCAGGCGGTCTGTAGTCAAGTCAGATAACCTATTCATGTGTAACTCAGCTGCTAGCTTACCATTCTTGAGTAAATGATCAGGCTCCTTGTGCAAGACACCTGCTGGCCACCACCCCGGTTTCGTATACTCCGGGTCCACACGCTGCGAGACACCGGCGATGACCCTGCGTCCATTGTACGGGAAGTGAACCTGCTTCCTCGGTTCCACAAGTTTGATATAAGACTTTGCGATAGCGCGACAGTTGAGTTGCTGGAAATCTTCAAATGCCTTCTCATAGTATCGTCGTAGTAGAGCACGGTTTCCCACTCTAAGGACGGTTCGCGCAGGTGGGGGTGCCGTTGATGGCGGTGGAGAAAGAGACTTGGAACGAGACTTGACAATGCCAGCCGGGTTGGGCCTACGCTTTTTGCTTCGGCTGTTTGGCGTTTGCCATTCAAATGGGATCTTCTCTATTGGCCCTGTCTGGCTGGTTTGGACCCAGTTGGGAGATGACTGCACGTCCCAGACTCCGTAGGGTGCTTGGTTGGCTTGGTCTGGACAGCTTCGGTCAACCTTGCTGTTTTTTATAGATTGTCCCTCGAGGTTCTGACTCACCGGTTGTGAAGCCGGGACCGGCCTGCGTCCCTGGGCAGGTCATTTCAAGGAATCGGTCTGTGACATCGGGTGTGAAGATGGCTCCTCCACATCCGGCCATTGAAGCAGAAGTTTGTAGTCGATATTCTCCATTGTGGTCGATATAGATCATAGCAAAGTGTGGGTGAGAAAAATCGGGGTTGGGGGGCTGCTTAGAAGTGATCGACTAGTCAACCATTAGCCATGAACTTGATATATAGCATTCACAGTCTATTACCATGTTCATGGATTGGTGTGGAACACAGGTATCAGAATGTCTTCGATCAAGTTCCCCCGGGAACGGATAGGCACGAGTTGTATCCATATTGAAAGGGAGTTGCGATTGTTGTATAAAGGCTTCGATTCAATAATGTATGGATCAAACCCCGCTACACATGCTCGACTCAGCAAGGAGGTTGCGAGAAAATACAAGATGAGGTCGGGGAGCAACCACACTCTGTACTTAATAGAAAAAGATCGAACCCCACTCTCGACAGGGGTGGACACGGATTTCCAATGGATATTGTATCCGATAACGCTCAGGGGAAGGGTCCAGGCGATCTAGATATACACTAATACATGATCTGCTCGACTTCCGACGCCAAACTTTCCAGTCTCCACTCGATATCGGTGTCCTCTGAGAGTACGAATCGGCTTCGGATGCTAATGCAAGGAAAAAGAAATAGCTGCAAAGCTGCGTGTGGCGATAAGGCAGCTTCCGTGTCACTTAGGGCCGAGTCCGCTCCGCGCATTGACATTCCTTAGGGCTGTGATCCATGGTAGGACATCCGATTTGATTCGTGCTTCCATGGTTCGGGGGATCCGAGAACAACCTTTTGACGTCTCAACTTCTAATTTTCTATAGATCGTCCCGAGGCGTCTCCACTAATCAGCTTAGTCTCCGGGCTACTACGATCGGCTAGGGCAGCAATCGGTGTATCCATCGTTTCTATCCTGAAAGACCTGACAGTAGCCAAAATCTGTGCCTGATCGAGCGATGGGCCAATCAATACGGGCACACAGGGATAGGTTCAGTCTGACCGCAGGATCGCCGATCGCTTGGCCCGCATCAGCCACTCCAGGTGATTAAAAAGCTCAGCGGGTGCCCTCGACGCCTCTGAGATCATCGTATGCAAGTCAAGGGAGAAGGCCCCAAAGAGAGGCTGACGGGCCACTGACTAACGCAGGCCTAGGCGGATCTTGTGGACAGGCTCCAGCAATGAATACTTACGTTGCGCGTCGGCGTCAGCCCACAAGAGTCTGATGGATGAAGCATTTGTCTGGCTTCATGCAGCCCAAAGCCCATAAAGTATTCTTTTCTTTTTCAGTCCCTCTTACCCAGGCATAGTAGTGTTGATGTACATGGCCACTAAGTTTATCCCCACCGGCAGCTCCACGAAGACCAATACGACTGTCTGGTCTGTGCGGTTGCTTCCAACCTAGTCTGAAAAGGGCCTGAAGAGTGAATCTTTTTCTGATCTCTGTCCAGGGCCTCTGAGGGTCCAGCATGCGTATTGGACGGCTCCAACTTCCGTGATAAGGTCGTCGACGCGACTATCGACCATCAAATCTTGAGCTTATTTCCAACACACGCGGAACCCAACTCTTCACTCCCGGTATGCGGGTTCTAAATCCGATGTAAGTCGGAATGGGTCTGGCTGTTCGTGTTCGTTTTCTTTTTTTCTACCAGGACTTTGTCGGCAGTTCGCTCCATCTCCCTATTTTTCCAGTATTATTTGTCTATTAGCTCGAGGCGTGGTCACGCTAGCATGGTCTTCCCCAGGAGTGCTCAATCAATATTCCAAATTTTCTATTACTCTTCTGCGGCATCGTGCAGGTGCGGACGTGGCAGCCCGGAGCTAGAGTCAACCCATTTGAACTGATTGTCGCTTGAATCGACAAAGGGATATCCAAAGTTAATTGGTGTCCACCATTAGGGTTAGTTCCTCGCTCCCGGATCGACAGTGTAACAGTTCTGGGGATTGCGGATCTCTGACTCAGAACTGATCGTCGGTTTGCACAAGAAATAATGTTCCTCCTGGTTTCGACGCGTTGTGCCTCTTGAGCATGCTCTGTATACCCAACATTTCACAGTGGTGATTACAGTAGTTGGAGACGCCACCAGCATGTCGACCTATGGGGCCAAACGCCACCTGTAGCAAAGACCCAATCTAGTCTTTGGTTGTTGTACTTGTCCCCCGTCTCTTGATTCCATACTGTGGTTTTTTGCTTCTTTGTCTCCTATCACGCAGCCACTCTTGCTGTCGGGGCTAGTCCGAGCAAAAACGGAAAAATTAATCTACTTCCTATGATTTGATACTACCGTGCGATATGCTCCATAGTCTCGCCTTCAGATTGCTAATGTGAGATAATGAGATTAAGAACAATTCTCCCCACTATAGCTGCCTGCATTAGAGGGTCAGACCTTGGGCGTTTATACGTTTTACCGGTCAGCCTGACGGCCTGTTGCCTATGTCTTCTGACATCCGGAAGCTATTGGGCAGTTCGTATTGACCACCCTCATCAGGCAGCCTCATTCTTGGCACAAGAAAAACAGACAAATATCAGAAGAAGTAACAGAAGCAAAAGCAAAACAAAGCATAACAACAGCAACGCTAGTTCCACGCAGTCAATAACACGGCCTACATTGCAGTACATTGAAGCAAAGCAACACCATTATGTACAAACAGTACTATTGTCTGAGCCGCATGGGCCTCAAATTTAGGCCAAAGAAGCAGCCAAAATCAAGGAACAAAGGACGCTCCACAGTAAGTGGCGCGCAAAAGGCCATGCGTCCCTTGCGTTTGGAGTGTGGGGCGGAGCACAACACTTGGGCACCCAACGGAAGACTTGATCAATCGCGGGATCTGGAGAAGCAAAGACCCCCCAGTTTTAGGTCTGCAGTAACAAATCACGGCCTGTGATTTTCTACTGTTACCAGATATGTATTGTTGCACAGCACATCAACGCATCCCGCCTTTCTGTCAGGGATGACCTTCCAAGGAACCCCGGGGTCTCGTTGTTTGGTCAATTAGAGACTGACTGCACTATGTGCTTGACCGCGGATAGAGCCTTCCGGGCCCCATTTTTCTGACATTTCGTTACTATTGCAAGCTCGGTACATATGGTGGGATCCTAGCACCAGGATAGCAGTGCAGGAGGCGTGCATGGTTGGAACTCTGACTTCTGGCTGGGGAAATGGTGTCAAAGCTTCGGGCTTGTGGATCTGATGTTGATATGGGCTACGTCCGGGGTTCGCGGTTGGTAGCGGTGACTATCTAGGCCTGAAATGCACATGGTGACTGTTGTTCTTCTCACCGTAACTGCAATGATGTCGGGGTTTGGAAGCCGTACAAGGGACAGGGTAGTAGTGTATATTGTTTAATCTATCGTAGGCTTCCACTTGTCTCGTTCTTGCTTGCCTCGGCCCTATTTGCTGTGTCTTGGTGAAGCGCTAGCTCAGATATTGCCACTTTCAAGGATAGTCCTTTAATCTCAGATCCCGATCTCGATCTCGAACATTGAGCTTGGAGATACGGAACCAGATCCCAAATTTAGAACTCAATCTTCGTTCCGATCTCTGAACGTATATGTAAGACGGCCGAGTCAAGCCTAGGCAATAGTGGAGCTATTCTGACGCGCTTGGGGGGTTTTCTCCGCCAGGACTGACGAATCCCTTGATCCACCTACAGACTGATCATCGCACCACTGGAATAAGGGACTTCAATCTCAATCATCCCTTTCTTGCTCACGGACAGCGATTCACCAATCGTGACATTGGACTGCCGCACAGGCTCCCCGCCCTGGAGTTCATAGTTATATGACCAACCGTCCCAGGTGATGCCTGTAATGGAGTCGGTGCCATTTGCCATCAACCGTTGGACGGATAGCGACTTTGCCGAGGTTGCAGGGAGCTGGAAAGTGTACTTTGCCACGGGTCGCTGCGTCGAGGCTGAAGGCGAATCCGATAGCGAATCCGAGTCCGAGTTCGTAGTTGTGTAGTTGTATTCTTGCAGATTGACCACTGCAATTCTGGCCAGGTTACCGTTGATATATGCCGCATAAGCAGCCTCTGTCTCTTCCGATAAGGGGAGATTGACAACCTGGACATTGTCGCTGTCCTTGTTGCTTCTCAGCATTGCGGCGACCATTGCGTTGCCGTAGTAAGGTGCCTTGGTTCCAATGGTTGTCTTGTTGGTTTGGACAGGCTGCCAGGATGCATAGCGATAGTCTGTGCCCTGGTGCATATGTGTTCGCTGGATGCTTTGTGACGCGCAATAGAGATTGAAGTCCACACCCCAGAGTGCTGCGCCGAATGAGTTGGATAGTCCCGGTTTGCCTTGATGGTAGAGCGAATTGGTCTCGCCAAGAATATAGGGGATATTCTTGGTCAGGCCTTGTGAGTTGAGCACTTGGGAAAGATTGGCATGCTGGTTGACGCTGTGTGCAGTCGAAGTGTGGTTCATGAGGGTGTGTCGGAGGGTGACACCTGGTTGATCTGCACCACCGATGTAGCTGGATGATTGTTAGTATCACACAACTGGACATCACCCACTACATGACCAGGGAGGTGGTTATACTTGTGCATGGAGTTCAACCCAATATTGTGATCTGTATCAAGTCCATTTTGCCAAGTCTTAAGCGGATCCAAACTGTTCGTCAGTCCTGCAAATGACGGCGCAAGATACTTGTACTCGGCATCTTTTGCCATCTCAGGGCAACTCTTCTTGAGCTGACGCTTGACAATTTGCGCCTTAGCCAGCCACTCGGTCACATAGTCACTCTCTATCCAACTCGTAGGTCGTACACTGTTCGGTGTAGTTGTCTTGAAAAGATCTGGCTCATTTCCGATCTCCCAGTAGGCCAGTTTGCCGTCTTTCAGGGCTTTACATGCCAGTGGTACGGTAGCAATGAGATTATCTATGCCCACAGTGCCATTTTCGCCCATGTTGAAGCCGTGACTAAATTTGACGCCCGGCCAGGTCGAGTATGACTCGAAGTATGAGGGTCCATATGAGATGATAGATGGATAATCTTCAGACACAGCTGGGACGTATGTTCCCTGGATACCTGTTTTCAGGTCTGGATCGTACAAGGCCAGATCCCTGTAATGATGTTAATGGTGGTCATTTCTTTGTCTCTGGTAACGTACTGGGTGTTTCCACCAACACGAATATGCGGCTTTCTACCTTGGAGCTTACCAAGATTGTCGAGCAGATTCTTGGAGAACTGATTTGGTAGGGAAGAGTTGCCAGCAAAATCGGGGAAAGAAGAGAATTCAATCGAAAATGCTACAAATGGATTCAAGATGGCTGTTCCTGCTGTTTGAGGGACTTTTTCACTAACAGGAATAGCAGATGATGCATCTCGCTCAACATTTGCTGGTATTGCCACCACGACGGTGGCTCCTAGGAGCAAAGGGATAAGCATGGTACTGTAGTATAGATGAGCTGCCGATAGTTTGAGGTAATTGCTTATGCTATGAGCAACTTCTGTCTTTTGAGCTTCCTAAGAATCCTGACAAAGGTCATGCTTTGGGGGATATATATACCGACACCTGTAGGGTACTGGATCTGACTCTTCAATTGCCGCTTGGCGACAGGCTTAATACTTTGCAGCGGGACATGCCGACTTGAAGACACGCCATTGGAGTATAATTTGCCTAAATCACGGTTATATGACAATTTCTCCGGATTGTCAATGCGGGGGTTGCATCTGAAGTTGTGGAGAGCCGATCGTTGCACTAGCAGCGTCAGGGGTCGGCAATTGAATATCAGTTATGGATGTGATCGTCGAATATAAGTAAATTCGTGGTCAGTGGAAAATCTTGAGTTTCGAAGTTTGTATAATTAGGCGCGGAAGGTAAGACTGGCCGAGACCTCGAGTTGAACATCGCCAGACTGGAGCCCACAAATATCCGAGTTTTACTTGCATATAAACCAACCAGTTATTCTTTTTTTATTAGTGCTCTTAAAGTCACACTGTAATCTTGACGCCGAGATAAAGCTATAATTACGGTGTCCCTGGCGTTGTTCTTAGAAACTCTACCGATCCAACAATCTATATCGTTCTGGTTTTAGGACTATGGAACTATTGGAAATATTTGATGATTTTCTACACATCATCCTCAGATGTGCGGATGATTCTTTCCTGTGTTTCATGATATGCAATATTGTATCGTCCACTGGTATTCCGCAAAACCCGGGTTCATACCCTTGACTTGAAACAGCGGTGCTACAACAGGCCTCATAAGCCCTCATGACACCCTAACATGATCAACACACCCTTTTTGAACAAATAAAAACCGAGGGACTTAAGTAAGGAGGAACAAAGATGTCAAAATGGTGAAAAATAGAGACGCTAGAGTAAGGTAAAAACAATACATGAAACAGTATACTCGCGTGAAAGATATCGCGTGCAAAGCATTGCTTTATCACTGGCACTGTATACAGCCTTGTGATCACTATATATACCCAATATTCAAGGACAGGAGCTGACTTGGAACTATAAATACACTGGTATCCTAGTACAAAGCTCATGCTATTACTTAACAGGGAGTTAGGACAAACAAAATGTGAAGTTGTGTACGAACAAATTTTCACTTTCACTTGACGGCCACCCTTTTTCTAAAGGATCTCAACATCAGTCACAATCAAAGAGGTTTCTATCCAACATTTCATGATCACCACCCATCTCACTTGCTCTCATCACCTCACCCACCCATGGCAAACGCCGTTTGCCATTTTTGTATTTTAATTGCTTAGCTTCTCAAGCATCATCTTCCCTCCTTCATCATACTTCAGTCCTTCGACAACTCTCTTGCCTACATCACAGCTCGAGCTCCAACATCTAGGTAAGTTCTATACTCCATCCTGTTCTTTGGCTCATTCGCTCTGTACATTCACAAATTCAAACGCATCTGAGCTTCTTTTACATCTTCTCACGTTCTTTCTTTTCACTCAATTACTTATCTCCTTCTTCCATCCATCCACCATCTTTCTTTTTCATCATTCCACCTCTTTGCACGGTACCAGATACTCACATTATCTATCAGTATCACAGCAAAGATGGCACAGACCTATCTCTCCAACCACCACATGGAGAGGTTCATCTCTGAGTTTGAGGAGAACCTCACTCATAAGAGCCTGGAGCTCGTGGTAGCCGCTCTGCTTTGTTACGCATTTGACTCAGATGAAAAGTGGGCGATGAACTACAAGGCTGCCACCAACGGTGGCGGATCGTACTACTTTGCCATGCAGCTGGATGGTGGTCAGAAGATTCTTCACACCATCATCAAGATCGTCTCCACCGATGAGCCCATCTCCGAGGACTGGGATACCACTCTCGCTCCTCTTGCGGCTGCTCCTCTTCCCAATCAGCGTTGCTGGGCCTTGCTCTTTCCAGATCCCTGATCAGTCCCCTCTGCCTCTCAGTGATGATTTCCTCCAGCTCCAGGCTAAGGCTTTGGCAATCAAAACTGCCCAGGCCAAACCTGCTGATGACAAGATTCCAGACATTCAGTATGAGCGTAAGGAGACTCCGTTTGAGACTCAACCTATGAGCAGTGCTCCTGCGGGTGTCAAGCCCGCTGCCCTGGTCGTGAAAACCAACACTCATTCCCAGGCCATGCCCAAAGTCCGCACTGCCCGGCCTATTGCTCAGTCTACCGCTCAGCCTACCGTCAAGCCTTCTGCCAGCCCTGCCCTGAAGCCTACACCGAGCCCAGCGGTCAAGCCTGCTGCTGGTCCCGCTTTCGATCCTGGCGCCTCCTCAACCTTCAAGCTTGCCGTAAGTCCTGCCAACTATGCAGCCTTCAAAGCTACTGCCCATTCTGCTCTCAAGCCTGGTGCTCCCGACTTCAAGCCAGCTACCATATCTCCCCTCAAACCCGGTACTCCCACATTCCAACCCAACGCCTGTGGAGGGCCTAAGAACGGCTCGTTTAAGGCTAATTCTCCTCCCGCCACAAAGACCAGCATTCAGCCCGCTCTCAATCCCGCTGCCAAGACTACAGTCAATCCCGCTATGAAGCTCAACATTCAGCCCAAGGCCCAAGCTGCTGCGACCCAAACTCCCGATGTTGATCTCATGAGCTTTGCGGACTTGGACGTTGGTACCCAGACCAAGATCAACGGTCGTGTAGCTCAGCGCCCAGGATGATCTAATGATCACGCCCAGACGAACTTCATGGCTATTTTACTATGCTCGTATATTGAACTCGCCGTGGGAATTTCTTTTCTTTTCTTTTCTTTTCTTTTACACTGAATGCGACTTACAACGACGAGAAAACGGCAAACACCAAAAAAGGTCGAGTTATGAACTACGACGCCGTTCCTGAAGGAGCATTTGCTTTTGATATGTTGAGGAACATAGGGAGGAGTAAGGAAGTGGGTCTCGGATTTGTTTTCTGCGAGTCGTCTTGATTCTTTTTGATGCTCTTGGGGTTCTGGGATGTTCCAGGGGAGTTCTCTTTCGGGTTATGGGCGGTTTCTAGGCGAACATAGTTCAATGCAGTCCACGGCATGTCTATGGAAATTAAAACATAAACTAGATCATATCAACATCCATTAAGGTAGTATAGAAAGTCTAATTATCAATGCGACAGCGGCATAGGGGTGATTTGCATGATTGAATACCGATCGACCGATATCATCAGGACGACAAGGAGCAACGCCTTGATGAGAAGTGACTGGCCCAAGGCTAGCGGAGATAGAGTACAAGCAAGGAAATCGATGTAAACAAAAATGACAATACGGAACTGGTATCAATTAACTGTCTTGTCGATAGAAAGAAATGCCAGGCTAGCACTTCCAAATTTTCAGCAATCGACTCCGGTAGAAACAAGCAAACACTCCAGCTAGACATAATAATCTACAAAATGAAGAAAAGGAAATAGCAAAGCAAAGGGTTATCACATAATCCGCATATATCCTACCTAGAGGACTTAGGTATACTTCCGAAGCTGCAAAGCATGATTGTCAGTATGATCGAAGAATATGTGCACGGTAGTAAACTCACATCAAGGGTCAACGATTTGCTGCTGTTCTCAACCTGGTCCCTGAAGATACCGACGAGGGCCTCACTGTTCTGGAACAGACCTGTCTTCAAACTGATCACGATGAATTGCATGCCAGGTGCAGCGTGGTCATGGATATAGTTGGCAATCCGGGCAACGTTGGTATTGTCGAGGGCTGCGTCAACCTCGTCTAGTACGAAGAAGGGAGATGGCTGGTACGAGTGGATAGCGAACAGCAGAGCGAGCGCGGCCATGGTCTTTTCGCCACCGGAAAGGTGTTCCATGTCTCGGAAACGCTTGAGGGGAGGCATGGCGTGGTACTTGATGCCGTCAAGGTAGGGTTCATCAGAATCCTCAATATCCAGGTACCTAATGAATTGTTAGTCGAAATACACAGCTAGCAGGCGGGGAAAGACTTACGCTTGTCCACCTAACGGATAGTTGGCACTGCGTGTGAGTTCACGGTAGATCGGGCCGATCTGCTCGGAAATATGCGCAAAGGCCTTGTTGAAGAGATCGGAACGCTGTTTCATCACGGACTCAAACTCATCCTTGGCTTTGCGTGCAGACTTCCGTGCATCTTCAAAGTCCTTCTCAGTGCTTCGAAGCTTGTTCTCGACGCTCTCAAGACGCTCCATGGCACGGGCATTGGGTGCCATCTTGTCTAAGTCACTGTTGAGAACACGAACCTTCTCAAGCAGTTCATCCTCGAGCTTGTCATCGGCCTCCTAAGAGACAGTTAGCATCAGAAATTAACAATGTTTGATTTGCGCATACCTCTTTAAGACTCTCTCCAAGAGACTCGAAGTCAACCTCAATGCCATAGTCGTGCACCACAGGAGCATCTTCCAGTCCTTCACCCTCATCCAGATCCATGGCATCGGGGTCAGCAGCTTGCACAAGATCATCAATAGGAAGCTTGTCAAGCGCGTTTGAAGAGTCGGTCAAGGGAATGTCGATATCCTCAAGCTTGCAGCGACGCAGAAGAGCATAACGACTAGAAGAGTTCCTCTGGATCTCGGCTTCAAGTGCGTTGACATTCTTCAATGCTGCCTCAACGTGCTTGCTACGCTTCTGAAGTTCGCGCCTCTGCTCGTTCAATTTCTCGGCGGATTGCGCATAGAGGTTCTTCTGCTCCTCGAGGGCCTCGCGGAGAAGTTCAAGTTCAGCATTGAACTCATCGAGCTGATTGCGGATTTCCTCCTGTTGACTTTGCAGCTCTTCAATGAGACTCTGATCACGCTCGTACTGGGCCTTCAGGCCATTGATACGGTCCTCTGTTGCCTGAATACGCTGCTTCTCGAAGCTGAGCTGGTTCTCAATACGACTCTTTTGCGTGGTAAATTCCAGCTTCTTCTGCGCAGCCTCTTCCTGCAGAGAGCCTTGTTGGGCCTCGTATTCTCGGATATCATCGTATCCTAGACGCTTGCAGAACTTGCGGTAGATCTCATCCTCGACCGTAATGACGGAGGCCTGTGACGTCTCGATAGTCTCATCCAGCTCGTCAAGATTCTCCTTGCGCTCTGCATACTTGGGGCGCAGGTCCTCCATCTGGCTCTTGGTGAAATCAAGCTGGCTGCGCTTGCTCTCAATGTTCCTCTCAAGACTCTTCAACTCCTCGCGGGAATAGGAAAGACGCTGCTCGAGGCCGACAAGCTCTCCCTGCAGGGTTTCTTCCTCCGAGCCTCGGCGGTGACTCTTGGGGAGATTGCCGAGATCGTTCATCAGCTTCTCCTTGAGTTTATACAAGTTCTCCACCTCGGAATCCTCCCAGCGCTTGGAATTTTGCTGTGGACCACGTCCACCAGTCATGAGACCACCCTTGTGAATAACGGTGCCGTCCAGGGTGACCGCCTTAGCATCGACATTTTTTTCGTAGCAGAGATACTTCGCTGTCGCCAAGTCATCGCAAACAATGGAGTTTCCACAGGCATAAACAATCGCACGGGAAACCGATTCATCGTAGTCGACAGTCTCAATCGCAGGACGCATACCTCGGTGCATGCCCTTCAGGTTGGAGTTGAATGCCTTGACTTGAATAGTCTCAAGTGGGATGAAAGTAGCCTGTCCTGCGCGTTGGTCACGCAGGTGCTGGATGCACTCTTTTGCGGTCCTTTCGTTATCAACAACGATGGCATCGAAGTGTCGACCCAGCACAGTGCTGACAGCATCGGAATACTTCTTCTGCTTTGGTCGGCAGAGATCGCTGACACGGCCCTTGACACCGGGGAAGATGCGCTTCAGAGTAGAGATTAATTCCTTGGCCCGGATCTCGCGCTCGGTCTGCTTCTTGCCATCATCGGCTTCGAGCAGTTTCCTCAGTACGACCTGGAGCTTTTCCTCCAACTCGGTTCGCATTTGCGAAACCTTCAACCGTTCTGAGGTCAATGCGTTCAGCTCCTTCTTCTTGCGGTCAATGTCCTTGGAGGTCGTCTTGATGGTATCGTTGAGAGAAGTCTTGCGCTCGCCCATTTTCTGCGCCTCAGATTCAAAGGTCTTCAGCTGCCACTCGGTGTTTTCGAACTTGCCCTTCAGACTGTTGACAGCTTCGGCTTCCGTCTTTCGTTGGCGGCGGAGGTTGTCGAGGTTCAATGAATCCGCAGATGAACGTCGGTTAACCTCTTCTCTAAGCTTGTGATATTCCTGTTGATCGGCTTCGCTCAATTGGCCGCCCTTCTTGCTCATCGTCTTCTGCCACTCTGCTTCCCATTGAGCCTGGGCCTTTTCAACAACTTTGAGGTCCTTCTCAAGGTTCTTGCCGTTGTTGGATTGGGATGTGCGCTCCTTGCCGATTTCTTCAATCTTCGAAGAGTATCTTTCGACCTTCTTTTGGGTGATATCGATCTTCTCATCAACAGGAACGAGCGAATTGTTGAGCTCTTCAATCTCGCGCTCCTTCTTGGTGATGTTTTTCTCGGCCTTTCCGACGTCCCTACCAACTCGAGCATGGTCCTTTTTGGCGTCTTCGACGTTCTTTTCGTACTTCTCGACACCGCGGCGATATTCCTTGAGCTCATCCTGGTATTTCTGGATATCAGCGCTAGAATCATCAATCAAGCGCTGGAAGTGGAACAGCTTCCATAGGATGTGAGTGATAATAGCCTGGTCACGTTCCTCGGCCTTTTTGGCATAGTTCTCAGCTTCGCGCTTCTGCTCCTGGTATTGCTTGACCTCGGAGTTGATGCCTCGTCGACGATTGAGCTGAACGGTCTGCTGCTCTGCGGCTTCCTCCGCCTCGGCCTTGAATTTCTCGTAGTCGGCCTTGTGCTCCAAACTGCCAGAGATCTGCTCAATCAGCCGTGTAAGGTCACGAGGAGACTGAGATGCAATCGCTTCAACATCCCCTTGGAAAACCAGGAAGTTGCGCGCCTTGATCAAGATGTTTTCTTCCTCGAGAGCCTCGTTGTATTGCTGGGCGGATACGGTCCGGTTGTTAATACGGTATTCGCTGACACCTTGGCTGGTGATAGATCGGCGCCATTGCTGCTCCTCGCCCGCATCATCTTCGTAGACAGCCATGACCCAAGCGGTCTTCGGGTCTTTGACCGCAGCGTCCTGGGTGGAATCCATGTTGTCTGGGTCCTCCTCTTGCTCGACATCCTCGCCTTCCGCTGCAGGCTCTCCATCGACTTTGGATGTGCGCAGGACACGCCCGCGGTAAACGAGATCGCGGAGGTTGGTTGATCGCAAATGGGACGACTTAATTCCTAGAACGAACGAGATGGCATCCATCCTAGTGCGCGTCAGCGCGCGTTTCTTCGATTAAGGCCGAAGAATACTCACGAGTTGGACTTTCCAGACCCGTTCGGTCCGATAATTGACGTAAAGTATGCATCTCCGAATAGGAGCACATGGTGTCCCTTGTAGGACTTGAAGTCTGACAAAGTTAGTAAATGCTCGCGGCGCACTTCTGTGTTACGTACTGAAAAGCTCCAAGCGAATGAGTTTTCCCATCTTGCCGGCTGCTTCCCTGAGGGAGCCACGCAGTGAGAAATTCAAGCAGAGCTCTGAGATTGTTAGTGAGAGATTGGCGTGTGGGCAAAGATGGTTGTGAGGGGCGCGATAACGGGGAGACCGCGTCCATCGACGCGCCGTAGCATCACGTGGCTCACAACTTTATTTGCGGCACTTCTAGTACCACTCAGCGAGTACAATATGTGGTACTAGGACTTCGTTGGCCGTATAATATTTCTGTTTTATATCTTGTTTACTAGTGGTACAAATGCTGCGCTGTTGCCCAACAGAAAGGACCAAAATGATGTACAAAATGGATATCAAAGCCGTGGTCCTTGATATCATGACAAGGTAATGTCCGGCAACTAGATCATTGTTGCAATGGCATCTTCATGTTCACAATACGGCCAAAGTTCAAGAGCTCATCTGAGACATAGCCATTGGAGTCCACACGGAACTGAGTCTTGCGGCCCGCAACCTGCACGACGATAAAGTCCTCGTTTGTAAAGACCTGACGCAGGGACTGGAAGATCTGCCAGCCCATGTAGCTTATTTTCTTTGCTGGAGACTTGAAGAACTTGATCTCTTCTTGGATCCCACGGCCAAGTCTCACCTTTTCCATCTCGAATCGCTGAGCAGCTTCCGCTGAGACAGTGATCTGGCGCTTAAATAAAATCTCACCGGGGTTCACCTCAACATTGTAGGGCTTTTTGAAAGGTGCCATGCTTGAAACCGTGAAGCGCACACGCATCTGGCCATTGGATTTGACCGCTTTGATGCTTTTGACCAAAGACCCAGTCCGGGCGATGAACACGGTGCCCATGACACTCATCACGACACAAATACCACCGAACAAAGCCTTCTGCCAGTAAGGACGGGGAACCAGAGGATCCCGGAAGACTTCGTTGGAGTTGTAGAGCGAATAGGCGAAACAGAACCCGGCCAACCCGTACGCGGTGAGTTTATATGTGCGGTGAGAAGGAGCCTGGAACAAGACCATCTCTCCATTGTGTAATACCTTCGCTTCCAGCTTTGCTAGAGCGCGAGGGTCTTTATTACCACCGGAGTTGTGTCCGGCGGTCCACGGGGAATCGACTGTCCTGCGGACTCCTTTAGCCGAGTGAGGCGCACTCGAATTGAAGTAACGCCATGGTGAGCTCGAGTTCGTTTGCAAACCTGGCCGAGTTGGTTGTACAAAGCACTGGCGCCATAGTACGCGGAAGGTTGGTGGTCTGACCGACATCACTGTGTTGAGTCTATGCATAACGTTAGCAAAGCCATAGCAGCAACGCAGCGCCCAGCCAATCGAGTATGCCCCAATACGAAAAGAAAATCAAGTAACCTACCAAGACAAGAATCAATTGACCGTTGTTCTCCTCGGAAAGCCCCGACTCGTCGAAAGCAGCCGCAGCGGCAGAAAAATGTTCCCGTCCCGGCCGCCGGTGAAGCTCCCAACGCCCTCAACACCTCCGGCCTGCAATCGCTTTTGTGACCAAACACTCAAACTCGAACAAATTGAACATTCAGACTTTGCGCGCCTCTCCGTGGTGGTGGGCTCTTGGTAGATCCTGCTCGTTTCGAAAGCTTCCGCGGCGAGTTGCGACACCGGTTGAAGATCTCCATCCGCAATACCTCCACCAAACTTCCAAACCCCTCCAGGTTCACCATACATACAATGGCTGCCCGGATCACAGTCGGCCAGCTTCCGGCCATGTTTGCTCGTCGCCAGCCCAGGGTTTTCAGCATCAGCAAGCGTGAGTTTTCCATACACCGAAGTAATACACATTTCCGCAACAGAAAGCCGCTCTCCATTGAGCTCAATTCCTCGACCGGACTGCTTGCTTTGCAATACCTGAGACGAATTTGAATTAACCACCCTATATAGGCTTCCAATCCACCGCTCCCACAACACAGAACCCCGCCTATCCGCTCTACCCCTCTGTTGCCCAGCTCCTCCGTGAGAAGGGCATCTCCAAGGACGATGTCTCCAAGATCCCAGCATCCGGACCCAAGGGCCGCCTCCTCAAGGGTGACGTCCTCGCCTACCTCGGACAGATCGCCTCCGATTACCCATCAACCCAGGCCGCAAACCTGGCCAAGCTCGGCCACCTCGACCTGAGCAACATCAAGATCGCGCCGGCTCCGGCACCAGCCGCACCAGCCCCGGTGGAGGAGGCGGTCATCGCCGCACCTCCTCCCATGGCCTCGGTCGCCATCTCCATCTCCCTGGCCGCCGTGCTCTCCGCCCAGAAGAAGATTCAAGACAATCTGGGCGTCACAGTCCCTCTGTCCCGCTTCCTGGCCGCAGCCACTGACCTCGCCAACGACGACCTCCCCCGCGTTGGCTCCAGTCGCTCCGCCGATGAGCTCTTCGATGAGCTTCTCGGTGCCGAGCCTATCAACACTTCCCGCGGTGATTACATCCCCGAGCTGAACGCTTTCGAGGCTCCCAAGACCATCTCCCAGTCCAACCCTGTTGAGGAGGATCTGATTGACTTCCTCAGCTCTAAGTCTGTGAAGAAGTCTGCCCCCTCGGCTCCCGTTGAGCGTTTGGCTGAGGCTGCCGCCAATGTCTTCAGCCTGACCGTTCCGGCTGGTGAGGAGGTGCGTGCTAAGGCATTCTTGGAGCGCATCAAGTCTCTTCTCTTGGTCGAGCCTGCGCGTCTGGTTCTATAGATTTTGTTTGTTATTAAATCCCCCCTTTTCGAGCTTTTTCGTTTGTTGTTCGTCACCTGGACCCCTAAAATTGGGCCAGGGCTCATCCATGAATGTATTCAGTGTAGCATAGTTAATCGGATATTGACTGATTGGATCTATTTAGCTTGATAAATAGACATGTGGATGACATCACATTCTTGCCAGGATTGTCCACTTCGTAAGTTGAGAAGGAAGATTATAGGACACTCCAGCCCTTCGCGATATTAATTATACCCGTACGACTCGATAGCTTTTGATGTCAGGAAATCAGGGCGAGCCTTAGTTAGGTCTAAGAGCATATCCCTTTGATCGCATTATATACATCTCGTTCGGGAGTCTAACATACAATACGGGATATACTATGAGCAACTACATCGTACTATCGGATGTAAGTACCAACATGTAAACTTATATACCACATCAAGATTCAGATTTTACACCGAATCATAGAGGATAATGATTCAATTGCAGTTTTCATTTCATTCCTAGCATGGCAAAAATGCACAGCAGGATGGTATGGCTAAAGATCTCTATGAAATTGAAGAGGCGCGAGCCAAAGCCGCATCGCAAAGGAAAAGAAGGGGTCATATCATCATCAAAAGCAAAGAAGAAATTGCAATGAGAAACCCCCAGCGCTACGCAACGCCACAAACCGGCAACAAGATTGAGATTGGAAACACCACAAGCGCCGCCGCTTAAAAGCCACGAGTAAAATAGGTGTCTATGAAAGGGTTCGCCCGAACTCCAAGCCAGCCAGCCAGCCAGTTGGGGAAAACACAATGCCCTGAGGGGAATAAATAGCCAGAGACGAGGCGAACCAAAGAAAAATAGAGAAAAGGAGGGGGGAAGCAATGAAAAAAGTGAAACAGAAATACGCAAAGCGCGTAGTCCGTTTGATTGAGCGCCAGACTTCCCTTCCACCTGCGAAATGCCCGAACCACACCGATGAAAAGATGCAATAAATGCCGACGCGTTGAAGATGAAGATTCAAATCCCCATGACCATACCATGCAATGACATCCCCCTGGGATCAAGTCAAACCCAAAAACCGAAAAAAACTCCTTGTCGAATGCAAGTGAGAGACAAATTAGAGATAAAGTTGCAGAACTAACGGATGGTGCCCCATTCTGCTAGCTTGCTGCCTTCGCGACGAGTGTCTCTTGTAGCCCGTCTGTCGAAGATTTTCCAGAACCTGAGTGTTTCATCACCAGCTCCTGTGACGACGGTCTGACCGTCAGGGCTCATAGCCAGATAAAGAACGCGGAAAGTGTGACCGGTTAGTGAAACGATTTGTTCCATGCGCGGGTATTTCCAGATCACGATTTGATTCTGACTGTAGCCGTGCGTGCTGATGATCTCGTCTGAGTTTTTGGACCAGGAAAGGTTGCAGACTTGGCTTCCAGTGTCGACTTCCTTAATCATTGAACCAGTTTGGGTATTCCAGAACTTGATCGTGCGATCAGCTGTACCGCCACCGGAAGCAAGAAGGTGATGTTGGTGAGGAGACCACGCAATAGCTTTGACTGCAGCGTTGTGGTCGGAGAATCGATACAGAGGCGTCTCATTCAACTTGTCCCAGACCATCAGCTTGTTGTCATTGCCGCCTGATGCCAATTGGCCATCTTCGGTATTCCACTTCAATCCACAAACCTCCTGCTTGTGACCTGCAAGCTTTCGGAGATATTGATCAGGGGAGCGGACATCACGGTGGTAGATGAGACGATCCCGGGAACCTGAGGTGAGGATGTGATCGTTCCAAGCTAAAGCACCAACGCGGTTGGTATGTCCAATCATGGTTCGTAGCCGACGGCAGTGCTCGGCATCCCAGATTTGTACCAAACCTTTACCTGTGCCAATTGCAAGATGTGTCCCCTATTATCCAGGGTTAGCATTCATTATGCATGGGCAAACTATAGCAGCTTTTGCTTACCCTCTGAATCCAGCTTACGCTGGTTACGGTATCGTCTTTCAGCTCGCACAGCCGCGTGACTCGACCGGATTGGGAGTTCCACATGTAAACAGAGTTGGCCAAACCAACACCAAGAACGTTGCTGCTTCCCCAGTCTACTAGGTTCAGGTAAAAGTCATCTTGCAGATCGGGGGCATCCAAGACCTTGTAAGGGACCTTGTTGACGTAGCGGGACTGCTTGCGAGGCGTTTCAAGAATCCGTTGGCTGTCATAACGAATGGGAGAGAGGCTGTATAGTTCTGAGCGGACATTCAGGTTGGGAGCGTGAATACTTCGAGGTGTTTTTGAAGGAGTTGGCTGTCCTGAGCCGGGCCGTGTGGGTCCATAGTTGAAGAGGTTCTTGTGTGGAGTGGTGGGGGTGATGCTAGCGGGAGGTAGATTGACGGCGACATGAGGGGGTGTATGAGAGCGGGTCTTGTCGTTAATCCCATTGCTGAAGCCTAGTAATGGATCTGGGGATGCCGAATGCATATCAGGCTGTGGGACTGTATTTCCAAAGAGCTCGCTGCGCAAAACACGAGAGAACGTCCGATTCGCTTCTTCCGCTGTTGCCTCAAAGTCAGTTCAAAGTACTTGTTCAGAGTATCAATTGATAACGCACTCTTTTGGAAATGTAGCTCCGAGTGAGGGGCGCGTCTCTTAGATTTTGACGGAGTGGAAGGACAGCCATCTTCATGCAGCAGGCTATACGTCGCCTGCAAGTCTTGACCATCACGGTTTGGGATGAATCTAAACTCATGTCAGTTTTCACAGATCCTCACTAATACACCCGTCGCAGGTATCCATATCAGGCAAAGTCAAGCATGACATACCGGTCCCCATACACCCGCTGCCGTTTCCGACACGGACTAGTTGTCGGTGTCCTTTCACGGCGACTCCCAGCATTCTCATAATCCCTAAGCGCCCTCGCCAGAGCGCCAGGATCGACTGGCTCTGCGCCTTCTTGTGCCTGCTGGCGATTCCCCGAATTGTCTGGAAAATACATCGTGCGCTTCGTCGGCATGCTTGGTGGCGTCTTCGACCCAGGCGGTGATGCGATATTTGAGATGTGCGACCGCATCGTTTCCTTGGCTACCGTGCCATTCCTGGCCTTCTCCGAGTTCTGACCTCTGTCTGCCATCTCACTGCCTGTCTCCGCGAGACCCAGAAAGAAAAAGCTGCCGACCAGGACGATGATAACGAGTTCATGCGATGGAAGTAAATTGGTTTTGACAGACAAACGAAGAAGTCGATCACGGCTATTTGAGCGGTGATTCGACTCGCGGTATTGTTGTGATCGAGATGACAATCCAGCAAGTCAGTTGTGAGATTCAGTAAATTGCAATTTGATATACTGTCCTCAGCATGAAAGACGTGAAGCACCCTGTCTCAAACAACAAGGGCATGTGTAGAGCCAAGGGAGTGACGGAGTTGCGCAGGGCGACTCTAGGTCACGCGTCGGGTGCGCTAACCCGATTAGGATGGGATATGGATTGGCCTTTTTTGCTTTCTTTACTCCATACACATCTTTGACAGATCTACATGGATCACTTAGTGGATCCTGGCTCTTTTGATACATTTCTGACAGGGTTCCTGCTGGTTGCCGATATGTTTCCTTTGATCTTGGCTCTTTGTTATGATCACGACTGCACTTTGTTTACTGCACAAGGCAGAAACGCGCCCACAGAAACGCGCAGTTCAACGGGCATTGAAAGTGGGGGAAGTGAGGGACTTGTTGGGGCTTTGACTGACGCGAAACTTGACGAATACGCGCCCTGGCCAGAACGCGACGCGAATAAGCTTGGGCCAGAAGAGCATCACCAATCAATCACACCTGGAAATCAGTTTGGACATCTGTGGGGTTAACGCTAACCTTGAGAATATGATTCGATACAATTAAATCTGTTTATATTGTAATATCGTTGGCTCAGGTGTATAGTTGGCTTTAGTGGTGATATCCGTCACCGCCAAGCGAAAACCTCAACTTCTTTGTATATCCACTGCTATGGTCTTCAGACGGCCTTTGTCTTACATCCTAGGCTCTTCTCGTCGCTACACCACTGCAACAATGGCTTCTAAACAATCTGCTCTGGACTTCTTGTCCTTTGTTAATGCCGCCCCTACCCGTAAGACTACCAGCCAATGACGTGGAATTGCCGCTGATCTGTCTAGCCTTCCATGCCGTTCATGAAGCCAAGGTGCTTCTGGCCAAGGCTGGATTCCAAGAGATCAAGGTGTGTCTATCTTGACAATGGTGTGAAATATGTGTCTTATACATCAATAGGAGAAAGACTCTTGGGCGTCGACCTGCCAACCGGGAGGGAAGTACTACTTGACTCGCAACACCACCACTCTCGTGGCTTTTGCGATCGGCAAGAAATGGCAGGTATGTATCAATCTATCTATATCAACGACTCCGTTGCTCACCATGGATATAGCCGGGTAACTCCATCTCCATGATCGGTGCTCACACCGACTCCCCAGTATTGCGGGTCAAGCCCGTGAGTAAGAAGAGCGGGGAAGGCTTCGTCCAGGTCGGCGTTGAGACCTACGGCGGAGGCATCTGGCACACCTGTATGTCGAGCAAGCCTTCAATGATGATCTCGCTAATTCACTTCCAGGGTTCGATCGTGACCTGGGTGTCGCTGGCCGAGTGATGACCCGTGCCGGGGATGGATCTATCGTGCAGAAGCTGGTCAAGATTGATAAGCCCAGTATGTCAATATTCAACTGAAGTTTGATCCCCGCTAATGTCGTAGTCCTTCGCATCCCGACTCTGGCCATCCACCTGGACCGCCAAGAGACATTTGCTTTCAACAAGGAGACTCAGCTGTTCCCCATTGCTGGCTTGATTGCTGCAGAGCTCAACCGCACTGGCGAGACCAAGGCTGCCGAATCTGACAAGGACGGTGAATTCTCGCCCTTGAAGGCTGTGACCGAGCGTCACCACCCTTACTTTGTTGAGCTTATTGCTGCCGAGGCTGGTGTCAAGCCTGCTGACATTCTGGACTTCGAGATGATCTTGTTTGACACTCACAAGTCCTGCCTTGGTGGCATGCTGGACGAGTTCATCTTCTCTCCCCGTCTGGACAACCTTAACAGCACCTTCTGTGCTACTGTTGGTTTGATTGACTCCGTTGCCGACAAGTCTGCTCTCGAGAACGAAGACGCTATCCGTCTTATCGCCCTCTTCGACCACGAGGAGATTGGCAGCCGCACAGCTCAGGGTGCGGACTCGAACATTCTTCCATCCATCATCCGCCGCCTATCTGTCCTCCCTTCATCATCCCCAAAGGATGCCGACCTGTCGACTGCCTACGAGCAGACTCTGTCCACCTCGTTCCTTGTATCTGCTGACATGGCCCACTCCATCAACCCTAACTACGCAGGCAAGTATGAGCCGGATCACAAGCCTGAGATCAACAAGGGCCCAGTGATCAAGATCAATGCCAACGCCCGCTATGCTACCAACTCCCCTGGCATTGTCCTTTTGGAGGAGATTGCCCGCAAGACTACTAAGGAGTCTGGCGAGCACGTTCCCCTGCAGCTCTTTGTTGTCCGCAACGACTCCAGCTGTGGCAGCACCATTGGCCCCATGCTGTCTGCCGCCCTGGGTGCACGAACCCTGGATTTGGGTAACCCTCAGTTGAGCATGCACAGCATTCGTGAAACCGGCGGTACTCACGATGTCGCACATGCCATCCGTCTCTTCACTGGCTTCTTCAAGCACTACTCAGAGCTGTCGAAGACCATTCTTGTGGATTAAGCCTGTTGTCATTGAATGTAGATCGCCAGCCAATTGAATACACAATAACTCATTTCAACAGGAACATTTAAACACAGGTTAAATATCAAATAAGATATAAGATATGAAGTAAGGAAAGGTACCTTGATAGCTCAAAGCACGTGTTCGGACCGAGGAAACTCCGCCTGACACCCGTCATCTCCAACACCTCCAACATCCCAGCTCACCAACGGGGAGTCTCTACCTCGACTCCTTCACACCGCCTGTTGAATACCGTCCAAGCCCTCATGACCCTCTATGACAGACGTCGACCCCTATCGGGATGCGGAATACATCGCTGACGTGTCCGGCATTACCTATGACGATGCGGAACCCCCCAGGCCAACAGGCACGCTCAGCAGCCAAAACGCCCGCGTAAAGAAAGTCCAGTCGACCGCCAAAACCGCCTTCATTGACCGGTTACTACGCGATCTAGACATATTGATTTATTGTCAGCTCTCCGCGCTGTATTACATGGAGTAAGTCTACCTAAGTCTACCCCAGTCTACCCTAGCCTTGCCTGTCTAGCATGAACCACCCCCTATTTCCTGCGACAAGCTCCTAACATTCACTCCGTTTGTCCAGCTGCTCGATCATATTATTCGCCATACGGGCCATTGTGGAATTGATCTTCTTTACGCCAAAAGCCGCCCCCTTCGAGCCGACGCGCAACCAGCCATATGTCGGCGCCATCATTGCCAGTAATCTCATCTGCATGATCTTCCATGCATTCTTTATCCGACCAGAAGCCGGCGAGGAAACACGCGGCTACCTCCATGGAGGCATATTCATTGATTTCATCGGACAGACCCCCGTCTCTGTATACCGCCTCTTATCATTTGATGTCCTGATCTTCCTACTCGATTTCGTCATGCTGGCTTTGGTCATCGAGAGAGTCAAAATTAATGGATCTCCTACTCCACGCCCAGCAACCAACAACACAAGTACACGTACAGACACAGCCACAGGAACGGAACCAGGTGACGGTCAGACCCAAACCCAGACACAAGACCATGACGCCGAAGAACGTGGGGTGTTACGACCGGATGATGCAGATGATACAGCCACATCAGCCCGTAATAGCCCCGATTCGCAATTGCACAGTAGCATTGAGGAAGAAGTTGATGAAGAACGAACCAATCTTCTAGCGGATCCCAGCGATGCAGCATCTGGAGTCAGCGCTCGGGGCAGTCATCCCATGGATACATACGCCTCTGGCGAGGCTATCATTGTTGAAATGAGCTTCTTTGGAACACTACGAGATCAATGGCGACATAGCAATACGCCAACTCGGCCAACGACAAGTTTCGTCCCGTCTCCGGAGACGGCGACATTCTTACGTCAACGGTTTGGGCTGCAGGTTGGTACTGATGGTCGTATTGAACGAGTCAATCGGTAGATGTACTTGTGGCATTTCTTTTGTGTTCTAGCTCTGGGAGCGGGACTGCATAAGTAGATAGATTCATACATTACAGCGTCCAGTCGATTGCTGTCACCAGAGATGATATAGTGTATGATGTATAGCCTTGCGCCAATATATGTTTTCACGTCATCTTACTTAGTCTGGGCGAGAGCCGTTTGCCATAGATATCGATCTATAGTAAAGATAGAAAAGTGAAGTATGATAGAGCTCAGCGAGGGGACCTTTCCTATATCCGTCCATTGACAGGCCACTTGTTCATTCATGCTGAAGTGTCCGTATAAACATATACTACGCGAGGCAGTGAATATCACCAATTGAACTCTGACACGTACCTGTCCAAGAGAGAGCAGTAAGAAAATGCATAAAACACAGACAATCATAATAAGATATATCTTACAAATCGAACCAACCACATGAAACCCACCCCATAACCACTCAGAACGGCATACCTATCTAAGCAGTAGGAGGCTTATCCTCCTCCCCACTGCCCCCCTTCTGAACCCTTCGATCCAGAATCTCATCAACAATACCCAACTCAAGCGCCTCCTTAGCACCCATAAAGTAATCCCGCTCCATAAGCTTCTCAATCTCATCAAGAGACATCTTCTTCTGACCAGTAAGATGAGTCTGATAGATCTGATTAAGCTGGTGGCGGACACGCAGGATTTCCTTGGCGTGGATGGCGATGTCGGTGGCTTGTCCGAAGTAGCCGCCGGACGGTTGATGGATCATGATCGAGGAGTGCGGGAGACAGTAGCGTTTTCCTGGGTGGCCGCCGCAAAGGAGGAGGGAGCCCATTGATGCTGCTTGCCCGACGCAAATTGTGCTTACTGGTGAGGCTATGTAGGTCATCGTGTCGTAGATTGCTAGGCCTAGGGTTTGTTAATTTGGGTTTGAGTCGGTGATTTGGGTGAGTTGATGAATCCGGGTACGTACCAGCTGTTACAGAGCCGCCTGGAGAGTTGATGTAGAGGTGGATTGGTTTGGATGGGTTGTCGGCTTCGAGGAAGAGGAGTTGGGCGACGATTGATGCTGAGAGGGTTTCGTCGACTTCGCCGTTTAGGCAGATGATGCGCTCCTATAATAAGGAAATGGTAAGTATACTGGGACTGATGAGAATATAGTTGTTTGTGTACGGATTTCATACCTTCATTAGTCGAGAGAAGATATCATCTGCGATGCGCAAGGACGTTAGTTAAGTATTCCTTTGACATCTCAACTTGTCAATGGGGTTGATTGCGCAACATACAAGTGTGCCATCCTCCTCCCTATTTAAAGACATTAGCATTTGCACATTGAGTTGGACGCAGTCAAGGAAAGACATACCACTGTCTCAGTGACGAAAGGCGTGGGTGTCCAGCTCCGCGGGGGTTGGCCCGCAAACGAGGGAACTTGGCTGGAAAAGCATCGCGACAAACTGGTCGCGGGTTTGGCATGAGAAACTGGGGACTGGACAGCCCGTCTTAACTGACGGAGAGAGACTCTTGGAGGCATCTTGAGATGTGCAGTGTGCAAGCTGGAGATGCCGAGTCGGAAGACGGTGAACTGATGCGATAACGATCGGCGCTAAGATAAGGAGCTCCAGTTCGACTGTGAGATCGCAATGTTGAGTATGAAGCATATATGGGTCTATAGGACTGGATTGATGCTTTTTATGATACTCAAAGCAGTCCGTCACTTCCATAAGATCTTATAGAGATCGTTTTGCCCCGCTGCTTTTTTAGGGACTATTCCGCAAATGAGAGCCTCTGATTGGCTCCTGCGACAGCTCCGGCGACCATCTTTTCCAACTGCCAACCTTTATCTCCTTTCCACGCAGCATCAACCACAATGGAGTGCCTTCACTCGCGCATTCCATATGCGAAATGGCGCCTCCATGCATTCCAACAACTGCTCGCAAGCTCGCGTCTACCCGCGACAGCTCATGCAACCAAGCGAAGCATTTCGACCACACCACGGCGACAAAACAAGAGTGCCCACGACGCTCCTGCATTTGAGCGAACAAACATCAATAACGCAACCTCGGATACTCTACCACCCTCTAAGCGTTTACCGCAATCCCCGCTTATCACACACCCGCGCCCCGGACCCGAGAAGAACCGCAAAAGACGCCCGACAATGCACGAAACGGACCAACTAAGCAAGAATCCATGGGCTGTAGCACTAGCATCTCCGATTCGCATGTGTGGTGTAACAGGAGCCAGACTTCCAACTGCTCTTCTCGGAAAATGGGGCTTGGTGCAACAACAAGAAACGGAACAGCTACATTTCATGCCCGTAGGTCTAATGCAAGATTTGCTGCAAAACAATAGACCTCCAAACTCCAACCACTCAGATATACTTGCTACGGTAGATGTCAAAGGTCAACAATCGGAATTGGATGTGTCTAGCGAGAACAAAAGCCCAACAGTCGACACGCCAAGCCCATTGGTCCAGCAAAACAACAAACAGGGACGACAACTCTTACTTCGAATCACCGAGCTTCTCCCACTTCTCCGATCGATTTCAGCGCCGCTCTCAAGGAAAAGTGGCAAGAAACCAGCCGTTCTGAAACTATTGCCATTCCGGTGGAAGCATCCCCAGGGACCAATTAAGGCGAGCGAGGAGCAGAAACTCAACTGGATGTCGAACGCCCCCGATATTGTACTCCAGAGCATGAGAAACGTTGTATACAGGAAGCTAGATGCTGCTTCTACGAAGTTCAAACGTCTCGGTAAACCCAATGGTGTATGGAGAGCGGTTGATCTGCATGAATACTCCGAGTCTGCAGTGGAGGATGCGCTTGGATGCCTGAAGCCGTTTGAGCGCATGGAATGTGGTGGTCTGCTGCTGCTTGGATCCAACGCTGATGGACTTGCCTCTCAATCAAGTGTTCCCTGCCCGGATTCTGTTACTCTCCCACAGACTGAGTCCAAGGTTCCCGTGTTTGACCTGTCAAGTCTTCTCTCAGAGTCTGATTTGATACAGCTGCGTGAATCTCATCCGCAATTCCAGCGCACGGCACTATTCTTCAGGCCCGATGAAGAGGTTACCATTGATGCAATGATATACTTGTGGAAGTTAAAGCGACTTCTTGTGAAGCTGGACTTGGAAGAATGAGCTTTAATAACCAATATGGAGACTATTTGGCAGAAGTTCATGTCCTTGTCAAAACATTGCTCTTGCCCTGTGATGTACACCGGAGTGATGGGGGATTTATACAGTAATATATACCAAGGCAGTAGAGATCACGGTTCACTTCAGCAATACGCATAATAATGGCATAAGATACATGCGTCCAACTCAACAAGTCGGTTCTACCCAGCAACGAGACAGGCCCATTCCATATTCGCTACGTAATGATATACAGTAGTGCCCCCTCCAGCATAAAAAAGACAATGACAACATCGACGTCCGAACTACCTTGGATAAACTTTATGCAGACTCCACTCTTTCATATGAAAGTCACTCGGGGAGATAGTTACTCCGATCCAAACCATAAATATCTTGAAATGCAACTATCATCGGTTAGTAAACAAATTCCAAAACTACATACCACAATGGCAGGCTTCGTCACTGCGTTTATGAACCCCCTCAACTACGTGGGCGGAGTAAGCTTCACCCCAGAGACCGACATCCCAGATCTATCAGGAAAGGTTATTCTAGTGACCGGCGGTACGTTAAACCCTGATTGATACCGACAAACCATGAGAAAAGCAAGCCAATCTAACGAGAAACGCAGGAAATGCCGGTCTAGGAAAGGAAACAATCCTCCAACTGATCAAGCACAACCCGAAGAAAATTTTCCTCGGCGCGCGCTCGGAGTCTAAGGCGCAGGATGCAATCAGGTTTTTGAAATCCTCCGTTGCCAATGACGTCGAGATCAGCTGGCTTCCATTGGACTTGATGTCGGGCACATCAATCGAGAATGCCGCAGAAAAGGTCAACGCCGAGTCCAGTAGACTCGACATCCTAGTTCTGAACGCCGGCGTCATGGCACTGCCACCCGGCGAGACAGAATTGGGCCATGAAATCCAATTAGGAACGAACCATACCGGCCATTTCTATTTGACAAAATTGCTCCTGCCAACTCTGCTCAAGACGGCCCAGGAGCCGGACTCGGATGTGCGTGTTGTCTCCCTCTCGTCTGTTGGGCATAATCTTGCGCCTTCGTTCGAGACAATCTTGGATCAGGAGAGGCTTAAGAAGGTTAATACCAATGCGCGGTATGGAGCTTCCAAGGCGGCGAATATTCTTTTTGCTGCTGAGCTGGCTAGACGGTACCCGTCTATTACTTCTGTTTCTGTGCATCCTGGTATTATCGTGACAGATTTGTACAACTCGATTAATGATAGCTCGCCCTTTGCGGCTATGGGAACTAAGACTCTTGGGCTCTTTGGTTCGTCGATTCCTCAGGGTGCTTGTAATCAGTTGTGGGCTGCTGCTGGGGCGAAGAAGGGCGTTTTGTCGAATGGAGGGTACTATGTTCCTGTTGGTAATTTGAAATGTCATAACAAATATGTTGCTAGTGAGGATATGGGTAAGCGTTTGTGGGAGTGGACGGAGGCTGAGCTTGTCAAGGCTAATTTGTGATTCAATCTTTGCGTCATTTGGTTGTTATTTTGGAATACGAATATATACGGGAAGTTTCGAATTTGTGTCTGAGATCGAGAGTTAAGCTTGTTCCAATTCCAAGTAAAATGGGTGAGAGATCATGAGAAGTACTGGTACGTCCTAATATGTGTTGTATTCTGCCAGCACTATCCGACAAAATCAAGAAGTAGCAACGAATGGCCCATTATGAGAAGTTATATGTGATTAGAAGCAGAGACACGTCAACAACGACCTCAACTCACCAAAGGTCAAGGAAACCTTTTGCTCAACCTTTGAAATTTGATCTCCAAGCTGGATTACCAGTACATAGCAATAAAAACACCCAATCAAACAATCTTAACAACTGTCTTCCCAGTTCCCCCTTTCCCACTATACACAACCAAACAAGCGGCCCTAACAGCCTCAATATCCCCAAATTGAACCGTACACCCAACAACAGTCCTCAACTTCCCATTCTCAACATACCCACGCAACTCATCCAGATCCGTCCCACTCGACCCAAGAAGCAAATATGAGTATTCAATTCCATACCGTCTAGCCCGTACCTTCCTTACACAATCCATGGCATTAAGAGACATCCTAATAGGCATGGATAGTCTCGGATTATGCGGCAACTCCATCAAAGGCGAATCCTGTAATTCATCGCCTGATGGCATTGTCGCGACGGAGACGATGCATCCGGTTCGTGCACGCATTAGACAGAGATGCTCCATTGCAGCGCCAGTTGTGTCGAAGAGGAAGTCTACGGAGCCTTTTGGGATGGTAGATCTTGGATCTGTTTTTGTGTAGTCGATTACTTGGTGGTGTTAGCTGGTTTGGCTTGGTTGCCGGGGTTGGATGGTGGATGCTTACTTTCATCAACTGTTCCTTCGCCTAGTAGCTCGCTCAGCTTGCTCACTTTTGATGTGGAGACTGTTGTTATTACCTTTCCGGCTTTGAATACGTGTTTCGCGAGTTGGCATGCGAAGAGGCCCGTTCCGCTTACTTGGCCTTGCGTTAGTAGAGAACATGGGAAATGAGGATGAGAAAGAAAATAGGTAGGGAATCTTACAGCCTGCCGGTACGAAGACTGTCTTTCCTGCAAGGTCACCCTTGTATCTCCTGAGTGCTTGTAAAGCAGTCATTCCAGCGAGTGGAATAGAAGCAGCTTCCTCGAAAGATAATGAAGGCGGCTTGATAGCAACGTATTGCTCTGCGCAGACGACGAATTCACTCAATGAACCTAGATAAAGCGTCAATGAAAGACTACCAAATAATTAATTGGATAATTACCTCGAGAAACCTCTGGAAGGCGAGTATAAACCTCATCACTGACTTTACATCTGCTCACATCTGATCCAACTTCCGTGACTATACCAGCACAATCATAACCGATCTTGTATGGGAAGCTAGTTTCATATAAGCATCGTTCGAGAGAGGAATCAGGTGTAGCTCACGCGTCCTTCATCGCCATCTTCAAAGCTCCACCTGCCCGTTTCACGTCGATTGGATTTATACTCGCGGCGTGGACTTTGATGATCACATCTTGAGCAGATCGAAGCTCTGGTTTTGGCAGCTTGGATAGCTGATACCCCGAGGGGTTCGTGTAATGGGGAATATTAATAGATAGCATGGCTATTTGGTTTTTGCGAAGCTCAAAGATTGGTTTAGCTATATAGTCACCCTGAACAACATGAAGATGACCGACGGATTTGGTGGGCCCACTCCGGCGGGTCAACAGTCTCTCCGCGATGCCGAGGCTCGAATCCCGTCTCCATATGCAACTCGCAAATATTTCGCTTTTGAAAATTGGAAGCTTCGAAGATAGTATATCTTGCGAGAGTTCTGAGACCCCAATTATTAGGGGTGGTTTGGTGTAGATATTAGGCGAGAATGCTCGGAGATTACTATCAAGAAGGCGAAATTCAAAATTCCAGACAAGCCTTTGTCTATTTAATAAAATAGATGGGAAGTTTAGAGTACTGGTCCTGGATAATCTTAAAAAGTTGGTTCCTGTCAAGTCAACTGCTGTGCACAGAGCGGTTCGAGCAACCCCTAAGTGGTCAATTGGTTACACTTGGTAGAAACGTTCGGCGGGTTTCAAAGACAGTTCGTGAAACTGACAAACAAAAGAAAAGAGATGTATCGTTATCAAATGCATGCAATTCTCCAGCCTCAGTGAAATTCCAGCGGAATAGGGATATATGATATTCAGGGGCTGGTCAAGGAGGCTGTTCAGGCTGATCATTATAACGGCAAGTCAATAATTGTTGATCGCAGAGTATGGCCGCCACGCTTGACATCATGAAGGAGAAGAAAGTCTCGCTGGGCCGCCCAAGTGAATATCCAAGGCTGCTGAATTTTGGGATCTTGATGGTTTTTACTATCACTTTCTTGGACACCCCCGAAGTTCCTATTCCTAGACCTGTCTTAACCATCGCCACTTGGCCCCCGACATACCAAATATTAGCAACACTCCATAATGTGGTAAAAATATCACCGAGGTTTTATTATAGCATCGCTAGCTCAGGACCCCAAATCCCCGACCTAGCTTCATTGACCCACAAAGCTCCGAGGCCTCTGCTCAGCCTCATCCCAGCCCCAACCCTTACATAGCTGGAGCCACTATTGAGCTCTGATGATATACAGCAGAATCGATTGTACGCCGTATGATGAGTGCACACGTGGACAGGGTATTTGCAGTCAGTTCTCAAACATTCTGTCCGATATGCGTCCGGGCTAGCTGAATTCAATATGTCTTGGCACTGCCAGCATATACATGGACTACAGAACCCGAAGCCAAGATCAAAGCCTAGCTGACTCCGAACCGGAGATTATTATTATGACAGGTAGCATGTATATCCTCGTCTATGTAATATGGATTGTCTGAAATCAAATCGATGTATGTATGATTGCCTGCATGTAGATATTGCAGCGCTGCGAAGAATTGCTTGATCTATATGAGCTCGGCACAAGTTACAGCTGCACCCCGAAATGATACATGTATTTCAGTTGGCAATTGCAGATACGAGATCTAGAGGGATAGATCGAGTTTGCCATTATCCAGGAACAGAGTAAGGAAGCGAGTGGACCCAGGGCTGGAATTGGCTATGTCATAGCCCTGGATTTACAGTACAGCACAGCATGCATGTCGGTGTGCAGACCCGACCTGCTTGACGGGTCTAATGCTGTCCGTAGATTCATCAATTTGAAATGCAATACCGATACAGGGCATGTAATTCAGCCTCGGAAGTCCGAAGCCGCATTCGCGGTCAAGGCTGTCGATCCCAGTTCGATGGTGTCTTTGTTCAATTGATCTGCGCTATGCAAGTGGTTGCTATATCGAAGTCGAGGGCTTGGGAGCTTGAGCTATGGGAATTTCTTCTTTGGTTTGGTCTGATATTTCATACTGTTGTTGGTTAGGCACGGGACGCGTGGTAGTTGGGTTGAAAGAAAGTGTCTCACCGGTGATGAACACCGGTGTACTCCGTCCACCCGTACAGATCCTACATTAGGGCCAAGGTTGTCTCCACTATGTTTAATCGAGGCCTTTGCGATGTGTTGTGTGCGTTGTGACTAGTGTCATAGAAATAGCCGTTGCAAGCGACCGTACTTTCGGGGGCCGAGGGGGCTACAGGTGGTAAGTTGCTATTATTGTATGCTTGTAATTCCAATATGGAAACTGAACATAGTAGGCAAATGAGGAAATTGATATCATTCTCAAAGAAAGAGAAAAGGAAGATACTGTAGACTTCGTTGTAGAACCACATGGCATTTTAGATTGTAAATGTGCCTGAACCGCCAGGCCAGGCCCGACCACAGCGCCTGTGCTTTTCCCACTTTCACCTCAATACGACGCTACATGTTAGCTCGGGCTTTTGTTGCCACTTTTGTGGGACTTGAATAGGTCGAGGCTAACTTAGATGAATACGCGCCCGTGAAAGTGATTAGAGTACAGTGTACAGTAGACTGCACGCCAGAGCCTGGATACAACACGGGTAAATGCTCCCCGGAACCAGGGGCAATTCAGGCACAGAACAGCCTCCGTCCAAGCGGGCAGAGACAAAAGTTTGTCCTCGGTCCACATCGGTGATCGTTTCCTCCACAAGCAGCCAATCGCGGCCACACGAACGAAGTGATGAACGCCCTCGTCAGCTCCGCAACCCCCAAAATTCGCTCACAGGGGCCGAATGAATATCTGAAACAGGCCAATCGCGACTCACCCGGACCTCTGGGATCCTCTGGGTGTTTCAGCCCTTACAGAAAGGCCCCAAACCAGCCCGCCATTGGGTCACTTTCACAGCCACCTCGGTCCCAATTCGAGGGGCATCTCCGCTGCGGAGACCTGGACTGATCAATTGACCAAAAGAGACAGCGAGAGGGCAAAGGGCACACATTAGTGCCGAGTACATATACTTTGGCCATGGCTCCCTATTTTTTCTGTCTTCTTGCAAGCAGGGCTTCTACTATCCGTTGACCGTTGATCGTTGTTCGTCGTTTCGTCACTCCCTATCCAACAAAATGTTCTTTCCTTCATTGGTACGTTTGTATAGTTCGCCGAGACCTCTGGGCGAACCCCTGATCCACCGCACCTCCACATACCCGAACCATGGCTAACAATTGTATATAGATCCTGGCTGCTGGCAGCCTGTCTACCCTCATTCAAGCCGTTCCCCATGGCGCGAGCGGACACCACAACTTGCACCGTCGCGGCGCCTTGTCCGCCGCCACCTATGCTATGATGGGTGGCAACGGCGAGGTCTCGGACGGATGGCCCTCGCTTTCCGACTGGAAAGAGTACGACGTTCTGTAAGTAATCAATTGCACGAAACCCCGTACAGAACCTCCGCTAATAGACATCTTACCAGCTGGGAACTCAACAAGATCCTTATTTCTTCAGCTTGCGACAATAGCGACACGGAGACGGACAACATCAACGAACACATCAAGTCGATCGCCAGCTCCAGCGGCGTCGACGAGCGCTTCATCCTGGCCATCGTCATGCAGGAGAGCAAGGGCTGCGTCCGCGTCCAGTCCACCAACAACGGCGTCCAGAACACTGGCCTGATGCAAAGCCACGACGGCTCCGGAACTTGCGTCGGCGTCACCCCCTGCCCATCCAGCATGATCAAGCAGATGATTGAGGATGGTACCATTGGAACCTCCGCCGGCGACGGCCTCCAGCAGTGCTACCAAGCCCAGAGCGGGAGCGATGCCACCAAGTACTACAAGGCCGCCCGCACCTACAACTCCGGCTCCATCGACGCCTCCGGTAACCTCGGCCAGGGTGGTGCCACTCACTGCTACGCCTCTGATATCGCCAACCGTGTCCGTGGCTGGGCTGGTGATGTCAGCGTGTGTATTGAAGGCACCATTGGTACCTTGACCAGCGGCACCGAGTCGTCCACCTCTGACTCTTCCGACTCCGGCTCCGACAACTCTGGCAGCTCCTCTTCGTCCACCTCTACTGCTGCCGCAGAGACCACTCAGCCTGCGGAAACCGTTCAGCCCCAGCCCACCGAGTCCGCCGCCCCAACCACCACCCCTGCTGCCGCCTGGACTCCCGAGGTCAACGTGCAGAGCGCCGCGCCAACCCCAACCCCCACCCCATCCTGGACAACCAAGTCTGCCCCAGCGGCAACAGCTAACGCGGCCCCCGCCGCCTCGTCCACCGATGCGCCTATCTACCCATACGCTTCGTCTTCCTGCCAGGAGTACTACACAGTCATGAATGGCGACATCTGCAACGCCGTCAGCGAAACTGCTGGCATCTCATTCTCCCAGCTGCGAAGCTTGAACTCGCAGCTCGATGAGAACTGTGATAACCTCTGGCTTGGATACCAGTACTGTATCAAGGCATAGATTGAACAAACGTCGTTCTTTTGACTGTTTGTTTAGACTTGTCTTTCTGTTTTTCCTTGAGTTGCATTTGCATCTGTGCATCGCTGCATTGCTGCATCTTGTGTTTGATTACCCTTCTTTTTCTTTTACATAGGCCGTGCCTTGTATATAGCGAGAGCTTGCTCTTGACAAAATGTGGACTGGATGGGACTGGGTCTCGTCCGGCTTCTCTTTTATGATGAATGACATCAGCGATTCTTTTCTAAATTCACTACGGAGTACTAAGTATTGTAGCTGGATATGTTCAGATTGTAGTAGAACTATGACATGATATGATGTTGTATTGTTCTCGCAATGAAGTGATGTGGTGTTGCCATTGCCCTGCATAGTAACGTCTTGACGATGGAGCAGCTGTCTGATATTCTTCGGGAGGGGTAGCGTCCTCTGGCAGAATGCTGAATGGGCTCGAGTTTGTTCTTGCTGAACCTGTACCTGGAAGACAAAGCAGGAAGCTTAAATTGCCAGGGCAATGCAGGTAGATTTGACATGCAGTTAAGCCGCCCTTTGGCATGCACAAGGCGTTCGAGTGAGAGGGTGGGTTTGACCGTGAGTTGAGAAGACAACACAGGTTAGATGCCTTTAAGGTACCCCCCTCACAGGCTGCGTAATGCGCAAGAGTGGGTGAGACTATGCGAGATGAGGGACCCAGTCACGTAGATAGAGACATCGAGATCCCAGTGTAGAAAACTGGGTATCCTCATCACTGAAAAACCATAAAAAGGGCACTTGTTCATTGCATTTTGGGAGACTCGTCATATTGGCCGGACGCGAGTGTCGTCTGTAGCAAAGTGATTGCTGCACGTATTCTGTGTTCTGGTAGTCATTCCCCAGGGTAATCCTTCAGGGCTTCTTTCTCAAAAAGAAGAAATTCAATCCAGATTGGTGTCAAAATGAAGGACGGATATTGATAGATTTGGTCATGTTGTCTCGTCAGGTATCCTTCTTTAATTCAAGAGATACTATAAGGATCTTGTTAGTATACTACAGGACGGCAGATCCACCGTTGAAAGCGGGAATCAGTGGGGCATATTTACGGGGGTGAAACAGAAAGATGGTGACGTTGGAAGCTCTATATGCTCGCCACTTTCCAAGGTTCTTTTGTTTTCATTTTTACTCTTAACCATCTTCCCACTCCTCTTCCAATTTCCCTGGACCGCGCCGATTCTGCTTTGTGACAGTCCATTCCGATCACCGTCAAAATGTCGATACAGTCTCTTCCGGTCGAAGTGATGTCCCTTATTTGCAGCCATGTACAGATCTTGGAAAGGAAAATGCTCAGGTTGACATGTCACACATTATGCACAACGTCGTCTGGGGACTTCTTCGACCGATATTTCAAAAGCATCCCCTTTATGGTGACGAGCGACAGAGTGAAAATAACATGGGAGAATTCCGTGTGTCATCGAAAAGTTGCCAGCCATTAGATGGCGATGAACTGGGGGACCGCTATCACAGCCATGATCACAGACAACTCCGATCTCCTGAATTCACATGTTTTCAGCGCTAGACTCTCCAAATGCATGGATCAATTCCATACTCTTGATACAGTTGGTCTAGCACAATATACGACGACCTTTTTACTAGATCCACAACAACGAAAAGTTCGATTCCTTGGTTATCGCCACCTTATCGACCGGATTGGCTTTCGATCCACTCCTGCGACCCTGGACCGACTCCAGGATATCGGCGACAGGATGCGAAAGGTCAATTCGTTGGCCTTCTCAAGACTTCTTCAAGCGCTTAGCTGGTCAAATCGAAAAATCAGGAGATTACATACCTGTGATCCTAATTACTGTGCCGATGTCAGTTCCCAGGTGACCCTCCCAGAAGTGCAATACGACTCTCGTCTTCCGTTCCTAGACAGTGTAGAGGATCTCCATCTCTGCATAGATCTTGAGAGGGACACTTGGGTCAAACTGGTTACTAAAGTTGTCACCTGGTCTCAAGCGACTGAGGCTCTCACAAAGTGTCGGCCATCCCTCCCAGGCACAACCTTACTTTTTCAAGGATATCTGTGAGAGAGAAAAGTTCATTCAGCTCAAATGCCTACACTTGAATCAGGTTCAGATCACCTCTGAATCATGGAAGTCAATGCTTACTACGGCCAAACAAACTTTGGCCATGTCCTTAAACTCACCAGAGTGAGATTGATCGACCATAGAGATCAATTCAACAACTGGTGGTTTGAATTCTTCCCAGGGAAATGTTTCCAACATCCCACGCGTCGATGATCCTGGTCATTCACAAGGCCGGTATAGACATCCACGGCGCGGCTTTTACAATACTCCCCGTATTCCACGTACTTCGCCATCATCGCCTCTCTTCTCTTTATCTGCCCCTTTCCCCCGACCCGCAGTGGGAACACCGCCTGTACCGAGAGTCCCTCCTCCCCCAAGGAACACTTATGCACCGACTTCTTCTACTATGCCGAGCAGCCCCACTGTGCCACAGGCTCCCCTCCCACCAACAAACCTTTATTCATTGGTTCCTTTTACTACACCGAACAATTCCTACACAAGCCCCTTAATCACATCGCACAATTAAGTATCAAGTCCCCCCAATCCCAACTGGGCAAGAGGATATCATCTGGAAAGATCTTTGGACCTTTTTCAGCAATGAGCTGTCCTTGCAGAAGATCAACATGGCGGAAATCGGCTCCGGCAGGTATCGTGTGTGGCTTCAAGTGACTGAAGGCGACATTAGATGGACAAGACCTGCTGTTTTCAATGCCCAAGAAGTCGAATCTTCGTTTCGGGAATGGATCGACCAGCTTACGCCGCGGCACTATTTGGAGATGCCCGACTCTGACGAGGGGAACAATGACATGGGTAAGCAGTCCATACGTGACAGTCTGTCAAGATTATTCTAACTTTGTTTAGAACTATGGTTCAACAAGATGATACATGCAGATAGCAGCTCGGTCGATGCTGTCACGTGTGCATGTGATCGTCGGGCTGACCCTTACTGGAGGTCCTGTCCCTTGGGTGCGAGTATGCTTCTAGGCTGTCGCCCCTCGATGAAATTTACTAAGAATGCCAACAAAAGGAACGATCCAAGTAAAAAATCTTCTATCCACAGGAGATATTGGCGTGGAGTGACAGTAGAACAAATGATCGAGGTAGAGAAACCTCCCGCCAAGAGAAAGGTCTTGGCGAATGATGTATAGTCGTAGCAGATGAAGGCGTTTAGGAGGTCATATTCAGGTGGTGATATATGGAAATGGTTTTGGAGAGCTTTCAAAGTTGGTTCTTTTGGTCGAAATTGTAAGGTTCGGAGGAGGCTCTTCTTCAATGACAACATCATAAATATAATGAGAGGGGGTTTGAGAAATGGAAAGTGAATGAATCAAAGTGAAGGAGCTTTGGACGGGGTTGTTAGTTATATGGGGGGCATAACAGAGGGGCATAACAAAGCCGACATTTTTCTTTCAAGAGAAAGCCTCCTTTTATCTTTGGACAACCCGATAATACCTTCTACATCACAAAGCAGAGAACCTCGAATTCACGAGCATACGTCTCTATTTATGGATTTATTGCTTGGTCATATGTGCGATGAGAAAACAGGAAAGGAACAACATCAAGGGTTTCGAGTCGCGCCTTCTTGGTCCGGAAGCATATATCCTCTATGAGAGCATAGTACCCCAGGGTCATCATATCATAGGAGCATTGCTCAAGCACCAACAAGACACAAAAGCCCAATTGTATCCCTAAGCACCGACAAAAGAGGATCACTTCAACTGAAGCTCACCCCTCTCCACAACCAGTCTTACAACATCCTTATTCAACCCCTCCCACCTCCTCTTCCCCTTAACAAACCAATACCCAAACGCAAACAAAGTAGTAGCCCCAAAGATCGGCGCTGCATAATTCATGTTCTCACCGGTAACCGGCAACGCCGAAGGAAATGCCAACCAAACAGTCACCCAAGCCGTATAAACAAGCGCAAAAACATTGACCGGTAGCCCCAACTTCCCCATATTCCAATCCCCCATCGGCGCAGTATCCGCCCGGAATCGGTTGTGAACCATGCAGCTGATGGCGATGAAGTATGACACGAAGAGACCTATCGAACCTAGGGCTACGAATGCGCCAAATGCTGCTGTGTCGGCGATGTTGAGGCAGGAAAGGATCATTACTACTAGGACAGGGAGCCAGACGGCTCGGATTGGGACGTTGTGTTGGCGGTCAATCTGTGGGCGGTGTCAGCGGATTTATCTTTGTGTCACGGATTTTGTGGTACTATGACTGATGTCTGGTACTTGAGCTTCGGGCTTTGATACTTACATGAGCGAACCAACGGGGTAACGCACCATCTCGTGCCCATGCCCATGTTAGTCGGGAGACAGATGCGATACTTGCCAGATTAACGGACAGTGAGATGACGAGTAACCCGCATACCAGTGCCGTGGCGGCACTCACAGAGCCAGTTGCTTGTTGGCAGATCTCAATAATTGGGAAACTGGATTTCTGGGCTTCCTCCACCGAACCCATTGTAAAGAGCATGCAGATGACCATGGCATAGGCGAGGATACCATTCGTGACGACTGTATAAAATATCGAGCGAGGCACGGCTTGTTTTGCTCGGCGGACTTCTTCGCTCATATGAACTGCGCCATCGAAGCCTAAATATTCAGCTGCTGTCTCTGATTGAAAAGTCGGCTCACTTACCGACGAACCCCCAGACTGGGGTCAGTAGACCGATATTCCATGCTGGAAAAGTTGCCCACCCCGAGGAACTCTGCGTGTGCAGGAAGACAAACCCCGGTGTGTGTCGAGGTGCCAATGCTGCGAAGACAACCAAGAAGACGATCAAGAGGCAGATGTGTAAGATACCGGCTAACATCTCGATCCATGGGATGAGCCAAAAGGTGTACATATTCATTAAAGCTTCGACGACGAGCATTCCGATGATGATCAGCGTTAGATGCCACTGCTTTGCCTCGTATTCGGGGTAGTTCACGTTTGCCAGACCTTGGATCATGGTAGCGGTGGTGTTGGCCACGCCAGCGAGTGTGGAAATCCATGCGAACCAGGTCACCCAGCCTGATGTATACGTTAATCGTGCCCTGGATAAGGGTTGACCAGTGACCCACCTTGCATCCAGGTGATAAACTTCTTCTGGCGTTCGGGTGCCAAGTAATGGGTCCAGTGATACTGAGCTCCTGCGATTGGTTGCATCGAGGCCATCTCCGCTAGTGATGCTGATTGTGCCATTGCACCAGAGACAACTATGACGATTCCCCAGGCGAGGGCTTGGGGGCCGCCATTTGTGAGGACTGTGCTCAAGTTCCTTTGCAGATGGGCTGTCAATACTGCGCGGACACATGACGATACGGAGGAACTTACAACGCCTGAGTCTCCCAGCTAGACAAGTAGGTAAGTGAAAAGAAGAAGATCTGGGTGAAATTAAACAGTCGCTGTATACTATATTAGCTTGGCAGCCCTAATAGTCTCGGAAATTCATACCTTCGGCGATGTCTCCGTGGAACCATTCCTGCTGGGATTCTCATAGGCATTCGTGACTTTGACCTCTCGAATGGGTACATCTTGGTCAATACTGAAATGTCCCCCTTTCAAGGGATGCAACTCATGATGCTCCATGATAGCAAACGGAAAAAGAAGTGAGAAAGACGGAAAACCTGAAATATCAAAACAAACGTCCCGACGGAGATCGGGAGATGAAAAAGAAAACGCAAAAACGGCATGGATGCCATTAATAAAAAAAAGCCACCAGGATTAGGATCCAAGTGTTACAGTGGAATGTTCTTGGCTGAGGGGAGAGACGATCGGCGCAGCTGCATCTCAAGCCCAGTCTTGTTTCGAGACCGGGCTAAGTATGCACGCTGGTGGAACCTTAGATCAACTGGGATCAGTAGACCGGTGAAGTACCCTTTTTTTTTGGCTAGTGATTTAATCTTGCGTTTCCTCTTAGGCCAAGGGGATGGGTTGGTGTTATATCATGTCACGCTTTCGCCTTTTTGTTGTAACTAGGAATATGCTCGTTGTATGTTGCAGCTTCCTGAGTCCTCTTAGTTGCAATGGCTTCTAGCCAAGAACAGGAGGTTCTTCTTCCGCCTCTTTTGCCTGTTACTCCAGACGATCATAGTGCCTGGGTCATAACTGTGAGCACTATTCTACTGATTATTACTATTCTCGCGACAACAGTTGCTCTGATATCCCGCCTCCGTGTCTTGCGCAAAGTTTCGTGGAGTGACTCGATTGTGTTTCTCAGCTGTGTAATCATTCTTCTCTCTTGAGCTTGATGTGATCTAATCAATTGAATAGGTTCTCTTTATCCCTCAAACTGTGTGCATCAATATAGCAAGTTCTCATGGCATCGGCAAACACCGACGTGCGTTGAGTGATTCTTCATTTGAAACATATAGCAAGGTAAGCCAGTCCATTATCCAGCAACGAAGGCATACTAACACCATGGAAGGCCCTCTATGCTAGTCAACTTTTCGCCGTCCTCGTTTTGGCATGCTCGAAAGCCGCCGTCGCCCTCCTTGTCTTATCACTGAAGCCCTTCGAGAGGATCTCCGCGGCGTGCAAGATTGCCTTGGGATTGATTGGGGCATGGGCACTGGCCGCGTTAGTGGCGCTCGTTGTGCAATGTGATCAACCACGTCCGTGGAACTTCAGCCCGGAACGATGCCTAAACCAACACGCGCTATACATCAGCCTGGCCGCATGTCATATGTTTTTGGATGTATGCATAATCGGACTACCAGTGACTCTACTTCAACAAGTCCAAATCATCCAATGGAAACGCCATCACATCTCAGCCCTATTCGCCATGCGTGTTCTGTGAGTCAGCCTCATTGACTCTTTCACAAAACCATATCTAACACAAAGCACCAAAACAGAGTCCTAGCATTGACCATGGCCGGCCTCCGCTCCCTGAAGCCACTCTTCAGCTCCGAACCCCCAGACAGACCCTGGCACGCTCTAATGCCAGCAATCTGGCTCCAACTCATCCTCAGCTCCTCAATCCTCTGTACCTGCATCCCAACCTTAAAGCGCGTGCTAGCCGATCTCCAAACAGGCATGATGGCAGGAACAGTGTCAGACTTCTTCGAGCAATCGGTCTCGGGTCAGAACTCGAAGGATCGGTCGGGATTCAAGTCTGACAGTGGCCTTGGGCAACGATCAGGATCGGCGACCCACACCATAAGTCCTAATTCCGCGGCCCATGGGAGCCGTCCCGGTGTGGAGCGTGTGAATAGTCACCAGATCTTGCGCGATAATGCTTCTGTGCATACTGTTGATTATGATGTGCGCTATGAGGGGGCTGAGCCTGGTAGGGCTTCATCGTCTAGTGCTGTTGAATCCTTTCTATTTGATGCTCATGTGGGGGAGGATGAGAGCGTTAGTGTTCATCAGATGGTTGGAGGGAATGGTAATGGTAAACGGGGTTACATTTAGGGGCCTCCTGGTGTTCCTGGCGGATTTGGATCTGATTTACTGTACTTTCGGCTTGCGTGGTTTTTATACCCAATTGGATCCTTTTGTTTTCGGAAATTGCGCGTGCTTCCTTTGGTACTTTAGATATATTGTCGTATGATTATGCGCCTGTGCGGAGCCTGGACTTTTTGTTATTGGGTCGCTTTTTATGTGACCCCTGCACAAGTCTGCAGGGGTGTGATGTCGATCTCATACCGTTGGGATTGAGCATTCCAAGGCAACCTATGAGGTATTTCCGAGGCTTCTCGGCGAGGGCAGGGATGTTCTCAGCGGCTATGTGTATTTCCATGGTTAGTGTCATGAAGAATCTAATTCGAAAAGATATAGCATTATATTAGCACCACAGCGGAGAAAATGATACATACTGCGTCTTCGACCAACAAGGAGCCTGAAGCCAAAAGGTACAGCCCGGAGGAGATTCGGGAGATGTTGAATCTGGATGCAATAAAATCTGTCCATCCATGAGTTCAAGTAGTCTCAATGAAAGATGCGAATCAGGTGCTTCTGGACACAGTGGCTGGGAAGGCCCGATTCCGCTATGTACTAGAAAATTAATAGGGTCTCTCTGTCTACCAAATGAATAGACCTGGCGAAGGACGCGCTCACACAGATATGGAATTCAGAAAAAGAGATCAATAAAATACACAATGTCTCATCACTCAGTCTCCTGCAATATGCATCTACTGGTGGGTTAGTTCTGCCGGTCGTACGTCTATAGGCCAAAGCACTCTTCGCGTTCACAACAACATAGATGATATGAAAGGGAAATTCAAGAACGTATTCGAAGATGCCAACATCTTCTGAGTTTTGATGTGAGCCTTGAAGTAATATCAATTGAGAATTTTCAAGTGAATTCCGGTGAGCAAGATTGACACTTGGTGAAGCGTCGTGAGTAAGTCGGGCACAGGCGGGTGCATTCCCTCGACCACGAGGGTTAAGAGACGTCGTGTCTGCAGAGGACTACTTCTATATTGGAACAATGGCGGACACAATCCTCGACGTGGCAGGCCTGATTTCAGTTCTTTACAAGCTATACACACTCGAGCTACTCGGTTCTCGACATATCTTCACATGAAGACGTTACCACAACCCTAACCCACGGACTTGACCGATTGGCGAATACCTTCTTATGACTTACTGGCCATGTTGTCAACCAAGGCGCAGGGGATGGCAACACAGGCGTCTTCATAATCACGCCTCTCGGCAAGATCCAGCTCGTGGTGAAAGATATACAAGATGACCCCTCTGCACCAACAACAGACGGCCTTTGCCATGTTGGACGAGAACATCATTACACCTTGCACGACTATCAGTCTACCCGGTACCCTGCCAGGGATCACAATCGAATCAACATTGGTCTTTTGTGTCCAGGCGAATTTCACAAAGGGCGGCCTGATGCTCACGCTCGTTGCTCAACAAAATGTCATAGACATGATTGGCCAAGACTTTCTCATCAACATATTATGTTGTCCAGGGCTTGCCACGATGAGCCTACATGGGTGAGGAACTTGCTACTGGAAATATGGACCAGAGCAATATCATCCCACTACTCGACGCCTCGTACAAGCCGGGTCCGAACCATCACATTACCCCCGACACCAAGTTACATTTCCACAGATGATGCCGTCAGCGCTTTTATCTGGCAGTGCATCACCCGAGCGCGGGATCTTCGCTTCGGATCGAAATCCGAGTTGATGCTTGCACGCGCAGTGGATGTCCGACGACACCTGGGCGTGCATTCGGGTTAACCAGGACTATTGCAAACCATGACCTACAACAAAGACATGATTCAGACAATGTCCGAGTAACCTTTAGGGGTCATTGCTGCACAGCTTCGATCCCAGCTCGATCCAAAAATTGATTATCTGGTGTTTAATACGCGTGCTTTGGCTACGTTCCATAGTCGATCGCCTGATAGGACCAAGACTTTGTTTACTGCGACTGTTACGATCCCGTCGGATTACATGATTAGCTCTTGGTCGAGGATTAATTGCTATGAATTGGACCTTAATCTTGGTTTGGGGAAGCCTGAGGCTGTACGGAGTCCGCACTTTATTCCTTTTGAGAGCTTGGGGTATTTGATGCCTAGGTCGCCTGCTGGTGAGATTCTTGTTGCGATTTGGTTTAGAGATGAAGACTGGAAGCGGATCAGGGTGAACAAGAAGTTTGTTCAACATGCCACATATATTGGGAGATAGAAGTTCACTTCTACAACTTTGTACTCTGACGAGAGAGTATAGAGTCACGTCGCCGATCCGTCTCCGCATTCCGTCACGCCTCCGCATTTGGGAATCCCTTCTCTTCTCCCTCTTCTCCCTCTTCTCCCTCTTCTCCCTCTTCTCCCTCTTTCTCTTTACCCTTCAACCTGCACATTACTCTTTGGCCTTGATACTTTGTACTCTGTTAATTTCCAAATCTACAATTCCATCTCAGTTTCCTTCCATTCACTTATCTTCCGAATAGTAAACATGGGTGGGGAAGTTCCCTTTCGCCCCGCTGCCCCAGCTCTACCCCGGCTAGCTGAGCGCCCGGTCGGTCAGCGCATCCACAGCATCTACACCGATCGGCTGAAGCAGTTCACCTCAAGCGGCCAGTACGAAGGCCAGAACCTCATATCGAAATACTGGGAAGCCACAAACTCCGACGAAGACCATGTCAAGCTCTCTGTTTATTCGGTCCCAGACCTCCAGCGACCGACCTTTGAGGACGCAACCTCTCAAGAGTTCAAACCCACCCACATTGGCGCTTCCTTTGGCCCCAGTTGGTCTACACATTGGTTCCGCATTCATCTTACAGTCCCGCAGGATATGCTTGATCGAGAGCATTTGGAGTTTCACTGGGATGCCAATAATGAGGGTCTGATCTGGACGCAGGATGGGCACCCGCTGCAGGGTTTGACCGGTAACGGGGAGCGGACTGAGTTTATTCTTCCTAAGGAGTGGTGCGATGGGAAGACTCATATGTTCTACATTGAGATGGCTTGCAATGGCATGTTTGGCAATGCTCCCGGTGGCGATTCGATTCAGCCGCCCAACCCTGACAAGTACTTTACGCTGAGTACGGCTCGTATCACTGCTGTGAATCTGGCTGCGAGAGCTCTCTACTATGATTTCTGGATCATTGGTGATGCTGCACGGGAATTCCCTGGTGAATCCTGGGAATCACATGAAGCCAACGTGGTGGCCAATTCTATTATCGATGCATTCATTGCCGGCGATGGAAGCAACGAGGCTATTGAAAAGGGACGGAAAATTGCGCGGGAATATCTTGGTGACAAGGTAGATTCCTCCGAAGTCTATAACACAGACACTCAGCCGATTGTCTATGCTATCGGTCATTGCCACATCGATACCTGCTGGTTGTGGCCCTGGGCAGAGACCAAGCGTAAGGTTGCACGTTCATGGTCCAATCAATGTGATCTGATGGAACGGTATCCTGAGCACCGGTTTGCATGCTCTCAGGCGCAACAGTTCAAATGGCTGAAGGAGTACTACCCTACTGTCTTTGAACGTGTGAAGAAGTGGGTGAAGAAAGGTAATTTCCAACCAATTGGTGGCAGCTGGGTTGAGCATGATACAAACATGCCAAGCGGCGAGTCATTGGTTCGACAATTTTTGTACGGACAGCGATTCTTCGAGGCCAACTTTGGCAAGCGAGCCACAACCTTCTGGTTGCCGGATACCTTTGGCTACTCTACTCAAATTCCTCAGATTTGCCGCCTCGCTGGCATGAGCCGATTCTTCACCCAGAAGCTCAGCTGGAACAACATCAATAATTTTCCTCATACTACATTCCAGTGGGTTGCACTTGACGGCAGCCAGGTGATGTGCCACATGGCCCCAGCAGAGACCTACACGGCGGAAGCCCATTTCGGCGATGTGAAGCGCAGTGTCACTCAGCACAAATCGATGGACACGGATAAAACGTCTCTGCTTGTCTTCGGAAAAGGTGATGGTGGTGGCGGTCCAACTTTCGGACACCTCGAGAAGCTGCGTCGCTGCCGTGGTCTCAGCGACAAAGTCGGTTCGCTTCCACGAGTGAAGATGGGAGAGTCTGTTGATGATTTCTTCGCTGGACTTGAGGCCAAGGCTGCCAATGGCACCGATTTTGCTACATGGTACGGAGAGCTTTATTTCGAGTTGCACCGTGGTACATACACAACCCAGGCAAATAACAAGCGCAACAACCGGAAATCGGAGTTCCTTCTTCGTGAAATCGAGCTTCTTGCAACTTTGGCCACTGTTCATGATTCTGATAAGGGTTATAAGTATCCCAAGAAGGAGATTGATGAGATGTGGGAGGGAACTCTTCTTTGCCAGTTCCATGATTGCTTGCCTGGCAGCTCAATTGAGATGTGCTATGATGATTCTGATGAGCTGTATGCCAAGATCTTTGATATTGGTACAAAGCTGCGGAAGGATGCTCTTGAGGCTTTGGGTGTTATTGGGAAGTCGAACGGTCGTGATCTGGTGGCTCTCAATACTTTGCCATGGCATCGGACGGAAGTTGTCAAGATTCCTTCAGCGTTGTCGACCTTGACTGTACCTGAGTACGCTGTGGCTTCCGGATCTACAGGGGTGATTGACTTCAATCAGGATAGCGAATCGGGCATGGCGGTTACTGTTAAAGAAGTCCAACCTGGAGTCTTCCGTCTGCAGAACGACAACCTCAAAGTTGATGTCAAAGATGGTGTTATCACCTCCCTTTACGATATTGAAGCCGACAGAGAAGTCGTCGCTAAGGGTGGCAATGCTGGTCAGCTGGTGATATTTGACGACAAACCCCTCTACTGGCAAGCTTGGGATGTCGAGGTATTCCACCTCGAATCACGCAGAGAATTACCCGCCGGAAAGACCGTCATTACTGAGAACAGCCCGCACCGAGTCAGTGTCACGACCGAGACGCAGATCAGCGACAAGAGCTGGATCAAAACAACCATAAGCCTCTCGCGATCATCGACAGATGAACCATCCTACGTGGAAATGGAAAGCGAGGTAGAATGGCAAGAGACCATGAAATTCCTCAAGGTCGAGTTCCCCGTAGATATCACCAACACCGAGGCATCCTACGAGACCCAATACGGAATCATCAAACGCCCAACACATTACAATACAAGGTACGTACCACCCCCAACTCCATGGAACCATCGCAGCAACTAACTCGACACATCATAGCTGGGACATGGCTAAATTCGAAGTCTGCTGCCACAAATGGGCCGATCTCTCAGAAAACGGCTACGGAGTCTCAATCCTGAACGACTCAAAATACGGCTTCGCAACCTGCGGCAACCTAATGCGCCTATCACTCCTCAGAGCCCCCAAAGCACCAGACGCACACGCCGACATGGGCCGCCACAACATCCGCTACGCAATCCTCCCACACGCTGGACCTCTCGACGATCGAACAATCCGCGCAGGTTTCAATTTCAACAACCCACTCGTTGTAGAGCAAGCCGGGCCCAAGGCCTCTGCCGCTGCCGCGATTTTCAAGGCTGTTTCGGTCAAGGGCGCGCCGTCTTTGATTTTGGATGTTGTTAAGCGTGGTGAGGATGATGAAGATGTTGCTAGGGATGGTGGTCCTACGCGTCCTGGGAAGAGTGTCATTCTTCGGATTTATGAGTCGCTTGGTGGGAAGGCTAGGGGGTCTATTGTTACTTCTTTGCCTGTCAAGAAGGCTTGGAAGTGCAATATTCTTGAAGATGACGAGGAGCTTCTTGAGCTCAAGAAGACTGCTGATCGAGCGGGCAGTGTTGATATTGAGTTGAGGGCCTTTGAGGTTGCTACCTTCAGACTGCAGCTTTGAGCTGTGGTATGGATTTGTACTTCCCAACTACGCAAGTCCGGGATATGTCTTTGGATCAAGAGAATACTGTAACTTGGATAGCCAAAGATGAGATATGATTATGCTTGTGGCTAGCAGTAAACCCAGCTCCCTGGAAAAAAAATGAAACAAATGCAGTAAGCGTCAACCGCTGAAGTCTGTATAAGTCAAGTTCGTGATGTACATGAGATCGCATCAAAGAAATAGCAATACCTCCATTTTCCACAGCGCCGTATAAACGACTCCTCCAAGAAGCCGAAAAAATGAAGCAAAGATGTAACTTAAACAACCCACCAAACTCCAAACCCGAGAAAACCCCCCGAGCAGAATGCACGACAAAGACATGACACACACGATCAAGTCTCAATCAAACCCTCAATCCCGTCCATAGCTAATCTTCAATCTTTTCACAGAAGGTTTATCCTCATCAGAGTAATCATCCTGGGCCTTCCCTTTTGTATTCTTTGATCCACCCGTCGCCTTTTTCTTATTCTTCGAAGCGCCATTCGAGACCTTCATACCGCTCGCAGAAGTGGGAATGGTCAGTGCCTCGTTACTCCTGCTGAAAGAGCCATTACCACTCGCAGATGTCGGTGTCGCAGCATGGGAGGGGGTGGTTTGTGCGGATGATGGGCCGGGCGAGTCCTGTAAGGGTGTCCATCGTTAGTCGAACTCTTTCAAGGCGAAAATACAATATCAGAAACGCAACAACCCGCAACACCTGTATTCTGTGTGCATTGAGCTTGTCTTCGCCGTGTCTCTTCACATACCATCATGTAACTCGCCGAACTGCGCGAGAAAACTCGATCCGAGTCTATGACTTGGGCTTTGCGCCGTGAACCGGCAACGCCGCCGCCGAGTCCGAGCCCCGAAGCGCCGAGACTTGATCCGCTCGCTGATCCCTTGATGTAATTGTCGAATCCTCTGATGATGTTTCCGGCGGTTGTTTCTTCCAGGTACGATTGTTCGAAGCGGTAGATTTGGTCTTCGAGTTGGGCCTGTGGAGAGAGGGGTTTGTGAGCAGGGTATTGATGAAAAATAATTTGAGATATCCATTGGAAAGCCCCGATTTCGAGGGACCAGGAAGGATCTGGTTACGGTCTTGCTCGCGCAGAACGAAACCCATTCCAACTTGGAGACTGGAGACGCGCGACTTGACCGTCCACTGTTCACTCACCATGCTCTTGTCCATCAACCGCTTCTTCTGCAATGTGTCTCGCAATTCCCGGCGCAGCTTCTCGTAGTATGGGAGTCCGCGACTGGCTGCATTTGCATCGGCGGGCGCATTCGGTGCGCTGGCTGCTGCGCCGGTTGTGGGTGTTTGAGCTCCGGTTGTCGCAGGCGCGGCTGCTGGGGCTGGAGCTGTGTCTGCCATTGTGGAAGTTGGAAGCGCAATCAAATAGCAGTTGGTCGAGCAGTAGAAGGGAATAGCATGTAAAGTACGTGCGGGTGAATTGCAGAAGCTGGGAGTTCGTTATGACCGCGTTTGGGAAATGGAGAGATCTTATCGTGTTTGGTGTGTTTGCATTCCCCTCTCTTGTCGTCAGCGTTGCTTGTTTGTCTGTGCTTTGTACTCCCCGGTTCCTGGCAAGTATTTTGACATTGGGATTATTTTCTGTCCTTGGGAACACACTGCTTTTGGTGTTTCTTTGATTTCCAAACTTCGATATGGACCACTCAATGCATATGGGTCACGGCCATGGTGGTATGGACCATGGGGATATGGATATGGGTGGGCAGTGCAATATGAACGTGAGTTATAGCTCTGATTCCTGGGATGAAGCCTGTATGCATTCAGCTCACCTCTGCCAATTACTAGATGCTGTTCAACTGGTCCTCTGAGAACTTGTGCATTATCTTCCGCAGCTGGCGCATTACCGGACCCGTCTCCTTCCTATTCTCGCTCGTCGCGATCGTCATCCTCACTGCTGGCTACGAGGGAATCCGATCGGTGACTCGGAAATACGAGGCCACACATGCCCAGCGTCTGGCTACGTTTGTGGCTACATCCGCCAATACAGGTGGTAAGTCTTCTACTCTTTCCATGGTCAAGGTACTAGTCAAGGATGGTGCATTCCAGGTAGCTAGGTGCTACCTCGGATGTTCGAGCTCGAGCTCGCTGTTTGAGATGTGATGGGGAGGTGGTGGACTCTGGTTGAGCAAGCTTCTCATTGATGCCTTGCTTCTCTGCAGACGATGAGATCGCCGACCCTATCATTGCCAACGGCCTAGTGGACGCTATCCATCACACCCGCAACGAAGGCTCACCACTGCTTGTAGGAAGGGATAACAGAGCGGCGCTGGCGCGTCGTGGTAAGGTTACCATGGCTGCTTTGTATGCCATTCAGGTGTTCTATAGCTTCTTCATCATGTAGGTGTCGACAAAGAATCATCTTGGATTTGGATAGCTGACTTGGCGCTTTAGGCTTCTGTTTATGACGTATAACGGTCCGGTCATGATTGCTGTTGCAGTGGGCGCGTTCGTTGGATACCTGGCATTCTCGGAGGGAACTCCAGCTTCCAAGACTATTGCGTGTCATTAAGCATCTCGGCGTTGATAGACTGGCTTGCAGGGCAGTAGTGGAGGATAAGAGACTTGAATAAATCTTTAATCTGGGTATCACATTGCACTTGTTGATTTTGAATGCCTTCTGCTGGATATGGTGTTGGCTTGTAGAGCTGAATTGTAGTGGCTCATGGGACTTCAACGTCACTCCCATCATCTCCAAACCCAAAGCTGAAACCTCCTCCATTGTCATCTCCATCAGGGGTATCCTCTGTCTTTCCATGGACAATGTCCTCCCACTTACGCTTTTTGCCATCAGTCTTCTTCTGTAGCTCCTCCAAAGACTGCTCTAGCAAGTCAGGGTACGACTCGCGCATGCCAGCCACAAACCGCTCATACGGGTTAGCCACATTCTTCCTGAATCCAGAGATCTGATCAGGCTTGTTGGACAAGAAGTCCAACGCAGCATGGAGATGACCACGAGGAACAAAGTTTTGCGTAATGGCGATTGACGGCTCCAAGTTCACCACCAAATGCCACCACCCAGATGGAACGTGCAAGATCTCACCCTCGCCACAGATTCCTTCCATACATCCTGGTGTCCGGCGTGCCTCAGCATGGAAGCCCAGTAGCCACTCGGCAATGCTCAAGGGAGAAGTGACCTCGCTCTGGTCATCCGACACAAAAACGCCTGGGGGTGGGGCCGCCTTTGTACTAGAGGGGAACATAATCCAGTACTTGGGACCACGTAGCACGGCATTCCAAGCACTCGTGGCATTCGGGTCTTTGTGGAACTTGCTACCGGAACGTTCGGGTCCGATGATCAACCATTGGTGATCCGGACGGTCATCACCGAGCACGCAGAACAAATCTTCAACGAAACAAGATGGCGGCCAGTATGCTGCGTCGGGTGTCTTTTCTGGCTGTCCAACCGAAAGTTCCATCTTGGAGACGAAGGATCGGTCGAAGAGGTACAAAGGGCTCTCGTCAGAATTGTCTGCCATATAGTCGCCGTATGTGCGCATAGCCCAGTCCACAGCTTCAGCGCGGAACTTTTTCTGGCCATGTTGAGAGAGTAGAGATCCGACTGTCCAGTTCTTGTAGGCTGGCCAGGCTTTAACCGGCTCTGTCAGAATGAAAGGTCGGTCTGTCCAGTTTTTATGAAATTCCTCTGGCGAAAGGTCTGGCATACGAGCGATCTGGTTCCGCACTGGAATCTTGGCCACATACGGGTCTAGTGAAATGTGTGCGCAGTTGAAGGGCCGATAGAGGGCATCAGAAAATAACTGAGAGCAGTCGATCATTGGCACCTTCCTGGGTGGGAGATTCAAATATGTTGACCGCCATGTTCCCCGCCATGTGAAGTTCTCCTTTGGTTCCCTGAAGCAAGACTTAGTACAAGGATTTGGAACAAGATGTTTATTAAAACTATGGACAAGACAAAACACCGAAATTCGGTATCGGTCTACATATTTCGGACAGAACTGGGGCTAGGGTTTGGCTTACCGAACAAACAGCGCCTTCCACAACTCCTCTGCTCGGGTAAACGCATAGAAAGCCTTACACGTCCGTCCGATGCTCAACAGACTAGCTCCGTCGAGTGTCTCCAACAGTGACAGGATTAGCTCGTCTGGTAGAAGTTGAAAAGTGCCAATGGCATCACGTAAACTCCATGTAGCCAGCAGGGCATTTCCACTTGGCTTCACTCCTAAAGGGTGGGAGGGAATAGCCTCGCGTATAGCCTCTGCATCCTGAGGTGGATGGCTCGGCAAGGATGTGATGTCAGGCATTCGGAGTGGCACTTTTTAGGGCTTCAAAGATTTTCACCCCAACAAAAGAGAGCCACCAAACCAATGGGACAACAAGGCAAATGAAGAGAAGCAAAGGGTTCAAAGATAGTAAATACGCCACATCAAGAACAAGAACAATATATGCAACAATAGAATATTCCTCGCTTCCATGCCCTGACAGGAAGGCGGTGAGGCCCCCGTGACCCGTAAAAAAAAAAGCGTCGCAGCAAATGAGGCGGCACGGTGGCATCCGATTTTTTTCCCTCTCCCTCTCTCTTCTCCCCTCCCACCATTCTTGTGATTTCTCACATACATCAACTTTCCCTCATATCTAGTATTTAAAGACTTCTTGGAAAAGAAGTCTGTAGTACTAGCCTTCTACTCAGCGAACACCCCACAGTTCGCTTAAAAAAACCCCCCACCACAGATCACAGCGACATCTGTGATCCCCTCCTACAACCGCAATCATGGCTGACAAGGGTCTTGAGGATCTTCCCGAGGGTATGTGCTGCGCCTTTTCCGCAGCTCTCTGGTCTTTCTGTCGCCTTTTTTCGCTTTTCGCTTTTTGCAGCCAGGGGTACTGGTTGGCAGATCGTGGTGGCGTGGGCAAGAGACAGAGAGAGGACATGGACAGTATGGAGGCTAACTTCGCTTTTTTCGCTGCCAACAGGACAGATCGAGTCTAACTACGATGAGGTTACCGACTCCTTTGACTCTATGGACCTGAAGCCCGAGCTGCTTCGCGGTATGTGATCCTAAAGTCTTATCTGGTGGGGTCGATGAAAAAATACTGACCGACGGATCAGGTGTCTACGCCTACGGTTTCGAGCGTCCCTCCGCTATCCAGCAGCGTGCCATCATGCCCATCATCAAGGGTGAGTTTTTTTTTATTATTCCCAAAGTCATGGAATTTGCGCCTAACGAGGTCAGGCAACGATGTTATCGCCCAGGCTCAGTCCGGTACCGGTAAGACCGCTACCTTCTCGATCTCCGCCCTCCAGAAGATCGACCCCGAGGTCAAGGCTTGCCAGGCTCTTATCCTCGCCCCCACCCGTGAGCTTGCTCAGCAGATCCAGAAGGTCGTTGTCGCCATCGGTGACTTCATGTCCCTCGACTGCCACGCCTGTATCGGTGGTACCAATGTCCGTGAGGACATGAACGCCCTTCGTGCCGGTCCCCAGGTCGTTGTCGGTACTCCCGGTCGTGTCCAGGACATGATCCAGCGCCGTGTTCTGTCCACCACCGCCATGAAGCTCTTCATCCTCGACGAGGCTGATGAGATGCTGTCCGTAAGTGATACATTTGAGATCGCGTATTTTCGTCCAGGTCTAACTTTCATTTTTTTTTTCTACAGCGTGGTTTCACCGAGCAGATCTACGACATCTTCCAGCTCCTTCCCCAGTCCACCCAGGTCACCCTGCTCTCTGCCACCATGCCCCAGGATGTCCTTGAGGTCACCACCAAGTTCATGCGCGACCCCGTCCGTATCCTTGTCAAGAAGCAGGAACTCACCCTTGAGGGTATTAAGCAGTTCTACATCGCTGTTGAGAAGGAGGAGTGGAAGCTCGACACCCTCTCCGATCTCTACGAGACCGTCACCATCACCCAGGCCGTTATCTTCTGTAACACCCGCCGAAAGGTCGACTGGCTCACCGACAAGCTCACTGCCCGTGACTTCACCGTCTCCGCCATGCACGGTGACATGGAGCAGGGCCAGCGTGATGTTATCATGAAGGAGTTCCGTTCCGGTTCCTCCCGTGTCCTGATCGCCACTGACCTTCTGGCCCGTGGTATCGATGTCCAGCAGGTTTCCCTGGTCATTAACTACGACCTGCCCGCCAACCGTGAGAACTACATTCACCGTATCGGTCGTGGTGGTCGTTTCGGTCGTAAGGGTGTTGCCATCAACTTCGTCACCGCTGACGATGTTCGCATGCTCCGTGAGATCGAGCAGTTCTACAGCACCCAGGTCGAGGAGATGCCCATGAACGTTGCTGACCTCATCTAAACTCCTTAACCCCCTTGACGTCTTGATGCGAATTACGATCGCAGAATCTGCGTTAAAAGTGGCTTTCTGTGTTTTTCGCATTTCCGCCGCAGTTAGGCTGGGAGGAATGGCCCAGGGCTGTGTCTCCGCACATTGAGTTGATTTCTTGTCGACGCCACGGGCTGCTTTCTTTACCTGCTGCTATGGTTTCCTATGTCTTGCACTAACGGAGATGTGACATGTTTGTGTGCGTTTACCTTTTGCTACTACGGTTTTCTCTATCTTTCCTGCATTTTCCCCTGTTTCCTTTTCCTCGTCTGTATCTAGTCCGCTCTTCTTGGTTAAGGATGCTGCTTCTTATCGTACTTAATCAATAGATTGGGCCAAAATGTGACTTGTTCCTCAGGGCGTTGTCCTTGGATATGAATAATGTGTTCCATCGTCCTATGTAGTGACCGTACTACGTAATTCCAGGTTGTCTCACGGTCTGATCGTTTTATCAATCGCCTTATATACCTGGCGATGAAGACCTAGGGTTGTGTGGTGATTTCCCGGTCCGCTTCGTGAAGCTGATGCCGCACGACTAAGCTTTGTATAGTGGTACGCAGAGATGACCACTTTCGGCGTTGTCCATCTGCCCCGGTTTCCCAATCTCAGCCAGCGCCCTCCCCACATCCAAGAACCAACAAAAAGCCTCGCATTCATCCTGATGGTCCTGGCTATCATCTATATACACCCTAGGTTTTCTATATCACCATTCTCATAGGACATGTGATAGATACTGTCGCACGCGCATACCACATACTGCCCCCGGCGGTCTACAATGATCACGATCACTTCAGGCCTCTTTCCCAAGTTGGCAACAGCGATGGGCATGTATTGCCACTACTCAGCGGTCCTTGCTCGTGACCTCAATGTCTAGACGCGTCTGTTGTTGTTTCTCCCCTCCACGCGACTTAGCTCTTTCATCTCCTGCTTCCGTTTTCATCATCACCATCACTCATACCTCCTCTTGGTCGAAATCTACAATCCTTCATCCATGCCTCAAGATTGACATCTTACCAAAATGTCTTCTCAAACCCGTGTTTCTCAAAACCGTGTTCCTCCCACTGTCCCCATCCCCGATGGCGAGGTCCCCAGTTCCACTACCAGTACCGAGAGGAGTGACCCCAGCTCCAACGTTCCAGCCGAGTTTACCCTATCCAACATTGCTACTCTTCTCCTTTGGAACCATGAACTCCACCGCCAGAATAACCTGCTGGCCGCGGATCTCAACCGCGCCAGAGATCGTCTCCACTCTACTTACGAAAATATGTTTAACATGCGTGAATTGATCGACGAAATGAACGCTTGCGCTATGAAGCTTCTCATGTCCCAGAATGGTCGTTCGACTCGTGAATATTTTGAGGCTGCTGATCGGTACCGGTTGTGGCAGCTCACTATGCCTATTCCGCGCCCCGAAGATCGGTGGCCGCATGAAACTTACTACGATGCCTTTATTACTGGGTTGGATAACGAGGAGGACCGCAACATATTCCTTCGTGGTGGGCTGAATTGGGAGACTCTTCGCCTGTATTTCGATGCTGTGGACTATGACATGTAAGGGCATAGTTGGGCTGACTGTTTCATGTAACGATATAATGATCTACTAAGTTTCTTCATTGGTGCTTTGAGCAAATGTCTGTGTTTTGTATTGACTTATTGCTAAGGGTTGGCGGTGTCTTTGTTACCTTTTTTTTTTTGCCCCTATGTTTCTTTCAACCTTGGCTCGTTTGCTTTTTTCCTCGTTCTTTTCTTGAACTCCTACCCTGTAAACTTGCTTGTTAGCTTCCAGGTTTAGATGGTCAGATAGGAGGGTCCCTGGAGTTGAGCTCTATAGCCATCTTGTATCGTAGACTATTTCTCTTTCTTCACGTTGACCCTTGTAGTCTCCTTCGAAGCCGTATTTTGTTCAATTCCTCTTGGATTAGGCTCACTCTCAGTGTATACCAACTTTCCTTTGACTATCTATCATCTCACGTAATTCTCTTCGACTCAAAACGGCAAGCAAGAAAAATGGAGTCCACAGGACTCGAAACCCTATTGGAGTAACTTGGTCAGGATATTTTCTCACGGTCAAATCACTTCTTATTCAGGGTCACGTCTCTCTTATAATCTTCTCACTCTCGGCTTGATACTCTGTTTGTTTGTCCTCATTATTTGACTTATCCGAAGCATGAGTTAAAATATGTACCAATAGAATCGCGATATATATTACTAATCTAGTTCTTGGAAACCATAAACCACTTTTTCTCTCAAAAATAGCGAGATAGTAATTGTTCTAATCAGAAACAAGCATCAGGTATCCTACCGACGTGGTGTAGTACATCGCCAATTATGATCACTTTAAATTTTAGGGCACGATTCTGTGGCAGCGCATCACGTGCTGGCACTCTACCCTAACACCAGACTATAGAATGCACCCAATTTGAAACAAACGTCTCTTAATTCACATATTACTAAATCCTAGTCATAGTATATTATAGGGAGAAGATGCTAGATGCAAAGCCTTTCAGATGATGAAGAGCAAACCCGACCGCTCGAGAACACCTCGCTTGCACGTAAGGTTTCGCATCGTGGGACCTCCTCAAGAGGTTCGAGAGCGTGATTCAATGGTTGACGCTTGAACTAAACGAATGTGTTAGTGCCTGAGCGCAAGTAGGCATACGTTAATGTACGGGAAAGGTATCTCACAAGGTCCACAAGACATATGAGACTACGATATGAGGACTTGGAGGAAGCAGGTCGAGGTCGGTTGCAGGAGCATCGGTCATGGTGAGATCACTGATGGGACCTTCACTCGGTTGGTGAAATGTTGCGGTGGCGGTGGAAGCATCAGCGAACGATCTAGCAACAGAATCAGGAATATTGAAGCGTGCTTTTCGCTGTTCCGCATGTTCGACGGATCTAACGATTCCGGTGAGTATCTTTTCAGGAGATGTCCCCAAACAATAGCCTGAAGAAGTGGCCATATGAGCTGGAGAATTGGCGTTCTCCATGTTAAATGGCATGGCATTCTCTGGGTCATCGGGCATGGGGGCCCCTCCTGTAGATGCAAACCTAGCTCGTCCCCTTCATTGTAGGGGACACGTCATTGACTACACTAAAAGCAGTCCCGTAGAAAATCATTCCATCGCGCTCTGTCGACTTCATGCTTGATACTACGGGCGAGGCCATGTTATATCTCTCCCGAATGGTCACTAAAACGGAACTCATCGTCTCTATCTCGACGAAACCATCGGCTACAACTTTTCAAGCTTCGAGCGTCACGAAACGGCCCGATAACCCTCGCATCCCCCTGGTGGGGCGTGTTTTTCTCAATGCAGGTGACGCATTGCGGAGAGCACGAGCATGGCGTTGGGGCGTGGGCTATATGTATTGGTTCCTGGATCCGAATGAAAAACATTTAGATACGCTCCGACAGTACGTTGAAGTTGGAAAGGTGGTGCCTATCTTTGGGTCCAAAGTGGGCATGAGAGATACCGAAAAAGTGAGAGAGGCATGTGGGTTAATTTAAAAGGGGAAGACTGTGCTTGAAGTAATTCAAGCCTGAACAAACCGAAAAAGCAATGCGATACAATAGCTTTAATATTAATAAATGTGATCTAAGCTCAGCTTCAAAACTAAAGGTAGACGCAAATGGCGCGCATATGGACCAAGGAAACTAGTCAGTGCTAGCAGTTTCGAGAGAATGAATAATCTAGATCTGGCACAACAGGTACTATATCATCAAAAATTCCACAAATATGAACTAGTGAAGAGCGGCCCAGACCTGAAAGATACCAGCCGCCGCTGTAGCGATTCCATTCACCTTCAACCCTCTTCCGAGGTACCAGGCAGAGCTAGACCAAGCAATGATGGCAACCAGAGCAGCCATGGCACGGTTGAGTGGATCATTCAAGGAGTTTGGATTCCGAGCCCAGTGAAAATTGAGTAAAGCTAAGTAAGACCAAGCTTGTCAGAAAGAAGTTCCATGTGCCGCGAGTGGGAAAAGATAAATACCAGTCAGAATCAAGTAGCCGCTACCCTGATACCAGCCAGCCGTGCTACATGTGTATGCAATATTTGGCAAGGATTGATATTGAGGGGTTCGCTGAAATTGTCGTCCTGAAGCCTAAGGGAATCAGTCAATTTCCATAAATCATGTCGCCTTTCTGGGTTTTGGAGAAGACTCACTGCGTGCTTTACGGCATTTAATAAAGTAGTATTTGGCATTGTGATGGCAATGAACACAAGCGAACTGTTTGGGACCAGTTAAGAAAGCAAAAGACGTCTAAGTGGTGGTGGTGGTGGTGGTGTTAAGACTCTTTATTATGTGCTATATATCAATGAAAGGATCAGGTATGCCATGTGGACTTAAACCTCGGCAGATTTCTTTTCAATTCTGTTATTCTCACCTTCCGAGAATGATGGATGGATGTCACATAGGCTTCAAGAGTCGGAAAACGGGTGAACAATCAGTCCGTCTTGTAGATCCACGTGTAATACGACGTTCCTCGTCACTATGACCTATATCATGCTTTATCGCTGGATTGTCGCAGTTATTTTCATTGCCAATGAAACAAATTCAAATTGAACCCCATAGTAGCGGCTACATTAGAACGAAATGAGAAGGCAAGATGGGAGGTGAAATATATGGAAATCCATGCGTGTTCATTTGATTTTGATAACTCCGTACTCATGACTTGATAAAATCAAGCAAATCCTTGTTAACTTCATCAATATTGATGTTATGAATCGCATGAGAGCCCCCCTTGTAAACCTTCAGCTTGCCTTGAGGCAAAAGCTTCGCCGATTTGAGTCCAGCGGCTTCAATAGGAACAACCTGATCATCATCACCGTGAAGAACAAGGACTGGAATATCGATAATTTTCAGATCCTCCGTGAAATCAGTCTCCGAAAAATCCTTAATACAGTCATAAGCCGTCTTGTAACTGGTATTCATGCCCTGCTGCCACCAATGGCGGATCTGTCCCTCGCTCTTCTGCGCACCAGGCCGATTGAAGCCGAAGAAGGGTCCACTGGGAACATCTAGGAAGAATTGTGCCCGATCTTTGTGCATAGCTTCTCGGAATGAATCGAACACAGATTTGTCCAATCCCTCGGCGTTGTCGCTAGTTTTGAGCATAAGAGGGGGCACGGCGCCGACAAGAACAGCCTTTCTGAAGCGATCTGTGCCGTGCTTCCCGAGGAAGTGGGTGACTTCTCCTCCTCCGTGAGAATGTCCGACCATGACGGCGTCTTTGATTTTAAGATACGCAAACAACTCTGCAAGGTCGTCGACGAAGAAGTCCATCTTGTTTCCTTCCCAAGTTTGAGTGGATCGTCCATGGCCGCGCCTATCGTGTGCGATGACACGGTAGCCGTGGTCGGCCAGGAAAACCATTTGGTTTTCCCAGTTGTCGCTGCTTAAGGGCCAGCCGTGAGAGAAAGTGACTACAGGCCCATCGGGGTTGCCCCAGTCTTTGTAGAAGAGCTCGGCTCCGTCTCGGAGTGTGAGATATGGCATGGTTATTTGGTTGATCACAGTTGTTTGATTGTTAATTATATCATGGGATTGATGCAGTGAGAAATCAAATTATACGAACAGGTGATATGTTGAAGTCATGATATTTGATCAACTGCGTCATCCTGACTCTGGGGTTGGTCCAATCGTAATAGAGTTTGACAAAGATATCAATCGTGCCCCAAAACGGAACTATGAGACGAACTTGACCGTAAAGAATGAGTTAGCGCCTAGCCTGAGTCTTACAAGTCTTACATGTTGGGCGTGCTAATGTCATACTGCCCCCGAACTTCGCCCGAGGTGAAGTATAAGATAATACCACCAGTTCATAATCTGCAACACGAACCGACATGAGCAAGATAGTATCAACAAAAACATCAACCCTCCTTTTATATTCTAATCAGTATATACATAAATCAAGCTAGATAAGAAATCTAAGTCTCCTTAAACTCATACCGCCCCTCACGATCTTGCACCTCAACCTCAATGCGACCCTCCTCAATCTCCTTCCCACCGACCTCAATAGAAGCTCGCATGATATCACCAGCCTGAACCTGGCCAACACCCTTCGGCGTACCAGTCAAAACAATATCACCCTTCTCAAGCGTCATCACGCGAGAAATCTGAGCCAGCTGCTTAGGAATACGGTGCAGCATCAAGCTAGTCGAATCAGCCTGGCGCTCAACGTCACCGACCTTCAGGCGCAGGAATGCGTCGTGGGGGTTGGGGATGCGCGACTTGGCGATTTCCTGAGAGATCGGGCAAAAGGTGTCGAAGCCCTTGGCGATTGACCAGGGGAGGCCCTTCTTCTTGGCTTCGTCTTGGACGTTGCGGGCTGTCATGTCGATTGCGAGGATGTAGCCTGTGAGTTGGGAAGTTGTTAGCGATTTGCTGATTTCGCGCAATTGCAATGTCTCTGCTAATGTCCCGACCACTTTGTCTTGCGCGCCGTTCAGAGGTTGCAGGTGTACTCACTGTGAATCGCGTCCAGCGCGCCCTGCTCATCATTGGGATCCAGGTCCCGTATGGTCTTGCCCATAATCAAACCCAATTCGACCTCATAGTGGAGGCTGACGCCCTTGGGGCGGAGGACGGGTCCGGCGCCCGGAATAAGGATGGAGGAGGCGGGCTTAAGGAAAAAGAAGGGTTGCTTGGGGGTTGCGCTATTCAGCTCGGTAATGTGATCGCTGTATTTGTCAAAAGGTGTGAGTATTTTGGTCTGAGCAGAGTACTGACGCTCGTCGGAACCTCCGAGACTGGGCGCGGGGAGACTCACGCATAGTTACGGCCGATACACATAATCTTGCGGCAATTGGCACGGATGGAAGCCATTGTGTAGGATTTTGAGGTTGGGAAACTGGTGATGGCTGCAACTGAGGGAGAGAGAAGGTGTCGCGGAGCTGGAGAGGGAGGTCAATCTCGTCGGGTGTTCTCCGAGCGCAATGCGGAGAACTGTCGGCTGCCGCCCCGACCGCTTGTATCTTTATCCAGCGATATAGGAGGCTCGCATTGAAAATAGTTCGTGTATCAGTATTAGGTTATTGAGATATTATTCCAGGCTCTTTGGTTCAGCTAGAATCTAGTTGGGCTTAATTGGGAACAAGCAACAGCACTAGAGCCGACGGCGACACACCTACAGTTCCACCTACTCTATGATAGACACTAGTTATAATTGTTGAATTGACATATAAAACATTCTATGGCTACCTAGTTGCCAATATGAACGAAATACCCTATTTTCCTAGCGCAAATGAGTCAAACGTTATGTCGGTTCGGTCCTCCGAACATCGGAAGAGCAGCCGAGCTCAAGGATGTATAGTGTCGAGTTCGCAAATTGGATTTCCTGGGCGGGGCATTATTCTCCGACAAAGTAAGAAGCTCATAGATAGGACAAATTTTGAAATGGTTTCCATCGCTACTTGTTACAGCAAGTATTGCGGAAGTGTTGCTGTACAGCAGTCTTCTTGGCTAAGTTGCATATGGGTTGCTATACATCATCTGCAAAAATAACTCAGACATAGTCAATGCTTCCCAGAGTCTCCTACTTCCGCAACATCTTAATAGTAGGCCCCATCTCCTCACCAGCGTCAAGACACTTCTTCGTCTCCTCATCAATCTCAAATCTCTCCTGACAAAGCCTAACACACTCCTCAATATACTCAACGGGAACAGCTACAACACCATCCTGATCCCCAAGAATATAGTCACCTGGAGTAATGGTGACCTTCTCATCAACCTCAACATTCTCATACGGAACAGGCACATCAAGCTCCGAAGACCGGGTAAAGGTATTCGATCCAAGAATACTCAACCCTCGAGCAAAAAGACCAAAATTCATTTCGCGGTGTTCAGCGATATCTCGGAACCGACCATCGATGACAACACCAGCGGCACCGAGCTTCTTTGCACGCGTGCTCATTAGCCCGCCCCAGCATGCGCTGATTAGACCCTTTGGCTGGGAGATGAACACCACACTTCCCTTTGGGATATTGTCGACGAAGTGGTGCGGTGGGTTTGGTGAGGTTTTGTCTGATGCGTGGACCATTCGCACTGTATATGCTGGTCCGAAAATCTTGGCCACTGTGCCGTTTGAGCCTGGGCTGTACATCTTCAAGCCGGAGAGGTAGCCCCCGTGGCGAAGACCTAGGTTCACGAGGGCATCTCCGATCTTTATAGGTCGGTTAATGATCATGTTTCTTCTGTGATGGTTGTGGGAGGTAAGCTTACATCGCAAGACGCGAACTTGCCCAGCGCTTGAATCGCCTTGGCGCTTGCAACCATATTTGAAGTTTGATGAGGTTGGCAAGAGCGGTCAATCCAGGGAGTTTGGTACAGTTTTATCTCGGACTAGACGCGTCTTCAGTAAATGGCCAAAGTTGACAAGCAAAAAGCGGATGAGGTTGCGGAGTGACCCGGACCCACCTGGAACACTCCAGGACGCGATTTGCGAAATCAATAGCAGAACATATATCTTGTTGAATTAGGAAAGGAACAAGGCTCTCAGTGCTATTAAAATGACTAAGTCTAGTTTTTTGAAAATTTAAAAAATCAACCGCGGTGATACTTGACACTGAAAAGCCACTCTATACAACGAACCTTGCGTCTGCCAAGACATCCATATTTGACGGTAAGTCCATCACAACTCAACCAACCCTCATCAACAACCTGCCAAATCACCACATCACCATGCAAGTCGCAGAAATACTCTCAGACATAAACTCCCTTCGCGTCTGCGTAAGTACTTCCGCCATTTCTAGGCATTCAGAGCCCCAAGGAGGGGCTCTTCACATGCCGATAAACACGAGCCGTATATCAGAACAGCGCCACGCAGAATAACAAGTCTAATAACAATCAATAGGGCCATAATGAAGCACTCGCCTTGGTAAATGTGCACAAAACGAACGCAAGTCCAGAATCTGCCGAGACTGCCAATGTCTCAACAGATAAAGATGATCTCCGTCGTGCAAAGGAGCTGGTTGAGTTACATTACGAAGTTAAGGCACGACACGCCAATGGGACTGTGGATGAGGAGCTGAACCAGGCCCGCGAGGATGTCCAACGTGTTCTAAGAGAGTTATCGACTGTGTGACCGTATTCTCTGATGGGTGTTATGTGCTCGGGTTTAGGGTGTTTTTTTTTTCTTTTGCATGACTCTATGACAAATGTTATGGATAGTAAGAGTCTCTCGGCTGGGGATATTATTATTATGATTATGTTGGTGTTAATCTGGCACATTGCTATTATTTCCATTTCTTATTCCCCGTCTTGCAACCCATTATATCAAGGTCCTATGCAAACGCGATCAAGTCCTCCGAGGACATGTTCACACATCCTTTCTGAAATACTGTACAATCTGATTATGAGCAACAATTCTCCCAACAGTGGTCCGACAAAGATCGCCAATAGCCCTAGCCCGTGACTGAATCCCCTTATCCTTCAGAACTCTCAACAAAGCCGAAGAAAGCTCCGAAGCCTCAATTTTCGGCGCTGCATGACGACTCCCATGCACGCCAATACCCAGCCATTCCACTCGCGACGGACAATCATATGTATCGAACCATTGCGGCAAGACAACCTGTGGAATGCCCCCTCTTGGAATGGCAAATGGACAGTCAGCACCATATCATAACCCCCTTGCCATCTGGGTAGACTGAGAAACCAAGAAAGAAAACCTACTTGCAAGCCTCAAAATAAGAATTTGCCCCGCCGTGGTGCACGTAAGTCACTATATGTCCGTTTTCAAGGAGTGATATAATTTCCGGCTGGATCCATGAGACGACTCGTACTTTATCGGATAAGACCATTGGGCTGAGGATAGCTTTGACGCGTGGTGAACTTTCCCAGTCATATCTTAGTTTCCAGAGGACGTGGATGTCGGGATGTTTACTTAAGACCATTTGGATAGCCTGGACCATTTGCATTGCGTCGTTTTCCGGTGCTTGGACGTGCGACCCAAGACAGATTAGGATGGTTGGCTCTGCTAGCCAGGCGTTTAAGGAGGGGTCGTCTGATGCGAGTGATGTATGGGGTCGGAGTATTGGCCCGCAGCTTATTACGTTTTTTGGGACGTGGAATGGAAAGTCCATTGTTGGGAAACACGGGGATAAGTGGAGGTGGTCGTCGCAATAGGGGAACAGATGTGGAAAGGGTGTTATTATTCTTGCTTTTTTGCGGCATGCTAAGAGTTTGCGCATTGGTTTACCGCAGCGGACTATTAGACCAAAACAGAAGACCATGTAGATTGTTGGGAGGATTAGGCGCCAAGGCAGTGGAAAGGGGTAGCCTGATCCCGTGCTGTAACGATGTCAGCTTGATTCTTTTGGGTTGTTCAAGAGAGAGGTGGCACACAGTGGATATTTCCATAGGATACCCAGCTTGGGTTGGATCATTATAACCACATCTTTCAATGGAACAGGCCAGAGAATAACAATTTTCATCTGCAAACTGCGCGCAGCATCCAGACCGAGATGTAAGAGCGGATCAACAACAACCACGGCCGGTTGGACGGCTTTCAAAATCTCTAGGCAACTCCTGTATGATTGCAGATACTCTTCAGGTGTCCAGGCAAGAACAGATACATTGATCTTCTTACAGCCATCGATTGAGCCTGCAAGCCCGGGCTTGTGGCATATATCAGGGGTACTGCGAGCGACGAGCTCACTCATGGATGCACCTGCAATTGTATGGAAGTGTGCAAGTTGGTCGTGATCGGCTTGGTCAGTTATTGCTTGCACACGTGCCGCTAATGGTTTGAAGGAGGCTATGTGTACTTCGTGTTCTCCACGCCGGAGGAATTCTTGTGCTACTGCGAGTATCACATTTGATTGCCCGTGCTCGGGATTTGTGAGGAAGAGAATGGTTTGGGCTGGGGATGTCATGGTTATTGATTTGAGTGGGGACTCCATGGGCCAGCATTGAGAATTATGAGTATTTTGCTTTTTATTTATTCTTCTTGCTTCTTGATGAGATTGTATTGTCGTACTCGAGGCAGGGATATTAACCGAGGATGGTTACTCAGGTGAAATGAACTTGGGTAGGTATTGGGTTCTCTGCATTTCCTATGTTCTCAAGAGGGGAAGGTAGTAGTTGGAGAGTTATTCTATGGCAAATTGCCGGTGGAGGCAATAAGGCAATATCCGAATCTATAAACGTTCCTGTGAATAAAGGGAGCGCATGTCAATTACATGTGTTTATTCCGATTGCGCAAGAGATGGACGCCCTAGAACGGAGTGAAATCGATGTCATTAAGCAACCGAGGTTGAACGAGGTCATTGTAAATACTATGTTGTACTAACTGTACGACGCAGATATCCAATCTTCCGTAGACAACACGAGGTAATACCGAGACCGACTAAGTTCATTGCAAACAAAAACCAAAATGTAGTTCGGTAGCCGCTCATAATTGCTCTCGGTGATGCCATGAAAGGTGCACTTTCACGAGCTGGTGGACTTTGCGATGTGGTCACATCATGCGAAATAAATCCTGCTAACGACATGCCAATAGACGAGCCTACCATGGCAACTGTGCAGATTACTCCTGCTGCTAGACCTTGGGTCTCGTTCGGTAATTCTTCAACAATAAACATGGTAGTGATAAGAATGATGACACTCGGCGCAATTGAACCAAGTGAAACGGCAAAGCATTCATATTGCCAATAGGATGACTCCGGGTTGAAGATGGCCATAATAAATGGCGCGATACTCGACATAATGATCGAAACAGCAACAATTTTGTTTGCTTGGAGTCGGGGTATGAACTTCCGTGTAAGGAGACCGCCGAGTGCGCCGGCCACTGGAACTGGTAGGAATCTCCAGGAGGATTGAAGTACCGAGAGACCTTGCACTCGTTCGAAAACCAAGACAACAAGTTGCGAGAACGAGTGAAAAGAGAAAAAGACGAAGAAGACAACAAGGCTGAGGCAAATGAAATGGCCATTCGTCCAGAGTGAATCTTGAATGCCGTGTGTGCTTTCTCTTTCCCAGCAGTCCTGCCAAAACAAAAAAGCGATCAAAAAAAGCCACCCCAGGGCGAGGGGGATGAATAGTCCTGATTTGCAGATGTTCGCAACATGGTTTGTGAGGGCACTATCCAATCTGTTAATAGGATGTGGTCAAAGGAATGTCTGGGTATGCATACGCCAAGGCAATAAACAAAAGTGCCATGAGGAAGGTGGCTAAGAAAGTCCCAAGCCAATCAATATCACCGTATATCTCTCTCCACGGAATGTCTTTCGTATCATCAACATGTTTGGGAATGACCCACACGGAGACGAGGAAACCACAAAGGCTAAGGGTGGCAGCATAATGAAAGCTCAATCGCCAGCCAGCGGTCACTGAAAGGAGCCCAGCAACTAAAATTCCCACACCGTGGCCAGCATACTGACATGTAATCGTAGAGGAAAAAGCCAAATTGCGTATTTTTCCAACTGGCAAATTCTCTCTATGAATGGCCATTGAGGAAAGGAAGCACATTGAATATGCCATGCCGGACACAATTCTAGAAGCAATGAGCTGCGCTCCACTTTGTGCAAGCCCGATGCTCAGGTAACAGACAGTCTGCAGAAAGCAACCTGATAAGAACACCCTTCGGCTGCCGAGGACATCGGTCAATGACCCCGCCAGGACGAAGGTGCAGCCCTGTGCAAGGAAGAACAAAGACATTGGCCTAGTAGTTTGATCAGATGAACATATTTGGTGTAGCCTATGACCAAACTGGATGGCAGACATGGGAGTGGGGTGGGTCGAATACTCACCATAATTCAACGCCAGGGGCTAATTTGAGCTCCGCCGCAATTTGCGCGATGTTGAGCGTGAGCAAGCCATTGAGAGCAGCGCAGATGAATATTGAGCAAGCAGTGCATAGAATAATGAGAATTTGGTGAGAGTCACCACGTTTGGCATCTGACTGGGGCACGACCCCGAGAAGCGGCTGATATTCAGGGATTTGATAACGGAGATCGCGGTCGGGCTCGGGAAGGGTCCCGCCTGAGCCTAAATACGATTGCACGTTCGGCATCGTTTTGTTAAAAGTCGATGATGGCAATATTGCAGATCTGGTGCATTCCAGGCATTTTCGTTGATGTGATGGATGCCTGCCTGAAGAGATTCAGCGGTGGAAGAGGCAAAAAGAGAGAACTGGCATGGCACGAAAAAGCAAACGCAGGCAAGAAGCCGAGGTGCTAAGATGAAGGCAGTTAGAGACGTGTTGTGATTGATCGACTTGGATCCACTGCAGCCTCCCTTGCCGTTTCTTCTGTTGTTATTGGTCACATGTCATTCTTGTGTTTCGATGGTTTTGGCATCGTTTAGGGGCCCTTTTTTTGGCGACCCTTGAAAGATGGGTATTGAGTTCGATTAGTAGTACCCAGGTGAGCTCTGATATTTTCCGGGGCTTTGCAATACGCCTCACCCTACTCCCTGATCAACTGGTCTACAGAGTATTAATTGTGGAGCTCCATGGTCACAACGTAGATTCCTTGAGGTTTGACAGCAATTTGCATAGAGGTTACACGTGAGAATGCACGTTTATATTCTTCAGGGTTGAGTGACCCAGTGCTAGTGTAAGCTTACCCCAGGCGAACTAAAATCAACATAATGCTCATGGTGAAGGAAGAGCAGGACAGTCCGGGAATTGAGCACCAAAAAAAAAGGTGGAGGGCAGCTGTTCCCTCCGTGTGTTTTCCAAAGATTAGATATGTTCTTTTCGGGTTCGGGTTGTCAGCCCTGGGTATTGAACCCATGTTGTAGGGGACGATGGCGGACAGAGAACAGATTTGACCACACCGTCGGCCCCCATAGTATCTGGAGCACGTGATCTAGATGAGCCGACCGCCTTTGGTATTGCGGTCTTTCATTGGTCAGAAGCCAGTGGTGAGCCGAAGGTTTGGCCTCGAAGGTCTATAAAGCAAGCTTGTGGTTACAATCGTATTTAACGTTGTTTCATCATTATGTGCTGAGGTCAAGATTAATTGGCAGTATATGACCATGAAAGCTTCTGGAAGAATCGGTGATGGATGGATTATGACAAAAACGAAAATTTGAATTAATCTATCCAACAGGCCGTGAGACAACTCTAACCACCTCACGAATTGAACCACAGTTTAGCAATTCGCCACCCCTTTTCATAGTCCACATCAAGGTAATACCTCCAGGGACTCAAGGCAACATGAAGAACCTGACATTCCCAGTCGAAGGTAACTGCCGCATCAGGAGTAACGCTGAGTCTCTTTACCATATCGCCAACGAGTACGCCCCCAAAGATAATCTCAAAAATGGAGAGAATGGAAAGGATGGCAACCGGTCCTGGATCTGCCCATCGTAGCATGCTACGAGGCGATAAGTCTGGAGTCTTCTCTCTTCGGAAACAGGCAATGGCCATCGTGCCGACAGGCGAAAGGGCCGCTATTGTCAATGCGAGGAACATTACCCAAATAGCGATACTTGAGTCTGTATGCAGATAGGCAGGCTCAAACCCAGGATCAACGAACAGCCAATTGCGAGAGCAAATTTGTGTCGCTGAGCAAGCCGAAGCTCCGGGCGCAGCGTCGATTTGAGAATGCACGCAATCGTAGCTTGGATTTGGCGCGCGTTGGCCACATCTAGTGTACAAACCGGCGGGATTGTTGACATGGATCACGTACAACGTAGCAATCCACTGTATCGCTGCTAGAATGTAGAAGAACCACCGTGCAACCTTTTTTTTTGCGCGACGGTTCCTTCGAAAGGCGCATGAATATGGATGGTACCTGAACAGACCGGCATATTTCCAGGGGATTACCCAGCCTACTATGAAGGGTGTTTTGGCGCTCTCTGGGGCGGCAGCCAATTTCGCGAATGACACCCACCACCAGACAAACGCAAATAGATCAACGCCAATGAATAACCAACTGTACCAGTGTATATCACCAAGACCTTTGCAGAGCTTATTTTTCGGGCTGTACAACGCTTTCTGCTGTAGCAAAAGCTGAACCAGTGACCCTGCTAGGAAGCCAGCAGATGCGGCCCAGCTAGTGAGGAGAGTCGGCCACAAGGCCGAATCGCGCGGATCAGACGGGATGACCTTGTAGTTATTGAAGCAGCTCATGGTGTCACACCAGTCCGAGATAGTGTTGCTGTCCTTGCCGAATACCTTACTACTGCTGAGATACCCAACATCATTGTCCCCGAAGCCAGTAATTTTGGTGACATTCAAAGCGACACGTATAGCGGTACAGTTTCTTGTGGATGCTTGTGTACTGTAGCATTTCTCGAATCGAGTGTTTTTGTAGAGCGCGTATTTTGGGCTGTCGGAGCTGTAGCCGCCAAAATTGGGGGATTTGACAGCGAACAGGACGGTGAAAGCTATCGCGACTCCCATGAAGCAGGCAATCCTGAAGAAGGCACTCCCTATAATTCCCCATATGACATTTCGCTTCCGCGTTGTGTCCATCTTTTTGGGTACTGAAGGGAATTTGCAATTGGTGAAATCCCCTTAACATACGTTAGTGCTTGTGTATTTCGAGGGCAGTAAAAAGTAAAGCATGAGGACGTACTTCCGCCATAAGCAGTGTGGTGAGATGGAAGTTGACCATACTCATAGTCCGTTGACCCTGTCCGCAAATTAGCCAGTCGCGGCATGATGGAGAGGCGGGATGGCTATGTTGGCATAAAAGTCATAGATTCAAGCAGCGGTCTCAAGTATATAAAGGATTCAGTTCAAAATCACCCACACTTATAGTTAGACAGGATGCCAAGTACAGCCTTGCCAATTTAGAATGTGCCTGTTTGTATTTGGCTCATATTTAGCCTGCAGCACGTATATGCATGCGGCCTTTGGACCCAAAAAGCAAGATGCAAGCCTCACCGGCATCTCCGCGGAGGGATGCCACCCAATCAGCTGAGAGAAACAACGTCAAATAAGCCAAGGCCAATTCACTGGCATCGGAACTTCAGCCGCACGCCTCCTTAACATGCATTCTGGTGAGTTGCCCGGGAAAAGAGGTTCGTTCTTTGCGTGAACTATCCACTCCCCACGTGGCTTCTGGCAGCCCAACCAAGCTACTCGTGTCTAATTTTAGAGCCCCATCTGCTAAGTTTCTACAGTTCCTCGGTATTTGTCTCATTAAAACTTCAATCTAGCCGCATCAGCCATTCAATGTCCAGTAAACCTCTGACTCCCCCGAGTCATGGCGACCTTGGATTGTAGTTTGTCCGCACGATCGAAAATCAAAGCGTTACCATCGGTAAATACAAGAATCTCTCTAGAATGGAATAGGAGTCCGGTACCTTCGAGATACCGAATTAATCTACACGCAAGGTCACTCGCTGTAGATGAACACAGAATTCAGTGCGGTACAGCGTGCTTTGCTTCAACCTGCCGATAAGAAAACACTGTCCCGCAGTTGGAACTGTGCGCATATCTGGGGCCACCCGAATGTTTGCTTCTGCAGAGACCAACTGTTCAGTTGGTCATCGGATCGGGCCGCCGGCAAGGCTGACCTGCACACGCGCCATCCCAGTCATGTTCCTAGGTATCGACTTAGTCCCCTCTGTCTAGAGAGTACATACGCTAGAGCTGCAGTATGCCAAGGCTGATGATCAACCCCAAATTGAGCATGTACTTCTTCACCCCTTCTAAGGCTACAATTAACACCAAGCCTGCAAAACGCCCCAGCCTCCACTGGAGTTTAGCTGCAAGGTGACTTTGCACTGCCGAGAAATAGGCTTGAATTATGATAAGCTTAAGCCAAGCTCTGCTGAGATCCACTAACGACTGGAAGAGTTGTCAGAAACAGCCGGATTCAGTGCTATCAAACCAAAGAGATTCCGTGTCCCGACTTGTCGACCCTGGACCCGACGATCCAGCGCTGCAGAAGTTAGACATTTTTTTGGAAATTTCTAGAGGTACTTTGAGATACCTTCATCGTCCATTGAGAAGAAGTCTCGCAATCAAAGGATACCAGTGCTCTGGAGTATTGGACGGTTTCTAGATGGGGACCTCAAAGTTAGTATATCGTCTTGTAGTCCGTTTCACTCTCTACATTGATCTGGGCCTTTCAGTGTTTTTGTGTCTATCTCGAGTGCCTCGAGCTAATCATCTAAATCATATAAGGATTAAAAATGGAGTGAGATGACCGATGGCTCCTGGTATATGACGTCATCGCCCATGGCCGTCCAGCGACCATAATTCAACCAAAAACACACCCTGCAACACTCAAACGCTCAGATCCTTGATATTGCCTTCTATTGAGCTTAATGATGTCTATAAAAACATACCAACACGTCCTTTCCTTCTGGTTCGGCGCGAAGTCATCCCGCGACTATCTGAAACAAAAGTCATTCTGGTACGGAAGCCCAGCAGACGACGCCTACATCCGCGAGAACCTAGGTCAATCGTACGAAGCCGCAAAAAGCGGCGAATTGGACTCATGGATGGGAGCTGGCGAGGGCGAGGGCGCGCTGGCTCTGATATTGTTGCTTGATCAAGTACCCCGGAACATCTTCCGGGATAAGCCACAGGCATATGCCACAGATGAGAAAGCTGTCTCCGTTGCTCGAGTCGCGGTTGGGGAAGGCTGGGATAAGAATATGCCCAGTATCCAACGGCGGTATATTTACTCGCCTTTCAATCATTCGGAGAACTTGCAGGATCAGGAAATGTCTGTGAAGTTGTTCACGGATTTGGGTGATCCTTATCATCTGCAATTTGCGACGGATTTTCGGAGGCAAATCAAGCGTGATGGGCGATTCAAGCACCGTGATCAGATTTTTGGACGGTGAAGGGTATTGTTGACATTCGCGAATTGAGGATACGCCCTTGGTCGATTGTATATTATATTTCTTTTTTGGTGATATTTTGACTGGTTTCTCGCAAACTTCAAACAAGATATCTGTAAAAAATCACAAAAAGGAAATATAGAGTCAAAGTCAGACATTAATTTTCGATGGACTGTTCGGCGGCTGTGGGGCTCAGAAGACAATCGCGGCATAAGAAACAACTTTTCACATCTCACACCAACACCAGGTATTAGAAGTCAATGTCAGAATGTACGGACTGTACGATTCTACAGTGGCGAACATTTTAGTTTTCGGATGCTTCTACCTGGTCCAGATAACAGTCCCCGCTGTCATCCTCATCACCGCGCGCAAAAGATCCCTCTTACGCTACCTCTGCATCCCATGTATGCTATGGGCAGCCAGTCACTTTATCCAACCATTTGGCGCATCTGGTAGTCCAGAATGGTGTCAAGCGATAACTCAGCTTGTTATTGTGGCTATGCAAGCCCTGAACTTCTTGTTGATTAACGCCATGGATAGCCAAGAGATTTCATGCGGCGCAAAGAGTAATCAAAGATTTGGATCTCGATTTGTGATGGCTATTCGCCTGCTTGGACAAACTCGCGCCATCAATACACCGTGGCAGGTGAAGAATGTGCCTTCTCATCCTCAATATTACATTCGACGGGGTATGCCAGTTCTAAGAAGAGGGCGGTTCCTTCTGCGGCAGTTTGTCATTGCAGTCTGGCAATATCTTGTTCTTGATCTTGTTCAAACTACTTCACAACAGCAAGCTATGGACAAGGTCCCTGAAGAATCCATGAAGTCAATTCAGTGGATTGTACCCGCGGGCCAATGGGTAGAACGGATTGGCACCCATATTTCTATTTGGTTTATAGTAAACCGCTTGATCGGTGATCTTCCTTATCGGGTTCTATCAATCATATTCGTTGGAACTGGACTTGATTCTCCTTCTGATTGGCCGCCAGCCTGGGGGAGAATGGGTGATGCATATACATTGCGCAACTTCTGGGGGTGAGTTCGATCAACAATACATGTTTGTTTCATCTTCTCTAATATTTTAAGCAGAAAGTTTTGGCATCAGTTCATGCGCAGGCCTTTCACTTCCATTAGCAATTTCGTTTCGCGGGATGTCCTGAACTTGACGCGATCCTCATTGTTGGAGCGATACACCAATATTTTCATCGTATTCCTCATCTCCGCAGCATTTCACATTATTGTCGATATATTGCAGAGTATTTCGATGGAGAAATCCGGGTCAATGCCATTCTATCTTGCATTTATCCTTGGAATAATGCTGGAGGACGGTGTACAAGAGCTTTGGAAACATATTCAATACAAGAACGAGCCTAATACCAAAGCAAAGTCATCACCAAAGGAAGACGTTCCCTTTTGGAAGCGGTCTATTGGACTAGTCTGGGTCATGCTATGGCTTGGAGTCACCTCGACATGGTACTTCACACCGATGATTCAATCCACCACAGAAGATGTGCGCATGGTTCCCGTCAGCGCTGCCAGATACATTGGTCTCGGGCCACTGATTGGTATTGTGGTCACCAGCGGTGCAATTATTACATATACATTCGAGATCGAGATATAAGTTGATTCCAAGTCATCGGCTCCACTATCAATCGCCCATTCTAGTACCTGCTTCGTTGCCGAGTATCTCTTAGTTTTGTTAGTAGACGCGTATAGATCTCGAATAAACTAATCCCGATCATTGATAGACATGCGCTTCAGTCTCTGCTAGCTTCCGGATCTATTCTGCTATGACATTGCTATCTTTCTAGCCCGTCAAGTCCTTCGCGAGCCCAGACTCATCTTCCCTCGCATTAGCCTATAAGCCCAAATAAGAAGTACCAAACTAACATCGAGAAAGGAAAAAACAAGACTTCCGCCAAAGATAATTGCATAATATTTCCAGGCTGACGATGTGGGTATAGACACCGTAGTAACGACAATCGCCCAAGGCAACATCCATAAGAGATTTGAGCCGAGAGCTTGGTAAAGATACCACCGAGGTGATGTTGCAAGAAGAACTGCTGCAATTTGAGTGTTCAATCCGTAGAATACGTATGTCCAATCAATGAACTGTGCAGGTTTAAATATACTTCTTCCGAATGGGTGATATTATGGAGGTTTACTTACCTTCCACATTCTTTGGGTGATCTTTGCCACGACTGTCGAACCAGACAAGTAATGCGCGAAAGACTCAATTCCCCTTAACGAAAGTGCAATACACATGATGCTTTCGAATGATAGAGCGATCCAACACGATGTGATCGCAGGCCGAATAAGAGCTACACAGAGAAGTCAATGTCAGTGAGATGACTGCATCTGTTTCGAATGATTCACTTGCTCAAAAGATCTCGCCGTGATAGACTGATGTACTCAGTACCTGCACGGGCGCGGAGTTGGCCCCAGTTATGTCCAACAAAAGCCAAAGTCGAGGCTTCTAAGGCCTGCACAGGAACCATGACGAGCCCCCAGCGAATCGTGTTGAACACCCCCCATGCAGTCGCATAGTCAGATCCTAGCAAGATTATTCTGTGAACAAGCCACAGGTATATTGCGTTCCGAATGGCAGATTCTGAGAAGGTGTACATGCTTGGTCTGATGAGTGTCAATAGCGTCGATGCATTCCAACGAAATCTTCGTGGGCTTTCCGAGTCCGTCTGGTAACGGTTGACTACCATGGTAAAGAAGTATATTGCTCCACATAAAGCAGAGACCGTATCACAAGCAAGTCGAACGATGCCCTGCATGACAATTGTAGGCTGCCAAGCACCCACATGAACCTTTGAAATCAAAAGTAGATCAAGGACAATATTGATGAGAAACTTGGCAGAACTTATAATCAGCGGTACATCAGGATTGTCAAGAGCTCTGGTTGAGGCTGACAGAGCTGTTTCCACCGCAGATGTAACAGCCTGCACAGATGAGAGTCGCACATATGTGATCGAGGTCTGTTTTACTTCCACAGGAACGAATCCCGCAGCGAGAGTCTTTGAGCAGGATAGAAATACCACCGTCATCAGTATCCCAAGCCCGGTTTGCACAAAGATCATTGTATAGGCCAGATCCATCCGCGCGCGAATCGTTCGTGTAGACTTATCCCCAATCACCAGCCATGCCGAGCGTGGGAGGCCCTCATTCAAGACCTCGACAATCACACCAATGTAAGTGTAGATGTCAGTTGTAACGACATGACTAGCGTCGATGTTCGCGACCCAGAGCTTGCTGAGTGTGCTGTACAAAGCCGGCAGGATGAATGCGCCCAGGTTAAACAATAAAGAGCCTGGATATCTATCATAGAAATCAGTTATTGGTACATCATGCCAAATTCTATATTGGGCATGAGTTACTCACCTCTCACGGCTCCATTTGCTGGGTGATGAAATGCTTGGTGAATCATCACCTAGCCTCTCTTGCCCACTATCCACCATTATCGCCATGTTGCTTTGTGTGGAAGGGCTTTTTGTATCAATATCTCCGGAATTTGAGCGTAAAGAGTTGGAAACTTCTATGCGAGTGAGAAATTGGGTTCAAAGAGGGGCATCTCCCAAGGTGGTATAGTCACATCTCTTAGGCTCTATATGTGGCGTATTGAGATGTTTGCTGGGTAGTGATAGGTCTAAATCTCACATGTTAACCGGTCTCTTTCCTTGGCATGCTTTCTCTCAGTTGAAAGACATGTTATTGGCGTGCTAGGATTATAAAGTATTCTAAACAGCTTTTTTCGTTAATATCTGGGAAGGCCTGAGAGACGGATGTTTGTCGTAGGAAGCAAGAAGCAATCATAGCAGCCAGGACTCGAGATGTGGGTTCCTCGGATATTTTTTCTCTGTCAAAATGACTGATTAAATTCCAAATGTTCATTTGGCCATTTCATTGATGTTGAAATCAGTGGAGGAAATGGGAAGTTGATGTCGCCAATCCGGGTTAGTGGGGCGCGTCCACGCGCCTTAAGAGCCGCATGCCATCAGCATCCCCTTCCTCCACTTTCATTACACTGCTCCAGAGAATCACTTTCACGTTAAGCTAAAATGAATAGCAAAACCTCTTGTTCAAAGTGTAATCATTCGTCTCTCTGCTTTTCGTCCTCCACGAATGCAGTGGTGGCAGGCTTCAAAAGACCAACCCAAAAACAACGCGTCGCCGCCACGAAATCACAAAACTTAGCCTCAAATAACCCAAATGACAATTTCCTCAAAGAAAATGATCGAGCATTCCCTGCTCCTTTGGTCCTTCCGGGGGATGATCTATCCGAGGACCCAGAGTACCCTACGCAGAGCTTCCAAGAATGGCTTGAAGAAGAAGACCGCAATCCCGTAACTCCAAAACAGAAGAAACTTTATATTTGTTCAATTCCAGATGCTTTTGATGGTGTTGAATTCTTGAAAGACTGGAAGCCAGCGACCAATATCCTGGCTAACAAAGAACAGTATCACCCCCCAATCACAATCCACATTGAGAACTACCTGAAGGCTTTCTATCATGGTTTGCCTACCAGTATGATACCAACATACAATATGCGTTATACAACATGGAGTAAGACCAAAAAGACATCCGGGAAACAGAAAATCCCCAAATACGTTGGTCTGGATATTGGCGGTGAAGTTGTGCGAATTCGTATTCGCGAACGACCAGAAGGAGACTACGCCGGTCAGCTCAATTTGAACGACCTCCTCGATGCTGCTATTGCCATTTTACCCAAAAATTCATACGCCTTGCTTCTCGTAGTCGACTTCGATCTCTACGAAGACGACGAAGACAGCTTCGTCTGTGGTCGTGCATACGGAGGGAGTCGAGTTGCGGTGGTATCAACTGCAAGATACAACCCGCTCCTAGATCACAAGTACGATCATAGAGTTGAGCGGATGCATCCCTGGCCAGCATCGCATTGTGAGAACTACGTGAACACCTACACCAAGGAAGAATCAGACAAGCAGCCACCATCGAAAAAGGCTCGGACAATTGGGGAAAGATCTCGGATGTCGGCTACAGCACAATATGGTCCGATAAGAGAAGCCATATCTGCCTATTGTACTCTGCGGCAAGCGAAGCCGTTCGAAGAGCTCCATGCTAAGCCGATCAATGATCTCTGGCTTGGCCGGGTATGCCGCACAGCAAGCCATGAGTTGGGTCACTGCTTTGGTATTGACCATTGTGTGTACTATGCGTGTATGATGCAAGGCACCGCGTCTATCGCTGAGGATGCTAGGCAGCCGCCTTACCTCTGTCCTATTGATTTGGCTAAGGTTCTTCATGCCACTGGTGCATCTGCGGCTGAGCGGTATAAAGCCTTGCTCAAATTTTGTGAGCAGCCGGCACACAAGGATTCCTTTTCGTTCAAGCCATTTGCTGCTTGGATTAGGAGTAGGATGGCTGAAGTTGAGGAGGTTTCTGCGCCGGAACGCTCAACTTCATGAGGCAGATCAGCTACATATTGATTTGGAGTAGATGAGCAATTCAAGATGGTTGCTATCAGACCCAGCATGTATGTTGAACGTAACGAGGTCAGACAATTTCTTCTTTATTTTGCTGCTACTGTAGTGGACAATAGCAATGGCTTTCTTACGCCAGCTTAAGGAACAATGAGACAGAATGGGGCTTTCAAAATAGTATTTAGATAAAACAGCATTCGCATTAATCGCAATTTGAATAACTGAAGAGCAGCGAAGCATTTCATACCCGGGCTCAAGACAGCAAGTTGGCGAATATGGCGTTTGATGCTACCGCATTCTTCTCCTTTAGCTTGGCAGAAGTCCCTTTTCCAAAGACAGGGGTCTTGTATCCATACAGCGGCTTATCAGCCGTTGTCTCGTTTGAAGCAGAAAGGTTGGTCGGCGTCAACCCTAATTACAAGGAAAGAGAGGTTATAGAGTATGACTAAGTACTCTATCTGGCTTTCAACAGTGGAGCCCCTTCATGATACTGAGCACTAGCCTTAGTGACCCGCTTTGCCTAAAGTCTTGTTTAACCACGCATGGATCGTCCTCGAAAGCTCCTGTCCAGCACCAGTCTGGCAATGAAAGCCAGCAACCCCCTTGAAAACATGCAGGGTAGCCCAGTGGCCCAGCGCGTCTGCCACCTGCTTCGGCTGTCCAACGTAACTGCTCTCCAGTTCAGCATCACCGACAAACACAGGCATCTTGATCTTGTCAATAAAAGACTCCACGTTGTACTGCTTGATCTGAGTGAAGAAGTCAGAGGGCGAGTGTGTGTGGAACGCCCACAGGCCTTGGTCGATGCCCCAGGCGGCGCCGGTGGGGAGCTTCCCTGCCTCCCGAGCTGAGAGGATGACGTCGTCGAATTGCGTATAGTTGCCCGCTTCATAGATGTCGAGCATCTCAGATGACAGCTCCTTTGTATATGCAGCGTAGTTGTCCCAGACGCCGTCGATGAAGACCGCTGCGGACAGGCGGGGCTCGAAGGCTGCGGCACGGGCAGCAAGGTAGCCACCGAAGGAGTTGCCGACGAGGACAAGACGGTTCTTGTCCACGACGTCCTTCTTCTCCGAGAGAACGTAATCCACAACGGGGGTGGCGACTTTCTCCCAGTCGGGGATGAAACCAAGGTTCTGGTCACGGCGCACAGTTGGTTGTCCGGGTCCTTCGTAGGTGATACAATTCCATCCTCGGGCCAGGGCAGGTGCGACGAAGTTGTGGTAAGAGTCCTCCTGCGCAGCGTCGAAACCGTTCCCGATGATCAACGTCGGCAGCTTGTCGTGCTTGCTCTCAGAAGCAGAGTACCAAATGGCCTCGACAGTGAAGTTGCCCTTGATAGCCGGAATGCGGATGCGTTTGCCAGGAATAGGCAAAGCAGATATCCCCTTGTTAAACGTCTCGATCTGCTCGGCCCACAGGCTGTTGATGAGCGGATTGCTCCAGTTGCCGTGGAGGTAGCCATCAGCCTTGCGGAAATACGACGCTGCAGAGAACCATGTGTCCCTGACATTGAGAGGGTCGTATGCATTCTCCGGGTTTTTGGCCTGAGCTTTGGTGTCGTTAGCGAGCTTATAGAAGACCTCGCTGAAGGACGTCATGTTTCCGGCTTGGATATCTTTGGCTGCACCAAGAATAGGCCCGACGTCGCCTCCTCCGGTGATGGATTCGCCGAGAGGAGTTAACAAGTCGAAGTTCATTGTCGAGTCATTGCTCAACAGCAGCATGGGGCTGTTAGCTGTGCTGTACGCCGCGGACGCTACACCGGAATGCAGCAGAGTGGCCAAATATAGACCAGTGTAGGTGGAGGAATGTAGTTTCATGGTGAAGTATGAGTGAAAAGAAAACTTGAAAGAGATTGTGCTGGCTTTGTCGTGACAGCTTTGTCGTGATGGCTTTGTCAATTGTGAATTATCTGTTGTTTCTGAATGATTTCTCTCGTTTCTTGTCTTTCATCACTTCTTCTTATACTTCCCCCAAGTCATCCTGAAGGGACGTGCTACGTCATTGGACCCTTATCAGGCTAAACCGCATCAAGTATACGTTTTGCGACAGAGTCTTCTCATTGGTCGCGCTTTAGGCAACTACTCTGTAACCCGGCAGTGCCGCATTCCGATACCCCGGACCCACAGTAATCTTATTTATACCAACTTCTTCACCCGCCCATCGCAACCAGATTTCTCTTTTCGGCATCGTCGCTGTCACAATGGTCAACCGCGGACGCTCCGGAGGCTGCGTGACGTGCAAGGAACGCCGCGTGAAATGCGATGAGGCGAAGTCCGAGTGCCGAGCGTGCCGGCGCCTTGGGCTTCGCTGCGGAGGCTACAACAGGCCCAAGTATGCCAGTTTAAAGTTCAAAAACCAGAACTACAAGTTCTGCACCAACACCGACCAAGATGTCGATTCCCACGGCCGGAGTGTCGTGAAGGCTGCGTCTAGACCGAGTCGGTCATCTGAGTCTGATGTTCAGGGCCGGGAGCTTGCGAAGGATTTGACTTCGCGGCGGCTCTCTGAGCCCGACACCGCCGTGCCTTTTTTTCTCGGTCATTACGCCAGCATGGGCCGCGATATGGGATCCACGCGCGGGTTCTTCGAAATGCTCATTCCAGCCTACCTCTTGCAGCGGCAAGAATCGGCGCTCTCGCTCGCCGTGTCGGCGTTGGCTTCAGAGGTTTTGTCCTTGTGGCGGCAAGACGCCAGCAGCTTCCGATCACCACGAAAGTCTTATTCCCGGGCGATCGCACGCCTTCGGACCGCAACACAGGATCCTGTAGAACGTGGCAAGCCGGCAATTGTGTTAGCTGTGCTGGTGCTGCAAACTTACGAGAATGCCTCTGCGATATATGATCTTCGCCGGGCTTCGAGCACGCACCACAATGGCGCAGCGTCTTTGCTCTCGCTTGTGGACTCGGACGACATGGACGGGACGATACGCGCCTACCTACAAAAGTTTATGCTACATACCGAGGTCTCAACCGCGATGCGTCAGAAGAAACCACTGAAAAGTATTACATATTCGTGGATTAGGAGCAAGGATACGATGGCTGTGCCAGACAACCCCAGCTCGACACTCGATGCCATAGGGGCGTCCGTTGCCGAGTTGCAGGCCAGCTACACGCAGTTTTTGACGCAGCGTGGCTCCACGACGTCGTTGGAGCGCATTATGAAAGAGTGGAGGGCCGAGGCAAGGAGGGTTGATGCAGAGCTTCTGGCGTGGGCGGCAAACGCACCGGATCACTGGAGACCGCTAAGGCTGATAAGTGATCGGGATATAGATTCGTCCATACCCACCTACCAGTCTATCTGTGATGTGTATCCTTCCTGCCAAATCGCCAGCATTTGGAATCTCTGGCGCTTCCAACGCCTCCTGCTGGCCAAGATCACACTCGGCTCCCTCAATGCATTTTCAGATCTGAGCCGCTTTGGTTTCGCACACGGGCAATTCCTCGGCGACCCCACAGATTTCGCCAACTGCCAACAAACGCTGCAAGAAGTGGTCGACAGCGTGTGCTACAGCATACCTTTCTACCTTGGCAACCGAACCACCCGGTCCAGTCTCACAGATTTCACTGACCCGACGGTTCTTCTTCCCAGCCACTGCTCATTGGACGACGGGACGCGACTGGACAGGGATGGTCTCGATACGGGAATATCGAGTGACGACCACAGGCGCCATGTCATCGCGCAGGGGCCATGGCGCGCCATGCACCCTCTGAGCCGCTTGTTGACGCTCGTCTCGGAAGATCACGGCGAGGTAATAGCGAGCTTTCTTAGGCCTGGACAGCGGGTGTGGATCCGGGACCAGTTCCTGCGTGTCGCCACGTTGCTGCATCTTCCGTCGGAGTTGGGCAATGACATGGAGAGATCAGAATCGCCGGAAGGGTCTGCAGATTCCAAGGCGGAGTGTCTGGCCAGGGGGATTAGGAAGGGCGCAATTCTTATGAGTGGCCCATGAAGCTTGGGACCTGACGATTAAGCGAGATCCGGTAATATATGCTGGCCCTCGAACGGGTAGAGTGGCTTCAGTCTATACTTGATCTATTTTGCCCCAATTATAACCCGAATCATCTGAAACTCAATTTAGATGAATGGCGGCATATCGATTGTCTTATTCAGATCAAAATTCGGCAGGGTGGTTGGTAGGGGAGATTGGCTACCATAGGACTGAGTGAGAAGCAGAGAGCCGGATTGTGTAATAGGACAACAAGTAAGTAACATATCGTGAAGCCTTAGAGCCGTATTGTAAAATATAATTTTAGTAGGCGATATACTGAGTGGGTAGGTTCTGGAAACATCCAATCAGAACCCTAACTATCCGGATATATGATTCGGGAAAGAGGTCGCAAGAGTGTGAAAGTATAACGCATTTCGAATATTACCGTATCACTGTCAATGTTTCTCAGAATAGACCATGACCTCGGGTGTACTAGGTTAGCATTTGGCTATTTTCTTTGGACGGATCATTTTGATCGAGTCCTGATGTTCACAGCAGGTGTCTGTCAATGGTGCTCAGCTTACTTAGCTAGTCAATGATTTTGATGTGTCTCTTGCGAAAATGGCCTTTCGCTTTTTCTCACTTTCATCGCCAGGTCCCTTGGAACTCCACTAATGGCGTCGCTGGTCCCAAAGACCGAGGTTTCACGTGAACAATTGAGCTCACCTACATCTATCCTGGTGTTGAATCCTGCTCCAATCCATGACTCATGGAAAGCAGAACTACGGTCAGCTGCATGAGCGCATTCTTTGCAAGGTAGTATTTGGAAGTAATGTTTTTCCCGACAAGTTCTCTAGCTCGAATTCTGCTGAACTGCTGATCTCGAAAAGCGGGTGTTTCACGCTAAAAATGGGGGCCATTGTTTCGTGATGTCTTTCCATGGCCCCAGATCAACCCGTGGACGGGCGAAAGACAGGCAGTATGAGCGCATTGTTGTCATCGGGTTTTCCCCGGCTTTTGGCGGCGTTCGGTTCTCTAATTGATTAATCTGTTGTCAAAAATAGCAGCGTTTCAAGCAGAGTGCGAACCCTGGGGCTGAGGCACAGGGCCTCAAAGTTTACTTGCTGGACTTTTCCTTGTTTTTTCGTGGTGGGCAATAAACATGAAACAAGGCCGAAGCCCCGAGGAATGGGACACATCCATATGAGAGATCCAGTGAGAAAGTAGCTCAATTTTAAGCTTTCCCCTACGTTTCGTTCTTCGAAACGAAGCTATTGTTATTTTTAGTCTCATTTCGTGGTAAGCTAACGCTAAAGCAGAACATAAAGCCATAAGGCGAGGAACTCGCTCGGCGAGAGTTCCGAAAAGGAGAATACTATTGCAGCCAAGGTGGGAGGCGTTGCGCTAGCTGAACTTGATGAGTTGTGCTCGGAGCACATGTTCTATGATTCTTTCGGACGATTCGGTTTCATATCGACTAAATTGAGGCAGTGGCGTTGGTATTATTATTCAATAGACGGGGGACCAGATCTGTTGAGGTTCACATATGAACAGGGGCTCAAATCCCGAAGCAGAGATTTTACCAGGTACAATGTACAGTAGATTCTGGACTTTTGGCGAGGAAAGTGATGCGAATGTTTTGTTTCTGGTTTTTATGCAGCGATAAATCCCCGAGAAAGCCGTTCACGGTGTGACTCCTGCACTCGATCGATCGCAATAAACACATGTGCAGGGGTAAATCCTGCCGAAGGCCGGCCACCTGCAGCTACAAGGAAGCAAATGCATGCTGCAGGTGTCCCACTATCTCATTCTCGGCCTGTTAAAAACTCGCTTAGTGGCCAGTGGATGGTGATTTTGCCGGTTGCGAGCATTTCCGTATGCACACCGACGTGAGTTGGCTCGTGAAAGTCGTTCGTGGAGTGAGACATGCCCAATCAGTACTAGATCAAGCTCAACTTCGTCGGGTGTACCTGTTTCATGCTGTTACTGAGCCCTACTTTGGCTTCCGAGGTTGATCACCCGAGATGAAACCTCGATCGCGTCAAGATCCGGGTTCTACTGACTGAACGAACCGGTGCTAGAGAATGGGGGGAAGAGGCTTTGGTTAGTGTTGTTTGAAGGTGTAGTTAGTGGATCGTACGATGAAGGAAGCTTCAAGCGCTGTACGGACTACGGAGGCAGTGAAATTCTTCCGACCTTTCCGTACATCGTTTAGGTCCTTATGTTGAGATTGGTGGGTCCCCCCTATCCGCACCTCCTTAGGGCTTCGACCAAAACACACCATTCGCCACTATCCTCACGCTAGTCCAGGCACGCTTTTTTTAGGGCGTCTGAATAATGGTTCCCACCTGAAAATTTATTGCAATTTATTCTTATTTGTGCTAGATCACCGTACTACGCCCGGAATGGAGTTTGGCTATGCTCAATTGTGCTTAATACACTTTCACCGTCGTTACAATTCTGACTAGGTGGCGTGCTGCTAGTGCAAGCAGCTTTCCCTCGGGGTCTAGATGTTGCTTGTCCTTGTTTTGCTCCTCCTAACTTTCAATCCACGGTGGAGACCGGATGGGCACATTGTTGTCTTTGATTTGACAGCATCGAGAATTTGCATTGTCCGTAATCGTGTCTCTTCACATTATTGCCGAACCGTGGGCGACCGTGGATCTCTAGATATTAAATTATACTATTGTAGATATAAATCCAAGTGTGGATTTTTCTTCTGCTGTTAGTCTACTAATATATCCACAGGTCAAAAGACCAAAATTCAGTTAGTGGCTGACGGATTAGAGCCATTGAGCTTGGTGGTGCAGCCGGATGGCCCAGACTTGGTTTGACAGGTCTTGCGTGTCTGACTGCGAAACCAAATCAGACCTGTCTATCGTTGCCTGAAAAGGTCAAGAGCATGCAGTTGTTCCTGGTCTAATTCCCCGGGGCTGTGGATCAGAGGTGGATTCACAACGGGCCACTCCCAATCGCTCATGCTTACCCCTGCAAGACGTTCCTGGGGTTATACCTAAGTAGGTAGTTTAGCTGTTTGTTCGGACTTGACTCCAACCCCATTGGAATTAGTGCATTAAGGGGAAGGGGGAGCGATTGCTAAAAATGTGGGAAAATGGATTTATCTGTTTTGGATCAATTCGCCGTTGGCGGGTCCTGACGATCCCTTCCGGCCTCGAGGCGATCTTCGCATGGCCTAGTGATGCGCAATTATCGTTGCCCCTTTCGACTAGGCATCATGTCACTTGCCCTTGGTGTGTTTGCTTTTCAAGGCACTTTTCATTGTCAATTGGGCGATTTGATGCTCAATTCCTGAGAAAAGACATGGATTTAGGGCTCAATTGACCACCAAATGGGTTCGTCCTTTTCACCTATTCTCAAAGCAGATATGGTACAGTTAAAATCCAGATTTAATAAAATAGCCTGATACACTGACTCCATTCCCAAGAATAGCCCGCCCAAGTGCTGCTCCACCTATGCTGTAATCAATCTGTTGTTGGCTTCCCACTGGCCTTTAGCAAGATCCACCCAGCCGTGAAAGATCCAGGTCTCCATTTCTCGATATCCCTGAAGTCTAAGGGGTAGATAGCTTCAATTGTGGACATCGAGACCGGGGTAGAGCCAGTGTGCTTCTGTTCCGACCCGGTAGCTTGAATCGAGCCGGAAGTGTCCCGGCAAAGAGTCTTCGAGGGATCAGGGGTGTATAAAACCCGAGGTCGATCACTCGTTTTGCTCTTGATATTCATCAGAGATTCTTTTTTGTTCTTTTGCATCTTTCTTTTATCCAGTCTATCGTTAATCTGACGGTTCGTCCGTCCATTTCCGGTCCTTCGCTTTATACCTTTCTAAGCGCTTGACCTATACACTCGTTATCACACATTCGACATACTCGAAACCGCAATATGCGTTCCTCTCTCGTTCTGCTCGCCGGTCTGGCGGGCTCGGCTCTTGCCTACCCTACCGATATGGCCGTTGAGCGCCGTACCTTTGGTCTCCTGGCTGAGATCCTCGGCGGTGTTTCCGACATCACTGTCGACGTGACCTCCATTCTCAGTGCTGTCCTCGGCGGCGTCCACCACAGCCACTCTTCTTCCCTCCTTGCTGGTCTCGGAGCTGAGGGTGCTGCTGCGCTTGAGGGTGGTGCCCTGGGTTGCAAGGCCGGTGTTATCCACGCCAAGGCTCGTGCTGCCCTCAAGGTCTGGCTCCACCTTCACGCCGACCTCGAAGCTTCCCTGAAGACTTCCCTGATCTCTTGGTGTGAGGGTGACGATGAGCTCGTCCTCTCCGCTGATGTCTTGGCTGCTCTTGCCGTATATATCCCCTCGTGCGCCGACATCGCCGCCAAGGGTCAGCTCTACGTTACCATTGATGGTATCTTCGGTGCTTCCTCCCTCGAGTCTGCTCTCGTCCTGAGCGCTTCCTTCCAGTCCTCTCTCTCTGCTTGGATTGAGGCCGCTGTTGGCCTTGACGTGGATGTCAAGGCTGGTCTCCATGCCTGCGCTGCTGGTGGCGTTGTCGCCAGTCTGAGTGCTGATGTCAAGGCTGGCCTCCTCGCCTGGATCAACGGTTCCAGCTGTGATCTCAGCGCTGAGCTCAAGGTCGCTATTCTGGCCTGGATCAACGGCCACCACGGCCACGGTCTCGTTGAGATCGGTGCTCTCGGTGAGGCTGCTCTCTCCACCATCTCTGTTGGTGCTTCCGTCGGCGTTCACGTCGAGGACTCCGGTATTCTCTCCGTTGGAGGTCAGGCCTCCCTCGCTGCCTTCCTCGGTGCCGACGTCTCTGCCGACCTCGGTGCTGATGTCAAGCTTGCCCTCGAAGCCTGTGCCAAGGGCAAGGTTGCCACTGCTGTTGACCTCGACATCCGTACCAAGCTCGCTATCTGGCTCTCCGGCTCCGACTGCTCGCTCGGTGTCGAACTCAAGGCCGTCGTTCTCTTCTGGCTGTCCTTCGGTGTTGATGTTTCCGTCTCCGTTGACCTCGTCAGCGGTGTTCTTACTGATGTTACTGGTCTCCTCACCGAGCTCCTCTCCAGCCTGAGCGTCGACCTCCGCACTGCTCTCTCCGTCATCATCTCCGGTGGCAGCCTCGAGTCCGTCTCCCTGTCTGCTCGCGCTGAGCTCGCTGCCTTCCTCGGTGGCTGCACTGGCCTCGAGATCGACGTCAACATCCAGCTCATCATCATCGAGTGGTTCACTGGCTGCTCCATCCCCGGCGCTCCCTCCGGCACCAAGTCTTCTTCCGTCCCCAGCCTGCCTTCCAGCACTCCCTTCGTATCCAGCACTGGTGTCCCCTCTGGCCCCGGCGCTAGCGTCTCTGTCTCCGTCCCCGGTAGCCCTGCTCCCTCTGGTGTCAGCCCTACCGGATCCGTCCCTGCCGGCCCCGGTGCTAGCGTCTCTGTCTCTATTCCTGCCGGCCCTGCTTCCAGCGGCTCTGCTCCCTCCGGTTCTTCTCCTTCCGGCCCTGAGACTACCCCCTGTGACACTCTCACCGGCGTTGATGTTTCCAGCACTGTGATCCCCGGTATGCCCGCTCCCTCCGGCGGTGCCTCTGGCTCCATCCCCGGCGGCCCTGCTCCTTCCGGCTCTTACCCCTCCGGTGGTGCTTCGGGTCCCGCTCCCTCTGGCCCTGCCGTTACTGGTGGTGCCTCCGGTCCTTCTCCTTCCGGTGTCAGCCCTACCGGCACTCCTGTTGCCCCCGGTGCTGGTGAGACCACCACTCCCTGCGACACCTTGACCAGCGAGCAGGTCGGTAGCACCGTTATCCCCGGCGTTCCCGCTCCCTCCGGTGGTGCCTCTGGCCCCGCTCCTTCCGGCCCTGCTGTCACTGGCGGTGCTTCCGGTCCCTCCCCCTCCGGTGTCAGCCCTACTGGCACTCCCGTTGCCCCCGGTGCTGGTGAGACCACCACTCCCTGCGACACCCTTACCAGCGAGGAGGTTGGTAGCACCGTCATCCCCGGTGCCCCTGCTCCTTCCGGTGGCGCTTCCGGCCCTGCTCCCTCCAACACCGACGTCAGCCCCACCGGTACCCCCGTCCCCAGCGGCCCTGCTGCCTCTGGTCCTGCCCCTACCGGCGCTGCCCCCGGTCCCAGCGGTACCCCCGTTGCTCCCGGTGCTGGCGAGTCCACCACCCCCTGTGACACCCTGACCAGCGAGCAGGTCGGTAGCACTGTCATCCCCGGCATGCCCGCTCCTTCCGCCTCCGGCCCCGCTCCCTCCAACTCCGACGTCAGCCCTACTGGCACTGCCGTCGTCCCCAGCGGCCCCGGTGCCACCGGCGGCTCATGGACCGAGACCTGGGCTTACACCCAGACCGTGGAGACCACCATCTCCGCCACTGTCCCCTGCGAGACTGGCTCCGGCGTTGCCCCTACCGTCACCGTCCCTGCCGCCGCCTCGTCCGTCATCACCGTCACCGCTACCGTCACCGCCACCGTCTGTGGCTGCGACGAGTAAACGGAAGAACACGTTTCTCACAACCTCATACCCGTTGAGAAAGAATTTCCTTACCTCTTTGTTTGATTTCCGCGTTTTTCATGACAAGATGACTTTTACCCCCTAGGGAGTGGAGTGGTTGGCCAGTAATCTCATACTGTAAACTCCACGCTCATCTCGCATCCCTCTGGGAAGCTGTCGTCCCTGCCTCTGTCCTGTCTGTAGATACCTTATTATAATTCTAATCTGCTTGTGGAGGTTCAAACCTTATCATCTTTTTGTATGTTTGGTTTTGTTGAGAGGAGGCTCGGGTAGTGGCACAGTTGAAGCTCCCTTGTTATCTCTATTTTGATGACTTGGCATATACCTTCTTTCCCTTTAATGGAGTACATTCCTTTCCTGTATTGTTATTTTCTATATTCTACTAGATGTAGAGATAAATTTATGCAAAAAGTTATTTTATTGCTACAATATTTTCTTGGAAAGGTTGAAGTTCACGAATTTTTCCTACATGCAATTGCTAATTGTACAGTACAGCGCTAAATGAACTCATTTCACTTGTGTTCGACATATTGAGAAGTCCTCTGTCATGACCTGGGTGTTTTCACTGGTTTTTCCGTCTTCGGTGAGCTGCTCACCTTGTCGCTAGAACGACGCATAGCGAGTATTCTTTCACGAAGTAGTTTCTCTCGAAATTCGGTTGAAGATAACCGCTTGGATATTGGTTTCTCGGCTTTCTAATTGGAAAATGACCAATTAGTTTTCTGAGAATTCATGTCGGAAAGGAGGTAATATATGCATAAAACAGAAATGGGAAACAAACATCAGATAGGATATCAATCTGTGTCTCGAGAGAGGTGTAGATTGAGTGTGGATTTGGACGTTCAATGACCAACCTCATCAGCATCTTTCATGTCTTGATCATCTGCTTTGGAAGGTCGTCGGGTGGATTCCTCGTCTTCATCAGCCTTCTTCTGTCGTTTCTTGTCAGGTGAGGATACAGGAGAGTTGCTACGGTCTCTCCTTTCCGTGGGGTTGTATCTATCCATTGAGCGTCGACGCTTTGTGTCTCTCTTTGGGCTTCGGCTCCGGCTATCGCTGGGACTGCGGCGCCTGCGGGTATCGCGACGGCGGTCACGGCTGTGACTGCGGCTGCGGCTTCGGCTGCGGCTCAGTCGGCGAGGGTCGCGGTCGCGGGTCCTGTTTGACCTGTCTGCAAGGCGGGAGCGAGATAGAGATCGGGAGCGAGAGGCGTCTCGTCTGCGGCGGTCTCCTCTGGGGGAACGTGAGCGGGATGCATGGCTGCGGGTAATGGATCTAGCACGGTCACCGTAGTCCGGACTGCGCCTTCGCGGTCCTCCACGTCTGCGTCGGTCTGGGGAGGCTGAATTGCTGGGGGAACGGCGACGGCGTTCGCGGGGTCTCTGGCGTGGCGCATCACGTTCGCGGCGAGAGGGTGAGTGTTGCGGGGATCGAGAGCGAGATTGCGCGGAGGTACCAGATGGGCGACGACCACGGCGGTTATTGGGTGGAACGTACGAGTCGAAGTCACGCCGGGACCCAGCTTCACGGTAACGATCATAGTCCCGGTCTCTGGGAGGGGGAGATCGCCTGTCAAAGTCTCGGCCTCCACGGCCACCACCTCTTCCACCATATCTTCCACGATCCGAACGCTCTTGGCGTCTGATGTTATCAACGTCGCGCTCACGGTTTTGCTCTTGTTCCTTCTGGCGGCGCGAAGCTTCGGCAGCTTTCTCGGCATCGAGCTGGAGAGAGGTATAGTTAGGAGAAATTCAGGAAACGGGTGGGGTTGGGATGTACCTTTTCTTGTATGAGCTCTAGCTTCTTAGCTTCTAGAAGCTCTTTCGGAACACCCTGCGGATTGGCTTGACCGCTCAGGCACAATGACCACAGCTCTTGGCAGAACTTGGGGGTATCTTTATCAAGAAATCCAGTGAGCTGGATCTGGAGGGATTTGATATCGGGCTAGGCGCAGAGCAAAGTCAGCAGCTGCAAGATGTTGATTGACAGGTAGCCATACATAGCGTGGTCCCTCCAAGTGCCCAAAGCACATCTCAATAACAACGTCATCTTCATTGCCTAAAATCTCCGATATGCGCCTGGCGATCCATCTGGTAGATCTGTCAGTCCGAGGATTCAAGTTCAGAGGCCGCGGAAGTGCTCACTTCTTCATAACCTCAATGTTGACCTTTGTCATGTCAACTTTCCGATTGAACTCAGGAGGGAATTTGGTCTGCCTCAGCAGCTTCGCATCAACACTTGAGGCCATATTCGCGAGAGATGGAGAGGGGAGAGGTAAGGAACCTGAAGTCCAAATACGTTCCGTCGCCGAGTTGCGCTAGTGGACACTAGCGTCGTCCAAAATACTGCCAAAGGCGGTAGCGAAGCTTAAGTGGTATACAGTCCGCAAAGAGCTAAAATCTAACCTGTAACTAAGACTTGCGAATAACAGATTGCACAGGATCTCCAAAATTCTCTAGAGCTATGCTGTATTGTTCTGTTCTGAGCTTTTAATGTACTTCACATGGTATTTTGTACTATATCAATCCTTATGACAGGGTGTGCTAACCGGCTGGTGAGATATATATACAACCACACCCTGGTTCGGAAAGATAATGTAATATTTGATAACTGACTGCCCACCACGCTGCAGCTTCATTGTCTTTAGCATCAAAGAGGGAGAAGGACCTATCTTGTTTGAGACTAATGGTACTATTGTCAAATTTCACGGTGGTTTGGTAGAGTATATCAGCAGGCATGTTTACGGTTCATAGAAAAAAGCTAAATGATAGTTGGCTCGAGGATCGTATACATGAGCTTCGATTTAGACTACTCACTGGGCACCGCCAGCTCTTCTACCATTGCGGGGCCCTGGAGCGCTGGGGAGTTTGGCTAGCCGCAACAGCCAATCCTGGGCTATAGAGTATTGGTTGGACAGAATGCAGAGAAGTGTATCAAGTGAGATTCTACCAATGGCCCTCTAAGCTTACTCTTGAAGATAGACATGGGGTATTAAATCAATCAAAAAGAATACATGATACATGCTATGTACGGGTCTGGTTGATAGATCATTACTAGCAAAATTAGGTCGATCTAAGGAGAAAAATCAAAATAATTAACCCAGTCAAAGTCTGTTCAATTTACCATAAGACTCAATACATCCATTCTTCACAAATCACTTCCCAATTGCTGTTTTCCAGGTTCTCTGGCATGTTGTTGTACCAGCGTCGCCATAGCAACACCCAACACGTGACCGTATAGCGCGGCACTCGCGAAACCTCGAGATAGGCCTCTTCCCTACAAGAACAACAAACAGTCGACCAATTTGGAGGGGCCGCATTGATTCACGACTTCAATGTAGGTATCGTCGCCATGGCGTCCCCGAATATCCTCCCATCTGTATACAACAACGAGTATCGACAACCTTCCCGACCGATGTCCCGAACTGCGGTTTCACGCTCGGGTTCCAGACGGGTATCACCCGCAGTTCAAAACAACGGCTCTCTATCGAGGCACTACTCCGCAGGCGACAGCTCAGACGAAGAGGTCCCTGAGCCAAAATTTAGCGCGTCAGTCAAAGCACTTTTGCATGGCGATGATTTAAGTTCGTCGCCTCATCTGCAGAAAGCGCAGCCGTTGTCGCACCAGTCGCGAGTTGCGACGTCACGTCAACAAAGCCATTCTCCTCGCAACTCCTCTCCCCACGACCGTTCGACAGGGAGCCCGGCGCCCAGAGTTGTCCGCATCGGAGCGCTTTCATCCGGATCCAGGCATTCACGCGAAGGATCCCCATTGTCCAACAGCCACAGCGCAGAGCCGGAACCTCACCACCACCACCACCCCAATGATTTTATTACTCCTGCTCCACGCCAGCGGAGTGTTCGAATCAATGTTTCTCGCAGTGACCCCAGGTCTCCCTCCTCGATCTCGCCCTCAGGAAGACGTTCAGCGGAACGCAGCTCGAGTGATGAGTATGGTAGTGCCGAACGCTCAGACAGTGACCGCAAATCGCATTATGAGGATGATCCTATGACACGTCTCGGTACTTCCTCCGTACTCCGCGGGCGCGGTGGCGAGGAGCCTGGACCCCAAAGCTCACTGCGTGTCAAGAGAGTTGGTCGACTTGCTGGTAGCTTCTTGACTGGACCCGCTCGGAGAGGTGTGCTACGACGACAGAGCGAAGAAAACAACGATGAGGACCACCAGTATCTTTCGGCCGATGGCGTCAGGGAGGATGTGGAAGCAGAAGAGAATGCTGAATACCGACCTCGCACAACTAAACCATCCTCTCCCAAGGTATCATGGGCCGACCCTAGCCCCCCTCATTCACACGAAGGGCACCGCGCGGAATACCCTCTTCGCGCGGCTGCGGTTGAGGGTCCGTTCTCAAGGTCCAACTCACCAAAATCATATAATTCAAAGTCGACACCCGCCTCATCAGACATGTCCTCCAAAAACTCATCCGCCAAGGAACAACCTGTCTTCAAGGTCCCGTCAATGCCCCCTCTGCCATCGGTCCGTGACCAGGAAAATGAACCACCGCCGACTTTCCGGCGAACAAAGCCTCAGGGCTTGAATGTTTTGGACAAGCCCGACAAGTACAATGTTGTTTATGACACCGACAAGAAAGAGGCTGCCGAGACCCCTGCAGGTACCTCTGCACGGAAGATACTGGCCACAAGAAGCAACAACACTCCCCACAGAGCCGCCCCTCCCCCTCCGAAGATGTCAGTTCTTGAGACTGCCACTTCAACAGGAGGTGCGTCGACATCCCAATCACGAAAGAAGAAGACGCAGGTCTCGATCAACGGCAAGCATTTCACCCGACTTGATTGCATTGGCCGAGGTGGTAGCTCCCGCGTTTACCGAGTGATGGCAGAGAACTATAAGATTTTCGCGCTCAAGCGAGTGAATCTTGAAGATGTCGACCCCGTCACTTTGACAGGATACAAGGGTGAAATTGACTTGCTGAAGAAGTTGGAGAATGTGGAACGTGTGGTGAGGCTCTTTGATTGGGAACTCAACAATGACAAACATGCTCTGAGTGTGCTCATGGAGATTGGAGAGTCCGATCTTGAGAAGATTCTCACATACCGCTTGAATGCCGAAGACGCTACTTTCGACATCAACTTCACGCGCTTCTATTGGAAGGAGATGCTTGAATGTGTTCAGGCTGTCCACGAGTTCAATATCGTCCACTCAGATCTGAAACCTGCCAACTTCCTCATGGTTCAAGGCCGATTAAAGCTCATCGACTTTGGAATTGCCAATGCGATCCAAGACAACACCGTCAACGTTCACCGCGAGCAACAAGTTGGCACACCCAACTACATGTCTCCCGAAGCCTTGGTTGACTCCAACGCATCCCTCGGCCTACCAGCAAGCGTTGGAAAGGTGATGAAGCTGGGCAAGCCCAGTGATGTTTGGAGTCTTGGTTGTATCCTGTACAAAATGGTCTATGGACAGCCTCCATTCGCCAAAATCGCAAAATATTACGAGCGCATCATGGCCATCCCCAACCCCCGTGTACAAATTGATTTTCCGGCGTTTGGTGTTGGCGGCGTTCCGGTCCCCCCTGGCCTTGTCCGAACTCTCAAGCGCTGCCTGCAGCGTGATCAAACTCTCCGACCAACCATCGAGGAGATGCTTGGCCCCCGCGACCCATTCCTGCACCCCGATGCTCAACTCGAGGGTGCCGTCCCCGTCACCCAAGATATGCTCGGCCGCATTCTGGCCAATGTTGTCAACCACTGCAAAGCCCGCGGCGTGCCCAGGGAAGAAGAGCTGGCCGCATGGCCCGCAGGCTTTTTTGCAAAAATCAAAGCAGCACTCGAAGAAGAAAACGCATGACCACAGCCCCTCCGCTCCTTATCACATTTCCTTTGTCTTGACTGCCATGTTGAACTCTTTACCTTGTTCCCTTGTTAGCTAGAACGACTTAATGACCGGTGTTGGATGCTTTACTTTTCTCTTGGTCTGGCTGGTTAATTTGCGAGATATTTTTCTGCTTGTGTTTCTTTTTCTCCTTGCATTGCATCTTTTCCTCTTGCATCAGCCCTCGGGGTTTTTGTCTGATCTTACCGTTCCAATATGGTGGGTATTTCTTTTGATGATATTCGGTTCAGCGCAGCGTGTGGATTTGCATTCCTGTATATGATTTGATCAACCCTTTTGCTCTTAGGATATTGTTCCAGCATTGGGTCTTGGGAGTTTGAACCCCCTAATTTGGTTAAGATGTTAATTGAACACTTTTGCCTATCTTGAATCCTTGTCCAAAGTCACGTCATCAGTTCGTAGTTTGTGTAGCTCTTGTCAATCATGTCGTCTGTTCAGTATCTAACTTTGCTTTCGTGATGGTAATGTAACTTGGAATGTAGATAGATTGGTGTCTTCATAAAATCATGGTTATATGTCTGACTATCTAGAAACTAGCTATGTCCATTCAGAAGCCAAACATGCAGAATACTTTTCGTTTGAAATCAATGGACTTGATTTTGCGCCATTAACACCGCCCAAGCATAGAACAATCATGATAGATTGTATGTATCGAGAAAGGGAAACATAGAACTGCCTGAGAAAGGAGGTATCGAAGACAGGCTGATGCCTATCGGAAATAAAGAGGAAGTCTATGTGGTTGATTTAGACAAGGAGAACCCTATTAAATGTTAGTTTCTGATATGATGAACAGAAATCATAAAGGGAAACTCACGCATTGACACATCCGTCGTTCTCGGGGGTGTTGGTCACCTGGGCCCATTTACCCCAGACGACCTTACCGGTGGTGGTAACAAGTCCCAACTCGGAAACGTTCACCTCAATGATGGTTCCTTTGGTCAGGACACCCAGCTGAGTATAGAGAGGGTTCTGGGGGTTCTTCTTGACGGAGAGGATGGGCAGTTGAACGGTAACAGCCAGCTCGGGACTGAAATGAAAAACGTTAATATCGCATATCACGCAGGAAAAAATTGGGGGCAATGGTAAACAATTCCCCTTGGTAGCACTTACTGCGTAACGTTGGCCTTCTTGTAACGCAGACCCATGGGACGAATGAATCGCTCGTACTTGACGGGGCGACGGGTGAAGTCGTTACCAACAAATGTAGGCTTGGTAATCATACGCTTCCAGGACTTCTTGTGTGTCTTCTTTCCGGTGTTGACAACCTTGAACATCTCCTCCTCACTGATACCCTTGACCTTAGGCAGGGGAACGGCGAACTTGGCAGCCTTCTCGTTACGCTTGTCCTTGATAGCACTGGAGAGGGCCTTGGCGTTGGTCTCCTGCGACCGGTCGAGCAGGTACTGGGGCAGAGGGGTCTTGGAGGGCTCGTCGGGTGCGGCGGACTTGACGTTCTTCTCCTCCTGGGCCTTGATGCGCTTCTTCATCTGAATCTTCTCCTTGTGGCGCTGCTGCTGGTACAGCTTGGCCCGCAGACCACGCAGGTTCTGGGCATCGTGGGACTGCTTGTGTCCCTCACGAGCCTGGCGCTTGCGCATGCGCTCATCATGATCAAGACGCTTACCATGCTGCTTCGTCCAGCGCTCAATGTACCTTGGGGGTTGTCAGTTGGGGAAATTCGGGTGGTGGCTGGTGGGGAAAGACGAACTCGTTCTGAGGCTGTTGGTGGGAAAAAGGTTAGTAAACTTGATAATTGACTGAAAATATGATATATGATAGCGTGAAACATACCATGATGAAAGCAGACTATGAGAACCTGCTGGGATGGGAGATGAAGTTGTTTCTGAAGATCTACTGCAGACCGAAAAAGTTGTGATGCGGCAAAGATAGCAGGCCACGTGACTGGCTTATCAGTAAATCTAGTCCCTGAACTTCGAGTCTGGCAGTTTCATAGACGAAGTTGCCAGATAGTGACAAGTTTGTAGTAAAAATGCCTGCATCCTGTGGAATAGGATATTTTATGACCATGATCAGAATCTCAACTAAATTATCTTTCTCCATATGTACTAGAACTCCAATCCAAGAGGCATTTGCCCATCACGTGACTCTACGGGTAGCAAAGCGGCCATTTACGCAAAGTAGACAATTTCTCTAGTTACGGGGCCGACTTACGAAGCATCTTGAATTACAACTACCGCAAACCACTTCCACCCCGAGCTCCAATTGAGTAATTGGAAAGGCTCAGCCAAGATGTTCTCTCGCACAGCTCTACGGAGCCTCGCCTCCGACCTTCGCCGGGCGGCTCCATCTACAATTTCATCCGGATCTCCCCTTCAGCAACGAGCATGCCTGCACCAGACAACATCATGGATGAACTTGCAACAAACCCAGACTCATTCGTCATCTTCAAACCCCGAATCACCACTTAGCGCCACTCCCCGTGCACAAAACTCCCAGCCTAAGGCCGAGGCCAACAAGGCCGATTTCGTGCCCACGACACGTGCCCACGTTCCCATTGAGAAGCAACCCATTGCGCCCAACTTCACCACCCCTCTTGAAGTGACAAACTCCCTCATGTCACAGCTCCCTCACCTCGCCGGCCAGAAGCCTCACTACGTTGTTGCTCAACTCCACGCAAAACCATACCTCTTGACGGAAGGCGATCACCTCCGCTTGCCTTTCCTCATGCCCAATGTCAAGGCGGGTGATATCCTGCGTTTCAACCGTGCTTCTGCGGTTGGTTCTCGCGATTTCACAATGAAGGGTGCTCCCTATATTGACGAGCGTATCTACGAATGCCGGGTTCGTGTGACGGGTATTGAGTCGGAGCCGTTGCGTATTAAGGAGAAGACGAAGCGGAGACAGAGGCACGTTAAGCAGGCTAAGAGCAAGCACCGCTATACTATCATGCGCGTGATGGATGTGCGGGTTAAGACTCCGGATGAGTTGCTCGAGGAGGGTGCCATTGTCGTGGAGGATGGGGAGGACAGCTCGGTTATTGAGCCCCGGTCATGAGTGCATAATTGTTTATTTTTGTTGAAGGCTTCAGGCGAAAATTTGTGATGTCGGATCAATATCCGGCAGTGGTTTGAGGCTTGGACAATGCCGTTGAGTTGTGGCCTGATTTTGGCTATTGGGTGGTTGTCCTGCCGTGATGCATTGATATCTCTGCGGCATGCTTGTACAGATAGATGGATTTGGGCTGTTCTATATATGCATTGTATTCTATTGTGTTCAACTATTTCAAAGACTCATTTGACAGCATAGGCTGTAAGTCGCATGTCTCCCAATGTTAGGGTCAGTTCATATCACTTGGACCCTGGGTTGATTTCCCCCGAACACTATTCAGAACCTCATCCGCAATCTTCTCAGCAAAAGCATAGACAGTAGATTGAGGATGGCCAGATGGCAGAAATGGGACATTGCTAGCATCGACAACCCTCAATCCATGAATACCATAAACACAAGCATGACTATCTACCGCAGCCATCGTATCATCCCTGCATCCCATCTTGTAAGTCGCCGACGCATGATAGACAGACAGTATTCATACTTTGTTGGATGTACTCTGAGCATTAAAACCAGGGAAGTACTCCTCATGCTCTGCAACCCCGAACATAGCCAACTCAGCCCAAGTCCGCCGCTGCCGCTTGAACACCTGAATAGCAACTTCCATATCAGTGTGATCTACGAGCTACTGTAGATCAATGACAAGTGGAACGCACATATTCGGAACAGCGAGTCGAACAGAACCTCGCCATAAAGGCGTAATCAGGGCTCCACTAATTGTTGCATATTGATAACCGTCTTTTGGATTAGCTGTCACCTTGTTGAGGTTATATCCATTTAATGCATAGATCGGTAATCATTCTAATTCTGGCTAGTCTGATGGAAAATTAGACAGGGCGTGTCTGGAATTCCCAGTGAGGTTTGAGCGGAATGAATTGGGCAGTTTCTCGCAACCATAATAACATAGTCGAAGGTTGCGTTCAAGCCTGGTGTGCCGAATGATGTTCCTAGCAATGGACCTGTGTTGCCGTATGCAAAGAGATTTAGCTCTGGGGATGATGACAATGCAGATCCCACAAGCGTCGGTGTGAGCCAGAAAAACCCAAGCTTTGGTTGTGGAAATTTTCAGAGCATGCTGACCGTGCAGTGCCTCGACCACAGAGATTTAATGTTCACCATAGTTCGAGTCATGCCATACTATGTTAGCTAACGGTTGAAAGCTTGGAGCTAAATCGATGATGCATGTAAAGGGGTTGTTGATGCTACATTTCTTAGGCTTAATGGTTGGATCTGTGGGTTAACATCTCAACATTGAAACAAGCCTAAAGGACAGAATAATATCATATATGGAAAATTCTGATTGGGTATCAGGTAAAGTGGAAGTAGGGATAGTATAAAATTCGTATATCATGAGAACAGACTTCAAGCAACCAATTCAGCCGCAGAAACGGGGCTACTGATCTCAATTGCCCGGGAAGTTTGTGAAATAGGACGGAAATCGTCGCCGTGGAACTCAGATGCCCAGTCAGAGCCTTGGAGTATATCTAATTCTTGAGCTGAAGCCAGACGAATGTGTGCAGGCGGCACAGATGACAGAGTAGTATCCATGATACCGCCTTCCTCATCAACAGGTGCCGACCACCGTTTCTGAGAGTCAGAAGAAGAACTGCTTGCCGATGTTGTAGAAGGTCCCGAGGAACGAGACAGGCTTCGAATTAGAGGTCGAAGGGTAGGGAGACAGGCACAGATGATGCCAAGAGACTGTTCAACCGAGGACCATATTGATGGATCGACGCTTGTATAGGTGGGATCGTTCATGTCTGAAAGCTTGAAACTGGTGACTCGGAGAATTGAAACGACACAGACACTATATCAAGCTTAGCGACTATATCGATATCATAAAGGAACAATTCTCCCCAGGATTGGAACAAGACTTACAAGCCACCAAGCATGAAAAGTCCCGTCAAAACCCACTTCTGTCGAATAGTAGTCTTCACACGCCACGCCATAGGGAGCGGGAGGCAAAGGATCAAAAAGTCGAGAAGCATATTGGCAACGCCATTCCACCGGAAGAATGCTACTGTATCAATGCAATGACCTGGCAGGCTTGGATCCCAAAATTTGGCTACTGGCGAACAACAAGTGATTGCGGTAATGGTACACGCGATAAAGTATGCGATGACTAGAGCGCCGGAGATCCATAGAGCCCAGCGAAAGCCCTTGACAACACCGAAGATTCGGTGGAAGAGAAGGAGCAATGATGCCTTGGTAAAGACAGCATTAGTGAAGTAGACGATCTGAACAGCTAAAAAACTCTACTTGTTTGTCAGACTTGAAATTAGGCAAGCCATAGAGAAATACAAACCTTGAGGAAGTTTTCCATATCTTCGGACGGTATATACTGGGAGTGGCGGCCATAGTCATAGAATGCAATCTGTACCCATCTCAAGATGGCAAGGGACCAGTTGAAGGCCTGAATCGAAAGGAATGCTAATTAGTTGTTTGTTTCATTGCAAACAGGATACCAAGGAAGCAACTTACCAATGCCGCTGCAATAGTGTAGTCATCCCACCATAGTCCGGCACGGGAAACATAGCGAGAGATAAATCGTAAGATCACACAAAGTGTAGCTGGGACAATAGTAATGATTGTCCCGAGCAAGACGAGCCAAGATATATTGTCATTTGGAGGTACCTCAATGGATTCCATGCACGTTGAGATTCCTTAGATGAGTTTGAGATCTGAATCATCTTGGCGGGACGTTGGATATTTAATCCATTCATCTGATGAATGGCATTTATAGTCCGGGAACCATTTATCGCGACGGAGCCGGCCGGGGACCATAGCCATCTTGCCGAGCCTCACTTATGTTTATTTATTTAGCCTGCTAAACTGGGATTTACCCGGTTGAAACGGTGACATAGCTCGAAGAGGCATCGGCCCGAGTGGTAACTATCGGCCGGCCGGTGGCAAATTTTGGCGCAGCACTCCCGGCCGAATCTTGTGGCGAAACATATATCAATACGTATATTTGCAGATTTTCAAAATATGGGGTGGGAATAAGATGCGGTCGGTTAGACCCGTCAGTATGCCAGAAGAAGTATATGGGCGAAGCAGTTATGCTAAGACTTGATGCAGTGGCAGAGGAGAACCGAATAATGTCAGCTTAAGGGTAAAGTTGAGTTATGAACATTGATGAATTTTTTTCTACATTCACAAGAATAATACATAGTCTACTATGTCATAGTCTACATGAAAAGTCTTTTGCCAAATATCAATGTCGAATAGGAATATGCTCAACAAGATCATTAGATGCTTCCAGTCCATTAACCAGTTTCGGACATACGCAAAGAGATCAATGCAAGTATAAAGTTGTTCTAGACTATACAAAAATAGATCTCAGCCCCAATGTCTGCCGACAAAGCTCCAACGATACCTGTTGCATCTCGGCGTAGAGGTGGAACTCATCAGCTACATAAGTCCCTAGGAATCGCTGGAAACCATCAAGGTCTGGATCGGCACTCCTTATGAGGTCTTTTGACAGAGAGATACTGCCAAGATTCGAATTGAAAATACCACCCGCCGACAGTGGCAGGAAGTCTTCATATGTCAGAGGTTCATAACTCAGGATACCCTTGGCGAGAAGATCCTGAATTGAGACTTCACCCTTTAGCATTACTTCGTGAGCCAGCTGCTCACCCAATGAGGTCAACCGGTAGGAGAAATATGCCAACTTCAAGTCGTGGAGCTTTGAGAGGCTGTCAGGGAACTCTTTGAAGTGATCTTCCAATAACTTGTCATAATCGCTTCCATTCAATCCCATCTTCACAGAGTCTACATTGACTCGGTCCAGAATTTGATCATATAACTGCCGTCCTTCCCGAGTCAGAGCATAGCCTCGCTGCTCCACTTCACCGAATCTGGCTGTGTGTGAGCCTTTCACGTAAGACCCAGATAAGTCTCGGAAGTAGACAGTCTCTTCAAGTGCCTTGAAGCTTGTCTGCCGAAGAAGTATTGGACATGTGCGTTTCGGCGGTCCTTCGATACGTTCTTTGGCAGGCATCCCGTGGTCCAACATCAACTGCTGGACAAAATCGATATCAATAGTCCGGGGCGTTAAATGGTTGATATGTGAGCTGGGGAAAGAAACAATATCAGCGATAAGAGGATGTTCAGCTTTAAGTTGGTGGTATTCATCATGCGTGACAGTCGCTTTGGAGTGCCATCTGAATGTCTCAAGACCATTTGTGATGAAATCTGTACACTGTTCAGGTGTCAAGTATCCTTGACTTTCTGCAATATCCAAAAGACCCATCAACCTTGGTGTGAAAATGATCCTTTGCTCCAATGCTTTCTGCGCAAGCGCCCGGGTCTTCTCTGTCAACAGTTCCATTCGCAAAACGGTCGTAAAAACACGGAACGGGTTCTTGTCAAGTGCTTCTTGGGTTTTCGGGCGGAATGCAGTGGCATGCATAGGAAATCCGGCAAGACTGAGGTCATAGTAGCCCACCGGGTACATTCCCATCACAGCAAACATCCGACGGATCGTGGCAAGTTCATGAGCCGTTCCTAAACGAATAGCCCCGTGTCTTTCAACGCGATGCCGCAGGGGCAAAACATCATCTGGATTGATGAGCTTGGGACTGCCGTTTGTCTGGTTGTCTTGGATTGCTTTCCCGTCTGCTTCCCAGACTACATCGATGAGGTCTCTATAGAGGGGGACCTCGCTCTTGTACATATCTGAAAGAGCATGACAGAAGCGCGAGCGCATATCATTCTGGTCCCAGTCCATGGTGGGCATTTGTGTGGGAGGTATGGATCAAAGAAGTAAAATAAGTATGACATGAACAGGTAGATGCATGTAAGATTTGAATGGGGTGAATAGTGATGAAGAAAGTAGAGATTCAAATGAAGACAAGTCTTGGCTAATTTTGCACGATTTATATATGCACATTCCCATTCTCTTACACATCGGGTGATATCGAACCTGCTTGCCATCGCCGTGCCTATCCGCTATCTAACTCCTTGGAGATAAGGGATCCCCCCCCCCCCCCGATCTACACGATATACTTAGCTGAATTAGCTAAGAATGAACTATCTTAGATCCGATTCGAGGAGAGTGAGTCATAGATCACTTTTTTACAATATATCTATTCTCTATAGCGTAATAACAATGCGGGGAACGGGCAACTGGTGAAGCGTTATTTGCTTGTGGGTATAGTTTCCGAATAAACCAATGGGATGAGGTCCGATCCGACTCGCCGACAATCGCCACATCCCCGAGGTAGGCATAGAGAAAGTGATTCCGGTGCAGTTGGCATAATAATTACTTCAAAACTGTACGTTAAGATCATAGGATCCATATATAAGGTTATCGGACATTACCAAGATTCGACTTGGACTGGTCCTTTGTCGCACTATTAGCACAGAATGTCGCATGTCTCACCACTAACAATGCATTCCAAAATCTCGAATTACGATTTAGACGTGCTACTGACCCATATAGAAGGATAGGTGTGATGTCATCTTCCGGTTATAGGGACTAACTTCATTGTAGAATCATAGAGCTTCTCGACTCAACTCTTGTGTTAATTCTTGCATCAAGTATTTCGTATTTTTACGATCATCATCTTCTTCTGAAACTCTTGATATCTCTATTCTTTTAGAAAGCCATGGCGGTCAAGGATATCAAGAGTACCAGCTTGGCAGACCCCGAGCTGCTTGAAAAGATTGATCAAGTATGCTTCTAATGTCGGAAATTATATTGATCTTCCACAATCTGTAGTAGCAGGTGACCAGTCGAGTGGAAAAAAGGTATGCTCTGGAAGGCTTGACCAAACTGAAATTCCCACGTAATAGCGGCCCCTGCACTTGCGTCGCTACCCAGATCATTTTCCGACGAAGAGTCAACGGATACCCGAATGATTTCGGCATTTATTATTCCAGTACTAGATCTGGGTACTGATGAAAAAGAGAAACTCAAGAAATGGAATGCCACTGGTTTGCAGACTCTCGGCGTGAAAGGGTTTGCTGAGGTGATAAGTGAGGTTAGACTTTTGGCTTCCTGCCATACTATTTAATAACATACTGAGCTCTATAGGTTCATAAAGCCTTGGGTCTCTTTGATTTGCGGAGCCCTGAAAGTTTTGGAACGCCGATATTCACTAAAAGCGTGCTTAGTCTTGAGACTTGTGGCCCCCAATAGGATCACCTGGGTGAGGTTGAAGCTCTAGGAATATTCAAAAACACGGATCCAGGAAACACCACAAAAGAGGATATAGCGCTAGTTCAAATCATGGTTTATAGTTACATGGAGAACCGGCGCTCTGTTATGTTGACCGTTGTTCCAGCAATGCAGATATTGCAGCGCAGGAAATAATTTAAATAGCCCGCGAAATCGACCCAGAAGAAAGAAGACTTAAACTTAGTATTATCTAGAATAGTCATCAAGAGGGTTGACTTTGGAAACTTGGATGTGTCCAGGAAAAATAGCTATAGCTCTACAAGTTAAATTGGGAGATATTAGTGAATGCATTCTCATCTGAGTAGCTCATCAAGATCATTCTTCTTTTGTTCCCTTTCAAAAGGTTGAATGCCGGATGCAAGCCACGATCCGTTGCATATCCGTCGGAACTTTTTCGGCTTCCGTCGGAAACAACATCGGTACTTTAACAACATTAAGTTTCGTTGGCTCAATTTTCATAATGAACCATTCTTTTTGTGACATTGGAAACAATTGAGAAGATACTGTAAGATTAGAGAAAAATTCCAATAGACTCTTGGGGCGAAAATATAAAAAGACGCATCGACATCTATATCGGAAGTAACCACAATCCCGACCTATGTATGCCTCGGAATCATCGAATATCAACCCCAGGAAAAGGAAATACATTTAAGAAACAAATTCAAGGTCTGAAACTTTCCCCAGACCCCGCAAGATACCCCATATAAGGAAAGTGAGTAATATGTCGGAAGTTGAGTGGTGATTGGCTCGGCAAAGCGAGTTCGTGCTGCCTTCCGATGGGGCCGACTTTTCTCAAACATCAGAGAATGACAATTTCGCGCAGTCTGGATACATGCGACTCAAAATGTACTTATAGAAAGGATGGACGAACGCGAAGTGAAAACAAAGCGGGCTTCACATTGTCGTATACCGCGAGCGTCCCGCGCATGCGAAACATGTCGGACTCGGAAAACTAAGGTGGGCCCCATCCGCTTGGATCTCTTCACTCTTCGTTCGAGTAGTATCCTGATGGCCATATAGTGTGATCAAGAACAACCTTGCTCCTATTGTGCATGTATGCTCCTTATCTCGGTGACGTCAGTTGAAGACGTATTAACTCTTAATCACAGACCACTCATTCGACTGTGTATTCCGTACATCTGGCGGTCGTGGAACTCCCAGTGTATCGAGTCAGAGGAAACGAGCTGCGCGTGAGGCTCAGCACAGGTTCGACTCTTGAATTCAGCCATTTTCGAGCAATCTGACTGAAAACAGCCAAAACAGTGCCAGTCGGCCATCGCCATGGCCGGGTGTACGGCCAAGCGGTACGCCCCAGAGTTTGGCTGAGGTTGCAATAGATACACAGCCAGTAAACCCCTCACAGGACTGGTCTCCGGGTCTACTAAGATTTGGCTCCTCCGGCGTCCATATCGCACCTAAAACTCCGAGTATATCGACTGCACAGGATAACCATTACGACAGTGAGTATCATGCTTTCTCACGTTTGGAATTTCTGAACCTAAAATTTATCTTAGGCCCAATTTCCGAGGTAGGCGATGCTGCATTGAGGGATGGCTTGAGCGGAGTCAACCTACACACCAACGGAACCGAGTTCTATGGCAACTCTTCCAACCTAGCATTCCTCGGAAACCTTTACGCAAGAGCCCGAAGCCAAGCAGACAACCGAGATCAATACCAGCTGGCGGATTATGTCTCTCAGCTAATGCAGGAAACACCTGCTAATCAACGTGATCAACCTCCCCATCCAGAGCCGAGCGATCACAAAAGCGGGAAGTCGGGCAAGTCACAACTTTCAATTGTGAACTTGCTTTATAATGCGGATTACCCGGGCCATCTTTCGCCTCAGTCTCAGAGCGGAGGGGAAGCTGCAACGCCGACGACCCAGTCCGTCCAAAGTAACTCGAGCGGCCTGCTTAGGCCTGTGAGCAATTGTATGACTCCCTTTCAAGTTCCAAAGCTATAAAGTGCTTCCTAATTGAAAGCGACAGCACAAAAAAACCACCTTGAAATCATTTTCCCCAGACTTACGAATAATGCGCAAATGGAGATTGAGAAAATCTTCATTGGTAGCTATTTCGCTAATAAGCACTACATCCACCCAATCCTTTCCAAGAGCTCATTCATGAGACGCTGTGAAGTTGAAGCCTGGCCAAATTCAAGACGTGCTGGCCTCTTTAGAGGTCTCACCAAATTTGCTAGGCTCTACTTTGCAGTTGTTGCCTTGGGGGCGATCAATGCCAGTCCAGACGAGACATCTTTACTAGACCACTTCTGCCAACAGACAGATGATCAAACAAGAGGACCGACAGGGTCTGTATTCTCTGCTCTTGAATTTGCCAGGTTTTATTTTGGGCTCGCGAGACAGACCATGGGCGATATGTTTGAGAGTTCTTGCTTAGAGACAGCTCAAGCTCTTCTGCTTTTGGTAGGGTCGGATCACTTTGAGACTGAAACCAAGCTGATATCCAATCGAAGAGTGTATTCCGTCAGAACTCGTTACAGCCTCATAGCTGTTACATGTACAGTGGAATGGCTGTTCGCACAGCAGCGGCTATTGGACTTGGGTCGAGCTTGTCTTCGTTGCCTCCTAGTGCTCGACGGGAAGCTCGACGTACATGGTGGTATGTCAAACACCTTCTTATACTGCAGATCAAAGCTAACAATAAGATGAAGGTGTATTTACTCACATGAGATGTCAGTAACCCGACCTAGACTTTGATACTATGCTAACTTACCCTCAGAGAGATGTGTTGCTCCTCCGGACGCCTAGACAGCATGAAAGAGCTTCAGTACTACCAAGCCTCCATTCCCAAACTCAAATGTGATGTCGGTGACCTTGACCCCGACGCTGAAGATAATGACATCGCCATGATTCCAGTAATGATAGCCTTGGCGCAAATCAACACGGAAGCATCCCACCAACTTTACCACTCCACACAGCGATCAATGGGCGAAAAATCTTGTCTAGCAATTGCCCTAGATCAACGACTTCTTCAGTGGAAAGCCAACATACCGTCCTTTTTGAATTTAGATGCAAATGCACTGAATGATCCTGAATGGGCATTTAAACAGAAATTGGTTCTGAGGTTGAGTGAGTTGGATCATCTCACGGGTTGCTAGATTAAAGCTATATACTGATGTTGATTGCCCTAGGATACTATAATACCCGAATCCTCATCCACAAACCATTCCTTGTTGCAGCAACAGCTAGCACAGACACGGAACACGATCTTTCCATTCACCTACATGCGTGTCTCACAGCTGCACGGATGAGTATCAATATGCAGTACGAGTCATTTATGCACCGGATCTACATGCGTACTTGGTACGTCCTTCTTCTGTTGAACCTCAATGCTCTTGTACCTGAAAATAGCTAAGATTTGCCAGGTGGTACAATACAACATACGCACTCTACGGCTCAATGATTCTTCTCCATATCGTACTCTCGGGCTATCCAGGCCTCCCAGACGACGAATTCCTCGAGGATGTCGAGAAGTCCCTACAGATCTTCTCCGCCATGAACGATATCATTGTTGCGCGTCGCTGCGCCGAGATGCTCCGAGAAGTACTCGAGGTAGCGCGGACATGTCTCACCCGACGACGTGGAAGTGCATGCCCTGCACAGTATCGGGATCATGGCCCTAGCGAGACTCAAGCCCCAGTTCAACTCCCTGGTCTTGATACCGTGTCCAAACCCAGAAGGCCATCGTCAATGCAGAAAGATACACCACTGGCTGGTGGATCGTCCCTATCCCCAAGAACTGCACCTCTGCCCAGGTCGGGATTCTCTGTTGACACGCCCTCGTCGATCCTGGGATACCAACCTGGTACAAACCATGAGCCGAACCCTGATGATGAGGATTTCTTCTTCTCTTTGTTCAGCAATGAGACACCACGGCAGCCTGACCGCACTCGAACTGAGATACTGGCAAACTTGGTAAACCCGAGTATTTTGGAAGACTTCGCTTTTGGTGGCGGGAATGACTTCTCTTTCTTTTAATCTTTCAAATGCCACCAAATTGATACAAAAAAATGATTTGCTTAATAACTTCAAGTATATGTGAAATATCCAAATCATAACCAGAATCCGTACAGCTCTATGAAATCACAAATCAAATCTAGAACTTGGAAAAAGCAACATCCTCATGAGCATCAAAAGGAACCCCGTCATCCAAAGAGTTGATACTCTGCGCAATCTCTAGCCCTTTCAACCGTTTCTCCTCAATAGCCTTAGCAATGACCATCTGCTGATCAATGGCATTTACACTCGGCCCAGAGCCATCATCAGCCCCAGACTGACCAACAGAGTTAACCACAGTGCACGACCCAGGAGAACCACATTCCCCGACAGCAGGGATAAGCTCACAATCACTCAAAAACTGGACCGGCGAGATGGTTTTCCTCCCATTCTTAAAAACCATCCTCCCCATAACAACCGCCAAAACAACATCTTTGCCATCCCCATGCTTTTCACCACAACGACCCTTCTCCAAATCCCCTTCCTCTCCATTCTCACCCATAACTCTCTCCTTTGCCCTCTTCTTCGAATCCGAAAAATACCCCGGCTGGAACACCCCCTCCTTAACAAAATACGAAACAACAAAACACCACTTCAAATCCCATCCAATGATCCTCGTAACGATATCATACCGCTGCCCAGGCTTTATAGGTCTTTTAAAAGAACACTCAACACCAGCAAGAACAGGAAGAACAGGGAAAACACCATCCTGCTCTTTCTTCCACTTATCATATCCCAGCCGGAAGAGAGAGGATAAGTGGTAAACACGCGCCGAGTCGAAATCAGTTAAATACGTCGCGTTCGATTTGTGGCCTAGAAAGTCGATTTCCCCTAGTGGGGTGCTGCTTTTCCAAATTGTTGGTTGGAAGACGGGTTGGGTGGCTAGTGTTGGGGGTGGTATTGGGTTTTTGTTTAGGCAGAGGCGGAAGAGGAGGGAGCCTAGGACTCGGACCTGGTTTTTGGAGAGAGGAGGGAAGGGTTAGTATTGTATTTAGTGGTTTGATCTTTCGGTGGTGGTGGTGGTGGTGGTGGTGGCGGTGGTGTACGTACATGCCACATTAATGGGAATATCTTCAGACTCAATATGAAGCATATTGCTCGCCATAGTGTTTGAAAAGGCCATATCAGTACGGCGCATATTCTTGTGGTAATAGGCTTGTGATCGGGCTTGGTTTTGCGTTCCATTGTTGTGAGTGCTGTGACAAGTTGTATCCTTGCTGCTATATTGTGAACATATATTTTGACTTGTTTATCTCTCTTCTGGGGGGATCCTGGTCAAGGACCTTTATAGTACAGGGATCATCCTTATTGATCATTGAAGGATTCGGCATTTGCGGTTAACGTACGTGTCATGTACACCTCCATTCCAAACGCCGAAGACGGTGACCTCATATGAGGTGCATATAACGTCGATGTATGTAATTATGTATGATCAGTGAGTGATTGTATAGTCCGAGTTGGACTAATAGGCAAAGTGCGGGATAGATGGGGTTGTACAGTATGAAGAATGGGCGATCATGGCCAAATGCTTTGTTAGCAAGGGATGAATAGCATCATTGGCTCCGATTTTAAATGCAGAAAGATAAGATTGGAAGTACGGATTATTCTGTCGTCGTATCGTCGTGTCGTTTATCTATTATTCTATGCGTTGTTCGCAGATTGGCCAATAATTTCCGAGGGCTATTGGAGATGTCCCTAACCCCGCAGGATGCTGTAGCTTCCCTGATAGTAGGGATATAACAGAACGTCAAATAAATCACATCAAAGCATCACATCTCAGAATGACCAGGCACACCTGAAACACCAAAAATGTTACACGGTGATACCCACACACGGCATAGTCCATACCTCGGCTTCTGGATAAGGTGACACAACATGTCCAACAAGAAAGGGAGGCACGCTATATCATCACAGCGATTATTGTCTGATTATATACACAAAAGCCCATGCTACAGTATATTTATTTATCCCCAGAACACCGGAATCCGCCAAGCGTGGAGTTAACCTTAAATCAGATCCGGCAGTTTGGATGGATCTAGTCCGAATCAGGCACTAGCGTATATCACTACATTTAAAACAAAAACTACCTCCTACCTCATCAAGGTACATAGATGTACATTTACAAAATACTCAAAAGAAAAAAAAAACATGGTAAAAAAAAATGAAGTGATCATAATCCATATGATTTATATACAAGGGGATACTGCCATCCCATCTATAACCATCCAAAGAGGAATAATCATCCGAAGATGCAGAAGAGAAAAAGTCAAACGAAAGCGAACGAATTCGAACCCATTTCCAGTATCCAATATTCCAAATTCCATCCGAACCAGGGTAATTCCGTCATCAAAGTACAAAACAAGAAGCACAAAAGTGAACAGCGCGTTTCTGCAGAAACGCGTACATGGGTAAAATGCAAGAATGCATACATGCATGCAATATAATCAGATGAAAAAAAAAGCGCTTCAATGGGACAAAAGGCAAATTGAAACGCCAAGGGTGAGAGTCGTGAGGAGGGTCGTTCAGTGTAAGATGAGAGTAGAGGTAGAGCCAAGAGAAGAGTGAAAGCGAAATCAAAGAGGCGGCATAGAAGCATCTCCGTCCTCCATATCACTAACAGAAGTAGCAGGCGAAGCCAGACCAGAGATAACAGACGAGGAAGTCCCCGTCCCAGCTTCCATCATAGCCTCGTCATACGTGCCATGGGCGGTAGTGGGCAAACGCGGTGGTGCAGTCTTCGTTGCAGCCATCAATTCCTCGATGCCCGGTTTAGCGGGGACATGCTTGTGGAGCGCGGTAGCGTTGTCCAGACTTTGTAGGGCGAAGCCCATGAATGCGGCGTTTTTGTGGCTTACATCTAGTGTCCAGCGATACTCGCATAGACGGACCCGGTAGAAGTCTGCTTCTTCGCTTGTTGGCGCTGTGATGCGGAGGAGCATACCGAAGGAGCCAATTAGGGAGAAGTTCGTTCTTGCCGAGGCGGGCCAGAAGGAGCGTAGGTGGGCTGGTCGGAGGCGGTTGACAAAGTCCATTGCGGAAATTAGGCGGGTTTTGGCTGCTGAGCGGCAGATGTGTGCTAGGTATGGGTCTGTGCCTTCGGCGAGGAGGGAGCGGACTATGCAGCGGTGCAGGGTGATCTCGGTGGCGAAGTAGGCGAGGTGGAGTGCGCCGTTGCGGGCGTGTTCGTCTGTTATTGTTTCGACGAGCTCGCCAGTTGAGGTTTCCATTTTCAGGGATGAAGGAAGGGAGGAGAACCAGTCTTTTAGTCTGATTTGGGCGGGTTTGGCTTTTTCGAGGATCATTCGTGTCCGTTGGTTGCCTGCTGCTTGGAATTCTTCGATGGCCTGTAGGGTGTAGAAGCGGTCCAGGATGTCGGAGAGGATGGTGGTAAGGGCTACCATGTGGCAGAAGAGGAGGGGGCCATGACCGACGGCTCCTTCGTCGTGTGAAGAATCTGTACCGGAGGCGAAGGCGTCTGAGAAGTCCTGCTCCACGAGATCCTTGACCGTCCAGTTAAAGGCGAAGATGTGAGACGGGCGGCCATGGACGAGTGACGACCATTTATCCTGCATGTATAATGCCCACGCCAGTCGTTTCCGGAGACCCTTCTCCCACGTTTTCATCCGCCAGTTCGTGCAGTCCTGGTGCAGACCTAGCTCGAAGCCAGCCGTGACCAGCTGCCCGTTCAGCGAAGCCGTTGCCAACGTCGACTTTTGCGTCAGCAACAAACCAGCCTGGATAGTCGAGTGACTAGGAAAAGGCAGAGAATCCTGCAGCAACTTCATCGCCGCAGCCTCCAAACGCGCAGCATCAGGTTTCCGAGCGGTCTGCGAGTTCGCACCGACATCAACAAACTTCAATGTCAACACATAAACTGAAGCAAGGAGGAGCGGCGACAATCCACGGCGTTCCCGATACGATTGACGGAACGCCTCCTCAATCAAGATGGGGAACGATGGATGCACATGGTCGAAGAACTTTTCAATCAAAGTTGAACCATACGGTGCCACCAGACTCTCAATGGCATCGAGCGACACCTGCGAATCACCGACAGGCACTGTATCGACGACACGCATGAAAGTGGGATCATCCGCACACCTTCGCACGCGCGAGTTAGAAATGGTACATTCATCATACTCGTCAAGAGGAAGATATTCCAACAAAGTCGGTTCCAGCTCTGTGGTCATACCGATATGCTGGGTCGACTGGTTAAAGAAACCCGGACGAATCATGTTCCGGGGCAGCGGGTGAGAGTGTGACTCGGCACTAGCTTCTCCAGACTGTTGCATGGCAGGTCTAGGGGCATTGTTAGAACGGGACTCGTTTGGCATGACTGGATTGGTGGCATACCGCTTGACCGCTTCGGCCGCTTCGGATTCGGATAGCTTTCTTTTCTTAGGTTGTTGAGGTTGAGTTTCGGCAGTCAGAGTAAAGGTACACTCCTGGCGATGGAAATCGCATGAATAACACTTGTTGACCATTTCGTTCATGGCACACCTGCTTTTTCTCCGGAGACAGGCGTCACAAGCTCCATGGCGGGGAAGGGTCGAATTGATGGATATGGGGGATGGGGAAAGAGTCGGGGTCTGGGGGGAATGGGAGTAACCCGGCTGGAGAGTGATTGTAGCCATTGTAGATAGGTATTTTACTGATATTGAGTTAGTTTCATTGGCAGAGACCAGAGATAAGACGAAATGTACAATTTGGCTTATCAGAAAAAAAAAGTTGGTTATCTCCGAGATCACCGAGTCTAGTAATCAAGCAGACGAGTCTGCTAGGGACTGCAGTAAAAGGAGATGCCGGGTAGTTCGCTCCGTCATTCCTGTAGGGAAGTAGGGCCGGCAAGAGTAGAGTACAGAGTAGAGTACAGAGTAGTGAAAGTAAGGAAAGGGAAGTGAAAGTAAAGAAAGAAGGGAATATATGATGACATCTGTATACTCATGTACCGAGAACAGTAAGGTCGGCACCCGAACCAGACGATCGCCAATGTCTCTCGTAACATAAACTTGTACCCATTGACCCCATTATCCAAGCCGAATTGTCAAAGATAAGGATTGCCATCGCTTGATTGGTCCGATCGGGGATATTACGTACTGGCCATCATTATGTCAGCATCCCAGTCCATACAAGAGCCGCCAATTTAAGGGTGTTAGATAATAAGAATAGAATTAGCCTAAATATTAGTGAACAAGAATATCCCTGTATGGACATCCTGGTCACAGCATTAAGTATGACTGGTCTAGTACATGGACTGCGACTCCGGCCCAATCAGCGGTCTATGATAACATCTCTCCCAGCCAATCATACACGCAGTAGTGCCCGAAGCAGAACTGGGGAAATAACTGTGGAGGAACCATTCAGAGAGCACGCGATGTACCTTATTCACTACTCTGATTACTTGATTGCTACGGAGTGGAACACGCCGGAGTATATGACTCCATCCCCGGCACATGCTAAAACGCTATTCCGGTGGCAACATCCCAGTTTCTATTAATCATATCCTAACGCCCGGCTCATTTTTGAGCTATGCACATGCCAGTACCACTCACTTGATGGTTAACCACTCATCAGTTACTCCGTGAAGTTGCGCAGTTTGGTCAACTCATCCAGCAACTCCTGCAAATCCCCATCCGAGATCTTATTCTGCAAACTGGGAATCAAGGACTTGGCTTCCTCGGCGTTGTCACAGCACAGACTCCCTATCCCAAACATTAATATTAATCAATTCCCCGAGGTTTATCCAACCCGTCCAATCTCGACCAAAGGATAGACCGGGCTGTGCAAATACAGTTGTCCAGGGTATGAACTCACCAAGCTGTGACCGTTCGAACATCTCCAACTCCGTATGCGAATTCAGCAACCGCTCAACAGCCTTGATATTCTCCTCATCCTTAAACCGCGCAAACACATCCAGGTAATCAAGTGTCTTGGTCAGGTTCCTAGATAGATAATATATCAGTATCTGATAAGCATTGCACATCGGACCATCTTTGTTCCATTTAGAGCGGAGCTGTCGACTTACTCCGGCTCTTCGTATTTGTTGCCTCCACGACGCTTGTTCTCGAGCACTTTGTGGATAACTAGACGGGCTTCAGAGAGTGAAAGCGTGTGTGTGTGTTGGTCGGCACCGAGCTTGAGTGTTGAGGCGGCTTCAAGCTCGCCTTGGGGGAGGGCGCGCTTGCGGTGTGTGGCGGGGGGCAGTTGGACGCTCATTGTGATCTCGGGATGTCGGGGTTGAGAAGTGAGGGATAGAGGATGAGGTGGGTATTGGAGACTCAGTGATGCGACACTTGAATGAGGCTGAGATGGTGGGGTTAATTGGATGAGGTTATTCCTCTTGAGGTTGAACTCTGCAGTTTCAATCTGGCAGTTAAGGGCGGTGAGGCCTTCACCGCCCTTTTGTCAACATGTCGCATGCACACATGCCATACTTTATAGATGATATCCAGATAGCTTTGATATTTAAATTTCCTTTGACAAACGAATTGGATAAAATGATGTTCGGGTATTCTCATTGATCTATGCTTTTTGAACGCCTTATGCAACCTCTCACACCTTGCGGAAAGCAACCTCCTTCGGCAGGCGGAAGCTAGCGCAGAACATCTGCTTCTTGGGACTGACGAGCCTCACATTATGAATGGCAAGCTCAACTTCCTGGTCACCACTACCGCCAACACGGTCATCAATAGTGACCTTGTACCCAATGCGCTCAGAGATCCTCTGACAGATATCGATGTGGTCCTCAACCTCGTTATCAGAGTTTCCAGAGAAACAGTAGACATGAACCATAGGCAACTTCTGCTCAGTGTTTGGTGCAAAAAGTTCATCCTTGCCGCTGTAAACACCAGGGAAGGCATCGAGGAACTCAATGGCATCCGCAGGTAGGTTCATAACATAGTGATCGACAAAGGAAGGACGGGTATATTTGGGCGGTGGGGGAAGCTGTTCCTCTTCTCCAGCTTCAATCTTGCGCTTCTTATCCCGGCGGACCTTGTGCGGGATGGTAACAGTAACAGGTCCAGCTTCAAGAAGTCTGGTTCCCGAGGCACGCACAAAGTCCCGTCCGTCTTCGTTAAACGGCGTCACGAAGTCGGCCACCTTGTTGCGCTGCACTGCATCCTGCATCACCTCGTATCCGTGGGGGTTGAGGTCATTGGCCCAGACGAAGATCTTCTTCCGGCCTGCTGGCACGGCGAAGGGCCCTACACCCGCCATCACGTCGCATACCATCTCGCCGGGACGGAACTTCTCGACTAGACGGCGGTGCTCGGTTTCCAGACGGCTGTTCCAGTATACGCGGGAGTAGTCAAAGCGAAATTCGCAGTCTTGTTCGTGTTGAATGACGTTTAGGTCGTTCTTGCCTGCCAGTAGTTCGAATGGGAAGGTGCGGAATTGGCTGTGCGAGCCGACGTCTTCGGTCTTGTTGATCACGGTTTCGATGGTTGGATTTTTATCCATGAGGATCTCAGCGATTAGGTGCTTGTATGGGAAATAGTTTGCGCGGAGGTTAAGGTGCACTGTTGGGTCAGTATTGGAAGTATGAAGTATGGATAGCGGGAGTGCGTACAGACGTGGCCCACCTGCGTGAAGCCTTGAGGAATCTCATCCATGTCCTCAGGTAGAATGGAGTGGATAATTTCAGCTGTAACTATATCAGTATCGAGTAAATCCGCTGTGCAGGATGATGAGCATACCATATGTCCAGTAGTCATAATCCAATGTCAAATCATAGAATGCAAGATCAACAGTTCCCCTCTGGACAAGCTCTGAGATAGTTGGTGACCAAGTAGACTGATCTGTGAGATCCCATTAGCATGAGACCCTCATAATCGACCCTCAACTCAGCTCGACGCAACCCACCATCAGCCTTCAGATCCTCCCGCAACAACAAAGCCTTAAGTGAAGACCCATCGTTGCCCTCCATATGACGGACAGCATTAACGCGAGGAACAGCCAAGACATCATTGCTCTTGGTCAGCTCCTTGCGGATCTTCGCAATGTCGCTAGCTTTGAAAATCCGCGCGGCGGAGAGGGGCACGATTCGTTGGAAAAATGATCGGTCGAGCGTGCGCATGGCACGGTTGATGGGCGGTCGAAACATTTCCGGAAGCTCGCGATGAATCGGCCTGCGATCGTCCTTTTTTGACTCCATTGGAGGTAAAGGGGTTGCTATGGTAGTTTGCGATTTGTCGGTTGATCGGCGCTCGACGCGCATGGCAGCCGAGCGATTTATTTTCTTATCGGGCACGTGACCACATTTAGATCTATAGATCGAGCAGGACATAATGGCTCAAAGATGTTTGTACAATTATTCATAGATTTCAGCTCTGGCTAATATAGCTAAAAAATGTTCAGGCTTTTGCCACGTATTAAAGCGTTGTAGTGACCCTAAAAGATGATGTTGGGTGCAGACAATACACTGTACGCAACTCTATACGAGGAAAAATAACAGTTTAAAAATCTCTACGACGAATCTGAGTTCGAAAAAATTGGGCTCCGTCAATTTAACGACGCCTGAAAACAAGTCAAGAGCTTCTACACACAGCAACACACCCTCGAAATTGTAGCCTACAATCTCAAAGCATGCAACGGTTTCAAGAACAGATATGTGCCAAAAATGACAGTCTGGAAAGTTATGGAGAGACTCAACACCTTCATCAATGAATGTGACCCCGAAAATTCCGAATCGCAAATGATACACCTCCTCCAATCAGCCGAAGTAACCCGCAACTAAGGAAAGCCACGCTGGATGCAGCTTATGGGACTTATCCACAATCTGGGTAAACTGTTATTTTTCTTTGGTAAGCAAAGGTAGTGGGGTGTTGCTGGTGATACATTTGCTTGGGCTGTGCCTTCGACCAGAGGACTATCTTCGGGACTGAGTCTTTCAAGGATAATGAGGATTAACATAATCCTGTTTACGGTACCAAGTACGGCATCTACTCTCCTGACCGTGGGTGGGAGGATGTAATGCTTGCCTGGGGTTTGATGAGTATCTTTATCATATTGTTAAAGATCAGTCCCGTATTCCCAAGAAGGGGCTGGCTATGATTTAGTACCAGCCTTTTTATCCTTTGCATTGTGAGGGCGCTCATCAAGAGTTCATGAGTGAGCATGATTATAAGATGCTTGAGGCTGTGAGGGTGTTCAGTCCTTATGATTCGTATAGTCAGAGAGATGAGGTTCCTTTTCCTGAGAAATTGAAGATATGTTTGCTCTTTTGGCTTTCTTGTGATGGTGGCATTGCAGCCTTACTAATCGGAGCTTATTGATGAGTTCTTCCCCGAGAAGTTCATCATGCGGCAGTCGATTTTTTGTGCTGGGTCAGTTGTTATGGTGGGCGAACTGTGTCCGAACATATTTGTCGAGACAGTCTTTTGGCTCACTCTTCAGTTAGCATTCAAATACGAAACGTTTTCATTGTGATTTTCAGTTCTAATTTAAATTAACGTTAGTGGGACTTGGTGGACCGTGCAGCCACTGATACTATGGGGCAACCTAAAATTAAATCTAACTAGACAAGTGTAGATGCGAATCGGATTGTTGCTATATAGTCTCGACTGGTAAAATAGACGTAAGATTCAATTCCTATATTTTATCTAGACAAGGCAAATGCACCAAACACAAATTACAAGCTATCATATCATCGTAAAGTTCATGATGTAGTGATATCAAAATCACACATGCAAGCAGACACGTCTGTGTCACATTTATTGGACCTGTCTCCTTCAAGGGTGTTTCATGCCCTCAATAAGACTCCGATCCAGCTCTTTCTGAGCTTCCAAATTCGAAATACGCTCCTTCAACCTGACGATTTCGTCATCACGTTTCTTGAGCAACAGGCGCGACATGTCTCGTCCTTTGCTGATACCTTTGGTCCTAAGATCGTGCTGATTGAGCAGCGAGACCATCTCCTTCTGCGCATGACTTGGTAGCACGACACTATGCTTGTCCAGAACATCAAGTAAACTCTTCGACAGATCTGTCATGTCATATTTCGAGTCTGCGTAAAGGATATCGCTATATTTGCTTGGTGTAGGTGTCATGCATATTTCCACTGACGATGGAGGGAACTGTTCAGTGCGAGATGATCGGGATGAGAAAGGCGTGGCGAGAGCAGATTGAGTCCGAGAAGGGCTCATATTTGTGGCTTCGGAGGATTTCCTCTCCCCTGGGGAGGTAAATAAGTTTGTGCGGGCCACCTTCGATGGAAATTCGGGGTGGAAACTTGGCTGTGTTATGAAAGGCTCCGTAGCCTGGCTTGATGATAGCACATTCGTAAGTTCTTCGTTGTTATCGGAGTTGTCGTTCCATCCAAATTCATCGGAGGCCTCCGAAATCATTTTGGCTTTTGCCGTTTTTGGTGGGGAGATGAAGCTACGTTGAGGGTTGTCAACGAAGTGGCGCTCGGTCTGAGGGGTCATGAGACCATTGCTAAAGCGACCTGGTGTTCTTGGTTTGGAAGGTGTCAAAGTTAGAGGATCGACTTCGGATCGGGAGTTGGAAAGAACGGTTGCTTGTTCACGAATCTCGGCGTCACTAGCCCAAAGGAAGAACTTGCACTTGAGATGCTGAGGTTGATCGCAAGTCCAGACTGCTCACGTCAGCTAAAACTCTTATTTCGTCATATAGATACCACATACAGAACCTCCCTTGGTTTGCGCTCTGTTTCTTGACTTGGAACTGTTTAGCTAGGGGTCGATCTGGGCAGTTACAGCACCAGAGGCCATCTTTGAAGAGGCCAGGCGCCGACATTCGGGCATGCGGGGAAGATGGATGGTCTCTCTGGGGAGAAGCCATTATGTCTTTCTTACGCAAAGATGTGCTGAGGTTGAAAGAAGATGAAGTTGATGCCAAAGTCGCCATGGAGACGGGCTTATCGCTTATCGCCCCGGACTCTTGGCATCGTCATCTCCAACTGTCTCACTTCTACTTCACTTGAGACAAACACTGAGACACTTGCACTTTTGATCCATTTGCCTAATGTGGAGCTCCCCGCATGCTCTATTTCTGTCCGTCGAGGCTGAATCTGCATCTCCACGTCCAAGATACGAATTACAAACCTACGCTTATTGCGAAAAGCTCAACCCTATGCTTTTCCTCCTGAATAAACGGTCCAGATGCATACAACATGCACCAACCCAGAAGGACCACTCTCCAAAATCCCAAAAGAGCTCTATATCACCATATCGGATTTTCTTCCTGAGCTTGCCGACCTGAACGCCTTCACACGCACCAACAAAACAACCCACACCCTCTTAAACAGGATTCTCTACAAAAACGACGCCATATCTCCCGACCCAAAAGCTCTGTTCTGGGCCAGCACCTACAATAAAGCCTCAACAGCCCTCCTAGCCCTAAATGCAAATACAGACCTGAACTACAAAACAGACAGAGATCCCCGCCTAAGAGGATGTACCCCAATCCTCCTAGCATCCTTTTACAACAGCCTAGCGGTTCTAAAGCTTCTCTTGCTGAATGATGACGCAAATCCAAATATTCGCGACCACAAATGGATCAGACCGCCAATTTCCTGGGCCGCAAAACAAGGCCACACAGAGATCGTGCAGGCACTCCTCGCAGACTCACGAACAGATGTCAATCTTCAAGATAAATCCGGTGATACGGCGCTAATGATCTGCGTAGATCATCATCCCACCATTTTGGCGACACTTTTACTCAGTGGACAGGCTGATCCGCGAATTGCGAATCGGCATGGGCGGACGCCATTGTCGCGTGCTGCTCGTGATTTTAACTGTGATATGGGGCTGTTGCTTGCGAGGCATGTGCGATTGATCCTCGATGGGGATGATAGTGCGAAGCACTGCCAGCATGTGTTTTTTTATGCGGCTGTGAGGGGCCACGCTGATGTTGTCGAGTATTTGGTCAAGTTTTTCAGTGAAAAGTTGGATCCGAATGCTGATGGAGAGAGGGATGGTCGAGCGGCTTTTTCTTATGCCGATGGGCAGCGGTATGGACGTGGTGCGTTTACTATTGCCGCTGCGGCCGGGAACCTGGACGTTGTGAGGATATTGCTTGGTTGGGAGGCTACCGATCCCAATTTGCAAACGCACTGGAAGAGGCAGACGCCATTGTTTACGGCTGCTGAGGAGGGCAGGGTGGATATGGTTGATTTGTTGGTTGGATGTGACCGGGTTGGTCTCGAGATTGCTGATATGCATGGGACGACACCGCTGGGGGTTGCTGCGTATGGAAATCACGAGACGGTCGTGAGACGGCTATTGAGTGGGCCGCGGAAGGCTGATCCTAATGCCCGTGATGAGAACGGGCAGACACCGCTATTTAACGCTGCGTTTTGTGGGCATTTAGGAGTTGTGAAAACACTACTAGAAGCGGAAGGAATTAATCCTGGCCTAAGAGATGCAGAGAGGAAGTCGCCTCTGGAAGTGGCGAGGGAGAATCAGCACTATGAGGTCGCGGAGGCATTAGATGATAGGTAATTCATATTGAAACAGCAAACTTGACAGGGAGAATGCGATAGACCGAACACTGTATAGCACAGCATATGTGGTAGAAATGCATGCAATGCAGGAGACTACCGGCCTCGACTCTCGCATATCGTGCCACAGCACTTGAGATGCCAAATTGGGTTGAAGATCACAGTAAAAACCGAATGCCAATTTTCTCTTAAATAGTGTTTATTACTGAAGCTCAAATTCTGCTGTGTACAAAAGACACAGGCCTCAGAAATCATGCTCGAGCTTTGTCTAGAAGCGGGTGGTGGTATACCACTCTGCTTCATGTCAAAAATGAAAAAGGCATCAGGCTGGGGGACTATGAAAACAACAAAAGGAGTGCCTCCGTAGGAGAGAGGGAAGAATAAGTATAGTGACTCCTCCAACGAGGAACAGCAGACTAAAAGGCCTATGAACTCGGGCAAGGAAACAGAGGATGCGTCCTGGTCCCGAAGATAGCAATGCTATGATACCTTCTTGCCCAATCTCCCAAAACGACTTCTTGTCTCACTTTTCTTAAATCTCTCTAAGTCTTCACTTCTCACGCCCTCACTTTCCCAAGTCTCTTTGCATCTTCACTTTCCCACTACCAAACTTCAAACATTATGGAGTCCCTCTCGATGGAGGTGTTGTTGATGGTATTGTGCTATGCCCTTCAACCGCAGGGAAACGACCTAAGAGCTCCCATAGCCCCATATGCGACTGTCAACCGTCGCTGGCAGGCAGTCATTGAGGAGTGTACATTCGGTTCAATCCGCATCTACACTGCAACCAGGCTTAAAGAATTCCAACGGCTATTCGGAAAGCTACCCAAAAATTCACACAGAAAGTTCTGCATCCAGAAAATTGATCTCCTGGTCGAGCTTGAACCATACGACAAGAAAGCGAATGCCCATTACGAGACGGATGAGGAGAATCAGAGAAACAATAAGATCTTCAGAACAGCCATCAGCTCTTTGTTCGAAGTTCTGGCATCCTGGCCAGACAATGTTGAACTTGAACTCATTATCGAGGCACAGTCGCCGAGCGATGATCTCGCTTGCAAGGATCCGGAGGTATTCTTGCAACGGATTCAAGCCGCAAGATCACGGGGGGGCGATGTTCTTGGGGACCGATACAACAGACGTTACCTGAAATTCTTTGAAGAGTCCGGCCATACCCCATCAATCCATGCAGTCACTACTCTCCAGATAAAGGGGACCTCTGGAAGGCGCTTGATTGAGCCAGCATCGTGCGCTTTGATTGCATCTAAACTGCCACGCTTATTCCATCTCGATCTGAATTTGGTGGATGAATGCAAACGTGACGAAGGATTGAGAAAGCAGCTTCGAGACGATAAGCTCTACCAGAAATACTCCAACCATGATATGCTAAGCCTCTTTTCAGACTTTGCGATTGCCCTTCGCCGCGTGCCTCCTAATATACAAGGACTTTGCCTAAAATTCGCATACAATCCTCCCCGTGACCACAACTATCCCCCGCCCATTTTGGCAGAAGGTGAGACAGATTTGTTAAGCACTCACTTACGGGAAGTTTCCCGGAATCTAAGCTACCTGAACATTGAATCGACTGTGATAGGGCCAGAGCTCTTCTGGCCCTTGAATTCGCAAGACAAATCCTCTGGCCTCCCGTCCTGGCCACATTTGACCTCTTTCGTGGTTGGATACGCACCAGTGACACCATTTGGGCAATGGCTCTTTGAGAGACCATCTGAAAGCCTAGAAGATGACGTCGAGGCTAATGAGGGCGCGAATGGCGTTGATGAACGTGAATGGCAGCCCGGATTCCCATGGACAGCACCTGAAGACCGTAAGATCAACAACTTTCGAACCAATACCATCATGCGATTCGCCAACAATCTTTACATGTCGGCTGGCCAGGCGGCCCTCCAGATGCCAAAATTGGAATCGATGACTCTGGCCACTGCCGGGAGCCATAACCCACGGCAAGTTTTCAAGTACACAGTGGCAAATGGAGTAGCAAAGCTCACTTGGTCTCATGTGGATTTTATTGGTCTCTTTTTATTAAAATACCAAGTTGGCTGGGCGGGATTGAGGAGGGTCATCGAATGGTTCCAGCCAGATGAACAGGTGTTGGAGCTTTGGAAGAAGGTAGCATTCCAGCATACCGGGGGAGAGCTTCAGATTTACTTTGTTGATTCGAAGAATACGGAGCTGGGGAATCTCTTATAAGGACAGTTTTCTCTCTGCTTAACAACCACCTTCCTTTACATCATCTCTGCCGTCCGTCATTTCCAAACTGCATGGATACCATAACCACACAATATCTGAAAACAGAATACGCTTTGAGACCAGCAGACTTATAAACAACATCATCGGCCGCAAAGTATACATACGCAGTTGTAGCTGCCAGATTTTCGAAGGCTTTTGCCCCCGTGATGTTTCAATCCTTGCAAGCAATGCAAGGAAGATTATTATGAAGCCAATGATATTTCCACGCTGGTATAATTAATTTTGACACAGAAGAGCCACCATTGTAGAGCAATCAGCATAATTGAACCAGCAGCAAAGAATCCACATTGGATATTTCGTTCGTCTCTGCTTAAGGCTTTGATCTTGTTTCGGGATGTGTAGACAGCTGCTCCAGAATAGTAGCAAGTCGGACTGAACGGCAGCACCCAGAAGCGAGGGCGAAATAAGGAAGAACAACTGGCTGAGAGATAAGCAAACGTACTGTAATCTTTCTGTTTCAGATATGCCTTTCCAATAAGTTCGCTTCTGCAATAGGCAACGCCTTCTTACGGTACCATGAAAACCAGAAGGAAAGATCTAAAGTGTATGTTCACTTGTTAAATCAATCCTCCAAGACTTATTTATCAAAGCACCGTCTACCCTAGCCAAACAAAACCCAATACAATTCAACCCAAAAAGGAAGCAAGGTATATGTATAAGTATATCAAATCTTTGATAAAAAAAAAGCAAAGCATAGAGAAGCCATATCTTGGCGGTATCATGATCAGAACTATGCTAGCAAAAGAAATTACTCTAAACATCTCCATCCGCATCCCTTTCGCTCCAGCGCTTCTAGCTTAATCCGCAAGCACATGTCGCAACATGACAACAAATGGTTCACCCAGCTTAAGGATCTCAGTAACCTCCGGCTTAACAGGTTCACCAGCTGTACGACGGAGTTGATCCTGTTTCTTTGTGCGGCGGCGACGCTCGACGGCGATGGGGTCGTCCATGTCTTCGTCTTCTGTGTCTTCGTCTGAGGCGTCGGATGCTTCGTCTGAGATTGTGAGGTCTTCTAGGTCGCCCTGGTAAGTTGGTTAGTATGATTGTTCAATTTAGAGTGAGTCTCGGGGTGGTGGGAATACATACCTCATCAAGACCGAAATCACCACTGCGGAAGGCGCCTGTGCCGGGAATGGCATCTCCACCTGTACCCTCAGCAGCCATCTTCTGGCGGGTCTTGTTCAAGTGCCAGCGCTTGCGGTCTTCCTGCCACTTGATCAAGGCGTTGATTTCGTTCAGGGCGATTTCTTTATCGACTTGGCCGACGCCAACGGCTCCTTGGAATAGGGCGTTGATGTCCATCTTTCCTCCTGCGGGTCCATTGCGCAAGAAGTCGAGAATTTCTTCGATCCAAGACATCAGAGATTGGAACAGACCATTGTCATGCTGGTGTACTTCATGGATGAATTTGTAGAAGTTGGCTTCGTGACGAGCGCACAGGTCGATGAAGGCCTGTACTGTCTGGTTTGGATCAGCTGAGGCATCCTGGCGCTGGGCACTCTCAATAACGCTAATGGCGTCGTCGGCGAATTGTGCAAAGTCGGTGATACTGCTGTATACATTGGCAGACTTGTAAACGCGGACCAGGGGTTCGTAGAAGATGGTGAAGAGATCCCGGAAAAGCTGCAATGTGACAGGCTCTTCAACGATGCTCAGCATCATAGCCTTATCGCGTTGGCGGGTGTAGAGCTTGAGTAGCTGCTTCATGTGAGCGAACCATTGGGCACCCTGTTGCATTTCCACGTCGACATTATCGACGGCGTAGTTCCAGGCAACGTAGCCGTTGAATACCTTTCCAATCTGCTCTGGTGTGAGCTCCGGGGAGATGAGTTCAGAGCGAAGAATGGCGACAATCAGATCAACGTCATCGGCCACAGCCTCTGCTCTAATCTCGTTCTTGATTTCTTCCTCGGCGTCTGCAAAGGCCTTAAGCTTCTTGGTGAGGACGTCATCTTCGACCTTGGCAGCCAGCGAGTTGATGTGTCGCTGGAAGTCTTTGATGCTCTCATTCAGTGTCAAGGAGAAGATGCGCTGCAGGAGTGACCGCGAACCGAAGGGCTGAGCCATGAACAGGTCAAGAACACCAGACATGACTGCGGCAGGGTTGGCAATACGAATGACATTCTTCATCAGGGTATAAGGAACGAGGCCGTGAATCCGTTTCGCCTGTGCAAAAAGTTCGGGAGAGTTATCTTCAGCAAGGAACAGGTGGTAAATCGTCGCAGCAACCTCAATACGAAGCCACTCAGCAAACTTCTGATATTGCGGGCTGAGATCTGGAATAGAAGGCTTCTCTCGGATCTCGGCAAAGAGCTTTGTCAATCCATTGCTCTCGACAATATCCCGACGGAACTGCTCCATGTAAACGTCCAACTCGGCAGCTCGCTGCCTGGCGATTTCATAAAAGCGTTTTTGCTCCTCAATTCTCACCGCATCCATGGCTTTCCGCTTCTGAACATCAAGATGTTCTTCCTCATTCAACTTGATGGAACGGGCAGTCAAAAATTCTTCCATGGCTTTGGATTCCGCAATGCGCTTATTCTGCAATACTGTGCGCAGGAACGCGCGCAGCGACACACGCTGTTCCTCGCGATATAACACAGTCTCTCTTGATACATCGGTCGTTGATGCGCGGGGTGATTTGGTTGATCGCATCGAACTTCGTGAAATCGATCGTCGAACGCTACCCTGTGATGGGGCAAGGGTGCGCGAGGAAGGGAGCTCTTCGGGCATGCTGGTACCTTGTGTGGAAAGAGAAGAAACTGAAGAAGCATCGTCATCGCCATTTGACCCAAACCAACTCGAGGTGGAGGTCTTGTTCTTGCGAGGAAGAGGAGGGAGATGTTTGCCAGGCATTTCAGTCCTCAATCTCTTATGGAGCTTAACAAACTCTCCATATCTCCTCCCAACATGGAAATCGTCCTTACCATCTTGGCGAACTCGAATAAGGAATTCCTGTCCAGATTGTAAGCAAACATCGTCGAAACAAAAAGATCTCAGGGAGGTATCGCTTACTGCGTGTTGATGGTATCGCATTGTCCGCTTGACAGAGGTCGTCCGAACAGCGGCAACATTCACTTCCCAACCATTTATCGAATTGCCCTCGGGCATATTGACCAGCAAGCCCGAATCCTGAGCTCCACGCTCCACAATCTCCATCTCGGAGAACTGAATGCGCTCTTCATACCCAGATGCGGTCGGCACGCCGGAAACCATCATCAACTCAACGAGCTTCTCGCATTTCCGAGCCAACTTCCGACGCTTTGTTTCCTCCAACCGATCCTCCGAGGACGAGACATGTTTATTGGCGAAAGATTCCAAGAACTATACCGCGAACAGCCAGTCAGCACACCACCCCGCTATAACCTGAGAGGAACCCAAGAAACTCACAATTTGCAACTTATCCTGCCAAAACTCTTTCTCCCGTGCCTGGTCTAAGAACGGGAAATTCCGCACATGATGCACAAAGATATACCGCAAAATAGGAAGCTCCGAGTCAACAGGCGCAACCTCACCAAACTCAGACCTAAACGGCGCACCGAATCGCTGCAATGCTGTCGGGGAATTCAACTCGGAGATTTCGCCGCGGACTTGTCGGGCAATGAGCTCGCGCTTAAGGTCTGCCGGTTACCCCACTAGTCAGCAACTGCAACTGCAGATATACGCCAGAAAGAGGCCCGTTCTCCATTTCTCTTTCCATCGCGATTGTTTTCTTGATTCACTCACAGTGTTCTTGCTTTCCAGTTAGGATCTGGCCTGACGGGGCGGCGGGTTGCGCAGACGCAGACACATCTCCATCTCCGCCCTTGCCGCTCTGGAATGCAGGATCAGACGCTTGTGATTCGGGCATTGTGAAATGATATCGGCACTCCTCTTAGGAGCTTAGGAGTGAGGAATCTGAGTATGCTTTCCCGTGGAGGAAATCGAAATCAACACCGACAACGTAAAGCGGCGCTTGCGATAGTTTTGATCGTAAAACGAGGGGAATGCGTCTGCCTAACAAGGCCAGTTGGCGCCGAAATACCAACAGCGGCTAGAACAAGCCGATGGGAATACACAAGCTCTTTAATTCAAATCTTGGAGAGGGAAAGAGAAAGTGAATGAATGGGGAAGCGGGAAAGGAGGCGGAGAAGATGAGAGATGTCGTCACCCGCTGACTTGCCTGCAGTTTGTAGGGCTGTTGCTAACCTTGGAACTTTTAACTGCGCCCCGGCACTATTATATTCTGATCGGCTTTCCTGACGCGGCCTGCTTTTTTTATTGTCTCCACTAGCTTTTGAGCCTTACAATCAGATCGTGGGTTTCAAGTGCCAAGCCTGATTATTGTGTTGCCTACTGGCTTTTGCGCCTTATGAGGCGGGGATTGTTCTCGGCTTCTGTCATGGACTTGACAGGGTGTTGACTGATCTTAGTATTGTTATTCAGTCCGCGTGACCACCTGGGCGTCAACCTCTACCTGGCAATTTATAGAACTATTGGTATGATGGACATGGACATGTGGAGGACATGTAGATGAAAAAAAAATCACGTGGAGATTTCTGTGGACTAACTAAAGATATATGAATACGAATACGTAGAGCCTTATTATCATCGCTGGGTCGCTGGGGAACAGGGAAAAAAATGGCAAACAAGGTGCCATATTGTGGGTCCACCTCTTTTACTTGAAATCCATCTCCATGTTGTCGCGGGGCAAGTAGTGGCCCTGGATGGGCTGGCCGTTCCACGTACTCATGAGAGCGCGCTGCTGCTCATTGAGGGAGTGGAACATGGTCTGCTGGGTACGGTGGTACTGCATCGCCTCGTTGCTGTTGGTCTGCGTCATGCGCGGAGCATGGCCCATCTGGGATGGGTCAAACAGAGTGAAGTCGTTTCCAGCCTGGGGCTGGAGAGCGTACTCGTAGCGCTCTGAGAGGGTATCGCCGACATTGGAGGAATCGGGGGAATACAGCATGGCGTTGCCCTGGGCACCGGGAGAAAGGCCAGAGACCTTGTTGGGAAGGCCGTAGGACAGATGATTGTTGTTCATCTGGGCATACTCGTTTGAGTAACCCTTCATGGCCTCCATGGGGTGGGTAGGTGCCTGCATACGCATGGACATGGCGTTGTACTCCTCGTTGAGGGGGTACTCCAGGTTGTTCCACTCAAGGTCGAAGTTGATGCTGTCAGTTCCAGCAAGGGGAGATCCATCAAACGAGACAGGTCCCATCAGGTCGGGAACAGACTCGGACGAAGGAACAGACATGGAGTTCATGGACTGGCGATGCATTTCCAGCGCCGGGATCAGACCATTTGGATCACCAGCCCCAAATTGAGCCTGGAAACCATCCAAGTTCATCGAGGTTGGGAAAGAGTTGACATCATTCATCAAGTAAGGCGGGGATTCGCCGAACAAGGGGAAGTCGTCACTATGAGGCGCAGGAGGCTCTGCAAAGTTGAAGTTGGGTTCAGGCCAGTTATAGGTCTGGTCACTGGGGGAGGGGCTGGGGCCAGTGATTGGAGTAGCAAAGTCGGTGGCCTTGGAAGCGGGAGTAGAGACACTGGGGGTCTGAGGGGTAGCCTGAACAGAGGAATCACGCTTGCTGCCAGTGCTACCACTGCGACCATTGTTCTTGGATCGGACATATTTCCATCCATGGGCCTTCTCCATGTGCTGCTTGCAGTTGCTCGAACGCTTCGAGGCATAGGTGCATGGCTCAAAGCCGCAGCGGAAAAGCTTGGGAGCATCGGAGTGCTTGTCGTTCATGTGGCGGTCACGCTCTTTCTCGGTGGGCCAGCCAACCTTGAAATATTTGCAAGAAGTATCCTCGCACTTCCAGGGGCGAGAGTGGGTCTTCTCGTGTTTGCTATAAGAAGTCAGAATGGGCGACTTGAGTTGAAATAGTATAATTGACTTACGTCAAGTCACAAGGGCGCTTGAACACCTTGTCACAGTGGGAACACTTCTGGTTAATGTCCATAGGAGGGGCATTCTTCTTGCGGCGAGCCATCGAGCGCTGAACGCCTTCATCAACGGCATCGTCGAGGTTGATGGTGCGCTTAATAGAGCTAGACAAGACGGAAGAATCCACCTCATAAGGTTTGCCAGTCAGCATGGAAATCGGCTTTCCATCTTGCATGACAACAAGTTCCAGAGGCTTTCCATCCTTGGAAACGCCATGTTCGAGATGAGCTTGGTGCACACTATATCGTCACATGTCGAATTAGCGAGACTGCGTATTTGGGGCGAGAGCGGTGCCTTGGGATCAAAGGGCAATACATACAGGTTGGATTTCTCTTCGGGCTTACCGCCCCGGGTTGCTTGAACCCGTTCGCGCTCCGCGCGAATCATGGCGGCGTATCGACGGACCTGTGAAACAAGATCGATGAAGTATCCGTTAGTGTAAGGGCGATCGGCAGGTAGTCGTTGATCGCGGTCGTTAAGATGAGACGCCGAAGTATGCAAGCATTGAATCGTGAACTCGCAGAAGTTGAGATACGAGATTCGCGTGTTTGCCGACTTCTTTATAAAGCAAAAAAAGAGATAAGTCGCCAAAACTCCAATAACCCATTGAGAACAGAATCTGAACTTACCGGTGCCAACCATAATAGGGTCTTCTCAAGATCGCGCAGGCAGACAATCTGCTTATTGACAATTCGCTGAGGAATGCTTCGCACGAGTGGATGGAATGGTTTGAGACGAGGTTCTTTGAGAATGGGTACTAGAACATAACGTTCAATCTGCTTGCAGGCAGCGGGGCCTAGTTGACGTTTGGAAGAGGATCCTGAATCAAAGGCGGCGATGGATTTTGTAATGGCAGATTGTTTATCGCGAATACCATTGTCTGGTATTGGTTAGGGCATGGAACTTCAATAAGAGAACAATCCGGAAACAATGTAAATGAACTCACCTTTGCTTGAATCAGAGAGCTCTTCTTCGCTGCTCACAGAGGATCCAATGCCACTGTCAGAGTCGTGGCTATGGTCTTGCTCTTGCTCTGTCTTCTTCTCGGTTGGAGCGGGGTTCGACATGGAATTAGAGCTTCTGCGCACACTATCAGGCACAGTGTTTCCGGAACTCTTATGCTTATCCTCGTTGTTGCTGAGACTAAGACGGCCAAGGATAGAAGTCATACGCTCCTCGGCAGCGGTGATGGCTTCCAAGGATGTGGGCGAACGACGAGGCAGTGAGCGAAGGTTCAAGACCGGGTCGTTGTCACTGGACGGTGGCGAGGTGGGAGTAGAGAAGGTCTCTCCTTTCTTCAGGCGCATTTGGGAAGATTCAGCAGAGTCGGTCGACAGGGTGGGAAGTTCAGTGTTTAAGGGCCGGCGACGCGGGTGCAGCCGCGATGGCTCTGGTTGGGCGGACGACATTATTGGCGGTACTGCATCAACCCAGGCGTTAGCACATTGATCCCAACAGGAAAGAGCAGGGTATTACGGCTGATTGGCTGGCTCCATGACTCACAATAGATCGGTGTCCAGATGATTCGAGAAGTGACGTACGGTCGAGTCAGAGAGTAAGCCTCTGAGTTTGACTCCGATGGTATATATACCACACCCCACTGCTCTTAGATGATCTAAAGCGACGGATCTCAACACACTTCAAGAGGCGCACGGCGGTGGAGATCTATCACGATCGATAGTCTGATAATTTCCGGGAGCACATACACTCCTGAACCAAAAGTGTCGGAGGGATCGGAATACTTCAAAACGGGTGTCGAAGGCGTATCGGATTGACACAACCAGCCAGTACAGATTTCAGCCTTCAACGGCGATCGTCCAAAAGAATACGATACCCCAGATTAAAGATGCGATGATTTCCAGTATCTGAATATCAGGAGCGATAACGTCTGAAATGGCGGACAGCCCCACTATACGAGGCGGTAGTGGAAGTTCGTGAAGGCAGCTATGGAGGACCAAAAGGGCAGAAACGAAGAATAAAAGAATAAACTTGACAGCGATGGGGGGGAATAAGCGGATCAAGGAAGAGAGAACTGGAGGCTCTGATGGCGCGTTGGATGTCTGCCTGATAGACGAAGACGCTAACCCCGAAAGGGCAAAGACTGCGATGGCTGAGCACGTTCTGCGTCATGTGATTGGCTGATTGGGCAGTATTGTTACGATGTACTGTAAATACCAGGTCCAGCCTTGCTGGCGGGTATAACTTACCGTTCCCCGCTGCTTTATTTGGAAACTCGGGCTCGGAGACATTGCATCTCCGACGGAGCCTCATTGAGTTCAGGTAACACTTTTCTGTGATTTTCTCCCGTTCTACCCGTTTCCCGTTTGTGATTTACGTCACCCATTACAGAGTACTCTGTGCGGGTTACAGTTGGATCATGCCACAATCCCTGAACAATTGGCGCTGCGCCCGACATGGTCTAGGGTCTTGGCCTCCAAACAAGAGAGAGGGTCTTGAACAGCCAATCCACATTCCCCCCACAGGCCCATACGATGACTCGTTCCAACTGTTTTCAATACGAGCATACGCGATACGGGATACGAGCTGCACCTACGCATTTGAGCACACTTGAGCCGCCTGTCACCGCTGGTCAAACACCTCCGGCCCAATAAACGGCCCAAGTCGGACCAACTCAGGCTAGATCTGTCGGTGGACAAAGCCCCGGAGCGTTGCTTTGTTGTCTGCCTACATCTACAGATCACGGCTGGACCTGGAACCTGTAGTGGTTCGACTGCGCCCCATTTCACCCAGTGCACAGCCCACCTGTCCAGCCCCGGCGCAGTCAAAAGCAGCCCCTTGCCCTGTGTCTTTGTGGCATCTACAGTCCTGTAATTGACTGTGCATCGGGCAGCTGCAAGGGCCCCGGACAAAGTTATCCTCTACCACATTCTAAATGACATTTTAGATCACATTGACTGATCACTCTAGCCCTTGGATTTGATATGGCAGCCTATTCCTGTGATAAGACGGGACACCAGTCAGCAGCATTTGATTCCTTGGAAATGTGGCAGCCTCGCATTTTGCTGTCACAGCTGACGATATGTGTTTCTGGCTCTATAAATTCGACTGCCTAGCTTATGATGAGACTGTCAACTATTCCAGTTGACTCCAATATTTTACATGTGTGAATGCTGGTTGGGGGCCGAAATATGTATTCTTATAATTTTAGATAGCGTGGAGTTTATACAAAAATAAGAAAACCCCTACAAATGTAGCTTATAGTTGGGTTCGCGCAGACTGACAAAGCTTTATTCCCAAGCAAATGATGTCAGTTGTATGAAGTCGGGGAAGCTCATTGCGATCACAGGCATGGAATAACGTTAACCAATAACCTCGAGATACGCTTGCGAGGCCTAAATTGCCAAAGTAGAAGCCACTTTGGAGATTTTCTAATAGGATTTTTAAAGCTCTACTTATATTATTTACACAAAGTGCTTCTGCTACTATAATAAACTGTAGCATACCATGCCCAACGACGGCCGATTGGACCTCGGCTTCGGGACATGGCAGAACGGCGGGCGGTGCCGAGATGCCCGCGTGTTGATTTCCCCCGGATTCTGAATCCGGCAACCACTCATCTTCTCCCCTCAGTAGCTCTAGCCGGATTCTGTATATCCTCTGACAGGAGCTTGCTGGCCGGATGACTTAGTGATTCCAATTGCTGTTCACCACCTATCCCCTAATCACCCCCGCTTCATTTTCCGACGGCAACCGGAGACACCGCCCCCATGGACGTCGAGCAATATGGACAGAGCTCTCACCAGCCGAGGCAACGGAGAAGAAGAGCTGGAAAGCGGCGATTGAACAACAAGGCTCCGATCGCAGCACGTCTGGCGCTGGATCCTCAGCTGCGTGGGAAGGTCGGCATCTTATCCGAAGATCTAGCGAATGACCTGTTCCAACAGCAGGCGCTCCAAGGTGAGTATTGTGCCCGTTGGTCATTGTCGATGACAAGGCTAATAATTCTATTTTTTTCTCTATAAGATGTCACAACCTCAGACGATGGAGTTCTCTATGTTGCAATTGCCCCGCATACGCCTACGTATACCCCGGTGGAGGACCAAGCGTGGACGATACTCCCAGTACGCATCCAGCCAACAGAAAGGTCGCCAGTCCCGATGTCACACTCGACTGTTCTATTCCCAGAGTCAGCGGATTCACTCCAACCTTTCCTACAAGCTCTGGGAAAGGTTGATTCATCGCGCAACTCCCTACAGGCACATCGGTCCGTAGAGATTCGGATATTGGATGTCGCCCCAATCCACCTCGATACAATCATTGTCACAGTAGAGCGCCATCTCCTTCGCAATCATGATGATGTCCAGAACAAATTTAGTGGTGGATTCCAGAATGCGCAAGGGCCCAATGGCCTATGGGGAAAGGCCGGGAAGACCGCAGAAGCCAAGAAGTGCTCGAAGAGAGCGGCAGCGGATGCCGAACAGCGGCTCACCGCAGCTGTTCGTGAGGCATTGGGAGCCCAGCATATTGTACATACTGGAGACGTGCTGCCACTTCCTCTTCCTCCGCACCCTATCACCTATGCGCCGCCGCCCCCTGCTCGAATTTCATTCTGTGAGCCTGTTTCGCAAGGCCTATTGATGCCCACTACCAAGATCGTTCTCATCCAGGCTCGTGCTCAAGGAATTCGTGGCCAACAAACGCTTCCCCCGAGATCGACCCTTCTTAAGCAAGTGGCTGAAGATGAGGCCGATGACACCTCTAACGAACAATTCTACTCTGCCGCAGAAGACAAGCCTGGTGAAAGCGGAACGGAGATGGAAGCTACATCGGCGGCCGAAGAGTCGGAAACAGAAGGATCGACAGGGTCAATGAGCGACTCCTCGGATGATTCTTTGGAAGACATGATCTCCCTCAGTGCACCTGAACTGCCGCAGCCAGCATCGGGCGTGATGTCTTCATTAACATCAGCAACCCCAAGAGCCGGTGGCCGACGCACAGATGGAATTCATACCCCAGGATCAGTGGCATCAAACTTCACATCGGCCACCATGCGCCCTGGCCGTGGTGGAGGCAAGACCTTCAAGGTCGAAGGCCTCCTGCAACAAGTCCCGAATGAAGTGTTGCACCCCCGGCCACGCGATGACGAGGATGTCGACTCTTTCGTCTTTGTAGACATTAGCACCCTGGCCAAGATTGGTTGCTTCTCTGGCGACTGGGTCAGAATTGAAGCAACCGAAGAGCCCCAGCTGAATATGTTTGCTTCTCTCAAATTCGGAAGCTTCAATGACTCCCCCGAAGACTCTGGCGATTGGCGCCCAGTCAAGATCTTTGGTCTCTCTGGACTTCCATCCTCTAAGCCGCGATATGCCATTAATTACTCAGGCGAGCGTCGGCCCAGCATCTCTCAACGCCCACCCACCCGCTTGACCCCCCCAGTATTCGTCCCTCCATTGCTTTTGGGTAACATTGAAAACCCCAAGTACCTGCGGATCTCTCCCATGACTTTTGCCGCAGCCAACGCCTCTTCAAAGCCTGGTCTTTTGCACCAGATGAAGAACACTGCTGCCAAGAACCCTCCTTTGGCAAAGGAAGTTACCCTGCTTAAGGTGTCTACTCCTCTTTCCATGGATCGGGTTCTTCAGCCAGCGCTATTTGCAGGACTGAAGCATTACTTCGAGTCACGCCGGCGAATCCTCAAAAGCGGCGATTTGGTCGGCATCAGTGTCGACGAAGGACTCGGTAGATCAGTCTTCTCCGGAACCGCTGGCGGGGACAGTGCCAACCAAGAAGAAGATATCACCACCCGACTCGGCCAGAATATCGATTCCGTTAATGCGGGAGCCCGCAAAATTGGTGTTGCTTGGTTCCGCGTTGGACAGGTTGCACCGACTACCGTGGAGGAGTTGGAGGAGACAGGCGAAGACCAATGGGGTGGAGTTGCTGTCCTTGACCCAGCAACTACTCGGATGGTTCAGGCTGGAAGCGACGTGAGCCGAGTTCCTGGTGTGCTGAACAATGGATGGGAATACTGGCTTGGTGTCAAGACCGTACCAAAGAGCATCACCGATGCACCGGCTCCTCATGGCATCATTGCTGAGCCCCCTCAGTCCTTTATCCCTCCATTGCAGCAGCGGATTCGGGATCTCATGTCTGCTGCGACTAGTCCTCGCGCTATCCAGCTCGGTATGAAGCCTGTCTTCATCCTTCTCCGGTCTCAGCAAAGACACATTGGAAAGGCAACTGTAGCAACTCGGGCGTGTTCAGACATTGGTCTCCACACATTCCCCATTGATGCATACGATATCCTGACAGAAGGCGGTGCCAATGGAGGTGACGTTAAGACTGAGGCATACCTCAAGGCTAGAGCGGAGCGAGCTTTCCATTGTGGAGCCAACTGCACAGCGCTGATGATCAGACATATCGAAGTGCTTACCGCTGATCGCATTGTGACAGCAATGACCGATATCTTGAACGATGCCAGAGTCGTCATTGCCACCACCACCGACGTTGAGAACATCCCCGAGGGCATTCGTGGTCTGTTTACTCACGAGTTCGAGATGGGTGCACCGGAAGAGAAAGAGCGTGAAGGCATTCTCAAGAACGCAGTCGCAGAACGCAGTATCAAACTGGCTGCCGATGTAGAGCTGGGCACCGTTGCTCTGAAGACCGCCGCTCTCGTCGCAGGAGACCTGGTCGACGTCGTGGAACGAGCCGCAGGTGCGAGAACTGCTCGACTCGAATGCCTGGCTGAAGCCAGCAAGCAACAATCCGGCTCAGAGGTCTTTGTCAGAGATGTCCTGCTGGCAGGAGGTGATGGTGCACGAGGTGTCACCAAGGCAGACTTCGACTTTGCCGTGGAAGCCGCACGCAAAAACTTCGCCGATTCCATCGGTGCCCCTAAGATCCCGAACGTCGGCTGGAATGACGTTGGTGGATTGACCAATGTCAAGGATGCTTTGATTGAGACTATCCAGCTGCCGCTTGAGCGCCCCGAGCTCTTCGCCAAGGGCATGAAGAAGCGTAGTGGTATTCTGTTCTATGGACCACCGGGTACTGGAAAGACCCTGCTAGCCAAGGCCATTGCCACTGAGTTCTCTCTCAACTTCTTCTCCGTCAAAGGTCCTGAATTGCTTAACATGTACATTGGTGAATCCGAAGCCAATGTCCGTCGTGTATTCCAGCGTGCCCGCGATGCCCGTCCCTGCGTTGTCTTCTTTGACGAGTTGGATTCTGTCGCTCCAAAGCGTGGTAACCAGGGTGATAGCGGTGGTGTAATGGACCGTATCGTCAGTCAACTGCTCGCAGAATTGGACGGCATGAATGGCGGCGAAGAGAACAGCGGTGGTGTCTTCGTCATCGGTGCCACCAACCGTCCTGATCTATTGGATACAGCCCTGCTCCGTCCTGGCCGTTTCGATAAGATGCTCTACCTTGGTGTCTCGGATACCCACAGAAAGCAGGCAACTATCCTCGAGGCTCTGACTCGGAAGTTCGCTCTCAGCCCTGATGTCTCACTTGACCGTGTCGCTGAACGTCTTCCTCTCACCTACACTGGTGCTGATCTATACGCGCTTTGTTCTGATGCCATGCTTAAGGCTATTACACGGAAGGCTACGGCTGTCGATGACAAGATCAAGAGTCTGCCTAATGGACCTGTCAGCACTGCTTGGTTCTTTGACCATCTCGCAACACCAGAAGATGTATCTGTCACAGTGACAGAAGACGACTTCCTCTCCGCCCAAGGAGAACTCGTGCCAAGTGTTAGGTATTTACCCTCTCCCTTACACCTGTTATTAAAAAGATATTAACAACCCTCTAGCGCCAAAGAACTCGAACATTTCGAAAGAATCCGCCAAACCTTCGAATCAGTCGACAAACAAAAACAAGACCCGGCCTCCAACGGTGCCCAAACAATTGCCGAAGCAATGGAAGCCTTCAACCTGGACGGTGCGGAAACCCCCTCACAAACAGTTTCACCCGTCCCCATCTCGAATGGCGATACCCAAGCACCCGGTAGTGGCAGCATCCATGACCGCATCAAAGGCCTGAAACAGTGGCCTGGCAGTATGGTCCGCAGTCCTAGCGGACAATCTACGACTAGTAGTAATGGAAAGGCGAAAGGCAGGAGTGGCAGTAAGAAGGGGAAATCCAGTGGTGTGGACGGGAATGTCGATGATGATGTCGACGGTGATGAGGAAGATGGAGCTGCGGGTGGTGAAGATGGGGATGAGGATGAGGATGATTATGTTGTGAGAACTGGTCATCTTGGAAACCCTATGGAGGAGGTTGAATAAATGTGCTTTTATTATTTTAGCATGAGCTGAGTTTTCGATTCGTGCTAGCGTTTTTATTCCTTGGTTCTTTGGCCGGGGATGGCGGGCTTTGTATTTATTATTTTCTTTCGATATATATATACCTCTAGTCTAGTTGTATAAATCCATGGTATGAGTTTGAATGGTTTATTGGTGATTTAGAACTGATTGACCGAGGCTGTTCGTGACATAGCTTCGTAAGATAGGTGCGTTACTATCTTCATGGCCAAAATAAGGGCTTGGGTATCACGTGGCAAGAAAGGAACCATGGAATATTCTAAAAATAAGATAGTGCTATCAGACATATTTTATTCTGGTGAAGAACTGTCAATTGATGGTCTCGGGAACTACTTTTAATCTCGGTGACTCCGATGGTTGAGATCAACAGTTTCGTTGTCTATCATTTGGATGATAACATCTCATATGCCACACCGTCGGATTACAGTACTATTATGCCATATCCTATTAAGACATTGAAAGAGAGGAAGCATTACAAGCTCCTATCCACATAACCTGACCAGATGTCTAGTAAAAAGCGTATATATATGCGGCTAGATAGAGGCAAATACATGGACCAAAAAAGTTCAAACACTAATGAGACGATATTCAGCCCCTGCAGATCCCGATAGAGTTCCAGGGGCGTATGTTCCGATAACAGCAGAACATTCCATCCCGGTGAACCAGGAACAGCCCTCCCAGTGTACGAGAGATATCCTTACATAGTAGTATTTGTCTCCCCAGATAGCAAGTTTTGCCCGACCCACGCGCTCCACAAATACGCATCCCTATCAGAGAGAAATATCGGGCCGAATCACTCAAACCGGACAAAATCCGCGAGGGACAATCTCACAGCGAGACTCAGCCAAGGGCGGAATTGACTTTACATATACACGAGACGTACAGACTATGCATAGAACAATACTTCTAGCACACACTCTCCAAAGATCGCCCACTTCCCCAAGCTGCATCTTCCCCCGCGTCGAAGAGCAAGTGGATACTTAGCCAATCACAAAGTCAAACAGGGACAAGCTCTGGGGCTGCCGCCACGAGCCATGGGTGCATCGGACCGCGATATGCCAAGGTTTTGGATCGTCCGCCGGTATCGCTGGCTGTGATTGGGTGAAAGGGCCGTGTTCGGTGCTCTCTGCCAATAGTGACTGTGCCTGTTTATCGGCTTGACTCGTCTCTACCCCAAATTCGTTACCTAACAGCTCTTACTGTACTCCGTTGTGTCGTTTCTCCCCCGCGAATGTGAGCGTGGAGTAATGTAGGGAAGGTGATGTTCGATAGTCGTCATATTATCTCTGGCCATTCTTATTTTGCCTGTTGTCCTCTGTTTCACTTCTTTTTTCTTCACTCCCTTGCTTTTTGTGTATTCACGTGTTCACAATGGAGAAGGAATACAATAATGATGAGTCGCAGCTGGCCCAGATGGGCCATAAGTCGGAGCTAAAGCGTAACTTCTCATTGATGTGAGTACTGCAATTGATTGACATCTCGGAAGTGGCTAACTGAGATTCTTTGTGTGACAGTTCCATGCTCGGTCTTGCTTTTGCTATTCTCAATGTACGTGATTGAATCCAGTCGCCACAATTACTGCACGAGAATTGATTATTGACATCTCACAGTCATGGACCGCATTGTCAGCCAGTCTGGAGCTAAGTTTGACCTCGGGAGGCAGCACGAGTGTTGTTTGGGGTATGCACCTATTCAGACTTTATATCATTGTACAGGACTGACATTAACTTTCACAGGCTTGGTTACAGCAGGTATCTGTAACTTGTGCATGGCCACATCCCTGGCTGAATTCCTTTCCGCCTACCCTACTGCCGGAGGCCAATACCACTGGGTTGCTGTCACTTCCTGGAGAAGCTGGATGCCCGTCTTGTCGTGGATCACAGGTTGGGTTAACTGCTCTGGATGGGTTGCGCTGGTCGCAACCGGTGGTCTGCTGGGCAGTCAGCTTATCCTGGGTGTTATTTCTCTGATGAACCCGGTATGTTGATCTTAGTCCTCTATATTTGTTTGATTTCGGTTGCTAATTTTGCATTTTAGACTTACGAGCCGCAGCGCTGGCACCAGTTTCTAATATACCTTGGCTACAACATTGTAGCTTTCCTAATTAATGCTTTTATGAACAATGTTTTGCCTTATGTTACCAAGGGTGCTTGTGAGTTCTCCATCTACATGTTGCAGATGGTCTGTTACTGACTATCCCAGTCATCTGGTCTCTGACTGGTTTCGCCGTTATTTGCATTACTGTGCTTTCGTGCGCTTCGCCCAACTATAACTCTGGAAAGTTCGTCTTCACTGATTTCATCAATGAGACTGGATGGCCTGATGGCGTTGCTTGGTTGCTTGGGGTATGTTTCGCTCTATTGCGACAAATAATCAAATCTAACATCTTCACAGCTTCTGCAAGGAGGTCTCGGTGTTACTGGATTCGTGAGTAATCTATGCTATTCTGAATTGAACACAGAGCTAACCATGTACCAGGACGGTGTTGCCCACATGATTGAAGAAATCCCCAATCCATCTATCGAGGGACCCAAGATTATGATTGCCTGTGTTGGTATCGGCACTGTCACCGGTACAATCTTCCTTGTTGTCCTGCTCTTTGTGGCTGGTGATATCCACGAGGTTATCAAGTCTGCTGCGACTCCTCTTCTTCAGATCCTGAAGAACGCCACTTCCAGCAACGCTGGCGCCATCTGCCTGTTGATGTAAGGGTGCTTTACTCAATATCTGATACCTCGTGTACTGACAAGCGTTCTAGCTTCCCTCTCGTCTGTGTCCTGTTCGCCGCCACGGCTATCATGACCACTAGCAGCCGTATGATCTACGCCTTTGCTCGGTACGTCAAACTTTCCCCGAACTACATGTAGAATATACTCACATCAACCCAGTGACGGCGGTCTCCCCGCATCCCCATTTTTCTCTCGCATTCACCCCAGCCTCAAGGTCCCCTTAAACTCCCTCTACCTCAACCTCGCCCTCGTGACCATCTTTGGTCTCATCTTCCTAGGCTCCTCAAGCGCTTTCAACGCCATCGTCTCTGCCTCAGTGGTGCTCCTCGACCTCTCATACGGAATGCCAATTGCAGTCAACTGCCTGCGTGGCCGCAGAATGCTTCCAGAGCGCTCCTTCGTTCTGCCCAACATCGTTGGCTGGACTTTGAACCTTGTATGTGATCCATCCCCAACATTAACTGCGTACAGTGACTAACTTTACATTCAGATCTCATTGGCATATATTGCCCTCACTACTATCCTCTTCCTCTTCCCCCTGAATTGCCCGCTACTGGTAGCAGCATGAGTGAGCTTTCCTTTTTTGCCCTCCCTCTCACCAAAACAAAACAGAAAGACTGACTCGTGGTGCTATAGACTACTGTGTTGCCGCCTTCGGCATTGTCTTCATCGTCTCTATCATCCAGTGGTTTGTGGACGGACGCAAGAACTTCGTCGGTCCTCGCTTTGAGGTTGAGGTCCTGGCTGGAGAGGTTGATCCCCAGTCCGAGCAGCCAATTCCTGTTATTGAACCTCGTAAGGATTAGGCTTGGTGTATTCTTATGCAAATTGTAATTCATAGATCAAACAAATTTGAACCAGCTACCTTCTTCTGAAGCTTTTCTTTTCTATAGATTAATGTAGATCTAACTTATGTCTAAATAGATAAGGCGCTAGAACATTTAGCGTTTTGAAACCCTGCAATATAGATGTAAATAGTAAGGACCGTTGGACTTCCCGGGTCTTTACTCTACTAGATCATTCAAGCATTTGGTTATGATACCAATGCCTAAACCTTCGACTTGTCGTTCTGTCTCGTCAATGAGTAAGAATAAAGGAAAAGTTGAACGTATAGGCATTGGCATTGCTGTGGAATACATGCGTAATCTTCTGAACGAAAAGCTCATTCGTGTCATATGTCAAATTAAAGAAAAGTTTTAGCCAAACTGATGCAAATAGCCATAGCATTCCTTTCATGGCATTCCTTTGATGGGCATCAGACCGCGCAAGACAAATCCAGGGAGAGGTGGAAACAGAACTATATATACATGGCGGCTAAGTGCAGGTACTGATGATGCGGGGAGAACATGGCTGCCATTCCATTCTTGGAAGTTTCCCCTTGAACTTGAAGAGCCCCTGTCACTGCGATCGGACCGCCTGGCCGGACATTCTGTACGATCCATGTAAACAGCAGGAAATTTAGAGGAATGCAGTATTCACGTCGCTAGCATGATTGATATAAATACCACGGATTGCAGTAATAAGTAAACATATCCAATGATATATCATGACGCGGATCCATCTCACCACGATATTGGATTTTCTGCCACTGGTCAATTCAGAACAAATTGGACTCCCTGACCTCCACCCAAAGCTAGAGACATGGAAGTGCAGCGGGTTGATTGGGCAAAGTAGCCATCGCACGTGACCAGATTGATAACCAAAATTATGTCATAAGATGCCCTCTGCTTCAGGCGACAAATTCCCAACAATCCCAGCCAACCTCACACCATTTATAGAGAACACACACAAACACGCACTGTATCCGCCATGTTCACGATCTCATGGCCGTCACTACCGAAACTTGGTCTATCGGTCTTCTCGAAGAAAGGCGCTATTGACCTTCGCCCGGTCAAGGTGCATGAGAGCGAGACTGCGCAGGACAAACCTGGTCGAGCTTTGAAGCATTTATTGAAATTGAATCATGTTGAGCATGGGCTGTTTTTGAGAGGGTCTTTGGCTAGTCAGTTACCTGAAGTATGTATCTTCCTGGTTTCCTTGGTTTCCTGGATATACTGTATCTGGTTGTTTTTGATCAATCATGCTGATACATATTCAAGCTATTATGTGCCTCTTTTCTGCAAGGTGCTGGTGATGAGGATCTAGGGCGGATTTATGAAGATCATGTCAACTCTCAGGTTAAATGGATAGATTCACCTGCTGAAGTTACGCATCTTGATTGGAGGGATTATTTGGGGTGTCGAGAGTGAGTATACCCTTGGCTTGAGACCACCCTTGCTCTCCTGTGTTCCGAGATCAGACTGTGTACTTATAGCCGTTGATATAGATATGACCGGGCATTTGTCAACTTCTTTGAAGATGAGCTAGCTCGTCTTGGTTATGATTGGAGAGAAGTCGTTGCCGAATACCTGTTTGAAGGCAATGAGCCTATGTTTAATTCTATTATGGGTGGTCGTATGTCTCTCATTACCCTGAAAAATATTCTATCCCCAAGTTTCGAATTCGCTGACAAGATTTTAGTTGGAGCCCCCTTGATCCATCTCGCGCATGCCTTCGAGGTCTCCAGCCGCGAAATGGCAATGGAAGCCCTTGGCCTCACTGCAACCTGCCACAATAGCACTTTCAAAGACATTGAAAAAGCGGCACAGTCAAACAAGGCAACATACGAATCAAAATCACTCTTCGAAATCTTGGACCATGTCCGCCAAGATAAAGAGCTAGACAATCTGTTCAGCAAATCAGACACTCAAAATCTCAAGACTCTCATCACATCCCGCAACCATTTGCTACTGAAGCACTGGAGTGCATGGAAAATCGAAAATGCAATGGAACAGTTCCGCGAAAGCCAAGAACTTGCCGCTGCATTACTAGTTGCCACATCCGATCCCGAAAATGCAAACAACGGGCTATACAATTCGCTTTTTGCAGTTCTACTCACAACTAGCCATGCGATGCGTGTGGTGCTACCCTTGATCCCTGCGCAATTCCAGATCCCGCTTCTGCATCAGTGGTGGCTGACTACAGTTGCAATCTATATCGCCCAATTGCGACCTGAGATTGATATGGATCGAATTCGTGGTTATGATCTCATGGGGAGGAACTGGGAGTGGACGGCAGAGAAGGCTGTCAAGGGGCAGTTTGCGACAGATACACAGTTCGTTGAGGCTATTCGTGCTTTGAGAGAGCTATCATTGACATGGGGTGATTCCGAGAGCTTCTTCCTTAAGGCTGCTGTGAGGTTTACTGATGAGTTCCAAGGCTGGAAGGGCGATTTTGTTGGGGATGAATTGTAGTCTTTTTGTCTCATTTATGCATCAGAATTACATGACAATAATATGATTCCCGGGCATTAATATTCAGTTTATGTGTATTACCACTCTTGAATAATATAGAAACTCAATTTCCTCTTTCTACCCGTTTGGTTATATCCAAAACGTCCTATATCATCCTATGGATCACGTGATCGGACTGGCGCCAAATCGGTTGTTTGACTCATTTGCACCAAAGACAAACAAGACACGAGCATCAAACATATCACTGTCCAAGAACCTTGAGAGCTCGAATCGCGCACATAAGCCACTCTCTCGACTAACAAGCACGCCCACCCCTCTACGAAGAGACAATCAGAACATGAGAGATGCAGGAAGTCAATGTATCCCTGTACCTACACGCAGAGTTTCTCCCAAACATCCGCCAAATAACCCTCTACGTCTCCCTCCCAGGACGACCAGAACTCAACAACATCCGACCAAAGATCCAACTTTCAGATTCGCGTAAAGCAGTAACAGTCTCATTACCAACACCATTCCAGGATGTGGCGGAGACAATTAAATTGCCAGCGCGTGTTAGTGAAGCGTCGAGGCGCGCTTTAAATGCTTCTGCTACTGCTGGCCCAACATCTGCATCGGGCTCAGACTCAAAGAGCAGCTATGATTATTCTTTCCGAATGCAGGTTGATCCCAATGACGAGGCGCTGGCGCCTCATGATGAACTGATTGATGACTTTGTGCCGTGGACGGCTGGGGAGATGTCGCCATTGACGAGAATTCGGTGTCGTCAATGTTCGACGCCTTTTCTAAGTTCTCCCGCTACCAATGTCCAGGATCAACACCAACATGCGCACGCCACGGCGTCTACCGCGGGCTGGGTTTGGAAAGATCTTCCTAGTGGAAATTGGGCTGAGATGATGGATTTCTGGCATTGCCATAAACCCGATCCCCATGAAGGCCATGAAAAAGATGAGAAAGATGCTGCCCTCCAGATTGAAGATCAACATGCTCATACGAAAGGATATGGAGCTGATAGCCAGGTCGTGGCTATACCGGGGACAGTCCTTATTGACGTTGCTACTTTCCTTCTTGCAGAATCAGATTGCACAGGATTGAAAAAGGTAAGAGATGCATATCCCCTGGTTGCATTTGCATTTACAGCATAGCTCGCGTTGTCCATGATTCCCTTTTGTTTATCATCCTCAATCCGGGCAACCAGAAGGAGGCCGCTTAGTTCTCAGTGAAGTGGTCTCCGATACTATTGCCCAAGATGAACCGAAATGCCCTTTGTGTACCTGCAATCCAATACGATGGCATGTCCAGTACATGTCGATGTTCACGAGTGGCAATTGTAGTTATCCTCTCTCGCAGATGGATTCCGCTTTTGTCATTTGCGATCGTGGACTCGTGCCAGGCTTCCATTTTATTGTTTTGCGGCTCAAAGCGTCCTCATATCTTCAATGCCGGTTTTGGATCAGTGGAGCTGGCTTGATTTGAAGAGGTACATACCATACCATACCTATTCTCATCTTTGGCAATGTGATATGGATCATGTCTATTAAACAATGAACTTGAATTTGAATGCAATATAATGTTTAATGGCTTTATTCCTAATCCTGCTTTACTTTGTCTTCTGTATCACATCACGCATTTATATCCGGATTGCTAACAGCAGTATTTTACAGGGCAACGCAGAAGAACAAAAATCAACCAGCCAACACACAAGCCAACCCCAAAGAACACTGGACTGCACAACCTGCAATGCAATAATCGGCATGGAAGACCCCGTCGCCAACGGATGGCGTCTCCTAAAAGCAAACGTCTCATTAAACACCGCCCCATCCAATGACTCCAATCCCACTGCCCCAGAATGGGAAGCCCAACCAACAGAAACGATCATCGCAGCCCAACTACTCGAATTAATTGAAAGAGAAAGTGCACGGCGATTCGTGGTACATTGTGGCCAGAAGACCGGTCTTGTTGTACGTCCTACCACCCCAGCCCTACTCCTTCACATCTTCACATCTTCCAATCCACACCGCTAACATTTATTTCTACTGATAGCTCTGGGTCTTCAATCCAGACATGCGCTACTCAAACTCCAGCGCAGGAGTGCACATAATGGCCCAACAAGCCATGAAAGTCTTCTATCAGGAATGCGCTGATGTAGACGCATTACTTCATCCTGAGATTGGGAACCCATCCCCGTTATCGGTTGAAGAGTTGGAGTTGCCGTCTATGATTTTTGAGGCGTTAGCGAGTGCGCTTACGGGGAGTAGTTCTTTGCTTCCTGTTTCGGCGAGAAGGTTTGCGGAGTGGGAGGTTGGGATTTTGGGGAGGTTCAAAAGGGGGAAGGTTCAAGGACGTGTGAATTAAATAGAAGTGGGATATGGAGTCGAATGGAGGAGAAGTGTATGAATACAGGATTGGTGGTTGGAGGCTATCAAAATGATATGGTTACTAATTGATTTATTTGGTAGTGTATCTCAATTTAATTGTACTATCGTGCAATTTGGGCAGTTTTCCAGCGACTCATCCTAATCCTAATTCTCGCCCTCAAAAGGCGTCTCATAAGGCTGCTCAGCTTGCGGCGTAAGACGAGCAATATGTCTCCGCTGACCATCCTCCCAATCAAAGACAGCGGAGTGACACGCAACACGGTTCTTCACAAGTTAGCAAACAAATTCACATAGAGTCTCATCTTCACCCCAGATCCAGGGAAACTCACATCCCAAACAACGACAGTCCCAGCCCTCCAGCGCACACGCGCTTGGATATCCTGCGAAAGCGCAATATGATCATAAAGGAATTTAAGCAGCGCATCTGACTCCTCCTTCTTATATCCAACAACAAACCGGGTAAACTGCGGATTAACATAAAGCGCCTTCTCGCCGGTAACGGGGTGCGTGCGGACGATAGGGTGTTCGGAGGTGACGGGGTCACGACGGGCGATGCCGCCTCCGTTCAGGCTGGCATTTACCTGTTCAAGGCCTGAATGCACGGCTTTGAGGCCGTGGAGGCGTTTGCGGAATTCGGGTGACAGACGCTTGTAGGCTTGGACCATGTCGCCGAAGAGAGTGTCGCCGCCTGTTGTTGGGCCGTCGAGGACGTAGAGGAATGTCGTTCCGGGCGGTTGTTTTTCGAAGGTTATGTCTGAGTGCCAGGTTATTGTGTTTGTGCGTTGTTCTAGAAACTTTGAGCCGGTGTGGTCGTTGGCGCCTCGGAATACTAGATGGATTTCTGGGAAGCCTTTTGGTGCGCCTGATGTTTGGTGGATGTGGTGGCGGCCGAAGTAGCCGGCGTAGTCTACTACTTCTTGGATTGGGCGGGAGGCGAAGTCCTGGTCGCGGAAAGCTGGTTGCATGTTAGGGTTTGTGTTGGGTGGGGTGGGGTGTAGTTGGATGTTACATACCTACTACTCGTCTCTGCGCTACGTAGAGGGCTAGTTGGTCTTTGCCCTTGTCTGAAAGCTGGCTAAGTTGCACACCGTGCACTTCGGCGCCAATGAAGGGGGTGATCTCGTCGATATCGGCTTGGCCGTTGGGGAATAGATCTGGGAAGGAAGCGTCGGCATCTTTGCCGTGGTCGTAGTGCTCAAAAAGTTCCAGAGGAGGGTATCTATTCAGTTGTTAGTTGCGGTGAAGATCTGCATGTTGTGGAGAGGTATATACCTCTCGGTCTCGTTGTCCCAAACAGGAAGATAGTTAGGGTATGAGGCGGGAGGGAGCTTGTCTGTTCCCTTGATCTCGCGCTCCTGTTCGTACTTGTAGCCAATCAAATTCTCCTTATTATGGCCAGCGTCGGCCTTCAATGGCGGTGCAACTGTTGGGGCCCGGAGGGCGACTGTTTCTGTGAGGCCGGGAGCCATTTCGTATACTCGCGTGGCGTGGCTTCGAATATAACGTATTCGTCTAACGTATCTAGACTATAATGTACTTCCATTTCGACAGGGGAGTGCATTCATATATAGCCAACTCGGCACTTTGAATCCGAGGATTGCGCAATGTTTGCGGGGTTGGACGTCTGATCAACGCCAATATGAGAAAATGCTAGTCCTTTTCGACGGGGATGAGGTTAAGCACTGACTCGCTCTATATTGCGTGCTGGAATACGTCCGCAGTCGTGATCCTTATCAGATTTGGTGTCAAGTTCCCTGCTGATGGCGTGATAGCCTTGCAACTTGACGTTTGAACAAATCTTTTCTTTCTCAATTCAGAGAACAATTGGTAAACATATACCAGAAACTATGAATATGTTCAATATAAAATACAAACGAAGGCAACAATCGAAATCAGGAATCAGGGGTATAACGAAGTCCAGTCTATACAGCGCGAGACGTCGGTAGGGCTCCGACCCAAAACGTCACCGGGACTGAACTTGCGTGATTGAGCCAAGATGACATCCAACTGGTCAACGCGTTCGGCTTTTTGTCTCTTTTCAAATCGCACCTTCTGATTAGTCGGTATTTGATGCTTTTCTTGGAAACGTCCCGACACTTTCGATCGACACATTTCTTCCTATACAATCAACATTGAGTCGAGCTCCCAATATTCCCAAACGACGCTCAAAACAAGGCAAAACATACCATGTGGAACCGAGGATTGGTCGCAATCGAGTCTATAGAGTGCACCTGCGCAACACCAGCGGTATACTCACCCTCCTGACTACGCCGATAGTTACTCGTGGGTACGTATGCAGATAGAGGCGTAAACTAAAACAAGCGTATCTGCCACAGAATGGCGTGATAGATGGTCATGATCTCGTCTCTCGAAATCTTCCCTTTATAGGAGCTGACTTCCCAACTGTGTTCTCGCATCTCTGATCCAGCCTCGATCCCTGATCCAATTGCATCGCCAAGATGACAGTCGAAGAAGTCAAAAACACGGCTTCGGATGAAATCTTAGACGCCAAAGACTGCAAAGCCTCAGGAAAAGTCTCGACAACAGAATCTTCGTCTTCGGGGTCTTGTGATGGTCCTCGCGCATATTCTAAGCAGATCGATTCTGCATTTGATACGACCGAGGATCCGCGTTTTTATAAGCCCATTCCTGAGTATGAGGGTATTCATCGCTGGGACCCGGAGTTTGAATGGACGGAAGCTGAAGAGAAAGCTGTTGTGAAGAAGGTATGGAAAAGATCCAACTTCCATGAAAATCTGCTCTCAGCTGATTGACTACCTCCAGGTTGACTGGCGAGTCTGCACATTCGCCTGCGTCACATTCTTCGCCCTCCAGCTAGACAGAGGTAACATTGTCCAAGCAACATCAGACAACATGCTAGACGACCTAGGCATGAGCACAAACGACTACAACACCGGCCAAACAATCTTCTACCTAACATTCCTCTTCGCCGAACTCCCCTCCCAACTTCTGTCCAAATGGTTCGGTCCCGATCGCTGGATTCCTTTCCAAATGCTAAGCTGGAGTCTGGTCGCTGCATGCCAGGCTTTCATCAAGAGCAAGGGTGGTTTCTACGCGACCCGCGCACTACTCGGTCTTTTAGAGGGTGGATTCATCGCCGATACAATCCTCTTCCTCTCCTTCTGGTACAAATCAAAAGAACTCCCCATCCGCCTCAGTTATTTCTGGGTGACATACGAAGCGACCTCAATCGTCAGCGCATTCCTTGCATTTGGATTCCTGCATATCCGCATGTCAGACGGGACCGGTGGCTGGCGATACCTCTTCGCCCTAGAAGGTCTAATCACCGGCCTAATCGGTATAGTCGCAGCTTTTTGGATGCCAGCCTCGCCAACCCAAACTGCAGGCCGGTTCCGCGGAAAAGACGGCTGGTTCAACGAGCACGAGGAGAAAATCATGGTTAACCGCGTGCTGCGCGATGACCCCAGCAAGGGAAGCATGCATAACCGTCAGCCTGTTACGCCCAAGTTACTCTGGGCCGCTTTGAAGGATTACGACATGTGGCCAATTTATGTCCTCGGGTTGACGTGGATGATCCCCAATACACCCGCGACATCGTATATCAGTCTGGAATTGAAGTCGCTTGGTTTCAGTACTTTCCATACTAATTTGCTAACAATCCCTGCCTATGTGATCTTTATTATCAACTTGTTGGTTTGGACTTGGTTCTCTGAGCGCTTTAATCAGCGCTTGTTGCTTGGTGTTGGGGCTCAGATATGGGCGCTGGCGCTGTTGATTGCTCTTGAGCTTCTGCCGGAAGATTCGAGTACTTGGGCGCGGTGGATTCTGCTAGTTCTTTTGATTGCGATGCCTTATGTGCATGCGATCATTGTTGCGATCACGTCGCGGAATGCCGGGTCTGTCAGGACTAGGACGGTTGCCAGTGCTGTTTATAATATGATGGTTCAGGCGAGTAGTATCATTGGTAACAACGTGAGTTTCGCCTCTCTTTGGGTTAGGGTGGGATCTGTCTTGCTGACTGTTTATCAGATCTACCGTGAAGATGATAAACCAATGTACCGCCGAGGTAACAAGGTTCTCATTGGTATCGCTTGTTGGAGTATGGTTATGTTTGTTCTTGCCAAGTACTACTATGTGTGGCGAAACAAGTATGTCACTCCCCCGGATTGGTCTGATCTCACTAGACTAACCTGATTTCCCCTACAGGAAAAACGCCGCTGTTTGGGACAACATGTCCAGCGAAGACCGACAGCAATACGTCGCCGAAAACAGAGATCTTGGCAATAAAAGGTATTTCATACTCCATATACTCACTCGAGTTTATGTATACATACTGACAACTCCACAGAGTCGATTTCACATTTTTGCACTAGATATACCCTTACAGTCAAGAGGTGAGCAAGAACAAGACTCGGAGATGAAAGAAGCCATGAAAATAGAATATACATGAGCCGGGCTCATTAGAATAGAATTCAGAAACACATTTATCATTATATCCCGCAAGTAAACAGTAACTTGAAAGTAGCTTCAGTAGGAGCAGTCACTCCCCAATGACATATTCACACCCCTCATCCCCAATCCAAACTTCATGAACCTTCCCAGCAGGAACATCAATTCGCGCCCCAGCACCAAATGTCTCTTTCTTTGCTTCCCCGTTCACCTTGTCTTCGGGGTACGTGACTGTGAACGTGCCGCGGCGGATGAGATGTGTTGTTAGGCCGTTGTGGGAGTGTGGTGGATAATGTGCATTGCTGGTGTAATGATCAGTATTACAGATATCGATATTGGCAATATTCAAAGTAGTCGTGTTGTTGGAAATGAGGGTGAATGTTCATACCTTCCATCAGACCAGGTGAATACATGTTTAAACCCCCACTCGCTAACGAGAGCTTCACTCTCTTTGCGGGTTCCGATGGGGTAATTCTCCGGCATATGGTCTGGAGCGAATAAGCCGTAATTCAACCGAATCAAGTCTCCAGAGTAAAATATCAACTACAAGGTAGACAGAAGTTCATAATCCAACCCCTCTGTATGGCCAAGACCAAGAAGGGAATGACGTCACGCGGGATAAACAACCACGTGAAAGCCAAGAAGATCCATCTGCAAGACAAAAGTACGAGAAGAATCTATCAAACAGGGACTGCAACTACCGATACTAGTGAAAAAGATATAAAGCAATTCTCGTACTTCTGAATAGCGGAGAAAAAACGTGGGTAGTGGGACTCGGCCCGATGAAAGATGTGATCCCGATACGATATTATATTTGTTAACAATACATGCAATATGCGAGATAATCCCTGACTCTTGAAAAAGCAAACATGATCTTGTCATGACTCGTTATATAAAAAAAAAAGGAGAAGAAGATGAACCAGAAAAAAGCAAAGCATGCGAATACAGTAAACAAGTGACACCGTTGAATGAGCCTATTGCGCCTTTCGCTATTAGTGAGACGCGGGAAACTCCAGGGCTGGGGTGCTGTCTCCAGGTGTATTCCACGATTATTTTTCGTGTTTTGGTGCTTGGAGATGGTGGCCTGGATGGAACGTCCGGAAGATGGAGGTTTGAACCGGAAAGAGTCCAATGATGCAAAGAAGACGTGCATGCTTGCCCAAAAGACTTGTCGAAGCGAGGATATCTTCATTTGTGAAGTATGTCATGCACAAGGAGTGTGGCAGATATGACAGCTCTTCCCTGGGATCACCCAGACCTCTTTCCCCTGAGCTTGACAGTTTGGGCATCGCACACCGGGCATCTTCAAAGCGTAAGTATCTCTACACAAAGGTACAAGTATACCCATGCACAGCGGGAGATAGACGAACCTTGTTGACAACGGGGCTTGTGCACGCCGTAGCACAGTGTGAAGAAGTCATCGTGCTGAGGTACAGGGATTTTGGGCAGAAGTACTCTGTAGATAGAGTTCTGAGAATCCCGACGATCGTAGGCGTGATTTGAATTCTGGATTGGAAGGTCTGAAGATAAGGCAAAGAAGTGAGGCGTCCACGGTCCTTATAAGGTCCCAGGGGAGAGATCTAGTTCCCAGGGCCCGATTGGATCGTATCGGCTACGTGGAAAAGCAAGGAAAACGAAAGGGAGGGGATAATAAAATAAAATAATATATCCCACCTGTGTGGAAGCTCGGAAGATCCCGTTTAAAAGGGAGTCTTTCACATATTTTACATGTAGGATCAGTCGATTAGCCAGTGAGGGCTGATGGATCGCTGCCGTCATGCACGGGTTGGCTTTCAGGGAGAGCCAAAAGTAGTCTCGGTTTGGCGCCACTACTTCAAGCCCAATCACATTACAGTCGGTACCTCCCGAGGCCTCCGGCTTGATGGTTGCTAGTTCAGCAGTGCAGCTACAAGATACAGTATACTGTCATCTTGGAACAGAACTGGAATGTTGGACTCGCAATTTACCAATCCCCCCTAAATGTCACTAAAAAAGGGGGGACAACTAAGTAGACCCTCACAGCAATTAAGAGTTGACGTATCGACCCCAGCACCCCGGAGCAGATCGAAGATGGGTCCAACGCGACGCCCGAGCGCTGTGATTTGTGGATAGACAGGGATGTCCAGCAGTAAACGAGCGATCAACGCCGATTATTGGTCGGCTGCATTTTGGCGGTTTGTTGCTCTGATGGGCTCGATATGCATGCAAACTCATGGCTGTTCGACGTCACGCATGAACCCCTCCGCATGCCAGATTGACAAATTGGCAAACTGAGTGATATTGACCTCCACTGGTCCGTGGTAAATGACAACCCCAAATTACGAGTGGCCTGATGTCTGCGATGCTGACCGATCTAGAGACCTCTCACAGTGGCTTCCAGGCAACTTTATCATCGGAGGATTTACCGATCAAGTGTGTGGTCTGAACCCCACCAGGCTGATCAATCTGATGCATGTCGCTTGGCGTGATGATCGTTCCCTGAGTGGACGTGGCCTCCCACTCTCTGCTCTTTCTCAGAATACCTCGGTCTCACCAGGATGATAGGGTGTTCAGCGGCTCGAATGCATGTCGTTCTTGTTTGCGTCGAAAAAAAAGTGGACTATCCAACCCCACGTTCTATTTCTCGCCCTGCTTTCACTCTTTTGGCATCAACAATTCTTTGTTCACCCCGGTCACCGCCACTTTTATGATCTCACAACTGGACACATGGACAGAGTGCATGTCCACCCAAAGTGTGTGTGTGTGTGTGTGTGTGTGTGGTATGCACATAATCTGCACGCACCAAGCATCCAGGTTCTGCACCTCTACCTGACTCTCTTTGATCCTTCAAGCCTGCACTGCACCGATGCCGCGCATGATGCAGCACTCGAAGATAATGACAGCTTTCATTGCCAATGAGGGGTGTCCCTAGCTGAAAGAAGAAATCCCCCGTACTCCGGCGCTAGTGCCTTTATTCAGACGCCATCTCCGACACTACAGAGTTAGTGATTCAGTCTCAGGGTTCAAGAACCGTTATTTGCCGTTGGTGGTCCCTAACAGGATCCATCGGAAAGTGAATCAATCGGTGTAACAACCCAACAATCAGCCCCGACGATTCTTCGTTATGACTTGTGCGATTGGCCTCGTACAATCAAGATCGGGTCCCCTCACCTCGAAATCATATGTACGTGATTTCGGGCGTGTGAGGATTTGTCAGACTCGAGTCACCCTCGCTGGCCACCTTCCACTATAGGAAATGAACTGTACAACATCTGCCCGTCCTGACCGTGAAATTGATGAGGACTGCGGTACAATACGAAGTACTACTGTAGCCTGTCTATCACGCGGAGTACAGCCACAACGATCGACAAAACCACCGATCGAGAAAAAACCCTCGAAAATCAATCTCATGTCTCAAATGTCTCAAATGTCTCAAATGTCGCGCGATACGAGGCCACTAATTCTCGAATCTTTCTCCACCCCATCTAACCCTCTCTCCCAGGGCTAAGAAATAACCTTGGAGATCTTTACCAACAATACACCCCCCTTCTTCTCGCCCGAGCAATCATGAAGATGGACAAGCCGATACCCCTCCCGCAACCGGTCAAGCCGGATGCAAGCCCACGCAGCCAACGGATCCCGACCGATCTCATCGTCCTTGATCTTGAACCTGAATGAAAAGAAATGTGGAGTCAGTGGGACCTGTGCATGGCATTCAAGTAATCATGTTGGGACACATATGAACACGACGAGGAAGTGTGCGCGTATGCGTCTGAGCATACAGTACAGGACGTGCGCGCCTGCGGCTGAATCTGCATGCAAGTGGACCACCAGAGAAAGAAAGAGGATGCCACAGCAGGGTGAGAGGGTGTGAGGGTGTGAGGGTGTGAGATCGCTAGGGAGAGGGAGAATGTGCAGGTCCACCCGCAAGTCAAAGACGCATCAGCGGCCAAATTGGGGATGCTGGAAGAAGCAAAACTGAAAACTGAGGATGCCCAGTCTTTCAGGTTATGCGGGCGTTTGCATGGGGGTTGTGCTTTTTTTTTTTTTTTGGGTTTGGCTTTGGGTTTGGCTGATATCACAATGCAGGGTTCATCCCTGCATGCATGAAGAGACGAGATGTGATCTTATGTGATAGGTGATGGCCCCGGGGGTGGGCATGGGGATGCGAGAAAGGGGACGTGCAGAAAAATTTGAATAGTATGCAACGGACAAGCATGACGCACGAGGGTATAGCACTGAACATGACTTCATTTCGATTCCATATGCATATACAATGCTGGAAGGACATGTGCTGTGCTGCACAGTAGGAGAGAGGGAATGGGGCAATGCACTGACCGTAGGAAGCTCAATTCCTCGACTATCCCCGTCACGGTCGGGAAGTCCAATTTCTGTCCGTCAAAGTCTGGGTTGATTCCTGAGGAGCTCTTCGTGCAGCGCTTATAGCTGCTCTTCTCTGTGTCGGAGCTGGCGTCGTCTGCGTCCGGGGCGACATCACCTTGTGGTTCTTCAACGTGGAATTGGCAGATCACGTAGGGCTTGAATCCCTTTTCGCTGCTGTCGCCCTGAGGCAGGGAGAGGTCTTGTGCTGCGTATACCTCGATCGAGAGGGTGACGTCGTGGCGGGGAATTACCTTGTTCGAGGCTTCGCTGCTTCTGTAGCCTGACGGTTTGAGTCTCCAGCCGTGGGTTCCCACAAACATGCCGTGGTTCAGCATCATGCCCTTGTCGAGATTCTGCCAGTTAAGTGCCACCAGCTGGTGCGCCGCGGCGCCAGTAAAATGATGGGTCGAGGTTCGATGAGGTCACTCGGAATGCGTATGGGTAGATACGCATCATTGCTGCTCGGTTGTGTTCGAATAAGGCATCGCGATGGGTGACGTGGGCTTCTCGGGCTGCCTTTTCAGACAGGGAGAATACATGCACGGGTACTTTGGCCTCTGTGGAACGATTAACATGCTAATATCTGGTTGGTGATAGGGAATGCATACCCGGTTGATCGAAATGACTGAAATGATACGCGCGAGTATAGACAGCCATCTTAGCAAGACCCTCGAATATCTTCAACGGCTTCGATGGCTTCGGCTGCGGCGACGCAGAGGTGCCCTCCGACTTTTGCGGAGTAAGATTCTCTTCCGATTCATTCTTCGGCTCTTCGCCATTAAGCGGGATTCCCTTGGTCTTGATCAGGATCTTCCGTCTGAGATCAGCGAGCGACGGTAGTCTCTCCTCCCCTTGAGGTGCTTCAACGAGCATCCCCTTCCATGCCTCCTGCATGATATCAACCATCATCTGCTGCTGCTCCAGACAGGCATGTACCTCGAGGCTAATTACCACCGGAAGCTCACTAGCAACGAAAGCACCATCACGGATAGCATAGCAGATATCGCGGAAAGTTGCTCCCTTGGTGAGAGTGTGGCCATGTAACACACGAGGTTCACCTCGAACCGGAAGCTGACTTGTAGCGGTCTCCTCGCTCACCTGTGCTTGCGGCGACTTGACAGATTTGCGGCGCAGCACCCCGTTGAGTTTTGACTCCAATTTCGAAGAAATCGATTGCTTGGGTTCTTTCGTGGGCTTTTCTTGGTTATCAGACTTTGAGCTGACTTTTCCGCGCAGTTTGCTTCCGAAGGATTGGCCTTTATCTTCAGAGTCGCTGCTGTTGTCGCTGTCACTGCTGTTGTCGCTGTCACTGCTGTTGTCGCTGTCACTGCTTATCTCGCCATCGCTTGAGTCTGGGGTTGACAACTCTCCGTCCCAGACATCGATCTCGACAGATCTGCAGCCACGTAGAAGGACCTGCGAGAGAGTTAGACATCAGCATGGCCTCTGTGCTATCAGTGCTCGCCGGCGAGATATGAATTAGTCGTAGAGTCAACTACTCACAGATGTATAAGCACTAGCAGCGGCATCACTGTACAACTGATTACCAGTCAAGTACGTGTTGTGACTAGACGAGATGAAGTAGTCCGACAGAGGGGCTGAAATATCCAATCCTTCCTCTGGTCCCATAGCACAGGAAGTTTCGTTCCTCATGTATTCCCGAAAGGCATCAACAGAGGCTAGATGGTCAGCAGCTGCCTCAGTAGGAACTGGCGCAGAAGGATCATGTTGAATCTCCCTGACAAAGTAGTTCGTTGTCGGCGCGTCTCTTTGAAGAGACTTGTATATCTTCTGAATGTGATCATCGACAGTCGAGTGGAATCTGTCAAGAGTGTACGTCTCTTTGGGTGGCTCATGCAGGGCCAAATGCCGAGCACGGTCCACGAGGGCTTCGACTTTCTCTTCTACTTTCTCCATTTTGCACTGTTTTCTTATTAGTCTTTGATTCACGTGGGCTAATAAGGAATGTAACCTGATATTGCTGCCTTAAAGGGGCAGCTGTGTTTATTGGCAAAGGATCACCGTAACCCGATAGCGTGCCTCAGGAGCAGTTGTGTTTCAGGGCTGATTTGTGTTTATAGTACACTGTCTATTGCAATGATAAGAGAAGAGGGAAAAGATGATGTGGTGAAGTCTTCAATGTGACCCGTGCGTCCACGAGACTCTCCCCACAGTCAACGTGGCGTGAACTTGGCATTTGAACATTCGCATACATGTAGATATAGGGTCACTTCCAATGTCAACTGGTTTCTCTTGGTCTGAGATCCTTCACCACTTGCGAGAATCCCGTTTATCCTCTGGCGCGTGGCCAATCTGTAGACGACAGCGTTGTACAAGTCACCCTCCCCTCACTATGGGACATACACTTTTATCAACGAAGACACTAAGACCAAGCCAGTTTATACTGAGCCAATTCATCCAATGAGCCTCCTCCTCCTCCTCCGAAATGAGCCAAAGGATCACTCGTAAACATTACACCGGACGTCCGAGCTGATAAATCAACATGCCCCGCATTCCTGCTATCTGGCTCTATACAGTCACAACCTCCCCTGACTACAATCCTATAACCTCAATATCCAAAACAAAATAAACAAATCGAAATGGCCAACCCCGAAACAATCCACTTATTCGACCTCTGGTCCGACTTCCAGGGTACATCCCCCACCCCACCAATCAACCACAAAGCTAACCAACTCCAGGCGCGGACAAGTCATGGTCCCCAAACACCCTAAAGACCAGAATGGTCCTCAACTACAAGGGAATCCCTTACACCCAAAGTTGGGTCTCATACCCAGACATCGCAGCCCTACTAAAGAGCATGGACGTGCCACCGCACAAGGTATCAGTCCCCTACACGCTCCCAGCAATCACACACAAGGGCACCATAAAAGCAAACCCAGAAGGCGCACTCATGGACTCCGACGCCATCGCCACATATCTGGACGAGCTGTACCCCTCGCCGCCACTCTTTCCCTCCGGCGACGCGAGCTACACGATCCTACTCGCCGTGCGGAAGATCTCAGCGCTTCTCTCGCCCAGCATCAGATCTCTGATTATTCCTAATGTCGTTGGGCATTTGGATTCTCGGGGTCAGGAGTACTTTGAGCGCACGCGTGCTGAGGTTTTTGGGAAGCCGCTCTCTGAGGTTCGGCCCAAGGATGAGGAGTCGTTGGTTGCACTTTGGGAGATTATTGAGAAGGAGAGCGAGCCCTTGATTCAAATGCTTAAGGGAAAGGAGGGGAAGAAGGGGCCTTTTTTGGAGGGTGAGAAGCCTGGGTATGCGGATTTCACGTTGGCTTGTATGTTGGCGTTTTTTAATCGATTTGATCCGGATGTGTTTGATAAGATTCTTGTTCTGGGTGGTGGGGAGTTCAAGGCACTTTATGACGCTTGTTTGCCTTGGTTGGAGGGCCAGGGCGAGGAGAGGGAGTGGTCGATTCCTCAGTAGATTGGTGGATCGAGATTGGGGTCTGTTTTGTTGAATGAGGTTATGGGGTCCGTGAGAAGAAGTAAGATTTCAGACAACTGTCATTCGTATATAGCACAATCGAAAAATCAAATCAATGTAATAATACATCCCGACCTTGCAAGTCCGGTCTATCCAATATTCAATGCAATGTCGAGGCGGTTTGGATCGCCTGCGAAACAAGAAAAGTACAATCGCTTCACAATTTTCCAGCTGGTCCATGAGATCAGCTTACAGACCACGCAGGAAGTTAGATTCCTTGATGGCCTTCCGTCTGGCCTCACGGGCACTCTTGATAACCTCCGAGCGCTGGTCGAAGCCTTCGCTAGCATCAGCCATGGCGTCCGTTGAGGCACCGTCGCGGTTGTAAGAGGCGGGAGTGATATCGTGGGCGTGGTGGTGGGCAGGGATCTTGGCGGCGAGAGGGCCAGTACGAGCGGCAAGCTTCTTTTCGTAGCGCTTCCGTTGCTTCTTGTTCAGGGCTGTCACGAGGTTAGCACTTCACCTCAATCACCTTTAATCAACAATCCAGGGAACATACTGCTTGGGTCAACACCGCCTTTCTGGGTCTTAACATCTTTGGTAGCATCGCCGAGGAGACCCCAGAGCCAGTCTGGGTACTCGGAATCTTCCTTGGCGAAGACGTCCGGCTTGTTTTTGAAGTAGTTGAGTCCGGTCATCTTAGTGCCGGCCGGGCAGCTGCTTGGTGGGCGCACAGTGGTGGGTTTCGTGGAAGAACCAGGGTTCACATCGACATGAACGCCTTCCGGGGTGCTCAATGGCTGAGACACGCCTGGAGTAGCGGAGGAGATGGCGGACGGGGTGGAGAGGTCGCCGACTGTGGGCTGGCGGGGAGCCGAGGGAGAAGGAGGAGCAGAGACGGAGGCATTGTTATCACTGCTGTATGACCGGAATTGGGTGCGAGTAATGGGGAGTTGGCGCGCGCATGTCGAAGCTGTCCGGGTCACAACGGGCTGCTGGTTGAGCCGGGACAGCAAAGTCGAGCGGCAGCTTTTGCAGATCATAATGGCGAGAGAAAGCGAAAAGGCGTTAATTATTAGAGTGCCCTTGTTTGAAGTTCAATTGTGGCCGGCGATGATGGGGACTCCCAATGCGTAGAAGGTATACCCGATGAGACTGTCGCGTTGACGGAGTCGCAGAAAACTGCGGCATATTTGATGCCAAGCCGGAGATCGGTCACGTGGTCGACAATATGGTGTCCAACTTAATGAGTTTCTCTTTTACTATGAGTGTCTTTCAGTAATTGACAAATAAACCACGCTCGAATTACAATTTGTATACAACAATCGACCTTGGTATCATTTACTACGCAATGTTTGTTGACGAATCACGTGATACCCTTCTTTATGGATACCTCAGGTGTCCACTGGGGATCTCCAGCTGCTTCCCCTCCACAACTCCGCACTTCTTTGTTGTTTTGATCTACACATTTGATTCTGTCATGATACCAGTTGCCAATATTCACTTATGAAACTTTTGATTCATTTGCGTCTAGCGACACAGAAAGTATATGGATGACTACATACATCCAACAAAACAAGGAGAATGCAGACAGGTGATGCATTAAATAACATATAATCATTATACCGAGACATGCTTCCGATGGACCCCTGTTCCAGGAGGAAGGTATTAAAAACAGGGGAAATGTGACAAATAAAAAAAAACAGATCAGACCACAGCATCATGCTATGAAGACAGACCACTGACCTCAAGGAAGTTGCAGATATCCTGGCAAGCATCCTTCAGGGTCTTTTCGGTCTTCCACTGCAGCTCCTCGGTGGATCGGTCGACAATAGCAACACATGATCCAACGTCACCCTCACGACGCGGTGCTGCCCGGCGAGCAATGGGCTTGGAAATGACACCCTCCATGGTGCTAACCACATCCATCACGGAATTGCCTTTTCCGGTTCCGAGGTTGAAAGTACGGAAGTTGTCACTCAACTTGCCTTCGTTGGCAGAGCTGAGTGCAGCAATATGGCCAAGCGCCAGATCACTGACGTGGATAAAGTCACGAACAGCAGTGCCGTCCTCGGTCTCCCAATCAGTTCCGAACATCGAAAGCTCGGAGTACTGGCCAGTCATGACCTTGACCACGACAGGGAGCAGGTTTGTTGGTGCCTGTCTGGGGTCCTCGCCCAGCAGACCGGATGAATCACAGCCGACGGGGTTGAAATACCGAAGGGCAACAATGGTCCACTCAGGGTCTGAGGCGGCCAAGTCGGCCAGGATGGTCTCACACATCCACTTGGTGCGTCCATATGGGTTGGTGATACCGGTGCAACCTGGTTGAACGACTTCTTGTGTGCCTTCTTCATTAGTGTGCACCTCTTCCTTGTGCACACAGAGTTCCTCCTTCAATGGAAGACCAGAATTGGCCAGGGTTCCGTACACAGTGGCAGAAGACGAGAAGATAAAAGTCTTGATGCCAAACTCTCCAAGAGTGGTGGCAAAGTCGACCAGGCCGCTGACGTTGTTGGAGTAGTACTTCAATGGGTTGCGGATACTCTCCTCCACAGCCTTGTAGGCTGCGAAGTGAATCACACCGGCAATCTTTGACTTGGCGTTTCCCCAACGAGAGGGGATTTGGTACTCCTGAAGCAAAGACTTCAAGGCAGTGGTGTCGCGATAGTCGTGTGCGTGCAATCGCAAAGAAGGCATCTTGGTGCCATTCTCTTCGTGGTGCTTCTGAGCCAAGATGCTGATGCGGTCAAGAACATTCTGGAATGCATTGCTGAGGTTGTCGATGACAATGACATTATAGTTGGCCTTGAGAAGCTCAAGGGTGGTGTGACTTCCAATGAAGCCAAGACCACCGGTGACAAGGATGTGGCTCTCCGAGGGAATATTGCGCAATAGTTCATCGATGTTGTCGAACAAGTCACCACGCTCAGTTGCAGGCGTGTCGACAGTTGGGGACGCAAGCTCTGACGGAGTGCTTGCATCAGAGCGTCGACGACTGTCCGACCTCGAAGAGGGCATTGATGTGGGCACAAACATTATGATAATTGAACAAGCAACCGACACCTGATCAGCTGTACTACCAAAGAAAGAGGGATGAAATGGCTTGTGTTAATCTGTGATCAAGACCGAGATATCCAAGCTCTCTGGCGGGCCTCCTACCAAGGTTTTATACAAGAAACCAAGACTGCCACCGGTTTTGCCTCACTCGGACCTTTCGCTTCAGTTCATCTATTATATCATCCTTGCCGGACGAATGAGCAATCAGCACAAGCCCCCACCGGCAAAAATGGAAAGGCCAGGAACATATGGAACAAGCATAAGCGGAGTAAAAAAAGAACAAAGAGACTATAATAGGGGCAAAAGCAAGCAAAGTCGGAACAGAACAATCGGGCAGGATCCCCCTTGTGGGCCATAGCGGCTGGGCCTCGGGGGTATCATTTTGTACATCGAAATGCCCTAAAAAGGCCTCCACATGGCTGGTACGTCAGGGACTCAGCTCATGCTCAAAATAAATGTATTTATTCTTTTTTTTATTCTTTTTTTTTTCTCATCTAAGACCCTTTCTGCATCTTGGGTCGAGACCCGCTCCGTATTTCGGCCGCAAAAGTCTTGGGAGTGGCCAAGCAAGTGTAAAGTGATTGTTTTTTAGTTCTGTCCAGATCCAGATATCTAGGGGTGGTTCTTGAACCCACTTCAACTCTCAACTCTGTAACTATACCAATATGTCTGATACCGAAAAACACGTGAGCAAGCGCGGATGTCTGAAATCCACTCGCTCAAGAATTATCTTGGCAATTGTCGCTCTCATCGTGATTATTGCCGCCGTCGTCCCCTCAGTCGTCGTCACTACTCTTAACAAGAAGAAGAACAACATGGGTCCTAAGGCTAAGGTCTTCGTTCCGCTCTACGTATACCCTGCTCCTGGGGCGTGGACGCCGCTGGAAAATGTGTATGTTCTAACCCTTTCCATCCCCCAGCTGCGCTTCCCCCGAGATCCCATATTGAATCTCAGGCGGCCGGTGGCCCGCCACACAATTGCATGGGGATTATGCTACGCCGTTCGGGCGCCAAAACCATCACATCTCAAAAGAAACTATCCCTAACTGTCAAACGCCACAGCATTTCTACCCACCCAGATGTCAACTTTACAGTCGTAATCAATCCAGGAAACGGACCAGGGCCTGACTCGCTCCCGGATGCGAATTATACCCGTGAAATCCCCAATCTGTCTTCTTACGAAAATGTCCGTCTTTTGGGTTACGTTTACACCTCGTACGCAAAGCGCAATGTGTCATCCATTCGCAAGGATATCCAGACTTATGCCGACTGGCCTACCAATTCCTCTAACCCCAACCTGGCGGTTCAAGGAATCTTCTTCGATGAAACGCCCCAACAATACGATACCCAGACCTTGACCTATTTGCAAGGTCTGACTGACTTCGTCAAAGACCTGGAGAGTCTTGGACCTGATCAATTCGTGAGTACAATTTCCCAAGCCCCCATTGTTACCTTACCATACAACATCCCTGTCTCTTACTCTGCATCTTACTCTGCACTTGCATTTGTACATTTCATAATTTGCAATTCCCTGTTTTGCCTTTCCCATTCCAAGACTCCCTTTCCCCAGACGTCTTCAAAACCCACTCACACTCCAATCTTGCTTCATTGCTTTTTGGTCTACCCAAACGCCTATCCAACCTGCATCACTTCGGCTTCCCCATCTGGCTTAAACAGGCGAGCTCCATACACTACGGCAGAACTAACATGTCCCACAGGTCGTTCACAATCCCGGAGCCGTCCCTGACTCCCGGTACTTGGCTACAGCTGACTCCACCGTCGTCTTCGAGGCGGCGTACACCACTTTTCAGGAACGGCAAGGCGCAAGGCTATTCACAAGTATCGATAACAGCAATCGTTCCCAGCTTTGCGCCATCGTGCACTCCGTTCCTGAGGCTGTTGAGGGCAAGTCGCTTCGAGGTCTTGTTAAGGAAGTGCGCAGGGTAGCTGATGAGGTGTACATCACTCATCTGTCTACTGATTACTATGCTTCCTTTGGACAGAAGATGAATGAGTTTGTCGATTTGATGGCGGCTTGAGTTGGATTGGTCATTGCATCTATAGCATTTTGATTGGGGAGGTAATTGAGTTTGCAAATTGTCATAGCTAGCATTTTTGGATCGTGTTTTTTAGTTTTGGTTGCAATTTTCTAATGATTAACGAGAGCATAGTTATGATATACTTGGCCTCCGCAGGCAACGATTGGAATGAAAAAAAAAAATTTGTGATTTGCCCATCTCTTTGTTTGGGTGGTTGGCTTGACTCTGTTGAGGTGGAGCACTTACCATACGCGGTATTTTTCAAATTTCCGCGCTTTCGCCAAGGATTCGATACATCCTTTTCGACACTAGGCCCTAAGGTGCATTTATTCCGCCATTCACATTAACCAATTAATGGGTGTGGCAATAATGAAAAATCTGGTAGGTTCAAATGGTCTCAGTTACTGAAATCTGAAATCTGAAATCAGCTGTGGCACCTCCGCTGGCTTACTGTGTGAGACCTTGCTCTCGTTCTTGATCTAGATCTAAATACGAGATACCCAAACATCACATATCTTCAGAATAAGAATATAGCAGTGAAGATACCGAATTTCCTTTCCCGGGTCTTGATCCAGATCGGGGTTCTTTTCAATGTCCCTGAGTTACCGGGGATCCGATCAATTCATGAGACCTGCATGTGGTGTCATGTACGCCCAGAGCCAATGCCGTATCGAAATACCCCAAAATAGGCCTGCAGTGTTGGCGCTCCAGTCTTGGCAAGGTATATCTGAGCCACGGTGTTTCAACAACATGGAGACCATCGTATTTCATATTGTGAAACTGATCTATTGCTTTATTCGTCTGGAACATCTTGAGACGAAAGTGTACGTCACTATACTCAGCGACCTGCCTTCAAACCCAATCAGGTGCCAGGTATAGTGAGTCATTTGACTGAAACAGCAGCGTGGGACATAGCATAGGACTAAAATGTATACTTCGAGGTTTAGCACTACCATAGCCCCCTCGTCATTAGGTACTATAAGCGAGAAAAAAAAAGCAATACAACGCTGCATTGAAACAAGAACAAGTCATGTATGTACAACGTGGTTGAAGTACATCTGGCCAGGTTCGCAAGTTGACCTGTTCCATTTCAGCGGAGACGGAGGCAGACTATGTTCCAGGAACCACACTGGCATCATACGTTCGTTACACCCTTGCGTGATTCGCTGCATGATACAGTTTATGGGAGTCGTCAATAGGCCTTACCCTAGTCTCTTCAACGCATGCTCTTTGCAGGCGATACCCCTGAGTTGGTGGCTGATGGCGGATGTCACCACCTCGTGGCATGGGTCGGGTAGTTCGGGACCAGAGATGGCGACGGGGATTTGTGGATTTGCATGGGCTGTCACTTGCATGGCTGATGGGGTTTACGATCTATGTCTTGGCTGGAATTGACTCTCGTAGTTGCCGACCCTGTCTGGACAAATACAGTAGGAAGGGTTGTAAATCTTTTCTGTTGTGCATAAGCGAACTGACTCACTCAGAGACTAACACCGTAAAGCAGTCGCTAGGGTGCATTAGTACTGCTCAATTGTATAAAGTACAAGATCGGCGTTTTTCAGTAATGAAAGGGAGGCCGGGATGGGTCCATGGCTTGGGATTGCGGCGCGATCTGTTTTGAACATGCATGAGTGGACACGTCTAGATCTAAATTTTGGCGAACCGTCCTTTTTGTGTTCGTCGGGGCCAGAAAAGGGCCCGAAGGCGAGTTCAAGAGATCGCAGCATAGGTTCGCCGCATCGCTAGTGCTAGTTCATCCAAAGTGGCAAACCACACTAAGAAGCCGGAGAGCCGAAAAGAGCATTCACATCGAGGTTGCTTGCACCGTTTGGGACCACTTTCCAAAGATAAGTGCGAGTTCCAGCCGACCTTTGGTTCAGGGGTACAGATGCTGTGCAGAAAATTCAGAGACCTCATGAAACCACGGGTAGTATAAGTGGAGTGATGGCTCAAGCTAACCGCCGAACATCCAAAGTGCATCGCCAATGAAGTCGAAATCTTGGATGGTTCGTGAGTTGGTTCAGGAACCATGCAGATCCGCTCGGGAGCCACTCGGGCTGCCGATCTTAGCGCCTTCCCATTTCCATCACCTGGCCCTATGCATTTTTCGACTACGCGAGCCGACCGTCTTAGCTTGCTCGATTGGAGTGGGTATAAGGAACATGGCCGAGGCGGCGTATACACGGCCATTCCGATCGGGGAAAGGTTCGGGGAGCTAACACCAATCCGTGCCAAGTCTTCACCGGCCTTTGTATTGAGGTTTGTCACTATGAAAATTCTGCCGAATCAAAGTAACTATACTAATTTTGCGAAAGCCTTTGGAAATGAGATTTTACATGCCGAGGTACGATGTAGGTGCGACTTTACCTTCAGCCCCGGGAAAATATGCAAGGGCGATGGCCAATGCCAACGTCCCGGACCACAATATGTGACATGTCCAACACGATTGGTCGGTGAAGCTCGTGTCGTGACTTGGGAAGTTTGAAAAAAACACGAGTTACAATACGGGCTCGATTAATTCTTCGTATTGTAAAAATTGTACTGTAAAGGGCGACATCAAAAAGACCCAAAACCGAGTTTGCAAATACCGGATGAATCCACTTCCCCAAGCTGCACACTAAACAAGCTAACAGTGCCCCTTGAAACCTGTCCAATCACAGTCCCAGGGAGTATTAGACACTGCAGATGCCAAGACTGCCAAGCCAAACAATCGAACATCCACGACCGATCTAGTCACAAAAGAAGCCGGAGAATCATTGTCTTTCCCCACTACAACGGATCGCTGCATAGTCCCGACCAATACAGACCGCCGCGCATTGATTGATCATGACTCGGACGAGACCTATCAATTAACACTCTACAAGAGACAAGCCAAGAACAACAGAAAACAAGGATGAAGACCTGTTTCTCATGGTCAAAGAGCGAATCCAAGGATCCAAAACCACCATTCGTACAAATAAATTCAACTATTGCCGCATGGCTGATTCCGTATCAAGCCCAGGCTTGGCGGGCCGGTAAACTGACACCTGTACGTACGCCGCAAGAAAATCCCGCATCAGCCACGCCAGGCACCGCCGGAAACGTTTCTGGCAAGGGGGCTATCCACGCGCCGCAGAGGCGCAGCTGACCGGGATGTGTCGGATGCGAGTGAACGAGGAGCCAGAGCCAGAGGAAAGAACACGAGATATGGGCGTTACGCTAACTTAGGCGATGGTGCCTTGACTCTTACTGTGGCTCTAACTGTAGGTGTAATCATGATGCGTGTAGGTTGGTTCCTCATTCTTGCTGGCTATGGCACCAACTCTCCGGTGTGGTGTGGAGTATAGTGCGCGAAAGCGATGGCTATTACTCGTTAGTCTGATTCAGCTTGACGCCTCTACATGTATCCTTTCGGACGTCGCTGGCGACTATTGAAAGGCTAAGTGACAATTGAGGTGCAAAATGGCGATTCCGTGCTCGCATTGGTGTCGTGATTCGAGGGTTGTTTGGGTTGGTTTGCTATGGCGCTTTTGGTTCCTTGGGTTTGCATGATGTGGTTCTTTTGTCTGTTGTCAGATTTGTCGTGGGTTAGGAGAGCCGAAGTCGATACCGAATCGGTCTAATGATTCAATTGAGGGGCTTGTTCATGCAAGGCCTTTGCCATGGATTCGGGGGATCCGACGGTGTGCGTTGTGTGCTGGCATGGCGGATATACAGATTTGTGACTACCCGGGGTTCTTGTGATATCTAGGCGTCATGCACATCGTTGCGAGATGCCTATTTTCTTGAATCCTTGGGTTCAGCTGAGGTTTCACGCGTGAGACGGATTGGGATGGACGAGAGTGGAAGTGAAGTTAAGATGAAGTTGTAAAGGGCAAGTTAAGAGCGAAGTTGTAAGAAACAACTACAACAACTCAGGTTCCAAGTTTGTGACCAGCGCCAGTATTGAATATTGAGCCCGAGATATATAATCTTTACATGAAGTGCTAAACAAGTATATTATTTCGTGAATTGTCTTGATCTTGCTTGAATCTCTCTTTTTCCAAATCCGTTTTGCTCATTTTCAAGTGCCTTAGTTTGTGGTTGTCTAAAAAAGGTATCTTAACCATATAGTTGTTTGAAAAGACTTATAACCCAAGTTGTAGACAACTCCTAGGATCAAGGGGGAAAAATTGGATTTGCTATGTCATGCCGCTCTGAAAAACATTCATTGAAGTGACGGTACCAGAAATATCATTTCTTGTTTATACATGCAACATTGACTCCCAAATAACGTATGATATATATGCTCCAAGCCTGAAATTAAGCCTGTATTCTCAAATCAAGGGCAGTACTCAACCCAGTTGTTCAAGTTCATGTTTTTGATAACAGTCGAGAAGTTGCCTGAGCTGTTCGCATCGCAAGAAGATGTCACCTGCTTAGTGGTGACAGATTTGTCGTTGTTGGTATCATCACCCTTGGGATACTCGATGTGAAAGACAGGCTTGTCGGCATCGATGAAGGCAGCATAGGTATCACACTCGTCGTATTGAGCACATTGCTCATTAACGCTCCACTGCATGTTCGCAATGACTGAGTCAATGATACTCCCACCGTTCTTCAGTCCGACGGAAAGACCGCGGTTGTGAGATTCATTCGCAAGCCAGTTCACATAATTGATAGACATAGCCTCAGTGAGGCCGAGCCCGTTCTCATTATCATATCCATCAATGTTATCCGGGTCAACTCCATCACATCCCTTGGTGACGGCAAGGTCGAGGCGCTTCTGCATGATCTTGCGCACACTTGTGGACGAGATGTTCAGCCAGTTCTCGCCGGCCCACTCGTCGAGACCCTTGCCAATGTCGGCCTTCGCGAAATCATCTGCGTCGGAGCGCCAGTCTTCGTAAGTTCCAGCAGAGAAGTAGCAAATAACCTTGCGGCCCATACCCTGCAGTTCGGAGATCATGGACTTGGGGTTGTCGAAGAGATCGATGTCGTAGACGGGCGCGTCAATGGAGGTGTCGTTCAGTGGGTACTTCAGCACGATTTGCCACTTGGTGCCGGCGGCGGGCTGCCATTTCACGGTCGTATTGGTGGGGGTGGTAGTGTTGGTACCGCTACCGGTGTTGTCACCACTGTCACCACTATCGTTGTCGTCGTCTCCGCTGTTCTTCAAGCCGATGCCGAGTCCTGCACCGAGACCAACACCCAGCGCGACGATGACCAAAGCGATGGTCCCAAAGATGAGAACCTTCTTCTTGGTTGACCAGGCCCACCAGCCGGACTTGGAGGACATTTCGCCCATTGAGGAATAGTGTAAGGCTGAAAGAACGAGTGTAATAAAGAGGTGTCTTGAATGAGATTAGGCGTGTCAACCCCGCATGCTCGACCAGATAAAGTGGAAGGGGGTCACCCCAGGTATAAAGAGAAAAGAGAGACGTGAAGATCAGCTAGTTCGGGAGATGGGCATCTTTAAGCTTAGGGTAAGTGTTCCGGCCAGACCGGGCTGAGGCTATGGCGATCCTTGAGGGCGGTTACAGCGATCGGAATCCGAATGTTACCCTGGGGGAAGGCTAAGCCTCAGAAAAACAATGTCAGGAGACCCTTGAAATGCGCCTTTCAAAGGGAAACCTAGACGAAACAAAGAGCGTACAGTAGGGGAATTCGGGAGCCTAGAGGCGGTGGAAGAAGGCGCCAAGATTACTGAGCCACAGGATTTTGCTTCTTTGACTTGCAGAACTTGCAGAACAGACCGATTTATGGGACCTGAGAGGGTCCAGTAGGGCGAATTAAGGTGGTGGAACCTGCGGATCCAATTAATTATCGCTGCCAAAACATGTCAAATAGCACAGAGTACTTTGCAATATAATGTCATCTGAACAGCAATAAACTCTACAGTATAGTGCGAGAGAACTTAATTGACCTGCCGCCAGTCCAGGACTTCAGGGGGCTGACAGTCGGATTGAAAACCGCCAAGGACATTATTGCCGGGCTCGAATCACTGTGAGGCGACGGGCGTTCCTAGAGTACAGTAGCGCCGCCCAAAATAGACCCCTCTATTCCCTCGGCGCGTTAGCTAGAGAAAGCCCCAACAAAGAGAGAAATATCGGTTCGCCAAGAATGGCTACCCCTGAAAAGGATAAACACCGAGGTAGCTTCATTGCATAATCGGATCCACGAGCTTTCAGAGAACAATCGAGCTATTGAATGTGAGTCTTTCCGCCTGGTCTCCGCCGACCGAAAAAATCACGAAATGATGGCATCAAAAGCAGGCGAAAAGATCAAAAATATACGAAACATACATGTAGAACACTACCAATGGCCAAAGCAAACACGAATGCATGCGCTGGCAAGCTGGGGTGTGAGGTGTCCAAAAGAGGTCACAGAGTTCCCGATCGGGTGGAGACGTCGATTTTTTGGGTCGATCAGGTATTTTAACTTGGTGGTATTGATGTACTGAAATATTCTCACTCAAGCCAAAACATCGTATTTTTCAAATGTAATTTAGCCCTAACCCGGGACTAAATCGGGGTCAAAACATTTGACTTCTGCTGATCAGTTCAGTTGCAAATCCGTCCGTGCAAATCCGGCTATTCGGATGAGAAGATCATGAGTGACTTGTCGGGCCTGAGCCATGGACAAGGATAATCTCAATCTATTTTTTTCTTGTTTTCAAATCTTCAGGGGTCGCTTACACCGGAATGAGCAATGATGATGAATTCACATCCCGCCTGACAGGGTTATCGTACCAATATATCTGCGTCGCTTGACTTAACTCGAGCATTTTGACAGGCCCGCACTGAAAGACTCGTGAAACTACTTACTGTCCACGTTGTGGGCTGTCAAGCCAAAAAAAAAAGGTACCTAAATAGGACGGGCCACACGCTAAAAAAAGCCAAACACGCTAAGGAGTATGGCGCGCTGATCTAGTCCTAGATAACCCAATCGCTTGATTCTCCCCTTCCCGCAAATCCGTTGGACGCCACACCCGCCTGCTGAGACGGCAATTTAAGTGTATACGAGATGATTAATAACGAGTCGAGAGTAAACAGGTAATCAGGAGTCCGTCATCCCGTGCCAAGATCGCGCTTGGGTGGTTTTGTAGTGACAAGTCATCATGACTTGACCCCTTTGATCAGACGATGGAAAAGTCAGAAAATGAGAAGTAAGAATTGAGACCATGCCTCGGGTAGGCGTGCAGTGTAGCTGGCAGCCGAGCATGCACGCAAATCTTTTTTCTTTTCTTTTTTTTTATTTTATCCTTTAGGCTACTTCTTACACCCCGCACTGCAAAGCCCAAAATGCAGAGTGTGGAGAAACGAAAAGCCGAACGAGATTACATGTAAGCGTAAATGCAAATATACAGGTAGATGTACATTGTACCCTCCGAAATATGTATCTCAGACTTTAGCAGGTACTGGAAATGGTACCTAAGTCTCTAGAATAAATCCGAGGGCCATGTAATAACGCCGACAAGGAGAACGCGGGATAGCGGGATGGCTTCAAGGTCTGGGCATGCACCTCCCGTCCTCTATTCTGCCCAAAATGGTGCCATCCTACGGCCATTTTTCCACTTTGAGCCTCCTTGCTGACTCAATCGAGGCCCCGGTGCATAGCCGAACATCGTATACATGCACTCCGCCGCCACTGCCTGGACCGTGGGGTTGCCCTATGCATCTACAGGGTGTCAAAGCAAAGCAAGACATGCCGTGCGCAGTGCGACAGGGTAGATTGGATGGCACAGTACGCTTGCAGGTTTTGTTTTTTTCCTTACCCTAGCTGACGGCTACATGTAGAGTGAGGCATAATCCAGATTTTTTATTCTCCGAGGGATCATCTAGCACGAGGGTAATTGTTTGGTTGACGGGTGGAACAGCTGTTGAGAGACAAGTTTCGATCTCAGAAGCCTAATGTTGGTCCCGACGGGCCCTTGATCGCTTCCCTTTCTGCCAAGAACGATCGGTTTTCTTTTTTTTGCTCTTTTCGTCTCCTTTTTGGACTACATGATTTAGTGAAGAGATTTCTCTGGAAACCTTTCGCTTAATTGATTATGTGAGGGACACGATGTGCACCATATCGCACAGTGCATTGTAGTCATTGTTACTTTGGACCTGCAGCGCGGGGATGCTGACCCGTCCCGTCTTTAGACCGCTGAACGACGTGTTAGGGTGGGCGCGTACATGTAGACCAATTTCTAGTTTGGGGACGGGATATAGATTGGACTCGGGATAATTGTTGAAAGTAGAGAGACAATTCTCTGAAGAAATCATTGTATATTATCGTTTGAGCATACTAAATGTTCTTCCGGGCATTAGGAATATAGGGCATTCAATCTTCATATCTGTAAAACAAACAGTTTTCCTTCGCATATATAGACACCATTATTGACATCTTGAAACAGTATCCACAACATTAATTGAAAGGAGATAGGTGATCAACGGGATGCTGGGAAGTGTATCAGCTCGCCAAATCAAGGCGAGTCATAACTCTTCCAAGGCATCTAGAAAGAAATAGGGGTGGAAAGAGTGAATGTGACTGGGGAGCCAGAAAGCTGGACCCAAACGGTCAGGGGGTCGGCACCGAGCTGCTCAGTGGTGAAGCCCTGGGTGCTGGTAGGAGCAACAGGGAAGGTCACGGGGATGGGCTCAGTGCAAGTGTTGCCGGTGGCAGAGACAGTGACAGCAGTGATCTGCTTGTTGTTGGTAGCGTAGCTGAGAGAGTAACCACACTTGTCACGGTTGAACCGGGCAAGGAAGGAGGCAGACAACTGTAGCGGGGTCAGCAAATGAACAAAATACTCGCCTATGTTTCATGAAGAATCTTATCTTACCTCCTGCTGGGTGAGGGTAATCATGGGCCACTCAGCGAGACGGACGAACTCCTGGACCTGAGTCTCAACCCAAGCCTGCATGATACTGTACTTTTCGCTGACACCGTTGATGGTGATGGGGTCAACGTCGGCGTTGCGAAGGTTGGCCTGGTGGAACATGTAACCATCGTGGTAGAGACCAAACAGGTGACGCATGGTGTCAGCCTTCTCGGTGGCCAGAAGGTCGGCGAAGGTGCCGCTACCAGCGGAGGTGTCGATCCACTCCTGGAGAGTACAGGCAGGGGTATCGCAGTTGTAGTAGATACGGGTAGCCCAGCGGGGGTTAACTTGCATACCAGCGAAGCCGTTGGCCTCAACGGTGGTGAACATGGGCCACATGGCGTTCTCGGTGTTCAGGAGAGCAGGGCGGGTGTTGTCACCAACACACTGGGTAATACCACGCTCCCACCAGGCGCGGAGAGCATCCCCGTTGTGAAGACCAGTAATGGCAGGAGGAATGATACCATCAGCAGTGTAGTGAGTAGCCTTGTCAATACCGACATCAGCGAGCCAGGCCTGGTTGAAGGTAATCTCGCGGAGAACATCAGCGTAGGTGGCGTTGTTCTGCTCCTCATGGGTGAAGGTGTGGGAAATATGACCGAACTTGTTCAGGTTGGCAGGGGTGGTCCACCAGATGAGGAGCTCATCCATGTTGCTGCAGGTGGCGCTCCAGTCGTAGGCCTTGGGCTTAGTGGGCCACAGGTCAGTGCCGGTGCCAATGGGCTTGATCCATTCAAGAGGGGTGTCGGCAGGAGACTCGTACTCGATGGCACCGTTATTGCAAGCAACGTAACCAGCATCGGTGTTAGAAGAGTTCTCGATGTTTCCGTTACCGTTGTGGCCAACCTCAACATAGTAGGAACTACCAGCGGGCATCTTGGCGTTGATTACATCAGTCCAGGTAGCCATGTTGGTCATATCCTCGGGGCGAATACGGAAAGTATTTCCAGCGGGGTAGTAAATGTCAGATTCAAGGAACATGTCATCAATCTGAGTGTTCAGGTTGACACGACGAAGACCCGCATAGAGACCGCGGGTGATCCAGGTGATCCATGCGTGCTGCAGGTAGTTGGAGGTAGCACTCCAGGTGGTATCGAATCCAATGAAGAAGGCCATTTGCTGACGGCCATCGAAGTCGTTGATAACGGCAGCGACACTCTCAGAGTCAAAGCCGGTGGTGGCAGCAAAAGAGGCAACCTGCTTGGTCGAGGTGGTATTGCTGATAGAAGCAGGGTAGTGCCAGAGACCGCTAGTGCTGACACCGGCACCAGTCTTGAGGCCGGAGGTGGGGAATTCACTGATATCACTGAAAGAGATGAGCTGCTCAATGCCGTCACAGCATCCACCAAGAGCGTTGGCACCGTAGTTAGGACCGGGGTAGACATCATATTGGACCATGCGGACACCATACTCGAGCTGGTAGGCGTAGAGCTGGTTCCACTGATCAGTGGTCAAGGCACTCTGGAACCCGAGGGTACCATAGTCGTAGCTGACTTCAGAAGCAACAACAATACCACCGAAGTTTCCGCCGGCTGTACCGTTGAGAGCAGGGAGAGCAACACCACCGGAAGGAACAATCAGGCTGGTGAAAGGAATACCGTAGGCGTTGAGACCGGAGCTGGCCACACCAACGGAAGCAGCATCTCTGGCGATGACCAGGATGTTAGCTGCGACAGCGGCGTGGTTGAGAGGGGTGGCAGAAGCTGAGGCCGAGGCCGACATGGAGACAAGAGTGGAAGACATGCTGGGAGTCACAATAGCACTTGAAGAAAGTGGTACAGACGAAATTGCAGAGGATGACACAGCAGAGGATGACACAGCAGAGGATGAAGCGACTGAAGACGAAGAGGCGACCGATGAAGAAACAGCCGAAGAAGAGACGACTGAAGAGGACAAAGGCACAGATGAGATAGCGGAAGACGAGATGGCCGATGAGGAAACAACCGAAGATGAGACGGCTGAGGAGACGACTGAAGAAGAGACAGGCGAGGAAGACAAAGGCACAGATGAAACAGCACTTGAAGAAGCGGCACTCGAAACAGGCGATGAGGAAGCTGGACTAGACGAAGCAGGAACACTCAGGGAAGAACTTCCAGGAGTGACACTTGCGGACGAAGAAACACCGCTGCTAGAAGCAAGGTACGAAGACGAGGCAACACTTGAGCTAGAGACAGCAGGGAGACTCAATGAAGAGGAAGCACCACTGGAGGCAGGCAAAGATGAAGCCGGGCTGCTGGACGGAGGAGTGGAAGTAGAAGCACTTCCAGATGGAAGAACAGCAGAGCTAGAAGACGGACTCGAGGAAGTAGAAGTATCAACAGGACTCGAGGAAGGTGAAACAGTAACGATGACAGAGCCTGAGGCAGAGCTTGACGGGACGGAGCCAGAAGAGGTAGCGGTAACGAATGTGGATGGTGCAGGGGTATTGGTGGGTAAAACGGACGATCCGCCAAGAGACGAAGGCAAAGACACAGACACAGACCCAGATGGAGTCAAGACAGGAGTGGAAATAACGAGTGCAGAGCTAGTCACACTAACAGAGCTGCTGGGAGTGCTAGAAGGGGTGGCCGTGGAAGTCGGAGGATGATAGGCGATGACAGTGGGAGTACTCTCAGGCCAAACACCTGGGGCAGAGTCGCAGGTTATAAGGCCATAGAAGCAGCCGATCTTCAGGGCCCAGACTGGAATGGCGACCATCTTGATCGTGGCCAGGTACACACTCGAAAGGTCACACGGAGCTAGATATGCAAGCCTGCACCACTCACGACCGACAGCTAAGGAAATGCGATGCGATGTATGTAAACGAACGGAATTAGCTTGCGTGTGCCTACCCATAAGCGCATGATCATCATCTTATAGAGCCCCTGTGGAGTAGACATAGGTCCAAAGGCCTATCGCCTTTTCTAGCTAACTATTTTAGAATGTCCATACAGAAGATTTCATCTCGCACGGAGCCGAAATCTCACCTGGGTCTGCCCATATAGGTCTCCATGTGGCGTCAAGTAATCGATTGGGATTTGACTACGGGCAAATTGGACCTATTTGCCGGGGAGGTGAAATCCGATGAGTTGGAAACGGGGTCACCAGAGACATCCGCAATGTCCTTAAGCGAATGGCTAGGCATACGATTGGCTAGTCACGAAATGTCCTTGGCAGGGCAGGCGAGCAAATTTACTGCAGGGGTCGCTATGGCTTCGGTGGATTCGAAAAAATTCTTTTTTTGGCCCTGGGGCAGAAATACTAATCAGATAAATGGAGAATAAAGCAGTATTAGGCAATCGAGTCCACAAACCGAGACATGCAAGACGCCAACGCAGGGCTAAAAGCTCCGAGAGCAAGCACATTGTACTGCGGGTGCGCTGTTCGGACTCGGCATCGCCGCAAAGACCTCTTATCGCCGAGTGCACAGCCTGGACTTGGGGCTCTTACAAAGTCCAGGTTCGGAGCACATCCAGACTTGGCGTGGGGAAAGGGGCATCGATGCATGTAGACCCGATAGGGTAGGTGGATATGCATAGTAAATTTGGAACTCGTATTTCTGAAGGTATCTCGGGTACCGTACCGTGTACTGTGTTACAGTGAAATTTGCATTACCAGTCTGTACATGTATGGGTTCTATTCGCGACCACTTCCATTTGGAGTTTGGCTTCTTAGTTTCAAACCTCAGCGCTACGCGAGTTTCTCTTTTTTTCTTTCTTTCAGTTTTGACCCATGGCTGCCAAGACTTCACATTTCCCGGTCGGTACTGTCCAGCGAATCCTCTCCTTCTAGCCCGTGTCTAACGGCATGCATCTTGTTTATTTTATTTTATTTTTATTTTGCATTTGTTTTTCTTAGATTGCTGCCAAAGACGAAACCCGAGAGGATTCGATACGTGAGAATTGAGATCAGTAACAAGTAGCCCAGAATGCAGAATTGATAGCTCGCCGGAGGCACAGCTTGCGTTCAGGTACCCGGCCCACGACTTCGGAACGAGCCCTCCGGACATTAACTATGGCCACGATATCGATCGCATGGTTTTGCCACATACACATGGCCATGTACTGGAGTATGCATGTCTCCACTCACCTGTCTCATCGGTCAGCCCTGGTGCGTCTCTTAGGCTTTTTTAGTCCTGCATCTAACAGAAAAAACTTAGTGTGCTATTTTTGCCCCGTGTTTTTTAGATCTCTACTTCACAAACGCCTAGAATTCCCCCGGTCACGGATCCATAGGTCTTTGTCCTAATCAGTTTAAAAAAGGCGAAGCTATAGATTTTTAATTTTAATCTTTTTCCAAGCCCCCTGACTACATACGTGACAAGGGACCCTTGGAGGCGAACGTATTACTCGCGAACTTATTACTATTCTCTGAGGCTTGGAGAAGTGGGTATTCACTTTAGCCACTGTCCCCCCACTACTCTTTTTACCTATCACCCTGTTGACCAAGCTCCTCTGTGTTTCTCCAATTCCATCCTGTGTCGCCATCCTTTGCTATCCTTCGCTTTACACACCTAAGGGCAAACTATAGTCATTCGTTCCATCATGTCACTATGAGTGTTTGAGAACGTCTCAGCTCCATTGGTCACAGTTTATTTCCGACCTTGTTCCTCATATATTGCGTCCGACACTTGTTGAGTCGAAGACTCCACGAGATTTGCCATGACAGAAAGGAAGCTCCTTCCTGTGGAAGCCCACCCCGTGGGCTGGGCTTCCATGAAAGGACACTGGTGGCAGTTTGTATGTTGATTTTGGTCCCTTTTACAACTTGACTCCGAGAATTCATGGGTGGAGACGTGGAGACAGTCCTTCTAACAGCTCTTCTAGATATTCATCGGAGTTTTGCTATTAACCGTCACTATCGGAACCGTATCTATTATATGGTCCGGAGCGCGAAGATTTATCAAATATTACAAGGTAACATCAACTCAGAAGACTCAAATGTTTTACAATATTAACTCCAGTGTATCTCTAGTCGAGACCGCCACCAGACACTGTTTCCGCGAGTGTCTCTAAGCGCCTCGCTCAGCTAGCCAACCGTGAATTCAACCTTATTGAGACCCGTGCACGCAAAGGAAAGCCCTCGAGCTTCGGCGTATACCTCGGTGGCTTCGAAAACCCGCCTACTGCCTCGCAAGAAAGACTGCTGGAAGAGTGGGATCTTCTTATTGTTGATCCATTCCAGCCCGGTGTTTCCAAGGCTATCTCTAGACATGAGCGTAGCCAAGTGTTGGGACGTGTCGATTTCGCCCGAATTGCTGCCCCAAAGTCCTCTGCCCTCACCGTCATTGAGAAGGTTGAGGAATTACTCGCAATCGGTTTCAACGAAACAAAGTTCTCCGGTATTCTTCTCGCCAACTGGGAAGATGTTCTCTGTCCCTCCGTCCGCAGAAAGTTGCTTGAGACGATTAGCGGCCTCGGTCTAGCAGTGTACCTTGAATCGGCACCTCCACATTTCTTGAAAGACAGAAAGGCTGTTCAAACCGACGCCGTTGCTGGTCTGGTCATTCGGAATGCTAGCGTCATGCCTGAGGGCGAGAAGCGCGACTACTTCGCCATGGCCGAGCTCCAATCGACTATCAAAGCATTCGTCTCTGAGTCTTGCATGAGAGACTTTGTTGTGATGGCCTGGGAGACTATTGACGATGGTGTGACTGTGACCAACGCAATTGTTCGCAGATCTCTCCAGTGGACCAGCTTCTACAGCGCAATTACTTGGATCGGTTCCGAGGCTGCCTTGCAAGATGCGGACTTGAATATCACAACTCTCGAGCCTCTTCCCTCCTTCGGATGGTTGAAAGAAGCTGAGATTATGAAGGCTCATGATACCTGGCGTTCCAACTTGAACATCCTGCCTTCTCCGGATATGAAAGATGGTTGGGAAGCTCTCCAGCCTCTCTTCCCTGCTGTTAACGAACTGCTTGACTCCGAAGAATACAACTCCAAGGCCCCTGATAGCCCGACATCTCGACTGCGTGATCCGCCTGAATGGGTTGCTCAGGTCAAATCGCAGGGTAGCCCTCTCTCGATCTCCATGTCTGGAATGGCGTACAACTCTCTCGGGTGTTTCCCTCTCGGCTCCGACTCATCGCCGATGGTTTTCGCCGAGATTGTTCAATCTCAGCAACGTCTCAAGTCACTCAACCTACTTCATCCCGTTCCAACCACCAAGATCCAGAGCATCGGTCTTCTCCTTCGCCAATTCCATGACAGCTTGGACCTTTCCGATGATGAAGATCAGCTTGCCAGTTCCATCAAGGAGCTTGCTAACTGGGCCTCTAATGATCTCTTGCACGTGAACCTGGCTCTCGATTCTGGTCTGCGTAAGAGCTCCGATTTCCGCTTCTGGGCTGTCTTTGAGATGGATGCTGAGGGTATTGAAATTTACGTATCCAAGAACGCCCAGGGTCTCGCTGGAACCATCCTCCATACTTATCTGTCGGCCAAGGGGTTTCCCCGACATGTTTGCTTCGAGGCTGAGGCCACCTTCGCCACCTGGTCTAAGGATGTTTCCGCCGAAACTGGTCTCCCCCGCCGTCTGATTCAGGATATCGATGTTCTCACCCCCGAAGAGCGCCTTCTCATGTTGCAGCATCTGTCGTTGACCGATGTTCACAGCGAGCTCGTCGAGGTTATCTGTGCCTATATTCACAAGCAACTCATGGACTCTCCTTCGTTTGCCCTACTGAAAGCTCACAACACCGTTGGATATCTCGATAAGTCTACTTCCCCCGAAGAACTGATTGGATCTCGTATCGAATGGTACCGGGACCAAGGGTGCAAGCATCCTTCAGCCAAGGCCTGTCTCTCTCTTTTCAACCAAGTCGACACTGTACTTGGTCAGATCCTCAGAGTACGCCGTGAAGATGATCTTGCTGCTATTACCAATGGACTATGTGCACTTCTGAAGGGTGGCTCTGTTGACGCATATGTCGACATGATGGCCCTTGCTCTCTTCTGCGCTGCGAGAAAGGGTGCCTTTGACGAGATTTACCAGGAAGTGACTGATCGGAACCCTCTGTTCAACAGTCACTCCGACCAAGCTGCCGCATTTGCCGAGTCATTCGCTCTTGGCTCCCGATGCGAGGCCTACTTCGATGTTGCTCCAAGTGTTTTCGGCAGGCTGTTGTCTAATCGTTTCAGAGGCTACTATAACCAACACCAGCCTCCGAACTGGGCGAACGGTGCTCCTCAGCTTGCTACATCCTATGCTGGAGCCCAGATCGATGTCAACCCGGACGAACAGCCCAAGGTTATGCGTGGCTATCAGCGATTCACCTTCCTGAGTGTGTTCGCTATCCCGGCCCTAATTGATATTATCCTGCTCACTATGATCGGTCGCGGTCTGTACCTCTCTGCTGACATGACCTACGAAGAACAAGACAGTGCGACCATGGCCCTGATGATTTCTTTGCTGCTTTCCGGTGCGATTGGTACCTGGATTGCGTGCGGTGGTCCTTACTATCTCATCTCAATGGCGTTTGCGGCTGCTAACATGTTCGTTCTTATCCGCTTGATTGCTGGTATTGCCTTCACCATCGCCGGTGGTTTGGTTGGTTTCGTTGCCATCTCAGCCGTCAGAAGCCCTCGTGCTGGTATAATCTTCTACCTATATCTGATCGCTCTAACAATCTACTTCTCGACCTTCGCCTCGCTCGCCAGTTTCAGTTATCCCGGATCGAGTTTTTTGTCCGGTCGCAAGCCCATTATTTACTGTATCCCGATTCTGTTCCTGTCACCAATTATCACCACCTGGGCCGGCAACGACTCAGCAATCTATCTTGCCATCATCTATGTCTTCATTGGTGTGCTCTTACTATGCCTGCGCTCAGTGACATCCAAATGGGTCACCTGGTACCAAGATATTCGCCGAACCGATGATACCGAAATTCGCAAGTGGTACATCAGTGTGTACGGCCACGATGATGAGAAGGTCTTCGCAAATATGAGTGATCCAGCTGCACTCAAGCTGGCAAGAGAGGCACTGTCCAAGGACGTCTTGGCCGAACAGAAGCGTGGCATATTCTCCAAGGCAACCAAGGATAAGCTGGTTTTCGAACTTGCTCGGGATTGGGAATCGACCAACTTCCTCCTTGATTGGTACTGTCGTTATGCTGATGTCCCTCGCCCAATTGCGTTCAGTTCTGGCTGGAACATCCAAACCAAGGTCGCATTGGACGTTCTTCGCAACTCCCAGAAGGGTCTCCGCCTGCACAATGCCTTCGTTCACTGGCGCCAGTCCAGCAAGGAGATCGGATGTGGTATCCTGTACTTCGTGATTGCCCTTCTCGACAAGTGGATTCAAATGCTCAGTGGTGATCGCATGCTTGGCTATGCTCCCGCTGAGAACGACGCGAACCGCATGGCTGTTGGTTTTGCTCTTGCTTACTACCTGATCGGAGCTGTTCTCATTGATACCAAGGCTCAAGAACTCCATGATGCCCTTGGCAGCAAGGCCCCCACCTCTGTCAAGTCTGCTAAGGATATTCGGATCGCCCAGAAGAAGGAAGTCGAGCTCCGCCGCAAAGTATACTGGCGGGTTCTGCTCCGCTTCCTCCTTTGGCACGTATGGAGTCTGGCTCTGGCAACTGCTCTCATTTGGACTTTCCAGGAAACCCGGGAAGGTATGATCATCTTCTTCTCCTACGTTCTGGCCTACACTGGTTTGATCTGGTATCAATACACCAAGATCTTCACCGGCCCTCATGCGCTCAAGCCTCTCATTACTGGCATCTGCGTCGGATTGCCAGTTGGTATCGCTCTCAAGGTCTGCCTGCCCTCTTCGTTCAAGTACTCTCAGATCATCGGTCTGGGATCCGCCACCTGGACTGTCGCTTTCCTCGCTATCTGGAATGCCAAGATGGGCATGCCTAACAAGGTTGACTCACCAGTCGAGCTTGGCCGGACCTTCCACGCCTTCACCACCCCTTGGTCCGACCCTGAATGGTCCCAGCAGGAACTCCAGACTTTCTTCGAGAACTATACTCTGCTTCCATCCGACTCTCGATTCCAGCTCAACCCTGCTGTTCACCCTGGTGTTGAAATCAGAAGTGCTATGACTTCTCGCAGAGAAGAGCTCCGCATTGAAGAAGCCTTCCCCGGCTCCAAGGATATTGTCAACACTGCTATCTCCGCATGGGAAAAGGGCGACGTTGTCATTGAGCTTGTTCCAATCGGTTCTCTCGGTCCCGGTATTCGTGCTTTGAGTTGCAGCACTGGTAACCAGCTGAAGCTGGCCATCAGCGTTGGAGGTCTCCTGGACGAGCGTCTCGATATTAGTGCTAACTGCCAGGTCATTGCCGAGACTCTACTCCACGCTGTCACTGAACTCATGATGGGTGTTCCCCACGAATACGCATCACTGGCAGGATCAATTATCTCTGGTGGAGTCACACACACCATGGCCCGACAGCTTCGCGAGGAGGCCAATACCTCCACTGTCGTTCGCTGGGCCAAGAAAGAGCTTCTCCGACAGCTCTGTCTTGGTTTCGAGGCTGATATTCACTGGGACAAGCTGCCTAACGAAGTTCGTGATGTACTGCTCAAGCGTTGCTTGGGACAGCAGTGCAGTCTCTCTAACAGCCAGCGACAATGGCTTCAGGAGAGCCTTTGCACCTTTGACACCAAGGACCTTGACATCCACGTTGCCCGTTGCAACCTTGGAGCAGCCACCGCGATTAGTGTTCTCGACTACGCTCACTGGGGAACTGGAGAAGCTGCTCTCCCCAAGGATTCTGAGACTTCGGAGTACATCTCTTATGTACCTCGTAAGCTCCCACTTGTGCTGTCACTTTTCAGAGAACCCCTGAGCTACATATATCACAAGATGGGTACAATGGTCAAGTTCTTTGTCGTCGCTTTGGTTGCAGATCCTGAGTTCCAGAGAGAGTTCAACCACGTCGTTCAGCCCCTTCCTACCGTTGTCCGTGTCCCTACTGTCTTCTTTTTGAACATGTTCTGGGTTTACTCTAAGGCTGTTCAAGACTTTGGCTTGTCATTCTTCCTATTTCACGGTCGCCAGAACGTCAAGCGTCTGTGGGAAGAGACCAAGGGCATGACTATCCACATCAAGAAGAGCAGAGTTATTGTTCAAAGTCTGGATGGCACATTCACGGCATTCCGGCATCACGAGATTGACGGTGGGTTCAAGATCTACCATTATGCAGGCGACCACAAGACCGAGCCTAAGGAGGTCAAAGCACTGAAGTATGTCAGCACCTACTCTGGTGAGATGTTGCTTCTTGTCAAGCAAGAGTTCAAAGATGGCAAAGTCACCAACGAATATCACTACGACTACCAATCCCCGACCAAGAAGGGCTTCAAGCTTGGCAACAAGTCTTCGGCTCGCATTCCATTGGGACGTCGCTGTGTGGCTGGTGCCAACCACCTGCAAAGTGTTCAATACAACCGCAAGGGTCTCATCGAATCTGGTTCCTACATGAAGGACGGTAACTTGATCCGCTTCAAGTACCACTACCGCAAGAACCCCCGTTTCGGTGATGAGCTGCTCCGCGCTGAATTCGTCTTGTCTCACATCAGCTGTACAGTGTCTTGGTGTGCGCCCCCCGTCGTCACCCCGAGAAGGTGGAACGCTGGATTCCTCACTCCAAGGTGACAGAAGCCAGCTTCGTCCAGGGTGCCGATGTCTACGAGAGTCGCTGGTTGTACGATCACAAGTTCCATCCCACGATCTTCACCACTATCAACGGGCAGAAGGTTCAGACCCCTCCCATGATCGAGCACGATTACCTGGGTGTCCTGGCCAAGCCGAAGTATACCAGCTTCGTGCATGACAACCCCTTCTTTTACTGTGACAGTCTCCAGTCAAATTTACTCACTCGCACACTCGGATTGACCAAGAAGCGCTTTGTTGTTTCCACTTCCCGTGCTCGTTCTCTCATGTGGAAGGCCTGGAAGGACCGTGTTGACTTCGATGCCATTATTGTCCGCTGGATGGACGACCGTATTCTTCGCAGAGACCGAGTCCTTGCTCCGTACTGGCGCAGTCGTGACTGGGGTAACCTTGGATCTGCAAAGAAGTATATGGACCTCCGTGCCGATGCTATCATGGCTAGTGCCGATCTGGACGACAACATCTCTAGCTGGACTCCCCTCGCTGTGAAGATCACCGATCTGCTCAACTTCGGCCCCGGTGGTGACGCTGTTGTCAACACTCGCTCTAAGAACTTCGGAACTGATACTGACAAGACACTGCACGTCATGGCCGCTGACAATGGTACCTGGCCCAATGAAGGTGGTGGTGTCTCTGCCTGTCGACGAGACATGATCAACTCCCTGCGGACCATTAAGTGGCACATGATTTGTGAGTCTGCAAACGACTTTGGTGTTCCTAAGCACCAGACCGAGCAGAACATCCAGTCTCTCAAGTTAATCCCGCTCTGGGGTATGGATTTCCTGACGCCAACTCACGGTTTGTTCCACAACAAGCTGGATGCCGAGGTCGACAATGTGACTTCCGCCAGCGAGTTTGATATCAAGATGAACTTCATTCCTATCTTGACAGCCTTGGTTAAGGGTGCGCGTGCAATCAATCTCACAAAGGCCGATATCCACCAAGCGACTCGTGCTCTGGTGAACCTCAACACATACTTCCAGGAATCTCGTCATTGGACCCAAGTGTGGAACAGTGAAACTGTCAAGCAGAGTTGGCGTGAGCTGTGGCTCACTCAGGAGATGTCCAATGCGATGCCATCATCGGAGTGGTTCGACACCGAACTTCCCACCCTGGCCGCCCTTGATGTTGCCCTGGAGCTCTGGTACCGCTACCTGTTCATTTTCTCGATACCCGTCCCGGAGAAGATTCCCTCGACCTTCCAAGCCTCCCACCACAGCGTCAGTGCCTCGTACGGTGTTGTCTGCAAGATCAAGCGCAAGTGTACTCTGCAAATTTGGGATCACGCTATCAGTTGGCGTGAAACCAACCTGTGCCTATCATCTGCACTTTGCAAGCTTTCGCCATTCGTTCGTAACTCGCTGCTTGGATTGATGCGCATTACCTCTGTCTTGACTTTGCACCATGCCGATATCATTCTTCCTTGTGCCGACTTCTTCAATCCCGGTTGGGAAGTCGAGATTGGTACTTGCCAGGGTACAATTGAGCACCGCAACGTCTTCCGCCGCAAGATTGATCCCGTTGTCAATGGTATCACTGACATGCAGAAATTCGCCCCAGTCAAGGAGATCAAGTCTGAGCGCCCGACTGTCACCATGTTGTCTCACGTCTGGTATGCCAAGGATATCAAGATCGCCCTTCTCGCTGCCGATATCATCATCAACCAGTGGAAGTTCGACGATTACCACCTGGACATCTATGGTGCCATTGACAAAGCCCCTACATACTCCACTGAATGTCAAGAGATCATCGCATCAAAGGGTCTCCGTGGTAAGGTCACACTGTGCGGGACTGCCGACCCCATGAAGGTCCTAGAGAACACTTGGCTCTTCCTCAACTCGTCTCTGTCCGAGGGTCTTCCTCTCGCCCTAGGTGAAGCCGCTCTCACTGGTGCTCCCGTCGTCTGCACAGACGTCGGTGCCTCCCTCCGAGTTCTCAGTGACCCAGACGACTTCTCCCGATTCAGTGCCGTGGTCGCACCCAACGACGCCCTCAACCTGGCCAAGGCACAGATCGGCATGCTTGCCATGCTTGGCGAATGGAGCAAATACAGTGACGACACCGAGCCCGCCCCAATCCTGACCAACTCCCCCACCGCAGAGGATGTGGCAGCCATCACCCGCCGTATGTACACAAAAAGCGAGCACCGCCGCAAGCTCGGCATGATGACCCGCAAGATCGTCCAGAAGTCCTTCAGTGGTGACCGATACCTTCGTGAGCACGAGCAGATGCTCTGGATCGGAAAGTCCGCCAAGATGATGGCCAGTCGCGCTGCGGGTGACCCCATCGAGCCCGCCGACGTGGCAACCGCCATCGAGAACGGCGTCGATGAGGAGATCATCACTATTCCCCGTGGCGCTGTGCACTCATGGCGCTCATCTGCTGTTTCTGGTGTCTCCACACTATACAGCACTGTCTCTCACGTCCCTGGTCGTGGTGGCTACCACCGTCCTATGTCTGATATCTCGGCCATGAGCATGAGCAACATTTCCACCGATACCGAGTCCTTCGCTCGCCTGCCTGTCTTCGCTCCTAGACAATCTATGATGTCTACTAGTAGCAACCCCGGCAACAGATCTCCCATGTGGACTTCCAATCACCGCCTTTCTGTCCTGGGCAGCCGCACCCACTCTCCCCGTCCTCAATCTCACAATCGCTCTATCTCTACCGCGGGTCGCGAACAGATTCGCGGCCTTCACCGCGAGGACCTCGCTCCATACCGTAACTCGGATGTCAGCGTCGTCATGAGAGATGAGTTCATCCGCGCTGGCGGCCTGAACCCTCCTCCTAGTGGTTAAGAGCGTCACCACCCACTCACGCACTCGCTCACTCACATCCTCCCTATTTGCACATACTGCACTCCTGTATACTTCTTTTTTATCTTTTTGTTTATATGCGCATTTGAAATTTGCATTTGTCATTTGCATTGTTTGGTGTCAGGCTTGGTTCCCTTGAAAGGGCCAACAAGAGTATTTACGAAAAGCCCGCTGTCAATATGGTTGTTTATTTTTTGATTTTCTATACCAGTTTTTTTTCTTTTTTGCGAAGCATCGAAAATTGCGGCATACCTGAGCAACTACTGTCCCTTACTCTATTAATTCATAAAATATGCAATTAATCATAATGTGCTTCCATTCCAATTCCAATATTCCAATATAGTACACAGTAACTTATAGATGGCATATTTACGAAGCAGTGCGTTCGAGCAATCTTAGGGAAGCTATAAAACCGCCAAAGAGGCATGCGCCAAAAGTAAAAGAACATATATCCCGAAAAAGAAAAGTCACAAGGAGCGCTAGACCGTTCGTCATGTTGACTCCTCCGGTTTCGGGTTTGCGATCCGTTGCCATTCGCCGTTGAATGCATTGATGAGCCAGCTCGAAAGACCTATGGTTGGTAATTAGTCATTGCTCCTTTCAGTATGGGTATGCAATCGAAGAGAACAGAACTCACGTTCATAAACAAGCGTATGCGCCATGTGGAAATTGATACTATGATCTGAATCAGGGAAGACCTGCATATCGTAATTATCGATGTTCGACAAGTCCAGCTTGTCAATCAGCACCAAGGTATTCTGCAGGTGAACATTATCATCAGCAACGCCGTGCATAATTAGGAATCGAGTGTTCTGGCCCAATGCCATGACGTTGCTGATGGAGGCGTTCTCATAGCCTGTAGGGTTGTGCTCGGGCGTATGCATATAACGTTCTGTATAGATAGAGTCTAGAGATTGGCAAGTTAGTACTATAGAAGCCACAATCTAGCATCTTAGAGAAACCCACCGTAGAATCTCCAGTCTGTTACTGGCGCCACGGCCATGCCGTATTGGAACGTCTCGCCCGCATCTTGTTCAAGAACCTTCAAGGCCATGAAACCGCCATAGCTCCAGCCCCAGACTGCCATGCGAGTTTCATCAACGTAGTTCTTATTGGACCAGATCTTGGCAGTTTCAATCTGATCGTGGGCTTCATAGTGGCCGATGTCACCACGAACAATGGTTCGGGCTTCTCTCCCGATGAATCCTGTTCCACGACCATCCAAAGTGACCACGATGTAGCCCAAGCTTGAGGCAACATACGATTGGAAGTCGATGGTGAATTTACGATCCACTGTCTGCGAACCAGGTCCGCCGTATAAGAAGAACAGTACAGGGTACTTTTTCTTGGGGTTGAAGTGTGGAGGGCGACGCTCAAGGACTTGAAGTGTATAACCATCGATCGTTACATTAGTGTAGACCTCTGCTGGGAGGGCAAAGTCCTCGACCATTTCAGTAAGCTTATGGTTTTCCTCGATGAGGCTTTCGAACTCGATCTCGCTGCCGTGAGTGTTGATCACAGCCTGCCACGGCACTGCAGGGCCCTTATAGCTGAGCAAGCCGTATCCGGCTCCATCAGAGAATGAAACGTCGAAGAAGGCGGGTGCAGATATGTCTGTCAGCGGTCGAAGGTCGGAACCATCCAGCTTGACCGAGTATACGTGACGCTCAGTCGGAGCCTCTTTTGTAGCGACGAAATAGACCAGGCCCTTCTTCAGGTCAACAGCGGAGGGTGCATTAACCACCTCCCAGTTGCCTTTGGTCAGCATGATGGGCTTGGGGTTCTCGAAAGGTGTGAAGTAAGCCAAATGATCATAGCCTTGATATATAACAGTGTCGATATAGCCGTCATGTGGGCGGCCGTTTTCTGCATCAGCAGGGATGAATTTGGTTGATTGGGATGGTTCAACCCAGCCACCGTCGAGGGCCGCAATATCGTCGGATCGCACAAGCTTTCCAGTTCGAGCCTCTGTGTCCATCACGAAAATCTTGACAACATCACTCTCACGGTTGGTCTCCCGAATCAAAACCTTGCCCTCGGACGCCCAGACAATCTCGATGATAATCCGTTCCTCGTCAACAAAGTCTTCTGGCATATCAAATGAGAAGACCTCATTCTTCTCGACATCATAGAATTGCAAGTTGACGATGGGGTTCGGACTACCAGGTTTGGGGTATTTGATCTGGCTGACCTCGGGGTAGTTCTCAAGGCCTGGAGGGGGCTTTTTGCCTGATGGTCGAGAAAGGAAATACTGAATAGGGTATTCCGTCACCGCTGTCTCATTCGTGCGAAGGAACGCGACAAACTTTCCATCAGTGGACCACCAGGTTCCGGTGTTGCCTTGGAAGACTTCCTCCTCATATACCCAGTCTGGGACGCCATAGAAGAGGTCCTCGCTACCATCCTTGGTAATAGATATGACCTCTTCCGAAGCTAGTTTGCGCAAGTAAAGGTTGTTCTCTCGAACAAACACGACTGCATCAGAAGTGGGTGCCCAGACCGCAAGCTGCACGCGCGCACTGAGATTCTGAGGATCCAGCGGCTCAGCCTTCTGCGTCGCCACATCGAAAATCCAATATTTACCGAAGTACGAATGCCGGAAGTTGTGCTGAGAGTCAGACATGATCAAGACTTTTTTCAAATCAGGGCTCGGCCACGTCTTGACTGGGGTAACAATCCCGCCACCACCCCAGATATAGCCCTTCTTCATCAACACTTTAGTCTCGAGGCTATCAACGCCATCTTTGCTATTGCGGATGTCTTCAACTCGCAAATAAGCATCCTGCTTCTCGCCCCGCTCAACGAGAAGACCATCTTCGCCATTGGGGCCTGCGATCCAAGAGATCGCGTGGGACCGCGGCAGCCAGTCACCTGTCAATACTTGCTCGAGGGTCACCGGTTTCCCGTAACTCGTGCCCCCAGTAGCTGATTCCGGCTCATGGATCTCAACTGTTGAGACAGATGATAATGCCGCGGTATCGGGCCGCTTATGCGTGAGGAACAGCACGAATGCAAGCACCCAACCCCCCACACAGAGCACCACAAGCAACCAGACGATTTGGTGCAGGCGACTTGACGAGGCTGCCTTCTTCCCACTGTGCAATAAAGGTATATCCGAGTCATGGTCACCTCCATCTTCTATATCGCGGTATCTCTCCCCGTCCCCTTCCTCCATCGGTATGTCGTGGGCACGCTTGTGGTTCTCCATGAAAGCCGCGGAGGCAATCGATAAGTCGGAGTCGGTGGATGTCTGAGAGTCGAGAGACTCCGACCGCTGTCGGCTCAACGGGACGGACTCGGGGTGGCCTTCGTCGAGCTTCCCCATGGTGGTTGGAGTTCACGGGTCAAGCTGACGTCCGATCGTCGCTCTATCTCTTATCGGTGCGGATGCGAATGTGAGGACAGGACACGAGCGATCACCCGAATGATTTTATATATATTGTCGCCGATTCTCAAGAGAAAGGACACGATTGAGCTCCCTTGAAGACGACAACTTGGGGGCTGTGGCTCTGCAGGCGTTCCAACCCCCCTTCCCTCGTGGGCCGAGGCGATCTTGGCACCAACAAAGAGCCACTTACTGACCTCGGCCAGTTCTTACTGATTACCGTTTTCAATTGCAAACATTGTATGTGAACTGTTCTAAATATAAGAGTGTATGGTATTGATATCGGTAAGAGACTGGTTGGTGTGAGACTCGGCTTTCAGCAAGTAACTTATGTATATATCTCGAGGTTTGGTCAAGTACGGAGTGTGCAGCATGTTATACTTCTGGAAAGCATTCTACAACATGTAAACCTTTTGACTTTGTTCATTTTTCGATAGCAGAGAACCAAGAACAACGCCAAATAGAAATAATGACACAAAGCAGGAAACAAGGTCCCTTCACTGCCACCTCAGTCATACTTCCCCAACTCGTACGTGACTACACAATATATGCGACGAACATTAAGAGCTTAGAAGTTTGTACAAGCCTGAGAATGATTCTATGTAGAAACGGGATATTTTTTGTAATTACTCGTCGCGAGAACATCGCTTTCCATCATACAGCTCACGTTAGCGGCCGCCGAAGGCGTTTACCGGGACAGAGCAATGTCATCAATTCTCATGATCATCTTCACAGTCTCAGCAGCCAGCTCAATTGCGCTGGTGCTAACCAGCAAGGGCTGCAGAATGTTCTCCTCTGTGATATCGTCCTTGACACCACCACTGCGAATGCTGACACCGGCGTTGTGCTGACCCTGTGCGTGACGGTGACGCAGGTCGGTGACAACCTTAATGGAGTTGAGACCAGCGTTCTCGGCCAGGGTGGTAGGGATGACCTCCATGGCATCGGCGAAGGCCTTGAAGCAGATAGCCTCCGTGCCGGTAAGCTCACGGGAGCGTTTGGCAAGGGCGTGGGCCACTTCGACCTCGGGAGCACCACCACCTGCAATCATGGCGCGCTTCTTAACGAGACAGCGGATGACACACAGGGCGTCGTGAAGCGAACGCTCAGCCTCGTCGAGAATCAGGCTGTTGGCACCGCGGGCAACGATGGAGACAGTCTGGTTGTAAGCAGAGAGAGGAGCCTTGATGCCGGTGATTTTGACATAACGGGCACCGGAAGCCTGGACTTCTTCGACGAGGTCGGCAGTACCAAGCTTATCCTCGGTGAAAGAGTCGACGTTGGCGACGGGCTTACAGCCGAGACTCTTGCAGAGGAACTCAACCTCATCACGCTCGATATCCTTGATGGCGAGAATCTTGAGACGGGAAAGGAAGTGGAGGGAAAGTTCGTTCACGGCGTCACGGAGGATAGACTTCTGGATCAAAAGAACGTTACACTTGGTCTTCTGAATCTTCTTGACCATGTTGAGCAGGTATTGGCGCTCCTCCTTCAGGATCTTATCCATCTGGCGGTAGTCGTTCACGACGATTTGGTTTTCCATCTAGATTGCTATTGTCAGTCCATGCCCAACACCAACCCACGGAACAACATACAT